CGTCTCTTTTTTTTTCTTAGCTTTGATCTGATATATCACCTCGTTATTATGTACTACGTGCTTAATATACTCCATACGGAGTATATGGAGTTCAACATTTGAAGTTTGTTTGGTTAGTTTCAAATGTTCGTAATTGAGATGTTACTATTATTATCATGTTATCTGTAGCCAAGTGTTATTATTTACGGAGTATTATGATGCTTCATTCTGATATGGGAACTCGTACTCCATAGTGATGCTCCACATACCTTCCGTGTAGCATGGACCTCTTCCCTTTTCTAACCATCTACGGAGTATGAAGGGAAGTGGAGTTGAAGAGGACCAAGAGAAAAAAACAGGTTCAAGGTCCAAGTTGTATACAAAAAAAATAAATTCAATAAATTCATAGATTTTAACATTCGATCTTCACCTACGGAGTATACTCTGTCTATCCGGCTCTCCATGTAACCCATGTGTGGATGACCGGCCCCTCCCAACGGTCGCATCGAGGTCACCTTATGCTTGCATATTAGGTTCAAGTGTTTAAAGAGGGGGGATATGTCATCGTTTGAGATATACTGGGGGGGACTTTATTAAAAACAAAGACAAAAAAAAAGAAAGGAGCACTACGGTGTTTGAAATTTCTGAAACAAGGCTTAGGGTCATGATGTTTTACTGCGCCCCAAAAAATTATTGAAAACCTCCTTTTCCCCTTTTCATTTCTCCTTAAGAAAAGAAATCATGATGCAATTCATCCAGCAGGTCCTGCCGGTGAATGTCGGGTGGGCCAACAACATAACAAAACACGGGATGGCTGAAAGGGTGGTGGTTGCTTGTTTTTTGTTTTTGTATTTTATTTTTCCCAGTTCGCGCACTGACAAAAAGCCACGGGAAGTTGAACGGGTCTTTCGCTCTATTAGGTCAATTGGGTCAACAGAGTACGAAGTGAATTTCATATGTTGGGGACACACATCCTCCGTATCGGTACCTGATGTGCCCAAGCGCGGTGCGGCGCTCCAGCCCGACATCTGTCTAGATTCATCAATCGGCTCCATTGGCGGGGCTCGGCCAGACCCTAAAGGACTTGAAAATGTTAGGTGATTTTTTATAATATTTTATTTTCTTTCTGGAATTACTATGGAGTATAATGGAGTACTACTTTTTTCTATGGGAAATCGATCTTCCCCCCCGTACTAGTAGTGCGTGACTAGTACATGTATGGAGAACTACTCCGAGTATCCAGCTCTGGAGTGGACGGATGAAGAATACACAGCCCCCCCAAGAAATCGACTATAGAGATGATCACAATATTAGAATCTGGTTCACGATCTCCGGAACAATAGGGTAATTGGAGTCATTTAACGGTATGTCAATAGTTTACTCCAACTACTCCTTTCAAATTACTCCAGTGTTCCCGCTTTGCCCCTGGAAATCCTCCATAGGTAATGTTCAAATGTTCGGCATGCAATAGAATATGACCCACGGTCGCGATCAAGGAACGCTTGTGGGATCCATGGGTAATTTCCAGACTTGCCATATCCGGTGAACCTCTTTGAATCTCTCAATGTGGCTTTTTTGATTTTGTGGTGCTCCATTTTCTGGAAAATCTTTCAAACCATGGAACGCCCGTGGCGTTGTCTCTGCACGAACGGGGGATGCGGAGAGGCCAATGATGGTATGGCAGGGGAACTCACAGACTCACATCAAATGATTTTGAGTTGATGTCCATGGTTCCGGCAGCAGGGTGATTTCCGATAGCTCCCCACCCGTGGCGGTGGCTGCTCCTATGATCCCCTTTGGCTGAATTGGTTGGCCCTGGAGAGTTGTTCGGAGTGATACATCTCCTGCCCGTGGTAACAGAACCACAGCTTGAAGTTATGACTATTGTTATTACTACAGGTATGGAGTACCTAGGATAGTTCAGAGGTTGCTACTAGTATGTATAGATTAGATTAGTATACACATACTCCATAACACATACATAGTCACTACCTAGGTACTACTAGTAGTAAATTGTGGGAGTCCAGTGTATAGTTCAATACACACCTAATTACACCTAATCCATGGAAAGATCATTCTTGTTTGAAGAAAGCCACGAGATGAAAGAGGTATGGTTCAAAGTTAATTCTCGGGAAAACATCTGTTCTTCAGCCTCCCTCGGCATTGTAACACAGATCCTTGTGATCACGAAGCTTGTTGCTTTCTCGGGGATTTCATATATTTGGGGACCTTAACATTGGGATTTTAGGAGATTTCGGGGCCACCGTGGGGGAATTTTTGGAACTATAGGCCGGGAAGAAATTACATATTTACGAGGGTCACGGAGTACGGAGTTCAAACCCTGAGCTCAGGACTTTTTAAGGGTGTGTGATGTGTTCGATTTCAAGCCAAGAAAAGTCGCATCTGCCGCGCTATTGCAGGAGCCGCGCCGCTAATGTCCCCATGGCGGGATGCGCTGGTCCGCCCTCTGACGTCGGTGTTCAGCTGGTCCACTTCATTCCCCCTCTCTTTTTTCACACTTACTCCGGAGAGAGAGAGACAAGTGTGGCCATGGCTTGCAGCTCCGAGCAGAAAGATGTGATAGTCAAATACGAGGTTAGAACGACTTGAGAATATGGCTTTTTATACGGAATACCTATGGCTGGATTTCATTCCGGATCTTCCCCGTCGCACGGAGGGTCTTTTTTTTATATTTTTCTTTTTCTTTCTCTTTTTCTTTTTCCTTATTATTTTTTTTTACTCTCTTGACCCTGGAAAGTGATACAGATCGCATGGCCGGCAAATTGAGAGACCCGAATTTGCAGGAGAAAAATCCGGCATTCCGTCATCACGGGAAGCCTCTTTGGGACCTTTCTTGACTCACCCTATCCCGTGGTGCCGTACAACTTTCTTCTTTACCCCTCTATAGAATGGTACGATCTATTGGTGTAACGGAGTACAAAGTATACATGAGGATGGACTGGACTAAGTCCGAACAATTTTATTTTCAAATGTGGAGTTTATTCGGTGCATCGTACATCCTCCACACGGCGATGGGTCGCGATGGGGTAAGGAGGAAAATGGCAAAAATGCTACGAAACAGGTGGGATGAGAGGAGCGTGGGGTGTACATCGTCGTCATCATGCGCATTTTTGAACATAGTCCAAAGAGAATTCCTTGACCCTTTTTTTCTCTAACCCATTTACTCCCAAGTGTACATAGTAATACTCCGTACATACAGTAAAATGAGGGAGAATGTAGGCGTCAATAATGTATAGGCTATTGAATCGATAAGTCGCGTTGGGGGGAAAATAGATAGTGGTCGGGGGGAGATTACAGACCAAATGGATTTTAAACTATTAAATTCTCTTTTTTTTCATTATTATTTTATTACTTTTACGGAGTATTGAAAATCCTCGACTGGAAGTAAGGTCTGCCCACGCTAAACTAACCCTGGGCCGTGTCAAAGGCCCTCTACTCCGACCCCCACATACAGTTGTATGGCTGGGGCATCGTCATAAATTTTTTTTCTTTTCCTTTGATTCTTTTTGCCTCCAAAGAGGGTCTCTTATCCACCAATCATGATGGACCCAAATTTGTCCCCGTGGGCCCCTCCCACATTTGGGTTTGACTGAGAGCCATGGCTCAAGTGGCCAACCCTAACTGGTGAAGGGGTTCAAAGCTTCAATGCATCAAGGATTTTACCTTTTTTTTTTTGAATTGATAATTTGAGTTTGGATGAATTCTTTGAAAGGAAAAAAAAGAAAGAGAATGATTTGAGATAAATAGATAAGATATTAAGGTGAAATATCAACTAGAACTTTGGATAGCATCAAAAATCCATCCCCAGAACGGGTATACCCTTGACGTATGGGATCTTTCTCCCCGCTACCTTGAAACACAGTCAGGGCGAACCTTGGTCGCTGCACCGTGAGTTTATTCCTTGGCGTCCCCTTTTTTTGTTGAATATAATATTTCTTGAAATTATTATTTATTCATTTTTAACCCAAATTGGGTCTTAGTGTCTCCTCAGACACGGCACAGGTGGACCACTCATCGGCCGCCCTGTTAGTCTGTGCGGGACATTCCCCCCTATGTAGTGTACGAGTACCTGGAAACACTGCCTCGATATCCACCTTTTAATTTCTTTTCTGTTTTATTTTATTTGGTTCTGAGGTCACTGCTTTTTGAGATGTCCCCTTTTTTATTTTTTTCTCTAGTTATATGGTAGTTATCATGAATTAATTTTTATTTTGGATAATAACTCCCTATAACCAAGTCCGATCCCGGAGGCCAATTCATAGTTACGAGTTCTAGTATTTTGACTCTTAAAACAAAACACACATTCTTACGGCGCGTTTAAATAAGTAAATTCTTTAGATCTTCCATTCCTCAGCCTAATCTAGTATTAATGTAGCAATTTCATATATTTCATATAGAATTCCGAAACCTGTAGTATTTTACCCTCGTGCTAGAGCATTTAGAAACCAAAATGAAAGGAGGGTCCGAGGAACTGGTTCCCGTGGAGAGTCCACTTTCTACACTACAGCAGTCCAATTCCTGCAAGATGAAATAATTATAAAAGGAATTTTTTTGAGATTATGGGAAAAAGGAAAAAGGCGAAAAATATTATTTATTTGTTTTTAAAAAAATAATATAAAAATTTAAAAAATTATATCCTCCCCCCAAAAATGAAAAATTACCTGTATTATTTCCAAACGATCTGCAACCGTCCCCGAGGGACGTCAGTGGCTCTGGATATCGTGCCTCACATCTTATACTGTTTGTCCCTTCTTAAGCTTCGCCGATCCCCTTCCCCAGACTGCTTCTACTTTTCCCTTATAATTTTTTTTAATCCCAAAATTCAAGAGGATCTTCATCTCTTCACCTTCGGACCTAAAGTCGATCATATACACACACACATTCGCACCTGCCCGAACTTAACTTCCAAAGATCCTCCCTTGAATCCTCTTTGTTCGGTCCAAAAAAAAAACAAAAAAAAAACCTCCGGTTCGCGACTCTAGTACGCGACCATATTCTCCATGACGATGGTCATTGAAAACCAGAACCGCTCTTATGGCGGCATGAGCTTCGATAATGTTTACCACCACAATACACCACAATTCACAGACCCTTGGGCCGCCGCGCATACCACTTCCCACTCGACTCCTCCCATCTATGCTACCTCCATGGGCAATGGGGCCAGCATCCCTATCAACCCCGTGAAGACCGAGGAAGTTGGTCGAGCAGCCCCCATGTCCATGCCATACCCCAATATTCCCGTCTCTGCGCCTTCCTTGGTGCCAGGTAGCAACTACACACCCACCGGTTATGGCCCAGAGGTGATGGCCATGCAACACGAGGTCCCTCGCACTGGTTTCGAACAGCCTTCAACATACACAACCGCACCCCCTATGAGCAACTTTCAACCCGCCAGCTACGCTCCAGTTAGCTACGCTCCAATTCACCCATCCCAACCCCAGGACGCTCGTCGCATGTCCCACTCGTGAGTGCTTTCGGTTTTTATAATCTACAATTTTACCTAGAACCGAATATCTGACGTGTGGATTTTACAGAGATGCTCGCGTGGGCTCAACTCAATCTCAAGGAGCCGCTCCCACATTCGGTGATGCGCTCGACGCTAGCCGCGGGATGGTAGCGCTAAGCCAGGATTTGACACCCCGTAACATTTATGGTCCTCGTGGTTCGCGCGGATCTGCTACCGATTCCTATGGATTTCCTTCAGCTCACTCTTCCGCCTCTTCAATTTCATCGGGTGGAAATTACCCCTACTACAGTGCCTCAGTAGGCTCTGTGGATTCTTCAGTTACCGACTACAGCTCCACAACTTCGGAATCTTACGAGTCCCGCACACTTCCTCGCCCTACTAGCCTTCTGGCTGGAAGTGCGCCTCCCGGTCCTCAGTCCATGATGAGCCAATTCAGCTCCAAGATGCCCTCAAACACCCAAAAGAAGCACAAGTGCAAGGTCTGCGACAAGCGATTTACCCGTCCTTCTTCGTTGCAAACACACATGTACAGTCACACTGGCGAGAAGCGTAAGTTCAAACAACCGACCACAAGGAAACGAAGAAACAGACGAAATCTTGGTGCTAATTATGAAATACAGCATTTGCTTGTGATGTTGCAGGATGTGGGCGACACTTTTCCGTGGTTTCAAACTTGCGCCGACACAAGAAGGTGCACAAGGGCGAGAAAGACAGTGGCTCAGCCGATGAAGACGAGTAATTTCAAATTGACTCGACCATGCGACGATTTTCACTTCTTCTTGAATGATTCAACATACATCATTCGAGAGCCTCCCTTCCTACCAGCTCTGCGCGATTCTCCTATCTCGCGCTGATACCCCCGCCACAGAACCGTCCTTCGCCGAGTTGTCCAGTCAACTGTGTTGACTTGGATTAATTTGCTCGTGCATCCTTGTACAACACCTTGGATCTCCCTTTTATCTCTCTCTCTCTTCCCTATCTTTTTCTTACTATACGCTACATTTCTGGATTCATATCCCGATCGGGCGTCGGGAGTTTCTCATTTGTATACCCCTTGGACGATCTGTGATGCTGGGTTCATCAGGGGCCAAAGGAAGGGAGAGCCATTTTTTTCTTGACGCCTTTCTTATTCCTACGTTATGACCATAGAGGTACCGGCTGGTTTGCGTTCCTGGTTGTTTCTTTTCTATTCTTTCGCTAGACCTGGGAGTCACCTGTTTTCTATTCTCGATACCATGGGTTTGTGATGATTCGATGCGTTCTTGTTTCATTTTTTGGGGCTCTTTTACTTTTCTTTTTTCTTTTCCTTTTTATTTCCCTGCTAGCCTACGATAGCAGCAGGTTTTCTTTCTTAATTTTTTCTTTTTCTTACTTACTACCTTGCATATGTCTTGCATTTGCATGTGTTAGATCTTCATTTCTGTCTCGTGGAATCCACGAATCAAATCATGTTTCTTCACCCTCCTTCCGGCTATTTTTTGTTCTGTTGAGGGTCGGCCTCTGTTTCCACTGGGTCTTGGACCATTGCACTGGATGTGCAATTTGGTATGGTGTTGAATATGATACCCGTGGCATTGGTGCGAAATTATGTTTCACCTTTTTATTTTGTCTCTTTCGGTGAAACTGGCGATTTGGACTGCAATTGCCCGCTAGTTACTTCAGCACTACAGTCGCTAGTCAAAAATACTAGTATTGTCTAATCCGCAATCAAGCGCTCAGATGAACCATTTCTCTCAATCTAAGTTCGTACTGTAGATTAAATCTCGGCTGCAGTAATGCTGAACATCATGACCTCGGATGTACTCGTGTATTCACATTTTCTCTAGCAGTCATCTTTAAATACCCAGTCAGTAGAGGTGACTGCCACGGGTTCCAATGTCACCTACTTAACTCCGAGGTCCGTATGTATGTGCATGTTTTGTCAGGCGAGAAAACTTGGAAAATTGCAAATGAGTAGTAAAGGAGGTCTAGGGTATAAGAACAGTTTGTAACGTATGGGTAGTAGTATCTTTCACTTCCAAGCGTGTAAGTCTACCAGTATAAGTCTCAAGTACTCACATGGACTTGTAGCATTTCCGCTAACTGGTGAAAGGCCGGATCCTCTATTTATCCGAACCAACTTTCACTTATCCGACATGGAAAAACAAAATTCCGGATATTAGGTACAGTAGCATCGAGTAGCATCGAGTAGCATCGAGTATACTGATATAAACTTATTTTATTTCAAGTTTCGATCTCTTAGTAATCTACAACCTTGGAAGATTCCAAGGTTGGAAGCGAAGGTCTTCTTTATTAATCATCACGGTCGCGCGAAGAAGGTAGAGCGGGTATCGGCTCTTATTTGCTGGCGTCTTCACATCTTAATTGATTGGATGAAGCTCTACCCTTTACGCGCAAGGCCTGGCTGGTTTATTCAAATTTTTATTATAGGACCCCGTTCATCCGGCTATTTTCATTCCAAATCGTATTTCAATTCATTTTTCTCTTCGGATTTGACCTTTCTTCTCGTTCTAACATGGATGACGGCCCGGTTTTACTTCACCCCGACGGGACAAGATTCATCGCCTTGGGTGTAGCAGGGTCTCTTTTTGGAGATAGTGATCGACGACCCGAAATCGGGAATAGAATGTGCCCTGTGTGCTCTGTGAATGATGTTTCACGGTGTGTTGTGTTGAGGGACAATGTGATATCTAACGGAGGATCAGGTGGCCTACAGACCTGGCCTCCACAGATCGTAATAGAGCTATTAATCTTTTACTGGCCAACCCACGCGAGGTTTGAGAACCAAAATAGAAATCATGCTGAGCTCAGCCATCCATTCCGTATTTCTCATCCAGCTTTTTGTATCGAGCAGATCGATGGTACACGAATCCACCTGGCAGCTTCTTCTGCATAACAAATCCAACTGCCCCTTCTTCATCCTGCCATGACTTGCACTCTTCCCATTCGTCTTCACCTGGATATTTTTCACGGAAGTTGCATAACGCGAAATCAATCATGAAAACGTGGAATCGATTTTCTGGGCAACTTTGCACAACAAAATTCCTCGTCTTGACATCCTCGTTTAGTATTCCTCTATCACCGACAAGATTAACGATTCGAATGGCGTCTTCACAGATACTTTGCTAGCTATCCCTTGGGGCGCATATAGCGATATTGGTTAAAGGAAACCCTTCAATATACTGCAAAAGGATTCCAGAGATGTTGGTATATTCACTAAGTAGATTATTCTGCGTTATGGTAGAGCTACTACTAGTAGTAGGCATTGTCACACACGAAAAGAGTCGTGGTATGTCGTACCCTTGTATATCGGCTAGTATGTTGTATGCTTCAATTTCTGTCTCATAGAGACCTTGTATATAGTCATGCAAATAGGTTTCATCTTGAGAAGAATTCCAGGTACCAAAATTCCAATCGGGCAAATCTTTATCAGCGGTTAGCTCGGCAACAAGTTTCGCTGCATGACCATCGAGAATGAACTGATGATAATTTTGTTCGATATCCGAAGTCCAAGGACTAAGTCTATCATCTTTTCTGGCTTCTGTTGCAAAACGTCGGTCGAAGAGTTTCAGTACCATATCACTTTCCCAAGTGGTAGTAGGGCAGACTGGTCGAACAACCATCGCAGAGGAACAGGTAAACGGTTCAAAGACCTTGGTTATTTTGACGTCTATTGTTTGTCCATCAAATGGTGTCTTTAGTTGGAGTTTTATGATATTTCTGACCACATAGGGACACCTAGGATGGTTAGTACCATCTTGTTCATGGTCTGCCATGATTGGCCAGTTGAGTGTAAATGTAGGTGGCTTGCGCAAAGGTATTATGGGAAACCTGTTGAGTGTTTGTGAAATGAGATAGATCTTACGAATTGCGTAGTCCCTACTTGGCAATGATTTATCAACAAGTGGTGCAAGGTTGAAGAGTTGTGAAGTGAAATAGCGGAGTATGAATCTGTATGATTTCCAGTGGTAGTGCTTTACGCTAAGCCTAATTTAGCTGCAGTCAGGTTAAATAAGTTTGCAACACGATTTTTACCGCCTATATTCTGCCGCTAATTCTGCCGCTAATTCTGCCGGGGGAAGATTCAATCAGTCTACGAACTTTTCAATCAAAGACCATTTCTAATGATATCTTATAGATTTTGGGGCATATTAGTCAGCTAAAGACATCTGTACTGTAGTTACTCTATTGTTTCTAAAAATGGGCTGCGCAGTCTTAGGTATTCGAGGTATATCTCAATGGGTGGCAGGCTTCATTAGGAAGGCGGAAAGTAAGGCGGTAAAGATTCTGCTGCAAACCTTTTTAACGCCACTGTAGTCTAGATGAAGTGAGAGATATCTGAAGTGAAAGTAACCGCAAGAGATAGCTTATATTGTATATAGTCTTTTTTTCTTCTGCGAAGCCTATGGCATACTCATGGACCCGCGCCCATGGAGACGAAAAAGCGAGCACCGATGGCCAATATTCACTGAAACGATGACCACATCCACAAATCTCTCCTTTTATCGCGTTAGAATGATGCGAGGCGCCGAAGTTGTGCTCGGATTTGAGATACACTCCGAGCACCAGCCTACAGACGATGCTGTTGAGACGCAGCTGAAGAGCCGAACTTAAGCTTTGGAATAAACACAATGTGATATGCAGACCTCGGGAATGAATCAATCACAAGCTAAATCTATGAAATAATATAAAGCTGAGACAAGTCAGTAGATCGAATTTTGTATAGGGAATGATAAAATATCCAGTTGAGTTTGCAATGTTGATACGAAGCACATCTCATCCGAGTCCCTGAGCAATGCGCTATTAATGTCTGAGATATTTTTTGAATACATCCATGGATGCACATATAATCCGTAGATTCCGTACATATTGGACAACATGACTGCCCAGGTGGTGTCAATGGTGTGAGTCGTGACAGCAGTGCCGCGCGCGTCGGGCCGATGTGGAGAATGGGGCCCACTCTCAGTTCATGGGGGCTGAAGGTCAACAGCAGATGGGAACTCCCTCTGCACGCCTTCCTCCTCGAAAAAAACCCCTACGATGAAGTTACTTTGCTGCGGTAAAGGTGATCGGAATGATGAGGAAGATCATCCCCCGCGCCCTGCTCGCGTCCCCGATAAGGTACCTCCAGTAAAGGCTGCTAATTCAAGCGTAAAGACCACGGTAGCCGAAGAGAAGCCCGAAAACCCCGATCTTTGGAAAGAGGCATTCGACAGGTTGGATGAGGACCGCCAAAAGCTCGTCTCTCAAGGCCAGACAGGCTCAACGACAGATGCTATTAATGGTGTCATAGATCAGACTCGAGAAAAATACACCGAGTGGCAGAAGGTGGCCTCAAAGGGAAACGCAAGAACGGAGATGATATCAATATACGCGATGGAGCAGAGAAGATTCTCAACGCGGCCTTGCAGGCTCGAGATCTCATCGCCAAAATTGTAGCCTTTGACCCAACTGGGAAGGGTGAGTCTTCTCTTACATCCGCATCTTCGCCATTGTCAAAGAATAAAATTTGACTATTTATTAATTTAGCATCAGCTGCGTGGGCGGACGTGTCCCTCGGTTTGACGGTAAGACTTCATCTAACCAACACTGAAGCTTTTTCCCCCTTTCACACGGTGCCAGATTACCCACTGACTTTTGAATAAGATGGTTTCAACCAACATCGAGCGGAGAGATGCAATGTTTGCATCTTCAGAGTATCTAGCCGAAAATCTTGCCTATTACGCTCTGGTTGATACGCATTATCGCAATCGCAAGGTAGATGGAGGTCAGAACTTTGATCGCGCTCTCGTTCAGGTGTATACGGCCATCCTCGATTATACAGCCGAAGCGACCAAAGTTCAACAAAAGAATACCTTTGGTTAGTCTACCGGAGTTCTTCTATCACACCCACCATTGACAATTCTCTAGGTCGTATCGTGAGGAGTGTCAAAGGAATCGACGAGCAGCATCTCACTCAATTGAAAGCAACGATTGAGTCGCAACACCTCGATGCAAATAAATGGGTTGACTTTGTCAATACACTCCGTAGGTTCCTCTATGAAAGGACCTCAGATTAGTCACTGATAGTAGGCAGGTGACCGTGCGCGAGCGCAAAAGATCCTTGACGATGTGGATGAAATCCTCGCCTTATCGAAAAAGGTCTACTCGAAGATTTTGAGTATGTCAATTGTCTCTCCAACCCAACCTGAAATTTATGTCAGCTAATTGGTTTTTCTAGATGACGAAGAGAGTAAGATCATGGCGTGGGTCTCCAGTTTTGACTACTCGGCCCCCCCCATCAGATAATGCAAGAGTGCCGAACACCAGACACTGGTACCTGGCTTCTTGATTCGCAGGAGTACAAGGACTGGAAAGCCTTCCCTGGAAGTGTGCTCTGGCTCCACGGAGTTGGTATTATTTTCCATTTCATTATTATGAAAACGCAACTAACAGTTTCTTCTTTTGTATAGTCGGTTGTGGTAAATCTGTCCTCTGGTAAGTATTTCCAGTCTATTTATTTTTCAAATCTGATAGTCTTAGTTCTACGGTCATCAAAGACATCGAAGAGCTCTGTAAAAAAGACTCATCCAAGTCGCTGGGTTATTGGTATTTTGAAGGCACCCAGCATGACTCTCAGAGTGTGGGAATGATGATGAGCTCTTTGATCCGACAATTAAGTCAAAGTCCCTTACCAGCTTCAGTTAGACAATGTTGGGAGGTGAATTCGAAGAAAGGAGGTCGGCCCAGCCGAGAAACTATAACTACTATGCTTCAGGATGTAGTTTCGGACATCCAAAGTGATTTCTTTGTGGTGCTGGATGCCTTGGACGAATACCCGATGAATGGAAAGGAGAGGCCACACCTTTTTTCTCTCTTGATTGACCTTTCTGAGGCCCACAAAAAGAACATTCATATTCTGGCTACGGGCCGACCGGAGCAGGATATCAAGAGAGCAATGGAACATTTCCCGTCAATTAATTTGGAAGAAAAGCTAGCGAAGGACGTGGAAACTTTTGTCCATGCAGCACTTGAGGAAGAAGAGCTGCGAGACACAGGTAAAGACATCAAATTCGACATTGTTGATGCATTATTGAATAATGGAGAGCGGTATGTTGCTAGAAGTGGAGTCTGGAATGTCGCTTTATAAAAGGCCTTGCTGACTTGCATTTCACACCAGGCGGTTTTGATGGGCTGATCGCCAGCTCAAACGATTCAAAGATTGTCACACAGATGAGGCTATCAGATCCGCATTGCGTACAATTCCACAAACGCTCAAAGACACTTATCAAGGTATTGTGGATAGGATCAAGCGGGAGAAGAATCAATCCTTTGCGCGCCAGGTGCTGATGCTCTGTGCCTTTGCCGCTGCTCTCTTACATGTGGAAACTGTTAGCTCTTCAGTACCACTACGATCACGCGAATTTGTCATCTCTATATGCACAACATCGCTCCTTGCCATATCAGATGATATTGTTCGACTGGCTCACTTTTCTGTGAAGGAATTCTCGTTGTACCAAAGGATTCCTATGACAGCGAGGGATGCCGTTTCTCTGAGATCGCTGCTCATGAGATGTTGGCAGCAAAGACAGTCAACCTGCTTCTTAATCAGACTAAAGATCTGACCGAAGAAACCGCCATGAAGCAACATTTTTTGATCTATGCGGCAAATCACTGGCACACGCACGTCGCCACCTTGGGTGATATCTCCTTCTGGCCCGTTGATTTACCAGGGAAGGTGGATTGTTTGTTCACAGAGCCTATGATCTATTTGAATTGGTCACGCATAGCCGAACGTGATGATGTCTCGATCCTCCATTGGAGTAGAATTCATCGAAGCTGCCTCTCATCTATCACGCTTGCTGCGAAGTTTACTCTCGCCGGGAAGCTTTTTCTAAACCATACTATACGTATTTTGGCAGACCAAGGTGCAAACCCCATGGAGGGTGGATGATGGTCTCCGATTCTAATGATTGCCTCCCAGGGTGACTTAGAGCTATTAAACACGTTGCTGAAGAAAGAATTCATAATGACTCTGGATGAATCTGAGGGGACTCTTCGTAGCCTTTCGCTTGGCGATGATAGCGAAGTTTATGAGGCATCAAAAATGAGGCTAAGAACGGTCTTGAATACCATGCGGGAACTCGGCTGCCTGTATGATTCATGGCAGAGCTCTGTCAAGACCCCGGTCAAACACATAACTGATAGGACTCTTGGCCGACAGATAATTGTCACATCACTCCAAAATAAGCAGGTGGGTCTAGAGATATTAAAATAACTGCTCGACTGGCGTGATATGGGATTAATTTCATTCACATTCCCTCTCAATACCCTGACTTGCGTGATTCGCCGTACTCACGACAGGGACGAAATTTTGGATCTTCTTTTTGGAATGGACAACGCTGAAATACCAATACCCAAGACCATTTTAGATCCTGTGTCAGGCACTATGGTGTTTGGAAAAATGGATCCTGACATTATCTTTGATATTATGCTCAGGAAACCGGCTGCTTTCAACATCCAAGTTCCGTCTTTGAGCTCTATGGCCCAGCACTTTAGCACCAAACAGATGGAGCTGGTGCTACAAGATTTCCCTAATATCTTTGTGACTGAGAGTGTTTTGGCAGGCGCTGCACGAAACCGCTCCCACCCAGAAATGTTGGGTTTCCTGTGGCCTCGTCGGGAGCAGGCTATGTCTATCACTGAAGATATACTCGTGGGTGCAGCGAGTGATTCTAGCCCTATTAATCTAAAGTTCATTATCAGTGAACTCGAACCTAATACCCGATTGAATGACTGCGTTATGGAACAAGTGATTGGAAAGAGTGCAGTTTCCATGATTAAAATGCTCTGGGAAAGCCAGAAGATCACATTTGAAATCTCTGCCAAGATGATTGAGATTGCTATCTCGAGATATAATGACCCACTGGAAATGCTCGAAATACTTGCTTTATTTGACAACAATATTAAACCAGAAGTTCCTGTTACTGAAAGCTTGGTATCTGTTGCAGCAGGCCATCCCAAGTACGCCGACTCTTTGATCGTCTATCTGTCTCGGATGCAGGAACAACCCATCCCGGCTACAGAGAACGCACTTATGAATGCTTGAATGCAGGACTACCCAAGTGTAGTGAATACGCTGATGAACAGGTGTCTGGACATCCCGCTGTCCGATCAAGTGTTTATTGCCGCGTGCTCTAACCCTCCCGTGCAGTCTCGAATTCTGGACAAAAGCAGTGGTTCTGTGCCAGTGGACCAGATGGTTGCTAAGTTTGTGAGCAGAAAGTATCCCACTGAAGTGTTGGACATGCTATTTGACAGAAAGCTCTTGGATGTTGATGAGAAGCTGCTGGAAACTATGGCTGGAAGATACGAAACATTGACCGCCGTGCTTTCTCGAGCTCCAGATATGCCCATAACAGACCAAGTGCTTCTAAAAGCAGCGAGAGACTCTCGATCAATTTGCTTGCTTCTATACAAGCGAAGTATCGATAAACTCATTGCAGAAAATATCATCATCGCTGCTACTGAGAGCTGTGATTCAGACCAGTTCCAGCGGGTTGTCGAGTCTATTATCAACCACATCGGCCCCGCTCCTCTTACAGAAAGGGTTTTTCTAGCAGTGGTAGAGAACATTTATCTCAAAGGCGTATTCCCGTGGCTCTGCGATCAGCCACAAAGTAGCGATGATCCCTTTACAGAAGACATACTCATCGCTGCTACGAAGTACTGCAATTCAACCGAGTTCGAGCAGATTTTCGAAGCTATGATCAATAACATGGGCTTCGCTCCTATTACAGAAAAAGTCTTTTTAGCAGTATTATCCAGTTATCTTCTATGGGACACCATTCCATGGCTCTGTGAAAAACGGCGAAATATCCATGACCACTCTATAGAAGACATCTTCATTGCCGCTGTGAATTCAAATGACTCGACACACTTTCAGGATATCGTCAAAAATTTCATCGATTATATGGGCTTAGATCTTATTACGGATAAGGTGTTTCGAGCGACAATATACAACTGCCTACCTGACGCGTTTCAATGGCTTTGTGATCAGCGGCAAGATCTCAACTTGACTTGGGAAGGTACATGCCGCACTATTCTCCAGGATATGAATATCTCCGCTGAGAGCAAGCTGATTCCACTCGGGTGTCTTGAGCTCCCTATTGATGTGAATTCACTCAAGATTTCACCCACCCTGTTGGCCAAGTACCCTTATGATCTTGAACATGGGAATAACTACGGCTTGGACGATCTGGTTAATAGTCAATGACCTGGGCCATGACGATCTGCAAATCTCTGATGCTCAGAGAATGGCAGAGATTGTTTTGGAAAGATGTGGCCTGATAGCTGTCAATGAATTCTTGACAGCTCTGCCCGAGATTGTGATTTCCGACACGCTTATCCAGGCGGCAAAGAAAAATGTAATCGCCAATCGAGACGAGTTGATTTTACTCCTGAAAAAAGAAAGAGACGGTCAAGATACGACACCTGAGTAGCTACGAGCTAGAATTTGATTCCTTGAATATATGGATATCGTTGTATGACTTTGTTTCTCTTTCTTTCTATCATGCCGCTTACATGGGCTATTCAGGCGGTTCATCTGACAGCCCCAAACACCAATCTTTTCAAGTTGTGCTCTTCATATTTTCTTTGGTTTGCATAGAAAATTTCAAGATCTTTGACATTGATGAGCGTGTCGTGATGGTCATTTCCAAACTCAAGCACCTTCAAGTTTGTTCCAAGGTTGAGAATGGAGAAAATTCGCTTAGGAAGAGATGACATTTTCAGTAAGATATTTAGCATACAAGTAAACCTTGGAATTTGCGTCGCAGCTGTATGGCTTTACTTATGACAAATTTATCGTTCCCCTGGATGAATAGCCTTAGGGACATAAGGTTCTTCAAGGTATTGAATCTCTTCAGGCGTCAGCTTGACCTGGACACTCGCAACAGCCTCATCGATGCGATCCTTAGTGTTAAGTCCAACGATAGGATACTCGCTGGGGTGACTCAGTGACCATGCAATTGCAACTTGTGCCATGCTGATTCCCTTCCTGCCAGCCAATTCTTCCACACGGCCAATAATAGCTTTGTCAGACTCGGACTCGCGGGCCCGAACCAAAATACTTATTCCAACATCGGTGCTTTCACGCAGGGAAGAGCGAGAATCCCATGGTCTGGCGAGTATTCCGCGTGCGACAGGTGACCAAGGGATAAGAGATATGCCGCTGTCAAGGCAGTAAGGAATCATTTCACGTTCCTCCTCACGGGCAATGAGATTGTGGTAGTTCTGCATGGAGATAAACTTGTGCCAGCCATTGCGAATGGCGATGTTGTGTAGGGTCTGGAATTCCCAAGCGGCCATCTGCAAGAAATAAATTTAATTAGTGCTTGATTGTTAGACTGTCGAGGGTAAACCTTGGAAGCATACTGAACTAGCACCGATATACCGAACCTTGCCGCTCTCAACTACATCATTCAGCGCCCTCATGATCTCCTCGCGTGGTGTCTCCCGATCAAGTCGATGGATTTGAAGCACGTCAATGTAAGTTCCCAGTCGCTCTACACTGGCATCAACGGCCTCTAAGATGTGTCTGCGAGAGAGACCGACACGATTCAAGAAGTCACCCGCGTTTTGTCTCCCGGTGGTGAGAGGTGGGGGAAAGTTCCCCTGATCGTCCACACCGAAGTAACATTTGGTCAAAATCACCACTCTGGAACGGGGAATGTTATATTTCTTCAGAGCTTTCCCCACGATTTCTTCAGATTTGCCGTAAGAGTACATATCGGCCTGATGAAAATGAAATCGGTTAGAACTCGCATTTCTGCTGCCAAGTTTTGCTTTCTTACAGTATCCCAGGTCATGATGCCTTTCTTGTAGGCGTGTTCAAGAAGTGGAAGGGATTCTTCTTCATTCAGCACCCAGCCCTGCCATTCTGGGGCGCCATATCCCATGGTACCTAGTATCACCTTTGAAACTTTGAGGCCCAAATCCCCCAGCCTGTGTCAAATTGCCATCACAGGTCAGATATCAGATCTTCAACAATCTTTGAGGGTCAATTGGGTCAATGCTACCAATGTGGATTGTGCGGATAGACTTACCGTGCGTATTCCATTTGTTTTGGAGATTATAGTACTTGTAGCGAGAGCTGTCGTAGACTTAGGAAGCTTCAAGGATCCTGAAACACGTAGATGAAATAAAACTGTAAGTTGAAGGTGAGGTTAAGAAAGCTCGAATGCTCTTATCCCACAACAATTCCACACATGTGCTTGGAGTTACCGATACCTTGAACGCTGAAGACGGAGTTAATTGATGTAAGTCCGGACAACCAATCATACTGGACTATGTCTCGAACAATCCGTAAAACTGCAGCGAATAAGGGGTCTTGATCGATCAACTGGGAAGTTAAGCTTATTTTAAATGTGCTGTGACGGAGTTAATAGAAAGAAGGTCCAAGTTCTCGCGGAGTTAAAGCTGACGCTACAAACATTCAGTATCTCTCATAGATCTGGGCGCGTCGGGTGACGCTCCCTAGTAGCTAGAAATTGCCTCACTTCCCTTTTTCCATGTAATTGTTTTTCTATTGTGGCAGCTTTAGGGTGGTCCTACAGCCATGTTCACATAATTAAGTACTCAGTCATTAGTATGTACAGGAAGTTGGCGACCTACCTCTCTTTGCATGTAAGTACTTACAGGGTTACCTACGGGGTTACCTGCATGATTACCTAGAAGGGAAGACTAGCTGCTATATAGCTTGATATAGGCAACTGGTATGTAATCATTGGGATGAGCTATAGGTTAATTCTGCCCCTCTATTCTGCCAGGGAGGAAACTCGAAAACCCACTGCAACACAAGTAGGAAAAGAGGTCTATCACCTTCGACTAACACTTTTCTCTCTACTGGCACATCTTGCCTCACAGCATATCCACTCCAGAGTGCAGGGATCAAATGAAAAATTATGGGAGAAGTGGTTTATCTGCGATTGCGAAGTTGTTCAGAGCTAACAAAATGTCGCTCATCACCCCACCGTTGTCCCGCCATTGAGCCCAAATACCTTGCTTCAGCCCTCTTCCTCAAATTGTTGTCCCAAAAAAGTCATCTTTAGAAGGTAAGAAGATACTTACAATCAAAATTCGTGCCACTCGTGGAAATTTGCAGGGTTAGATACATGAAATCTGATGATCAAGCATTCTTTTCTGAGTTGCTGACATGGGTTCGATCCCCTGTTGTGGGCCGTGGCGCCCTGCACATGTGCTGCAGTGGTGGATCATGGTGGACCGTGGTGGCAGCCCCGCCGCCCGCCCACGGTCCACGGGTGGCTGGACATCTGGACTTTCAAAGTTTTAGCCAGAAATAAAAATGGAATTCCGCTAGGTATACAACAGAGCAGTCTGTCTGGTTTAAAATATACTCAAGTGCTAGTATCCTTTTCCTCGGATGCCGTTAAAACTTGAATCTGGATCAATAAGATGTTGCCTTTTTAAGCTTTTTACTGATCTCAAGTATCTATAAAGAACATGAATGTAGTTATCATCCAATCCGTTTTCTTCATATAATTCAGCCTCTTTCTCTATAGCAAAAACTATTTCCAGTGTTTTAATGTTGAACCTCTAGAGGATTTCATCAATCATATATCCGCCCCTATCCAGCCAAATAAGGCGTCCGAAGTTAGGCAGCCTACATGCACTATAGCTCGTACATATGGATCACAGAATGTACAAATCAGATAAAATCACATCCACAGGGTCAAGGGCTGTTTCAAACGGACGACGGAGTACTCCAAGTCTGTCCCTAGTTTCAAATCCCCTCATGTGTCAGATACGCGAGGTCGAGGTCACTTCAAGTTGATACAACTGCAGAGAAGACATCTGGAGATACTGTGGTGACTCACTCGACTTCTCTAACACTAACTGATCGGCCTGAGGCTTGTACGTGATTCAAATTTGGGCTCAGCCCTGAACGTACTATGCATAGACCATTCCAGCTGGACCTATTAATTGCGTCATTCCTATTGTACTGCGCCAGATAACTCGCCCATGTCCCACCGCCACAGAGGGCCGGGGCTGATCAGCATGATGCATATGCTAGCAGTCAGCAAAGACAATTGGCTAATGAGTTTATTTAAGGCAACCAAAGACCTCGCGAGAGCTGAGGGGGGGCGTGGGCCTTGGAAGCTTAGCATGGTGCAGTCTTTTTTTTCCCCTATGTATCATGTTATGACCTCGCCGGGTTTGAAATTTTTCGCAACGCTTTCAACATATCGATCTCTTTATTAACAAAAACTTTCGACATGAGGCTCTCCACGCTTGGGCTTCTTTTTCTCGTGCATCTAGGCCTATCAACCGCAAAGACTTGTTACGCCCCCGACGGAACTGCAGCCGACAACGACATATATGCGCCATGTATTGCGATCGAAGGAGTACAGTCAATGTGCTGCCGCATCAATGACACAAATCCCGACACGTGTCTTGCTTCTGGTCTTTGTTACACAAATGGCACGGGAGCAGGATATTGGAGAGACTTTTGTACTGATGAGACATGGGAGAGTCCAAACTGCCTGTCAAAGTCTATCTGCAACACAACGGTACGTTGAGGGTCTGAAATTCCTGTATCTGTATATGTACCATCTAATCGGCATTTTCACTATAGGCAGAAGGAAATTCAAGTTGGACATACATCATGACAGCCTGCGGAAGTAATAAGCAATATTGTTGTGGTGATGATACCTCATGTTGCGGCACCGACGATGCGATTACCATCAACGATACTCTTGTCGCGATCGGAGGCGTAGCTACAGCCACAGCTACGGCGACGAACTCGGTAGACGTGAATGGTACAAATTCTGGATCATCAGATGAGTCTACAAAGCTCGCAATTGGCTTTGGGGTTGCCCTTCCTTTGACAGCTCTAGCGGGCGCCATGCTAGGTGCTGGATTTCTCTGGGGAAGGAAGAAAACGCAGCGCAAATGGCTGGAGACCAAATATCCTGATGGTACTGCTGGCCAACTGCTGCAACCAACACTACAGCAAGGGAATGCCCGGAATCACCATCCAAGTATCTGCTCACGAAGTATCCGGGTCTCCGTTATCACCTTCTGAGCTACCAGGCGGGAAATGATGGGGATACATATTATCGAATTTGTGAATCATCGGCTGGAGCATTGATGGGGCCATCGAGTACCCGGACTGAATCGTTATACACCACCCGGGCAGTCATTTGTGTATACTAGATGCTGATAAATCCATCGAGTGCGTGTCATTATGTCATATCATCTTCAAGCAGCGTACTGAGACAGGTGCCTAAAGGGATGATTATGATTCTTCAAATGTTGTCAATCTCGCATGACAATCTAGATAAAGCATTGATGTAATATGGAGATGACAAGCGACCAGGACGGCCTAATTGATTTCATGCACATTTATATCGTGAGAACGTTGCTATCTGAGCAGAATAGGCGCTCTGGACTTATTCTAAGGGGATAAGCAAATTTAGTAGATCGTAGCAAGTTGAAGTAGTAGCCCTACGATTAGGAGCAGAGGGAGAGGAGAACTGAGATCAATTGATAAAAAGGCCAAGTTGATTAAAAGGTAGAAATTCCATGCCTAAGTCACAAGATTAGTCCTTGAAACTGCTGCGTCACGGTGGAATACCACAAACTCACTCATACTTAATATTGGCCACCCATCTTGGGACCCAAATGCTTGACTCAGTCAACCATCATAAGCCCGCCACAACATGTTTGGAAAAAATGAAGCAATAAGAATTGTCGTGTCGGTCAGAGCTTGAAGGTTGTGAGTGGTTTGTTCCAATATAGCTGCTTCATGATCGGTTCATCTTCTCGAGGTCCTCTTCAATCCTGCGAATCTTCCGCTGAAGTAGCCAAAGCTTCAAGTTGAGCGCTATTAGCTTGATGATGCGGACCAGTCATAAAGGGCATAAGATGATACCTGGATGCTGTGAAGCAAATTCATTATTGTAAACGAAGCTATCATAGGGTTCGTGAAGAAATCTCTCATTTTGAAGGTAGAACAGACAGAATGTCTTGGTTGTTGTCAGAGGGGAATAAATGGAGATACAGTAAAACATTCGTATAACGAACCATTTTTACACAAGTTCAATTCGTTATATACAGGAAATCGTTATATGGAATTATCGTCTATTAACATGAAAATACCCCCGAATATCGCTCTGTTTTCTGTTTTCGACTTCTTTCCTCTGCATCTCGATCTCATCTCGCCGTAGGCCCCTAATATACGCTACATCAGGTGTTTCCTGCTGCTCGTGGAAAGAGATAAGGTCTCGGATCGCGGAGAGTGCCACGGGTAGCGTGATCGGCGGCTGCATTTCAATCTCCTGCCCAGTGTCTTCCTCCTCAATATCCTGGGTTTTAGGCCCTTGGAACTGGGACAGAATAAGCTCTTCAATAGTGTCGTGTGAATCAATAACCTCTTCATCCACTGGGTTCAAGAATTGGCTAATATCCATCACATCACGGATTGGAAGGCGTTCGATATCCCTCGATATATCTTGGTGTACCAGAGGAGTATCCACTTGGTCCTTTGAATCATATAGACCTTTGCGAAAGCAATTGGTGATTACCAAGGCATTAATATCAAATTCCCATGCCTTGATAGCCCAGCGTATCGCTTTTAAGATATCCACTGTTGCTAAAGGATCCCTTCTAGCTTCATATTCCCAAAGCATATAGCGGACCCATTCTCTGCGCCAATAGACCTTCCAAGTATTAATAATACCTTGATCTAAAGGTTGGTATTTACTCGTCGTATTTGGTGGAAGCCATATTATCAAGGTATTCTGTAGCGGAATCTGAGAGTGTTTTATCAGATCTGCTGCAGCTTCATGAGCAGAGAAATTATCCATCAAAAGGACAATTTTTCGCCCAGTCATACGTTGGTCAAACCAATAAAGCCACTCTTTCATAATCTCAGCAGTCATCCAAGCAGTCCGATTAGACCGCCAATAGACATCAAGAGCTTGGAGATTAATCCGAGCAGCTTGGAAAGCTCGTGGCTTTGCAGCTCGCCCAATTATCCATAAAGGTAATTTCTCAGATCCATCGGCATTGGTGCAAAAATGAATAGTTATACGCGCTTTCTGTTTACACCGACCGGGTAAAGAGTGTGTAGAAAGGCTTCGATCAGGTGTAAGTTTCCAAAATAGCCCAGTTTCATCACAATTGAATATATCCTATGGCTGAAACCCTGCTAGAGCTTGTCGAATAGAGTTCATCTCATCTTCAGCATTTGCTGCGCTAGCAAGCTCACCAAATTGCTTAAAGCTCTTGATCCCGCGGCGTTGCTGGAAGCCTTGTAGCCAGCCGTTACTGAAAGTAGGCATCTCTAGGTCTTCATAATTTGGCAAGTTCTTCCAAAAGAACTCTGCTTTCTCACGGAGTGTAGCACTGGTTATAGTGATATGTCGCTCTGCATGCTGTATCCACTGAAATAAAACGTCCTCGAGCTCTGGCCAATGTTCACGTCGGAAACGTTGCTGGGCTAGTTGTCGCTGGTGCTGTTCATCGAGGAAGGCGTATCTCTTTGAAAGGATCTCGGAAACGGAGGAAAGCGCGATAGGTCGCTGGAAGGTGCTCTTAAACCAATTGCTGATGGAAATGTTACTTTTGGTAGGATTGTCTCGCTTGTATGCTCGTAGTGCTTTCTTCTGTTCAACAGAGATCGCGGAGCGCGGTTTGGTAGACATCGCTAAGATTTCGATCTGAAAGGGATAAATGATGAGTAATCACCTGTGTAAGACGAATATTGGGGGAAAAACAGACGAATTCGTAGTAGGGGGGATATTCGCTATATATATGATAAATTTAATTTTTACGGGCCGTGCGTTCGTTATAGCCAGGAATTCGCTACAACCAGGTTCGTTATACGAAGGTTTTACTGTAATGGACGAAATGGAGGTAATGGGGGGGGGGGGTAGGAAGAGGGGGAAAAGGGAAAGAGAGAGCGCCAGCGAGGTAAGAGATACTTGACAGGGATCAGGTGACTCCGTGACCATGGTCTGATCTCCTACAGTTGAACTCCAGGCAAATCTTCACTACTAGTAGTTGTTGAGAGATAGTGAGGAGGGTAGCGAAAAGAAAAGGGTAAAGAGTATCGCAAGTTTGAATTCTTAGAGGCACCAGTAAGCACGATAGAAGGGTTACACATAGACTGAAGGATAGGGCTTGGGACCGATGCCTAATTAGTCGGAATCTCAGAAGAAAATCCATAACAGAAGGAGAACATCCCAGATCACAGGTTCAACAATAACTTTAACCTAATATCCCTCTTCCTGACGTGACTATTTCTGTGATTCTATCAAAGAATGCAAGCAACCTGCCATCACCTTCGATGCCCTTGGACAGGCCAGCGCGTCCAGCGCGTCCAGCGCGTCTGTCGATCTACGTCTTAATCGATTTACGGCATTTGGATACTCCAGTGACAATGATGCTGATAATGGAGGTAATACCAAAGATTGTGCCAGATAGGTGGAGATCAGAATTTGGCTATATGTGAGTCGATGTGAAAGAACGGAGCATAATTAGTCGATTTTATGTAGCACCTGATTTCTCAACAGGAGTTTGATATTTCTCTGGGCATCTATGTGTTTGTTTGGCCGCTAAGGTCATCATCGGTTACTGGCTGGTAGAGTCGATGTTTGAGAGCTCTAGAGCGCACCTGTGACTTGATCTGCTTTCTCAGGGCCGTGAAAAAGTGGGGTTCAAATGATGCAGGCGACCAGCGAGCCCAGAAAGGACCTACGACTGAAGGTATCTCAGTATGGCAGTATGAGCAAGAGTAAGATTATAGTTGCAGTAGCAATTCATTCCCACGGTTCTCAAATTGACCTTGGGGGTCATTACCCCAGCCCTGGGGCCAACATTTGAAGTAGGGTCCGAAATGTGACTTGACACTTGTGACTCTGGGTACTTTAAGCCCCCATCTCGGGAGCCCGACCCGCTCATCTTTTCTTCGTATTTCCTTGCTTGCCGATCATCACTCCGAGTCCGTCCAAGACTTGCTAATATGTCGTCTTCAAAGTTTCAAGTGATAGAACACTCTATCCCCTGTCAGTCTATTCGGGAATATCATCGCGCTGGTAAGCGAGATAATCCCTTACTGCAGCTGGCCATCAAACAATACGCCCCCCCCTGAACAATACTATTCCAAGCCCCAATGATGTCACTGTCATTGCTGGACATGCCAATGGAATTCCAAAGGTTTGTCTCGACCATTTCCACGAGCTCCATATACTAAGGGTTTGCATATTATAGCAATGTTACGAACCAATCTGGGAGGAGCTCCTTTCGTTGACAACTGTCAGAATCAAAGCTATCTGGATCGCCGACTCTTCGAATCAAGGCGCCAGTGGTGTGATGAATGAAGATGAGCTTGGTGATGACCGTGAGTGAACGATTATGTCCCACACAATGAATGTTGCTAACATTTACTATTAGCAAACTGGTTTGACCACTGAAGGGATCTCCTGCATATGGTCAACCATTTCCAGGATCAGATTCAACCTCAGATCATGGGAATTGCGCACAGTTTCAGTTGCTCCCAGTTGTGCGTACCTCGGCTCTTTTATTAGAACACATATGCGCTGTTACTGACCATGCTTCATCAGCATTCACCTTTCAATAATGCATTCTCGATTATTTCACTCGGTCTCTTTCCTCGAGCCTATGATTCAAATGGAAAGTCCCAGCAAGCTAGGTGGACCAAGCTCAGCACTTTGGACCAGCCTCCGACCAGATGTCTGGCCTTCAGCACAAGATGCGAAGAAACACATCCGGACAAATGGTTTCTGGAGAAGATGGGACCCAAAATGCGTGGATCAATATATTCGATTTGGACTCCGACCTGTCCCTACCGCTCTTTACCCCAACTCCAAGTTTGGTTCTGAGATCGTGACAGTCACAACGAAAAAAGCACAAGAAGCTTGGTCGTATCTCCGCTTGAACGCCACCTCTCGAGATGGAAACAGCGAATTAAACAAGGAGCATTTTCTCAACCCGGATCTCGCTACAGTCGCGAAAGAAGGCGATAATAATCACCCGGATTGGGCACTTGTATGTCCATGGTGCTGCATTGCTTTTGAGTATCTTCTTTATATCCGCCCTTCCGTGTACTATATCTTTGGAGAAAAGAGCCACATCAATCCACCTGAGCGGAGACGGGATAAACTGGAACGCACAGGGAAGGGTCTGGGAGGGAGCGGCGGTGTTGCAGCTAACCGCGTGAGATCAGACATCATTTCCAAGGGATCGCACATGGCTCCACTCGAGAAAATTAATGATACGGCCCGCCTTCTATCGGGCTGGTTAGAATCTCAGATGAAGGCTTATCAAGCAGAGCAGGATTTCTGGGCTCATCACGAGAGCGATAAGACGGAACAAGGTGGTTTGGCTTTATCGAAGAAATGGATGGCGTGTGTACAGAGCAGCCTGTGGAGACTAAACGGCCCGTCAAGTCGAGGTTATGATTGTGTCAGGTGAAAGGACTAGAAGAGCAATCTGAAAGGCACCACCAATGCTGCCAAATACCCGTGAGCTAATGACCGATTTAAATCGATCTCGTGATTGATAGATTGAGGAAACAAAATCTACAATATGCACGGAAAGGTTATCCACATAATCCTCCTTGGCGCTTTCAAAGATTGTCGTCTTTTGGATCCGGATGCAAATGAAGTCAGCGGATCAACACCGCGGCCTATTTGAGGGCGTCAACAGTCATGGCAAGTTGCTTCCAAGGTTCTATTTTTTGATGAAATCAAATATTCATTAAATCCTAGCATAAAGCTATGGTTGAGCCTGTACATGTGTGGTCTTTGCTGGGAAATTGTCCTCTTTCTGCTACGGAGCCCTGCTACTAGTACTGAGACTAATTAGGAAGCGGCCCCAAGCCCTATCCTTCAGTCTAAGTGTAACCATTCTATCATGCCTACTTGTGACTTTTGAAATCCGAACTTCAATTTGAGAGGCTCTTTGACATTTTTTTTTCTTATTTAGCCTCCTCACTGTCTCTCAACAACTAGTGCAGATTTACATCCGCTGAACTACAACATTCTGTTCACCTCACCTTCACCGTAAAAATGGATAGCCATCTCGTCACGGCTTTTTCTATATCTTTATTATCATTCAATACTATAATGCTTAGCTACCAGGTATCATCTTATGCTCTTTATCGCAGGGTCACAGCATCAAGCTAATAGCCATAAACTTAAAGGTTTGGTCACTAGCAAAGTGGATTATGAAGATAGAAGCAGACATTATGGAGATCAGGAAAACCTTGGGACCTTGAGTAGAGACAGGTTTTGTTTTCAGATTTTGTTTTCAGGAGCCCTGGAGAGAGTATTTGCAAGGTACAACTGCCATTGATTCAATTTTCCAAACATGTTGTCACGGTTTGAGGTTGGTTGACTGAACCAAACATTCAGCTGCCTAGATGGATCTATGGCCAAGATAATCCGGTCATATTCAGTCCACGGGTATAACTCAAGTGCTTGAAGTAAAATTATGATATTATATTCGGAATTACCATGGATCGATATTGAATAATCTTCCAGATGTCTGACTTGAGCAGCATGAAATCCCTACCTTTTGAGCGTTTTAGCTTTTGCATCTCAAATTCTTTTCTACTACCAATCGTAACCTTGGAAGATTCATTCATTCAATCTTGCTACAACTTGAATCTACCTAGGTACCGCATTTGCTTATCACTCACGAATTGGTCCTGAGGTCCGGATCACAGATTCAAGTTCTGTTCAGATTCCAAGGGTTTAAAAATATGTACATGAAATCGGTTATACCATCTTCAAGTTGGTCAGCCGGCATCTCGATATTCCAGTAATATTCCAGTTTTATCCAGATCGTTATACAATCATGATTCCCACCCTTAGAAGTATCATTTATCACCCACATCATCACTCTCAGACTGAAACAGCCCTATCTCTACATTCCCGCTCTCTTCAACCACCTCGCAATACTTCACTTTGTACTCCGTTGCCCATTTTTCTAATTCAGTAACACTCATAATCCTTGACGCAGCATTGATAGGTAATGAATCTCGCAGTCCGACCACACTATCAAGAACAAGCCGCACCCCATTAACCTCCCTCCCCAATCGCCCAGATACAGTATCTTTACCAGAGAGCATCAAAGCACTAGCAATAGAAGCTGCACCAATAACGCACAAAAGACCCAGTAGCAACAACAGTGGAATATACGTTATTCTATAGCGCTGGACAGATTGAGTTGCATCAACAGTATGAAAGGGTGCACTAACGGCACTATTAGCATCTGCGGCGACTTCGTAGGATATCCTCTGCGCTTCGCCGGAAGCGTATAGATAGTTCAAGGCGTAGATGGTCCAGTTTGCCGTTTTATCTAAAGCGCTACCGGCTGTAGCCCCAACCGCTGGACCGATACCGGCAATAGCTGAGACTGGAGCTTGGTAGTTGAGCGCCGTTTGCCAAGCGGCCAAAGCGGAGGGTACAATGGTCTTGTTATCTGAAAAGGAACTTGATGTGACTTTCCAGTTTGTGCTGTTATCTGTACGGGTATAGTTGAGGAACCCTTCTTGTTTGTGGATGGCGCAGGTTATTCCCCAGTTTGTCATTATGGATTTGGTCGAGGTGAAGCCCGAGGGGGGTCATATTGTAGGCTTGGCCATGGACATTGCCGTACTCTGAGGGGAGGACTATATCGGTGTCGTTGAAACTGTCAAGGTAGGCGAGGTACGCGTAGGTGTTATTGACTAGGAAACCGATGTATTGGTATTCGTCGTTATCGGAATATGCGTTTGCGATGGATATCATGCCGGGGATGAGGCCGTAGTAGAGTGCTCCACAGCTCAAAGAGGCTTGAGTGGGACAGTCGAATATCAATGTAAATTGATAGAATGTTTCGCCCATTTGGAGGGCTTCAAGATAGGTCGGTGAGCCAGGCTGGCAGTCGACAGACAAGCGGTACCCAGGCACGTTTGTCAATCCCACGATTGATGTGTCTAGCGCGTTAAGGGATGCTGTTGTTGCGTTTGTTCCAATGTAGGCCCCATTATCCAGCTTTTCCACCGCATTCTGGTAGTTGAGACCAGTTAAAAGCGCACTGATTTCATTTGCCAGATCCGACTTTTGCGATGTCTGTAAAGACTCCATCAATTCATATGCACCTCCGGACTCGGTGTCCGAGTTGAAGCCAGACAAATCCATCAAACTTCGAAGATTGACTGGTTGACTGGCCGGAACATCAATATTGAAAGCCTCATACGCAATGAAGTTCTGGAGCATCGAGCCTGCAAGGCCTGAGAGAATCATCAACAGACTCAACAGAAAAAGCCGCCATGTTTTTCCTTGTATGAGGGTCCAAATTCGAAAGATATTGAAGCTTCCTGCCGTTGACTGGCTCACGGCCACCAGACTTGCGAGAGGTACTGCTTTGTTATTCGGTCGTTCGTTCACAGCCACTGTGCGGGCATTACTGAACCAGAGGTAATCGAGAATTATCATTAGGAGAGGTGCCAGAGTAGACCCACTGACAAAATCAATTGCTTTTGCCTCGATATATGTGAGTTTACCCCCAATCGTTCGAGCAGAGAGCATGGCTGGTCGGTTTTCTGCGGTATTCACGACCCAACAAATCAAGACTGCCGCTGGTGTGAGAACAGATAGTGGCAGGAATGCCATGCTCCACCATACCCGAGGGCGTGTACTTCGGGATACATCTTTCGCCTTTTCACCAGATGAAGTCATCATCAGTGTTCTCTCAGAAACGCCTTCTCCTTCAGCCGAGGTGACAGTATATCTGCCTTGAGACTCTTCCATGTTGTTCTTCGCGATGATGAGGGATAAAAACAATATAGCTGTACGCTTTTGGGTGTCGGTTGTTGGTATAGATCAGTGTTAGAAGCTCACTTTCTATTGAATTTGAACAAGTGGAGCATATGAATAAATAGTGGGAATCATGGAATTAGAATTAACATTAACGTGGACCCTGATAATAATATGAGCCCCCAAAATAGCCTCAAGGGTCCACGGGTGCAACCTTGATATTCATATTCGGACTGACGTGAGACTTCAGTTTCTCGTATTCAGAGTGAAGCGAACCAAGTTGATTCGTCCTATCTATTTTTAACTAACTTAGTATAGCTCAAATCCCCGTAGATGCATCAAACCTTTCCTCATTCGTCATAAGCTTCAGGATGACCAATGAAAACTACCCAAGGGCCGAGTTGACGTGAAACTATTAGCGCCCTTGCTCCGCTTTTGAGTCCTTGCGCGAACGTCAGAATTCATATACGGAACGGACATTTGGAGAGAAACCAAACCAAAATTTATTGCGCTAAAGGATTTCTTGATGTTTGTGCGAGATGGGCGACTCGGAATACCCGTGGATGGTAACTTGAGGGCTCCCATGAGCATCGAGAAAACCTTGGAAGGAAATAAGAGTGAGAACTTTGTATGGATTATATGCCAGTAGAGAAAAATCAACAAATTGAAGGTCTGTGTCCAAAATGATACCAAAATTTGAAGTAGACCAGCCAACCTTGGAACCGTCATTCCTCCAGTGCTTATGACTTATACAATGTATAAAATAGGTATGAATAACCATTCATTGCCAAACTTTCTTATCTCACAAAAAGCGATGACCAGTTAATCCATTATGGCCTACATAATGGCCCGCCTACCATTTTGTATATCGAGTCACTGCCATCATCGCCAGTGGCTGGATGGATATAGCTCATTGGAGTTTCTCAGGCTGCGTCTAGCAAAATCCAGATGAAAGACGATAAAAATGATCGCACAAACGGCTGAGAACTCTACCTCAGAGGTTCCGTTTTTTCAAGGGCCAGTCGCAGTCGTTGCAAAGATAGGTTGGGTTATTGTTAAATGAGCCACTCTGTGAGCTGTGTAATTTTTGTGGGTCCTTTCGGGGTGAAAGTAAAGCTTTCTTCTTCGGAGCTAGAAACAGGCCATTATCTCCAAGTTCAGCCCCCAAATCCAGAGTCTTCTGGGAGTAAGGTGGCTTCAAAATGGGGGAAAGCCTAGGTTACAATGCCATACAACATGCCAACATGCTGCTGCACCTCGCAATGTGCTGCACTTGTTTCAAGTGGTAGTTAGCCACATCAATTAATCATGATATATCAAGTCTGGGCCTGAATACACCTAGGTCGCCCGGGTGTCCCTAGGGCCCTAGTGGGGCTTTGCAGTACGTACCTCTAGTAACTCCATACCCCATACCGGGTATGGCGTTAGCGATCGCGGGCCATGAGTGGATATTCCGTCAGCCACCATCCACTTTCCAGGGGCGACCGGGTACCAATTAATTCTGGATCGTAAATTTGGCAGCAAACCCAACGATGTCGAGAAAGGTTAGTAGTGCGCGTATCTACCTAATGAAGATCCTTGCACAGATGAAATCGTGTTCCCGGATTGGCTTGGGGATCAATCAATAACCGAATCTATTCCCAGGTTTCGTTCACAACTTTTTCTCTCCATTTAAATCGACGAACACGGTTTCAATCAATGAAAAAAGCTGTCTTCTTCTTCTTCTTCTACAGTAGGGTGGACTTCTTTCTCATCGTGGAATAACAGGCACCGACATTGAGCCTTCCGAAATATGGCCCCCAAATATTTTGATGTCATCGAACACAAAGTACTCTCAACTTATGTGCGCGAGTACTCCGGCGCAACTGTCCTGAACCAAGCGGATCATCTTTATCTCCCTGTCAAATAACATGTGGCACAAGATCTCTCGCGGAGCAAGCTACCTCCTGTCACAATTATCGCTTGCGCCTTCGCAGGCAATCCGAAAGAAGTGTACGAGCCCATCTGGGAGTGTCGTTATCAGCAATCCATGACACTAGGCTTCAATATTGGCAGCATATGGATGGCCGACCCGGTAAATCAAGGGAAAGGTGAACTGATCAATGACGGCAAATTGGGCGATGACCCATCCTGGATGGATCACACGCGCGATCTGTTAGGCATGATCAACCAATTCCGCGACCAGATGCCTCGCCCTCTAATTGGAGTTGGACATAGCGCTGGGGGCGCTCAGATCGCCAATCTGGCATTTATGCACCCTCGGTTGTTATCCAGTATCATTTTCCTTGACCCAGCCATCTTGAAATCACCTCCAACCCAATTCAGGGAGCACCCCATATTCCACAAATATATTCTCAATCGACCTGAGTCATGGCCATCTCGCTCTCAAGCAGAGGCTTCGATACCTAAGTGGCCAACTTATGGTGGTTGGGATAAGCGCTGCCTCCAGCGATTCCTAGAACATGGTATTTTAGATCTTCCAGTGCCCGAGTCATCATCAAAGGATAAAAAGGTCAATACGCCGGTTGCCTTTGCTATATCTGTGGCACAAGAGATTCATTTTCTAGGTCGGAGACCAATGGCTCAGCGACAAGCTGATGGGACAATGAAATTGGACCGTGATGCAGCACCAGATCTAGACCCACTTGATGCTGATGATCGTCTCTATCGTCATGAAATGCGCGCTACATGGCATCGTTTGCCGGAGCTGCGACCGTCAGCAAAGTTCATTCTCGGGGGAAGATCATATCTGCCTCTGCATGAGCTGCGGGAAGGAATTCAGCAGTGTGGGACCGGTCGAAGCGGCTCCGGGGGGGATCCTAAGTGGCCGCGTTTGTGAAACCACATTGAAAAAGGGATCACACTCCTTTCCATTGAAGATGGTGGATCAGACTGCTAAGGCATGTGCGACCTGGATCAAATCAGAGGTGGAGAGGTGGGCTGAGCAAGAACAGAAATGGAGAGCCAGCGTTCAGCAACGACTACAAAATGGAGAACGGATTGGTAAAGAGCTCAGTCCATGGATGAAGGGTATTATGGATGAATGTGCGGTCATTGCTGCCAAATCAGCTAAATTATAGATAATCTCTCATTTACTCAAAAAAAGATTTTGGGATGAGCTACTAATACTTATCCATTTTATCAAAAATTTATTTCAAAGAATGGCATAATGGCCGTGGCTAAAGTGGAAGTATCTTTGGTGAACTCCTTTGTCCCAGATGCGCCTAGATGCGCCTTTCACCATCCTAGTCTCTTTCATCTTTTTCCCTACCGCGTCATCCCCTCATATAGCCAAATTTTGAACTTTCACACATCGGTTCCATAACTCAGTTGGTTAGAGTGTCATGCTAATAACGTGAAAGTCGAGGGTTCGACCCCCTCTGGGACCATTCCTTTTTGCATCAATTGAATATTGATATTCATGTTTTTGTTCCTCCAGGGCTAGCTTATAGCTTTTTTTTTCTTTCTTATTTCTATGAAATAATTTTTGCCAGTCTTCACGTCTGACAGGTCTTTCGCAATTCGCCGATGCAGAAGATCCTAATGGTGACTAGTACGCGGATTATCACTGCTCTCAATTCCCGCGGGGACGGCCGGCACGAGCTCAGGCTCGGGAGCTGCGGTCGCAGGCTATGACTGACTAAATTTCCCCATTGGAACATATAGTAAGATTCACCATCATATGCGTGCGATTTACTTACCTGAGCATTACACCCGAGGGAATTGTGCGAGTGCATGCCTACTACCAGGGAGTTTTTGAATTTCTTTCGTCCGTCAAGGGGCCGAGTCAGTTTAGACAGCTCGCTTTAAATGCATGAGTGAGAGAGCATTCAAACCCTCCTAGTTTGGGCTATGGATAACACTAACAACCTAGGTATTGCTTTATTACAGAGATCTTGATACCTACCATTGCCCCATTGCTCGCAACTTCCAAAGTTGAAGTTGAGTCTTATCAAATCCGAGTCGGTGGTATATCCAGGTCTACGGACTAGCACAGCTCCACATGTGCAGGCTATTATCCTTCGAGTTGGTTGTCAAAACTCGAACTATTGGTCCCATTTCAAGTTCAAGTTAATGTGACAGCATTCCCTCCAAACATCTAGCTAATATGGCACTAGGTATCCATAATACTCCTTAGATGAACTATTTTGGTTCTATTGGAATGGGTAAGCACTGGTGAGCCACATATGCGGAGGTGTGTTCAAATTCTCTAAGCAAGCCATTGATTATGGAGACATAATTCAAGGTTACATGCTCAGTCAGCGGTTTCTAGTACAGCTGAATGGGTAAAAAAATCACATGTGCATTCAAGTATCTGCAGCTCTGGAGAGATAGAGGGGCACCTGGGTATGCAAGTCCCTATGAAGGTTCGAAATGTAGCCTTAGAAGTACTTGAGATCTTCATCCCCTCCATGCCAGACTCTCCTCACTCTCCAGCACTTGAGCCAAAACACATATATCCCTTAACCATACATATATACTAGAAGATTCATCGAGCCGACACACAAGATGAATACCAAGACCCATCAACTCAGTTAGAAAGACGGGTTGGCATTCACAAGCAACTGCTCAAAATAAGCCTGCAAATGATTAGCGAACGATCAATCATAACAATTATCAAAATGGGATAACCCAGGCTCAAACTTACTTGGAACCATGTTCCAGCTTCCGGGGCAGGCTGCAAGGCATCGCTATATCCACAGTGCGCATCATATCGTGTCGATGAGGAATTCGATGTACCATCACTTTCTCCACCAGGCTTGACCCAAACAAATGCATCTTCAAGATCATTCCCAGTATCAGTCGTAAAGCGAACACCGAAGCCAGTACCAATAACGTTGCACCAATCACCCCAGGCATTTTGCTCTGTTGGCTGAACACCATTGCGTGCTAATTGATGGTTAGGGATCTCGACTATATTTGTGCCAAAATAACAGAGGCCATGAGAAAATCTGGGAGCGAAACTTACAAGTATCAGTGATGAAATGAGCAGAAAATCCTGCAGCCTCAAGTAGGGGAGCAATGGCGTTGACATAAAGTTGTTCGTCACAGTTTGAGTCACCCGATGTATATGATGGACAAGTGCCGATTGTCCAAGAATTGTAGTTAGCGACATTAGTGGCTAGTCCACGTACAGCAGCCGGAGAGGATGCGTTCTTGTATACATTGGCAAAGAGCGTAGCGGCCGGTCCGATATTAGCCGACCAGCCCAGCCAACCAGCATGCCCTGAGAAAATCAAGTCAGCTGATATTTTCTGAGATTATAGCATGAGTAGAGAGGGATCATTGAAGGAATCATACCAGCGTCAATGTACATGGCTACATTTGCTAAGTTGAGTTGGATCAACGCATAGTTGACGCACTCCAGATAAGCACTCTCAGCATTGGCACATTTAGCCACACCGAGATTTGTAACAAGATTTGCGAGACTATCAGGTTCTAGTGAATGTTAGCAAAGTGATGACTTGGATTCAGACAGACTTCAGTTCTCACCAATAACCAAGATAGTCTGCACATCAGAATATTCGACAATCTGAGCTCTGATCGCGTCAATGTAGGCTTTGTAATTCGCAACTCCGTTATCGGCAATCGTGTACTCGCCATTGCTAGCAAGGGCGGCGCAGTCACGGTCTGGTAAGTCATAAACCACAAAAATTCCCGCAATGGGTGGGCTAGCACCGGCAGCATTCTGTGACTGAATGTCGGCAAGATAGTCGCCCATGGTCGGAACTTTGGCAGCCGTGTCACTATGGAGGATTTTAGTAAAGATGCATCTTAGGGATGTTGATCAGACTTACAGCCAGACAAAAGATGGAACTTCGGCGACCGAACTAGCCTTTGCCACGAGAGAGCTGCTCAGGGACGGAATAGCTAATGTGGCAACCTCGGAGGAATAGTAGGGGTTTGCATAGAGCTGATAACCGCTGAAGGGATTGCCGCTGTTTGTAACAGTAGCAGCTGTAGTTGTCGTTGTGGATGCTTTGGTAGTGGTGGATGCTTTAGTAGTGGTGCTCGCAGTAGTAGTCAACGTAGTCTTAGTTGCTGTGGTCGCACTGGTTGTGCTAGTTGTGCCTGCCGTCGTGGTTGCAGAGAGACATTGGAAATAGTCTTCAATTGTTGCGAAATAATCAGTGTCATGATTGGATATTGAGATAAAGGAGAAAGTCGAGCTTACAGGGATTCAAGCTGCTGCAAGTTGCTTTTGCTGAACAAGCTGTTGATCCCGTCCATCCACTACCGCCACCTAACATTTGAAAGAAACAATTAATGCACAATTCTTGGGGCTGCAATAATTTCATCTCTTACATTGGCCATAGAGGGACTGCTGGGCATAAGCGATATTGCAGAGCAGGAAAAGTGCCAATCCCGATGTACGCTGCATAGCTGCTGAGGTTTTCGTATGGCTAGCCGGTTTCAATATGGTTGAAATTCAAGATCATTCATGGGGGATTTGAAGGTTAATATATAGCATTATTAGCTGAAGGCAGCAGTAATCCCAGCCTGAGCTGACTTCAACTGGAAGTAACGCTTGTTTGGTGACGCTGAGCATCAATACTGCAATGGCCACGGAACAACATCTCAAAACGATGCGGAAGGGAAGTTTGCACCTGGGCAGACTAACTCGTTTCAGGCTCCAAGGTTACCTCCCATTGAAGGTTGAAGACGAAATGTCTTCCTACCTTAGGTGATTTGAAGGGGTCAAAGTCAAGCTTGAGTCGATCAGACTAGGCCAAATACATTTAACCTACTTGGGGGAAGAAAACTTTCGATGAATCATGAAACCAGATGAAATAGCACATATCACCACGTGAGCCTGGACCCTGCATACTTCAGATGTGAAGTGCTAGTTCCTCATGTCTGCCCTATTCAACCTCCCCGTGCTGTATAGGGGTTACCCCTTGATAATCCTGGGGAAATTTGCAACTACCGAACCTCGGGAACTACAAGGAGTGGTCAAATGCCGGGTACCTAAATTAAAGGGCGCTGTAGAATAGAGATTTTGAAACAGAGGAGTACTAGATTTTCTTCAAGTGACCCAAGGGTTCATCATTGAATCAAAATTCAAGTTGAAGTTCTTTCTAGGCACTTCAGGTTCTCTTCTGTGTACATGTGTAGCAACTTGAAGTCCCGTCAAGTATTCCCAGGTTCAAGTTCTTCCAACATTCAGGTATAAAATTTGTGGGGTAAGGGAACTTACGCCATACATGTACACTGACTGGTCAATAGAATTCTTCAGAGAACTCGGGTGAAGAATACAATCTTGGAATTGGTGGGACGGAGACATTGCCGACAGCCAAATCATTACGGACCGCAAGCCGCAAAGACGGGAACCAACCAGAAGAGATAGACCTCTCTTGGCATAAATACATTTAATTATGGGGTTACAATGGGGGAGCTCCGTAGAAAGAAATATCTACTGGTTCTATAATATCAATCTGACTATTGGAGACGTCTTCTCTCACTCACAGACATAAGTCATCAGCTTTCCTCCCAAAGTAACATGATTTATCGGACGAGACCATTTCGAATAAATTTTATGGAGACGAATAAATAGACCTTGGAAATCTCCATCGGTCATTTCAATTACAAATTTTTTGGATTAATATTCTTAGCTAACATTGAAGCGCTATGTATGTACCTATGAGACTTATACTAGCATGGATATCACTAGCAACTTAGTATTATAGTGCCGCGATCCAATGTCAGTAGTACTCAGTACCCGTGGACGCCTGCGGCCTACCACATGGTATACTATAGCATTTTGGGTTAATCATATTTGGTTTCAGCCTGAATATGTATGGAGCCTACTCCAAATTTTCTCTAGTGGACTTCTTCCACTACTAGGACTCGGAGTAGTTGCGAGTTTTCCCAAGGACGGAATAGAGCCGCGGGCTGCTCACGCCTGGCCTGAGAGCGTTAGATGATCACCCACAGCACACCAGTTGACATGTAGATGTGCACATGTGCAGTCTGAGACATATACTGACAGTAATATATGCGAGCCTTGGAAATAGTTTCAACCATCACTATTCTTGCTTTCAATGTTGGAACTTGAAGTTCTCATCCGCAATTTTACATAGTTTGTTTCATGTACCTCCCATAGTCCACTGTGATCGCTTACACATATGAACCTACCACATAGTCAACTCATCAAACAGGATCCTCAAGATATGTTGGACATAGCACTCCTGGCGGTTAAAAGGGCCATGAGGATTTCTGCAATATCTAGAGGCGGGCAGTAAAATTGCCACGCTCTTGGCGCTGACGGTTCATTTTCCAAGATAGTACAGACTGCCGCATATAAACCCCACAGGTAGTGCACTAAATGTAAGCTTGCCCAGTTTGAGCACAGGTTATATGCAGGGCAATACTCAGCAATGATGCAAAAGTACAGATTGATCAAAAATTGAGCTGCCATGCACGTGCCAAGTGCTGACAGGACCCTTAGTGGGAATTTGGTAATACACTAAATAAGCTAAATTCGCCCTGCAGGACTACGGCTGACAGATTTCCGGACCTCTCCGAACTGATCAAAAAATCCTGAATAATAATTATCTCATGCTGATAGAAGAAATGGATCTTCCTCAAAGTACGCTGCTCTAATGCTTTTACATGATCTACTTGATTGTGGCTTCCAGATGTTGAAAAGTTGAATCGAGTATGCTGGTCAATTTTTGATACTAGTAGTAGTTATAGTACCCGTGGACTACATAGGGCTTCACCCGGGGATCATGGCATATGTAGTAGTATTAACTGCCAGTTACAATATTAAGCACTAGTAGCATCGCTGTTTTTCGAGATACGAGATGAAATCTCAAGGGGGATCGCATTTTAACCGAAACATACTAATGATGGGATCATCCACAATCGATATTAGTTCAAGCTACACTCAGGCTACGGAGTACATTATACGAAGTGTGTACGCCACGTTAGACGTGGCGAACATCCGAGTCGTGCTGTCTTTGCTTCATGCCAAGATATCGCTAGATCCTCGAATCGAAGATGGTAAGCGCCAAGGAAATTAGGAAGCATTGTGTAAAGATTATGGGATGAATGGTGAATGATCGAGAAAAAAAATCCAGATGTCAATTGTATGCTCGATATCGTGTATAAAAGCCAGGTCAACCCGGCAGTGTTCCTCGTTTTCATTCAGCATCAGATTCAATCATTCTTCCAACCTCAAGACATCCTGAAATTTCTATACTCTTCGAAGTATTTTTCACCATGTATATCCCATCTCTTCTGAGCTCTGCCCTTTTGCTAGGTCTTTCTGCGACAGTTAGCGCGTGGAATCGACTGGAGAAAGACAATGCCGTCAGTCTTTTGCACTTTCCTACAGATTTGAAGAAAAAGCTAATCCGATATCAGGCACTTCTTGTTATTGATCACGAAGTCGGTCTCTCTCAGCTGGTCCGTGACTATGGTACCAACGACTTCCGCAACAATATGCTTGCCCATGCAGCTCTCGGCAATATTTTTGATTTGCCGACAGTCCTGACTTCCTCATCCGACTCAGGCCCGAACGGTCTCCTCCTCAAGGAGATCACGGAAATGCACCCTAATGCTACTTTCATTCGTCGTCAGGGTGAAGTTAATGCATGGGACAATGCTGACTTCCGCGCTGCTGTCAGAGCCACTGGAAAGAAGCAGCTGATCATTGGTGGCATTGTTACTGAAGTTTGTAAGTAGCTTCTTTTCCTTCCCCATCGATCAACTGAATACGGCATTCATGGTTGCTGACTCCCTTAGGTACTACCTTCTTAGCCCTGTCGCTGATTGATGAAGGATATGAGGTTTTTGCAAACACTGAGGCCAGTGGTACCTTTGATAGTCGACTGGCTGAGGATGCCAACCGTCGCATGGAGCGTGCTGGTGTGACGCTGATGGGCATGTTTGCTATTGCTTGTGATTTGATGCGCGACTGGCGAAACACCCCTGGCTTGAACGAGCTTCTTCCATTCCTCGACAAGTAAGTGCTGCATTTATTCCTCCTTCAAGCATGCAATTGCTGACATGCTATTTGCAGATACCAATTTGGATATGGCTTGGTTGCTCGTCACCATGCAGGCTCCATCCAAAATGGCACTTTGTCGCCCATTGAGTTGACCTTGATTTAAGGGTTGAACCTCAAGCCCGAATTCTTGAGTTAAATCAAACAGCTGATATCCATGAGTTTGTTTAAATTAATTTTTGATGAGGGTTCATGGTACTGCTTCTGGGTGGGTTATGGATGATATGGTCGGGCAAGCAATCGTCACAAATGGATATTAAAGCTTAAACCAAAGAGATTTCAATATCAAATTGCGATGAAATGTGTAAGATGGGAGTCCTGGATCTAATTCAAATGCTGTCAATTTTCAGACACATCAATCGGTCTACAAACGATTGAATAATCCCATCATTACTCTCCACGTACACTTTTAGTTTGACCTGCCCATCATCCCTTAGGACGGTATTTGCTTGCACAAATTTCCAAGGTGGCTCGGGCCTGGAAGTTATAATCCTTCTCCAATCCTCATACCTCCCATCCACAGTACTGAGGGGCTTATAGAAGGCCTTGCAACTGGCCACATTAGCCGTGCAACGCCATACATGGATGCGATAAAGCATGCGACCGATAAAGGAGTCTTCGATGTAGACTCCGGCTCGGACTACATTTATCCCAAAATATCTCAGCAGATAGGCTCAAGGTATAAACAAGAAGATAAAATTATGATACTAAATCGATAGTCTAAATCCCCCTTTCGGGATCCTGCCATCGGGGCTCAGAATGCAGGAGTAAGCAGAAGCCCAAAACGCCTTGGTTTGTAATGATTATCCGTGAGTGATTCAACTATAAAAAGGCTAGGATTACTGAGCTGCACAGCACCAGGCATATCCCAGCTCCACCCATGCCAGTCTGGGGCTTAGCGAATGCGGTCCAATTTGGCCCGGTTCATAGCAATTTGGTCGTCGACGAAGTCGCTCTGTGAGATAGTTATTATTATAGCCACAAATGAAAATGTAGACATTTATTGGCACTCACCTTGCCTGTGATACGCTCCAGGTGTCGGTTCTGCTCGTCAAGCTCACGACCAGTGGCCTTGGCCAGACCATTCAACCGACCGGCGGCGCCATGCAGAAGGTCCAAGTTTTGCTCAATTTCATCTTCCATGGCCTCGTCCTCACTGTCGGCTTCAAACTGATACTTTGCTCGTTCAGTCACACTCGCCTTCTTAGCCTTACCGGCTTTCTGGGCATCACGATCAATATCACGGAACATACGTTCCATGCGTGCATTTGACTGGTACGCTTCCGATCGTGTACCATCCCGAGCATCACGCTCCTCACGATGGGTATTCAGGATCTTCTCATCACGCTCCCGACGGCGCGAGGCGCTGGTGAACGGGTTCGCCACATGCACAGCGAACATACTCTTGTTCAGAGTCTTCAGCTCGCGAGCCTTCTCCTCTGCAAGACGACCCTCTACGGTCGCCATATCCAAGCTGTCCTCAGCACCATGAATGAGCTCACCCTGCGCACCCAGACGAGCCAAGGTGTTGCGTCCAGTCTCCTCAGCTTGGGCAGCCACACGAAGAGCATTCCGTGTAGACGAAACATCACCCTGCTTGACGTGGCGCATTTCCTGCTTCGTCGCCTGTACAGACTCCTCCTCCTCTTCCTCTGCGGTCAATTGACGGTCTTCGAACTTGGCCATGCTGTATTCGTTGCTACCGCCACCGTAAGCAGGCTGACCTTGACCTTGCTGCCCACCTTGTCCCCCTTCGCTGTAAGGTGGGGGAGCACCGCTGGAACCTGACTTAGCCCGGTCCTTGGCTCCTCCGAAAAGCTCATTTCGTGCCGTATCTCCACCCGAGGGGTCATTAGGATCTGAAACGCTAAGTCCGCCATAGCCACCGGCGCCATACCGGGATTGTGTTCCGGAGCCAGCACCGGAACTAGCACTGCCAAATCGATCGCTTCCGTATCCTCCTTGGTTACCATAAGCGTTGGGTGTGTAGGCAGAGTACTTGTTGTCTGAGGGAATGGCGTGGGGCCCGTTGCCGCCAGGTTGGTTCGGTGATGGTGCCACACCGGCATTCACCTTGGCTTTGGTGTAAGGGTCTGTAGGGATAGGCTGTGCGTAGGGATTCGAGTTCTGAGCAGGGCTCTTGTTCTTGTTACGGGACCCGAACAGGGCACGGCGGTTGTTGTCATCGTCGCCATCGGCCTTATCGGATTTCTTGAAGAAGCCCATAGTGGGGGGGGTGAACTAAGCTTATGTTTTGTTTTGGTGAAGCTCGAGAGTGTACGGTATGAGGTGGTTGAAAGTGATCAATCAAAGGCTTGCGGTGAATCGAGAGATTTTAGAATTCAGAGAAAGTTAAGAGAAGTAAGTGAGAGACTTAAGAGGGACCGCACATTCGAAGAAAGTCGTCAGGGGAGCTCCAGGCAGTCGAGACTTACTGTATTACTGCATTACACCAATAAAATTTGAGGGTGGTGGTGGCAATTCAGGGACTAATACTGTATTAATACAGGCAAAGCCCCTGAGTCAGCAACGCTAAACCCAAAGAGGTATGTTTGTCATCCCCGCGTTATTTTTGGCTCTTTGGTGGTTGCCTTCAAGAACTGAACCCACTTACCTCCTTTTCTCTCTCCTGAGCGATGGCACCCCTGGGAGATGCCGACCATTGCAGAGACAAGGCCCGCAGGGATTTGCTGGCCCTGCTTGAGGGCGTGAGTAGAATCTCTTATTCTGTGCCCGGCCTTTTCTAATGGCGTGCAGGCTCGGGGCAAGAAGAACCTCGTCATCAGTCAGGAGCTGGCAGGTCCAGTCGGCCTGTTCGTGAAGTTCTCGGTACTGCAGGACTATGGCGTAGATCGAGTGTTTCTGCTGGAAAATGCAAACATCGACTCGTCGCAGCGCAATGTCGTATTCCTCATCCGGGGTGAGAAGGCGCAGCATGTGCGCATTGTGGCGGGTAAGTCGTGTGTGACGTTTTTTCTCCTTTTTTGGCTTCTGCCTATGTTTTTACTTGGCAATACCTATGCATATACTACACCATTTTCACATCATCTCGTATTGTCTTGTGTTTCTTTTTCGTGCATTTTCTCTTTTGTTGGGACATCATCAGATATACGCAGATCAAATCCTACTCTGCGTGATCTTTATTTTTTCAAAGATCCCTATATTACGAGTCGAGCTCATTTATCTGGCTTTCATTTCAACTCAAGTCAATCGGGAGTCATCAGATTGGGCTAACATTTCTTTTAGAGCAAATTAAGCGATTGCAGAACAATGGGAACGTAGAACATGAATTCTCCATCTTCTTTGCCCCTCGCCGGACTCTCGTGAGTAATGCAGTCCTAGAAGAGGCTGGCATCATTGGAGATGTGAACGTTGCCGAGTTTCCACTACATTTCTTGCCACTCGAACAAGATGTCCTATCCCTCGAGCTGGACGACGCCTTTGGTGATTTGTTCCTGGTAGGTGTATTGCCTTGAAATAGGAAACAAGCGAAACAAATGTTGACAATGGCTGCAGCACAAAGACCCCGGATGTATCTTCCACTCTGCCAAAGCGTTGATGGGAATTCAACAGCGACATGGCTACTTCCCCAGAATTGTGGGTAAAGGTGACAATGCACGTCGGTTGGCGGAACTCTTGCTGCGTATGCGCAAAGAGCTTGACGCGGAAGAGAGCTCCGGGCTGGCAGATCCTTCTGCCAGAGGCCTACTGCCAAGTGCTAATACTGAAAGCCTGATCATCATCGATCGCGATGTCGATTTTGGTACCCCACTTCTGACACAACTCACATATGAAGGCCTCATTGATGAATATGTGGGCATTAAGAACAACCAAGCCGATGTTGATACCAGCATCGTCGGGCAAGGACCTGCACCTCAGGCTCAGGAATCATCCAAGTCGCCTCAACAGGCCAAACAAGGACTTAAGAGGAAAATTCAGCTTGACGCCTCGGATCAATTGTTCAATCAATTGCGAGATGCAAACTTTGCTATTGTGGGCGATATCTTGAACAAGGTGGCTCGTCGTTTGGAAACTGAGTACGAAACCAGACACTCAGCTAAAACAACAAATGAGCTCCGAGAGTTTGTCAACAAATTACCCTCATACCAGTTAGAACACCAGTCTCTTCGAATTCACACCAATCTTGCCGAGGAGATAATGCGCCTGACCCGCTCCGAGACCTTCCGAAAGATTCTCGATGTGCAACAGAATAACGCGGCTGGATCCGATCCTGTGTCTCAGCATGAGACTATTGAGGAGCTAATCGCCCGTGATGCGCCATTGAAACATGTCCTTCGACTTATGTGTCTGGAATCTTGCATGGCTGGTGGGATTCGGCCTAAGGACTTGGAAAATTTCAAACGCCAAGTAGTTCAGGCGTATGGACACCAGCATATGCTAACCTTTTGGGCTTTGGAGAAAATGGAACTTCTTCAACCCCGATCTTCCGCAACAGCTATGCTTCTTCCAACAACGGGTGCACAGCCTGGCACAAAGACTAACTACGGATACCTGCGGAAGAATCTTCGACTGGTCATAGAGGAAGTCAGCGAAAAAGAGCCTAATGACATTTCCTACGTTTACAGTGGGTTTGCTCCACTCAGCGTGCGACTGGTACAGTGTGTACTTCAAAAGCCTTACATTCTGTCTCTTATCAAGGGTGGCTCGCCTGCGGCGATGATAAACACTGCTAGCGCGGCCTCCCCTGGATGGCTGGGCTTCGAAGATGTCGTTAAGAGTGCCCGGGGTTCCACTTTCAGTATTGTCCAAAAAGGTGATGACAAGGCTGTGCGTGCCCGTCAAACCCTTAGCGGCAATAATACTACTAAGACGGTGTATGTGTTCTTCCTTGGTGGGATCACATTCACGGAGATCGCTGCCCTGCGTTTCATCGCTGCGCAAGAAGCGCCTCGTCGGAAGATTATCATCTGTACCACGGGCATCATTAGTGGTGATCGCATGATGGAAGCTGCTATTGAGAAGCAGAGCTTTGCGAAAGTCGAGTAGCATCCTTTACCATTCTCATCTTCGATCTAGCGTTTGCTCTAAGCAGTCTATTCTAATGATACCATTTCCGTACTCTGAATATGAAGCCTTACTAGTACATTTCAAAATTGATTTATCATTCGTGTAGACTGGAACTGGACATCGTAATAATTTCCTGCGTCATATGCCCTCAATACTTGAATCCAGAGTTCACACCCATCAACCGACCCTGATAACGTTCTGTGATCTCCCCAATCCGAACCATCACACCGGCAGCTAATGTCCGCACCTGATCCTGTGTGTCGACAGGTGCAGTCGAGCTTGCCATGCCTGAAGCAGCAGGCGTGCGATCGAAAACTTGGGAAGCCCAGTCTCGTAATTCAATTACCTGATTCGCACACTCAGTCACAAGTCGCTCTTCTCCATTTGAACCCGAAGCAATATTCAGATCTATCGCTGCAAGGAAGAGAGTCAGAAGTGCAGCAGTGACCGTTGGGTCGCTAGAAATTGGCGCTGTGTGCAATGACAGCATCAGCGAGAGGGTTTCATGGGTAAGCCCTGGCAAGAAGGTGCTGTGTGGACCGGAGGTAGAGATAATGAGAGAAAGAGTTTGAAGGAAGAGTGTGAGGATATGGGGGACTGTGAATGGGTTGTACGAAGAGAATGAGGAACTGATGCAAAAAGTTAGTTATTTCTGACATGTGCTAAAATGATAAAAGGATTTCTCTCTCAGGGAAAATGAAACGTACGAGGAAAATTGGAGCATCACAACATTGAATCGACTTGCGAGAGGGAAGAAGAATCCCTCCGCAAGGACTCTGTACAGATCTTTGGCAACATTCTTCTGCCGCTGCGCCTCACGCTGTTGACGCTTCTTCTCAACTTCCATCCGGGACGAGAAAGTGCGAACCTTGAGCGCGTTAGGTCCAGTGATTGCATCCGCGGCATTAGCTGCCAGTGGTTGGAGGGATGTTCTTGACATCTCCCTGGTGAGCGTAGCAATAGGTGATTCTTTTGCTTCATTAGGCTGCTGAAACATTGCATCTAAAGCTGGCGAAAGCCGTTTCGATGGGAACGAGGTATCTTGCAAAGCCGGGAGACCGAGTGCTTTTGCATCGTCTTCCCCATTGCCGGCAATTTCGCGAGCACTCAGCCCAAGGGCTGTAAGAACTGCGGATCGCTGAACCTGAGACAAATCTCCATCGAAGAACATTGCTGTGAACCACTGGCCCATTTTGAGAGGTTGGGAAACAATCAAGGCTATCATGCATTGAAGACGTGCTTCGTGGAATTGCGGGTGTTTGTTGTCGTTTTGGAGACCAACAATTGTCAGTGCAAGCTCTTCAATTTGCTCAGCGAGCTCACTGCCAAACCCGATCTTTCGACGAATCAGATTCGGCGCAGTCGTGATGGCGAGGTGATAACGTTCGACATTTTCATGGTCTCTGAGATAGACTATTAGGTCACGGATATACCTAGGGGATGTTAGTTTGAGCCTTGTTGAAGAAGTGCATGGATCACTTACACAGGTGGTGTTGGCTTGTTTCTTTGGACAAGTGTCGGATCCTCGTCATCATCCTCAGCATCATCGTCAGGCTTCTCATATGGAATGAGATCATCATCTTCGGATTCGTCATCTTCATCGTCACTGATGATTTCCACAATTCTTTGCGGACGTAAAGTGGATTTAGGCTTCTTGATATTTGATGCCGGAGCATCTTGTAGAGCACCTGGTTTTAGTAAGGACTTCATGGACTCAAATGTACCAACATCACCCTGGACTTTAATCAAACTCAAATACCATTGCGCTTCTACGCCCTTCAACTCGTCAAGATCAAACTTCATGGACTTCCCGGGTTCTTCCACTAGTTCAGAAATTCCCATCCCGACGATCATACCCATAAGTCGTGCTCGGTTTGAAGAAGCTCCAAGTCGATTGGAGATGGTATCCAGGAAGACGCTCGAGCGGGCGATGTCTTTAACCTGAAAAGGGTCGAGTCTTTGTAACTGACCAGCAGCCAAGAGAATAATTTGGGTATTCGCTGTATCTTGTTAACATACCGGACACAAATGTGTTGGATGACTGATACAGACCATCGTGTTCACGATCATTGTTATGATTAATGGCGAACTTATCACCAAAGTGCTCCAGGCTGCGAATCAACAAATACCTAAGCGAGTCTACCGGCAGTCAGTAGGCAGAACATAGACGGTAACATCACTGTGGACTGACCATTTTGAATGGTGTAGGTTGTCACAAGAGCTCTATTAATGCCCACTGGGAAAGCAGCTGCAAATTGTCCTTTGGAGAGCCAGGACATGATCTCCTCTTTGAGATGTGGTCGATCACCAATGACAGTGGACAGGAAAGCTGCAGCCCCAGAAACAATACCTGCACTTTTATTCTGTTCATTTGGATAGTCACAGAGACGTATCAATGGATATTTGATTGGCAAATCAAGAAGAATCAACTGTAGGATATTCAATTGTGCCGACAATCTGAGATTGTCAAGAAGCAAGCCCAATTTTGGGGCGAATGATTGGTCATGGATGATATTTGAATAAATTTCCGGTATCAGTGAGGCTGGTCAAAAGTCAATAAGATACGAGCATAGCCAAGATGATCTCAAAGGGTAACCTACAAGAATAACCCAGACTGAGAGCCCGTTCTGTTAATGAAGCAGCACACGGCCAGCCGCTTTGATCATCATCACCAAGCTTTGAAAGCATGTATGAGATGTTAGAGCCAAGCCAAGATGCATACTTCCGTCCATCCCCAGGCCAAGTAATCGAAGACGATTGTATCTCATTAACCACGCTAAGCGCTTCTGCCACTGTAGACACGATCTTGCCAGAGGCTATGAGAGAGACAAGTTCATTCCACGCAACTCGCTGCCTAGTAGTATTGAAAGTGGATATTTCTCCATAGAATCGATGCACCAAGTCCTTTGGTTCTAACAAAGACGCGAGAACAGAAAGAATATCATGGATTGCGGGATGATCCGCTGCGCCCTCGGCCAACTGGGGAGATGCCCGACTAGATGCAATGAGAGACCGAAGACGAGCAATGAGAGAGCCAACTCCCGCAATACTGCTTAGGCATCGCAGAATGGCTGATTTAATCTTCCCATTTTTGGCTCCTTTGTCTTCTCTTGTCAAAAATGACCAGTGGTCAGGAATGGTGGTGCAAACCAAAAGTTGGAGAATCTGAGCTGATACAGGGCCTGGCACTCGGATATCAAGATCCAAAGACTTTGACTTGTTAAATGGATCAAGCGTAGCTAAAACAGTAGAAAGATGTTCTCGAGATGGTTGAGATTTCAGTACATCTATGATTTGATTGGGTGTCAAGTCTTCGCCGAGTTGGATAGTGGGGGTTGCGAGGGTATTGCTGGGGCGGACAGATTCAGCACTGATCAATGAATGATCTGGATCGTGCTTGACTGTCTTCACAGCCGTTAAGAGCCCATCCATTATGATAGTTGGAAGTTGTGAAGAAACATAAAGTTCACGATTTCATATTGGTATCGGATATGTTTGCGTCACGTGTTTGCATTCATCCCATTAACCGCCGCATGGCATCACTTCCATTCCCCTCCAACCCAACTTGAACTTTCACTCACACCGTCTCACATATCGAAACGCACGTGACTTTGAACCCCTAATATTATCTTCTTCCTTTAGACACCCATCAGATTACAGCAAGTCCTGGTGCCTAATTCGAAGCAGGCCTTCAGCTACATCGAGACACGACCAGGGTACACTCTGTCAAAAGCTCCATAAAGCTTCAGTCGCGATGTCTACATCTGTCATTACTCCTTCCACAGGACAGAACCGTTGGTACGCAAACGTGAAAATTTTGCCAAGTTGAGGCTATATAATGGTACGGTCACATTCTCATATGACATAGGAACCACCTCCATAAGGTCTTATCTAAACCTGGCCCTTTCAGTGATGAAGACTGGGTCCCGGGACAGGACACAATCAATGCCCTAGAGTCCTCCAAAATCTTGTAAGTTGATGCTTCTAGACATCTATTGACTTGCACTGACATCGATTCTAGGGTGATGTTAGTTTCTTCCCCCATTCTACCCAGGGAAGACCTGAAAGGCTAAAAGTAATATAGCGGCGCTGGTGGACTGGGCTGTGAGATTTTGAAGAATCTTGCACTTTCGGGATTCAAAGATATCCATGTTATTGATATGGGTATGTCCATTTGCTTCGACTCACGGGTGCGGAATCACTGACCCGCATTACTAGACACTATCGACATTTCAAATCTCAACCGACAGTTTCTCTTCCGACAAGCAGATATTGGCAAACCAAAAGCAGAGGTTGCTGCTGCCTTTGTGGAAAGGCGGGTCAAAGGAGTGAAAATCACACCTTATGTTGGCAAGATCCAAGACAAAGATGAGGATTACTACATGCAGTTCAAGATCATTATCTGCGGTCTCGACAGTATTGAAGCCCGTCGCTGGATTAACTCCACCCTGGTTGGAATGGTTGACCTCGAAGACCCGGAGAGTCTGAAGCCATTGATTGATGGTGGAACCGAAGGTTCGTGGCTATCTGCTCGGGTTTATTTTGCCAAGATTTATACTCACTAGTAAAAATAGGATTCAAGGGACAGGCTCGTGTGATACTGCCAACCCTTTCATCGTGTATCGAGTGCCAGCTTGATATGCATGCTCCTCGACCCGCTGTGCCCCTTTGCACAATTGCTACAATTCCTCGCCAGCCACAACATTGCATTGAATGGGCTCACCAGATTGCATGGCAAGAGAAGCGCAAAGATGATACTTTTGATAGTGATGACATGGAACACATTTCCTGGATCTACAATACTGCTCTGGAACGATCCCACCAATTCCATATCCACGGCGTGACCTTTCAAATGACCCAGGGAGTTGTGAAGAATATTATTCCAGCAATTGCATCCACGAATGCTGTAATTGCAGCATCGACAACCTCCGAGGTGCTTAAGATTGCAACATCTTGCAACCCTTACCTGGAGAACTACATGATGTACGCCGGCGAAGAGGGTGTTTACACCTACACTTTTGAAGCGGAAAAAAAGGCAGATTGTCCCGTATGTGGTAATCTTGCTCGCAATATGAATGTTGACGCGAACATGACATTGGGTGACTTTATTGACAGCCTCGGCGAGAAAGCCGAGGCCCAATTGAAGAAGCCCAGCATGCGCACAGAAGAAAAGACCCTCTACCAGCGTTTCCCACCGCAGTTGGAGGAACACACGAGACCCAATCTACAGCTCAAGCTACGCGAGCTTGTAGAGGATGGACAGGAAATTGCAGTCAGTGATCCAGCATACACCATTGACTTCCGGTTCCGCCTGCACTTCAAATAAAGAACTTAAGCTGGATGGTGTCTCGGGTTTGTCAGGAACTCAGATCAAATTACGATGCAATGCCTAGATTTTATTTTAGTCAATCAAACTTAGAATTCAAAGACATCAGCTAGTCTCGTGTCTTCTAAAAACAATGATATCCGGACTCCGGCCTCGTAAAGCCAACTTTCCGAACTTTTTATAAATGTACAGGGCAAACGAAGTTGAAGTTAAAAACATGCCAACGCCAGTCAAATGCATTATTAAGAGACCCGCGGAGAGTAAATGATCTCACGACTCTTAAGCCATCAGATCATCCAGACCGCGCTTCCAGCGGGCACACTTCAGCTTCAGAACCTTCACGGCCTCCAGGAACAGAGTATCGCTTTCGAACTGGCCGGAGCTCTCAATATTGAAGATAAAGTGGTCGCGAACACGTCCCAGCTTCACCTTACCCTGGAACTCTTCGTGGCGCAAGCACTCACGGCTGACAGTGTCGTTGAAGGCATCCTTCACAACGGCCTTCATCTCACCGGCGTAACCTTCGTAGCCGCTTCCAGCCCGCGAAGCCTCCTCTGAAGTGACAGGTTCGAGACCAATGACACCCTTAGGGAAGCACTTGGCGAACTTCTTCGCGTCGTTACCAATAATGGGGCGTTGGATCTGGATATCCGGCAGGAGACGGTAGGAAGCGGTAGCGACAGGAGAGAATTTGGCGTGGTCAGCACCGATACCCTTGACACAGTGCAGTTCCATCTCGATTTGTTGGCCGGGACGCATCTTGGCGATCAGGATGTCCGGGTTCACAGGGCGAATGGCACCCTCGCCAACGAAGTACTGCTCCTGGCGACCAACGGGTTCAAAAGTGAGGTGCTTGGCGTAAACATGGGCGTTGTGGAACAGCTTACGAGCGTCTGTCTCATCCTCGGCAGCGTCTGGGTTCTTGGTGCACTCGACAACGAGATGCATGACGACAGTGTTGAAATCGGTGAGCTCGGGGGCAGCGGCTGCCTCATCACTGGGAGACTTCTGCTCCCAGTGCATCCAGTTAATTCCCTCCACAGAACCCTTAAGCGGGATGAGACCGAGACGCTGGGCTAGCACCTCATCTTGAATGACCGAGGTGTTGTTGTGAACATAGACAGTCTCGATAGCCAGAGTGGGAATTTCGGCCATCAGAATGCGGCGGAAAGCATTGGCGACAGCAGCGTCCAGACCGATCAAAGAGAAGGAGGCTTCGTACGGGTCATTGCGGTGGTAGTCGACCTTGAAATCCTACAGTGGGGCATTGTGAGCATTGCTCCTGGAGTTTGTTCGCAAAGGGAATTTCTGTATGGTTTTTCTTGACATACGTTCTTGAATTTGTCGAGGGCCCAACCATGCGACTCTCCAGGCCAATGGCCAGGGAAATCTGTGGATGGGATGTTGGTGACAGTCTCTGCGTTAATACCGATGAGCTAGCAAATGATTAGCCGTGCGACACAAGGATATAAAATATGCATTGACTGCAATACTTACACGGCGACGCTGCAGCTCCCCCTGCGATGGAACAAGAGGCGCCATGGTGTGAAAGGCGGGGTTGAACGGTTGAAGGTGAAGATTGAAATTTAGCAGATCGGCGATAAGAATAATTTCTTGAGATGATTTTCTTGTATGTATGCCTGAGGCATAAAGTAACGGAAGTGTTACGAATATTACCAGATATTACGCATAATTTCCCGCGATATGTATTGTGGTTTGTGAAAGGTTCCGTCAGCCAACCAGAATCGGACTGATGACCCTACAGCTCATTCACGTGACTTTGCCAAAACTGGAGCGCGACCTCCATCTTCACTTATTGCCAGGTTCCTTATACCGCTGCAGCTTAGAGCCTCCACTTTACATTGTTGGATGTGCCTGGATTGAGGAAGCCATTCCATTATTTCCTCAATTGGTCCCTCTCCCCTCACACCTTCCTCCATGGCCGCTTCCTTCGCTCGCCTGGCGGGCAATGCGCCCAAAAGACTCTGTCTCCGCCCCTCCACCTTCCTTAACACATCTGTGCCTCGCTCCCGTTCCATAACTACTACTGTCCCTCGCCGATATGCCGAGGCCACCAGCTACCAGGCCACACGATTGATTCCGACCGACCCGACCTTCACTTCCCTGGCCAACAAGGGGCCTACCGAGAGTCCCGATGCCGCTGGTCTCGAGTCCGAGGCAGAGGGTACAGGCCGCAAGATTCGTCACTACACAGTCAACTTCGGTCCTCAGCATCCTGCTGCCCACGGTGTGTTACGATTGATTCTGGAGCTCAATGGCGAGGAAATTGTCCGCGCCGATCCCCACGTCGGTCTGCTGCACCGTGGTACCGAGAAGTTGATTGAGTACAAGACTTACATGCAGGCTCTGCCTTACTTCGACCGATTGGACTACGTCTCCATGATGACCAACGAGCAGTGCTTTGCTCTTGCTGTTGAGAAGCTGTTGAACATCGAGATTCCGGACCGTGCTAAGTGGATTCGTACCCTGTTCGGCGAAATGACTCGTGTCTTGAACCACCTTATGTCTGTTCTTTCCCACGCCATGGATGTTGGTGCTCTTACACCTTTCCTGTGGGGATTCGAGGAGCGTGAGAAGCTTATGGTGAGTCCACGGAAATCTCAATTGATTCAACATTCACAATGACGGGTAGGAAGAGAAGTAGTTGTTTTCGCTAACCTAGAAATGCGATATTTCATTAGGAATTCTACGAGCGTGTTTCCGGTGCCCGTCTCCACGCCGCCTATGTTCGCCCTGGTGGTGTGTCTCAGGATCTTCCTCTTGGTCTCCTGGATGACATCTACCAGTGGGCTACTCAGTTCGGTGACCGTATCGACGAGACGGAGAGGAGCTTTTGACCGACAACCGTATCTGGAAGGCCCGTACCCAGGGTGTCGGTGTTGTTAACGCTGCTGATGCCTTGAACATGAGTTTCACTGGTGTTATGCTCCGTGGTTCCGGTGTCCCCTGGGATATCCGTAAGTCGCAGCCATATGATGCCTACGACCAGGTCGAGTTTGACGTTCCCGTTGGTGTCAACGGTGACTGCTACGACCGTTACCTCTGCCGTATGGAGGAGTTCCGTCAGTCCCTTCGCATCATCCAGCAATGTCTGAACAAGATGCCTGCCGGTCCCGTCCGTGTCGAGGACTACAAGATCTCACCTCCTCCCCGTGCTGCCATGAAGGAGAACATGGAAGCTCTCATTCACCACTTCCTTCTCTTCACCAAGGGTTACTCCGTGCCCCCTGGTGAGACATACTCTGCCATTGAGGCTCCTAAGGGTGAGATGGGTGTGTACCTTGTCAGTGACGGCAGTGAGCGCCCATACCGCTGCAAGATTCGTGCCCCTGGTTTCGCCCACTTGGGTGGTTTCGATCAGGTCTCTCGTGGTCACTTGCTGGCTGATGCCGTCGCCATTATTGGTAAGTCAAACTACCTGAAATTTTCCATAGCAATTGCTAAACCATGTCTTTCTAGGTACCATGGATTTGGTGTTCGGTGAGGTTGACCGGTAAAGCATCTACGCTTAACAATAATTTAAAAAATCAAAGACGGAAAAAAAGAAAGGAAGAAGACGAAATGACCCCCCTAAACCTTAGACGGCAACTCCGCCATTCTGGGGGGTTATAACCATACAAGATGGTACTCAGAGCTTTCTCTGTATGGTGGCCTTTTGGTCCCCCCAATTCTAACCCAGGTGTACCATTTTTCCCCATGTTTTCTTCCCATGGCGTTGTTCTATTATGTCCTGTCCTCCTTTGTGTCTCCTATCTCTTTCTATCTCTCATAAGCCCTGTGTATAGTGAACTTGATTCTTTTGAGTGTTTTCATTCCCATCTGATACTCGTAGTTTAATCCCAAGGCGCTAAGAAAGATCACACCACAATTTTTATCTAGGCATCAAACCGCCATTCAAACCTTCGCAAATTTTGAGAGTGATTGGTAGCAGCTATTACTCGCTTGTATAGACTGGAATGAATGGTCTGGTCCATGTCGACCGGGTTTCTTTCAAGTTCAATTTCTCTGTGCAGACGAACATTTTTCAGTCGCTTAAGCAGAGGAATCATGACTCGGACATCTGGATCTCCCTAGTAGGGTTCAAGATTCAAAACTCCGAACTATACATACATACTTACTACCTAGGTACTCGGATCTCTACTCGGCTCCGAGTCTCTACACAACTTCTAACATTGAAGCTATCTTTCATCATTATGGGACGTTTTATATATATTATCAATCATTCAATTTGTACCCAGTACTTGCTAACAATAATCACAGAAGAAGAAAATAAATCACATAATTCGTCCAGTGCCATCTATTTGCAGTGAATCGCTTATGCCTTAGAGCCCAGCTTCTTAATCTCGGCAACAACTGCATCAGTAACCTCCTTTGTAGTGGCATTTCCACCCAAATCGCGAGTCAGGACACCCTGCTCACAAACGTTCTCCACGCAGACCAGCAACTTCTTAGAGGCTTCCTCCTCACCCAACCAGGCAAGCATCTCTGCGGCAGTCCAGAAAGTAGCCACGGGGTTAGAGATACCCATTCCTGTGATATCAAAAGCAGAGCCGTGGATAGGCTCGAACATGCTGGGGTACTGGCGGGAAGGGTCAAGGTTGGAGGTAGGGGCGATACCAATAGATCCAGCAAGGGCAGCAGCCAGGTCAGAAAGGATATCAGCGTGCTGAAGGAATCAGTCAGTATTCATCATAATGAAGGTTTATATGATCGGAGTGCGTTTCCTGTACTCACCAGGTTGGTAGCAACAATCGTGTCCAAGCTCTCGGGCTTCAGAACCATGCGAGTGGTCATGGCATCAACCAGCATCTTATCAACGGTAACATCAGGGAAGTCCTGAGCAACGGACTTGGCAACCTCATCCCAGAGAACCATACCGTTACGCTGAGCATTGCTCTTAGTCACAACAGTCAAGAGCTTACGAGGACGCTTCTGGGCAGTCTCAAAAGCAAAGCGCATGATGCGCTCAACACCATGGCGAGAGAAGATGGAGACCTCAGTGGCAACTTCCCAGGGCTTGCCAGTGTGCGAGCGACCACCCTGGCCGGCGTATTCACCTTCACTGTTCTCACGAATAATGACCCAGTCAAGGTCACCGCTCTTACAGTTGCGGAGAGGAGACTCAGTGCCGCGGAAAATGCGTGTAGGACGCACATTGGCGTATTGTTGCATGGGCTGGCAAATAGCCAGACGCAGACCCCAGAGAGAGATGTGGTCAGGGACATCTGTATACTTGTTAGATTGATACCTCAGAAAAAGATGTTTTGTTGAGATTCTTGCTTACCTGGGGCACCAACGGCACCGAAGAAGATAGCATCATGCTTCTTTAGCTCATCAAGTCCACCATCGGGAATGTACTTTCCAGTCTTCTTGAATGTCTCAGAGCTCCAATCGTAGTTTTTGAACTCGAGCTTAAATGTCTTCAGGGTATCAGTCAGAGCGTTGAGGGCAGTAATACCAGCCTCGATGACCTCTGGGCCAATGCCATCAGCAGGGATGGAGGCGATGCTATAGGTCTTGGGGTTGGTGATAGAAGGAGACATTTTGAGATAGGATGAAATTCTGTGAAGTTGAACTTTTTGATGAGGGGTCAAGAAACGCGCATGCGGGGGAATTTAAAGACTTTGACATCTGATCTTAGATCATCTTGCATGCGCATCATCAAGACCAAGACTCAATACAATTCCACTATATTGGCCAATGAACATTCAATGCCCATTGTGACGACAATTGACCGGAGGTTTTCAAGTCCGAGGGAATTTAGTTATTGGTTAATGGGCAAACGGGAGTTCTCATTCCCGATGGGTCTATTCGGACAAAGACATGTCCGAGATCGAAAAGTGGAACAAGGTGAAGGCGGAAAGTATTACCCCAAGTTCTATCAAGCCACTAGTAGTGGGGTTAATTCGATTACATTCGAGACTCCAGGTACCAGACTGACATGGGATTCAATCCTTGAAAAAATTGAATACCAATCACCTACTTTTTGCTTCATCGAGCAAAGTCTTCAGGTCTTCAGACTCCTCTAGCAGATCACCATCGTATTCAATCATGTCGTTCAAGATCCCCAAAGAGAACATCGACAATGTCTTGAGACACGTTATACCCCATATTGAAGCACACGCCAAATCTCAAGCAGCGCATGGCCCATTCCTACTTGGCCTGACAGGCCTCCAGGGTAGCGGAAAATCCACATGGACAGATGCGCTCGTGGACACTCTCCGCAACAAGCACAATTACAAGACAATCAACATCTCCCTGGACGACTTGTATTTCGACCACGATGATCTAGTCAAAGTCCGATTAGCGAATCCCCAGAACAAACTGCTTCAAACTCGTGGACAGCCGGGAACACATGATACGGATTTATCCGTCTCGTTTTTCAAGAGCGTGCGGGATTCATCTCAAGAGACGCTGCTCCCGTCATTTGATAAAAGTCTGTTTAATGGGGAGGGCGGAAGAGTTCCATCCGAACAGTGGGCGCGTATTTCATCAGGCGAGATAATTGATATCGTCGTTTTTGAAGGGTGGTGTGTTGGATTTCAGCCTTTGGAGGAGGATCAGCTTCGATCGCGATGGAACAGCGCTGTCAAGGGATCAAACCAGTCGGGCTACGTGATAGAAACATTGAAGGACCATGCGATTGAACATCTTCTGGAGGTCAATGGGTCTCTTCAACGGTATTGTGAGTTGTTCATGGGCCCAGGTCATTTTGACTACTTGGTTCATTTGGACACCGATGATCTGGTCAATGTTTATGAATGGCGCATTCAACAAGAACATGCGCTCTGGCAGCGGAAGAACAGAGGCATGTCGGATGAGGAGGTTGTGAGCTTTGTTCGGGGGTATATGCCGGCTTATGAGTTGTACTTGGATCAACTGAGAGCGGGGCTTTTCTCCGCTGGCAAGGACAAGGGACAGTTGCGACTGATACTGGATAAAGAGCGAGAGGTCACAAACATTTACAAAGTATGATTCAAGTTGCTTTTAGATCAATGTATTGAGATACTCTCAAGTCAGTACTCCACTCATATAGCTTATATTTAAGTAAAAATACAATATGTACATTTTATAATAAGTTGCCATCAATAAGCCAAGGTCCGTCCGCCACACTCCAAAGATCATTCATGAAGACAGATGGATCGGAGAAAGGCACAGCATCTTGACCTACTCCCCCAGGACAGAAAGGTGCGTTTGTGTTCGCCATCATATTTCCAAAGATGAGACCCCCAGATGTCTGCCCGTTTAGTGAGTAGTTGTCAACAAATGACGCCTCAACTCCAGTGCTCGCATGATCTGACGGCGAGATACCTGGATAGTTATTCAGGTCATTGGAAGGAACCCCGGGTCTGCCTGGACCCATCGATGCTGGAAACTGTTGCCCGTTCATAGATGAAGGCGCATTCCGAGCTCCTTGAGGATCGGAGGTGGTGAATGTGGACCTCCTCCTGCTTGACTGTCCGTTTCTGTCACGGGTTGAACGCTCGTTCAAATTCGGAGATCCGCTTGGATTGGGATGGTTACCCCTCTCAGCAGTAAGAATGCCAGATGCTAGTTCCTCGTGGCGTTCAGAGGCGCTCGATTGCAAAGCAGACTCCATACTTCGAATCGCCTCGATGCATGTTTCGGGCCAACTGCTACCGCGAAGAGCAAGATTCTGTAGAACGGAGATGCCAATTCTCGCGTATTTCAATGCTGTAGGAATAGGCAGTTCGCCTTCCCAGGATGCATACATTAATATGAGAGATGCCATCCACGTGATCCATGTAAAAGAAGGCCACGTTAGAGGAGCTTCAGATGAAGAGGACATGTACTGCTTCAATGCAGCAAGTAAGGACCGCGAAGAGGCGATGCAAGTTTGTAGAGCATTCTTGTATTCTGCATTAGGCTTGTCGGACGCAAGCAGGGGCCTGTTCATGGAGATGATTGCTTCGTGCCTGAATACGATGAGTAAAAGACGGTGATACGGAGCTAAGGTTTTGCCTGGCTCAGAGGGGGCACTCGAATCCTCATCAATTGGATGGACGTCATCATAAACCTCATTCCACCATTGAGAGAGCTCGCCGTTGACGTGCGATGCCTCAACAGTGCCAGCATGGCTATGCAAGATAGACTTGTTTCGCAGTTCAAGAATTAAACCTCTTATCCTCGCAAACTTCGCAAGGTGGGAGAGTAGCTGAAGGCGTTGAGTATCGGGAGTGCCTGCGTTCGCGCTGGCATGTCTTTCAGCCCCCGGGTAGCAAACGTCAATGTCATCGTCGCGAATGCTTAGCGGAACTCCAAGAGCCTGTGACAAATATCGCTCCAGGGAGTATATTGACCAGAAAAGACGTCTTCGAATCTGGACTTCTTCATCACTGAAACATGCGAAACGACCTGGGCACCGATGCAGACCCAAGTGGAAAGCTGTTCGTGTGATCACCCCTCCCACGCGAGAGGCAGCATTAAGACGCAAAAGAGAGGCCAAGGTAAGTTGGGCTGTAAACGCAGCTTGCAAAAGTGGCAGGGTCGTTGGCTCCGCTAATAGGCTATGTATGTCCTGCATAATATGCTGCACGCTGTGAAACAGCAACGCGACAGGCACCGGTCCTAGCTTTGATCCAGGCACAATGGTCTGCCTGTTGTCTGCTAGGGATATCGAGACAATACAGCGAATAATTATCGCATCCAGTCTTTCCACAGAGTCAAGGCCTTGTTGACCAATTTTCTCCATAACCTTCAAAATGGTTGGTGCATGCAAACAAGGAAAGATTGGGTGCCAATTCTCAAAGTAGAGGCGGGTCCAGCAAATAAGATTTTCAAAAGAAATCAAGGTATGCATCGAGTAGTTCAATTCTTCTGCCAACCATATCTCATTTGTGTCGAGATTACCTCCAGGACCTCGGTGCAACCGATCATCCTCACCAGGCACCGAGGTTCTATCTCGAGCGCGGGTCTGTTGAAGATCTGCAGATCGACGGGCAAAAGCGCTGTACACATGTCGAATAAAGTGAATTCCACTGGAACTTCCTAGAAAGCTGGCAGAGCCATCATTTTGAGACTCTCTCATAAAGCCGATCTCACGAGGAGAGGGATTTGAGGCATCGGCGGGTAAAGCTCCTTTGCGCCGCTTTGGAGGTCGACTCCCATAAGTCCAACCTGGCTCATCTTCCTCAATGCGAGTACTGACCGACGATGGAGTGGCCATCCTCTGTGAGTTGTTTTACATTTCACCAACGACTGTCACCATTGAAGAAAATAGAAATGGATTCAAGTGTGTTGTAGTCTGTCCCCAGACATGTACGAGCCGACACCCGATCCCGGCCATATTATTTTCCGGGTTTCTATGTATAACTGACTAATCGATTGCATCACACCCGGCGACAGCTGGAGGGCTCCAGGGCTCGGGAGCCCTTCCACCTTGGATTCCTTGGAAGTACTCCAGGCTACATCCGCCGATGCCTAAACCGGCACCTTGCCAGGTGCCTAGGTGGAATACATACCAGGACTAGGTAGACATGTATGTTAAGTAACCAATATTTGATACCTGCTATCTAATAATATTCATAGTAGTTGTCATTTTGAACGAGTCAGCATCATGATTAAATCATGGACAGACCCCCGAGGCCCGGGGCCTTCGTTAAATGTTAAGTGCTAGTACGATAGGACAGATCCCGGGGTATAACTTGAACTTTCCCATCACATTCGGGAAAAAAAATTCCATCATACCTAGTAGTATTGTTACTAGTCACTGATAAATTCTCGTTTCAAACTTGAAGATGCCGATACCTTCTCGCAGTCGATCAGAAAAGAACTTGAAGCAGGATCAACCGGATAGGTTCCAACCAAGTGAAGAATATATCTCGAAATGCGATCGTTTGGTGGGCGACACTTTTACTAAGGAAGCCCGCCTTGAGCAATCGGGAGACATAAATGCTCTTCAAAGACATCGCATATTTGGACATTACAGTGAGATTCCTGCCGAAGAGCCTCATATCTCGCATCTCCTCTACTTTCTTGAGGAGGATATCCGAGAACTTGTTCAACGAGAAATAGCAATCAGACTCCGAGCCCATATCAGTATGGATAGCAATGAGACACGGGAGCTTTTGAACAAGAAATATTGGATCTTAGAACGAAAGTGGCAGCATTATTACATGTGTCTAAGAGATGGATATCAGCGACATGCTTTTGATCTATGGCGCTCTCACCCGAAGTGGTATATGCATCAATTACTTACGGAGGATTGTGCTTCCAAGAACGGTTGCTGTGCCCGTAGATGTGGCTGTTGTTCTAGTCGTGAACCTTCTCCTATGCGGAAGCTTGGAGTTGGGCATTGTACTCTTGAATGCCACTGTTGTCGTAAAGCTCGAGGCTTTGAAGTTCCTGAAGAAGTCAAGGATATGCTGAAAAAGGAATTCCGCGACACAATTTATATGCTTCTCAAGCACCGAATTTTTCGAGTTGCAACATGGGGCCTTGTTGGCGGTTGCTTTGAAAACCCCGATTGACATGATTCAAGTTATCGCGCCACCAAGCGATGAAAATACTAAAGATCTTGCACCGCCAATCTATGAAATTGTCCTCAAAGATCAAACTTGAACTTATGTAGCCAAGTAGTATCATCCATGATGGATAACTTGAAGAGCCTTGGAACTTCAAGTTGAATCATGATGGACTAGCTAGACCTCGAGATGAAATTGTGCCAGTGGCAGTTTGTATCCCTCTAACATTGAAATCAAGCAAAGACATCTACACATTGATCATCCGAGTCACTATTCTCAAATTTGAAGACTTGAGTGTTAAACATATTTATATGTAGTATCTAGCACTTGAGGTATAACATTCAAACATTGAATGTTCAAATAGTACTAAGTATCGATTATGATACTACTGAGACACTGGCAGCTCAGTACTCCACCTGGGCAGGGCTAGTACCTAGTAGGTAGTATCACTCCGTTCAAACATTCAAATGTTTGAATGGAAGTTGATATATAAATTTAAATGTTACCTAGTAGGTATTACTACTGGCATTCCAAGCACTTGAGGTTAATAGTACCGGTGGATACCCCCAGACATGGTTCAACTTGGAACTTGAGCACTTGAGAAAGCAGGCCTCAAAATTGAAGTTTATTTTTTCTAGTACAAGTCAAAAACACTTTGGTCTGAGTTCTACAGTTATATATGTCTTAAGTTTGAAATATCAGGTTTGAGTATGAGACATGTAGTACCAATGACTCGGATCATAGGTAGATGATGGTTTGCTCCAGTCACGGTGGATCTAGCGTCTACTACCCGAGCAGTATACATATGTATAGTGTATACTATGTGGCCATCCACCAACAACCTTAAACGTTTCCAACCATATTAGTTGTCAAACCAATTTCAAAATATGCCTCAAGACGTCCTTCTAGCTAAAAACTGGTTAAAACTTTTGCCTAAACCTCACTTTACCCCAGTTTTGCTCTTTAGTTCCAAGATCATGCCGGTAGTGGTGCACGTGATACACCCCCGGAGGTTTCTTTGTCCGAGCAGCCTTTGCCTCTTCTCAATGAACACATCATATCAATGATTCTCAATGATTGGGTATACAACCATTGGCCTGCCCTTTTATTCACTTGCAGTTTATTTGAATTAGGAAGGAATAAGGCCTTCAACAGCAAGAATATTCCAAATGGGGCCGCGCACACAAAAACGGACAAGACCTTCTGAGAACACCATACCAGGCGAGAGGACCCACTATGCAAGCATACACGGCAGATATGCTAACCTTTGAATGTATAGATAATGATGATCTGAATCCCATATCATGTGAGGCCTGCAGACAGAGAAAGTGCAAAGTGAGTTCCCCAGAGTGGACCCAGAATATCAGCAGCCCTGACAGGAATATAGTGCGATCGAAAACTGTACGCCCCATTCTTTTGTCATAGACGACAAAGAATCATGTCCAAAGTATGTATGCTAATTTTATTGCAGTCCATGCTGCTCGCAATGCTCTGGTGAGCCATCTAAGTGTGTATACCCTGAAAGTGGCAAAAGGTAAGCTATTTTTATTCCATCCATCCATCCAAGTATGAGTTCACTGGGGCGAAAACTTGAAGGAATATTGGAAACTCAACATTGACCATCTTAAGGGGCTTGCCTCTAGGGTATCTCAATCAACTTGAACAGAGACTAGCAGAAACAGAGGCGGCTCTGTATAGTGCATTAGTAACCCTCCAGGGTAATATGCCGGACACAGTGGTCCAAGCAGTCGCGAAAGCAGACGAGCAGAAGACCAAGTCCACACGCATGGAGGAGTGGTCCAAGCTTCCTTTACGAGATTGGCCCGATATGGGGAACTGGATGGGTGCTGTCTCTGACCAATTCACGATCAACCAGGTGCCATCCAGTGTTTCTGTAGCTCCAGGGCCGGTCGCCGGAATCCAAATCACCCCGAGCCACAGGCGAGCCCCCAGCTCCACAGACTTGGAACTCCATGGGATCTCAACACCTTTTGCCTGGCAGCCCCAGGACGATCATTCTATACGGAGTCCGTATGCAGGCCATATACGGTCCCAAGACGCTGGATCCTCCCCAGCATATTCACATCATACTGTTCCCGGGGGCACCGACGGTGTTGCGCCCTCACTGATTGATATTTCTAGCGAGCACCTCGTGGGAGTTACTAGCAGTGAACCTGTGAGAGCCAAGGCTGATGAGCTATCCAGAGTGAGATCCAGCATATACTTTTGAAGTTTCCGATCCCAGTAATTCTGCGACATTTGAAGTTTCTCATCCATAAATTCAGGGAGGTACCCCGTACTGAAGATCGGGTTACACTCAACCTGCGACGGACTAAAATAACCTCCGACCGTGTGTTTCATGGCTGAAGAAAACTATATGTGACCAGTCGCCTCTGAAGCAATAATATACGAGTTACAATTTGGGCAAGAGCATGCTCACCTTGCGGAAACCACAGAATAGTACGGAGTAGAGACTACTATTTTTGTTTTCTCGTTGGCCACCCTCGAATGCGTTCTCAGCTGCATTGGATCTTGAGACCCACTTGATTCGGTAACAGTGGAGGCCGAGTCTTAGGGGGTTATCCACGATTTTTTTAAGATTAAAGAACCCAAGGCCCACATCATCTATGAAAATGACCCACGAGCGAACCCCTCACTGGCTTGAATGAAAAATCGAAAAGCACCGGTCGCAACCACGGGGATCAATCAGGTGCAGCAGCCCTGCAGCCTCCAAGCGCCCATCGCACCAGGATCACGCCGGCGGCGTCGGATAGCGTTATATCATGATGTGATTGGCCCTTCCTGAATCTTCCCGTGCCTGGGACCTGGCGATCCGCCCAATTTTGACGGAGCACCGGCTTCTTTCAGCAAGAGTCGGCCTATTAGTTACGGTGGTGAAACGGATCTCCGGGGAATGCTTGACCAGTCTACAGTATTTCTTTCATCAGAATGAGAGAAGCAGCCGAGTCTTTGTTGCGTCACAATTAAAGGGAAATTCTTTTCCCTTTTATTATTATTCCCAAATGATTGACATCGGAGTAATTAACACCTCATGATGTGTGACGTGGACAGATAGTCAATATAGGTATCTTCCGGGCGTACTCCGTACTTGACGGTCTAATTGAACACGTCGATATTTGAAAGTCTGCCTATCTCCAGGGATTTTTCTGTCAATTTTAGGAATTTCCTTTTTTTGACATTTCCTCCTTAGGCACCAGGAGGGGCGAATGATCTAGGATAAAACGCCCCCATGACAATGTCCTTTCTCCGTTATGCGCCCCTTCTAGGCACGGACACTTAAGTCTTTTCCTCGGAAGGTAATAATAATAAGATGATCCGCCCATAGTAAGCACTTTCGTAGACCTTCTTGGATCCATGTACATCAACCCCGAATACTCCGTATGTTCCGGAAAATCATATGGACTCGCCACGAGAACCCTGAAAGCCTAGAAGCCTGAAGCCTGAAGCCTGAAAAGAAGAACCCATAAAACTCATAAATCAGTTTTAAACCAGGTGGCTCGACCACCTGAACCTTGGGACGGGAATTAAAGTGGACCTTTTCTCGACCTTTTTTTTGCCTGGGAGTGGTGCGGGTGGTCAGGCCGTTAGGCGTGGATGACTGGAACTTCCAAACACTAAGCGCCCGTGGTTCATACTATTCTCTCTCAGGGCCCTTGCCTCTTTCCCCCCCCCTTCTCTATCTCTCTTTTCTTCTAGGGAATTCCTTCATTCTTTCTCCCTTTCTCTTCTTTAAAGAGTTCCAGATAAAACCGATCTGTGATCTGTGATCCTGGACTCCCTTCTCTTCTTACTTGTTCTTTAAAATCAAATCGCCCCTGGCGCGTCCTGGTTGTACGCCCTCTCTCATTCCTTGCCCTGACATCAGGAAACCAAAAACCACGTCCACCGCTGCCTTTTTTTGCTGTGCAAAATAGTCTGGTTGTGGTCTCAACATTCATTCGAAACTTCTGAACTTCGGTATCAGACACAATTACTTCGCCTTCTCACTGAGACCGGACATTCTCGGCATTGATCTTCATTCTTTGCTGTCTCCGCATCCCGCTATCAGCGACCACGCGAGATTAGTCTGATATTTTGACCGGATTCGATCAAAGATATCAGCTCAAAACTACACAAAACAAAACAAAACAAAACAAACGAAGTGTCCTCATTTGTTCAATACTGAAAAATTATTTGTTCGATTTCCCAAACCCGTCTTTCAATAACACTCATTCCAATTCACCATGTCGACTCTCACGCGCGCATTTACCAAGCGCCACAAGCGGCCGGAAGTGTCTGCGCCCATGCCGTATCAGGGAGATGAGAAGCCTAGGGGCCATGCAAGATTTAATTCCGGTTCGATCAAGCGCGGTAATATATCTGGCCCTGTTCAGCTCATCTCAACCACCAACATGCTGGCCTACAACGCACCTGATTTGAATACAAACTTGCACTCTCCCCACTCTTCTTCTGCTTCCTCTTTGCGATCCCGCGACGACTCAGAGGCCGCCATTTCTCCCCACAGTTACACATCTTCCGTCACTACCCCCGAAGGTTCTACCCACGACTACTCTCCCATTGACGGCACCTCCTACTTCCCAAAGCGGTCGGCAACTGTCGCAAGTCAACAACGCAATTCTACCCAGTCAGCCTCGTCCACAGACGCACCAATGGTCCCTCAGCGCGCCTTGTCGCATACCAAGCGCTCTCACCAAGACCTTGCTCGCAAGCGCTCGCAATCCAAAATGGCACCCCCTCTGCATTCTCCACGTAGTACACCTACCATCCGAGCCTCTCAGGAGATCTTCAGGCCAGAGCTGCACCAGGTGCACCCATTCAGTAAAGAATTGGAGCAGGTGAACGAGGTGGCCGAGGAGTTTGGTGCGCCCCACGTGCTGGATGAGGAGGAGCTTTATCTGAGCCGCAAGGGACTATACAAGTTCAGCGTGGATGACTACCTTCTTGAGATCGAAGAATTATATGGTAGTATCTTTGATGACAAGCTAGGACCCGTCAATGCGGGTCCTTGGCTCTGATCTTTCGATGATCCCTCCTGAGCCCGGCTGAGCCGGGATAATCGACAGACCCACTCAGTGGCGTCCTTAATAGGACTGGATTTTCCCTTACGACGCCCGCTACGACCAACTCTTATTCTTTCCTTGACGACTCGATTTGATTCTGATTTCCTGCGCACTATACCATGGGAGGAGCCTCGTTGGTTCCTGAGTTCTGATTTATGCCCCCTGTTGTCTGTTGTTTGCTATCTCCTGTTCTTCTACCACAATGACCTCTGTTGACGTCCTTGTGATGCTTTCAATGTTTACTTGATTTTCCTTTTCGGGATTTGTGATGGATTCGCGTATCCTGTATGTTAGGACATGTTACCCTAGATTCTAGGTATCCAGATATCTTGTACGTTTGTATGATATCGGGGATGCTTGAAGACATTCGGTACTGAAAACATGAAAAGAAATCGATAATTTGAAACATTTTCCATAATCCACTGCTAAGGTCTTCAATTCTTGAACTTTCTATTTCTGAATAATTAGTAAATTGACCCCGATACGTAAATCAATTAATTTCATTGAAGTCGGAAGTCAGTCAACCTGGGCAAACCATTGGAATTTTGATGTAATGGGTGTTTCTGCCTGAGAAATCGGGTGTGAGTAATCATTACCAATATTACCTAAAATGGACTAGTGGCACTTCACGAGTCACGGGTTCTCCACGGCTCCACAACAAATCCAGTGCATTTTTTTTCTTCATGAAGACCTTCCAAGGCGCTTTCGATGTTTTTTGACCTCGGTTGATATCGTGTTCATCATTTCATTCCGTTTGGAATCTTTCTCAGAGGGGTTAAGACAAATACTAGCAGTCTGATCCTTCGTCCCTGTAGCAAAAGAAACAGAAGACATTACCCTATTCGGCGGTCGTGTGCTTGTTCTCCGTCCCTGGCGTCCAATTCACTGCTTCGAGTTGACCCCCTCTGCATTCACCGGAGGTACTGTCCGGCAGATGTCGACAACTCACCAGCCTTCTATTCTTCCTTTCCAATAACTCATTCCTTTCTCATTACTTTAAAAAAAAGCATTGGCCATGGTCTCTGTTGCCGCCGCCTCTCTCACACCGGCTCTCGCAGCCACCCCTACCATTCATCGATCCAAGATGATTCCATCGTCTCCTGTATCGATCCTTAAGTCCTCCAAGCTAGTCAGCAACAAGCGCAAGATGGATGATGCCGACTTGACCCTTTCCCCCGCCTCCGTCGCGGCGGAGGGCCTACCTGAACTCCCGGCCAAGAAGCGCGCCCGCGTCACCTTCAATGACAAAAATTCGATTCGAGAATTCTCAGTCGCCGAGAATGCTGTTCTCGCGAGTAGTACTGGGAAGGGTGTTGCAGTGATTCGTGAGGAAGTGCGTCGTGCCATCCATCGTCATGTCACCATGGGAGAGAGCGAGGCCTACGATCAAATCAAGGAGATTTTTGTCGTTGACCCCCGCAAGGCAGACTCCACCATGCAGTCATGGTACCTTCCATCTCACGAAACCATCAAGAACCATCTGATGGGTCTCCTCTCTCACATCGCTTCATTGGACCGAAACTGCAGTGGCCTGGTTCATGCCGTGCTCAACAGCGAATGGCTTGGTCGGGATGAGGCCTACATGAAGCTATACATTCGATTTCTGGGAAATCTTGCCGCTGCACAGGGCACTTACCTTGTCCCCGTTCTCCGAATGCTGACCGGTAAACTTGCTGGTGTCCCCCGCGGCACGGGCAGCCTGCCTGGCTACCCGCTTGTCCAGCCCACGGAGATTTATTCTCGAGTTCACTTGGCTCTACGCCATATTCTGCGACTCATTCCCGCTGGAAGTGGAACCTTGTCACCGGTTCTAGTTCAGCAATTTCCTCCAGACCCCGACTCCGCGAAGTGCTTCCTGGCCTACACCCGCAACCTTATCGAAATCATCACCTACGCCCCTGAACTTCAATCCGATATCCTCGCGCTCATTACGGAGAGACTTGTCAAGATTGACGTGCAGATTCAAGTCGATCTAGAAGACGTGGAAGATGAGTTCGGAGAGGATTTCCTGCTGGAAGGGCCTCCGGATCCGGAAGAAGAGCTGGATGATTCCGATTCGGATATTAGCGACGACGAGGGTGAGGATGATCGACGCTCTAGCGAAATTAAGTCAAACATCCACAAAGTAGACGGTATCATCGATATCCTATTTGAATTCTTCTCGGACTCCTTCCAAACGGCCAGTGGGGAAGATAGAAAAAACATATTGGCTCTTCTTATGAGCTACTTCCGATCCATCATCCTCCCAACCTACAAGTCTCGGCACTCCCAATTCCTCCTTTTCCATTTCTCTCAGGCGTCGCCAGAACTCGTCGATGTGTTTACTACGGAGTGCATGGAGATCATTTCCAGCAAGACCCAGTCAAGCCTTACTCGTCAATCCGCCGCTGCTTATCTAGCAAGCTACGTCGCTCGTGGCGCTCATATTCCCGGGGCTGTTGTGCGCGACGTATTTGACATCTTGCTCACACATCTGACCGCCTTGCAAGCTGATTATGAACCTAACTGCCGTGGACCCGATCTTCGCCGCTTTTCTCCATTCTACTCTACGGCTCAAGCTGTGTTCTACATTTTCTGTTTCCGTTGGCGAGATCTGACCACCGCCGCGGCGAACGGAGACACTGCTGAGCAGATCGACGAACTTGAGGATGGCCATGTCACCTTCCCACCTAACATTAAGGAGTGCCTGCACAAAGCCATTTACTCCCGACTAAACCCGCTCAAGATCTGCTCACCCAGCATTGTGACACAATTTGCACGCATTGTACAGCACTTCGAGTTCCTTTGGGTCAACTCTCTTCTGGAATCCAACAAGCGACTCCGTGTCACTGCTTTCCGAAGCATCGCCACTCTCGCCAACGCTCAAGTGGCGCGCGAGATCCGCGCTAGTGACCATTTGGGCTACCAACTTGACGCATACTTCCCCTTTGACCCATACCATCTGCCTCGCAGCCGACGTTGGCTTGAAGGCGATTATGTTGAGTGGCGTGGTATTCCCGGCCTTGACGATGGTGGTGATTCAGACAGCGAAGCCGAGGACAATGAGGGCGAAGGTGACGATGCCACCGCAACTGACGAGGAGTGAACCCTGTTCACCTCATGACATGCCGATCTCATTTTTCTTTTTTTTCCAACCTTGCACAAAATATGGCGCTTAATCTGCCTTTGCTTTCTATCTGCTCTTTAGCGTGGCGCCCGGAACCATTTTCCTGATTTTACATTCTCTGATCCCAAAAGTTCGGATACCATCTCAATCGATGTCTCATCGTTCATTTCTTTCCAGCGTGTGTGGAACCTGTGATGACAATATGGTCCTATTTGCTCTGCATAATGCATGCTACCATAGCTCTAGCTACAAAAAATGGGAAAACATTTTATGACAATTATGACATCAATATTTCTTGCATTCATTCTACGCATAGCTATCTACTATACGCGGCATATAAATCATGTCGAAGATCCATGAATGTCACAACATGAACCATATGCTAGGTGATTTAGTTTGCAAATACGCAGTACAGTACTCTAATGCGCTCGTACAAACCGCGGAAAACATTTCCTCTTGGTTGATGATTGGCAATAAAGGTTCAATGTTTCACATGAACCTTCAAACATGGGCAAATAAGATTGAGGCTCTTTGAAGTTAGAATCATCCTGGCAAAAATTGAAGTATTACCAGGTTGGGTTCCGATGAGCATGATCCTGGCTCTGTTACAAGACAGCAAGTGCTAATCGCTACTCGAAACCGCCAGACCTTCTCTCAAAAAGAAGAGGGGAAATATTCCCAAGGTTACTAGGTAGTACCTTGCGTCTGATGACCAGGCAAGAGGAATCGCCTTTCCACCTACTGAGTGCCAGTGAGACTCATACGCAAACATCAACACTGGCTCATGAATGTGGGGTATGCAATGTTTCAGATAAAACATGACCTGGATATATGATTATCAACAAACCAAGAGGATCTAAATACCTTCATTCTGAACCCCTATCACATCGGGTTCTATTACCGCCTGGACAACATTCGAACACTGTCTAGAGCCCCTCAATCTGCACTCCAGAATCCCAGTTGAGCGACCGTGCCTCCCGAAAAAGTAACACCTGTGTTACAATCAACGACCGCCCCCTGGCTCGGTAGTCCAGAACGTGAGGCCTGGACCCTGAGTCAGCATCCTAGACAGAGGAGAACTGAGATCATGCGCCTGTATCACGACGTTTAGCCGTGGCGTTAGGGCGTGATCAGCTTCAGGAATGACATGGGATGAAATAGATTGTGGTATCCGGGGTTGCGGCATTGTTGAAAGGAATCCTCTAGAAGGTGCAGAGGTAAGAGCGAGAATACTACGGTATCTCGTGGATATTTACCTGTATAAGGGGTGTTAGTTATAGGTAAGCGATGCGATGAGAGAATAGAAGGTGAGATGAGATAAGATGAGACCCTGAAAGAACCTGGAGGTAAATAGATCAGCTGAGATCTTTACTGCAGATTCATTCGGCTAGTGGTTAGATGCTTGATAGCATTGTATCTAGCCGAATGGAACAAACAGAGGACTTGAGGGGTCTAGAGTCGTCTATCATGCAGATTATGTGACATGAATCGATTTGATATTGGATTTAATCGATTATCGTGACCATCACCTGGGCACCCGGCAATGTTCACAGATGACAAATGTCAACTCGGTTCCATATGGATACTTACCCGGGGGCATTGCCATGTTGTATAAGCTAACTATGTTCAGTGATTGAAGGGGCCAATCTAGTCAGCAGACATGCTCACATGCCCAAGGACCTCGGGAGACTTGGGGAATGAATGCGAGAATCTTCTTTAGGAGCTGCATGTCGAACCAGGAGCAAAGGAAATGACAGTGGCTGAGTCGAAATCTGATCAAGATAACCGGGTCTCATTAACGTGTATCAACAAGCCCATCCTGAAAAGAGGAAATGGAAGGGAAAACTATCATTGGGAATGCTATCATCGAGATTCAGCGGGCATATACCCAGTTCTCGTAGATTCGCCATGTGTTTCTAGATTATTAGTCTAACCCCTGTTTCCAAAGTTCGACCTATATAATCCATAGTATTATAGGTCCCAGATCCGGGACATTATAGGTCAAATTCTAAGTAGACATAATGGAAAATGGGGTAGAAAATGAAAATCAGATGAGCCGATTTTTCTTTTTTCTTTTTTTCAAAAGCAGAAATAAATTAAAAAGAAAAGAAATCACTGACACATTACACCTTACCCATCCTACCAACTCACACCCACTAATCAACGGACACTGGCAGTGACAATAAAAAAGTCCGCGGCGCAGAAAAAAAAAAACTTTAAGGCCTGCATATGTCCGATCGATTCCGGGCCAGATGCTGCGTCATTCCGTTGGGCTTGTATACAGGTCATTTGGGCAGGACTTGTACCGTGGCCCGGGGTGTGATTATTATTTTTTTCGAACTCCTTTCCGCCGACGTGCTACGATGTCAGCGGGTGGGATAGGAGGATGAATGGATGGATAAGTATCTAGGAACAATTTCCTTGTCCTGGCTCACAGATCCTATGAGAGATCAGGTTTGAGCCTGAGTTCAAGTTCCGGTATCGCTAGGATGTGAATATAAAAGCAGGAGATTTGACCCTTGAATGATGGATTCCTTAGTCTTCGATTGTTCTTTGAGCTTAAATCGAATGAAAGCAGAACTTGAACTCGAACTTCAATAATAGAAGACAGCAACTGTCAGTCACAGCTACAGCAATATAGTATTGATAACTTCAGATCCTGTGTCGAGATGGGCGAAGAACCGAAACAGTAAATTGGATTCATCCAAGATGTGTTAGAACGGATGTGTTTCAGACTCAGTAATAGACTAACTTATATATGATATAGAGCCGTCGACAAGATGTCCACTGCGACGATCAACTGCAAAAACTGCAATGCTGAGATTGATTCCAAGAAGCACATCTGTCCGAAGTGCGGCAAGTATTGCCGATAGGACCTGTACGTCTTCATGCCTGTTGTATCTTGATATTTGAATTAACGCGCTGAAATTCTATTCCTGTATAGCATCATGAACTTGACTGGGGGAGTTCTTTGGCAGTTTGTTGGCGTATATCAAGAGACTGAGGCGGTTACTATGTTAGAGATGCGTTAGCTCCAGGAGGATCGTTCTTGATTTTGTAATTCATTTCATGCGATGCAGATATCAATTCATTTTGGTCATTTCCCTTGATTCTTTAGTCTCAAACATGCTCTTAGTTTTTTAAAGTTGTTTCTTCGGAGTGATACCAGTTCATTGATCCATTTGATCCCATCAATCTCTATACGTACAAAGTACAACTTCTCGCTATCCATTATGTACGATGCGATTGGTTCTCTTCGTGTATCATTCTGGTACTAAATTCAATGTCTATAAGCTTGGAGACATTCCTCGCTTGATAAATCGGTGACTTTATAGCATGATATCATAACTTTACTTGTTACCAATTACTACATGCACCGGTGCTATCGGTTTCTTAGGTGGTTGTCGAAAGTATCAATTAATGGCGTGCGAGTCATATGTATGATCGATTGCCTACAGGGAAGATTCCAAGATTTGTTGACATACCTACAAAAAGAACCAATTACCACTGGTCGGTGAATAATAGGTGCCTTGCCAACGCATTTGCACTTAAGATCTATGGAGGCACCAATGGGAATCCAACAACAAATGGATGACATGGTTCAATTTTTTGCCATCCGGGGAGTATAACTGCCAAATCCAATGTCTTCCTGTAGATTCCGAGATATCATCCAATCGTGTTAGATTTGAATTTGGACTGGGCATAAATTGCAAGGAATCGAGGGTATTCAACCCCAATCAGATCAATCTCGATCGATGTCCCCTAGATCTTGTATATTGGACGAATCAAAAGTTCAAGGGAAAATATTACGCATCAACTGTCATTATGGCTGTATACGTGTTCAAATGTGCATTGAGAGCCATCAATTCAAGTTGCTGCTCAAGTTGACATGTACTAGTATCGGTGGAAATGTCAACTGGCTAGGTACTCGTCTTTACCCAACCTCCGGGTTTGTAAAGAGCCATGATAACTTCCAAGATTGAAACTACAAGCATGGAGTTAATGAAAGATGAAATAGTTACAGGCACATGTGCAGGGTAAGGAATGTTTGAAGATATACTACATAGCACTTCAGTAAGCTTGAACATTGAAGTAGTCGATCATTTGAACATCCAGATGCCAGTTGACGCAATGTTGACCAATTTCCTCGAGCCACGACTATCATGATGCCTTGTTTTGTCCGTTAAATGACCAATTCTAACTAACTTGAATCGTGAAGATGACCACACATTCAAGGTTGCCCAGGTGTGGATAGCTTCAAAATTTGAACTCGGGTATGACATCACGTACTTCAAGATAAGGCAAATTTTCAGGTTCAGGTTCAGGTCCGTCCCAAACTTGAAGATTCAGTTCAAGAGCATGTGGGGACAGGTTTATTGATGCAGATCTGTCGATCGTGACAACTTTCAGCCAGTTACTGAGCATCATTCCTGGGATGGTAGGCCAGCCAATGACATTTGATATTGAAGCCTGAATGATCATGCCCAGGTATTATTGCGCATTCAAGGAATAAAAAGTTTAGTAAGATATGCCAGGGTATATGCAGCTCTATACGGGGTCGAGTGCCCCATTGAGTGACCTGCAGTTGTACATGTAGGACAAAACGCCCTTTCAGCCCTAGTAGATGCTGTAAGGACTCGGAGCTTGATTATTTGAAGGTTGAGAAGCCCCAGTTAGACTTTCTTCCAAGGGTTACGAGGACAAGATGTTGTGTGAATGTATGAATGTGCAATATGAATATCGTATACTCCGTACGCTGAAAGCAGACGCCGTTGATGCTCTTGAACCAAGAAACGCCGAGAACCCCAAATCAACATGCTAACCTAAAGACATGCAATCTAATAATGACACGGATGAAAAGAAAAAAAAGGCGGGGAAAAATATTGGAAACACCAAGACAAGGGGGGGAAAAGTATCACCGATCGAAAATCGCCTTCATGGAAGCACATGCATCATTGTACAGCACATCAACGCTGAGTTGATCGCGGAATGGGTTGGGCGACTTATCCCACGCATGTCGAGCTTTTTCAATCATCATGGCACGGACTCGCTTCCCCAGGCCCTCCAAGCGACGGACAAATGTTTGGCCCTCTTTCACCAGCATATCCCACTCACAGATGAACAAGAACACATCATGCGGCAGAGCTTCAGACAAAATACGGTCGGAGGCGCGAACGGGGGACGCAAAAGGAGATTCCCGGTCCTCCATGCTGGGGATATACGATTGATCAAACAAATCAGTGAAGAAAGTCGGCATGGACTTATTAGGCATGATACTCATAGCGCGACGATGATCACGAGACTCAAGGAAATCCAAGATAGGGTACCAACTGAACAGGGCGACAATATTCAACTGACTAGTTTGATCAACCAAGTTCTGTGTCGACTCCGCCCTGCCAAATTGCTCCTTGATCTCCGTTGAGATGCGCTCATGCAGTCGCAGCGGTACCGTCACAGCCAAGTTCCCGCCCGCCGAGAACCCACTCAGGGCGACGCGACTCACATCCAAGGCAAGATCAAGAGCATGGGCAGCGAGGTACAACAATGCATCGACACCATCATCGACAGCAGTGGGGAAAGGATGTTCGGGGGCTCGGCGGTAACTAACACTAGCGACAACGGCGTCTACTTGATTCACGATAGCGGCGGCCCAGCGAGAATCATCGGTCGCGCAGCCAAGGGTGAAACCACCACCGTGGAAATTAACCGCAACAGGATACCGGTGACCTTGACGACGCTTCTTATCGTAATCGGATGGACAGTAGAAATGGATGACCACGGAATGGCCATGGGAGTCAGATTGAACCGTACGGGTAAAGGCAGGTTTCGGGACGCGCGGCGGAGCGAGATCATGAAGGAACATGCCGATGCGCATGAGAAAGCGCCAAAAGACGGCTTGGACATATAGCCATGCCCGCGAGGAAGCCATGTCAGAACCTTCGAAGTTAGGAACTTTTGCAGGAAAGTTTGTCAGAAGAGAATCAATTGAGGGTGTCAATGATAAGGGATCCAGGCCCCCAGTTGGGGAGGTCTGTAAATGGGCCCAGATTCTGGTGGTTCAATGTTCAATTCACAAAAATTCGGGAGAACGGAGATTCCATGAGCCGATCAGAGATTCTTAGAGTGCATGGAGCCACGGAGTCACGGATAATTGAGGATAATATCGCTTGAAATAGCGAAATAGAGAGATGGATGAGGGAATGTAAAGGTGAAAGACCGAGACTCGTGGCAAAACACGGGACTATACGGATGTAGAATGTCGTATAGACAACAATTGCAGTACAATGTATAAAATAATTTTATGATAGGAAATATATGCAAGACACAAAAGACATAAATACTCGGAATAGATGAAATAATCATTATTGTCTTCTTTTTTCTATTCAATTCACATCATATTGGAATGATCAAGGCCGAGGCCAATCCGGTATCCGGTTATACCATGATGTCATGGATGTTATTGAACCCTTTTATCAGATAAAAAGGAACTTTCTGTACTTATATAATTACTTATTCCAGGGTCTATTTCATATATACATTTTCTCTTATCTCAACTTCATTTATTCTCACTCTGAGTCTTATGTCCATCATCTCTTATCTTTATTAAGCTTTGCATTTGTGCTCAGAGTCTGATTCGCGGCACGGATCGCCGCTTGCATCTTACCCCCCTCTCTCCCGGAGTATACAATCTCACCACATCCCCCCTTCTTTCCATACCCCTCCTTGTACACATTGCACACATTGCACACATTGCCCACTATGTCAATCAAGAGAGCTTTATCGAAGGCCATTCGAGGTCATACTGGAGACAATGATGATTCTTCAGGCTCTGGCATTCGATCAACTTTATCCCCAGCTAAACCACGATCCTCGCTCTCCCGAGAACCCGGTTCCCCTAGCTCCCCTCGTCGCAGCATCCTGGGCAACTTTTTCCGCGATCGGGATTATGTTTCCTCATCAGAGGACTTTTCCGATGATTCCTCTTCAGGAACTCTCAGTAAAAACCAACAGAAACGCCTAGTTCGCGAACAACGCCGCAATGAGCGCAGTCGGCTCAGCGAGGAGGCCTTCTCTGAATCCGATCACCGCCGCAAGGAGGAAGAGATCGCAAAGGCCGCTGCAGAGGAGACTGCGGATATGAAAGCTCGTTATGGCGATTTGCCTCTGATGCAGTCGCAAAATCGACTTCGGGAAACACGCACGGTCCTCGATGGTATTACTGTGGATATGGTCGGAGAAGAGGTCTATTTCACGGCTCGACTACATGTTGTACGCCGTATGAGTGCCAAGTTGGTCTTCTTGGTGTTCCGCCAGCAACTCGCCACCTTCCAGGGTGTTCTGCATGAGCGGGCGGGTATCTCCTCTATTGCTATGGTCCAATGGGCAGAACACCTGCGCGTAGGATCCTTTGTCCGGGTTCGTGGCAAGGTTCAGAAGCCTGATGTACCTGTTCTTGGCTGTAGTATTCACGATGTTGAGCTGTCAATTGAAGCTATTCATCTGCTGGTTAAGCGCGAGGAGCCAGTGCCTTTCAGCGTTTATGAGGCGGAGATCCGCACGAATGAGGAGGACAAGATTGAGGGTCGCCGCAGCCATATTCCCGACCGAACTCGACTGAGCAATCGCCTGCTCGATTTACGCACAGCAACATCTCAGGGCATCTTCCGTCTCCAATCGGCCACCTGTAACCTCTTCCGGACTGCCCTAGATGAGCGAGGCTTCATCGAGATTCACACTCCCAAGCTTCAGGGTGCTGCTACCGAGTCTGGTGCCAGTGTCTTCCAGGTTAACTACTTTGGTCGTCCCGCATTCTTGGCCCAATCACCCCAGCTGGCTAAGCAGATGGCCATCGCGGCTGACTTTGGTCGTGTCTATGAAATTGGAGCGGTTTTCCGTGCAGAGAACTCTAATACTCACCGTCACTTGACTGAGTACACGGGTCTCGATATTGAAATGGCAATTGAAGAGCATTACCATGAGATGCTTGAAACAATCGATGCGACCATTAAAAACATTCTGCAGGGAGTCTACTCTAAATACCGCCGAGAGATTGATCTCGTCAAACACCAGTTCCCTTGTGAGGATGTGAAATGGTTGGAGCAGACGCCTATCATTCGCTTTGCCGATGGTATCAAGATGCTTAATGACTCTGGGTGGCGCAGCGAGGATGGAAATGAACTCCCCTTGGATGAGGATCTGGCCACCCGAGATGAGATTCGCTTGGGTCAGCTTGTCAAGGAAAAATATGACACTGACTACTACATTCTGGACAAGTTCCCTCGTGGTGCTCGTCCCTTTTACACAATGCCGGACCCGGAGGATGATCGATTCACTAATTCTTTCGATATGTTTGTCCGCGGTCAGGAGATCGTGTCTGGTGGCCAGCGTATCCACGACGCTAATATGCTTGAGGCGAATATGCGCACCTCCGGCATCAATCCGGATGACATGGAAGAGTATCTAGAGGCATTCCGATGGGGCGCTCCGCCTCACGCCGGTGCGGGTGTTGGTCTTGAGCGTCTTTTGATGCTTCTTCTCCAGGTGGGCAACATCCGTCTCACCTCCCTCTTCTACCGTGACCCAAAGAGTCTCCCCGCAAAGCCTCCCGTACAGCAGCTTCGTCACCCAGATGCCTCTACCACTGAGCCAGTCTGGCTCCGAGAACACCACCGCCGTATTGCTATGAACAACGAGGAACTGCCAGCTCTGGAGAAGATTGTTGCGAACTACGGTGACGCAACATCCACATCTTGGTTCGATGAACGATACAAGATCTGGCGTGACATGAGCACCGGTGCTGCAGTCGCCTATGTTCCCAGCACCAGCAACTATGTGATCATCCCTGGTAACCCGGCATGCGACCCCAGCCAATACTCTCGAACTATCACCCAGTTCCTGCAGTGGCTGCGTCGTGACACCAAATACAAGCCTATCTGGATCCTCTGCTCTCCCGAGATCGAGACCATCCTCGGTGAGCGGTTAGGATGGCGCAGTCTGTCCTGCATTGCTGAGGAGCGCGTGGATCCTTCTCGGAACCAAGCTGCATCTGACGGTGAACTAGCCCGCAAGCTGCGTCATGCCGAGACTGAGGGTATCAAGGTGACTGGTTACAGCCAGGGTGAATTGCCAGATGAAGAGATTCGCAATAAGATTGATGCGCGAATTAAGGAATGGCTCTCGAACCGCAAGGGCACACAAGTCCACTTGTCAGAGATCCACCCTTGGTGCGATTCAGAGCACCGTTGGTACTTTTACGCCGTGGACAAGAGTGATAAAATCTGTGCTTTTGTTGCTCTGGCCATGCTCTCTCCTGCCCATGGCATGCAGGTCAAGTACAGCCTGGACTTCCCCGGAGCTCCAAACGGTGTCATCGAATCCATTGTTACCCATGCCATCCAAACTGCCGCCAAGGCCGGTGTCAAGGGTCTCACCTTTGGTGCTGGCGCTACTACTCGACTTACTCCGGGTCACAACTTGCATGGCACGAAGATCAAGATGCTGGAACACACTTATGAGACTCTTGCTAAGCAGTTCCACCTTATAAAGAAGAGTGAGTTCCGCGCTAAGCTTGGTGCCGTCGAGGATCCTCTTTACATTTCCTATCCAGCACACGGTCTTGGATCTAAGGGAGTTCGCGCCATCTTGAATTTCTTCGAAGATTAAAACCATTTACACATGACACATACAGCTATATTTTTTGGCTAACATATGACGATGAATCGCACGATTTATGGTGTTCATTTACGACTCATTTTCTTCTCCCTATATTGTCTGTTTCCGTTGCTAGATCTGAGATTTTTGGGTCAAAATTCAACACAATAAACTCTCAAAATTCCGAGGAATAGAGCGAAGCTAAGAGAGATTTCTTGGGTGATAATTAGCTTTTGATTATTTGTTTTGTTTATTTGTTTGCGATCTTACTTGTAATGCTTTTGATATTCCCACTCCTGTACCCAACCACAACATCCATTACTCCTCTCACTTGCTTAGTGTTATTTCAAATGCAAATCCATGTTCAGTATGTCTGTGGTTCCTCAGCCTTTTCTTTCTACATCATTGCCTTAGGTTATAGCTCCGAGCTTTATCAAGGTCACCGCATACAAAAGCATGAACTACTATGCAAATTCGAAACATTTGAAGCTTGAAGGCTACCAGCAACTTGAACTGCAGTTGGGGAAATATTTGATATTTGTATTAGATACATTTATTAAATTATACACACTATTATAGACATGTTCAGACAAATATTAAGCATTATTACCTAGGTAGGTAGATGCACATGTGTATGTTTGTAGCTCAATAGAGCTGCTGGTGTAAACATTAGGCTTTGAAAAGCTGCCCAGGTGCCAGTGGTCAGATCGTCAGATTCAAATTGCCATGGTACTGGCAAATTCATTCCTCAGGTGCTTGATTTCCAAGATTCTTCCGGTTTAAATCAATCTCTGCAATGAAGAACGAAGCCAACAATCCAAGACCACCTAGGCCTGTCATTGTATAAAAGATATTTTGAAAACATCTGAGATAAACTCTCAAGACCGGATCGAGGACTGATGCTGAAATGTCAAGCGACCTTAGCTCATCAATGAAGTTGACAGCATTAGCAGCATCACCAAGAGGTGCAAGAGATCCAGTCAGCTCTATTGAAGAAGAGGAAATCAAGTTCGAGAAGGTTGTATTGAAAATGGTTGAAGCAACGGTGAGGCCTACCAGACCCCCAAGCATGCGAACAGCAAGCAGCAAGGCGATCGCAAGGCCGGTGTCGTTTGCATCTTTGACACTTGCCGACATTGGCAGAAGACTGAGACGAAGCATAGCAACACCAATTCCCCACAATATTGGAAGTCCATAACGCATTGACTCCGATGATCCAATGTTGAACAAAGCGAGTAAACCAGTGCCTAGAGTAAGGATGACCCATGAGAATCGAAGGAGCCATGCATATCCCCCAAATAATGGGACCATCATCATTGAGATAACTGCAAAGACCACACTGGTAATGACAGTTGGTAACAGGGCGACAGCGGACATAATCGGAGTCTCCAGCTGCATAGATTGATACAGCAAAGGTAAATACTGCAAAAGTGATACTAAAACTGCACCATGAAAGAACACTCCAACGAGTGTCATATTCGCAGTCATCCTATGGAACAGTCGATGAGGAACGACCGGTGACACCGGGTAAGCTTCATAAAATCCAAAGCCAACAAGTACTACGACTCCCAAAAGCATGGGAAGAAGAGTCTGCCACGAAGCCCACGGAAACAATGACCCTGCCCAACTTAACGGTAAAACAAATATCGTAATGCCAATAATCATCAACATCATACCAATCCAATCAAGTCGGGCCACATTACTACCAAGAGAAGCATCAAGTTTAACCGGTCGTAACTTGAGAAAGAAAAACAGCAACGGTGTAGCAGCTCCCAAGAAAGGTAAATTCATCCATCCAATCCAGCGCCAGCTAGCATACGTGGAGAATAGTGCACCAACACAGGGCCCCAGGATATTCCCAATAGCCGAAGGAATTCCCATTAACCCAAGGTACTTTGAACGTTCTTGCAGGGTCGTCATATCAGCTAATATGATTTCGCTGAGAACGTCGATTCCTCCACCACCAAATCCCTGGAGTACACGACCAATAATAATCGTGTCCATGTTTTCGGCAATGGCAAACACAATAGATCCGATGAAAAATAATGCCATGGATACGAATAGAGGCGGTTTTCTTCCAAATGCGTCGGAAATACTCGCCCATACTGGTTGCATGGAAAGACCAGATAATGTGTATGCTAGATTCGCCCAAAAGGATTGTAAACTGGTACCGCCTAGGTCACCAGCAATAGTCTTTGTATGTATTAGTCTCGAGTTTATCAGAGAGTATACTTGTTTTATGGGTCAAAAAGACCAAAGGGAATTTCTTGGTTGCTTACAGGTAGTGCCATACCCAGACACGTCGCGTCCATCTGGAAGACAAAAAGACTAGACGCGAGGCCAATGAATGCCAAGTGAAAAGACCATGGTTTCTTCGATGACTGTAGCTCATGGTTCACATCATTTTCCTCTTGGTAGAATTCCTTGTCTTTTCCTGTAATGTCTGTTTTCTCTGATATGGGTTCCGCATCAGGCGTAACTTCGGAGATCGTATGCTCATTACTGGACTGCAAGAATTCCATTTTGTGTAGAATGTTTCCACGGAAAAGCCAAGGCCAATTTTAAAAATGGAGACGGAGATAAGATCAGTAGCTCAAGCATTGGGGCTCTTAACCTTAACAAGCACGGATCATGTGGTTGAGTTTATTCAAGTTTGGAGTGATCTGAGATTCTTAAAGCCCCTGAGAGAGGCATTATCCAGAGCTTGGAAACCAATTGAAAATGTTCCCCAGAATCCTTCTGAGTCAGCATGAAACACGAAGTAGAGACTGAACAGGGATATTCTGGACTTTTGATGTCCGAGAAATCCGACTCGGAGTCTAGAATAAAGAACTTCCAACATTGAAGAAGTTGGGGGCCAGAGCCGCATACGCGGCCTCGGTATAGAACGTACCCCGGAGTACGACCGGGAACATTTGAATAGTCTATGGTCATTGCATATATGGGTTAAGTACAGGGACGATAAGAGTGAGCAATTATGCTTCTTAATTCAATCCTACACGTGAACTGGTATATTTACTAAGGTTAGCTAGGCCACCTGGCATGCATCGTAGGCGTCACTTGATGACCAAGGTTGAGCTAGTAGTATTAATAATTTTCCATATCTATCGATTTTCTACTTTCCCTTCTTATCTTCAACCTCTCTGGCTCTCTTTCCCTCCTCAATAACCTTCCCAATCTCTCCAGCAACCCACTTCCCAACAAAAATGGCAATAACAGAAACCACAGCAATCCATCCCGCCGTCGGAACAAGCGACCGGGGGAAGACATTCCACAAAAACGGATCCAGAATCAGGTCAGCCGTCACAGGCGGAACATCTTTCATCAAGGACTCATGGTGACTGAAATAATCCGCTGCTGCGCTGACCCGCAAGAATAACACCGAGTCCGTCGTAGGGTCTGAATCTAACAGTATGTCTTTGCTGGAGACTGATGCATGGCGTGGAATAGTATTCGCTTGAAAACGAGGATCTTGTGTTGTGATTCGTGCTGTTGAAAATATGCTTAGAGAGGAGAGTAGGGATGAATCCTCGATTGTTGTTGACAAGGAGTGTGTTGTAAGAGTGAAAGATGTTGGTTGCTAGATTTGGTCAGTTGTAATTCTCTTTCTTGTTATTTATTATTTTCCCATTTGGTAATCTGCATTCATATATCGGGATTTGCAAAATTCAAGTTTGAACATGAATTCAACGCCTGTGGGCTTTAAGGGGGGGGGGGTTGATATGATATCATACCGTTGCTAACCAGCAAATTCGAACCTCATACCGCTGGCCTGGATTCAGGTTCTCGAGAAAGAACCATGACTCGGTTCCATCTGGGGCACCGGGCGTTGGGAATGATGCATTCAATTGTGTTCGCACCACCGGGTTTTCCGGTGAGAGTCGTTCTAGACCTAGATCATCTAGATCAGATGCTTCTGAGGGTATTGTTGTAGGTGGTGGTGCAAGAAAAATGGTCTTTTCCACGTTTGCATAGACATTGTTGGTCCAGAAGGTGAGTAACACCAGGATAGTAAAGGTGGTATAGAACATTGTTCACAGTCTTGGACCCAACCCAAGGAAAGTAACCTCCAGCTCCCAAAGTCAACCCTGATGCCGGAGTGATGTTGGAACCTATGAGGTTCAATGCTTTTTCGGTTCACGTGTACTGAAATTATTATCCGCGCATTTCCCAATTCTGGTTTTCAGGTTTAGTAGTGCTTGAACGCGATGCTGCAATTATAGATGTCGGCTGGGATGTATGTAGTTGGTTGGTGCACACTGGCATGCATGGAGAATGGCGTAGGCGGTGAAGTTCTAGACGAAACGGATTGGCCAATAGAGATGAAACTGTACCACATGCACAACATTGAAAAGCATGGAACTAGACGCAGGAGTATTTAAAATTGAAAGATAGATATCTAAATAGTGTACAAGAAGTTTCCGATTGGGTCAGGGGGGCCAGGAACAATATCCATTACTACTTAGCATTGAAAGTATCAAGGCTTAGCAAGTTGTTGATCGAGAATCCACCTCAGAAGCGATTTATCCTCCTCGTCCACCTTTTCATACATAGCCCAGCCACATTTTCGAAGCACACCTGCACTTGCCACGTTACTTTCAAGAGTGATAGCCCGTATTTTGTACAATTCTTCCACCAACTGTGGTGGGATAGAGTGAATTTGCTGAGCCAAGTCAACAAGACGCCGCCATTCTTGCTGGAAGCCAAGGACAGTTTCAGTTGCATATCCTTTGCCCCAGGCTTCTGGTAAAAACATATATCCAAGTATCGGGAGGGGAGATACTGGCAGAGAATCCAAGGCAACCAGGCCACAGACACCGATCAGCTTAGAGTTGGCCGGGTCATCACTGTTGTCAGTTCGAAGAGTGACGACAAAGTTGAAGTTTTGTCGCGCAACCTCAGCGTCGTCGATAAAATTTTGCATCCAATCACGGGTTTGTTGAGTCGAAGAGTCTATCGTTCCTTGACTTGTCCATTGCATAACCTCTGGTGCTGTGCGAAGCTTGTGTAGAGACTCGAGGTCAGTCCATTGGAATGGCCGAAGGATGAGGCGCGTGGTGTAAATTGGTGTTGTTTTTGAGTATGACGGAAGGAGATTTTGAATTGAGAGCTCCATGTTGATAGGATGGAAGCTGTAGGTTGTGTATCGCGAGTCTGTACAACGGGGTTGACAGGGGAAGAGGACAAAGCTTGGAACCTCGGGATTATTATTCTGCCAGTGTTTTTATATCTCCGTCCAATCGAAATTGAGGAAAGGGAAGGGACTATACCTGGATTAGGAGGCGGTAATCCACTCCCTCCATGGCGAATTGTATCCCGCATATATGTGATGTTTTAACAAGAAGATTCTTGTCATATTGGAGGGTGAATTACTAGAAAATCAATTCATAAAACCCACCTTAATTACCGACAGACTGTCTACTAGTAGTATTTTCCAGGCTTGTATAAGTCAACTGGTGAAAGCACTAGCACCGCTGACAAAGCTCAGATCACGAGCAAAGTCACGGGACCTAGAACAGGCGGTCAAGCTCCCAAGAAGCGCGTGGATTTGAACCAATCAGAGAGTCGAACGCGACCCAACGACCGGATCAACAACGAACTCCCCCCCCTTGTTAACACAGCACAGACACCCTTCACTCTCCACAACATTTCTGCTCTTCCTTCTTCCTTGAACTCGATCTCCATTCCTCCCATTCTTGGTGAGTTCGATTTCCTGCAATCCCCCTTTCAATCCCCCCCCCCCCTCTACCCCTCCCCCTTTCTCCGTGATCCCGCCGTCATTTTACACTTTGATAAACTGACCCCTGAGTCGCCAGACCCGTGTTTGTTGTTGGGTCTTTTCTTCCCCTCCTTAATTTTTTGACAGCCCGAACCACCCACCAACACAATGAGAGAGATTATTAGTTTGAACGGTATGTGCTCAAATTGTCTTGCTGATTATATTGGGGATCTGACTTTTCATGAAAAATGACGCGCTAACTGGTTGATGCCCTATAGTCGGTCAGGCTGGTTGCCAGATCGCCAACTCCTGCTGGGAGGTAAATTATATCGCCTCCATCACATCAATTGAGCACCCGATTTACGGTTGACTGACTCTCCAATTCTACAGCTGTACTGTCTGGAGCACGGTATCCAGGTATGTTTGAATTTCTAGCCTTTATGGTGGCGCCCAATCTGGACTGGAGCGGCACGCCCCTTTTCTCCCTTAGTCTGGCAACGAGTACCCGCGACTAACATGATCACTAGCCCGATGGTTACCTCACCGATGAGCGCAAGAAGGCCGATCCCGACCACGGTTTCAGCACTTTCTTCTCCGAGACTGGTGAGTGATGTCAATTTTTATACCCAACCATCATGCAATGGAGAGGGGCGCCAGCAATAGCTCGAGAAAACCCCCCCGCTTTCAAATTCTACGACTGTGATATTCTGACATGTCATTTTTTTTCTTCAACCGAATAGGCCAGGGCCGCTACGTTCCCCGTACCATCTACGCCGATCTTGAGCCCAACGTTGTCGATGAGGTCCGCACTGGTACCTACCGCTCTCTTTTCCACCCCGAGCAGATGATCACTGGCAAGGAAGATGCCTCTAACAACTACGCCCGTGGTCACTACACCGTTGGTAAGGAGATGATCGACCAGGTTCTCGACAAGGTCCGCCGTGTTGCCGACGCCTGTGCTGGTCTGCAGGGTTTCTTGGTTTTCCACTCCTTCGGTGGTGGTACCGGTTCCGGTTTCGGTGCTCTCCTGATGGAGCGTCTGTCTGTCGACTACGGCAAGAAGTCTAAGCTCGAGTTCTGTGTCTACCCTGCTCCCCAGAACGCTACCTCCGTCGTTGAGCCCTACAACTCTATCTTGACCACCCACACCACCCTTGAGCACTCCGACTGCTCCTTCATGGTTGACAACGAGGCCATCTACGACATCTGTCGCCGCAACCTCGGCATTGAGCGCCCCAGCTACGAGAACCTGAACCGCCTGATCGCTCAGGTCGTTTCTTCCATCACTGCTTCCCTCCGTTTCGACGGTTCCCTCAACGTTGACCTCAACGAGTTCCAAACCAACCTGGTCCCCTACCCCCGTATTCACTTCCCTCTGGTCGCCTACTCCCCTGTCATCTCCGCTGACAAGGCTTCCCACGAGGCCCACTCCGTCACTGAGATCACCTCCAACTGCTTCGAGCCTAACAACCAGATGGTCAAGTGTGACCCCCGCAACGGAAAGTACATGGCTACCTGCCTGCTGTACCGTGGTGATGTCGTTCCCAAGGATGCTCACGGTGCCGTCGCTACCCTCAAGACCAAGCGCACCATTCAGTTCGTCGACTGGTGCCCTACTGGTTTCAAGCTTGGTATCTGTTACCAGGCTCCTCAGCAGGTCCCTAACGGCGACCTTGCCAACCTCAGCCGCGCTGTGTAAGTCCACCATATGATTCGACGGAAATTGTTCTTTTTGCTAATCTCTTTCATATAGCTGCATGCTGTCCAACACCACCGCTATCGCCGAGGCCTGGTCCGCTCTCGACCACAAGTTCGATCTCATGTACTCCAAGCGTGCTTTCGTCCACTGGTACGTTGGTGAGGGTATGGAGGAGGGTGAGTTCTCCGAGGCTCGTGAGGATCTTGCTGCCCTTGAGCGTGATTACGAGGAGGTTGCCAGCGACTCCCTTGAGGAGGAGGAGCTTGAGCCCGAGTACTAGATTAGGAATGCTGTTTGAGCATATCATGGCATGGGCCTGGTGCTCTATGAAGTATTTGAGAATCCAAGCTGCGACCTTGACCGATCAGCTTTCTTGAATCTACCGGACTTTCTTTTGCAAATACAAGGGAACATAGGTTTTGCAGTCCGATGAATTTGTTTTCTGGCTTTGTTGTTCGATATATCTTTAATATCCCCGAAGCAGCGATGAGTTTTTCCACTCGTTTCACCCCTATCTTGGGACTAGCAATTGTAATTACAAAAAGTATCTTAAAACTTGTGTGCTTTTCTAGTAATCTTAACCCTATTTGTAGTATGTAGTATCATCTTAATACTAGACCGTGACTCGTCGAATTTACTACATAGTAGTACTAGGTAGTACATATTATGTCTAGTACTACATGGATAGCTCTCCAAGTCATTCTATATCTCCATCATGATTATCCCGAGCATGATGTTTGAAGCTGAAGTTCAGCATTTGAATACCAGTGCACCGTGACATATGCACATACACACATCAATGTGCATTTGCCTGCAGTAGGCAGACATCTGGATATTGTATAGGTATCCAATATTGAAGTTACCACATGATCCATGGATGTAAACTGGCAGTGCCCCTCAATTAATCAAGTTTAACTTGAAGTAGGAAACAGCCCCCACATGCATTTACTAGGAGCCTATATGCGTACTACTAATATAATAGTAGGTATAAGTGAGAACTAAATCAGGCTACGGAAATGAATATTGACGGGAGCATAGATAAGAGGAATGAAATGGTGTAATGTCTGTAAACTCAAGAGAATCTGCCTGATCTAAATACATGGTACAAAGCTGTCTGTCTGGCGTTGCTCCGTCGGTGATATGGTTGCATTGGCCCGAATCGCAACCGCAACCTGCTGTCGGGAAGCCGCTGGGAATAGCTCCTGCTCTTGCGAGGGTGATATTGCAACCGGGCCATGGAACTCGGGAACGGCGTGCCGAGCTGCAGGCTGATCTCACTCATCAATAAGCAACAGCTTTAACAAGACCAGCCAAAATACCATCTTGCCAGGTCCTACTTCCCCCAACCGTACGGTCATTTTAGCCAGACCCCAAATTTTCCTGTCTAGCTTTGACAAGGTCACCTAGTATCTGGATACTAGTATTGTGACCATGGAATTCTGCAGTCTGTACCGGAGTCCAGCCATTATTAGCTTGAGCTTCGAGATTTGCTCCAAGTTCAGCCAGTATCTTGATAGCTATCTAGTTATTGAAAATGATTGCTTTGCGGAGCATACTAAGATCATCCTCGTGGAAATTCGGATCTGTTCTGTCATTTCTGAGTAATTTTGCAATTCCTTCGTGGCCTTGAAACACTGCTAGAGAAAAAGCAGTTATCCCTTTGTCGTCTTTCAGGCCTTGATCGGCCTTTTGCTTGATGAGAGTATCTACAACATCATAATGGCCCCAATAAGATGCCATATGTAGCGCAGTATGCCTTGTAGAATCAACAGCGTTGATGTCCCATTCCACTCTTAAAATTGTATTCCCAATTCCAGTGAATCCTTGCTTCGCTGCTAGATGCAGGGCAGTCAATCCATCTTTTTGTTTCAAGTTGGGAGTAGAATGACGGACCAGCAGGCAAACCAGTTCTTCGTTACCCCGCTCTGATGCGAGGTGAAGTGGTTCCTCTTCTCTGGCATTTTTCTGTTGAGGAGTAAACCCTTTGGCAAGCAGCTTGGCGAGTATCAGTTTCGCTACTTCTGAGTGACGCATTCCAAGTAGCAACATTCAATGCAGTAGACCGAGATTGATCAATTCCAGTAGGATCAGTTCCAGTAGGATCGGGTACCACCTCCAGCAGCTTTTTTGTTGTTTCATAATCGCCATCGGTAGCAGCTTTCATAAACTCTGACCACAATTCCATCCGTTCCAGCTGGTGAAGTCAAGTTTGACCGGATCACCCTCCCGTTTGCGGAATCGTGGGTTGAGTAAACTGTTATTCTTCATTTCCTCAATCATGCTCTTGGCAGTCTGTCTATTTTCAGCGCCTTGGTGGCCTCTGTTGTGAACCTCATCTTGTCCAACGTGAATCGTGAATACCGTATAGTCGAAAAATGTGGGCTTTGATTCGGTCAATGGCGGATGAAGGTAAACTGGACCGATACAATCACAATAACAATAACAATCAAGATGAGATTCAGTACGCCTGACTAGAGGCTTAACCAGAAGGCCTCTGCCTATCTCGCGAAGAGTGGAGCTCTGCTCTTCAATGAGTAAGATATGTCGGTCTTTCTCGTTTAGAGCGAGCCGAACCTTTCCTTCTATCAGTGGGCGAGCATGGCCTAAAATGACTCTTTCATCGCTGATGTTATCAAGAGACGAGATGTTCCACTCGCCAAGCAAATTCCCATTCCATTCAATCTTGAGTGTTCGTGATGAAAGTGTAGTAGGTAGGTCATAGATATCTGTAGGGCACCAGTTGTATCCACCTGCCATAGTCCCTGAATTGTGGAACAGATGTGCTTGTGATATTTTGCCAAGTGCCTGTAGAATCTCCTGATAGATCTTCTGATGGGCGTAGTCTTCTGGTAGCTCAATTTCAATCATGAGTCCTGAAATAATCGCCATATCTCTTGGCCAAGATGTGTGGCGTGAACCAAGAACAGCCAAAAGTAGATCTAATTCGGCAATTCTTCCTATCCGAAGCCTTCTAAGCATGCCCCTCGCAATTTTAGCAGTATTGCCCTTTGCTTGTAATATGTCTCTGTCAAGGTCTTTTGTGATTAGACCATTAGGACCTTTAAAAATTATTTGAACTTTCTGGGACATCTTCAACTCTAACGCTGTCCAGCCTCGGCTAAACCAAGGAGACATGATAACGTGAAAACATGCTAGGTCTGCATCGCGCCATTCGCACTCTCTGAGAAAGCAATCATGGACCAGTGTCACCGCCGCTGACTTATAGTTGAGATTTATACGCTTTAGAACTTTTTCACGAAGATCTTTCTTTGTTGGAATACAGATTGTATCCCACCATAGACCCTTGCATTTGAAATCTCTAGCAAATTTGCGGAAGAAATTCACTAAACATGTGTTCACATCACCGCGGGCTTGACTTCCAGCGCCAGTGCCGGTACCGTCCGACCATACATGGGATATTGCCATATAGCGCTCGTTGGGTTGAAGAATTTTTGGTTTTCCAAGATCGCACTCAATATTCCATGCTATGACTGGCTGCCCATCACGGATAGCTTCTTCCACCATATTTGAAGGGAAGTTTACAGAGCCACAACGGTCTCCTTTACAAGGTGGTTCGTGACGCTGTGTCACCAGAGTGAAATTGACTCGAGATTGCTCGCAGAAGTCGAACGTAAAAAGCTGGTGATCTTCCGTCTTTATCTCGGGAAGTGGAATATTCAGCGCAGGGAGTAATTCCGGGAATCTTCCTGGACCCCCTGGAAGGCTCTTAGCGATCGCCCAGACGCGGTTACGACAAAAGCCCAATTCTCCCGTGGCGCTGTCGACTGCTCGCAATATGGCTTTTGTATCGGTCAACAATAGTGTCATGGCTTTGAAGAGGTCTATGAAAGTCGAGTACGTGGTGTTGTAATTGGATGTTCGTGAAAAGTAGCAATATTATGTATGGGAGAATTGGCAAAACTGAGACAATGCCACTTGTTTATACGATGGTGTTATTTCGGTGCATTCCTTCCTGAGAAAGAATCGAGAGGAACACGCGCGTAGGAAGGGAAGTGAGGGTGAGAGGACTGAGAGAAGATTAAGAGACCTGGCGTTAGAACTACACCGCCGGCCTTACCACCTAGAAAAACAAGGCGGCTCCGGCGCATGCCAATTGGGTATGTGGCATGTGCATACATAAGGGCAGGAGACTAGTGTTCGAGTTACAATGACGTGGATCAACTATTTAAGAGTGTTGTCCAATCCAAGGTCTATACAACAGTCTCTACATGGATACTATGATTTGAATCCTGCCCACTCAATATCCATTTCACTCTGGATTAAGTCTATTGAGAGGGAAAGCTCCATATATATGATTCTTGCCCAGGTGCTGATAATGAGAGAATTAGGACAAGCCAATCTCTATATCATGGAGTAAGAGCATGACTTCGTTATCAAATCAACTGTTGTTGATAATGTCCGAGTCACGACACAACTTGTTTACCCTCCAAAACCAACCTTGGAAGCGAACGTTGAAGTTCAATCAAGTCTGACTCTCAGGGTCTAGTTTAAATAAAGGGATATAGCCTTCAGGGGCTCAGGGCTTGGAACTTGAAGAATAATGACAATGGTGCTAGGACTCATATCAAAGTACCAAGGATGTGAAGGTATCTAGTATAAATTTACGATTTATCATATAGTGCTCAGATTTCCTATTATCACCAATCTATCAATTTTGGTCAAAGACATAATTATATTCCATATATAGGCCAAAGATGTGAGTGCTATAAAGAAAGCAATAAAGAGACTAAACCCCGATCCATAACGTGACACAGACCCTTTCCCCTATTCTAGGTAATTGATTATGAAATTCAGCCCTGGAGTGTCTGTGATTTTTTTTTTAAATCCTCACAGATGGCCTGCACTAACAAGATTCCTGTATTGATCTATTGACCAGGTGAAATGGATTTAACAGCCCGATATATGTCATACTCTCCCTTTTTCTGGGGTAATGTATGTGATGTGCATTGTGATATATGGAGACCCTGAAATAGAATGGGCGGCTAACATGGCTGACCGCCTTGGGGGGTACCTTCCTTACGACATCGACCTCCAGCCGCTCTGTATTTCCCAATTCCACCCCGGAACCCCCCCCGTTCGTACCCCCTTTGAGCTTCAGAGTTCATTCCTTAGTTTCGCATAGTCGCCTTGATCTTACAGAAGCTGCATTTGAGCTCTCTCATGCTTGTGGCATCTTTCAACTAAGCTGCCGGCACTCCGTTTCCCAAACTTGTCCTCAGGCTCCAATCATTCAGATACCATAAGAAGGAGAGGGGGTCCGCTCCTCCACATCCACAGTCATGGCTGATCAACGTAAGTTCCGACTTTCTTGTTTCTATTTCATATGCAACTTTCCCATTGGCGAGCCCTGGCGCGCAAACTGGGATCTCCACCGAGCTCCGCGTCTCAACCACCCCCCACCCCTTCTAGTATACACATCCCTGAACGCATGAACCAATGGAACTAACGGACGTGATTTATTATTGATAGCACAACGACATCCAAACTTGAACCTCACCGCTGAGGAAAAGCGCGTCTTCTACCAGCTGTTCCAAGCTGCCGATACTACCAACCTCGGTGTCATTACTGGGGAGATTGCTGTTCCATTCTTTGAGAAGACACATCTCCCTGGGGGCACTCTTGGCGAGGTATGACATTCAAAATCAAACATTCAGTAATAAAATGGACTCCATGAACTAATTTTGGGGGTTCAGATCTGGCAAATTGCGGATAGGGAGAACAGGGGTCTTCTGACCCCATCTGGGTTTGGAGTCGTGCTACGATTAATTGGACACGCCCAAGCTGGGCGTACACCGACTGCAGAACTAGCATTGCAACGTGAGTGTCATAGCTTAATGATCCCCAATTATTTATCGGTAATTGGCCACCCCAATACCCTCATACTAATTACGAATGATTGATAATAGCTGGCCCGCTGCCCCGATTTGATGGAATCTCAGTAGATCCAGCCCCTGCGGTGCCTGAACCCAGCACAGCCAGTCCTCCGCCCAGCGCGTCTGGACCCATTCGGGTCCCTCCCCTACAGCCCGATGATGTGAACAAGTTCGTTTCATTGTTTGACAAGTCGGATGTCTCCAATGGAATCATGTCAGGTATGTCTGTCCATGTAACCTTGATGGATCTGCTATCTATAGTATCTAACGATTGATTCGCACTAATCTAGGTGATATCGCCAAGCAAATATTCGAACGCGCAAGATTACCGAATGAGATTCTGGGTCGAATTTGGAACCTTTCAGATACCAAGCAGCGCGGAGCTCTGGATTCCACAGAATTCGTTATTGCTATGCATCTTCTCACCTCATTCAAGTCTGGTGTTTTGCGCGGCATTCCCCAAACTTTACCACCTGGTTTGTATGATGCGGCATCCCGTCGAGGCGGCCCGCGATTATCTTTTGGTGTTCGACCTGAAGTTCCACCGGTACCGGCAATTCCTAGACAGTTCACTGGTCCCCAGCGAACTGCCAGTCCTATGGGCCCTGGTAGCCGCCCTCAATTTGGTGGCCAGCTTTCAGCTCAGGTAACTGGAGGAGATTGGCTTGTTACCCCTCAGGAGAAAGTACACTTTGATGGCATCTTTGAAACTGTGGACACGGCGAAGGCCGGTTTCATTACTGGTGATCAGGCAGTTGCATTTTTCATGAAGGCACAGCTGGCTGAGGAAGTCCTGGCTCAAATCTGGGATCTTGCTGATATTGACGCTGATGGCCAGTTAACCCGCGAGGAATTTGCCGTGGCCATGTACTTGGTTCGACTCCAGCGTAGTGGAAAGGAGCCTCTACCACAGGTGCTTCCTCTCGCATTAATCCCACCCAACATGCGCCCACAGCCCCCCACCGCAGCTCAGATGGCAGGCTTCGCACCACCAGCTCCTGCTCCAGTTCCTCGATCGGCGGCAGATGATTTGTTTGGCTTAGATTCACCACCGACCCCGGCACCTGCCCAGCCTCAGATGCCGCAATCTACAGGTGGCTCTGCCAGTGCATGGCATACACCCGGCTCTCCCTCATCGAGGGCCTCACCTGCAGCCACGTCCAACACCTTCAAGCCTTTTATTCCCACCTCGTCATTTGGCCAAACTTTGCAGCCGCAATTTACCGGGGCATCTTCTGGAACCCCAGTGATGGTTCGCTCGCCTCCGCCACCAGCTGAAGATCTACTGGGCGATAATGACCCCGAAGAGTCCAAGAAGTTAACACAGGAGACTACCGAGCTGGCCAACTTGTCCAATCAGATCGGGAATCTGTCCAAGGAGATGCATAATGTCCAAGAAAAGCGCACATCTGCTGAGCAGAGTGTCACTCAAACCGGACAGCAGAAACGGGATTTCGAGATGCGACTTGCGCAGGCTCGCACTATGTATGAGCAGGAGGTCGCGAACTTCAAGGCATTGGAGGATCGACTGAAGCAATCTAAGGCCGAGACTACCAAGCTGCAACAAGAGTACGCTCTGCTCGAGGGTACTCGACAGGATCTGGCAAACCAGTACAACCAGATTTCGACCGCATTGGCATCCGACCAGCAGGAGAATGCTAGTCTGAAAGAGAAGATCCGTGTGGCAAATGCGGAGGTTGCGCAACTCAAACCAGCTCTCGACAAGGCGCGCTCCGATGCTCGACAGCAGAAGGGTCTGGTTGCAATCAACAAGAAACAGCTAGCTACCATTGAGGGTGACCGAGACAAGATCCAGGGTGAAATTGATGATCTGTCCAAGGAGGTCCCCGAGTACACCGAAGACCCAACCCCTGTCAACGGACCCACTGAGGTTGTCAGTCCCGCAGCTTCTACTACTAGCCAGAACACCAACCCTTTCTTCCGACGGACGACAACAGGTAGCTCAAGTGAGCGTGCCCGCTCGCCTGACTCCGCCAGTGACCAGCAAAAAGCTTTTGATAGCCTTTTCGGACAGACCTTTGCGTCTCCAGCAGGTGCAGGTCCGCCGCCTACATCTTTCCGCGCTGAATCTCCGCTGGCGACTGCGAAATCACCTGCCACTTCTAATGTTCCCACTCCATCTGCATCTCCCGCTCCGGGATCCTTCCCTGGCTCGCTGCCGGGCGCTTTCCCGGAGCCCCCAGCCCCCAGCGAGTCACGCCAGCTCACCCCAAACTTCCTACCCTTTAATGAGAATCAGTCTGTGACCTCATCTACTGTGGTTTCCCCTCCCGCTAGCCGGTTCGGTGGGCCTGACACCTCGGGTTTTGCTATCCCTTCTCAGATGACGGCTAGCGAATTTGATGCACCATCAGTGGCGCAGTCCAGTGACTACAGCGTGGCTCCCAACTCCACTGATGGTACTCCGGTTCGTTCTCCATTTGAGGAGGTACCACCGACTACTGAGTTCGCTGCCACAGTAGCTGAACTATCCACCACTTCTCCAGCTGGTGCTGAGAGCCGGGAATTTCCTGCGGACCCCTCTTTTGATGAGCTTTTCGGCAGTAAGGCGCATAAACGATCTGAGTCCCAAAAGGAGAACGATTTCGACGAGGCCTTTGCATCTATGAAGCCTACCGGTACCAATGGGTTGGCTGGTGGACCGGCAACTGCAGCAGCAGCATCCGGCTTTGACTTCCCGCCTATTCAGGAACTTCATCAAGACGAGGACGAGGAGAGCTCGGACGATGAAGGAACTTTGGGGTTCGATGACGATTTCACCCAAGGTTTACCCTCTACCACGAAGGAAGAGAAACGTGTTGATTCTATTGATGCTGCCCAACTTGCTGCTTTCCCAGCCCCGGGCACCACTTTCCCAGCAGGCCAGCCTCCAGCTGCGGACTCTCAGCCTAGTCCTCCGAAATATGAGACCACTATCTCTGATAACCAGGGTGGAAACCACGTACCCCCCGAATTCAATGGCTTGTTGCCAGGCCGTGAGGATCCCACTGCTGCACCGGATGCCCCTCACTCTGTAGAGTCTGCCACTGGCGCACCAGTGATTGACAATGAGCCCAAGCACGAGGAGGCTCCCGCAACTGAAGCTGTCGCTGGTGGCGCGAAGACCAATGCCACCGACTTCGACGCTGCATTCGCTGGCCTCAACCTGGCCCCCGCCCAGGAAGCCGAGGATGACGATGAAGAAGCCGAAGGCCAGTCCAAGGGTCCCTCAGACTTTGACTTCTCTTTCGACTCTCCATTCCAGAAGGAGCATGGAACCGCGTCGAGCACTGATGCTGCCCAAACCGGCTCTTCCGACTTTTTCTCCTTCGACAACACAAGCACAGCCCATGCCTCCACCGCCCAGCCCATTAGCCCTGCCAATGGTGGTACTTCCAACGCTGCTGGACCTGACTGGGACGCACTCTTTGCACCTCTTGATGGCTCAAAGCCAGCTACAGATGAAACCGCCAATGGATCTGACGCTAAGCCGCCTGGCTGGGCCCTTAACACCGACTCTGGCGAAGATGACTTGATCCTGCAGCGATTAACCGGCATGGGGTTCCCCCGAGAGGAGTCTCTGTCAGCCCTTGAGAAGTTTGACTACAACCTCGATAAGGTAAGTCCACAATAGTTTCAAAACAAATATTTGCAGCAAAGCTGACTGGGTTCTAGGCCGCTGACTACTTAACCTCTAAGACTTAAATCTTGGAACCCTCCCCTTGATTCTCTTTCACTATTTGCACATATTATCTCCCACATAACTCTCTTTTTGCCATGATGCCTTCTTTTCCTTATGACACCCTTTTCCGTTTGTGATCCCATTTCCTCTTCCATCTCTGCGATGTGACTCGGGCCCGGATGATGACCCTGCGTTCGGATAACCCCATAATCTCTTCTTGTCTGTCCCAGCGTCGTGTAAATCTCTTCCCGTCGATTTCCCCCCATCGTGTTGCTTCATCGCCGATTGCATTTGGATTTGATCCCTTCCATGAACGGTGCTCACCGTGGATGCAAAGAACCGAGTGACACCTGTTCCTGTACCCTTCGCCCCCAGTGTAGTGTAGTTTACAATAACCGATAATGCACTTAATTTCAAGAATTATGTACTGTTTAATTGATAAGAATGAGGTTTCGTATACGAAGTACAAAATCCATTACCTTTCAGTCCCCATGGGAAATTGAAGGGTGACAATGTGTAGAGATGCCATAGGCCCACTGCAGCTTCTAATTCTTCACATAGTACTGCCAAGGACTTCCAAGGTTGAATTCAAATGATTGAAACCTATACAATTTCAAGTCATAATTCATTAACTACCAGTACTTGAGCAATCTCGTTTATGCAGGCGAGACTCGGAGTCTGCATCTGTTACCGAAAAAGGGTAATCGGAGTTCGGAGTTCTATATGGAGACACTCCAATATTCCTCCTTTCACATATTATTTCATGTCATTTCACCCAAAGAGAACTCGGAGCTCTTGAATCAATGACTGAATACGGAGATTCCTCCATTTTTAAGATGGGAAACCGTCATTTGATATTTATGAATCGTAAGAATAGAAAATACTATTTAAAGAGTCCCATCTCCCTCCTAGATCTCGTAACCATCTCACTCTACTCCAGTATTCCAAAATCCGACTCGAGTACAAAATCGAATCTTTTTCATCGATATCAACTCAAATTAAGAATCATCATGTCTCGCGTTCTTCTTACCGGTGGCAGCGGTTTCATCGCTACACATGTCCTCGAGACCCTTCTTGCTCGTGGTCACTCTGTTGTGACAACTGTTCGCTCCCACCAGAAGGGCCAAGGAATTCTAGAAGCTCACCCCGGGCTTCAGAAAGACCGTCTGGACTATGCTATTGTGGAAGATATAAGCCAAGCGAATGGTAAAAGAAGTCTGAAATCCATTTACAATGACCGAAGCTGACACTTTCAACGTAGCTTTCGACAAGGCGGTTCTATCCGAGCCACCTTTTGATGTGGTCATTCACACAGCGAGTCCGTACCATTTCAATGCAAAGGATGCGAAGGAACTCATTGAACCGGCTGTCATTGGTACTACGGGAATTATGAAATCTGTGCAGCAGTTTGCTCCATCGGTTAAACGTGTCATCGTCACTTCTTCATTCGCTGCAATCAACAATATCTATACCCAAGGGAAGGGGAAGATATACTCGGAGGTGAGATTTGTCTATTCAAGTTTTCACCCATTTCACAAAACGGAATACTAACGCTGCTACTAAAGGCCGACTGGTGCCCTATCACTGGAGAACAAGCCAACGAAAGCCCAGCCAATGCCTACCGAGCAAGCAAGACATTTGCTGTGAGTTCCACTTATCTCCAGTCGAACGAATTCCCAATTAATATAATTTTAGGAACGAGCTGCATGGAAATTCATCGAGACTGAAAAGCCCTCTTTTGATTTGGCTGTCATCAATCCACCTCTTGTTCTTGGCCCGATCGCCCACAATCTTGCATCTCTTAGCGCCTTGAATACCTCTAACCAGCGAATCAGAGACTTGATCACTGGTGCAGCCAAGGACAGTTGCCCTCCTACTGGGAACTATGGTTATGTTGACGTGCGCGACCTCGCACTCGCTCATGTGCTCGCAATTGAGAAGCCCGAAGCTGGAGGAAAGCGATTCTTTACTGTGTCGAGTCACTTCTCCAACAAGGAGATCGTGGAGATCATTGCAGAGGCGTTCCCTGAATTTCAGGACAGGTTGCCTTCTGGCGACGGGCTGATCCCTGGTGATTACCCGGCAGATGGAGTTTATGGATTTGACAACTCTCGGAGTCGAGAGGTTCTAGGACTTGAGTTCAGGAATTTGAAGGAGAGTATTGTTGATGCGGTGCACAGTTTGTTGGCTGTTGAGCCCGAGCTTGCGAACTGATTGACGAAATCACATCGTTTAATCAGAGACTGTTCATAATTTTGGAGAATATTTCTTTTGTATTAACGATCGCTTTGAATTTAGGTTATCATTTGAATAATATGAAGCATCTCATCTTTTATGTTTTGTGTCAAAACACCCCGGGGGCCTAGCCCCAAATGTCCCACTAATAGTATTGTGTTCGCTGGCTCACTTAGCGGTGATAAGGCTGAGGCTTACAGAGTACACAATCTTCCCTCAACATTCAGCGTAAGCAATCATGTTCTCGACGTTTGCAGCAGATCCAGAGAAAAAGAACCCCTCAAGACCTCGTCCAAAGCGAAATCAGGTTGCCCGAGCGTGTGACTGGTGCCGACAAAATCGAATCAAGTGCGATGACTCCCAGCCTTGTCAGAACTGCCGCACGCGTGGCATCCAATGCAGCAATGCTAAGCGAACCGATATGCCCACATTATCAGCTGCGAATAGGTATGACAGATGGCAAAAGCTTCTTGGAGAATGGGAGCTAATGTGGTTTTCTTTTCCATAACCAGGGAAATCCAACGATTGCGGAATACAATCAGCACACTCCAAGGCCAAGCACATAAGACAAGCCAAGAATCCCGGGACCATGCGCCTAGCAAATACGTGACGCCCCCTGAATCTGAAACTCTTGATGTCTCGCCTATTAGCGACTCCCTTGGAACTCATGTTCCACGATCCATAACCATATCGTCCAGAGAGTGGAAGGGAGTGCAAATCCATACGAGTGGGGCAATCTACGGCCCACTGTCATCTTCGTATTTCGGGGTTCGCATGGGTAGTTTTCTATCCGAAGCACTGAGCAATGACCCTGAGTCTTTGTTTCTGAGCGAGAGCTTGCAGCTGGAATACCCTCCCAATACTCTGAAATGCCTCCATGACTCTGATTCACGCGGGGCAGGGAGTCAAAGCACGGATGATTCGGGTCTGGAGTCCCTATCACGAGCTCAAGAACAATTTTTCATTGATTTAATCTGGCAGTCATTTCATTGCATCTATCCCATTCTTGTCGAATCGGAGTTTCGAGAATATTACGATTCCTTGTGGGGATTAGCTGGCGGTCAATCATGTCGGCGCCCCTCCCCACTGGTCGATAGCATCCTAGCAGTTTGCATGCAGTATGGGGGCACCTTTCTAACGAGCGACGAGGACAATCTAGAAAGTGAAAGAGAGTACCATGTCGCGGCTGTATCGAAGAAAAGCCATGCGCTGTTCCGTCGGGCCCAAAGCTTACTTCTAGATGAGATTGAAACCCCATCGATCATGACGCTCCAGAGCTACATTTACTGCATTATCTACCTACACAATACATCCCTGCTGAACACGGCGGATATGCTTCTGAGTACCGCTGTCAGAGTTGCGCAGGCTTTGCGGTTGTATCTTCCTCCATGCGATCCAACCATTCGGGAGTACCAGGAGCTACACCGACGCCTCTGGTATACCCTAGTTGGGCTAGACTGCCAGCTCTCAATGATACTGGGAAGACCTTCACTGATTCCCGTTAATGAAATTGACTATGATCTTCCGGGGGACAGCCAAGAACACGCGCTTTTATCCGGCTCGATGTTGATGACCCCAGGCGACGAAGGCATCAGCTGGCTGAGCTTTCACGTACAGTCAACCCGATTACTGATGACTGTTCGAGGCGTTCAAAATGCGCTTCAGCAGCATGGAGCTAGATTGCTCGAGCGAAACGATGCACAAAATATGTACGATGATCCCTTCGTGACTGAGCAGTTAGCTGCGTGCCTTGGCCGGGAAATCGGTGTGGTATACAACTGGGCGCGTAATGTACCTTCCGCACTGAAGTGTTCGCGAAAAGACGCCGGAGAGCCATTCTCTACCGAGCGCACCCCAGTCTCTTTTAACTCTCTCCATCCACTCTGGCTTCAACGACAACAGATCCTCCTCGAGCTCTTGTACCACCACCTTCAGTTATCAAATTTCCGCTCGTTTGTGCGTCTACAGCCTGGTAGCTCGTCCATTTCCCCATTATCAGACTGTCACAATATCAGCGCTCTCAATCATGCTGTGACACTGACGAACATCGTCCATCAAGTTCTCAATGATACCGATCTATTACGTGGCTGGTACCCCGTGTTTCAGTATCAGTGGGATGCCGCTCTTTGTATCCTTGGCTTCGTGTTAGCCAATCCAATCTGCCCGCCTACTCCGGCGGCTCGTCGATGTATTCAAACTGCGGTCAGCTGCTTTGAGATTATGGGGGAATACTCTGCTGCTGCTGTATCTGCTGCGAAAATAGTACGAGAAGTCGGTGCTCATGCTGAGAGACTTGTCGGCAAGTTCCATTGCAGTCTCTCATCTCGCAGTCCACCTAGTAAACGTCGAAAGGATACGTCTGCTACGGTGCAGATGATCTCAGCCCCGGCATTGACGCCGGAGTATCTACAAAGCCTGACTTTTGACCAACCATTCGATATCTCGGATTTTATGAATGGGATTGCTTCGCCAGTAGAGAGTTCTTCTATGCTATACGATGAAACCAAACTCTCCCTTAATATGACAGAGGCCGAGATTGAGACCATTGGGACATCATGGGTAAATGATGAAGGGATTTCGAGCTCCTTGCCGCCGTTTCCAGGAGGAAATACATAAATGTCTTCCATTTTGAGACCGTTTTCTAGAACATCAGTCTCACTAGTGGTCAAGTCTTTAGCGGTACCACGTGGGGATCTCGATACAGTGAGAAGAAAACACTGGAACAATATGAAACGCAGATCAGGAAAGCTGCATCAAAGACGTCACATAGATGCCAAGGAATACATGTCCTATGCTTGGGAACTAGGATCTCAGATAAGCCATCTTCGAAGCAATGTAAGATTCTCAGCTGCGTAACTCCACTAAGGGGACCCGGATCCCCCTTCCTCGATAAGCTTTTTGTTTTCCATCGTCTCACAATGCCCTGTCAGACATCCTGACGCATGGAAATTTCGAAGATTCAAATTTTACCTTTCAAATCCTCCGAGACTATGGAATGGGGTTTCACGACATGAACCATCTGCCGAGCACCTGAGATTTTCAAGTTGAGATCGCGCAGCCAAGAACAGTATAAATGATGTCTCGCGCCATGTACACAAATGGTGTTGCGCCATAGCTGGATTTTTCTTCCAAATCAGTGTCATAATTGCTTATACTATGGCTACGACCCTTGGCTTCTTGTGTTCAATACCAATATGGTTGATTCTGACGTTTCAGGTCTCTGGACTTCAAGTTCCAAAGTTTAATCAGAACCCTGATATGTTGAATGCATCTACTCAGCTTGAAAAGCTATCTCACAACGCTTTGACTGTTTCAATAAACAGGATAATTGATAGTCCTTCTCAGAAGAATACTACGAGTTGCACGTTGGAAAATCTTCGCGTCCGTCGAAATTGGATTGCCTTTACTCCAAGCGAGAAGAGGTCTTATATTGAATCTGTTCACTGTATGACTGAGCTGCCCGCAATAATGCCTCATCATTTGGCTCCTGGGGCTCGATCACGATTCGATGACTTTGTCGCTGTGCATATCAATCAATCTTATCATGTCCATCGAGATGCACGTAATTCCACTCCTCATGTTGATTCATCACTAACCATGTTCCCCAGGGCCTATTCTTTGCATGGCATCGATACTTTATCTATGAGTTCGAACAAGCTCTACGGAATGAGTGTAACTACACCGGCGACTACCCGTATGTTCCAATCATCCTATATCATCATCCCATTCTGATACATAAGAAAACTCCAGTTATTGGGACTGGGCCGCAGATGCCGACGACATAGAGAAATCAGAAGTATTCGATGGCAGTGACACATCTCTCTCAGGAAACGGTGCTCTTATCTCAGACAAGCGACCCATCGGTGCCCGAATACCCGGTCCATATCCACCCTTATGGCTTCCACCCGGGACAGGCGGAGGATGTGTAACCAGTGGACCCTTCGTCAACTTGAGCGTGAATCTAGGACCATCTTGGTTAGACGTTCCCGGTGACAACATAACCCGCATGTCAAACCCACTTGACTATAACCCTCGGTGCCTGAAACGAGATCTCACAACCGCAATACTCCAGATGTACGTGAACTATACCTCAATCATCGACCTAATATACAATAGTAAGATTATCTGGGATCTTGAGGATAAGATCCAGGGCAAGGAAGATAGTCCTGGACTTCATGGGGGTGGTCATTTCGCTATGGGAGGTGATCCTGGTCGAGATGCCGATGCCAGTGCTGGAGACCCAGCATTTTATCATCATCATGGTATGGTCGATCGGATTTGGTGGATTTGGCAAAATATGGATTGGAAGAATCGACGGTATGCGATCTCTGGTACAAGCACTTTTATGGATGTGCCTCACTCTCCTAATGTTACGCTTGATTATCTTCTTGATGTTGGTTATGCGAATGGGAATAAAGAGCCGATTGCTATGAGAGATCTTATGAGTACGACGAATGGGCCATTTTGTTATGTTTATCTATGATGCCGATGAACTAGGGAGTCGGATGATGGATGTGGGGGCTGTTTCGGAAATGTATAGTGATGATTTTCATAGTTCGCGTTAAATGATTCTCATTGTGTTAAATTTTATCTGGTATTAATTCGGACCAAACTAATCTTCTACTAGTACTTTTACCATACTCTAGTTTTGAGATACAAAAGATGGGAGTCGTGATCATCTGCAGTTAAGTGTCGCGGAAATCGATGATCCTTGCAGTTTAAGTGCGACGATCTCGGAATCTTCACCCTTTTCACCACACTAGTGATTCCCCTGAAAATAAGCCATTTTGTTGGTTGTTGGGCACATTGAAGCTCCAAGTGGAGACTCAAAAGGGTTTCTGCTGTTAAAAAAGCAAAAATGATGAAAGCTGACAGCTGACAGCTGCAGCCTGCGATCAGTTGGAATGTTTGCCTCCCAAACCCACCTTATCCCCATCCCTTGAACATCAATCATGGATCTGAAAAACACGTCATATGGCTCCAATATTCTTCTAATATTCGGACTCTATGGAATCCAATGTTTGATCCCCGCTATACTCTTAATCTTCACAGCGAAACAATCATCTCTGCGATATCTATTCATCCCATGTCTAGCCATAATCGCATACCAGTCCATAGGCCTGGCAACGGCGCTAGGACCTGGATTTGTCTGGTGTGAGCTGGCACGTCTATTCGTGACTGTATTCTTCCAAGCTTTAAATCTGCTTCTTATCAACGCGAAAGATAGCTCTGATATTCCCTTGGAAACAGGCTCCAGCTTCACTACGCGTGTTTACTACGCGATAGGGCTATTTACACAGCCCCGGGGAATCAACACGCCCTGGCAAGTCAAAAACACATCACCACATCCAGCTTATCATACGCGAAGGAATTTTACAGAACCGCCTCGGAAGAGGTTCTTGATTCGTCAGTTTATTATTGCAGTATGGCAGTATCTCGCGCTTGATTGTTTTTCTACTATCGCGTTGCAGCAAGCATTGGAACAGAGGAAAAATAATCCTCTACCTCCTACTGTTCAGTGGGATTTGTCGACGGAGCAATGGATTGAACGGATTATTTCGAATCTGGTTGCTGGGTTTATTGTTAGCAGGATGTTAATTGACTTTTATCATCGCGCTTTTTCTGTAATTGTTGTTGGCCTTGGACTTGACTCTCCTGCAAACTGCCCTCCCCTTTTTGGAAGAGCAGCGGATGCAGGTTCGCTAAGAGGATTCTGGGGGTAAGTCCCTACTTTCTCTTGATCAGAATATTTCCTGTCTTGGACGCTTTCTAACTGGATTCGAACAGGAAATTCTGGCATCAGCTAGTCAGACAACCGTTTGGCTCAGTCAGTGCATTCATCACTCGCAGCATACTGGGGCTACCATCAAAGTCCACGATAGAACAATACACAAGGGTGTTGCTTGTTTTCTTCTTTTCCGGTGGCTTGCACGTTATCCTGGATATCGTCCAGGGAATCCCGGGCGAGGAGTCTGGCGCTATGCTACTATTCATGACAGCAGGGTTAGGCCTCATGATTGAGGATGGTATCAAAGATTTGTGGCGAAAGATCAGCGCAGGTCGCAAGGCTGGAGAATCACGCAACAAGGATACTTCAATTCCTTTGTGGCAAAAGGTTGTAGGATTCATGTGGGCTATGGTATGGTTGGGTATCACATCGACTTGGTACTTCTATCCACAGATGGTCCGACCCGAAAATCAGAACCTTGTCCCCTTCAGCCTTGCGAGTCAGGTTGGGCTACCTGTAGTGGGGGCAGCTGTTTTGATCGGGGGTCTTCTTGTGGCCTTGGTGTTTGAGGTTGAGATCTGACCGGACCTAACTTGAAGCTAGATATCAATCTTCATTTCGATATAATTTGCCTTGATTAATAGACTGAGTAGTTAAAATTCATTCCAGAGCTCATTCAAATGTTCTCCGTGCTCTCACCTTTCAGTTCACTTGCAGTTTCCAGTCATCCAATATCACGTTGGCGATCTACGTGATTGACCTACGGGAACATCATCAAGTCATGTCAAAGTCTGATGCATTCCATCTCAGTACTGGGCTAAACCCTCATGAGCAAAGTTCAGGTTCAACGTCGGAATAACAGCCAATAATGAATGTGGCGACTTTGTTATCAGATCTCGATTGAAATAGACTCCGGGTGTCCCAAATACGCACAGATCGAAACCTTGGAAGACTGAATCGTTAAGATTGTCAGGCTTCGAGTCATGTCAGTACATGAGGTTAGCCGCCCAGGCAGCAGGCTCAGGTTCAATTTCAGAGAGCCTTCCAATGGTTCCAAATCGCGAACAGTCGGCTTATTAATGAGACGCACCATGGGCATTTGTACACGTGTTCAAGCACCAACTGTGATGACCATCAGGATTTGAGTCATGAAACTAATCGCCGCAATTCCCGCACTCGTCGGGGTTAATCATCGGAAACTCCGCACGCGTGCGTGGAGTTCAATTTGAATCCTGCAGATCGGAGTTACTCTAAATGGGTCCCGAAAAAACGAAAAATCCGAGTTTACTTGATATTCAAGTATATTATTTTGGACGAAATTATATAAATATGAGTTCAAGCCAATCGATTTCTAAGTTTTCTATTCACAGAATTCACAATCAAAGATCCAATTTGAAATAATCAGAACCTTGTTCAAGTTGTCGCACTATTTGTGTTATCAAACAGTCAAAATGAACAGTGACATGAATGATACCGAGTCCGTCCTAAGTCGAAAGGAACTCGATGAAAATGCTCAGAAATCACCACCATCCTTTCCTGAGGGAGGAACTAAGGGATGGCTCGCTGTATTGGCTTGTTGGTGTGTGATGTTCAACACATTCGGCTACATCAATGCCTTTGGGTATGTACATTATGGTTGACTCGAGATTCGATTCAGAAATTCAAATGCTAAGAAATAAAATCTAGAATCTACGAAGCATATTATGAAGAGACATTCTTAAAGAATGAAATATCATCCAATATTGCATGGATTGGTTCTCTTCAGACCTTTTTCATGTTTTCAGCTGGTCTTATATCCGGCCCCCTGATGGATCGGTTTGGCCCCAAGGTAATTAATTCATCCAATCACCAGGGATCGATGTGATGATGCTAATATCAATATTCAGGTCATCATGATTCCATGCTCGATGCTCTTCGTCCTCTCGGTTATGCTCACCAGTCTATGTACCGATTATTACCAATTCATTCTGGCGCAGGGCGTGCTTGGAGGCTTAGCAAATGGCCTCACATATACACCAGCATTGACAGCAGTCAACCATTACTTCGTGGAAAAGCGTCCATTAGCCCTTGGAATTGCCTCAACTGGATCATCCCTTGCTGGCGTGATTTTTCCCGTGGCTCTAGATCAAATGCTCAATAAGACGAACCTTGGCTTTGGGTGGTCTGTTCGCATCATTGGGTTTTTGATGCTCGCACTCAGCATCATCGCCTGTGCGACTGTGTCATCAAATGCCCCAAAGAGAAGAAGTGGCTCACCTTCTTCCGTTCTCGCAGCATGGAAGAATCCAGCATATACGATTCAAATCGTGGGTCTTTTCCTAGTCATTTGAGCAGTGTTCTTCCCATTTTTCTACATTCCCTCTTATGCGCAATCCATTTCCATCTCCCTCCAGATGTCATTTTATCTGATTGCCATCACCAATGCTGGGTCCATGTTTGGAAGATTAGTAGGAGGTGCACTCGCGAATCAGATCGGACGCTTTAACACTCTAGCTGGATCATCTGTGATCTGTGGTATTCTTACCCTTTGCTGGATATCTATCAACTCTCTCAGTGAGATGATTGTGTTTAGTGTCCTATTTGGATTTTTCTCTGGTACTGTGATCGGAATTTTCCCTGCGACTATTGCCATGACGGCCCCTCAGCCCAATGAGATTGGCTCGTATATGGGTATGGGTCTCGGAGTACTGAGCTTTGCCGGATTGACTGGGACTCCAATTACTGGTGCTATGATCACTCAGTATGGAGGCTACCACCCTGCAATGATTTTCGCTGGCGTTTGCAGCCTGGTTGGGGCTGCGATTATATTTGGCGCAAGGCTACGTCTTGCGGGCAGGCAGCTGGTTGCATGAGGGAGCGGAATGGATGGTGCCTGTTTATATTTCAGTATTCAACCTTGGAAGGCTGCCAGGTGTCGTTTCGGAACCTTGGAATGCTCTGAGACTGTCAAGTTTTTTGATTTTATTTGTTAATAGACATCTGGAGGATACCTATGGTATTGGGAATGAGAAGCTGAGGTAGAGTAAATATTTTCTTTGTTAGGTTTTTTTTTATTTTTATTATGATGTACTAGTATGATAAAACTCATGTTTTCAAGATTATTTTGTTCGATTTAGCGGTACATCAGTCTCAATTTCTCACGTATAATTTATGGACACTGCCCAAGGTATGTTGTGCCTAGGTGACGATGTAAAGAACATAACCGCTACAGCAACCCTCAAGTGCTGAAATCCATCACTTCTCTGTTTCTGCTTTACCACACATCTCCTTCAATTTTTGCTTCCACCTCCCATCCAAGATGCCACCAATCGCTTCATACAATCCCAAGCTATCTCTGTCTCACCGACATGAAGCCCGTGCCGGCCAAGGTCCACAAGATCGACCATTAGAGTCGATCTCAGTCCTAGCACCGTTCTCCGCTCTGATCCTTTCCACCACGCTGATAGTCCTATTCCTGATTCAATTCCACCTCCTAGAGGGGTTTGTCATGAAACGACTCTATAGACGCGTCTACCACAATCTCGTTACAACCGCAGTTGGTACTCTCTGTGAGACAATCGTGGCAATGTGGCTATTTGGAAGTCTATGGCATAGATGGGGGACTGCATTCAAAGTTCTCGCGCCTATTTTGAATTCTGCGTTCTCGGCCGCACAGGTTCATGGAAGTTTTGGTTTTTGGAAGATGTACAGGCGTCAGCAAGGATACATGAATGAGGAGAAGGAGTTGGAGATTATCAGACATATTACGGCAAGCTTGTCTGAGCCTTTTAAGCCCTCTAAGGCCTCGGTACATGTGGCCTAGATGTAGGTACCTTGTCTCTCTTTTGTGTTGTGATATTTAGAGAGAGTGTGTGTTTATTTTTGCCATATGGAATTGTGTATCTAATTGTTCGAGGTCTGTCTGAATCAAAAAAGAAGAAATACGAAGCTCCGGTCTAGAACAAAGCAGTTTTTCCAAGGCTCATTTACCTTGCATAGCATCGGGAGAATCTTCAAGAAGCCTGATTTCCAAGTGGTTGGCCGCGAACTACTCAAGTGCTAGTGTTAGTAACAGGTTTCAAGATGCACATTTGACTACCAAGCTAAATCTTACTTGCATCGAGATGCCAATCATCCTACAGCAATGGAAGACTCAAGAGGTGGTGAAAAGTAAATTTTTTTTTTGTTTTTTTTGTCTGCACGGAATGGATTGTTGGAAAATGATAGATCGTTAGCGAGACTCCATCAAGAATGAAAGATCGTTGCCGAGACTCCATCAAGAATAAGAATAGCTCATAACATGGAGTTGAACAAAACCAAACCAAATAAAAAGTGCAGAGTAACATGAGAAAAAGTGTAGGCCAATAGGAAGCATAAAAGCATAGCGCAAGGCTTCATGGCGAAAAAAAGAGAAAAGAACAAGCATGTCTCCGCTCACCCGGAGCTCAGCTGGCCCTGTCGTAGTCCCCTTGGCAGGTGCGACTCCTTAGTTGGAGTGCTCGTGGGCCGTGGAAGTTCGGTGGAGAGAGAGTACTATGTCAAAGCAATCAGCGACTGCCTCAAGTTCCTCAAGATCTACCTGGGAGAGCTCCCACAGCGAGTCCATGTCAGACTCACCGAAGTCCTCCACAGCTCTCTGCCCAATTTTGCGTCGGAGGCTTCGCCCGTGCATGAGGTCGTCAAACTTCTGGGATCGGTGAAGCACCACATAAAGAAAACCACAGACGAGCTCAACTCCAATTGAAAATACCCAGACTCGAGCGATGGTAAGGAGGGAGGTTTCTTGATGAACGAAAACCCCATAGATGCACATCAGGGTGGCTGTGATGTCGACGAACAAGATTGCCAAGATGAGCTGAGGAGATGGCACACTTTTCCACGGCATGGGGTGCTGATGGTGGGAACCAAGACGCGTGATGAGGATGAGCCAACTCTGGGTAAGGGTGATTTCAAGGAACAAAACAGGATCTTGGGCACCGTAGCCCTCCACGATGCCTCCATTCTCTCCCCGCAACAACATGGTACCGAGGGCAATCCAAGATGCAGTAGCCAAGACAGCGCCGAGAATAACTGAAATTCCCCAGATCTTGGGAATATTCCATTTGACGGGAGACTCGGAGTAAGGGGCACGGTCGTAAGCGACGGTAAGGGTGGCGATATCGGCGAACATGGCGATGAGAAAGACCAGGCGCAGGTCAAGAGTGTTGTTGAAGATGATTATCCATAAACCCAAGAACGCAGCCATTTGGAGCGTCAAGGCGATACGGTAAATCAAGTAGGCGTACATCCTGTGGAAGATTTGACGAGAGCACTTGATGGCGTGGATGATGTTGGAGAGTCCAGGTTGGACGAAGACAATGTCAGCCGCAGTTCTGGCAGCGTCAGAGGCGCCTTCAACCGCAATACCAGTGTCTGCCTTTTTCAGTGATGGGGCATCGTTTACCCCGTCACCTGTCATGGCAACAAGGTATCCACGTTGCTGTAAAATCTCCACTACTTTATATTTATGTTCTGGATATACTTCGGCAAATCCATCCGCAGCCTCCACGAAGTCATTGATCTCAGATCCAGGCATATCCCCAGCACCAGTCACCCCGAGTCTCTCAGCATTATAGATGTTTGTGCCGAGTCCCAGTTGACGTGCTGTCTCGCGTGCAATACCAACAGCATCACCAGTGAGCATCTTGATACAAAGACCCAATTGCCTTGCCTCCACAATGGTCTGTTTAGTATCCTCTCGTGGGGGATCCAAGCAGGGCACGATACCAAGAATCTGCCAAGGGCCACATCCAATCTTCCGAGCTACACCCAATGCACGAAATCCACGGTTTGAAAACTCAGTGAGCTTCTCCTTGTATGCATTTTCGATATCCGCAGGAACTGGATTCGCCTCCTGGACCGTCCGTAAAACCGAGAGTGGAGCCCCTTTCACACAAGTCATTTCCTCACCAGTTGGGCCTTTCACAATAGCTGTGACCTTCTTTGAAACAGGGTCAAAAGGAAAAAAGTTGATTGTCACATACTGACTGATTAGAGCCTTTGGTCCAGGGTAATACTTCAGTGCTTTGACAAAGACACGGTCAATAGCATCAATGCCTTTTTTCTTCCGATTGGCGGCCAAGCAGGCAGTGAGAATGATTTCATCTCTGTGAACACCAGGTAACGTGAAGGGCTCTCCAAGAGCCAGTTTATTCCGAGTCAAGGTGCCTGTTTTATCGGAGCAGAGCATCTCTGCACCTGCCAGGGATTCTATCGCGGACAATTTCCGGACAATGCAGGATTTCTTTGCCAGTTCACCCGCACCAACAGCCATAGTTGTGGTCACAACTGCAGGAAGACCAACTGGAATTCCAACTACTGAGATGGCCAGGGTGAACTCCAGTATTTGTCTGATCGCATTGGAACGATAAAAGGAGGCTATCCACACCAGAAGGAGAGACAATATCACGAGAGCGAGAATTTTGTGTGATATTTCGTCAAGAACAGTTGTAAAATGGCCTTTGATATGAGCTGCTTCCCTGACAATGGCTGCAGCTTTCCCAACCGAAGTATTGTCTCCAATATGTGTCACAACCATAGATGCAGCTCCACGCTTGACAATTGAGGATGAAAAGCATTTGTCTCTTGTGTACTTGTCCACGGCAAGGGATTCACCGGTGATACAGGATTGGTCAACTTGGAGATGGGCACTCTGAGAAACAAGGATACCATCCGCTGGAACAACTGAGCCCTGGCAGTGTCACCTTGTTAGCATGCCACTTTATCTGAATAGTATGGTTTCCTTATTTGAGACTTACATCCTCAAGAAGAACGATATCACCTGGAACCAGCTCTTTTACTGGTTTATTATCTGCTTTTGAATTCCGAATGACCCTGGCTTCCAGTGCAAGTCCCTTTTTCAGGCTTTCGACGATATTCCCAGCAGTATATTCTTGAGCAAAGCCGACAACAGCGTTGAGCAACAACAACCCAAATATGATTCCAAGATCAATCCAGTCTTGCAGGATGATGGCAACAATTGCTGCGACCTTCAAAACAGACAGAAATCAGGGCTCAGTCAAGAAGAATGATTGCATTTGGTTGGAGTGGGAACAAGCAACTTACCTGCATCACACCCTGCACGGGCCCGACAAACAGGAGAAGAAATTTGACAAAGTTGTTCTGGTGCTCTTCTTTTAGAGTATTCCAACCATGTGTGCGGCGTAAAGCTTCCACTCTAGCGTCATCCAGGCCTGTGCTGGGGTCTGTATCTTGGTCCTCGGAAGAGGCATCTTTGTCTGCATTCGAGCCGACCGTAAGGGTTTTGGGTTCCGGATCCCTGCCATCTTCCTCCTCCAATTCGGCGATCAAAACATCCAAATTCGCGTCAGTCTCTTGTCTGGAGATGACTGAGAGCTCCTTGGTCTCTGCCCCGCAGTCATCACCTGATGGGTGGCTGGCCAGAGCCAGAGCCTGTTCATCAACTTCATGGTCCATGTCGATCGGAACAATAAGGGGTTCGAACAAAGAATAATTAAATCAGTGTCACTAAGACTGTCAGTATTCACAGAGAGGAAAAATACCCGATCGCAAGATGTGCTGAACATGAAGGAAGTTATGAGGTGAAGGGCGAAGACCCTGGGTGGAAGGAATGGCCTAAGGACTTCAACACAAAGAATGGAAGGAAGTCGCGTTTCTGGCCAGATAAAGCAGGTGCCAGCCATGAATCATGAATATCAGACGAAGTTCCAGCATTATGCAATGGTGCAGTGGCATAACGTTGGAACGTTGGAACCTTCTAAAGTTGGTCAGGTGGAAAACGCGTCGAGGGCAAAGTCAAGGCAAGAAGGTGATCAATAGTAGGAGTCAGGGGACCACAATGAATCATCCGAAGATGTCATAATGGAGTTCAACTATATTCAATTATTCAAATACTTGAATTATTGAAAAAATATCTTTGCATTCTATTAAGAGTTGGGGGTGGGGGGGGCTTTTAATCTACTATAAGATTGAAAGATGTCATTTTCCTCCTGCTGAGATCAATATTGCATTTTCTCAAAAATATATGGATACCTGGATACTCTCTACTCCTGCAATCTTTCATATCAATTCATGTTGAGTTCTACCTAGTGATACTTGATCTTTCATGGATTACTAGAAGGTTCGAGCCTAAAGGACACAACAGTGAAGAGATTCTTGTCATCCTCCTTTTCTTCTTTCTTCCCCAACTCCACCTCGACTCTTCGTCTTCTCTTCCTCCATAACTTCGCTCCCTTTCTACTCTGTTTCTGTCCTCTTTCTCTACTCCTTCTTCTGCTCCATCCATAACAGCAAGACATTTAGGGCAACGGCAACGGGATACGTCAGCCTTAGGCACGCGTATTATGTCATCGGCCGCCGAATGAATTTGCATTGAGCTGCAGACTTGAAATCACTTTGATTCTCCAATTCATTAGGTGGACTGATTTGATTCTACGAGAGGTAACCATTGTCGTCTTCTCTCCAGTGTTGTGGGGGTTTCCCACTCCCACCGTTGTGACTTCTACCAGACTACCACTCCCTCATCATCCTCAACCCGGATGATAACCATCAACTCGATCAACTGCACCTCGACTGTTGAATTCCCTATCTATCTTGGATCTTCTAGTATCAATTAAATCCGCAACTCCTCTCCTTTCCTTCTTGGCTATTACGTGGTCAATCTCTCCCTATCTTGGATTTCATCGGTGAACAACGCCAATATGAGTCCTCCAAACCTTCCAGGCTTCTACTGGGGTAAGTCAAACTCAACGTGCCCACACTATGCCCCATTTTTGAATCCCTCGAAAGATAATCTAAATGGTACACAATTACTTACTAGAGGTCCAGATCCGGAAAAGAAAAAGTACTTCAAGATTGAAGCCAACCATGCTGCTTCTTCAAGTTCATCCTACTCCACCGACAGAGTGAAGAGAAAACGTGATGATGAAGAGGTAACACCTACGATTGATTCCCCAAGTTAAAAAACCCAGAATACTAACAATGCAACAGAAAGCTGTCGAGCGTAAGATTTTTGATCAACGCGTCGCCAATGAGAGGATTCGCAGAAGTAGCCTCGTGTCTCACCCTTTCACAACTGCTCAACGTGAACTGGGAATCCAACAGCCCAATCAAACTGTCACACAAGGTCAGATATGTCAGACTTATTTGCACGGATTAGAAAAGAAACATCTCTACACATTTGATAGACCCTGGAAGAAGGAATATCATGTTGGGCAAATTGTGCGAATTCCTGAGACCGGAACTCTGATTACTGGTATGTCATTATGCCAACATAACCTCAGGACCAAAGATCAAAGACCAACTAACATATCTATATAGCTGGAAACCGTGGAATGGATTGTACAATGTCGTGAGTCCTCTGCTCCATTTCTCTTCGTCTTCCTTGAAATCGAGACTAATCACATTATAGGTTTGTCAATCCAACTTCCTTTGAGAACAACCAATTGGAATACAACCGGGCAAGAGCGAATGTCCATTTCACGAGACGATCCAGAGTAAGTGGTAGCACCCCTCTTCAACCCTACGTTTGACTAACATGGTTCTTATTTCAGGTCACATCACTCTCTTTGAGCCATACAGGGTTCATGCTGTAAAGCTACCTCCCGTTCTATCTTTCTTGATAAGCCCATATTGATAACCTCCCAGATTGACTATGGACTGTGGTTCCCATGGAGAATCAACCCTGAAGCCATTCACGCCCCCTCATTCCGCTAGTATCGCGAATCCGCCCGAACACTGTATGTATTACTAGTCGAGAATCCCAATATCCGACAAAAACCATTGACATCACCTGGCCAGTTTACGATCAAGACATCCCATGCGGCACAGATATGCTTTGCTCTGCAGCGTGCCCAGAGGGCAGCGTACCTATTTTTGCACTCGGTACGTCAAAGGGTCTATGTGTCATGCGCGGGGATGAGAGCGGCTGGTCTTTTACTTGGCCCCATAAGCCGCCTCGGCATTTGAGGCAATCCTCCTATGCCAACATGCACACCACGGTCCCCTCAGTGGACTGGCTCTCGGGCAGTGTTGTTTTAGGAGGACGGCAAGATTCAGCCGTCCTTGTTTACGATACTCGCGCTCGGGATACTGTCACGCGGTTCCAGCACCCGGAACCCGTGACCAAGGTTCGCAAGGTGGATGCCAACAGGGTGGTAGTGATGGGACAGCGCGCGGTAAGCTGTTCAATCCCGAGCTCTTGCCTCAATATCGGAATATGGCTAATAGAGATAAAATAGATGAACATGTACGACATGCGCTTCCCCATCAATGGAGTTCAGGGGACACCCAACCCCATTGACGGGCCCCAACCATACGTCGACGCGCGCGTACGTGGAGTTCGAAAAGAGCCTGCCACACGCATACCACAGCCTGGACGTGTGCACGGAGCTTGGTCTCCTGGTGAACGGTAAGTGAGACTTCTCACCTGAAGAATTGAAATATCTTCAAATGATAAAATCGTACTAATTACTCGTTATTCCATTAGCAACCGCCGGTGGCCAAGTGAGGATGTACTCGCTCACCTCGGGCAAGGTCGTGTACTCACTTGACGCCCATGATGCCAAGGAGGACTGCCTCGGTGTTGTGGGCTTCGAGCAGAGTACCGACCAGGGTGTCCGGGCGGGCGAGGCTCCTGCACTGTTGTTTGGCCACGGCTCCCACGTGAGCCAGTTGGCGTGGTAGTTGTCCTGCCTTTTCTTTTTGTTTTTTCTTCAAGCTGGCTTCGTCAGATTTTGACGATTTTTTTTTCATTTCTAATACCCAATTCAGCCAGCATGCGTTGTTTTCAAAAATCTCCTTGGCTAACGTTTCCCGTAGACCCAGGTGGTTTCATACTTAGAGCTTTAAAACGACCAGAAACTACTTAGCAGATTACGTATCCCCAAACAGTCGAATATTCAAATGGTCTGATAGACTCGAAGCTGAGATCAAGTCGACTAACTCGAATTTATCTCACTTTTAGACTAAAGCCAAAGAAATCGTAGGAAAAGCTTGAGACAGGGTATAATTGATTTAAATTTTAATCAGGATGCAAGTACATTATGCAATACCAGGACCAGAAAAGAAATGAGAAACACCAGTGCAGACTCAGACTCCAACTCCAACCAGTACAATACAAAAGATATCCCTTTCAATCCAATCCACCAGCTAACCATTCGCCAACCTCAACACCAATACCCTTGGCCAATTCGCCAATCCAGTCCCCGGAGACGTTCACACACCACTTCTCACCCGCATCGGCACTAGTATTTCCACTAGTTGTACTAGCGAGTCCATTATGATGACCCGAAGCCGGGACAACAAGACGTAAACGGCGAAGAGTCGCCAGCTCAGCGTAGATCTGATCAGCAACTGCGCCTGTACGGATGGGATTTGCAGGTGGATTGGGGTCAATCGCATGGTAGATAGCGAGAAGGCGTTCGAGTGGGAATGGTCGTGCAGTTAGGATAGTAGATGGTCCTGTAATACCACCAGCACCTCCAATAGCAGAAGTTGTAGCCGAGGAAGTAGCAAAAGCGGAAGAGAGGGTTGATTTCGTGATACGAGTTTTCACTCGTTTGCCCTTCTTGTTTGGTGTGCCGTTATTAGCGGCTTGTTGTCTTTCTTCTGCTTGGGCCTGGGAAAGGACCTTGAGACGACGACGATGGTGAGCACGCTTGTTTCGTGCAGATAGAGAGGATGAGGAGAATTTCGAGAAGAAGATCGTGTCTAATCTTTGTGGGGTGTGTGAAGCGACGTATGCGGATGTTAGGATTAGAGTGGAGAAGTATGGTAGAGATGGTAATGCTGAAGGGGCCACGGTGGGTGCTAATGGTTTGCGGAATCTCTCAGTGGGTGTGTAGGAGTTTTCTGGTACAATGCGGTGCACAAGTGCTGATTCGCCTTGGTGTCGGAAAAGCTGTCGGTTTTTGACTAGGAGTCTGGCAAAGTCCCATTCCGTATTACCTCCTGGAGGTGTTTCGCCCTGTACAATGGGAGCGATGAACCGTGGCCATAGCCTGTCGCAGATAGATTGGAAGGAGGGAATTGAGCCGGCTGTAGGTCCAACCAGGGTGTCGTAGATAGTGGTGACGAAATGTGGGTAGATTCGTGATATGGATTCCGTGGGTACACCTTCGATATTAGGAATTGGCGAAGACATCAAGATTTCAATGGCTTCTTTTCGAGTATATGGAGGGAAACTAATATGAGGGACAGCTGCATTCTGGAGAAACAGTGGCCGCGGTGTAGAGCTCAGGACTAAAACAACACAGAGCGAAGGAATCTAGGAAGAAGTCAGTAACTGTGGTTCGTTTCCAGGGTTGAGCCTCAAGGTGAAACTTACAAGTTCTCCGAGTCTGGCCAAAGCTGAAAGTAGAGTTGGCGAGGCCTCTCGTTGTCTATCAATCTCATCTAGCACAAGCACAAACTTTCCGCGCTTCTCGACCGGTCTGGCTGCCAGGCATTCCTCTAGGAGCACGGCTAGAGTACTAACGTGCTCACACCGTCCCTTTCCAAATTTCTCCCATTCATCTTTCTGTCCAAATGCTTCAAGTGTGTTCCAGAGGATCTTCGTCAAGAGATGTCGTCCGGTAATGCACTCAGAGCTGCGAACGATGGCATGTGGTGTTTCCAGGGCAGAAAGAACACTGCTGAGAATGGTAGATTTGCAGGTAGCTGAAACGCCGTGGACTACTAGAGTGGGTGGGCTAGGTAAATGTGGCTGTATTGAGAATTTCAATGGTCAGATCCTGTAGACAAATATGGATTCGATCTGATTGTATCCTTTGCGGAGCAGCAGCAGGACATCAGAGGAACTTACATGCAACAAGCAGGCAAGTTGTCGTGTTTGGACATCACGACATGGCCACTGTGCGCTCAGAGCGCGAGCAATTTCTGTGAGCTGCATAGAGCACTAAATTGCCAGGAATTGTGCAGCGCAATATCGGTCTTGTCTAAAGGGAGGAAAGATGTAGACCTGTGGCTTAATTTCCCAAGTCACGTGTAGTCGCGTCGCGTCGATCCATGGATCAAGATAAACCTTAAGAAGCAGAACTTATTTACTTTAAGTATGAACTGTGCTATACAAAAACTAGATACTGTGTATTCATACTATAGGATTGATATTCCTTAGAAATCAGATAGTAGACCTCTTTTACTACTCGCCCAGGGGTTTTTTTTGTGGAAGTCAGGTTCCATTCAAGTTTTTGCTAAACTAAAATACAACCGCGAAAAGTAAGCGTATGTGATTGTAAATGGAAATATGTGACGAGGCAGAGATCCATCTGAAATGAAAGATGATGGGCTACCCAGTCAACCGATCCTAGCCTTAGAGCTGCCAGGTTCAGTCAGATAGAGTAGCGATCTCTAAATCTACCACATATTCCAAGATGCACTTGCACAGCGCAAGAGCGGTAGAAAATCATGTGAAAATAAACAAAAGGAACGGATGAGTGAAAATAAGAAAAAGAAAAAAAAAACCAAAAACAAGTACAGGTTGTGAAGGACGTAAAGATATGAAGAGCACCAAATGAGGAAGGGGAATGGAAACAAAATGTTGAGTAAACACAATGGCAGGAATTGAATAGAGCTGCGTGAAACCTTGTTTACCATGATCAAGACCGATATTGGTAGTCAAGTTATTCAGGTAGAAAACATGACTCAAGTATGACAGTCACCGAAAAAGATCATTGTAAATCAAAGATGCAGAAAAATCATGGGAAATCAATGACAAAGGTACATGTATGCACAGTTTCGAGTGCATAATTGCAAAAACCAAGAGAGAGAAAAAAGCCAAACTGCTGGATGTTGAAGAGGCAAGATGCAAGTGTAGATCTTGCCAGATGGTGAAAAAAATCATGACTCATGGCTTCATGCAGGGAGCAGGAAATGAGAGCATGTCAAAACAGATCAAGGTGAAATGAATGCAGCAACCTAGGTTCCGGTAAATGCAAACAAAATCCCTGGTCTGAATGACAATCTTGAAAGACTGGCCGTGAAATCATGAAATGGAAAAAAATCGTGGCATCGTGTCGATATGGGTACAGACAGGGAGGTGGATATTATGCACAGAAAAGCATTCCAATCCCTGTTTAATAGAAGGGAGAGCGCTGATCAGGAGAGATCATCGGGTTTGCCGCTGGGGAGATCGGAGCACGAAACATGGAAGACTCAATGACTCCGCTTGGAGGGGTGTTGGCGGTCGAGCTGGTTGCAGGGGTTGGCGGATATTTTGGGTTGTGAAAGGACACTTCTTGGCCCATCATAGTCTCCTTGGTCCTCAGAGGCCCAGGGAGCTGGACAGAGTTATTCATTTGGTTGGGCACGGCGACAACTCCCATGGCTGTGGGACGAGTTCCATTGTCAGAGGCCGCCATCTTGGTAGCAATACGACGACCATGAGGAGTTGTGCGAATCGCCGGAAGAAGAGGGCGAATGGCCTCCATAATTCGAGTGTGAGTCGGTCCATCAGAATACTCCATAGCAGTTTGGATAACATAGTTGGCAAATGAATCACGAATCATCCTCTCGAGTTCTCCATCCTGCAACATCTCCCCAATCATCTTATCACGGAAACTGGCATCTGCGGTGCGAAGACATTTTTCAATGACATTGGAGCTGAACTTCTGCTTTGAGAGAGCAGGGATCTGTCCTCTGAAGGTGTCAACCAGAGGATGAGTGAAGCCAGGCTCTCCGAGATCCAAGATATACTGAACCACATAGTTGCCGAACGGGTCTTGAACAAGAACAAAGGAGTTTCTGGTGATTGCAGCAATCAGGCGTGATTTCTGACTACCCGATGCGTGATCAATGCAGCGCTGCAGTACACAGCATCCGTGACGATGAGTACCAACAATGACACAGGCCTCACCTACAGCTTCGTAGATAAAATCAGCATCGGCCGCACTCAAACGGTTCAAACACTTCTGAATAACATGATTGCCGTTCAAATCCTTCACTAAATCCACAACGTTGTACTTGAGAGCCCGAATCACAATTTGTGTTTGCTCCTGGTTGGAGATGTATTCGATCATCTTTTGAAGAGCACGAGTTCCATGCTGGTTAAGTGCAATCTGCACAAGCTGAGGAGCTGCATGTTTGATCAAAAGAGTTCGTTGCTCATCGTTTGAGAACTCAAGCAGTTTTTGGCAAAGGTAATTACCAAAGGGATCAGTCATCAGCTCGACCACATGCATGTGTGTCTCATTGAAGATGATTTCAACCTGATCAGGATCTTGATCCTCCAGCTTACGCTGCAGGTAGCGACACCCGTGCTGGTCCTTACACATGCTGTAGATTTCGCCTTTGTAGGTTTCAAGAGGCATGTTTCCAGCATAGCGATTGACCTGGGATCCTTCTCCCTCTGTCCCACGGCGCTGGCCAAACGAACCACCTCGGGAGGCAGAGTCATTGGCACGATATCCATTGTTAGGATAATTAGTGTAAGGGAAAGGGTTAGGAGGGTTATAGGGCGCCATTTGCTGTGCAGGCTGAACATAAGGCGAGACACCGGCCCCATAGTTGTACATTGGGAATTGTTGACTGGCCAAGACAGCAGGCCCCAAGATGCTACTGGTAGGTGCAACGGATGTCAGCTGGGGTCCAAATGGGGTAGCACCAGGCTGCAATACAGTCTGAGTATTCAGAATGCTTTTGTTCCCAGACTCTGGAGAATTGCGAGCGGTGTAATGATGGGCATTGCCAGTTGGAATGCGTCCCATGCTGTTGTTCTGCTGGTGAAGACCATGAGTATAGGTCTTTGGAGGCGTGATTGCAGCATCAAAGGGTGCACCTCGGACTGTAGGAAGGTCATTGGTCGAGTATGAAGACTGCAAAGCGACCGGACGGGTGGTAGCCGGGATCGAAGCCATTGATTCTCCAGAACGGTCCCCAGGGAAATTGAAGCCATTCTCTAGAGAGCGTCGAGGATGATGGCTAGAGTGAGCTGGAGAACGATCCTCTGTCTGGCGTCCCTGCTGATCAAAATGCATGAGTCCTAGAACATTTTGAGGCATACTCTGATGATTGCGTGAACGACGATTGTGGTACGAAAAGTGATCCGGGCCTGGGGTGCGAGAATTTGCCAGATCGAGGGCATCCGGGTTGGCAGACAGCTAAACAGTCAAATTAGAATACATTTTCTCGGAACAGTGCAGCTTCACAATAGTAACTTACCATGTTCAAATCACCCCGGCGAAGAGTAGGGAATTTGTCGTCAGGCTCAGTCATGCTGAGATATGTGTTGAGATCAGGGGTGCGTACCCCAGCTTCATCTCTCAATGGGTTCTTGTCGTCGTCGTGAAAGATTGCCTTTGCCACAGCAAAAGAGTCAATGCCCTGAGTATTGTAGCCCAGCATGTTTGATGAATAAGGAGCATTGAAGTTGTTAGAGGGCAATGAGAGACGGTGGGCACTATCAAGTATGTCAGACAAGGGAAAGTGGAGGCAACAACACAGAGCAGAAGCATGAACTTACGACGGTCCGGCCCGCGAAGTGGGATTGGTGACGGCAGCGGACGAATCCATCAGATACTCGTCCTTCTCAGAATTTCGTCGAGATACGGGAACAGAGCGACCGGTAAAACGATCAATTCGATCGAAAGACGGCGCATGAGAGTGACCCGACTGAGACGGAGCCTGAGGGGAGGTCAGGGTAGACGAAGAAGCAAACGCATCGAAGAAGGCAGGAGACGACGTGACACTCGTGTTCGAGAACCGAGAAGGGCGAGAGATGGCGTTGGAAACAGCTGCAGGCTCGGGCGGGGTAGTCGGCTCACTGACGCGTCCGGACAGGCCAGCCTTTGCGAGGTCGCGAGCAATTTTATCCATTTCGATCTTTTCTTTCTCGTGCTGCATATCAAGCAGTTTCATATCCTCTTCGAAACGTCTTTTCTGCTCGCGCATGTACTCGATATGTTGCCGTTTCTTCTCGAACTGCAGACGGTCAGACTGATACTTAGAGAAGGAAATTTTGGCGAGAGCGGATCAACGCGTGCCTTATCCTAAGGCACGCGTCAATCAACAAGACGAAGTTGTTCAAAGGTATTCAAAGCAGGGAAGAGAGGTAAAAAAAAAAAGAAGTAAGTGGGGGTAGATGGGAATGAAGAAAGAGGTTGAGGAAGGAAAGATCAGGGAAACAAGATAGAAAAGGGTTTAAATAGTTCTGAATCGCAGGCTCACAGGCAACAATGCGAAACGTGAATCAATCAAACTTCGTCTGATCTTCTTTCAGGTCACGAGATAACGCGTGAATGGGGAAAGGTAATTGAGGGCGGTAACAGACACCAACAACCCGCCAAATCGATATCGATATTCACGGCGAGTGCGTGAATGACTCAGGGCTGGTGAATGGAGGGGAGATGAGATCAAAACCAAGGGCGTAAATCACATCTGTATTTGCTTGCAGCCAATTCAGGTAGATTGGTTTGAAGTGTGCTGACGATAGATGCAGATAGTGGCCCTTTAAGGAGCTCAGCCATGTCGACCACAGACAGGTTCGAACAAGGCCAACCCATGCCAGCATGCCCCAAGTATTACATCTCCTGGAAATGGCCTTACCAAGCATGATGCAGGCTTTGTGCATCAATTATACAGATGTGATATTGCACCCTTGATCAACCACCATCGGTCGAAACATAACAATACAACGATAAAATTCCATACTCACCGATGACAATAAATCCAGAGGATCTGGCATTGGGGTAGCTGCCTGGTTGATATAACTCCACGAGGACAGCTTGCTTGAATCGGTTGTGAATCTTCGTTGCAGATTGGCGCGCACATCATGGGTTGGTCGAGAAAATCCAAAATTCGAATGTCCTGGTGAGAGGGCGCTATACCCAGGAAAAGCAGACTCCGAGGGAGGCGAACGAGGTGATGGGAATCGCAGCTCGTCGAGGCGTTCGCTAAGCCCGTTTTTGAAAGCCATAGTGGGCAGAGCAGCTAAATTATTCCACTACGAATCCAACAGTCTGAGGTCAGCATAAGGGTCTCCTTATCCACAAGCGTTGGCCTGCAGTGCTTCTTTTAAGACATGGAAAGTTGACAGTGATAAACCAGCCCCAGCTATTCAAGGCCACGAGGTATGGAGGCTAGGGAAAGGAAAGGGATTTGACAGGTTTGATATGGGCTAGCGGTGTGATGTGATATATTTGAAGGCAATTCCCTAAGTAAGGGGAAGGTCGAGAGGGGCCGGAGGGGTTTTGGTCGGGGAAGATCTGCAGTTGCGGAAAAGGGCCCAACTCACACAATGAACGCCTCGAGAGGATATTCAAAATGATCAAAATCCGGTTGTCCTCCTCAGAAGATTCATCTATGGGTGGTTGAAGGTGCAATAGGGCAAAGAGACACAGAAAAAAATCAACGTCGTGGATTGTACCTGGAAATGCGGAGATCAGCCGCAGGGAATCGCAAGAGTGGGATGGAGCACTTACCGCTAAACTCTCCACTTAGCGAATGCACAAGACGATCTCGAACAAACGAATGTGTGAATTCAAAAAGCGAAAAAGAAGCAAAGAACCGAGGAACCAAGAGTATCCCCAAGGAACAATACAAGAGCTGTTGTACAGGGGGGGAGTGATGTGGTTTAGGGGGGGGGAGAAGGAAGAGGGAGAGGCTGGGAGAAGAAGGGGAAGGTCCAGCTTGCAGAGCGGGGAGTCTCTTCGCAACCCTAAATCGGGCATGGCCGTACAAAACCCCCCCTTTTTGGAGTAAAAAAAAAATTAACAAAAAATAAAAAATTAGGGTATGGTATAATCTATATGAATTTTGAAATTTAACAATTATCACTTTCTTTCCCCCTCGATCTAGGTAATCTGGAATCGGTTCTAAGGTTTTCCTTTGATACTCGATCTTGCCGACCGGCTTTACTAACAGATATCATGTTTAAACTCCGACTCGACTCTAGTCTATACATGATCATATTCGAACAGAACCTATATCTCTAAATTCCAGTGAGAATTTGAAGGCCACATCTGGGCAGACGATCACTCACAGTTACTCGGGGATTGCTCGGAGCCTACGCATGATTGGAGAGGATGCATCTGTACAACCGGATTACAGCTATATCCCTCCTCCGGGGAGCGAGCCCGGGATACATGGTCATATATGCCTAAGAGGCTCGATCCCTTTGACGTTCTTGTGCCCAGGTGCCCAGGTGGATTGGGGAGGATTTTTTTTTCATCACTTTTTTTTTCACTCTTTTACATTTCCCCTTTCATCTTCTGGTCAATTCGGTACTAAACCAAAGATTTGAACAAGACAATATGGTGCACCTCGAAATATTCATGTCTCATGAATCTCTAGATTCAGTCTCAGGCAAGGGGGAAAGTCCAGAAAAGCGGAGAGAAAAGATGCGCTGTTCAGGAAGAGCGTGGCAGCTGCAGGTCTATGATTCTATGCCAATTGAGCAGCCACTGTATCGGTTTAGAGAAGTGGAGACACACCGAGTGCAAAGATGTGACAGCGGATCATCCTCTCAGGTAGTTAGCCACCGCACGGGGCGACTGCGCTGTACCTGGATCGGAGCCCTAGGATCAGTGGGACTTCTGGCAAATCATTCAAGTTCTCAACTGCAGTTGAACTCGAACTTGTGATTATTAATGTAATTTTTGGTATCATTCGGTGAGACCTGACCAATATTGACTCGGATTTCATGTTCGAGGTAAAATTGAATATAATTTAGTAAAATTTCCAAAACTCGGGAAAATCAATAGAAAATAGTAAACTATTTTCTTCGTGTTAATGGTTCGCGTCGCCACTATACGTGGTTCCCAAGGTTCGTGTATGTGTGGGAGACCCATGGATCCGCTCTTCAATATTGACAACATCTGATTGTTTGAAATGAAAGAAACGAAAGAAATGAAAGATTTTCATCTTTTTCTTTTCTTTTTTTCGTCCTCCATTCTTCAAAATGATTAAATGAGAATGAAACATAGTCTGATTGGTAGTGCTCTATGTAAAGGTGGATAAATTATACTAATTGGAATTGCTATTTAGCCCTACTCCATAGTAAAAATGCCCAATGCTCGCGATAAGGGACTCGGCTGGTAAGAAGAGCGGTGAACCTGATACAAGCCATTGGCGCCGATCTTGTCCTTTAAAGCCTCTGATCCACCAACTGACGAGCATGCTCACGGATTGTGGAGATCCTGCATCAAACGAACCCCCCCAAATCTCCCTTCGCGCTGGTATCGGAGACCGGATCGCCAATCATCACGGACCACTGCCCCTCCTCTAACGACTTGGGGCCATTTTATCTCCCCAAACCCCTCATGCATCTAAATTACTAGAATCATCGGTCTAGATCGGAGTATCGGGTCTGTGCCCTCTCTCATCCCTTGTGATGCCCTACTGCCAAGTTTGAAAAGAAGACAAAAGGGTAAGAAAAAGAGAGAAACAAGAAAGAAATTATCAATGTGCATTGAATGATCTCAGAACCGGGTAGAATGACACATAGCTCTCGGGTCGCAGCACGACTTACCGAAGGATTCTCCTATGGCCGCCATCCGAGCCTGGCGCCCATTTACTCCATGTCGAGGCCCAAAAGATCTCATTTCAACCAAACAAATCATTCAAATGTTCTTCATGCCCAACGCCCAAATTACCGACTGATTCGCAATGGTTACACCGGATTTCCCGTCTCAAGTTTCTTCGGCAACTGAGTCCATAAGGGGAGATCTTCTCATATAAGCTCACCTGGCATCTTGAGACCCATCCATGCACCATCTGCAACAAAAAAGTTTGAATTCGGCCACCTGGCGATTGGCAAATCATCCCTGACATACAGGCCCCGCTTCTTAACACTCATCCCTGCGGCACTTTTAGAATGACTGGTAGCCGCATTTTCCTGCTCATCATCAACCCTAACGAAGTTTGTCGGTCCGAAGCGCAATAAAGAAAAATAAATAAAACAAAAGACAAAAAAAGACAAAAAAAGACAAAGATTGTACCCGGGCCGGTTCCATCCTCAGCCACGTGTCATAGATTTCTCCGGGATTCGATTTGTCTTTATCTTAGATTCGGAATTTTGGGGATTTGCAGTTGCAGTTGGGGGCATTTGTGATACATTCCAAGGTTATCGTTCAGTCTGTCGCTGACGTAGCTATGGCCTGCATAGTATGAGGTTAAGACCCCGTTGTAAATGATTTACGGCGCATTCGGATTCGTGGGTCTGGGGGAAATATTTCCTGGAGAAATGCCCCAAGATTTGACTATTGGCCCCAGTGGCGATATTCAAGTCGTCAAAAAAGGACCGAAGTTGCGGTCTGGCTACTATTTGCCACAAAATATCACACATGTGCAAGTATTCCAGACTCTCTGAGGCGTTGATTTCGAGGTTGAGAATGCCAACGAATCAAAATCCCACAAACGCAATGGCCTCTGTGAAACATGCCTATTAATATTATTCCCTGTTCCTTAACTATGGCTCGCCAATTATGTATTCAAATTTCTTTCATGTTGGTAAAAAATCACACAAGCCCCTCGAAATGGGAGAAACTGTAAGACAAGGTCCCATGATGAACATTTGAGTGTACCAACTTGGAAATAGGCCTGTCCAGGTTCCAAGGTTCAGGATCTTTCTATCCTTTAATACTGACTTAACCTCACATGAGACAGCCTCAGGATGTTTTATTTTAATGCCTGGAGCCATGAGTAGGTAGATCATGTACGACCACCAGGCTAAGTGGGTTCTAAACCCGTCGTCCGTGCAGACTCCAAAACGTCCGCGTGCGAAGAATAGTATCAGTGACCCACTTGGACACTTCAGTACGTGTTTTTGGAAATAATCAATGTGACCCTAGTACTAGTACAAACTTGAAGAAAAGGGTGTTCTCGTTCGTGTCCTGGCCTCAAGTGCTCTGTCTTTTTCCAGGTGTTTATTCTCCGTGGTAAAGCGCTTCTTTCCTTCGGCCTTGTCTACTAGTAAACGATGTACAGAAGTATTGGTGGGTAGAAACCTGAATTTACAGGTTTCAACCCCTCGGGGACATTGGCAGTCACATAAAACATGGGACATGTTTTCTTTTACTAGTATTCACTCGCAACACTAATGAGATGGACAAAACTCCGAGTCCATGGCTTCAGGTTTGATATTTGTCATTCCGAGTCTCTTTGGGTCAAGCACTATAGTGCGGCCAGAGAGTTGACTCATAATTTGAATCAGCTCCTTTACCTTGCGTACCTAGCTACTATGAATTTAGTGCGCTATTGAACCAAGACAGTGAATGTAATTGTATCCAGTTGACCTTGATAAGCGGCTCTATAGTATCCATCCATCCATTCACTGGCACCTTTCTGCCTTAGGTGTCAATGCACTAACCAAAAATGGATAGCTTATTGATTAGATAAGCCTATCTCCAAATTCTCTCTTCCCCTCCACCTGGAATGTCGCCAGTGACCATCTTGCGATCGCCTTCAACCTGGTTAAGACTCATTGACCTGAGAGCTCTGAGAGTCTGAAACTCCAGAACTTAGTTCATTGTCATTATGCCGCCTCGAAAGAGGCCCTCGGCTTCTGCAGCCAGTCAAGGCCGACGGCCCTCGCAGGTAACAAAAACTTTTTCCCCCGCGCGGTAATCAATTCTAAGTTTGCAAGAGACTAACAATTTCTTGTTGTTACAATTTTTAGATGAATCACCAGCAAGAAGCGGATGCCCTGAAAGCGAAGCAGGCCTCAGCCCAAGAACAGGCTTCATCAACCATGCCTGCCAATGCGAACAATGTAGCCGACGACGACTATGTGAAGTACCAGCATCGTGATCCCTTCGATGCGCTTTTGGAGCCCTTCTACTACAATAAGTCCTTGACCGATCCTATCGATACTGCGAAGGACAAGTGGAACCTGCTCCCTGCCTTCTTGAAAGTCAAAGGTCTCGTGAAGCAGCACATTGACTCATACAACTATTTTGTCGAAGTGCAGCTGAAAAAGATCGTGGAATCCAGCGGAGTGATTCGCAGCGACATCGACCATCAGTTCTACATCAAGTTCACAAATATCTATGTCGGATCCCCTCGGCGCGCAGACGAATCTCAGGATGGTGGTATTGACTTCCAGTCTGATGTTACTCCACAGGAGTGTCGACTTCGCGACACTACCTATGCTGCACCAATTCTGGTTGACTTTGAGTATGTTCGCGGGCGGCAACGAGTCGTGAGGAGAGGCGTTGCCATCGGAAGAATGCCGGTAATGCTGCGAAGTTCCAAGTGTGTACTGGCCAACAAGACGCCAGCGCAGATGACCCTTTGCAATGAATGTCCGCTGGATCCCGGTGGTTATTTTGTCGTGAACGGAACAGAAAAGGTTATCTTGGTTCAGGAGCAGCTGAGCAAGAACCGAATCATTGTGGAGACGGATCCAAAGAAAGAAATTGTCCAGGCCTCAGTGACTAGTTCTTCCAATGAGCGCAAATCGAAGAGTTACATCGTGTTGAAGAAGGATCGACTTTATGTCAAGCACAATGTTCTCAGCGAGGATCTTCCCATCGTTGTGATGTTGAAAGCTATGGGAATCCATACTGACAAGGAGATGTTGCAAATGGTAGCAGGATCTGACAGCCTCTACCAGGATGATTTTGCTATCAATTTTGAGGAGGCTGTCAACTTGGGAATTTACACCCAGCAGCAAGCCTTGGACTGGATGGGTTCTCGGATCAAGATCAACCGCAAGACCGGCGCATACCGCAGAACCCACGTACAAGAGGCAGTTGAAGCCATTGCATCAGTCATTATCTCCCATATTGAAGTCAAGGATATGAACTTCCGACCCAAGGCCATCTATGTCGCTAACATGGCACGTCGTGTTTTGATGGCTAAGAATGACCCTGCTATGGTAGATGATCGTGATTACCTCGGAAACAAGCGTTTGGAATTGGCCGGTCAGATGTTGGCTCTTCTATTTGAAGATCTTTTCAAGAAATTCTGCTTCGACATCAAATTGAATATCGACAAGGTCCTGAACAAGCGCAATCGAGCGGAGCAATTCGATGCATGGAGTGTTGTTAGCATGCACGGCAATCACATCACCCAGGGTATGAACCGAGCAATTTCAACAGGTAACTGGAGTCTGAAGCGTTTCCGTATGGAACGTGCTGGTGTTACTCACGTCTTGAGTCGACTGAGCTATGTCGCTGCTCTTGGTATGATGACTCGTATTAGCAGTCAGTTTGAGAAGACTCGAAAAGTCAGTGGTCCCCGTGCCTTGCAGCCATCGAACTTCGGCATGTTGTGTCCAGCAGATACCCCCGAAGGAGAAGCTTGTGGTCTGGTCAAAAACTTAGCTCTCATGACACATATCACCACCAACGATGAAGAAGGCCCAGTACGAAACCTGATTTTCATGCTGGGTGCGGAGGATATCTCGACCGTCAGTGGAATGCAGCTTTATGCGGCAGGAACATACACAATCTCCATCAACGGTACACCAACTGCTTTGACCAGGCGGCCGAAGAATTTCCTGAACTCCTTCCGCAGGTTACGACGCATGGGTAGGATTTCCGAGTTCGTCAGCATCTACATCAACCACCATCAGCGCGCTGTTCATGTCGCAACTGATGACGGTCGTATTTGTCGACCACTTATTATCGTCGAGGACGGCAAATCTCAAGTCACACGCCACCACTTGAAAAAGTTACGGGATGGCAGAATGTCTTTCGATGACTTCCTCGCCCAGGGTCTGGTTGAATATCTTGATGTGAACGAGGAGAACGACTCATACATCTCCATTTACGAAAAGGATATCAATGAAGCCACGACTCATCTTGAGATTGAGCCCTTCACTGTCCTTGGTGCAGTTGCTGGTCTTATTCCCTACCCTCATCACAACCAATCTCCTCGAAACACTTACCAATGTGCCATGGGTAAACAAGCCATTGGTGCAATTGCCTCCAACCAGTTCCAGCGCATTGATTCAATTCTTTACCTCATGGTGTACCCACAAAAGCCTATGGTCAAGTCCCGAACCATCGAGTTGATCAAGTACGATCAACTTCCTGCTGGACAGAACGCCACTGTCGCTGTCATGAGTTACTCTGGTTACGATATTGAGGATGCCCTGGTACTGAACAAGGGCTCGGTCGATCGTGGATTTGGACGTTGCCAGGTATTCAAAAAAATACGTCACCAACCTCAAGAGTTACCCGAATGGAATGAAGGACCGCTTGAATCCCCCCTGAGTACGAGAATGATGCCCCGATCCGCAAGCATGCTCTTTTGGACCACGATGGTCTAGCTGCCGTGGGAGAACTAGTCAGTGCGGGTGAGGTTTATATCAACAAGGCCACACCTGACCAGGCCCACGCCACTGGTTTCATGGGCTCTGATACTGGAACCACTAATTACAACCCTGCTCCTATGACCTACAAGTTACCTGATCCCGCATACATCGATAAAGTCATGGTCTCTGCCACAGAGGGTGAGACTCAGCTCCTTAAGATTTTGACCCGACAGACTCGCCGTCCTGAGGTAGGCGACAAGTTCTCCTCCCGTCACGGACAGAAGGGTGTCGTTGGTATCATTGCCGACCAGACCGACATGCCTTTCACCGATTCAGGCATCAACCCCGACATTATCATGAACCCGCACGGTTTCCCCTCGCGTATGACAGTCGGGAAAATGTTGGAGTTGGTTGCTGGTAAAGCCGGTGTACTCTCTGGAAAACACGGCTACGGAACTTGCTTCGGTGGCACTCCCGTCGAAGAGACGTCACAGATGCTTATCGACAAGGGTTTCAGTTATGGTGGTAAAGAGTTCCTCACGTCTGGTATCACTGGCGAGCCTCTCCCCTTCTATGTCTTCACTGGCCCTATTTACTACCAGAAGCTTAAGCACATGGTTCAAGACAAGATGCACTCGCGTGCTCGTGGTCCCAAGGCAACCCTGACTCGCCAACCTACTGAGGGTCGTTCGCGTGATGGTGGTCTCCGTCTCGGTGAGATGGAGCGTGATTGTCTTATTGCGTACGGAACCAGCCAGCTTCTCTTGGAACGTCTTATGATCTCCTCTGATCGCCATGAGGTCGATATTTGTGAGAAGTGTGGTTTCATGGGATTCCTGAACTGGTGTCCTGGCTGTAAGTCTACTCGCTCTGTCACGAAGATGGTCATTCCCTACGCTGCCAAGCTTCTCATTCAGGAGCTACTGAGTATGAACGTGGCTGCACGACTCAAGTTGGATGACGAATTCCCAGAGATGAAGGGCTGTTAAGATAGTTGGAACGGGATACATTGGTTTGGTTCTTTGTTTTTCTTCCTATTATTTTTCTAGCTAGAGCTTGTTCACGGTGTTATGGAAAAGAAAAAAAGAACCATGAGAGATTCAGGTTAATGTGTACATTGAGTTCATGATGAATGGCATAGCGCGGCGATTTGAGCATTACGCATCTACTTTCCAACCAACCACCAGTATCAACGTAAAGAAAAAAACATAAATTGTAATTTTATTAGCTAAAAATGATCGACACAAAAAGAAACAAGGCGTAGACAACAATCAGAAACTGCAAAATTGAAATTTTACCAGACATCCAGATGTCCGTCATAACCACCAGACTGCGACTCGACCCAAACGCCCACTAAAGCATTAGCACCCTGGACTCAAACGCAACATGCTGATACCGCATAAACTCAATCAACTCATTCAAAAAGTTGAGCCTCTCCTCCAGCGCCTCAGTCAAGGACATGGGCATATCACCCTTATTATCCTTATTGTCAAGCGCCAACGCAGCCATAGAAGCAGCCAAGTTCTCCTCATCACCCCCACCAACATTAAGCGTCCAATCCAGTCTCTGGGGCGGGATATTAGCCGTGGAGATAATCCTGATATTAGGATCAATAAGATAGAACGTCAGAAAGCGTATATGACCTGGTTTGGACTTATCCTTCAGCTCGAATTTGGTGAGTCGGTGTTGAACGGTGCTGGGATACATCACTACTCGACCCATTTTGCACTGGATCGCGCCTGTGCGTTGCACGGCTGGTTCGCCATTTTCCATGCCGAAGATTTGCTTCAGCCAGATGAAGTCGCTCGGCTCATGTTCTACTTCGGTAAAGGCGTCGATGTCGATTATGTTGCGGAATTCCATCGATGGTTCTTCCATGTTTTCGAGGTCGTAAATCAGGAATGCAGCGGCACAGACGTGTTCATTCTGTAGGAGAATTATGTGTTAGATTAACATTGTTTCAGAGTGCAGCATTATTTCTACTTACCATTTGTCCTTCTACATGCCACTCTGTTTGGTAGTACGGCTCATCGGGAGTCAAATCCACGCCCATCATCCGCGTGATAACCTGCAGACCACGGTCCTTGTAATCCTTATTGAGATTAACGCTCTGCTCAATGCGCACAGGGGCAGGGAGATCTTCTGGTAACTTGTCCATCATGCAGTGCGGAACAGCCCAAGGAACGAATTGACCAACATCAGGCTGAATAGCACGGAAGTGTTCCATTCTCCATTTTTCATAACGGATATCAAACTCCGACTGTGCCTCTCGATCCTTAATCTTCGGTGCTTGGTCGATTATTTCTCTAGGAACAGGATAATATTCCGCCTTGTGGTATTCAATTCTCGCACGAGAGTGCAACATATCCTTGAGAGGAGTCATAGTCATATCCCACTGTGGGACGAGACAGTTAAACACCTTCTCAATGATACTGTATATGTTGCGGTGTTTCAGCGGGTGCAGATTGTTGATGTAGGTCGTGATATGCCATTTTCCATCGTCGCCGAGTTCCAGGTCCGATGGTAGGATCTGAAAGTTCCGGCTATAGGGCCTCACTTTGATATCTGAACGTGCGGATACACGCCAGGCAATATCTTCGCGAGTGATTCCCGTCTCCTTCGGGATGGGAATGACTTCTCCTTGTCCTGCATGACGAAGTGCTTCATCAAGGCCGATGAGAGTGTCTGGAAGGATGCGACTCTTGCCGTAGATAAGTGGGTAAAGGGCCATGGCAAGCAGGTCTCGCTGCATGGATAGACCGCCAGGGTGATAGAATTTCAGTTCGGGGTCGCTGTACTCGAGAACTTGGGCTGCTGACTTCAGCTCCTCCGTCAGTGATATAGGTACGTTCGTGTCCGATTTGGTCATGTCGCCGTTGTAGAGGGCTACGGCGTGGCTCTGCTCGTATATGAGTGCTTTGAACTTCAGTTCTTCGATGATCCACTCAGTCATGTTTTTGGTGATGTCCAAGCCGCTGTTCTGAGCCACCTTCTTCCACTCCTGTGCGGTTTTAGGATCTTGTATCTATTGCAAATTGAGCTTTTATTCATATATCAGAAGTTGAAATCTTGATGAATACCTTTTTCCACCACTCGGGAATATCAGTCAAATCTTCCATAACTTCCACCATAGCGATTTCACGGAGAGTTTGAACGGGCAAGCTATCTCATTTTGTTAATTGTATTACTAGAGGAACTCATTACTGACTTACTCGGCATATCCATTCTCGATATCTCGATCATCGAGTGCAGACGGGAACATGCTACGGCTTTCTACTCCGTAGATGTTCTTCTCTATTGGATAAAAGTCCAATGGCCGGCCGTATCCAGGAAGTGAGAACCGACAGTCCTGACTTTGTCTGGCTTTCATGAAAGCCTGGTCGTTGGCCTTGTGTTGGAACATGTTTGCGGTGACTCGGATTTTGTAAACAAAGAGCTTGGAGGAATTTTATACTGGTGAATATTTAGCAGGGACTTGAAGATGGCAACAGCAATACTTGATATATAGACTCACAATAATCAAGACCAAATAGTTGTCTCAAAATCGCATAGATGATTCACGTTATGCCATGAATATTCAGAAGAGAACTCCCTCAAAAGACTTCAATTTACGCCGGGAAGCCGGCTAGGAACCCAGAGTATGATGCACTGCTGTCGTCGTTAGAGAGTCTTTTCTCATTTTTTCAGGACGAAATAGGCGTAATAAGGGGAGCAACGGAACTCAGTTCCGGTAACAGCCCTGAAGGCCAAGGCATACCATGGTAACCCTATAGATGTTTGGTAGAACATACCGCAGCTTGCCGGAAGAATGATCATAATGACTAAACAGCATCAGCCGTGGAGGTATGAGAACTTTGAAGCCAGTTTCAATCTCTTGGACAGTAAGTACATATTGGATAAATCTGGAGCGCCACTAATTTCTTTTCTCCACCCATTTGAAATACAGCTCTACCTAATATGAGCATTTGGCCCTGATATGGAGACTCGGAGAGAGAAAAGCGTGCTAGCAGGAATTGACGGGGAGAAAGAGTGAGATCCCTGTATAGGCTGATGGATAGTACTTATAATGAATGTCCTGTTTTGATTCCTCCTAGTCTGCTCAAGTACCACAGCGAGCAAGAATAATGGATTCTGTGGTGGTGATGGATGTAGTATAAACTGAAGCTATTCGCACCCGGGCACTGGCAGAACCTTGGAATCGCTCTCCCTCTCTACCGATTGTGGGATCGAAGCCTGATTTTGAAGACATGATTATACCGCTTCCAAGTCTTGAGACATGAGCGGTAATTGAGACTTGAGCGGTAAATAATCCTTAACAATAGCCCAATACCGTTCCGGGTCCATCTTCATAGCCATAACATGATCCGCATCCTGAAATTTCTCCCGACGCACAACAATCCCACAAGCCTCAGAGTCCTTGATATGATCCTCAACATGATCCGATGAAATGATCTGATCAGAATCAGAATAAATATAACAACGCGCGAGACCCTTCGCCGGAGGCTGATAAAGACTCTTATCATTGATTCTCCGACTAGCAACATCCATGGGTCTGGGCATGCGAGTAATCCTTCGAATAACCTCCAGAGTAGCAAGGAACATCCACAGCATAGTCTTGGAAATCAATCGCCAGATCCAGAATTTTGGAAGCTGGAACGCGATTGCCTTCATACCTGACGCGACGGTCGCAATGCCAGGCGCACTATCAACGATCATTGATGAGACAGGTAAGGGGCGGCCTGTCTTTTGTTTGAACAGGCGCATTAAATGAGCCATCTTGAAGACACCGCCGTTTGAGAAGACGTGGATGAATGCGGGATTGGTCGGTGTAGCGAGATCGCGGAGCGCATCCACAGCGTGCGGAAGCCTAACATCTTGTGCGGCATCACGGTAGTGGAAGGTAAAGTCATTTGTTGCGGAGAGGAGAATCACAATGCGAGATGATGGTAGCATGCGACGATACTCTGAGACATATCGAGCCACGGGACGAGGGCCAGCGTTCATCCAGAATGCTAGGATAATTGGGGGTGCATTTGAGTTGTTTATTGAGTCTTTCTCGGGATCCGAGATGTAGATGACCTCGGTGAGTTTTTTGAAAGCCGATAATGCGGCTTTGGGATCTGCTGTCATGACGAGACTTCAGACTCCAAACAATTAGAATGGAAACGACAAAGTTTGAAGCTGAGGTTCTGGGTCAACTGGTTGCAATAATCGGTGTTTGAATATTGGACGCTAGTGCCTCGGCATACAGCTTCATTAGTGGGCCTCCCCACATCTCAACTTATGCAAAGTTATGCTGTAAGTAGCCTCGTGCTAGATTACTATGCATCCCAGGCTCTAGTCACATTTGAGGGGTCAACTTCCAAGGTTTCGGTAGTCACGAAGTATCTACTACTAGGTACTAGTTATACTAAGAGAATGATTTCGGCTCTTTTCCAAGGTTATACAACTTGAACTGCAATTGGGCACATGCATGTGGTTCATACCAATTGAAAATACATAAAGTCCACATGCTCAGAACATTCAAATTTGAATGAGTGAGTCAGGAAGTAGTCCTTAGGTCCTATTGGCATCGATATTAGGAAATATCTACGAAGAGAGGAACAATTGTGGAGCCATAGAAAGGATATTTAGTTAAAACCATGCACCTATAACGCCAACCTCGCTATGCCCACGAAAAAGTCCTCGCCGCACATCTAGAGGCTTCATCTAGTTTTCATTATCACTCGTCAGGTGCATTAGCGCTTCGCGTTCCCCAAAGTTCGTCCACCATCGGCTCTGCCCTTGCCCTTCTGGCTATCAGCCTCGCTTCCAGATGTGGGGGTGGCCGAGCCACCAAGATCCTTCTTCTTTCCACCACGCAACGTCTGACCAAGGCCCTGGAACTTAGGTTGATCCTGATCCTGAGGAATAAGTTTACCGTTCTCATCCCGTGGCTTGGGCGGTGTGATGGTGTACCCGAAAAAGAGTTGGTTGGGGGGGTAAGCGGAGGGGCTGGGGGCCATTAGTTCGGCGGGCTGGCGGGGGATGCAGAGGATTGGCAGCGCCAGGAGTAGGGGTGGTCGGCTTGGGGGTAGGTGCCTTGCTACCCTTCTTGGCACTTAATCGTTGTCCTTCTGATAAGAAATTCGAAGATGCAGCTCGTGCGCCGGATACAGCATCTGTAGCGTCGGGTGCAATGGCGGCGTAATTGATAGCCTGGGCCATAGTACCGTTGGGATGTAGAAGCCCACCAGCAGGGAGCCTGCCGTTATTCATAACACTGCCCGGTGTGCTAGTTCCACTCGTGCGTTGTGGTTCTTCATATCCAACCGGAGTAGCAAAATCGACTTCCAGATCAGTTTCCAAAACAGACACAGCATTCTTAGCGCCGGATGGTTTGGTCTCTAGGACTGCCATTTCATAGACTTGATCATTGTATCCAAATGTGAAGACATCGCCCTTGGTGAGACACGAGAAGTTTCGGAATGCATTTTCGAGCACCGCCTTGGGATCGCTGATGTCCAGGAAGGAAGTAGATTGTGCTTGGAGCTTAATAAATTGACCCGGAGGAAGGTCTGTAGACTTGATCTGGAGCAAGTCACCGGGTTCCAATATTAATGTTTGCATAAGCTAATCACAATGGCACATTGTCAGCATGTCACTCAAGATGTATAAACCGTTGGATTCGCATTAGAGATAGGACACACCCAGTATGGAAGATAAATCTTGCCTTCCTCAGCAATAAACTCAAGGACACCTGCATGTGTCATCCGTTCTTTGGCACCATTGTGAAGCTCAAAGAGCATAGGATAGGTGATGTGAAGGCGGGTAAGTTTGTCAAGGGCGCTAGGCGGCATGATAACCTTGCCGCCGTGATTGACATTCTCTCTCTCGGGACCAGGAAGCATGGCGACGGGGTAGCATCGGTAGTATTCATCAAAGCGACGAGGAGTCGGTCCTCCACGGAGCATGCCAGACCCCATTATGCCGTCCATGGGGTCGTCGGACCAGTAGTCATTGCGGAACTGGAGCTGTTAGGAGCTATGCAAATATATATAGGAAATTAATGATTGAGAGGATCCTGTCTCACCATGATTTCAGAAAGAAATGGATACTCCGAATGTGGTGAATTTAAAAAGGGAATGAAATGTGGCGAAGATAAAAGAAGAGTTGTAGGTGAAGCAGATCATCAAGTGACGAACAACTCGCCGAGATCCAAGTGACGCAAGTTCGCTCCGCTATGATTTTCCGCTCCGACCCCGGTCCCAAGATGAGAGCATAGCTTCCAACTTACACAACAGTCTCTCTTTTTTTCCTTCTTTGATCTATTTTTTTTATTTCCTCAACCATGGCAAGCTCACAGCCAAGACCTAAAAGGGGAGGAGAGTCCTTTGCCCGCACACACCACATTGAAGATGACCCCGAAGACCCTTCTGATACCAAGAAACCTCGATTTGACCTTCGCAACCCCTCCGCGCTAGCGCCCGATGCGCTTGAGGAAGATGCAGTCCTAGATGCAGATGAGATTGGCCGGCGAGGTCAGAAAGTCGGCCGTAAAGCCATTAACCTCGACGGTTACGATTCAGACAGTGAAAATGAGGGATTCTCAGCGCGCATGGAACAAAAAGCCAAAAAAGATCGCGCAGCCGAGGACGACGACGATGACATGTTTGCCGAGCTAGAAGAAGACTTTGGCGATGAGGAAATCGACGCCGATGAACGCAAGAACAAAAAATCCGTTCGATTCTTACGAGACGACGAAATCGAGGGCCAAGTCTCTTCTTCTAAGGGTGGAAAAGCGCTGCATGCGGATTTAAGAAAGACAAACCCGGATGAGCTCGATGCTGAGGAAGACGCAGACAGTGAGAGTGAGGTCGGGGAAGAGGAGCGTGCCATGGTTGACAATGAGATGGATGAAGAGGTTGGTGCTGGTGCGAAGAAGAAGCATGCGCCATTACTCGATGCGTTCAACATGAGCACAGAACAAGAGGAAGGTCGATTCGATGAGTCGGGTAACTTTGTTCGCAAGGCTATCGACCCCGATGCTGTCTACGATTCATGGTTGACCGGAGTCTCCAAGAAAGATATACGCAAGGCGAAAGAAGCCGCAGAGAAACGCGACTTGGAGAGGAAAGAGAAGGACCGAATGGACGACAGTGTACTGACATCTGATATTCTGAAGACTATCATTGTACATCTTGAGCGTGGAGAGACGATATTGGAAGCTTTGGCTCGACTAGGCAAAGGCCTAAAGAAGAAGCCGAAGTGGCAGAAGAAGAAGAACAAGAAGAAGAGCGACATCGATGACACTGAAATGACTGAGGAAGACCCAGAAGAGGCTTACCGGCGTAAGGCTATCGATGCCATCACCGGTGCAGCGGATCTGCTCATGGGCCGAGATCAGCCTGAGATCTACGATACCGAGCGCGAGCTTCTCACACGACAATATCGCAACGAGACCGGAGAAGACTGGGTTGACCCACCTTCAGGACCTGTAGATGCCCCGGCCAACGAAAGACCTGCAATGTGGGAGTATCGCTGGTCAGATGCCCGAGATGGCGGTGCTACTAATGGCCCTTATGACAGCGTCATGATGACTTCCTGGAACAACGCTGGCTACTTTGGTGAGGGCGTCGAGTTCCGTCGCGCTGGAGATACAGGGCCATGGAGCGCTACAGTCCAATTCGTGTAAGATAGTATCAATTCAAACCGGATGTTCCATTGGATCCTAAAATAATACCATAAGAAATGAAGAGAGAATACCACATCAACAAGCGCCTGTCCTATTCATACATCAAACGATGTGATTCAAAAAAAAAGCAAATAATAAAAAGGAATCAAGAAAAGCAGTGTAGTTTTTTTCAACCCGCTAAATCATCTCCGTGAGATCCCCGTAAGTTGTAAACGCATGGTACAGAATATTATGAGATCTCCATAGCATCGCCATTGGTAGTTGCTGCAAAGGACACTGTGCCTTGGTCTCCAATGAATCGCTGCTCGTACTGCTTGACATACTCAACGCTACGAGCGGGGTCATAGAACAAGCGGAAGCTGCGCTGGACATCGTCCACGCTGACCTCCTTAGCCTTGCGCTTCTGACTCAGCAGATGAGAAGTAGTGATGATATTGCTGGCATAGCGAAGATTTGACTCTTGGCCAATCTTGGTCAAGAGAGCCAGGGCATCTGGAGAGACGTCGATCTCCTCTTCCTGGGCACGGATGGCCAGGATTTGGCGAATCTCATCACCGGAGTAAGGCTGGGTGCTAACAATGACAACACGATCGAGGAAGTCAAGGGGCAGGCCGTGAGGGGACGTGTAAGTAGTTCCTCGAATGCGCGCATGGCCGCGGTTACTGGCCATGATGACAATGGGAGCTAATTCCGCCTCTAAAGCACGATTAATGTAGGAATAGCACTCAATATCGAGCATGTGGACTTCGTCAATGAACAAGACACCAGGAATAATTTCCGCCTTGCCTTCTTCCTTCCATTCCGCCACCTTGGTGTTGATCTGGTCTCGGACCTCGCTGCGAATCTCGCCTGTGTCACCTGAGAACAGTGCCAGGAACCCCTGTGACCGCGAGTTGATCACATCAATCTCGTGAAGACTGACTGTGTGAACAATCTCCTTGCGAACCTGAAGCTCTCCCTCCGGACATTGGACAAACTTGGTATCAGCGCCCATAGCGTCGTAATCACGCGAACGAGCGTAAGACCGGCCGAGCTTGGTAATCTTGCCAGAGGACTTATCGATGGAAATCACATCTCCCGCCATGACTCGCTCCTTCGTCATCGAATCAATCATTTTTGTGCCCATGTCGTAAATCGTCTCCATATCCGTTGTCTTGATCGTGAGCTTTCCTTGTTTGTTGCCCTGTGATTGTTAGAATCTAGACTTCATTTCCTTCGAGGACAGAGAAATCCATCACTTACACCTGTGACGCTGCGGTCGATCTGAATCTCGACGACCTCACCCTCGATGATCTCACTCTCCTCCTTGATCCGCACACCGATCGACTTTCGGAAGGCCTGTGTCAGAGCCTCTGTCTTGGACATTTCCATGGAGAATATTTCGGACGAAGCGAGCATTGTGAAAGGTACATCGGATCCCAGCGACTGTGCCATACCCATCGCGATCGCAGTCTTTCCTGTGCTGGGAGGTCCAGCAATCAGAACGGCGCGACCTGCGATCTTACCCTCCTTCACCATTTGTAGAATAACTGCAGCGGCCTTGCGAGCCTTCTCCTGGCCCACAAGCCCTTGCGATGCCCCACGCGGTTGTAAAGTATCGAGATCGACTCCAAGACCTCTAATGTGTGAATGAGCGGCGATGAGGTTCAGCCCCCGGAGCTCCTTGCTCTCTGCGACGGTGGAAATTTGCTAGATTGAAACAGAATAAGTCAATTCCCAATCGAAAGTAAAGAATCTTAGCGGATCACTTACAGCAGCCATGATTACTGCCTCTGTGCTTTTTTTCAGGTCTCAGCAATATCACTTTTTGCACTGTCAAGATGAAGTGAGACCTCAATGGATCTGAAGCTGCGGAAGAAACAAGGGAAGAAGCCCGGTCCACTTCACCGCCCGGCAGTATGTTTCCACTTATCGCTTTACAATTTTGGCGCCCATTTTTGCTCGAGACAAAGAAAAATCCCAGGGCGACTGGAGTCTGAGTTCAATCTAATTATTTACAATCATATGGCAGTGATTTCTGCCTTCTCTCGAGCACTCGTTATCCCGTACCAGCTCCCAGGCTCTCATCTCAAGTCTAGTTTGCCTAAACCTACGCAATAAATACGCGCCTGTTTGCAACGAGATCCATTTGATAGATCACATTTCTTTTTTGGTAGTTCTCAATACCACAACAGGGGCGGTGTCGCTTTTCTATCTTTTGTATTATCGCGTCTCGGATGATGTACCGCATGTAAATCATCCGATACGGTGTGATATGTGCACTACGTTCAAAAACACCTGAACCCTACATCACGTCCTATTGAAGATACGCTCACTTCCCACGAGTAACATGGAGGTTGACATACCGACGCGTCCGTCCACAACGGGTGACCCCCGCTTAAGCAAGGGACCTCAACATCTCCAAATCAACACCTCCATCCTTTCACCTCGTCAAACCCCCTCAAATCTACCAAGCACTTCGCGCGTTCCTTCCGTTCCAGTACGATCCAAGTCAACATCGGATATAATCTCCGAAAATGAGGGTCCATCGAATGAAGTCGAGTCTCAAATTGCCGCCCCAGTCGAAGGGAATGACCTTATGAAAGCTTTATTTCAGTTTACAGAAACACGGTTTAAGGTTTTATCCGAGCAAGAGGAGAAAAAGAGACTGGAAAGCGCCGCTCTTCTCCACGAACGGGATGTAGAGCGAGTGAAGAAAACAAGTGCATTTCCTGCCGCTATGCACATGTTCAAGTGGGCAAAGGAAAAGAGCGATAATGAGATTGAAAAGCTCGATACATCGCTCGAGGAGCACCAAGCTGTCTGCCAGCAATTAATGGCTCAAATTTCCAGGAATGTGAATTTCGGTTTCTCTCCGGCATCTCCTATCTCATCCTCAAAAGCATTGCCTCCACCTCCGTCTTCCGAATATGACAAAGAGAGGATTGACAAGCTGACGGCTGAGGTTGAAGAGCTTAAGGAAACTAGTGACAAGATGGTGAACAGCGTCAAGTTTTATCAAGGCAGAATTAATCGTCTAAACACTGACGCTGATGAGTTTCAATCATGGAGGCAGAATCTTGAGACTGGTTTACTTCAATTGCCATTGCAGACAACGCCTGAAGCCATATCTAATTTGCCTCAAGATGTGAGAGAGGCCCAAGCAAAGGCCGATGAAGCGCATAGAATTGCGACCAATGCGAATCAAGAGAATTTCAGTGTGACACAGAAAGTCGATGCCCTAAAAACTGCTGTGTCACAAATTCCCCGCCCTGATTTGATTGCAATTGCCGAGCAGCGATCTTCGCTAGAGAACCTAAAGGCTCTTAGCGAAAGCCACACCTCGCAGATGAGCGAGCTTAAAATTTACGTTGATAACGCAATTAAGGGCTTGCCCAGTGGGGATCAACTACGTGCGCAACTTACAAATGAAGGACGTCACGTTGTACCCCAGACTCCCAACGACCGTGACCTGATGAAAACATGGGCCACCAGGTTCGAAGGCCTCGAAACAATGCAAGTGCAGCTTGAAAGTAAGACCAATGTTACATTGGAGCAGCTCAGACGTCTATTGCAGCAAGAGGGTCGTTGGAACCACACATCCGATCTTCTGGACAAATCTCTAAGGCTGCTCAAGTCTTGCGAAGTCGGAGTTCGGTCACTGGAGAAACGTTACGAGAACATCAACACCGGAGACTTGGTGAAGCAAATGTCTCGTTTCATAATAGAGACTTATTCCACGGTCCCTCAACTGAGAGAGGAAATCTTCGCTTACAAAACACAACTGAGAAATGAGATTCAAATTCTACAACATCGGACAAATATTGTTGACACCTCATCATCGATTTCCGACGAGTCGATGAGAAAGGTCGAAGACCTCATTAAACTCCAGCTTAGTCCTCTGGTAGAAGAGCAGTTTTCTCAGTCAGCGAGCATCACCAAGCAGCTCCGAGATCTTCATGAACTTCAAGGCAGACTTGAATCACACTCCACCGCGTTTCAATTACTCATAGATGAGGACATTAGCATACTCGGCAATAAGGGAGAGAAACTATCAGCCGACATACAATTATTGACCGAATCTTGGCAGAGTAAGCTTGGGGACCTAACAGGTCAGTTTGAGTTTCTTAAAGCATCTGTTGAAGATGTGCCAGGTTGGATCGAGAAAATGAAGGTTCTGGAGCCTGTGGACAGAATTCCCCAGATTCTAGACGCATTGGGCTCTGTTGACGATGTCAAAGAGATCCGCAATATCTTACAAGAAAAGAACAACGCTGTTAGCAGCTTGGAAAAGCTTAACGATATGATCGCGGATTTGTTTGGCGAACTAGGCGAAATCAGGAAAATGATTGAGCAGAATCCTGTCCTTCGACAATCACGTCGGTTGTCACCGACCCCTGTGACCACTGGTCAACTAGATGGAGCTGAGAAGATTCCCACTGAATCACATACCATTCCAAACGATGAACCTGTTCATTCTCCCGCTGCGCTCCATGGTGAATCCTCAGTGCCACCAGCCTCGGCACCAGCAGTCTCTGCCGCCGTGACTACAGCCCGAGCAAACTCAGTCCCATCAGCCCCAATCTCCGGAAACTCAACTCCAGGCCCAAACCCAGGGCTGAAAGTCCGAGGTCACGCCGAAAAGAGCCGTTCAAAAAGCAAAAAGCGTCGCAGATTGGCGTTAGACTCGGATAACGAAAGTCATTCATCTACATCTTCATTTCGCAACGGGACACCCACCAGTGTCAAGACCACGAAGCTTCAAAAGAGAAGCAAGATATGTGGCCCATGTACTGCTTAGTTGTCAGTTAGCTACTCACCATGGATGAAGAAAAGCCTGAAGAAAGCGTTGAGAGACGGCCGATACATTCTCATGAAATTATCTGTCTACTTCATTGATATCCATTTCGTTTGTCTGATACCGTCCATTGTCAAACACTTACAATACTAGTTAATTTTCCATTACTCTCCTAGGTAGATTTGACTTGTCGAACTTGAACCTTTCCTAGTAACTATGTTGGGCTCGCTTTTTTCGAGCGATGAAATGCAGTGGGACTCGGATAACGTATGAAGCATTCAAGCCTGTAATTATCTACCTGTCATGAGCTTCAAGATTAAGTGCTGGAGAATGTGAAATTCAAGTTACCAAGAAACTGCGGGGTGAGCGGTCTGTGCATCAGGATTCAGCGTCTAGGAAAGCATGAACTGTTGATATAATTGACCCTCAAATTTCATCTTAGGCTGTCAGTTGAATACTATCAGGGCTGTCTCTAATCATTCATCATTCGTCTCTTCAATCATTTCTTTGTTGTCTATTGAACATGTCTACTACGCCGACTCCTTATGCTATCTCAGTTTCGGACACAGCTCTTCAGGAGCTCAACCAGCGACTCTCTTGGGCTAAATTTCCAACCCAGTTCAAGTCCTCTGAACAGAATTCCTGGGAGTTTGGAGTTCCAGCCATAGAGTTGGAGCGACTAGTGACATATTGGAAGAACCAATTTGACTGGAAGAAAGCAGAGGAAGAATTGAACGAATTACCTCATTATCGTACGGAGATTGAGGTTGATGGTTTCGATATCCTAGATATTCATTGTCAGTCCGTCAAAAGATTTCAGTGAAGTCTCATACTATGACGCATGCTTACCAGAATTTACCAGTCATTCATCATGTCAGCCCTGTGAAAAATGCCATCCCTCTTCTCTTTAGTCATGGATGTAAGTATTGGATTGTTGTGCACTGCACTGAAGCGATAACATTACTAAACTCGACTCAGGGCCAGGGTCATTTATCGAGGTGAAGAAACTTTTGCCCATGCTACAAAGTGCTGATGATAAACCGGCATTTCATGTTGTGGCACCATCTCTGCCCAACTTCGGGTTCTCATCTGGTGTAACTGAGCGGGGATTTGGTTGGGCTCAGTACGCCGAGACGTTTCATAAGCTTATGATCAAGCTTGGCTATTCTCAATATGGTATTTCGCCGATGCATATCTTAATTGATTTAGAATTCTCCGTGCTCGTATACTAATTCTGGGAAATACAGTCACACAGGGTGGCGATCTTGGTTTTTGGATAACTAGGAGCATGGGTCTTCTTTACCCGGAACATTGCAGAGCCTCCCATATGAACATGGTGGTTTCTCAACCCCCCTAAATGGACTTCGAGTCCACTTTTGGCATTACAGCATGCTTTTCAACCATACACAGTCTATGAAAAAGAGGGCAGAGAGCGATCGGCATGGTTCCAGCATGAAGGTTATGGATATAACCTACTACAGAGCACGAAGCCTCAAACTATCGGGACGATTCTAGCAGAAAGCCCTGTTTCTTTGCTAGCGTGGATTTACGAGAAACTCCATGACTGGTCAGATGACTATCCATGGACTGATGATGATATTCTCACATGGGTCTCTATCTATTGGTTTTCCTTGGCGGGGCCAGAGGCTAGTGTTCGCCTTTATTACGAAGGAAGTCATCTTCGATCTGAAAAGCATTTATCATATGCGAAACTCATGGAATATATACCCGATGTCAAGATTGGGTTCGTGCATCTTCCCCGTGAGATCTCTGTGGTTCCTCGCACATGGGCAGCTGCGATGGGACCTGTTGTTCAGCAGACTGAATATGATCATGGTGGTCATTTTGCGGCTTGGGAGGTTCCCGAGGTCATAGCGCGGGACCTCCAGATGATGTTTGGGAAAGGAGGCCCATGTTTTGGAATTATATCGGAGAGAGATGGTTATTAGTTCAGATTCAAGTTGGTGAGAACTTGAACTCCTGAGTCTGAGCATAATACTACAAAGTACATACTAGTGGTGAGTACTTATGGAGAAGAATTTAGTACTTTGTCGTGTAGAGTGTAGAACAACATATTACCCAATTAGGCTAGTGTCAGGTCTCCTTACCTGTAATGACATCGAGACATTGAAAAAAGTACTTCAACCTCGTAAAATAAAAAGGCTTAGCTATTCACTCCGTCTAGGGATACAGTGCCAAGAGAAAGGAGAAAGCTGAATCAATCAAAAAATAACTCATACCTCATTCGCGCATGAAAAGATTATCCGGATGTCTTAGACCCCTTGGAAGAATGATGCCCCTTTTCGCCAGACTTGCCCGTCAATGAGATAAGGAGTCATTCCAGCCGCAAAGATGACCAACTAGAAGCGATAAGAGGCTCCAATATCAAATATTGGGGCGTGGAGACCCCAGAAAAAGGCCTAGTCTGGACGACGGCCTCCCGCCAAGCCATTCAATCCTAACGCTAGGTTCAATGATCAGCGGAGATCACTCCCTTGGCAGACATATTTTACATTCTGTCATCGCGCGTCGCCCGCGTTCCACATGAAGCCCCTGGGGTAAATATATGCGGGACTTGGTCCTACGTTGCAAATAGTCCCCTTTGAAATTTTCTCTCTTTTACGCTGCGATGGCGGCTTCCGTTCTTTACCTTTGAAGTTACCCAGGATTGTCGGGATTTCTAAAAGTCATGTCGAGCCATATCAAGTTTGTCGAACCGATCGAGAATAACTCACCTGCCGAATCCTCTAATAGGGGTAGGGAGATTGGTGAAAAGGCATCAAATCAACGGTCACTGTCTCCAGGCAGTGAGATTGTGTATCCGACAGGATGGAGACTCATACTCACCACGATAGGGTACGTGGAATTCCAAAGGGGGATACTTGCGGAATACTAGATGACAAGGACTGACTAAAAGTGTCTTGATAGGCTTTTGATCGGCTTCTTCCTCTCGAATTTAGACGTGACAATCGTCAGCTCATCTCTTACAAGCATCACGGATAGCCTGAATGGATTTGAGAAAAGGAGCTGGATTATTACAGGTTATCTGGCTACATACACAGGGTCGATGGCGATATGGACAAAGGCCAGTGATATCGTCGGGAGGAAACAGACAACGATGGCATCTCTTGTCATTCTACTTGCATTTTCAGTCGGATGTGGATGCGCTCAGACTGTCAATCAACTGTAAGAACTGCCGAATCCTTGGCTTTGAGAATTCTCCGAGACTAATATCCCGATCAAGCATCATTTTCCGAGCCCTTCAGGGAATAGGAGGTGCTGGTGCATATGCACTGGCAATCCTCTGCATCTATGAAATCGCCCCCAAGAGCAAGCTTCCGACTTACAGTGGCCTCATGGCGGTTTGTCTTGCGCTCGCATCTTTGATTGGCCCTATTGTTGGGGGTGCTCTCGCACAAAATGAGGCTTGGAGATGGGTCTTCTTCATTAAGTACGTGAAGAACGATCCTATCTCACGAAATAAACTGCTAATGCCAGCTACAGTGTTCCATTATGCGCTATTGCCATTGTGATCATTATGGTTTCTATGCCCAAACACTTTGGTCTAGACCAGCACACTCCTTCGTTCAGAACTCGGGCCTCATATCGCTCTTTTGCCAACCTCGACTTCGTTGGTTTCTTCCTTCTCATTGCGAGCTCTTTCTTGATTGTCACTGTCTTGAATGAAGCGAATCTGGCATTTTCATGGAGTTCAAAAGGCTCGATTGCTCTCATTGTACTCACTGGCGTCTCGTGGATTGCATTTTTCATCTGGGAATGGTACATTTCAAATATTGCAGGACAGGACCCGATATTTCCTAAACGCTGGCTGTATGATGGTCCTTGGATGGGTATTCTCATGTGAGTACAAGGATTAATTGCAGGCTTATGTGAAACTTCAAAACTAATAGCTCCCAGCTCCTCATTCCTCACCGGTGCCGTTTGGAACGTTGTCCTGGTCTATGTTCCACAGCAAGCTCAGATCCTATTGGATAAATCGCCTCTCGATTCAGGTATCTACTTGATCGCATACTCTGCTGTTGCAGCTTTAGCTGCGGCTATTGTCAATATTGCCAGCTCCCGCGGACGCATCCCATTTGTTTATTCCTTGCTAGTCGGATGCATCATTCATACCGTTGGAGTTGGGCTTCTATCAACTATTACGAGCTCAAGGGGTTTTCACGCCACTGATATCGGATATGAGATTATTGCTGGTGCAGGAATAGGGCTGACTCTGGGTGTCCTGTTATTATCCACCCCGTACATTGTGGAGGACAGAGATCTCGGTATGACTCTCTATGACTTACGTATGATAGAAATCTCTTATTCCGGTAATACTAACATACATTTTCTTTTCAATATAGCTATCGCCACTGGTACCGTTGTTCAATTAAGATTCCTTGGTGGTGCTATCGGTCTCGCCATTGCATCCAACATTCTAAATGGTCACCTCTTGAAGCACCTCAAAGGAGTCCTGACACCACACGAGATACACATTTTCCTTGAGAATGTAACCAAGATCAAATATCTTTCTCTGGATCTTCAGGAGGAAGTGAGAGCTGTGTTTGCTCAAAGCTATGGCACGCAGTTGAAAGTCATGATTGGGTTCGCAGCTGCTCAATTGCCGGCAGTTCTCCTTCTCATCAAATCGAAAAGACAGCTGGCAGCAGATCACGTATCCTCAGGATCTAGTTCAGGGCAGTCTGCCTAATTTTGCATGTGACGTGGGTGTTTAGGCGAGAAATCAGGGGCATTTTGTTTTAGCCCTGGAGGCAGTTGAGCGTTATTCAAGTCGTCAAATTTAGCTATGCATTGTTTCTCATCAATACCACTATTAGTTTTACTTAACCTTGCTTCAGTTCAACATATAAGGCCTTCAAGCCGTAAAATTATGAACATCCGAGTTATTAGTTGAGTGTTGGTACGCCTCTCCTTTGGAATATCAAAACAACTTGAAATATCATCAATCTGTCATTTGTGACTCCAAACCGGTAGAACCTACTAGGAACTGTTGGAAAATCGAATCACTTGAACTTGAATGCGTTCATCCAATTTCTGTCGTCCCGATAGTGTAGTAAATCAATCAAATGCTCTCACCCACTAGTAAAAACATCTAGAACGCTGATAAGTATATGTATGAGTCTAAGCCTTATTCAAATGTCAATCAAGTTATTACTACATAGCGCTACCTAGAAATGAAAGATATTTGGACAACAAGAATTGCGGATTTCCTATTATCAGCTTAATAGGGATAAAACCCCAAGTTGAACTATCATTTTCACTAGTATTAAAGTGTTTGATTCGTCAGAACTAATTATAGGACGCTTGCTCCGAGTCACTGGCAGCACATGTGCAGTGTCATGAGCTTGGGGCTGCGATTATTCTTTGAACACTGGCAACATATGCCACTAAACTGAAGGCAAGCTTAAGATTTCGCTGGATTGGCCAATCCAGGATATTGATGAAGCTACGCTGGCAGAAGACTGATTTTCTGGCATAAAGCTGACCGTGGCATGTCACAACCTTGGAAGTCACATATCTCGCGCTCTCGTCGAAGTTATTTTTTCATGATATGTGATATCACTCAATCGAAACCAAGATTATTCCAACAAAATATGCATCACATGTGCCAGCTGGCATAATTCAAGTTTCATTTGACATGTTCATACTACCCCAGTTGTGCCCCTACATATTGCACCTACGTGCAGCACTCCCGATATCGGCATCCCACCTGCATGTGTGGGGAAGCTCCCCCCATTCCTCCACATTGGCAATTACGAATGCAGTTAAAGTGGGAAAATTACGACAATCCAGTTAAAACAGTTTCAAACTTGTTGGTATTCTCAAGACATAAATACATGACATTTGGGATTTCATAATCTAGCTCTCCAGAAGAGGAGGAACCTTCTCGACGAGGTATTCGACAATGGCGTCGGGGCCACGCTCGACCTGGAGGCCTGTGGGGATAGCGTGGAGCTTGATGTTGGGGACAATGGAGCGGGCAATCTCGTGGATCTGCTTGGCCTCCTCGTCGGTCCACATGGAGGCACTGAACTATAGGAAATTCGTGTTAGATACCGGGAGCGATGTTTCGGAAAAGCCGGCCGGCCACCGCGGACTTACCAGAACGTCGGGCTGGTGCTCAGTGACCTTAGGAGCGACCTCGGCAATGGCTATAGATATTGGTCAGTTTTAATGATCGAGAGACAGGAAAGCAAGCCAATTGGGTAGAAGAAACGTACTCTCGCAGTTGTCAACGTGGATGATCTCGTAGCGGTCACTGAGAGCTTCAGCAACACGACCGATAAGACGCTTAGCGCGCTCAGGAGCGGTGTTGACAGTGACGAGACGGAAGGGACCCTTGGGAGCAGACATTTTGAAAGAAGTGTATATGGATTTAGAAATAGAAAATTAATGCGAATATCGCGGGGTATTTATTTCATCGCGTCAGTCCCCTCCATCGCCACTCGTTCCCCACATTGTCGTCTCCGGCTTATCCAGGCGGGATAGATTTACTCCGCTTATCGGCCCGATAAGAGACTACAAGAGTGAGCTACGCCTCCTCTTATTGAACTTTCCCCTCGGTAATTCTACATTTCTACACATTTCTTTCACCATGTCTAAGATCGCATCTACCTTTTCGCGTAAGTAATACATGCTTGAAGGGGTAAAAATGAACTGGCATTGACAGATTGTAGGTCTCGTTCGCTTCGTCCCCAAGTCGGACATCTCCAAGATTCTCATCGGAGAGCCTGTGGATGCGAAGCTCGATGTCGGTTTGGCCTTGTACAAGGGCCAGGAGGTCTCTGTGCGCCCCTTCACTGGTAGCTCTGTCCTGAGCCCCGGTGAGCCTACTACTACCACCGAAATTATTGAGCGTCTGCTCTCTCCCCTCGCTCAGAAGGAAGTTGGCTCTATCCGCTGCGTTGGTCTGAACGTGAGTGATTTACTGAGACTCAATTCGCAGAGAACCTCATACTAATGGATAACTTAGTATGTCTCCCACGCTAAGGAGATGGCTCTGCCAATCCCGGAAGTTCCGACTCTCTTCATTAAGCCTTCTACTGCTCTAGCGGACCCTTACCCCGCCCCCACTGTTCTTCCCAAGATCACACAGACCGACAACACTGGTGACTACGAGTCCGAGATGGTCATTGTTATCGGTCGTGATGCCAAGGATGTTCCCGAGTCTGAGGCTCTGGACTACGTCCTGGGCTACACTGCCGCTAACGATGTGTCCAGCCGTACCTTCCAGATGAACCAGAGCCAATGGTGCTTCTCCAAGGGTTTCGATGGCTCATGCCCCATTGGTATGTGGAGAACATTTTCTAGAGTGTTTCTAGAATTATATCCTGCAAGAATTTTGTAGAGCGCAGACTGACGATGAACAGGTCCCACCCTTGTCTCCTCCAAGCTTATCCCCAATGTTAGCAAGCTCCAGATCCGTGGTCTGAAGAACGGCGATGTCATGCAAGATTGCCCTCTGACGTAAGTTTATGCAACAATCAGATAACCTAAAAGTCTCATACTAATTCGGATCGTTTCTAGTGACTTGATCTTCAACGTTCCTCAGTTGATTGCCTTCCTTTCTCAGGGCACCACCCTGCCTGCTGGTACTATCATCTTGACCGGTACTCCTCCTGGTGTTGGTGCGGCCAAGAACCCTAAGCAGTTCATTAAGGCTGGTGATGACTTTGCCGTTGAGCTGCTGCCTCACGTTGGTACTTTGATCAACAAGATCGAGCACCAGTAAAGGGAGGTCGATAATTAAATGAGATTTCTATGAGAATATAGTTGTATATATCTACGCCATTTCAATATTATGGTGTTAAAATACCGAGTCTTTCGTCTGAAGATTACTTAGTAGATGTTGGTATATTTATTAGCAGTAAATTAGATACCTATTCCGGTTGAATTAGTAATTCTTAACAACTGCCATGCAAGTGGCTGCAGCATGCACGTATAAGAATCTCGGAGTATATAACCAGGCATAGTGACACTTATAGTAAAAGACCGTGTAGATCACTGCAAACGCCACACACCAAAACCATAATTCCAGCTTACCGCCAAGTCTATGTAATCAGCGAGTTACAACTCAAACCAGTGAAATTTCTCTCATCCTAAACCCGAGCAAGATATTTGAAATCACACCGACCTTGCATTTGAAGCCGGCGTCAGCGTAGCATTCCCGGCTATGACAAAAGCCAACAATGAATGATGCGAACATTCAATTTCCAAGTTTTCACCGAGAGAAATCCGTGAAACCTCCACCAATAAGCATACACCTGGATATAATTTCTCCCGCTACGGAGTAGATCTATCCCGCCACTTTACTGCCCGGTGAACATGCATCTCCCTTTCTCCCCAGTGGCTGGACTACCGAGTCCCGAAGTATCGAAAAATGCGCCCAACAAGGAAAGATGTTGTCCCATGATGACGAGGGGAACATTGACAGCATCCTAGTCGCTTATCTACGGATCAAATTCGAGGACCGTGCAAACCTGTCACCTGAACCTCCAATCTAAATATGTGAAGGATTGTGAGATGTGAGAGCTATTGTACAGGGTTGTTCGGCATACCGGTTGCTTGTAGATATCTAGAAGTCCTATGAGTCGCTCTCATGGATGCATGTGTGGGTAGTATTCGGTTCAAAGACATTAAAATCATGCCAGAACTGCATGGTTGATACAACCCGATTATGAGAGCCGGGGTGGTATGATAGCTAGTTTCGGAGTATGGTCTCTTAGTCCGTAGAGCTGTGCCCATATAGTTTTCCCGGGCTCAGGGGCCGATGGTTAGCGCTACGGTGGATTTTCGGGATTCTGCACCGAGCTGTCCCGGTCCGTCTCCTAAAGCGCTGGTTTAAAGGATGGTCTGCGGCTTTTTCTTTATGCCGGAGATTTTTTTTTCTTCTATCAGGTGCTTCTTGTTTTTATTCTTCTCTTTTCCTGATGTTCCTGCAATTTCTTATTTATTTACTTTCTTTCTACACTTGGAGTGACCGAATCCATGCAAGTTGTTGCATACAGCTCGCATGACTTGATCACATCATCTCAAGTTCATACTATGGATGCAGACCCTGCCAGTGAAATGGAGCTTCAAGTTGTCTAGGTACATGCCAGTACTAGTGACTAACACTCCATTCAAAATGTTCAAGCTACTGCATCCGAGATTTATTCCGAGTCATCGCTCGCATCAATTGATGTTGAAACTTACTTCAATTTTGATGCAAGTTTACATTGAAAACATTCGAATGCTTGAAAAGAACCAAAGTATAAATTCATGTCGCTTGCTCATGTGTCAATCTATGTACAGTAACAGGGCCTCGACATCGTATGTCCTCCTCCTCCTCCGAACCAATATGCATGATATTCTCCCAATGTTCACCAAAAAGAATCCTCAAAAGTTCATGTCAAAGGTGGCCGTCAATTCATGAAATAAAAGAACCGACAGAGCCGAGTCCAGAATCGTATACCTCTTTACTCTTCATGACGCATACTCTTTCCACGCGCATGCAGGAAAATCGTCGGGATTACACTAACAACAACGATCATCGCCGCTGCGATTCCAGCACTTGGTGCTACTCCAACATTATCGAACATATATGGGAACCTGGATGGACGTTAGTCAGACACAACTTGAAGGAGAACATGGGAAAGAGAGAGAAACTCACCAGAAGGGGCCAATGAAACCCCAGGTCTGCCGCACGAAGGTAATGAACACTCCAATGCTAGCAGCTTCCTGTGGGTAGCAGTCTACGGCATAGGTGACCATCACAGTGGTGACAAGCTGGTTACCAACGGCACCGATAGCTGTGCCAATGATGGGGCTCACGTTCCAGTGGCCAGTTTTAGAGGTCTCGGTGCAGACCAGGAAAACAATGGCGCCGATGATGGTCAATCCAAAGCCAAAGTAGCTAAGCCATAACCGATATTCCGGCTCAGCCTTGCGACCGAGGCCATTTGAACGACGGCGCATCCATCGGTCAGACATGAAGCCACCAAGCTGCTCGCCGATCACTGATCCAATGATGACACCGAGGAACTGGAGACCCAGCTGCTCAGCGTTCAGATCAAACTTGCTCTGCAAGAGCTGGGGCACCTCTACGGTTGCCAGAATACTACCAAACAGGAAAATCATCGCATATGCACACGCAGGAATGACGATGGAAGGGTAGCGGACCATGGTCAGAGGACGGAAGAATTCCCACAATGTCATCGGTGTAGGATCAATCCGACGCAATGACATGTACTCTCGCTTCCAGTTAACCTCATCAGGGCCAACTCCGCTACCCAGGTACCGGGTCTCAGGCCCAAAGAAAAGGTACAGAATGAACTGTCCACCATTGATCTATCATATTGATCTCAGTTAGCGGATTTGTTTTCTCATCCCAGGATTGATTCGCTGAAATCACTCACCATAGCCAGAATCCAGTAAATCCATTCAATACCCGCACGGTAAGTGACGAAACCAAAGATGAAGGGACCGATCGGGACACCCAGAGTGACCATCAGGGTCCAAACGCCCATGTAGCGCGCACGATCTTTCTTAAATGTTGTCTCCATCACCACAGCACTGCCAATAGCGGAGGCCGGAGAGATGAAAAATGCCACCAGGGCACGGCAAGCAGCCAGCGAAGCATAAGTGGTACTCTTGGCACAGCCAATGTTACACACCAAACTGCAGATAAGAGAGAGAAGGAAAATGGGGCGACGTCCAAATCGATTTGAGAGGGGCTTCCAGAACAGAGGAGCACCTCCCAGAATGGCGATTTGCAGCGAAGTCAAATAACTTGCTGTGGTCATACCAATACCCAACTCCGCGGCAATATCGGAATAGGCGGGAATGATGGCGGCGGCGGTAAATGTACCCATGCAGGCGTGGAAAGCCACAAGAATAAGATTCGCCATTTTCTATACGTTCCTGAATCAGCATTCTGATCTTTTGTTTTCATACCCCTCCTGGAAACAATGTAACTCACCTTCCATTCTGGCCAGTTGTAAGGGTCAGCAGGACCCATTCCTGGAATGGGATCCAAGTCTAATGTGCCATGTCGCTCAAGCAGATAGTCACGGTGTGCTTTGGGGAGACGAGCAGCCACTGACTCCTCATAGGTGGCGGCTTGACCGGCGCCAGCGCTCTCAACGAGGTCAATGTCGGCCTTGGAGCCCGGGCTCTCCTCAAATCGCTCAGCCCGAGAGGAGCTTGCTTCCAACTCAAGCGATGTCATCTCGACGAGACTCTCAAATCAAGGAACAAAAAAAAGGAAGGGGGGAAGTGATCCCTGGGAGAGGATGATAAAATTTATTACCCTTCTTCTAGAGATTTGCTAGGGAGGATGATGTTGAAATTGGATGAGAATGGTGGGAATTGAAAGGGGGAAAAGCTACGGAAAAGGTTGGCTAAAGGTGAAGTGGAAAGAGAAGGGGGCGAACAAGAATCGACTGATTTAATTTGGGCGAGAGGGTGGATTCACCCTGTACGGATTACACTACCGTTGGGTGCCGTGAGGCAAAAAACGACGAACCAAGGCTGTGTGGCGTGCCGAGAATCCCCCCGGTGAGTGTGCATAAGAGCCGTTCATAGTGTAAGTCCGGAGATATGGGCTGGGGTATTCTTTCCCGGGATTTCGGCCTGGAGAGAAACGCGGAGAGTCTCCACGGCCGGTGGATTCACTCCATCGGGATCGGCGAGTGAGACTTCAGATTTCACGGCTGGTCATGTCACCGCGATTAGTCACCGAACACTCTGGCACTTGAGAACGGCTAGCAAGAACGACTAGCGGCTAGCCGAGCTATGAATCTAAAGTTGTCCGGCATGCCCTGATACGACCAATTACCGACCATCGTTTAGATGGACCGTAGAACTTGGCTTAATTTCCCCCATATGAGAGTACATTAGGACCCTCTGCGGGTTCAAGAAAAATTTTCCGTCTGGGGACTCCAACCTCGGTCTCTCGGTGAACAAAGAAATGTGGGACTGTCCATTGGTCAGCTGAGCATTCAGAGAAAAAAAAATCATTAGCAAAGAGAATCAGAGAAGCAGAGAGAAATTGAATTGTTGGGGCGTCAACAGGGGGATCCACAGCATATGGGCGAACAGTGCTGCCGAGTACTGGTTTTTTTGGAGCCACACACACGAGAGGCTTAACAACACGACCAAACTGTAAAGTCAATAGCCGTAAATTCCGAAGCAGGATAACGGAGGATTTCGTAAAATGTCATGGACTGCGGGCAGTGCTTATCATGGGTGTACAGAGTAAGGGAGAAGGAATCATTCGTAATCCCCACGTTGCCCCAGTTTTAGTTAAGAGGGAAGCGGAGAAGCTTCTATGCACGGAAAGTGCGAAGGGGAAGAAAATAGTGCCACATCCCCACAATCTCCTCTCCACATCACCACTTTCTTCTCTCCCTTTACACTCTTTCCTCCCACACTGCCCCTAAGGCCCAACATTCAATGGAGATCATGACGGCACCTCCGTCGTCTACAGGGGTAAAGAAATTGATTTGTCGTGTGTGTCAGAAAGGATTCACCAAGGCTGAGCATCTTCGAGTAAGTGTTACTGCACATCATACTATGTACCCTTCCCCACGAATTTGAGGGGCAGCTTACTGGATATGCAAATCAGCTAACTATTGACAAAACAGAGGCATGAGCGTTGTCGTAAGTTGTTGTTATTAATCATTAATCATTATTGGTTTTTTGTTTTTTTTTGTCTTTTTTTTTCTCTATTGATTTTGATGCTATGGTTATACTATTAAGCCGAATCATCTGTGTTTTCAATTTACCGATTCCGAAGAAATCCGTCGGCTGACCGGAAGATAATCACAGATACCGGATCTAAGCCCTATGTCTGCAAGGAGTGTCACAGGCCTTTTGCCCGGCAAGATGCTCTTACTCGCCATGAGAAGTTGCATCTGCGTGACTTGAGCGCAAAAGATAGTCCTGCGTCTGCGTCAGTCTCTGTTCCACCATCGGCGTCCATAGAATCTATGGCTTCGTGGGAATCGAGTAGTGCGTCCACGGCGGGCCCAGCCTCAACGTCGGCCACTAGTCGATCTTGGGATGAGCAGCAGTTAGGCAATCACCCGGATATGCACAATGTTGCATCCGATCTAGATTTTGCCTTGGTTTGGCCAGACTCAGAGAACCTGTTCCAGAGTTTGATGTCCTCGAACAATACAGATCAATGGCAGATGCCTTTAGGAACTCTGCCATTTCCACCGGTTGTCCAAGATATCAATGGTATGAACTTTGGATCACCAAACTCTTTCGATGATCGGAGTCCATCGGTCGGAGTGATCCCGTCCGGAGGAGGTCATCAGGCCGTCCGAGATGTAACGGAAATGGTCACTAGCTCGGTAAGTCTGCCCCGGACCTCCTGGATTAGGCTGTATGAAACACGCCCAACTTGCCTCATCTAGATTGCACTAAAGTTTCAGATTATGTGCATAATACTAATGCATACCTTATGATAGTCTTCGAGTGTCACTGCTGCTGTCAAAGCCACATCCATAACATCAGTCTTCCTGGATGAGTGTCTTCACATGTTCTTTGTCCGTTTCATTCCTACATTTCCCATATTACATCGCGCCACCTTCGTGTTTCGAGAATGCACCCATGCGTTGCTATTGAATGCTATTGCTATTGGCTCATTGTATCTCGGCCCAAGCGATGCCGTAGCCAAAGGTGAGGCATTATGGCGATTGGCACACACTGCTGTCGCCACCTCATGGCAATCTTTAATCACTCATAATGGGCCGTATGATGCCTGCAAGGGTGTACAACTGATGATCACGGCATTGCTCGGCCAGATCTATGGTGCATTGTCTAAGAATCGTGCGATCCGCACTACAAGCCAGGTCTTCCGACCATTAGGCTTTTTCTGGGCTCGTCATTGTGGAATGTACGACAGCGAATCTTACTCTATGGAGAACCTGCCTTCCACTGATGCCCCAGCGGCGGAAAAGCAGCACCAATGGCGCATTTGGGCCGCAAGAGAGATTCAACAGCGTGCTCTTCTAGCTTATTACGTGCTTGATGGCCTTGTTGCCCAAATGTCCGGTGATGGTGCATCTGCTCGACATGTCTCAAACCCATTAAGTTTGCCTAGTAGTGAGGCGGCTTTTAATGCAGGTAGTCCTGATGAGTGGCTGGTCCACATGCATTCCCAAAAACCTGATCAATCTTCCTTTCGAGTCGTCTTCCGTTCTCTCTTTCCACCCGTTGGCAATTTCAGAGCACTAGATTACCAGTTCTCTGCATTTGCCCTGCGGGTCGTGCTGGAGGGTCTTCAATCACTAATTTCCGACTGCGATGAGCACGACCTGGCGGTTGGAGTCCCCGGCCGGTCCGACGTACGTCGAGCTCTGGCCCAAGTCCATGAGACTATTTCTATGAGCATTCATTTCTCTGCTGCGGAGCGGCTTGAAATACTTCTACGCTGGCACACAGTCTGTTTGGATACCATGATCAACTCCACCGTTCTTTCCCGCCACGTTTGCTCTCGCTATAATATTCCTCAGCACGTCTCCGGCGGTTGTCGAACCGCGCGGCCCGGTTTTGATGTGATTAAATGGGCTGATACAGAGGATGCGAAACGCGCAGTTCTTCATGCGGTCGCCATTCAAGATATTATTGAGCAGCTACCTCGAGGACGTGCTCATGTAATTCATATGCCAGGCTCTCTCTTTGCCGCAGCTACTATCTATTTCGTGTTCTCTCTTGCGGGGGCGGCTACTGTGAACCTCCCCCGGACGATCGTCTGGCAAGATGCTCTTCTCTCACACTCTGATCTTCATCTTGGTCATGATGACATTCGTCCACAATCCGGCTCAGAGACCCGGCGATTTGTCGAGACAGACCAAGGCATTTCTTCCAATCCAAACGGCGGGGCTGTTCGTAATCTTCTATACGAGTTGAACTCTATTCAGAAGCTGTTCCGATGCCTCTCGTCACAATGGGGAATTGCTCGTGATATGGAGAATATTATTGACGAATGGATTCAATTCTGTCATTAAGCTAAGGGACTGGATTCCCTTTGCTGAGACACATTTTTTCCTTCAAGTGCCTGGATGATGTTCTTCAAGTCTACTATTATTTTGGAATGCGCCAAGTTGTACATAGCGGCACTATTCTTTCAGTACATAATGAGTCACGAAATATTATGAATATTGACTATTCTACCTACTTGATTACTTTTAAATCTGCTGCTACTTGAATAGTGATGATTTGACCCAGTCAATGCTTTAACTTCCCATTTCTATTGCATAGACTGCATGGAGGTGTTGCTCAGCCTCGGAAACATTCATCGACCGGGAAGCTGCTCAATTTTCAAGCTGAGCATTGTAGAAAGGCAGATTTCCAACCCTCCCAGCCCTCAAATCTCCAGGCAGCCAGGAATCAAGATACCTGTGATGCATGATCCAGATTCCATTCAGACAATCTTGGCGACCTGCCACGTGGTGGGATCACGTGGGAACCTTAAATGCTTAATTTGACGCTAGTTTTTTGCCGAAGTATGTATAGATCGTTGTGGAGCCTCGGACATGTCGACAGTCGATTTTACCTACTATGAGAGGAGGCCAAATTCTTGACACATTCTGACCTTGATCAAGTCACAGTAATAACCTGTGAGCCTATGGGTAGCAGTGACATTCCGCCCACCCATCTATGTATGCTCGGCAGTCCCGGTATCCCAGTCGGTATCCCAGCCGTTATTGTATGCGAACAGGCCATGCAGCATTCATTAATGGCTTCACTCTTTGATCCAAGTCTGATATAAGAATATCAAGGATCCAAAGAAGTTTCAGACAAAGGCCGAGCTGCATTTATAAGACTTTCCAGCTGCTTCAACCCCATTTGCTTCACGTCCGATCCTGCCGCATGTGATTCACAAAGCCCCAATTCTACTAAATCATTTGTTTCCCCATTTCCAACAAATCAGTTTGTGTATTTCAGTTCCCGGAGTGTGCTGTATTATCCAGAGTTCTTTTCACGCTTCAGCCTAGTGTGTGAAAGCTCAAAGGTTAGCATGCTGTCATGTCATCGTCCGCTGGTAGGAAGCGAATATGTAGAGATCAAAGAAGTCTTGACCATGAAAGGAGTTCACCTCGGAGCACCCAATCCCATATAGCTACCATGGATTAAATCGGTGTTTCTCGGCTGTAAGGTGAACATGAAATTTCATTCTGAGTTCGAATAAGCACATACATTGAATAGACAAGTGTTGGTTTCCCTGGAGGGGAACTTTGAATAGCAAAACTGGTCGCATGGGCTCCTTTGGAAGGTGGTCTAGGTCAATAAAGCGTGCCGGGGATCGGGGACAGAAGAAAAGAGGCGAAAGCACATCTGTAGGGAGCTTTAAGAAAAAACGGCCGCGGAAAGCACTTAACCAACATTGAAGTGCACATGTGAGCAATTAGTATTCCTGGTCCTTTCCCACCCTGCTCTTGCCGAATAAAAATGAGAAAAGAAAAGAGAGAAAAAAAGACTATCTGGTCTCTGGCAGACATAATATTCCAAAATAACTGCACCGATGTACATTCCAAGTTTGGTCAAATATACTATTGAACATTTCAACTTGAATTGGACATACCCAAATTAGCCTTGAGCATATCCATTGGCAGTGCGTTTGTGAAATCCGGTCATGGTGTAGTTGGCTATCGCATCTGACTGTAATGTCTTATAGTTTATCAGAAAGTCCGCGGTTCGATTCCGCGTGACCGGATCATCTTTTTTTTCGGATCTTAGACCATACCAGTTGACTACTAATTCTACTACTGGCAGTAGTACTTCATTCAATCTTGGACGTCTGTATTTGTTGATGTATTCGCATTTTCCTAGTCAGAATAGATCATGATTGATAGTTAGTATCTCCAGGTGACCAATTTCAAGGTCATATTCTCTTATTTGTATTTCAAATTTGAAAGGGTGATCTAGCTGCTGTGTAGTTGAATAGAGAAGAGAAATAGTAGGAATTTGTATACATATGTGGCTTACCAGAACGGCAGGCTATTACTTTTAGAAGCTGGAGGGTCAAAATTCCGACTACCAACAAGTCTAAAGTTCGAGTTAGCAGGTGGCATGCCACTGGCAGCCCTTTGAGATAAAATACAAAGAGGCCACCACCAGTACTATCTGCAGCGTCGTTGTTTGGTCGTTCACTTGATCTTTCCAGCCTTATGGAAGCTCTTCATTTTCCACTCCTCCTTTTACTATTTCACATTCTCATTCAGCACTTCCTTCTTTCTGGGTTATTCTAACTTAAAATCATTAATCCTTTTTCTCTGCACCTTATCGACCGAGAAAATATCTTGAAAAGATGCCTGACGCCAGTACCAGTATCGAGTATTCGGAAGATGAGCGTCTTCTCGCTATCGCCTTGGCTGAATGCTTCACTGATGTTGAGATGAGAATAGTGATGTCTCTCTCCGGCCCCTCATATTGCTTCTTATATTATGCGCAGATTAAATTGCTAATAGATAGTGGTATTTAGGCCGATTACAGTTTTTATGCGGCTTACCGCAGCGAAGAAATGACTGTCGAACAGGTCGAGGCCGCATTCCGACATGTGTTCCCCCTAGTAGCTGGGAAGCGACGTGAAATGGCTGGAAGCTCCAATCCAGGGGCTGGATCCGAGCAGCAAAGCCAGCAATAATTTCCAGCAATGATTTGGCGAATTTCCCTACCCAGTTCTTTTGAGCCGCGTTCTCGCCAATTTTTGGAATTCTCTACAGCCTGGACCTGAAATTCACACTGCATTGATATTTCCTTGATATTTGCGGATATTTTTACCATCAAAATGAATCGGTCTATCTCTCCAAATACACGGGTTACCTTGCTCTTACACTGAAACCAATTTTTTCCACCTCTCCATAGTCAATATCATATGGCTGGTACGAGCATCTTCAAGTCTGTAGCCTGCCTAGCTCTTATTCTCTTTGCTATGTACTCGGGTACTAAAGGGGTCTCGAGTATTTTCTAAGTTACAATGCATTTAGGGCCCACTACTACATGTAACGCAAACAATGTACTCAAGCTTCAACTCAAGCTCTCATTAGGTAGCATCAAGAACATTTTGAATTGAAACCCAAAGTTGAGGGACTTCAAGCTTTGCTAAAATTAGAGCTCACTAGGCCAAGAGTGGGTGGAGGCCAGAGAGCTCGGTCATCTGACAGAGAAGACATATAAATTAATAAACTTTTCCTTTTCTTCATCCTGGTGTTCAACTTGAAATTCAAGTCATCACATCCTAGGTATCTTCATTTACCTCCTGTCATCCTCATCACCGCTTTCTTGCTTGAACTATTGACTATTCTGCCAGTTGTAACACGTGTCTAGCTCTCACTATTGGAAGCGAGTATACCGTGTGTTCCAAGTTGCTGTCTTCACTGACTTAGTGATGTTTCTCATGCGCATAAAACTTTAACTAACAGTCAACAAGGATATTCATTCTTTGCAGTTGATACATCATACAACTCTTGCCATCCTCCCATCACAGAAACGCATCGCTGGTAAGCTGCCGAGTGCTCAATCTATATCATGCAACCGGCCTTAGAGCCCGGGGTTCAACTAATACTCAAGGCCGAAACTCAATAGAGCTTCCTTGTTACCTCCACATCTGGAACTCTTCATCAACTAACATCATTTCTTCCAACATCGCAAAGGAATCTCACCATGGTGCGCTGGACTCAGAATGCGGATAAACTGGTAAGCCGACACTCATCTACTCACCTCCCTCTCCCTACAGTTCAACGCCAGCTGGCATCTTGAGTGATGGGTTGCCCATTTCAGTGCAGCTCCAAAAAGGAATTCCAAGTGCTACATATCTTCAAGTTCGAATCGAAGCAAGCTGACCACTGTATAACTTCCTTAGCTTCTATGCAAGATCCTCGAGACCCACGACTTAACTCTGGACTTCAACAAAATCGTTGAAGCATGGCGTGAGTACCCAATACCAGTCTCTTTTATTCTTTCCATGGTGCTTACAATATATCTAACTGCTGAACTCTTTGCAGCTCCCTGTGATGAGATGCCGACCCCTCGTGCGATCAGAGAGCGAATCGTCAAAATCAAGGCAACGGCAAGTACTGCCGTTTTGGAAGAGCAAGCCCAAACACCTGGAGAAGCCGGTCCCTCAGCCCCAAAGGCCAAACGTGGAAGAAAATCCAAGGCAAAGGTAGTGCCTCCAGCTCCTAAGTCTGACCCTGCCGCAGACTCCGTTGTCACAGACTCAGCTCCTGGTTCCCCTGGACCGACCCCCTCCAAGAAACGCAAGCGCAATCGTACTATCAAGAAGAAGGAGGAGGAGCCCGTTGTGGAAAAAACTCCGGAGCCCTTGAAGTCTGAGAGCGGGGGGGAAAAATGATGATTCGCGGGGGAGATTTGGAAGAGGAGATGAGTGAGAAGCTGAAGGTAGAAGAGGAAGAGGACTCCAAAGAAGATGATCTTGCTTGAGGACCTTCCTTGTCACAAGCAGCTTTTGTTAAAGCTTGCTACAGCTGAACGCCGCTTTGCTAGTGCTGCTCCATCTTGTTTCAGGAATGAGGCAGAGGTTTATTCCAATTTCTTTTACTCATCCGCACTGATGATTTGATAAAAGCAGAGTCGTATTCCACAATTTGTTTTCTTCATTGCTTGGGACACCCCCAATTTCTTGTTTCAGCATACTGGCTTTTCCGACGACTGGTTGATCTACTGCTATCGCCTTATGTATTGAATGATAGATATTAATGATTATGAGGCTGTATCTCGCAGCTGTTTCAGAGGCTATTTAAAACTTCAAGAATATGGCATATTATTCTGATCGTGCGACTTGAGATTTTGAGATTTCAATTTTTAGTAACACATCACAAGGAGTCAAATTCAAAGATTTGGGATACATTGCTGCCCATAATCATACAGAGGTAGTAAATCAAAATCCCGAAAGAGGGGGGTATACTGAGCTTATTCTGAAAGCAGATACTGGTTATGGAAGCTATATATGTCTGACTGAATCTACACTTATCAAGAGAAAGGTTTTTCTAAAATAATAAGTTAAATTGAGAGCGAATTGCTCAACGCCGAGAAAAGCTACACCACCCTGCAGTCGGCGTATTTTTTTTTTCGTTTTTTGGTTATTGAAAAAAGTTCGAAAGATCAGAAAGAAGTTGCAAATATTGCAAAAGGGGGTATCGAAAATGCGAAAGGACCACAAAGGGTCAAGGTCATGATGGCTTCAGAGAACGCCACGGGAAAAACAATGGGGTGGGGTGGTGGCTATGTGGGCTTGCGTAGGACGCTTAGCCTTCGAAGGCATCTTCCTCATCTTCCTCCGCCTCCTTCATGTCTTCGTCATCCTCCTCAGCGTCGTCGAAGCGAGAGTCGCTACGATTAGCGGCAGAGTCAGTCTTCATGCCACGCTTGGCATGGATGGGGCCATCAGAACCACTCCGCTTGTGACTGGCCTTGCCAGCCTTTCCACCAGAGGCATTGCGCTTAGCGCGGCCAGGGTCGCTTCGATCACGCTTACGACCGCGACCAGCAGCAGGACTCTTCGAAGTCAGGACAGGGCTGTTGGGACGGGTGGAGGCAGCGCTGGAACCAGCCTTGCGAGCCTCACGGGCACTTGGAAGACCGGCCTTCTCCCGGATTCGTGCGAGGCGGTGCTTGACCGCGGAGACGGTGACGCCTATTTTTTTGGTCAGAATGCTTTCAAGCAAGTGACGTGAATTCAAGTGACTTACCCTCGCCCATGTACTTGGCAATTGCCTCGTAGTCAGGGATTCCAGTTTGACTGAACGCCGCGATCAACTATAAAATATATCAGCAAATGAGTGTACGCCAGTTTAGTGTCACAGAGTGTCGTTACCTTCGCGTCAGCCTTGTTATCCCAGTGGATGGGCATGGCTACGGTCGGTAGGTTGACTGAAAAGATTTGGTTTGGAGTACGGTTGGGAAAAAATTGGGAACGATTTGGGGTACGGTTGGGAAAAATCTGGGAGTTGCGGGGGTGGAAGAAGTAAAGGTTGGAGCTGCGGTGGTTTGCTTAAATAGCTTGACAACACATAAGAGTTTTTTGGGACCAACATCCTAGGCAGAAGTTTGACTAGATTCTACAACTTTCGATTTTCTTCGTGATTCTTCTTGTCTACTGGTTGTTACTCTCGCTAATTCTTATTGGTCCCTCTGGTCACTATAAAACTTTCTTAAGCAGGAACTCATACTTGATAAAACACTTTCAGGGCGAATATCTATCAAAAGTCGCTGAGCATACGTTTAGAAATTGGATAGCTGACTGATTTACTAAACCTATGTCTCTTCAGATTATTTGTAGATTACGAAGTATTAGATATCTTATTAAAGCCACTACGGTCACTGCGGAGCTGCTGTCCCTTCTCCTGATTCCTCTTCTCCCACAAAAGTTATTAAATAAGAAACTTGGACCTTTAATTACTACCAGCAATAGCCCGATGCATGAATATTCTCAAATACTTATAGAAGTCTACTCAAAAGACGTTCAATCCCGCTACAAGACGGTTTGATCCACAATGACCCTCTAGGTACAATATTCCAATTTTTTGCATACGAGACAGATCAGTAACATTGAATGGCCTGATAGAAGCCTTGGAGTACCGCAGGTTTAGATTCTGATCAGAATCTTAAGTCGTGATAATAATGATATGTCCTGGTGTAGTATTCTGTTTCTTATAAAAAGCTTGGAAGAACTACGGAGTATATGATGGACATAAATACAAAAAATTCCCAAGATACTCTCCAGGGCTATTTACAAATTTTTGGTATATAAATTGAAATTACTAAACTACCTATAGACAGTTCCCACCTTCCAAGGTTGGAACTTTTAAGGATTATCGCCAGCCCTGCCCAGGAGATCTATCTAGTATGCACATGGACATCTGGATAAGGCTTTCGTCACTGTGCATATCAACTGGTACTTTCTCATACGACAAACTTGCATGTTCCAAAATTTCTCCGGTCAAAAATTCGAATTCCAGTTATTTTTTCTGAGCAGTCAAGATTTCTTTTTTTCTTGCTTTTTTTCTCTTTCTTTTTTCTCTTTCAAGGTTTCTTTCTTTCTCCCTGTCCAAAAATTTCCGAGTGGAACGGTTTACCCGAAATAGCCCTAATATCGCAAAGCATTATTCAAAAATTCACCAAAAGTGTACTCTAGCATCTGCTATTATAGTCGATGTAATAAAAACTTAGGTTCCAACATTGAAAGGTTTCTCACCATTATGAAAATATTTATCGAGGGAAAAGAAAATTGAAGCCTCCAGTCGAAACCTGGGTCATGACACTATAGCACTAGGGAGTAGGAGTGGATTGGCTGACAATATAAGTTTTTCGATTGAAGGCCAAAAGCCGCTGAATAGACAACTTGAAGGAAATTTCACAGGACAGATATCAAACGCTGGGCATATCCAGAAAAAGAACAGAAACCATACCGAGAAGAGCCGGGTAAGGGGGAACCAAATAGCATTTACATCGAAGAAAACAATTCGTAACACCTCAATTCACAGTCTCATTCAGCATGATTCACCAAAGTCAAGATGGCGGCGTGGATCCCCAGGGACCACTAATGAATTGTGGATCTGATGCCGCCGTCCGGGGTAACCGAGGATCTGAGGTGGACCACTGATGTTGCTGAGGCCCAGTATTGGCATTCTGGAAGGGATAGTTTGAGGCTGGCATGCTCCCACTGGGTTGTTGTGTCGGTTGTTGAGCGACATATTGATGCATTCCACCCTGTATAAGAGGATTCGGATAGTACTGAGCACTGTTCTGAGATTCGATGACAGGTGGAAACACCATGGAATTGAACCCTGTCCCAGATTGTGTTCCTGCCATATGCTTATTGTTGTATTGGTTGTATGGAGGTGACTGTTGAGAGTATCCATGAGAGGGAAGACTTGCAGAGTTGTCATGCGCATGTGCCACTGGCTGCTGATAAGTAGCCTGGTGAGAATGAGATCTTGACATTGCATACTCTGAAGATTGCGCGCTGTTTGTCTGTGAGTGTTGGCCTAAAACGTTATATTCGTTCCCTTGAAGCGAGGGATTACTGGACTCCAAGGATCTAGGCGGAAACTCTCCCCGTGGCCAGTCGTTAACTTGAGGCGATTGATTGGAAGGGTAAAATGACTGCGGAGAGCTAGTGACTCCTGTATTTACAGAGAAAGTCTGTTGCGGAGCTCTCTGATGAGGTTGATCTGTGCGCCATTGGGGTTGAGGGGGGATTCAGGTCGGCTCTAGGACCGGGGCCTTGCCTGTCATGCATAATTGCAGAGGGGTATGCCTGCACCTGATGGGATATCTGAGGATCTGTGGGCATATTCTGGTAAGAGCCTTGATGGGGTTGAAAATTGTATCCACTTCCTTGTGCCCCGAGATCATTTGGGTTATGATTCCAAGAATTTCCCACAAAGGACTGCTGACCACCCATATGAGTGGGGGTTGGATTGTTTGGGTAATAGCTCGATGACGCGATCGCCATGTTTCCTGAGGGGTCCTGATTATTTTGTCCCTAGAGTTCCTGGATCAGCAAAAGAAGTCCGGTGAAGGTACCAGATTGAGCATACTAATCCTATATACCCGCTTTGATTTCCATTGACGGGTTGACCATATGAATGACCAGTGTAATGATTGCCTTGATGTTGATACCAATCGGAGGCACCAGAGGGACCGGGCCCTATATGTCCTGGCTGTCCATCGAGCTGAGCGTTCAGGGAGCTCTAACCGCCATCAGTGCCACTCTCGTAATGGTTGTGGAGATATAATGAGCGCGGTTCCCTACGGAGGTTCTCGCACTATCCGCCACATCTTCAATTCGTTCCGCCAAAGTACCCCTCAATCCGCTGGTCTGGGGGCTATTTGTTGATGGCCGCGAGGGCGGTGCTTGGGAAGGGCCGGTGCCGATGGATGTGGGCGTTGTCGATGGGGTGAGAACAACAGGTTCAGTTGGGATGTCCCATTGCGACTTGCCCGTCGCACGCTGGACGTAATACCACTTGCGCTGAACCCCCTCCCACTGAGGAAGCCTGGCCGAGTGGGCAGTTAATATTCGTGGGGCTAGGGACAACTCGTCAAAGCAACCTTGGGAACTTACCAGCCATCTGGCATTTTAGGCGGTGGTGATGACGGGCCTGCCGTGTCTGCAGGGGCATCTTGCGCCATGATGCACACTGAACAGATAGATAACGTGGCACGAAGGATGTGGAAGACATCGCGGAGGAGATGAGTGACTTGGTCCAAGCGCGCTAGGACGATCCTGTGGGGCCCCAGGCTTAGCTTGGCGATCACGGGAATTGTTATCATGAGCCACGGCTAGGGCGCTTCACACATTATTGTATGGAGAACAATCATCATAATGTTGGATGGGGTTTGAGATCTCGTTAATTTTGCCATTTTTGGATACTACATACAATTATCGTCCAGATCCAAAGTCCCAAATTGCCCCTGGTAAAAGAAGAAAAAAGACAAAATGAATAAAATGAATAAAAAAAAATAAAAAAAAATAAAAAAAAATAGAAAAAATGAAAGATAAAGAAGGATAAAAAAAGATCCGACACCGTTTCCGTTCTACCAGCCCGCCCGCTAGCCACCCATTATCATACGCCATAGCAGCTCAAGGAAAACAGGCAAAAACAAGTAGAAGATATCAAGGGTACAAGTCCGGAGATAATCAATATGCGTGGACATGTTCCGGATCGAAGTCCTCACCATTCCAGTCCTCATCATCACTAGGCTCATCATCAAGGAAATCATTCTCCTGGAATTGGTGATCTTTGGGTCTTTGGTTATCAATCCGAATCGATATGTGTTCGCACATTCCTTGATGATAGTTGGCAATATCAAACTCTGCGTCGGAATCCAACATGCTCGTCCCCTCTGACACGATGCTCTCGGGAATTTTCTGTTGGGAAATGCGACTACTGTGCCGCTTGGAACGGGTTGGAGGACTTTGCTTCACGGCACCTGGGCAGGATACGTCTCCTTTGCCAGACGATGGGAAAGACGATGTCAGAAGCCTTTTGCGAAGAGAACGAAGATTTGGGTCCGGTGGAGGGCTGCGGCGCAAGAAGACCTTTTCGAAGCGGTGAAACCATCGCTCCCGAAATCGGGCACGATCTCGCCAGTCGACAGAGATGATTGCACTAATATCGAGTCGCCGAAGATTCTTCATATCCGGCGCGGCCTCAATGAGAGAGTTGAAAAACATTTCCCCCACCTCGGTGTCCCAGTGACGGAGTTGGTACAGCTCAATTTCCCGGATGCCATCTGGCCAGGTTGGGCGCTGATTAAGAGAGATAAGCTCAGGAAAATGGGGCTCAAGGTCATGGTAGCTTGATGTATCGTACATCGATACATCAACCCTGAAGACTTCGAGTTGAGGACAAGCGATGCCTAGATCGGGCATGAACTCCATACTCATGTGTCTGTTGTGATTGAGAGTGAGCTCACGTAGCTGGTTGCCATGAGATTTGAAAAGTTTTGTGATATGACTAGATAGCAGTCGATCGCAGTTGGAGATCTTCAGTGACCGCAGTGTGGGTGGTAAGTGCTCTAAAATGCCGCCCGACATGATAGGGCACTCGTGGAACTCCAGGGACTCCAGCTCTGGGAGTGATTTTATTGCCACTGCGAGTGCATCTTCTTGTCCAGAATCATCCCGATCATTGAATATATGAATGAGCCGGAGGTTCTTGATGGTTTGGAATGAGGGGGAAGAGTGTGTTTCCCAGATCAGCGTTAGTAGAGCTGTCGGGTCCAGGAATCGACCATTCCACTCCCAAGTCCGTAGTATAATTCCGTTATCGCGGATGCAGGAGAAAAGCTTTGCAGAGTAATTCCACTTGCCTGGACTGAGCGCAACCGGTGGGTGTCCAAAGATCACGTCCTCCCGGTGGTAAAGGCGTAGGGTACGCAATCGGGGGGTCTTTTGAAGCAATTGATGTATGTCAAAGTACCCTAGTGCGGGGCCACCTTTGAGCAACAGGACGGTTTCAGGGTCAATACAGAGTTCTTTGATCTTCGCTGAGTAATTGATAGACAACGATTCGGGAGGCATTGAAAGCAATTTTAAAAGGAGATGACCACTGTAAGCAGAGAAGACCGGTGGCGAATAGTAAAGTGCAGCCAGTGCAGCCTCAGAGAATCCCCGGCACAAGAGGGCTATCCCTAGCAGACTTTTGACAGAGTTTGCTTCCTGTGCCTTGCCAGAAGTCTTGGTTGACTGAATCTTGGGTTCATCAAGGGGATAGAAGGCGTGGAGAAAGATCTCGACAAGGACATGGTATGGCAATGTTTGCCAAGGGGGTATCACGCCCGATCGCATGAAGAAATCTTCTTGCGGCGTGACTTTTGTCCTCTTTTTCAAAGACTGTCCCAACTTCTTCGATTTTGGTCTCGGACGTTTTCGTTTGGTAGGTTTGGTCGGGCGTTTAGGTGCTTCATTTTGAGGTCGCTTTAACTCCAGAGAAGTGTTCGTTGTAGTGGCCGCTGGAACATTTCGAGATTCCCGTCCCGAGGTCCTGGTTTCTGATGTCTTTGACATGCTTCCAGAGACAGATTCGGCCTTCGGCCCCAAATTATCGGAACATTCGCCCAAGCTCCCATCGGTAGATGGTTCGCGATAGGACCTGCCTTTCGCAGTATTGCGTGGGCGAAGAGACACTGAACCACCGCGCCCATTTGATTCCTCCATCTCTTCTTGTGGATAGGAGAGTTCATCTGATGTAGTATCTTCATGATATGACTTGACTGGAGTTCGGCTTTGGCGAATGGGCCGCGAGGGCTGCGACCGAGCAGAGGATCTTGAAGACGCCATTGGGAGAAGAAGAAAAGCTAACTCGAGAAATGTAAATATTCCATGGTCATTTCAAGCCCAGCTTGGTTCAAAGAGAGTTATAGTGAATGAAGATATAAAGTGGTGGCGTGAATTGGTGATGGAGCAACTCCACCATTCACTGTTCATTATGGCGGATGTGACGGCAGGAGCGATCGACGTTATCGATAAGAGGCGCTATTCCTATTCTGGCTTAGTGTTACATGTGACTATGGATCGCAAGATCCACATGTTCTGTGCTTCAAGTTCACTTGTGGGGAGTATCACAGTGTGTTCATAATATGGAGTACCCATGCACATATTCCCTATTCTATATTGACTTCCTATGGACAAAATCAAAATTCTTCACAATTTCATCAAAGAAACTATGATCACACTTCTCCTAGTTCGGCAACTGGTGGATATACCTAGAATCAGTTTCATGCGCGTGATATTAGATCAATATTACCTGCAGCTAGTATGCACATCCATGTAGGCTCCAGCTCGACTGTATGAAGGCAATTCCTAGGACTCGGAGTGGATGGAAATCTGTATAGAAAAATAAAATTATCGAGTATTATCACTCTACTCCATATCAAATCCTGCAAGTCAGCTCTAAATCGGGTTCAACAAGTTTCAGATAAATCAACCTACATTCATTGAGCCACTCAGTGCCCTGTATCCACTCTCTTGGAGTTGATGTATCCCGCAAGTGCAGCAATTAGTCTACACTAGTGAAACACGTGACCTTACTAGGCATACAAACCCCCGCCCTCAGGCAGAAACACTATCCCTAATGGGGATACACTAGATGAGCCCAAAATAGAACTCAGCTTGAGCTTGAAAGCGCTTCCAGCCACCTCGAGGGGTTTCCTCGTGGGAGGTTATTGTCTCTGTTTTCCATGCGCAGTGCATTTTTTGATACCTCAATACGATCACAGTTCTTGCCTCTAGGCCATGATACATAAATGACCGATGCGACCCATTCGGAGACCCCATGATCACTGGCCTCCACTTATTGGTTTCATTTGGCCCGCACTCGATTTGGGGGCTTGGGGGTTAAGAGAATCTCCCAGTCCGACTCAATGGAAACCACATTCCCTGTTATGATGGAGTCGACTGATCGTGTTCCTCGTAACGAAATCGGTGCGCCATCCATGGTGGTTCAACAATATGCCCGATACCCGCCAGCGCTGGAGTCCTCACTGCGCAGCGCGTCCTCCCTGGGAAGCGCACGCAGTCAGGCAGATCTCAATAAATCTCCTGCATTGCATCGGAAGGAAACCCCTCGAAGCTTACATTCATCGCCACGGGGTATAAGGTCTGCCATTCCTGCATCAGCTATTCGATCCGGGACATCCATGTCACCACCCGTTTTTGATGTCCTGCGTCATCCTCAAATGAAAGACGCTGCCGACCAAGCCGAATCGAGGATCCTACCATCGCGTGAGATTTCAGATGAGAATATAGACGATACCTATGTGCAGTTTATTTTCTATTGCAACCCTAATGTTCCCTCTTCTGTTGATACCTCCGAACTTCGAAAGACATTTCGTTCTCCCCCACGTAGTGATGGCAAGAGCTTCAGCGTATTTACTCTATTCGAGTTAATACGGAAGCTTGATAACAAAGAGCTCAAGACCTGGATTCAATTGGCGATCGAGTTGGGAGTTGAACCACCTTCTATGGAGAAAAAGCAAAGTACACAGAAAGTCCAGCAATATGCTGTTCGCCTCAAGGTATGATATCTTGCCCCTTGAGTATGAATCTTGGCACTGACCCGACTCAGCGCTGGATGCGTGCTATGCACGTTGACGCATTCTTTGAGTATTGCCTGGGACATCCCCATGCTTACTACACCCAGCTCCCGCCATCTGGGCCATTCGTGAGCGAATCACGAGATGGCGTGCCATTGGAAGAAGACCTCGCTCTTCGAGCACTAGTTCCACAGTGGAAACCCAAGCGAGGCAGGAAAAGAGCCGATGAACGAGAAATTGATGAGGAAAGAGCTGCCAAACGACCCTCGTTGGACACTTCAGTCGGGGGTTTTACAACCTGCAGGTTTTCACAGCCATTCGGTAACCTTTCCACAGAGCGCAATACCGTTCAGTGCATTCCCTGAAGACGATCCTTGGATCACCGCCTCTGGGTTTCCCGCAGCTGGTCAGTCGGATCAGCAAGGGCAAGACCTACGTTGGAGGCTTCCAGATCGAGAAACATCCCCGGCCGGATATCCGCAGTCTGCGATTCTTCCAAGGGGACATCACACAGATATTATGATGTCTGCCGAACCCCGGTCTGCAGTCACACCTTCATCTGGGGACAAGGCTCGTGCCAAGCGCAAACATGGCCCTGCAGTTTCATCCGCTTGGCCGACTAGTAACAACTCATCCAACGGAAAGAGTCGAGGCAGACCTCCAAACAAACCATCGTCTGGGTCATTCTCTACTTTTCAAATACATAGCAGAGAGTCTTCTCAAGTTCCGGCCCAGTCCACTCCTCAGCCACAGCCACAGCCCCTCGGCGTTGATCATAATCATACAAATATCATGCCTACGTCATCCTATAATCAAACACCCACCCCAATCGTCCAAGGGAGACCTGGGAAGCTTCAGTTACAGGTCCCTCAACATATGGGAGCACCAGTGCGACTTGCTACTCCACCAACCTTGCTTGTCAATGGGGTCAATGGAGCCTCCATTCCGCACGGTCCAGAACGCCATATCCCTCAAAATCCTGACCCTCTCCGCCATCCCACCCCAAATACCCATCAGCATGGTATAATTGGTCCCCAGGCTCCTCCTTTAGATGCAGGACCGCCAAAGATATCATTCGACGACATTATTCGCGCCTTGACAAATGAACTTCTAGGAGCCCGTGTCATGAGGCCGAATCCATTGAGTCCGGACGAGGCTCATGGGCTGGCAGCTATGATGGTGTTCAATTTATCATCTCAGTACGCCAAGCTCCCAATGGAGCAGCATCCGTATCTGCTGGCCTTCCATCTTGGTGTTGGTCATCACTTCGGTCTCGCAGCTCCCCGTCCAGTACCCATGACTGTGCATATTGATCACTTCAATCCGAATGCCCCTGACCGCACGCAACATCCGAAGGAGCCACGCTACAGCATTTCTTTCGACTACAATCCAACTGGGAACTTCTCAATGCAGATAACCGTCGGAAACTTCAATCCACCTGTCGCGTTTCCTGGTCCACCACAACATGGACCTCCTCCACTTGAGCCGCAGAGAAAGGCCCACGAGAATGATGAGATGACAAACCTCGATATTGAAGACGATGATGCTGAACACCCAGCCTCCGAGGCTACCTGGAAACAAAGGTTCATCAAACTTCGAGCACAGGTGCAGAAAAAAGACCGTGCTCTCTCTCAGTACAAACGGAAGATTGTCGAGTCTGTAATGGCTGACATTTGATCATTGAAATGCGTCGGTTTTGGTGACCCTGTTTTATATGCTATTCATATTTCCTTTCATGAGATGATACCCCAGTATAGTAGAAGTAACATTGGTTCTTCAAGTCTTTGGATTCACATATTTCCCTTTTGTAATGGACTTCCTCCCTCTCCTAATAGTACTTTTCAAGCATTGAATAAACTCCATGGATCAATTGCTGATTTAGGAGATGATATAGCCTGGATGGATGATGACCTCTATCAAATACAAGCCAATGTATAGTTCAAAAGAAATCCACCCTTCCCTGTCACGATCATCAATGTTCAGGTTACTTGTGCCATATTGGCCTATGGTCCCATCTCGAGCAAACTTGAAAGTTATAAATTCATCTTCCATCAGTTTTTTTTTCTCTTCCGTTCTCTCCCCTACCTTCACTCATTCCACATCGTACCGTCCAACGGCTTTCCTATTCTTATCCCAAAAGATTTCCTCAAACATTCTTAAATAACAGCTTCTTCTCCAACATGAGCACTCCTCGCAGCAAGACCGCTACTACTCAAACCTCCAAGGAGGGGAAGAGTACCGATGAAGCAATGCTCATTGCCATCCTGAAGTCGTTCGATCCTGCTGACGGCAAAGTAAGTGCACGCCTTCGACGAAAACCTCCTACCCCGCGATGAGACTCACGTTTCTTTTGTCTAGATCAGCATGGTTGATTTTGCTGATGCCATGGGCTACACCAACGTGAAGTCCGCTTGCAACGCGTTTAACCGCTTGAAGACCAAGCACGGTCTGAAGGTTGAGAAAGTGAATATCCCCCTTCTGCCTAACTCGTTTTTTCTATTCTTTATTTCAGTCTCTGATCTTTCTAGGCTACCATCAAGGTGACCAAGCCGACCACTCCCAAGAAGCGCGGCAACCGCCGTGGTCGTGCCGCGAAGCAGGCTAATGAGGAGGACTCGGCATCTGATGGCGCTGCCGATGACGCCGCCGATGACGCCGCCGATGAGGCCGACAACGCTGACAACGCTGACGGTGACGCTGCTGTGGATGCAGTAGCTGAGAGTCCTAAAGAGGAGACCTCCGATCCAGAGGAAGCCAAGTAATTTTTCTCATTACTTGAGATGAAAAATTTGGATCATTTCATGACATGTCGGTTTTTCCACGTTCTTTCTCTTTCCAACATTTTCGCCATGTCAGGTCCAGATTTATTTTACAGGACTCACTACTGTGGCCCCCATCATTTTCCGTTTCTTGATTGTTTCCCCTTGGAGTTTTGCGATTGAGGTGCGGAAAAATATTTCAAGCTCTAGTTCTTTATGCCACTTGGCATACTAACCACTTCGAATGATTTTGGTTATTTTATTTTAAGGTGTTCATCTTGTAGCTGCGTTCTGTTCTTTCTTAAGCGGATATACCTAGTATCTAATAGATTATGGGACAATGGAGACGCAGCCTAGAATCGCCCGTATATTTCTACTGCCAGGTGCCTGATTCAACGGTGAGTACTCCTGGTCCAGTGTCAATAGTATCAGACCGAACTCGATTCTTTTTCCATACTAGTAGCACTGGAATAATGCCACTACTACTAGCATTGAGTTAACCTTGAAACAGCTCTAAGTCATGCCCTATATACAAGTCTGGATTTTGGGAGGACATCTGTTCTGTCTACATCAAAATCATAGACTACGTTGTAGAACATGGGAGTTTGATGTGTAGGTTTTTGATCTTTTTTTGGGCTTGTGTATTTCTTGGGTGGATCAAATTAAAAGAAACGCAACAAAAAGAGGATTGAAATTGAATGGCATAGGTCCTAGCGGCACCGAGCAAATGCAATATAAAACTCTAGGATAGGCTAAACTTACCTTGGAGGAGCGTAGCTCAGAAAAGATATTCCAGTAGCAATAAAAATAGCAGTCATGCCATATTGCTCCCGGTGAATTCTAAGCACAGCGCAAAGCCTCAAGGCGAGTAGCCATCGCTTACCCTTAAAGGGCATACATAGGGTGACAAAAGTATTGGGACACTCTTAATTTTCCCGGCCAAAAAATTCAGTCTTTTAAAAAGTAGGGTCCCAGCCCACTCATAATTAGTTAAATAATATCTTTTAAAATATATCTTAGAAATATTAATTATAATAAATATTTTGTATACCAGCCCTTAGCCTTTTTAACAGCGGCGATTTTGTGTGGTAGAGATTCAATAATTCTATCAATCACAGCCTGGTCAATCGCCTGCCACGCCTTAAGAATAGCTGTTCAAAATCGGGCCCAATCCATTTGAGACTTTCCCTCCTTAGAGAGTTCTGGATAAAGCTCTTGCAATTTCCTTTTCAGTAGAAACCAGACTGGTTCAATTGGGTTGGGATCAGGTGAATGTGGTGGCCAATCCATTACTTGGATATTCTGATCCTGAATCCATTCTTTTGTCAACTTTGCTGTATGGATTGGTGCATTATCTTGTTGGAAGATTAAATCCTTACTGTAGATTGGGAAAGGACCAACTTCGAGAGTTTCAATATAGGTTTTAGCATTAAACCCTTTACCTGGTTGTTTTTTCATAATGACCAGATCTGATCTTCCTCCAATCCAGATAGAACCCCAAATCATTTGTGAAATCTGTTTTCTATGGTTTTGGAGATTCACAAATTGAGGGAAATATTGCTCATTTTTAAGACGAAAGACATATTGGATATGTGAATTTGATTTTCGTTGGACTGAGCATTCATCAGAAAAGATAGTATGATCTAGATCAAGTCTTTTTTCCCAAGACAAAATCCATCTCCGACGAAACTTTGCATCTTTCGGCTTTAACCAAATCCGCTTCTTAGATGCCCATTTTCGGATTGCCCATTTTCGGATATGGCAATGCTTCAAAGCTCGTTGAATTGTACGTTTTGAAACGTTAGTTGGAACTTCTTGAATAAGCTCTTTCCAAGAGATTGTAGGGAATTTTCGAATGATCCGATAGACATATCGAATAGCTGATAAAGTCAGCTTTTTCGGTCGGCCACATCAGGGAAGGGATTGAAGTGTGTGATAGGTTTGAAAGTGATTGATTGTTCTATAGACTGTGCTTCGGCTGCATCCAATATCGCGGGCGATCTGAGCCTTAGGAACGCCCTTCTTAGCTGCGTAAACGATTGCTGCACGTAGCTTCTCAAATAAATCGCCATTTTTGGTTCGATTCGGATCAATTTCCGATCCGAATTGACGTGGTCGAACCATGGTAGGGATGGGTAGAAGTTTACGATTTCTCACGTGGTCGGAAATGGCGGGAGGTGTCCCAATACTTTTGTCACCCTATGTAGCTCCAAAAAAGGAAAGAAAGAGTCATTCCGAGTTGTGAAACATGCTCTCACCGCAGTGCCACCTAAACGTTATGTAAAAGACTCAAAGTAGCATCAGTTTGTCCGCAACGCGCATATAGAGAAGGGGAATAAAAAGGGAATTCGTGTCATGTCGTTTCAAGTACCACCCAAATGCAAGAGATCTTAGGCTAGCATTAGCCTACCCGTAAAGAGCGTAGCTCGGACTATGCATCGTCTGCATCATCCGCGCCATTCGCATCATCCGCATCATCCAAGGTTTCATCCTAGAGATAGAGGGTTAGCCCATAGAAACATGGGATGCCCATGGCATGAACCACACGAGAAAATACAGAAAAGCGGCAAGATTTACCGTATAGAAGCCTTTGATTGTCAGACCATGCTTTCTGCGCAAGGAGCCCCAACGAATGCCAGCTGACTTTTGTATGATGCCACATAGACCCGCCAACTTGTAATAGTCAATCTAGCATGAAATGTTAGTACCTGGTTGGTTGGAAAATAGCGGAATTGAAGTATGTGATACTTTGAGCTTCTCTTGGTCCAATGCCTTGAAGGCGTTGACTAAAAACTCCTCATTTGTCAAGTGACGGCGCGAGGTACCTGGAGCGGGAATACGAGAGCTCGAGGGCGAGTTTATTGGGACCACCGCACCTGCATCGTCTGTCTGAGCAGAAAAAGTCGGATCAGGAGAAGTGGGATCCTGGGATTTCAGATCAGGGGAATTCAGATCGGGAGAAGTTGGATCAGAAGACTTAGAAGAGTCACGGTCTTCATGGTCAGACTCGGAAGAAAGAGGGCCCTGCGTACTAGTTGAAGAAGACATATTGAAATCACTAAAAGGTGTTTTCAAAGCTTTAGTATTGTAGCAGGGAAATGTTGCGTGAGGAGGAATATAAAAGAAGAAAAAGTTTCATCGCGAAAGAAAAATATTTGTACTCCAAAATTCGGAAATTCTCAACATCCGATTTCCGATGTGAACAAATTCCATATACTGCGATCACGACCTTGGGAGACTTGAATGAGTCATTTTTATCCTTTGACAAAATGGAAAAATGTTATCCATGGATAACAGTAGCAGAGGTGGTTTCCTTCCAAGGTGTTCATCCTAGAACTGATGTTTGGTCATTCATGGCTAGGTATAGCTTTCCATCCAGATGTCCATTCAAAGGTTCTGATAAAAAAAGCAGAGCCTAAGTATGACCTTATATTATCAAATTCCTGAGTCAATCTCGAGTCCACAAGTGCTCCTGGCTCGGTGCGCGCACTATCAACCCGAACTCGATGTTTGTCATAGCAAACTTGGAGTTGAAAAGAGCACTCTTTAGTAGACACGAAGTAGCTCGAAGTCATGCCACATATGCAGTCTGATTTCCTAGCGGGCATAAGTAAACGGAACGGATGGTTGAACAACTTTATTGCCAGGTAAATGATACTAAGCAGTCACTCATTTATGGTGGTATCAATGCTCAGGTATCTGTCTCTATCATAGTCAGCCTACTGAGTGTAACATGGAAGTTTAATAAGCGAACTTTCAATTTTTTGGGGGTTTTCCATATCTGTTTTCTTGGGGAGGAAAATAGAAAAGTAACGAACATGGCATAAATAACGCTTCGAGGGGAAAGAGGTGTCGCTAGGGTTTATGTGGTGCAATTGGCGCACCATTCAGTGATAACGCTCGCAGTCACAGTAGTAAAGAACGACTGAGCCAGCTCTGGGTCCGAGGAAATGAACACATCATCTTGAAATGTGCTCAAGGGGCCCTAGCTAACCATGGTTAGGCCTAGGAGATGAGAAGCCTTCATTTGCCAAAATACAGCACAACTTGTCTGCTCTTGACGACAAAGTTAGGGTTCGTAGAACATGGGAGTTTGATGTGTAGACTTTCGATTTTCTTTTGGGATTTTGTGTATTTCCCGATTGGAGGAAATTAGAAAACGCCATGAAAAGGGTATTCAACTTGGACGTGACCTTATTCGGGTCCAGTGCCTTAAAGGCGTTGACGAGAAACTCCTCGTTTGTCATGTTACGACGCGAGGTACCCGGGGTCGGAGCACGAGAGCTTGAGCCCGAGGTCTTTGGGGTCACCGCACCTGTATAGTTTGTCTGGTCAGAGGAAGTCTGGTCAGAAGACTTAGAAGAGTCTTCATGGTCAGAGTCAGAAGGAGGAGGGTCCTGCTTACGAGTAGAGGAAGACATTTTGAAGGCACGTCAAGTAGTAGTTGTTCAAGTTCAGAGTGCAATTGCATTAACGAATCATTGTGAAATGTGTTTAAATGGGCCTCAGATAAACCACCGTGAGATGTAGAAGATGAGAAGCCTTCATTGGCCAACCTGTCTGCTTGGCGACCAAGTTAGGGTTCGCGGGCCGACGGCACAGGACCCAGTTTTCGACCCCTGAGAACAATCATTTCAGACCGCATTCACGCATTCATCACATTGGATTTAATCTCTCGGTTTGACCTAAACGTAGCGCAAAGACTCGACTGTGGCATTAGCTTACCCCTCAAAGGGGCCTAGCTCAGAGGCATCGTTATCAGCCGGCGGCCATTGACTCTAGAGAAACAAGTTAGCTCATGGAAACTTGAAGCGCCCACAGCATAATCTGCATAATCAAATGAAGTGGAGAGGAGATGGATATACTTTGTCGTGGCCCTTGTAGAAGACCTTTATCTGGAAATCAAATTCTCAATTCTCAATTCTTTTTGTGTTTTTCTGTTTTCTTGGGAGAGAAAAATAAAAAAAGCAAATGCCATATATGCCCTAGTATAACTTGAACGCAGTGCAAAAACTCAATTTTAACCTTGGCTTGACCCCCAAAGGGCTAGCTCAGAGGCATCGTCATCAGCCGGTGGCTATTGACTCTAGAGAATCAAGTTAGCTCAAGGAAACGTGAAGCGCCCATAGCATAAGCCGCATAATCAAATGAAGTGGAGAGGAGAGAGACATACTTTGTAGAAGCAAGGACTTGAACTTGGAAGCGAATTCTCAATCTTTTTTGATGGTTTTTCGGTCTCTCAGGAGAGGAAAAGAAAAACGTAACGAAATAAAGCGGAGAGAAGAGGAACGTACCTTATAAAACCTTTTATCTACAACCCATGTTTGTTGCGGAGGTTAGCCCAGCGGTTACCGGCCGCCTTGGGCGTAACACTGCACAACGACGACAGCTTCTCATAGTCAATCTGGTGAAATGTTAGTACCTAGTTGACTGCAAAGTGAGGACAAAGTGAGAGTATGCGCCACCTTTTTTCTTTCTGGGTCAAATGCCTTGAAGGCATTTTTCAGGTTTCGACGCGAAGGACCGGGAGTTGGACTAGAAGGGCCAGGGGATGGGGAACGAGCGGTCGGACTAGAGGGACCAGGGGATGGACTAGCGCTGCGAGAGCGCGACGGCGATGGCGAGTTGATTGGGGTCTCATCAGCAGTAGCTTCTGCCTGTGCAGAAGTGGAAGGGTTCTCCTCGTCAGAGGCAGACATAGTGAAAGAGTGATATGAATCAAGGCTTGAATTCAAGTTTGTAAAGGTTGGAAGAGGAAGAAAGAAAGAAGATAAGTTTCGTCAAATCGAAGATATTTATACCCTAGCTAACGGAGATTTCCAAAGTAAATCACATGCTCAGTTTCTTCACTGCTGAGCACTATTTAGATCATGGTAGACTTAGAAGTCTTGATTAAGCCATTTTCTCTTCAATCAGAATAGAGTAGCATGTTATCAATGGCCTTACAAGAGGTCACGGCCGGTTTACGAGACTAAGGGAAGTAACATGCTGCCAAATAAGTGTATTACTACTAGTAGAGCTCACACTAACTCCATTAACACCATTAACGCCCGACATCTGTAGGTCCTTTCCCCTCCCCTCCTAACTGATGAATTCATCTTCCCTCGGCCTCTATGATACTAGTACATTCCAGGTATCTATCTTGAAACCCGAGCGTCCAGATGCATATCACTCGAGCTGGTATGGTTCAATTTTGATTGCCGTATTCGTCGTCTCAGAATTCTCTTCAATCTTGACTTCATTTGCAGGTGGTTGGGTCCCAGGCTGAGCTTCAGGTTGAAGCTGAGGCTGAGGTTGAGGAGATGCAGGTGGTTCCCAGCTAAGTACCGGGGCGTTCGGAAAGGCAGACTGTTGAACACCAATCTCGGGCAAGTTGAAATCATGCATACCGAACTGAGGATAGAATCCCGGAGGACTCACTGGTGTCATCGAAGAACTCGAAGAAGAAATGCCGGACATCACAGAATATGGCATTCCAGGCTGCATGAATGGATGCATTTGTAGGTGGAAAGGTGTTCCATTGACTGAGCTTGAATTTGGCTGATGGGACCACGAATACATATCGGGAAGATCGGCAAAATTTTGACTTCCATGGTGCTGCTGATTTCCCTCGCACTTGATGGGGTTGGCATAGGGCATGAAATCCCCAGGTTCCATTTTTATCCCAGGAGCGGACTGGGTTCCTGGCATAATTGCCAACATCTGACCATTTGATTCGCTCATGTCACATTTATCGCCCTTTTTCCCTTTGGCATTCTTCTTCTTGGCCGCTCGTTGGGCTCCAGTGGTTCCTTCCATCTGGTTGCGGAATCGAGAGAATCGCATCCGAGCAGCATGGCCATTTGATATCTGAATGTCCACAGCAACACGGTTCCAGTCAATCTAGTTTAACTGTCAGCTGAGTTGCACCTGCCCTCGTTATTTTCGCATTTTGGAATAACTCACAGTCTTCAGGTCCAGCTGCTTTAGCATGGCATAGAGAAACTTAGGGGTCGGACCATCGGTGTCTAGCACCTTACCTCGTTGAGGCATGATGGAATGCTGAGCTGGTTAGTATCAGTGCTAACAAAAAAGTCTGAACTGATGAGAACTTCCAGAATTGGAGGTTGAAGCTGGATGGAATGGGTGCAGTGAGGAATGCACTCTGGTGCACACTGAGCTCCAGTTAAATATCCATCGACCCTGGCAGGAGATGTACTGATTTCTTTGCAAGAATATCTTCTTAGAGAACCGTGACACATCTCATTAAATGCTGTCTTCAAAGCTGCCTTCAAACTTCCTGCTGAAACTATTCAAATCCGCCAACAAAGGTAACGCGACATTTTTCTTTTTTGTCTCCATATGCAGGCTTTCAGCTTTCTGGGTCTCTTTATAACATAAAAATGGTTTAGGAGTCTGCACATGTGGCATATGGACCAAATTCTAAGCTATTCAAGTTGACTGTTCCTTAGGCAGAGTACTATCATTCACTTAGGGTTTGGTGCGGGCTGCCGGCCCAATCCGCTGTAGCAATCAGAGAAATGCATCTACCACAATCCATAGCAAACACACAAATCAATAGCTTGAACCATTTGCTTTGTTTCAAAGCTCCAGAGAACGCATGTCCAATTTGAAGTAGTAAGGCGTGTAGATTACATCAATTGATCTACAAACCCTCCACGCGTTGCAGCCGATTAAGGACCGAAGTTTCGTTTGTCAATTGTGTATGCTGGAAAAAGCCGGCAATTTGAACAATAAGCAAAATCAGTCTCAATTATGACCAAAACTGAGTTCTATACACATCACCACCTGAATAAGGCATTAATTGGTCTCTATTGAGAGTGTACTCTAGGGCTTGGATGAGCAGTCATGACTAATCTGCCCCGCACCCCAATCACGATTCACGGGCAGGATTCAACGTACATCCTAGTAGCTTGGCTGCTAAACATGACTTGATCGACTGTGACCTGGTGCATTTGGATTTGGCTTATTTTGACATTGCAGAAGCGTTAAGATGTCCCTGGTCGCAATAGGTGCATTTTATGTGGATACCATTCTCAGGTATGATGTTTGCTCCTCCCTGTCGCATGTCTGGATTTATCAATGATGACATAGGACAATAATATCAAAGCCCTAATCCTTGTCCAATTTTAGTACATCCCATTACCCTGGGGAAGACGAGAAGTTACGAGCATCAAATATCCTTCACCGGCGAGGTGGAAATTGCCCAAATAGTCTTGAGGTTTTGCAGCAATTGACACTCGCATCCAAAACGAACCTGGCATTAAACCTAATATCAGTCTTGCCTGCCAAATCATCAGTTGCCTCCCAACACATCGTTTCAGCACTTGAGCCTCGTGTTCAGCTTGGCCACTGCATATTTCGGGAAAAATATCAGGAACCGGCATCATGTTACATTATCAAAAGCCAGTCGACTGGGAGCAGAACAATTGTCAACTATAATGAACTCCCAGATATGAAAACGGAAGAGTTCATTCAGGTTACCGCTAAGCTCGGATCTCAGGCCACTTGGTTCCATTTCGAGGTATGCAATTGACCACGATATCTTTCTCTATATCGGAAGAGATTGTGATATGCTTACATTCGTGGATGCTTCTAGGGTCGTACACCTGAGGTTTTGCTAGGTTGCATTCGGCATCTCCGAAACTATTTTTCCCGTGCTCACATTAGTGTTGAAATTGAAAAGCCAGGTCGAGAAGGCCTTCAGGAATTGGCAGAAGCAGCTGACGTTGTCTTCTATTCGAAGACCTGGGCACAGGTGAGTTTTTTATAGTAAGCATTTTGCATGCACTAGCAAGTTAAGCGACTTTGATGTAGTATGTAAGATTGAAGACACCGGCATCGCTGACTCCAATTTTTCCCCAGGGTATGGGATATACATCTGCAGAGGATTGTCTCCGAAAACAGTCATTGAGGACACGGAATGCGTGGGTCGAAATCTAAATATGTTCAAAGCATACTATCTAACACCTGAACGTGTTAGGTCACTGCTCTGTTGCACTTGGGGCCAGGATGGGGCAGCAGCCTTGGAACTCAGAACAGGGCAATTTGTACATGCTAAAATGGATACCGCGCCGGACTTCCAGGTGATAGAGTGAGTCAATCCAGACAAACATACCACACATTGAAATAAGCTAATTATCACCAGCCCAATCGGAGCGGGAGATACCTTCAATGCGGGGATGTTATACGCTTTGAACTGTAAAGACCAGGAATGGGATCTTTCAACCAAGGTTGGGTTCGCTAACCGGATTGCTGGCATGAAGGTGGCGCAGGAGGGATTCTCCGGTCTGAATCGTGCATTGGAATATTATCATTGAAAATAACCCGCCTCCTGCGAATACATAGCAACATCTGAATCGTTGAAGTACTAAAAGCAGATATTGTAAATTCACCTAACAGAGCGAAGAGGTAACTCGGGTCCTGGGAAGATAGAGCATGTGGGTCGAGACCATGATATCTGCACGTGATCTGGCAGCGGCGCAGGCGGTGTAGAACAAAAATTATTCTGCCTCTAACTTTTCTCCGAAGCTTTCTGCGCTTAATCCTCAATCATACCCCCAAAAATAATATCACAATGGCGGCAGTTTACAAGGCAGTCAACAAGAAGAAGGCCCGGCAATCCGTCGAGGAGGATGCCGACAGCGAGATGGACATGGGCATGGAGGAGCTTCTTAACGATGCCGACGATACCACCGACAGCGAAGAGGATGAGGATGAGGAGGACCGTATCACTGCAGCCAAGAAGATGCTTGCTCAAGGCTTCATGCCCAAGACCCGAGTTCTGATCTTGACATCGCGTGGTGTCACACATCGGTAAGCCAACCTCATACATCTGAAATCGACTCTGAGGAACCATTGAACTGACCGGGTGCAATTTTACCACTATTCTAGCCACCGACACATGATGGCTGATCTCTGCGCACTCCTCCCTCACACTCACAAAGAAACTAAGCTTGATACCAAGAAAAAGACCGCAGGTTACAACCTCATGCTTAATTCCCTTGCCGATCTCCACTCCTGCAACATGATTTTCTTCCTCGAGGCCCGCAAGAACGGCCAGGATCTTTACCTTTGGCTCTCCCGCCCACCTAACGGCCCTACTATCAAGTTCCACCTTAACAACTTGCACACTATGGGTGAACTAGGTGCTGGATTCGCTGGTAACTGCCTGAAGGGCGGGCGAGGAATTGTGGTCTTCGACCGATCATTCGATGAGCAAGGTCCCGACATGGGCGTTGCTGGTACCGAGTACCGTGCGCTTGTTCGTGAGATGCTGCGCGGTGTTTTCTGTGTTCCTAAGCGTGGTGTTAAGGGCATGAAGCCATTTGTTGACCGTATCATTGGTATCTTCGGTGTGGATGGCAAGATTTGGATTCGTGTTTATGAGATCCGTGAATCCGACGGCACCGACAAGAAGGACGATGAGACTGTCAAGCCTTCCCCCAAGGACAAGAATAGTCTGCCTGATGTTTCTTTGGTGGAGATTGGCCCACGCTTTGTTCTCACACCCATTGTTATTCTGGAGGGTAGCTTCGGTGGCCCAGTCATTTACGAGAACAAGGAGTATGTTAGCCCGAACCAGGTCCGTCGCGAGATTCGCATGGGCAAGGCCGGTCGCTATGCTGCACGCCGGGACGTGCAGACAGATCGGGAGGCCAAGCGGACGGGTCTGGGTCTTACCGACAACTCTTCGCAGAAGGTGGATGCTTTGGCCACAAGGAAGCTGTTCGGTTAAGGGTCTGGAGGGGGTTTCGATTGTCGTTTCATCCATCTGACTCGCTCGTGGAGATTTTCTTTTTGACTACATGTATATTTGATGGCGACGATATCATGGTCTGCTATGGCGTCAAGGCAAAGTCTTGTACTGGTTTTATTTTATTGAAAAAGTATCTTGCATGTTTGTTAACCAAATACCTTTTAAAACGATTCACATTATTTGTAAATGGTGGGTAATATTTTTCTATCATATTTTCAATGTCATTGGGCTACGAAGTGGCTCCAGTATAAGACTATTGCCGCCACTTCCATCTCATAGACGCATAAATTATATCTGTTGTGGAGCTGCATGTGGGCCCAGACTCTGAATCGAGGCGATCCAGCCAGACATAGTACTTTACTACATGTCACACAAATCTCGTACATCGATTCAAATGTTACAAGGAAAGCAAAAGACGAAAAAAAAGGTATAAATCAAGTACACTGGTTTTGCAAAAAAAAGGATTCATAGAAGCCCGCGTAGCCACAGTGACGCCCAACCAAGATCATTGCACCGATCCCGGAGCACCAACCAGAAGAATAAAAGATCAGGTCAGAAAGAATAGGTCTGGTGGAAAAGAAATCAATTTCGTAGTAGGGGGGAAAACCACGCAGAGAAACGAACAGCAAAAGAGGAAATGAAAATGAAAATGAAGACAATAAAAGAAAAAGAAAACAAAAAGGTCCGACTATCGGGAGATATGTCCGAGTTACGACCTATCTGCCCCATGTGCTCTCTACCAGATCCTGCCTGTGTATCGCTGTTATGTCACAAATTACAGACTCCATCGCGGATCGAGTATCATTCCGATATCCAGTTGTAGAAGAAGAAGAAGAGTCGTGGCGGTCGGGGGAATCCCGAGTCGTTTAGCAGCAGCCCTGCTTCTGCTCATTTTCCTGCGGAGTGAAATCGATCACCCGGCGGTCTACAGAAGGCCCACCGGTGGACTCGCCGTTGTCAAGGGCCTTGCTGGATACGATACGGTAGATTTCTATCCAGGAATCTAGTTAGTGATGTTATGTAGGGGGGGGGGGGTTTGTGGCGTGTGGTGGGGCGCACCTGTGAGGATGTTCTGGAAGGCGAGCTCGACGTTGCTGGCATCGAGGGCGGAAGTTTCGATGAAAGACAGGTTGTTTTCGCCTAAATAGATGGTCAACATCAACATCATCAATAATAACATATCTCAGCCCCCAGTTAGCTTATGCGGAAGGTGTAACGTACTAGCAAACTGCTTGGCCTCGTCGGTGGGGACGGCACGCAGGTGCCTCAAATCGCTCTTGTTACCAACAAGCATAATTACAATATTGGAGTCAGCATGGTCGCGAAGCTCCTTCAACCACCGGGTAACGTTATCGTAGGTCTGGTGCTTGCTGATATCGTAGACAAGAAGGGCACCAACAGCGCCGCGGTAGTAGGCAGAGGTGATAGCACGGTAGCGCTCCTGACCAGCAGTATCCCAAATCTGTGCCTTGATGGTCTTAGAGTCAACCTGGATTGAGCGAGTCGCAAATTCCACACCGATCGTCGACTTGGAGTCCAGGTTGAACTCGTTGCGGGTGAATCGACTCAACAGGTTGGATTTACCAACACCTGAATCTCCGATCAACACCACTATATTATTTCCGTCAGTTTCATGCTATACTCTTACTTCAACTTGAGTGTCCGTTGGGTTGGGGGGGGGGAGGTTTCGCAGCGGGCAGGCAGCTGCACGAGGCAACGTTACCTTTGAAGAGAAACTAGGACCTAGGTTAGTGACATAGACAAGAACGTATAGATAAGACTCACATCATATTCGTCGTTGGCCATTTTGAAGTGGGTAAAGAAGAGGAGGGGGGAAAAGGGGGTTGAGGGAATACAACAGGAGAGAGAAAAAGCCGGAGTAGTTAAATGACAAGCCGATAGGGAGAAAGATGATTGTCTCCCCAGGTGGAGTGTCTCCTTAATACCCGGGTCACGTGGCGATGTTGTTTTCGCCGCCCACTAAACATGAACTTCAAAGATTTATATCATCATGAATGCTATGAACACTTGGAGAACCGCATTTTTCTGAGAATGTGAAATGCATTTTAAATACCTGAGTGCGTTTTCAATTATATTACCTTGGTTATAGGATATAACATACTTGATGGAGTGTTTTCAACATTCATGAATTGCAATTATACGGCGTACTGGAAATGAACCTAGATCGTCGTTACGCCGAGATTTGGAGCTGAATTTCCCAATGAGCCGCCAGCCACGCGGCTGAGGGACAGGCTACGACTCATAATCGTTTGACACGAACTTATAAACATTCCTTACCAACTTTTTCTTTTTCCTTTTCATACCCTTGACCTCAACACAACCCAATCGCATCATCACCAAGGCCGAACAGGCCTAGACCATCATGATGCGGACAACTTCAACTGCTGAGGATAATGACGAAAACGACGACAATGACATAAGTCGGTCAGAGAAATCGATGTCTATCTCTGACCAGTCAGTCCAAGTCATCGAAGACTCCAATGCCGAGGATGAATCAGGCGAAGAAGATGCCGTTTTTGATGTTGAAACAATCCTTGCCCAGAAAGAAGACACCGAGGGAAATCTGGAATATCTTGTCAAGTGGGATGGATACGATGTTATGAATGCCACTTGGGAGCCAGAGGATTCGTTCAATTCAACTGACACGTTGATGGACTGGGAACGAAAGAAACTCGACATACAATCCGGACAACAACTGCGTTTCAACGTTGAGAAGTGGAAAAAACGCCTCAGGAAGATTCAATCCGACTTCGAATTCGCAGGAAAGGACATGGTGGAGTTCAACTCGGAACTGAACACCAATATTGAAGATTTTCTTATCCCATCGTCTACCCCAAAGAGAGGATTTGCACCATCAATTACCCAACCACGAAGTCGTGTATCAATCACATCTGACGAGTCTTCTGCTCTATTCGTACCCGCAGACAGTAGTAGCTCAGAGGAGTCAGTCGTTCCGCTTCGAACGCGTCGAAGAGAGCCTGAGAGTTCATTCTCTGGTCCCTCTGGTTCCTCTCTGAAGCAGTCAGCTCAAGCTTTAAGTCCATTGCCTCACAATCCCGATAAAGCGCCGCAGAAGAAAGCAGCTCAGGCTCAGGCACATGAACCTCAGTTACCAAAGCCACAAACCTCAGCTACCAAAGCTGTAAGCTCGGCACCAAAGCCTCCTGTTGTCAAACAACCTTTCGTTGGGTTTGGTCAGTCTGCTCACCCTCGATTTACGCGTAAACGAGGGTTCGAGTCACAGTGGGGCCGTGAGCGAGCACCAGACCCGGATCAAATTCAGTTGATGAAGCCGTCGGAATTCTCTAAAAGAGAAAACTATGGACATATGACACTGGATATCAACCGTACAGGCTTAGACGGTTCAGCATTGCAGCCCTCTGAAATGAGACCATCAGCAACCGCGGAAGCATCTGATTCTGTGCAAATGTCAATGGCCCCTCCAGCAAAGCCTTCTTCGGGGGGCGTATCCGAGTCATATGGACCAACAGGCTCGCGACCTGCTGAGCGATCGCAATCTTTCGCACTGCATGCTAGCGGCCAAAATGAACCGTCTAATTCCAATGTCCCTAAGTCCCCTCCAAAGGAACGGCGAACCAGTCTAACAGACCATGATCGAACTTCACGGCCAACAGCCATGAGAAACCGGCCCAGATCACCTGAAGGTGATAGCTATCGGAGAAAGCCTGTTCAGAGTCGCCAGCGCTCACTCTCTCCTTACAGCCGTCGACCAATGGGCCCCATTGATTCCTATCGACCTGGATATTCAGGCCGTAGATCCTCCTCAAGACGGTCGCGATCACCAGAAGGTAATGTATCTCGGATCGGATCACGCTCGCCGCCCCCGCCTATTCATAGGCGCGGTTCAATGCCGGATCCATCTCACAATAGGCATCCAGATGCTTCGGAAAGATCCCGTCCCATCCCTCTATCTGCAGAAGAAGAATGCATTGCACGCATGCCTGTAGGAGTTCCCTCGGATGGTGCGAGTTTCACTAGGACCGGTCTCTTCTTTAACCCCAACGAAGTTCTCGTTCATGTGTACTTTGGCACAAATAAGGAGTACATTGGTCCGGCGAGAATAATTGGCTTGCCACGGGTGGTCAAACATGAGCTTCTTCAGACCGGTTTGAAATCGCCGGACAAACATCAGTTGGAACTTTGGTTCAAAGATCTGCACACAATGGACGAGCTCCAGGTCCTGGCTAAGACTGTGAGGTTACCTCATTTAATATATATTCCAATAAATTGGATATTTACTAATATATCACCAGGTCTCGTACGACGACACGAACTGTAACGCTTGGCTGGAAGGGTTCGAGCAAACCAACCCACGGCTATTTCGAATGACGGAGCAGCTTCGAAGACAAAAAATAGCTGCCGTCTACAACCGGCTTGACTCAGACGTAAATTCGTGGATCGCTTACGCACCTGCTTCGGAGTTCGATGCCTTCCTCACACGACGCACTGGCGCTTGGAGATTCCCTGGGAACGTACCGATATGTCTGGCTGTAAGAGGGACATTACGGCAACCATCGATTTTGCAGGAAGAATTCGGCCCGCCGCGCCGTTATGATGAAAATGTGACGAGCCCGATAACACTTGCTCATACTGAATTTCTTGCCAGCTCTATCACCCATGCATCGAGACAGCCACTTGTTTGTCAGTCGGAACCAACGACTTCGCTTGGTCGGCCATCCCGCCCTGCTTCCGGGCGTTGGGGATCCATGTCCGAGCATACACATGCATCAAGTGCAAATGTTCATCCCTCGGATGGATTGCCGACGATGAATGAGCTTTTCGACGATGTGCGCGCGGAGGCTTCCATGACGGACGTTATGCCAGATAATCACCAGCCAGTTCCAAACTCAACTATGACAGGCCCTGCTCTCAATCCAGCCCAAACTGGCACTCAAATGCCAGTTGCGGAGATGTTTCTCGCGCTCAACACCTTCTTCTCGAAGCTCGACATGACAATTGACCGCCTCGCATCATGTACCGAAAAAATCTTTTATCTACATTTTCCACCTGGAGACGACGATGCTCGCATCGAACATGGTATGATAATGGCCTGGCTTCAGTGTAATAACGTCATCTACTTGTCAAACTGGGACAAAAATGGCCAGGAAGATAAAAATGCATGGCAGAGATTCCGTGAGACTTACAACAAGGGTGTGATCATTGTATGTACACATCCGATTCCCACAATATTGCGAAATAATTTCTAACTTGCTATCTAGTTCCACGAATCATTCCATGCTTTCCATGACTTACGACCTAGGATTCGAGGAGTTCAATGGTCTTTTAACTTCAACTTCTGGCACGTTCGTATCAAGAACCCTCTTGCCTTGTCGAACACCCGATTTTGTAAAGAAAATGCCCATATTCAGCGTCTTTTCCCACATGGCACAGCGTTTCTTTTGACTGATGATGTATTCCGAGACATGAAGCAAGTGGCTATCATCTTGGCCTGGTTCTTCGAAAGACGCAAGTCAACCGGAGGCGCCTCGACCAAGCTTGTATTCCAGCCCGATGTGTTGGGATATCTCAACCGGAAGCTGGATGATCCAGCCCGAAACAAAGATGAAGACCCATAGTAGGTTCCCCATTTTCAATCTAATGATGCTTCTTTTAACTCCTGATACTAACATGATCTAGTGTATGGAGCATCATTTCGTCGATCAAGCAAGTTAACTCTTCTTTCAATCCCGCTTTCCGATACTTCGAACCGAGCAGCATGGAATTCCAGAAACTCGACAACCCTAACAACAACGTCATTTGCCTGCCCGTCCAAGGATACGGTACTCGTTCTGAAAGCGACGACCCACTGATCCCCAAGGGTTTGACGCAGGAAGAACGAAACGCAGATCACCTCGTTGAGGCCTTTGCAGGATGGATGCTTGCTGAGGCAGCTCGTTTCCGCAAGACCGTGGTTATCAGCAACCACACGAACAAGGATCTCATGGCACGATGGCCCGGTTGGGGACATGTGAATGTGTTTGATGTCAATTCCTTTTTGAAGAAATGGCAGGTTAAAGAAGATGTCTTACTCGAAAAAATCAAGACTGGTAGCAAGCCACAGGACGATTCCCCTATGACCCCGGCGGATCATACTGCTATGACCCCGAGAATTCCGCAAACCCCGAAGACACCGCTCGAGTCACAGATCTCACGAGACCCTCGAGTCTCTGCTAGGGATCCTCGGCTCTCTCGAGGCCCCCGGAACCTTGACTCTTCTACTACTCATACTAGTACGGCAGGAGCTGCCAGTGAATGGAAGGCTCCTGGTCAGCATGGATATCCTGGAACGTATCAGTAGTGAGCGGTCTCCTATGACCCCGGCGGATCACACCGCTATGACCCCGAAAATTCCGCAAACCCCAAAGGAACCACTTGAAGTCACGATCTCTCGTGAGAGAGACCCCCGAGTCTCTCGCTGGGGATCCTAGGGCCTCTCGAGGTCCCCGGAACCCTGGCTCTTCTACTACTCATACTAGTACGGCGGGAGCTGCCAGGCTCCTGTCCCGCATGGATAACTTGGAACGTATCAGTAGTGGGCGGTTTCTTTTTCATGTACTTGTACCTTATCTTCACACAATACCCCTTCTGTCACTAATTTACGGATTATGATTCCACTTGATGAGCTCAATGACAAAGGTACCCCTTCGGTTTTTTAAATTTTCTTCCCTTCCAAGCTGGTAGCCAACTTTAATGATACTAGATGCATCTGTAGACTCGGATAGAACGGTGGCGGAGACTCCGCGCTTGCAATACTACAAAATTGCGTGCCAGTGGTGGTATTTCATGAAGCTCAATTGATATGGCTAGGACTGGCGCCTGGACTTGGATATGTACATGGCCAGCATCAAACACAACATAAAAAACAAAGTAAACGATCATGCACATGGGTATGTCATAAGGGCTAGCAACAGAACAAATGCAGCCTACTAGAGAAAGATAAAAAAAACGATCTTGATGAAATGAATCTACCCAACCGCCCGCTTGCGATACTCCTCAAAACTCGAAGCTTGCTGCGAGCCATCGGGAAAGCCATTCTGCTCATCATTTTTCTGACCTTTTTGCTTCTTGTCCATTTTGGACTTCTCCTCCCACTCGCTTTCCTCGGCAGAGATCATAGCGTGGAATTTGGCGCCCTGGCCACGAGGAAGATAAACGGGCTGATCCTCCCGCTTAGCGACGGCTTCTGTAACGAGAACAAATTTCACACTAGATCCTGGGACTTCGAACATTGCGTCACTAAGGATAGTCTCCATCTCTGTGCGCAGGGCACGAGCACCAGTGCCCATCTTGAAAGCATTTGCGGCGATGGTATGAAGCGCAGGTGTGGTAAAACGGAGTTCAATTCCAGAGAGTGAGAAGAGAGCGGTGTACTGAGCCAGTAATGAATTGCGGGGCTCTGTAAGGATGCGCAGAAGTAAGGGCTGAGTTAGCGTTGATAGGGCGGCGTTAACGGGAATCCGGCCAATTAGCTCTGGAATGAAGCCGTATGTTTGCAGGTCGGCTGGTGTTAGGAGGTCCAGTGCGTTGAAATATGTTGCTTCGCCGCCTGAGGTGGTGGGAGATGCAGATGTGAAGAATGGAAGATGTTTCTTGTAGAGAGCTTCTTCCTCGGAGCCTGGGAGGATAAGAAGGGGCTCCTCGTTGGAGGAATCAGAAGGTCCTGACCCATCGTGTGAGCGAACAGGTTGCCCGAACCCCATTGAGCCGCGAGAAATTTCGGTCCATGACCAGTTTATTTAGTCCAACAAATGCGCCCGAGAATATAAAAAGGATGTTGTCTGTGCGCACATTGTAGACTTCGCCCTTGGCCGAGGGGTTCAAGTTTCCATTGTGCGGCTGGAAGGGAGTGTTTCCCAGAGGACTGTTGGATGGATATGTATTGGGAGGGCTGGTCGAGCGAGGGTTCTTTTCTGGTTTGGCCTGTACTTGAATCGTAGTGCCCTCGATGATCTTAAGCAGTGCTTGTTGAACTCCTTCTCCACCAACATCCTTTCCATGGCTGACTTTAGCTGCCGCGATCTTATCGATCTCGTCGAGTACAATGATTCCACGCTCTGCCTGCTCAACATCATAGTTGGCAGCGGCAAGAAGCCGGTGAACACATGTCTCAGCATCCTCTCCAATGTATCCCGCTTGCGTAAATGGGGTGCAGTCCGAAATACTAAATGGCACTGACAAAACCCGAGCTAGTGTTTTTGCCATCAGTGTCTTGCCGACGCCAGACGGCCCGAGGAGAAGGATATTGGACTTTTCCAACTGAAGCGGAGAACTATCAACCAGCTCATTCTGGTCTAGCGGTGTAGCCGGGCGAGATTTGGATGAAGATTGAAGTCCGACTGTTCTTTGCTGGCCTCGAAACTCATCTGAAGTAAATTCAAAGAGTTAGATGAGGTGTACAACTTGCAAATGTCTCTTCAATAGCATACCTTCCAAGGGGTGGCCTTCAAGTGCCTCCTTTCTTTGCCGTTTTGACAACAGCTCTTCAGCTTCCTCCTGCCTTCGTGCTACTTCTTGAACTCGCTGGGAATGGTTATAAACGGCCACACTCAGTACCTTCTTTGCGCGATCTTGCCCCACGACATATTGATCGAGATATTGCTTCAGCACTTTCGGTGTGATTCGCGGAGCACCAAAGGCTGGCGTTGAGGCTAAAGGACCAGTGGTAGGCAGCCCAGTCTCATAGCTTCCGGTGTACGGCTGATTTGTGAAGTCGGACCGGTTGAATTGAGACCATGTTGGAAAGCTAGTTGGCCCACTTGACAGTTGGCGAACGTGGCTGACAGATAACAAGCTTGGCCGACATCGGATAAGTTCGCGATGCGCTAGGGCAAGCGGAAGTCGACGCTGGAGAGGCCGGCACAGCATCTCCCAGGTGCTTAAACGATGGCAGAACTGGGGATTTTGAAACAAATAGAATCTAGCTAGAGTTTAAGTAAGGAAGTCAGTCAGGAGTGTTGGATCAGATAAGTCAATGAAGCTTTCCCCGCAGGTGATCTTATCGGCTTAGTCATCTCGCTTTGCATCGGATGTTCGGGTTCCGAGGTTGGACCTGATACATAGAAGATTAATCCAGTGATAAAGAAATATTCCGAGTTTTAAATATTTAAGCGTGAGACTTCCAAGGTTAAAATGCGTTTCAGTATAATTCATAATCTAATTGGCTCTAATCTTTCATACCTGGGCCTTGAGCTGCGTTAGGCCGCACTAATGCAAGTTGCTATGTTTCACCACTGGTAGCCCAGGCACACCTGTCGATCCTCGCCCGTGGGCTCAAGAAGGACAGACTTGGCAGCATTAGGGTGGCTGGGCTGCCAATACTGATGATTGTTCAAGGTGTTTCCTGCTGACATATAGGCCTCTTTTCCTACTTGGATTGCAGTGGTTTTTCGAGTTTCCTCGCCTAGCAAAGTACCCTACCCCCCTATAGCTCATCCCTACATAGGCCCGTTGCCTATATCCAACTATATAGCAGCTAGCCTTTCCTTCCAGGTAATCATGCAGGTACCTAGGTAACCCCGTAGGTGACAGTGTTGGTAATTACAAGTAAAGAGGGGTATGTCACCACCTGGGCAGTTGCCTGTACAAACTACTGACTGAGTACTCAAGTATGTGAACATGGCTGTGGGTAGTGTCACGGTGTCTTGACCGAGATTCCTGGCCAAGCACTTCCAAGGTTCAATTACTACTATGTATCTGACGTAAACCTGAAGCACCTCCAGATGTCGTGGTTAATGACCCCGGTTTAAGATTAATTGATCGAACTGTTGTTTATGTGATCGGCATGTTTTATTACCTCTTTAGGTCACATTCGCGAGCCTTATGGCGCTATACCTGATTAGGTACCTCGTTTTCGGCTGTGAGCGGGTGATGTCATAACTGGACCAATCAACACGACTCGGAGAGATACTATACTCGGCGTTGCGCATCCCCTATATGGCATTTCGTATCTATGTGTCCACATATTCTGTTGTTTTCAAGGTTAATCTTCGTGTCTGGGCGTCAGTATTCCCAGATTTATGCAAAATGTTAAATTGCACAGCCTCGGAGGCGGCACTGGAGAGGGAAGATGTATTAGTATATATATCCACCAAGTTGGAGCACTTGAGATGGATTCAAGTTTATCGACTCGGAAGACATTCGAATTCGAACTTTCAACTCTTTGTGCATAACAGCCTGAGAATATTTGAACCGTCAATGATCAATCATGAACAAAAATTCCTGCTTTCTTTATTATTGCCTGCACTGGTTGTTGGTGCACCACAGTCCACCCACTGCCGATGCCTCCCAACCCAAAGTTGTTGGCCTTCTCAACAAGAGTGGATGTCTCTGAATGACACATTGAATTACAACTTGGTTGCAGTACGGCCAGTAGCCTCTGTTTGTTCTCCCCAAGAATTAAATTCGGCGGCATGCGAGAACATTAACGAGTCTATGGACAGACTCGGTTTGGCGATCATCTCAACCAGGAGCCGTGCAATGGGAAAATTGGGAGGCTTGGCCAGAGCGTCACCAGACATGTTATATCGAAACTGTTAAAAACACTACATGCGGACAAGGCGTATCTCCTTGTACTCAGCCAAAGTGCAGAATGCCTCAGATATCCAGCATGTTGTTCGTTTTGCCAGTGCACACGATCTGCGACTGGTCATTAAGAACACCGGCCATGATTTTTTGGGACGTTCGACAGCTCCTGAATCACTGCAAATCCTGACGCATTCAATGAAGCAAATCGAACTGCTCGATGATTTCCTTCCAAAGGGTGCACCGAAGAACATGAGTGAAGGTCCAGCAGTTCATCTTGCGGCCGGTGTGCAGCTTCCGGAACTGTATGCTGCGGTGGGATGCCACAACCGTACAGTCATCGCCGGATCATGCCATAGTGTTGGCGCAGCTGGTGGCTATATCCAAGGCGGAGGCCATTCACCTTTTGGGGCCTGGAAGGGTCTTGCCTCGGATAATGCACTTGAGTTTGAAGTGGTGACAGCTGATGTAGGTATGAAAAGAGATGATACACTCAAACAGAATCCATATTGACCAGTTATGTAGGGCGCCCTCGTACTTGCCAACGCATATCAAAATACAGACCTCTTTTGGGCCCTACGAGGTGGTGGCGGAGGGACTTTTGGTGTGGTCACCAGAGCTACCATCCGAACATTTCCGAATGTTCCGGTGGTTGTCTACAATTTGAACATGACAGCTTCAGTGGAAAACCCCCCGGTTTTGGGATGCCTGGACGGAGTGGCACGCAGCTCTTCCCTCACTTAACGATGCAGGAGGCTCGGGTTACTATTTCAGCTTCCCTAATCTGCCTTTGAACACCAACACAAGTGTTTCTACTTTGATCTCCCTTCTCATGTTCCCAGAGAAGACAAACACTACCGAGATTGACCAGTTGTACTTGCCGCTGGTGTCCAAATTGGAAAAGATCCCAGGCATCACAGTCCAGAAAATGGCAATTCCCTTTCCCAGTTTTAACTCGACCGTATTCGACGTTCTTTTGGCAGGCCAGCCATATGACAGCACAGGAAGCACTGCTATGCTGGCCTCGCGACTTTATTCAAAGGATCTTTTGACATCTCAAGATGGACCAGCCCGGCTGACCAATGCCTGGAAGAGTCTTGGGTGGGCCCCCGGTGCAGCGATTACCGGCCATGTGGCTGCGGGTGGCGCCGTTGCAGCCAACGGTGACAAGATTCATAGTGCTGTCAACCCAGCTTGGCGAAAGACTGTGACCCACCTACTCTTCTCTAAGGGTTGGGATGCTACTGCTACGCTCGAAGAGCAGCAAGTCATAATCAAAAATATGACAGAAGTGCAAATCCCTATCTTGCGATCCGTTGAGGGAGAGGACAAGATGGAAGCCTACCTGAACGAGGCCAATGGATACGAGCCAGGATTTCAGAAATCATTTTGGGGTGATCATTATCCTCTTCTGTACAGCATCAAGCAGAAATGGGACCCCGATGGGCTATTTATCACCCGCAAAGGAGTTGGCAGTGAGGATTGGGATGATGCAGGCATATATATGATTGCACAGAGAAACAGGAGCATGCTTGAGTACCAAAAAGTGGGCATTTAGACTCTTTTGCTGTGCTGGTTGACGACAAGCTTGTTGTTGGGGGCATTTGGAATTACGAATTTGAACAGAGAGATGTGAGGTTTTGGTGGTGAAGTTGTTTGTTATTTCATGTATAGTCGTCTTTTTGTGGATGGGTTGTAAATCTAGGAGTTTCTCAATGAAGAGTTCCCCAAATACATTGAAGCGAGCCTATCAAGGGACTGAAGTTCTCGATATGAGAGACCTAGCCACTAAAGGTGGTTTCACCAAGGCAGTGGAGCAGAACAATGACTTGAGCGGCGAGGCAGCATTGTGTTCTCCTCTCTCCAACGCTTGTCGACCAGACAGATAAAGCTAGCCATAATGACATATCTGTCGATTATTGGATGGTGTCGTTGACTTTGTAGGTATTCGACCCGGGGGTATTATTTAATTCGATGGTAGAAATCGTCGATTCCGATTTTATTTGTCCTGCTTGAAAACAGGCTGTTGCTCCATCGTCTGAGAGATGAAGCTTCGCAACGCAGACCAGCGAGAGGCCGTGGGGTTGGGAGCTGCGCTGCCATCGCCAGTGGTTTCAGTTGGAAAAGTGGGCTGTAGTCCTGACATCTGAGCCATGTTCTTCGCGAATCGATCTCGTTCCACCTTCTCCAACTTTTCCCGACGTTTCAAGGCACCAGGTTTGTGTCGGAGAGTATTCTGTTTGATGACGTTGACTTGGCTCGTGACATCGTGGGACTCGTCGGCAGCATCGGGAAGTGCATCTGCCAGAGATTCGAGGTTGGCGATCAATTTCTTTGACGCACGACGCTTCTTCGGGGTCTTAGAGGAATTTTTGGCAATCTTAGACATCAAAGTGGCATGCTTAATCTGCCGCTTATCCTTCTTGCTAGTCCGGAAATCATCCCCAAAAGGAGTCGATCGCGGGGCAACCTTTCCGGGAGTCTTCGTCTTCGCCATCGGGTTCGAAGAAAATGTTGGAAGTATGGACGAGAAAGATCCGGTTGGTGACGTGGAGCAGGAGAACTGCTACTCCGGATCCTGCATGTGAGATCGGCGGGACGGCGGTAAACGATTTTTTCGGTTTTTTTTTGGTTTCTCGCCGCTCTCCACTCTGACCGCCCGCTTACCCCTTGTCCCTGGTGAAAACTGACCAACTACCGACCTCGCTCAAGAAGAATTATCCACTTTGGTGACTAACGCAGTCCACTCGAGGGCTCTGAAGAAACAAACCATTGGAAAAAAGGGAAATACAGGCGAAAATGCGCTTGCTGTGACGTGATCTCTTGTCGCAGATTCCCCGATTCTACGATCCACCCTTCGGGTTCTCATAAAATTAACTCCAGAACTCCAGAACAAGTGACATCAGAGGTCAATCCGTTTGAACGAATAGCCGGGGTTTCTGGTTGAGATCATTGGGCGCCCGGTGACCTATTCTGAATGTTCTCCCCAACCCGTTGTTATCGGATCTGCTTTCCTGGCCTGTGTTCCACCAGTCTCGTGCCTCGGTTGTCTCCTTTGGCCACTCGGCTCCAGACTCCTATCATATCTCCCCGGCTGCCCCCGTCGGCTTCCCTAGCGTCCATTTATAAGTCTGCGCCGTCCGGCTCTTCTCCGTGTAGATCATATTCATCGGCTTCTTTTTCCACCATGGGATCTCTCGGACCTTATCAACACAAGCACAAGGTGACAGTGGTAGGCTCAGGTAACTGGTAGGGATATCTCCTTCATATCACGAAAGAAAAATTAGAATAAAGGCTAATCTTCGATTTTTTTCCTGATCCTTGCAGGGGCTCCGCCATTGCTAAAATTGTCGCCGAAAATGCTGCCAGCAACCCCGATCTTTTCGAGGAGCAGGTGGAGATGTGGGTGTTTGAGGAGAACGTTGAGATCGCGAAGGATTCACCACACTATGACCCCGCCCACGCGGGGCCCCAGAAAATCACTGAGGTGATCAACCGCACACACGAGAACGTGAAATACCTTCCTGGAATTCGGTTGCCGGCCAACCTACACGCAAACCCTTCACTCGAGGACGCTGTGAAGGACAGCACTATCCTCGTCTTCAACCTTCCTCACCAATTCATTCACAAGACCTGCGAAACAATCAAGGGCAAGATCCTGCCATACGCGCGTGGTATCTCTTGCATCAAGGGTGTCGACGTTCAGGAGGATGGAATCAGCCTCTTCTCTGAGACCATTGGCAAGGCTCTGGGCATCTACTGTGGTGCTCTGTCAGGAGCCAACATTGCCAATGAGGTTGCCCTGGAGAAGTGGTGCGAGACTACCATCGCCTATGACCCCCCGCACCTGGACTCCAAGGCCCCAACCCCCCAGCGTTCCCCCTCGGCTTCCCAGACCAACCTGGTCGAGTTTGAGCACAAGGATGTCTCGGGTAACTTTTCCAAGGTCAAGTTGCAGGCACTGCCCTCGGATTACCCGCCCGTTGACCACGCTGTGCTCAAGTCACTCTTCCACCGTCCTTACTTCCACGTGCGCGTCGTGAATGATGTCGCCGGTGTGTCTATCAGTGGTGCCCTGAAGAATGTGGTAGCAATCGCTGCCGGTTGGGTTGTCGGTATGGGCTGGGGTGATAACGCCAAGTCCGCTGTCATGCGTGTTGGTCTGATGGAAATGGTCCGCTTCGGTGATCGCTTCTTCGGTGCTACAATCGAGCAGCATACCTTCACTGAAGAGAGTGCCGGTGTGGCCGATCTGATCACCAGCTCAAGTGGTGGTCGTAACTTCCGCTGTGCTAAGTACAGCATTGAGCGCAACCAGCCCATCGAGGAGATCGAGCGCACTGAGCTCAATGGCCAGAAGCTTCAAGGAACCTTGACCGCTGTGGAAGTAAACAAGTTCCTGAAGAAGCAGGGCATGGAAGACGAATTCCCTCTTTTCACTGCTGTATACCGTAAGTCATTCTTGATGCCGAGCATTTTAACAACCAACTAACTGAATTTCAATAGGTATCCTGGAAGGCACCATGCAAGTTGCGGATATTCCTTCCTATATCGAGCGGTAAATCATCTTTCGGCCTCTTTGTTGAAAAAGCGTGTGTCGTTAATTGCGAAACTGGATTTCCTTTTATAGCCCTCCGATGCCCCGTACCCCGACTTCCACTTTATTTGAGACTTCTGGCAAGAATGGCGAAAGTGATGGCGTTCGGTTTGCTGCACGACTTTGAGTTGGGAAAAGAGAGGACTCGGTGGGATGGATTGTAGATAAAAAGATTCCCGACTGTACTTATGCATCTATGAATTTGATAACAGATACCTAAAGACATCATTGATTTTATACATCATGCCATATGTAACCTCGAATCTTGGAAGCAGCCCTGGAGGTCATCTAGTCTGGGACTTGGGCTACATAGGGGTACTAGTGCCTAGTAGTTTGTCCCTTATTGTATGGTCCAGGGTCTTATTCTATGTAAGCTCAGACAAAGACAAGCTCACTTCCAACCTTGGAAATATCAAGTACACCCTGGACAGTTTGAGTGGACTCCATAGATACTATCCATGTTCCCAGTTTTTTTTTAATATTTACCTCCTACACCCCGTAGAGCTGTCCATATTGAAATGCCGTGACGTGGGTCTCGGTGTCAAGACTATATGCGGAGTAAGTCGCCTTATCCCAGCCCCGCATCCTCCTTTTAAGAACTTGTCGAATATACATCAAGGCACAACCGGAATGACAGGAATCGGTCAATGCGGTGTTAGGCTCGTTCCTGAACCTGGGAAATTGGCGCCACACCAGGTCTAGCCTTGACGCTAAAAATACACGGCCAAGGTACAAAGCTTGGAAATGCATGATGTCACCCGCTGCGGAACACCAAGATGAGGGGAAAATCTCCCTCCATTTTTCTTTTAATCCTACCCTCGTACGGCCTCAAGTTAGGCTATTTGCTCTTTAGCTATCCCCAGAAACTCCTGGGCTGAACTATTTGAGCTTTCTCTGCGTCAATCGATCCGTGTTGACCTGTACTAGTGTCCGCTAACGCGAACGGGGAACCCTGATCGCCATGGGTCCTTCACGTCAGATCTACCTGCTTCCCTTGAAGGATGATGGCTCACCCGATGTGCCCGGTGGGTACATTTATCTGCCTCCAACCGATCCGGGCTATGTTCTGCGGTTCATCATCGAAGGATCCAGCTCGATCTGTCGGCAGGGTAGCCTTTGGGTGAACATCCCCGAGGAAGGCAAAGCTTTTGATCGCCAGTCCTTCCGTGAATACAGGTACAAAATAATCTAGCTTTCCGTCAATTTTCCAAAGCTGCTGTTTGCTCTGAGATGATCAGCTGCTAAAAAAAATAAAACTCAGATTGCAGCCCAATTTCAACGAGAATATCCAGATCGACATTCCCGTGCATACCGCAGGCTCATTTGCGTACTATGTTACGTTCACACCACTTCCAGACTTCTCTGTTGAGTCTGTTAAGACGCCGGATCCCATAAAAAGCCCGGTTCACTACATTGATGTCTCGCCGAACCTTACCCTCCAGGGCAAGGACCTGCCATTGAACGCCCTGTCGATTTTCTCGGTGATCTCGAAATTCTTGGGCCAATACCCGGTTGACTGGGATCGTCATCTTCATGGGATAAGTCAGCGTAATTACAACATGGTCCACTTCACACCACTCATGCAACGTGGTGCTTCCAACTCGCCGTACAGTATCTTTGATCAGGTGTCATTTGACTCAGCTTTCTTCCCTAATGGCGAGGCCGATGTCGCATCACTCGTTTCCAAAATGGAAAATGAGTATGGCCTTTTAACTTTGACCGATGTTGTCTGGAATCATACTGCTCATAACAGCAAATGGTTGGAAGAGCACCCCGAGGCGGGTTATAGTGTGGAGACTGCACCTTGGTTGGAGTCCGCATTGGAGTTGGACACTGCACTCTTGAAATTTAGTGATGATCTCGAATCTCTGACATTGCCGACCGAGTTTAAGACTGTGGAGGATCTGGTGACAGTGATGAACGTCTTGCGCAAAGAAGTAATCGAAAAGCTTCGCCTCTGGGAGTTCTATGCCACTGATGTCAAATCAAATGCGAAGAAGATCTTGGATGCCTGGACCAGCGGAGCTCTTGATGAGACTGCTGCTCAGGCTGAGTATCTTGAAGGGTTCAAGGATTTGTCCCCCAAGGAGCAAGGGAGAATCGCTCGTGAGCACGGTATTCCAAACGCCAAACAAGTGCGCGGTCGATTTGAACGTGCAGTCGATGCTAAATTCGGCGCTTCCCTTTTGACAATTCTTCATGGACCGTTTGATAAGGATCAGACTGATGCCGAGGCGTCACTTTCAAAGCTTCTCGATGCCGTCAATTTGCCGTTCTACGAAGAATACGACACAGACCTTGCAGATATCATGGACCAACTCTTCAATCGCGTCAAGTATCTACGTATCGACGATCATGGTCCAAAGCTTGGTCCAGTCACCAAGGAGAGCCCCCCTGATCGAGACATACTTCACCCGGCTCCCTCAAAATGATGTCACTAAGAAGCACAACCCCAAGGCTCTTGCTCTAGCAAACAATGGCTGGATTTGGAACGCCGATGCTATGAGAGATAATGCTGGGCCTGATTCCAAAGCATATTTACGCCGTGAGGTAATTGTCTGGGGTGACTGTGTCAAGCTCCGCTACGGCAACTCACCGAAGGATAACCCATTTCTGTGGGAATTCATGACCAAGTACACTCGTCTGATGGCAAAGTATTTTTCAGGTTTCAGAATCGACAACTGCCACTCCACCCCACTGGTTGTTGCAGAGTACTTGTTAGATGAAGCTCGTAAAGTTCGACCTAACTTGACTGTCTTTGCCGAACTCTTCACAGGGTCCGAGGAAGCGGACTATGTCTTCGTGAAACGATTAGGCATCAATGCCCTTATCCGCGAAGCCATGCAGGCGTGGAGTACTGCAGAACTGAGCCGGTTGGTTCATCGTCACGGCGGTCGCCCAATCGGTAGTTTTGATGTGGACCTACCCTCTGCTGGTAGTAGCCATGCCATTGCTTCTGCTAAGTCTGCAGGCTCAGAAGATCATATCACTCACATCAGACCATCACCAGTTCAAGCGTTGTTTATGGACTGCACCCACGATAATGAGGTCCCTGCTCAGAAACGTGATGGAAGGGATACCCTCCCGAATGCGGCCCTCGTTGCGATGTGCGCATCCGCTATTGGAAGTGTTATGGGTTATGATGAGATCTATCCCAAGCTCATTGACTTGGTACATGAGACTAGGCAATATGCATCTCCCTTTTCTGGTGATCAGAAATTGGAGGTTGGTGCTGGCGAGGGAATCGGAGGCGTGAAAAAGCTTCTCAATGAGCTTCATACCATGATGGGAGTAGAAGGATATGATGAGACTCACATCCACCATGACGGCGAATACATCACTGTTCACCGAGTTCATCCCAAAACCAGAAAGGGAATTTTTCTCATTGCTCACACTGCCTTTCCTGGCAATGACAGTGGGGCAACTCTACCTCCTTCCCACATCACTGGTACACAAGTGAAGCACATTGGATCATGGGTGCTTGAGGTGAGTGCAGATGATGAGACCAAGGCCAAAGTCCTAGCAGATGATAAGTACCTCGCGGGCCTTCCAAGTACGACGAGAGAATTGGAAGGTACGAAGATCGAAGTCGATGGAAAGGATGTGACCATCTCTGTACTTGAGACCCTTGTTCCCGGCTCTATTGCTCTTTTCGAAACTTGGATTCCTGCAACTGAACATGCGAGTGGTCTCGATCATTTCCTCTCCAGTGGAGCAGATGAGGCATTTGGAGAGCTCAGCTTGATTGACTTGAACTTTGTGCTCTACCGCTGCGAAGCTGAAGAGAGAGATTCGAGTGATGGCCAGGATGGAGTATACAGCATTCCTAAACACGGCCCTCTAGTCTATGCTGGTCTCCAGGGCTGGTGGAGTGTTCTTGAAAACGTCATCAAGTACAATGAACTTGGTCATCCGCTTTGCGATCATCTGCGGGATGGTCAATGGGCTTTGGACTATGTGGTTGGTCGCATGGAGAAGGTTGCATCTAAAGAAGGCTATGTCGAATTGCATAAGCCTGCTGCTTGGCTTCGTGAGAAGTTTGATGCTGTTCGTGGCCTCCCTAGCTTCCTCCTTCCGCGATACTTTGCCATCATCGTTCAAGTGGCCTACAATGCGGCTTGGAAGAGAGGAATTCATCAATTCAGTGACAACGTTCGCCACGGCCAAGAGTTCGTCCACCAGTTAGCCATGGTCAGTGTTCAACAAACTGGACTCGTGAAATCAGCTTCACTGTGGCCCACCAAGCAGGTTCGCAGTCTTGCCGCTGGATTGCCCCATTTTGCTGTGGATTGGGCCAGATGCTGGGGTCGCGATGTCTTCATTTCCATCCGCGGTCTATTCCTCTGTACAGGGCGATTCAATGATGCGAAAGAGCACATCATTGCCTTCGCTAGTGTCTTGAAGCATGGCATGATTCCAAACTTGCTCAGCAGTGGAAAGCTACCTCGGTATAACTCTCGAGACTCTGTCTGGTTCTTCTTGCAGGCGATTCAAGATTACACAAAGATGGCACCGGATGGCATCAGCCTTCTACAGGAAAAGGTTCGGCGAAGATTCTTGCCTTACGATGATACATGGTTTCCATTTGATGATCCTCGCGCCTATTCGCAATCTCCCACCGTTTTGGAAGTGATCCAAGAAGTTTTCCAGAGACATGCGCACGGCATGTCATTCCGTGAATACAACGCTGGCTCTGACTTGGATATGCAGATGAAGGAAAACGGCTTTCAAATTGACGTGAATGTTGATTGGAATACCGGTATCGTCTTTGGTGGAAGTCAAGACAACTGCGGTACTTGGCAAGATAAGATGGGCGAAAGCGTTACAGCCGGAAATAAGGGCTTCCCTGGAACCCCTCGTGATGGTGCATCAATTGAGATTACTGGCTTGCTGTACAGTGCATTGGCTTGGGTGTCACAGCTCCATGAGTCAAAGATATACCCACAGGATGGTGTTGATATTGGCGATGGAAAATCAATCACCTTCAAGGAGTGGGCGGGCAAGATCAAGGACAATTTTGAGCGGTGTTACTATGTTCCTCTTGATGTCAGTGAGGATGGGAATTATGATGTGGATGCCAACATTATCAACCGCCGTGGCATTTACAAGGATTTGTACAAATCTGGCAAGCCTTTTGAAGACTATCAACTTCGATCCAACTTCCCGATCGCAATGGCAGTGGCTCCAGACCTTTTCACTCCTGAAAAGGCTCTGACTGCCCTCTCGATTGCTGATTCTGCGATTGTCGGCCCGGTTGGAATGGCAACACTTGACCCATCTGACCTGAACTACCGACCAAACTACAACAACTCCGAGGACTCCACAGATTTCGCGACATCCAAGGGTCGCAACTACCATCAAGGTCCTGAATGGGTTTGGCAGCGTGGCTATTACCTGCGCGCCTTGCTCAACTTCGATATTCTTCGCCGGAAGACTCCCGAAGAGCGTATCGAGTCCTTCCAGCAAGTTACTCGACGTCTTGATGGATGTAAGAAGGCGCTGAAAGAAAGCCCTTGGAAGGGACTGACAGAACTTACCAACAAGAATGGAGAATACTGTGGCGACTCAGTAAGTCTCATTCAATCTATAGATATGTGATGCATGCTAATTCAGATATTTAGTCCCCCACTCAGGCCTGGTCTGCGGGCTGCCTGCTTGATCTCTACTACGATGCTGCCAAGCTCTAATTCATGAATGATGATCGACATAGAATTCTAGCATACCTATGAGAGCGTCCTTTCCATTTCATTTCCTCTTCCCCAACACTGATGCATAATAAACTGTTTTTCATGCTCGCCATTCTCGATTCAGACCACGCATTGTTTCAAGTTGCACATGTGCATTGTCTAGAACCAATTTAGCCAAGAATCCAAATGTTGCACATTAAAGTAAATGATACATCATAGAAAACTCGAAAAATTTACACTAATTTTCAAATTTGTAATTTGCATATGCTCCAGAATCCAGGGCTAGTAGTATGCTGCAAGTCATTCAAGCCCTGCGGGGATATCTCTAGCAGAGTGGACTTAGTCTCTACTAAACATGACCCACAGGTGGATCTTCGAGACCAAAAGACCCAGGACGAGCCCATTTGAGAATAAATCGAATTGAATGCCCCGAAAATTGAAATAACCCGGATAAATTCAAGTTTAGGAAACCTCTGCTCCCCACCTGACATCAGGCCATGATCATCGGTATAGATCGGTAAATCCCGAGATCGGGCCGTTAAGATGCTGAGTCAGCCTCGTGCCAATCTTGGAAGTCGTCATTTAGGCAAAACAAAGCCAGCTCCTGTTTTACTTTGTTTTCAATCCTACTAGGGTTAACTTTGGTGTTCCACGTCCGGGCCTGACTTGCACCTCCTTGTTAAACAATTCTGGTCTGTGAAGGCTAATCCTGACGAACTCATCTTCACCCTTGAACCCCTTGCGCCACATGTTCTGGATGGAGTAAAACCCTCGAGCATTCCTCGGTCGACGATTCCACATCCCATACTCGAGGCGCAAGGCGCCGTTTGACCTAGAAGATGTCTTTGACGGCATCTGCGGCATCAACCATATGGACATCGCTTGAAGATGACCCACACCGTTGGGCAGATCAGACAACCAAGCTCCGCGACTCGTTCACACAATTTGTGATCAGTTTTGCTCTTGGACTGGGCGCTTTCTTGTCTTTCTGTGTTTTGCGACCAAAATGGACAGAGCTTTATGCTGCGCGGAGGAAACAACGCTCTTCAGCGTCACGACTGCCGGAATTGCCGGATACCTTCTTCGGATGGATCCCGGTCTTGTATCGCATTACTGATGAGGAAGTGCTGCAGTCGGCTGGTTTAGATGCCTATGTGGTGAGTGTGCAGTCGCAGGAACTATCATCTCTCAGGGTCGCATGCTAACATCCCTTCTCTGCATAGTTTCTATCGTTCTTGAAATTCGCGATTCGACTCCTACTGTCTGTCTTTCTTTTCGCTGTGACTATCATCCTACCCGTTCACCTCAAATACACTGGCAACTCTGGAATTCCTGGCTGGGATGACGATGATGATGACAGCTCACCTGGCAGCAATATTTCAGCGCGCACATTTGGGGCCTTGGCTAAGGACGATAAAGATCCCGTCACGCCCATTTCGGACCCGCCTTATCTATGGATCTATGTTGTCTTTCCCTATATTTTCAGTGGCCTGGCCATCTACCTCCTTCTCCAAGAAACGAACAAAATTATCCACACTCGCCAGACCTACCTTGGTAACCAGACCAGCACGACAGATCGTACCATTCGTCTCTCGGGAATCCCACCTGACCTGGAATCGGAAGATGATATCAAGGACTTCGTGGAAGGATTGCGTGTTGGCAAAGTCGAATCTGTTACATTGTGTCGTCAGTGGCGTGAACTAGATAACCTGATTGATGAACGGATGAAGATCATACGTGAATTAGAGCGAGCATGGACAAAGCATGTGGGATACAAGCGCAGACGGCGTGACAGCAACGGCTTACCATTGACTCGCCAACCGCCGCTTCCTTCCAGTCGGTCCATAGATGAAGACACTGAGCGAGCACATTTGTTGTCTGGGAGTGAGCGCGCACATGTATCTGGGTACGCAAACGCACGGCCAAGAACTCGTATCTGGTACGGCCAATTCAAGCTTCGCTTTCGTTCTGTTGATGCGATCGATTATTTCGAAGAGAAACTGCGCAAGATTGATGAGAAGATTCAGAGTGCGCGAGAAAAAGAATACCCTCCTACAGGTATTGCATTCGTGACCATGGAATCCATCGCAGCATCCCAGATGCTTGTCCAGGCCATTCTTGACCCACATCCAATGCAAATGTTTGCTCGCCTTGCCCCAGCACCAGCTGATGTGATTTGGAAGAACACATACGTCTCTCGTTCCCAACGAATGACCCAGTCTTGGTCCATTACTCTCATAATTGGGTTTCTTACCGTCTTTTGGTCCGTTCTATTGTTGCCAATTGCGTCTCTGCTAGAATTGGAGACATTGCACAAGTTTTTGCCCTCGCTTGCCGAGGCTTTGTCTGAGCATCCCATCTTGAAGACCCTGGTCCAGACCGGTCTGCCCACTTTGGCATTCACACTCTTGACTATAGCAGTCCCATATCTATACGAATGTAAGTTTTACCAATATGGTGGAGAGACAACTTAAAATGCTAATTGGACTTTGTAGGGCTTTCCCATAACCAAGGAATGATGTCTCGAGGAGACGTCGAGCTGTCCATAATATCCAAGAACTTTTTCTTCTCCTTCTTCAACCTGTTCCTCGTCTTTACGGTATTCGGAACAGCGAGTGGATTTTATGGGTTCTGGGAGAACTTGCGTGATACGTTCAAGGATGCGAAAACGTTGGCTCTCGCGCTGGCTACCTCTTTGGAGGGCCTCAACAAGTTCTACATCAATCTATTAATGCTTCAAGGCTTTGGTCTTTTACCCTTCCGGCTTCTCGAATTCGGCAGTGTCGCCCTTTACCCACTGCGTTTTCTCGGTGCACGAACACCTCGCGAATATGCGGAGCTTACCACACCCCCGAAATTCAGCTATGGTTTCTCGATCCCGCAGACCATTCTCATTCTGATCATCTGTATCGTCTACAGTGTATTCCCCAGCTCGTGGCTGATTTGCCTTTTCGGCCTTTTCTACTTCACCATTGGCAAGCTTATCTACAAGTACCAGCTGCTGTATGCTATGGACCACCAGCAGCACTCTACTGGCCGAGCATGGCCTATGATCTGCAACCGAGTATACGTCGGGTTGGTTGTGTACCAGCTTGCCATGATTGGTGTTTTGGCTCTTCGCCGAAGCATTACTCGCCCATTACTTCTGGTCCCGCTCCTGATCTTCACAGTCTGGTTCAGTTACTGGTTCGCCCGTACATATGAACCTTTGATGAAATTTATTGCTCTCAAGAGCATAAATCGTGAACAACAAGGAGCAGATGATGTTTCCCCCTCTTCCTCGTCCATTCTATTTTCGCCACCGTCTGGAATCGACCGCGATGCGTTGCCCATTCAGATTGGGGGGCGAGAACTTGAATTGCGGCTGAAGAAGTATGTCAACCCGAGCCTGATCGTGCCACTGCATGACGCCTGGCTCCCGGGCCGCAATCCTGCCCAGGGTAATGGGGCTTCTTTACACGAAGCTCACGAGACCTCCAACCATGCGTCGGTTTGAGCTGACGTACACCCTCGATCCTCTCGGATCCCCTTTCCAAGGTTCCTTGCATTTTTTTGCTTACGTTCCCCCTGATTTTATTGTTCTATGATGATATACGACCGTGATACCTCGATCGCACTTTTACTATTGCTGTTGATAAACTTTCGCTACCACTGGCATCACCATACTCTTCAGTTTTATGTCTGCGTACTGTTTTCTGTTTTATTATTGGATACCCATACTGTCTCCAGAGATCATTCTTTTATTACCCATCACCCATAATGTTGAATTCCCCATGCTTGAGTTCTTTTTCTTTTTTTTATTCCAAGTACATACTCAGAATTTTGACAGCAAACCTTGTATAGTAGCAAGAAGTATTAGTACATATATTTAGACATATTCCAGCCTTATAGTCATGACGTTCTAGATCCATCTTTCCCTGACTTTTGACAGGTCTCGTGTCCGTGTGATTATTGTAATTATTGCTGCCCACTATGAGTTACACTTCTTCCAAGGTTCAATTTGGGATTGGTGCACATTCCATCGGTTTCAACTTTTCTGGGCGAACTTGAACGTGGCAGCGGCCAGAGATGTCAGTGCGTTCAACCTGGGAATTTGAACTTTAGGCACAATTTATGCATTTTCAAGCTGATTGTATAATAATTTGAATACATACTCGTGATCAACTCCACTGTCCACAGGTGTCCATGGACCTAAAGTTAAGGCACTTGAACCTGATTTCAGTGAAAACATTGACAAATGCGACAAACTCCGAGTCCGAGTCGGATCCAGTCCCACTGACATATCGGTTTTTGACATAGTGTACATACTTCGACTGTACTCGGATTTTTATGCTTCCAGATGTTTGGAATCCCTGTCTCAGGCCCACATGGCCTTGAGTTGAAATCGGGGATGGCGGCACATTCCAACCCAGTGGGCCTTGCGCTTAGCATCAAAACAATGCTGCCAGGTGCCTCTCCCCAGCTCATGAGGACTATCATCTTATTTCCCACTGAGACAGATCAAGACCCCTGGTTTCTTCATAACAACAAACAGTCTTGATTAACCTATCAACTGATCGGATAATTTTTCAAGTTTAACGCCAGCGGTGAGTTTCAGTGGAGTCACGCTGCATCCGGAACCGCCGTCTCTCTAGCATTCTTGACCTTATGCCACACCATGGAATGCGCATGAAGAAAGAACCACTCTCAATGCGAGAGTTACAAGCTGAGATTTGCTTTTTCTTTTCCCCTTATACCTCGTATCGTGAGACCCTGACTTAACTGCCGAGATGCCTCCAAGATCTGCCTCTTCGTTGCCTCTTCCATTCCAAGGGGAACACTCCCGGCTCCACTTTCTTACATTTCCGCGCTCGTCCGAGTCTGTGACTCGTCCATTGTCTTATTTCCTCAATCTAACATGATGATGAACAACAGTACTGTGACGGGCTCCACTTGTTACCGGTCTTCGGACTACCGCCGTCAACGTGGTCCATGTCTGGGATGTGTCAACGTCAGAATATGGCCCCCCCGCGGCAAATAATATTTCCAATTTGTGATGTAGATGACTCGGACTGGCTTGGATCATGCATTGAACAAAACCCTTGCCTCGTCCTCATTTCCCGCTTTCTGTTTTGTTTTGTTCAAGTTACTTATATCAAATTCCTCGACTTGAAGCGTTGACTTTTGACAGTTCACCGGATTCAGTCACACTTTCTTAGAATACAACCTTCCACATACTTGGGTCTAGACATCCATCTTACGTGCTTGACTTCCAATTCTTGACTCGGCTAAATCTACCATGCTAGTGGCTGGCCGTTAAACTCGTGGTCAAGATCCGATCGGACTCTAAGATCGATGCATCGTTGCTGGTCTCCACTTGTGGGTTTATCGACCATCTACTCCTGTGGATCCCATGCCAATTGCCAATACTTCCGTCTCTATACTTGTCTAAACTATTGGCGGTGAATCGCATACGGACCTGGCCTTAGAAGTTCATTTTCCTGCAAGTTGTCAATAATTTACCCCATCTTGTCCCTGAATAATTGCAAATCTCCTTTTCCTGCACACCATATATACTCGAACTACCCCAAGACCCAAGGAGACCCGGTGTACCAGGTGGTGAATGTCTGCAGAGTGAGCTTGTTGAGTGGAAGCGGAATGCCAGTCTTGAGGTCTCGCAGTAAACGCATTACGCGGGAATCGTGCGATGAAGCTTCAACAAAAAGATCTGTTGCACAGACGAGCCAGTCAGCCTCACCCACAGAGACCGATCTATCACACAACTCCAAGAAAAACACATCGTTCATCCAACATGGCTGTCCAATTGTTACCGGGGTATCATCGCCCCCGGCCGCTAATATCACACCACCGGAGATTTTGCTACCGATATTCGCTATGCTTACTCCCCGGGACTTCGATAATGCGCGACGAACATGCTCACAATGGATGAGGATCAGTTTAAATCCGAAATTATTAAAAACCATGCTGAAACGTGCGGGATGGTGGGATGCATGGCAGCAGGACTGTGCAACAAAACGCGCCATAAGGCATCTGGCCAGCTATGAGAGCGAAGTTTGGAGGATGAGCAAAAGATTCGCTACCGAATGCCTGCTTTCAGGGCGACGATCAAATATCGAGAGATTAGGCTTTGTGAAAGTCGGAGTGGTAGAGTTTTCCGGACTTGCGAGGAGCATGCAAAGGAGGAAGACTCGTGGGATCAAGGCCTTGCCAGACCGAAACCGCATATGCCAGACCAGGTCCACATTTAGTGTCAGTAGCTGCAGCAACTATGCTCTAGCTACTGCTGGCTGCACAATATATGTGTTCCGTCTAATGGACAGGAGTTCCAAGTCCATGACTTTTACGCACCTTGATGATTCAAACCTGGTGCCGATAACCAGTATTGAATGTCCTTACGAGGTTCTATCAGCCACAATGGATACAAGTACACCTCAATTCCTTGTCGCAGCCCTGTTGGGCAATCGAACAGGCATGGTTTGTGATATTAACGTATTCCGTGTATCTCAGGATGAAATTTCAACATCCTGCGATGAATCGGTGGACGGTGTATCAAATTCCCCATCTTCAAAGCCCGCAAGAAACAATCTCTACTCTATGCCAACAACTACTTCTTCGTCGCCACACTATTACTACAACGTCTGCTCAGAAGATCATCCTCCTCGAACAATTGCTCTCTATCCTGGCCGTCAATGCGTCGCATTTGGATGCGCAGGCGGTATCGAAATCCACTGGGTCGACGAAGCAACCCAGAAAGACCAAAGAAGACACTTCCCTATGTCTCAACCCTCAGAGATTCTTCACTTCCTACCAAACTCCCTCGAAAGTCCCAGCGAAATGCGCCTTATCTCCTCATTAGCTGGACCAGGCGTCCACGAGTCTGCATGTCGCCAATCTCCATTCCCAGATCATCCCAAGAAATGCCATTTCAATTTCCGCGGAGACTCCAAACTTCTCAATCAAAAAACCCATCCAAATAATTCCTCTCTCAGCCTTGTCCGCGCAACTCACTGCCATCATTATCGCGCCGTCCCTATAAATGACGGCTACCACATCGCCTTCATCGAACCTCGCACAGGTCTCCTATGCATTGGCTCCGATGCACCGATAGGCGGACCAACAAGTCTTACCCGTGCCTTTGTCTGTATTCCACCCTTTGGCAAAGACCCAACAACAGATACCACCAAAGAAGCCCGCGTACCTACAGCATTCGCCGTTGGCTCCGATCTCCGCTGGGGTCTTCGCGTTGTCGCCGCATATCAAGGCCGTATAGTTCTCTACTCTGTTCCCTTGGATATATTCAACGTTATTCGGAAAGAGCGCGAGCGTCAAGTTGACGGTATCCTGGGGAATAGTGATCCGGCATACGACTGGTACATGGACCCGGAGCGATCGCACAAACGTCGTGAGAGTCTCGTGCAGAATCAAAATGGAGACTGGGAGTTCCTGCTTAGTGTAAGCTATAGCCCAGCAGCAATGATGTGGCCATTCAAGATATACGGGAAAGAGATCGGACGCGGGGAGAACGTTGTCGAATTAGCGCTGCAGTCATCGAATGGCGGGGCGCGAGTCTGGGCATTTAGCGCCTCGGGTGAAGCGAGTATCTTCGATATTGATACTTTGACGTCGCCGACATGTGGTGCTGAGGATATACCCTGCGCTATGGTTAAAGTCGGGTCAGATGGAAGTATTGATTCTGCTGGACTTGTTGAGAGACCGAAGCCTGGGTCCATGGCGCCTCCGACATCACGAAAGCGGAAATCGACTGTTTTGCAGGATGATTTTGTCGGACGGTATGGGACAAGTCGATATGTTCCCAGTTTGGATTGTGATGGTCTGAAGCCTGTCAATGCTGTTGATCACCAGGGTGAAGAATCGTCGATTCGTCGACCCTCTTTTGCGGCTTGTATTGTTGATTTTAAAATCCCCGAGCTTGGAATTAGGGATTCATCTTGGAAGAAGGATGAGTTTGTATTGAAGGGTGACTGCTAGATTGACTTGTACTATTTTAGCCTCCAGGGCTTGTCTTTGGGATAAGTTGGGCCTGGGCATCATTGATGAATCTGTTTTATAGATCATAAATCTGGTGAGATTGATGTTGAACTGTATCTATTTCAATTCTCTCTGAATATATCTTTTTTTTATCTTAGTCCTAGTATTGCACTACGCTACTAATACTAGGCAGTAATAATTCTCACATATGGTAGTAATATTGCTCTGAGTCTAATCAAGTTCCAAAAATCATCACTCCCAAAGTCCCAGTAGTTTGAACATGCAGTGCGCCCTAGTCAATGTGAACACCCAAAATTATGGAAAATAAAATTTGGTAAAATTTTGATTTTTGGTGGTCTTGATCTCTCAGCATTTTAATGAACTATAAATCGCTGAAATATATGATGACTTGAATTACTATTGACCTGCATAACATGAATATGGTCAACTGGTCAGATTCTCACCGCGAAAAGCAATCATGGGGGTGATGTAGATCGTCCCTGTCACGAAAAGGCAAAATATGATCTACATTACTCCATCATTTGGTGAAAATAAGCGAGTCTAAGAGCTTAACTCAGATAATTGACTGGCTATTGACTATGCAGCTTACTTTCTAAGGATCAACCGTACAGTTCTCCAATATCCAAAAAGAATCTAGTGGTGCTTAGAACGGTTAGAGCTGTGTGATCCAATGCAGGATTGCAGATCACTCACGAACTGTCTGGCTGTCAACCTAAATCCAAGTCTTTGACCCGCTTTTTAGTTGAATATTAGACTGATATGCATACGGGGTACAAATGATGAGTTGTTAAAAAAAACTCCGGTTGAGACGGTTGACTACATACTAGATGTCCCTAAATCGTATTATCCGAAGTGTTCGAACTAAACATTCATTCCAACATTAAAACATTTGAATGCTCAGATAACTAAGCGTCCCTAGACTTATGTGATTTTCAAACGTTTGTCAACTTCAAGTTCATGTCATGCCAATGCTTCAGCTGAGATTCTCTTTCAGCCCTCCAGGGCTAACATGCAACCCCAGGTCTAGATCACAGTTCCCAATGTAACTCTCCTGCATATTTACTACAATCTGATGGGCTGATTTTGATGGGAACTGTTATATCACAGGAGACGCACCCATTTAAGGCATAGGGTCTCGCAGGTTCAGTATGAAATAGGATGAGCTTATCCCATTTTAGATTAGCCCTCTTAAACCCTGTTACACACTCGTTCCTTGTGATGTGATATCTCCGCATATGCAGTTCATACGGCAGATGGGTGTCAAGACCGAGCTTATTTGATAGGGTGCCACTTCTGATCCTTGCAATAACCCGAGGAACTAAATGCAGATCCTGAGTTCGCGGGGAGAAATGGGCATCAAGCTGCATACAACATGGGATTTCCGGCCACGGATGTCTATTTCCTCGGGCACATGGGATATGAACACAGCCAGCCATTACACCTCATCAGCTAGCCATAATCCTGTGAGCATTTGGAGAGATCGACGGGCACCTTTGTATGACAGCCTTGGAGGTATACTAGTAGTAGGGCCTCGAGTCTCAAATCTATAAGAAGGTCATGAAATCTCGACATTTCGTCTCATCACCAGCAAGCAATCATTCATCTCAATTTAACAAGGCATTCCTGACGAATATTCAATGCGGTCCTCTTGGATCTTTCTGAATGCCCTGGTGCTTGGCACTGCTAGGGGACTATCATTGCCATTCTCACTGGGATATCCATTCTGCTTCTCCACCACCACTTTGACCCTCTCTGGTGACTATACAATCACGTCTACACAGACAGTTACCTCGGTATGTCAACCTTGGAAGATACCAACCAGAAAAGCAGCAAGAATACTCATGGGATCTTACTAACTTGAGACTCATGATAGGCCAGCAGCATTGTCACTGTAACAGGGCTCCCCTCTGTGAGTTAATTCTATCCAAATTCTTCTATGAGAAGTGTTGACTGATTGATAAGGTGACCGTTGAAACAATTACCACAACTCGCTATATTCCAACTGCCATTGCATGCCTGCAAACTGGAACCACCATCAAGCCATATCGCAGCATCGGGCTATTCGGAAAGCGAGAGCCAGCCCCAACTGCGGCAGAGGTTTCCGTGGACTCAGTGTGCTCGCCCACTGTGACGATCATCATTCCCACAATTTCAAGCCTGCCATGCACTGAGCTAGCGTTCGAGTCCTTCGAAGTAATGTAAGTCTTACTTCACCCTTATCATGACCTATCAGTTGTGTACATTCACTAAAAAACGTTTAGCACTGATACAAAGATAGTCACCACTACGGCACATTCAACCACAACCATCCACCCGACAGTTACAAGCACAGTAACAGAGGAATGGATTCTTCCAACCCCAAGCTCTTACAAGGGTAAGTAACCCTGAAAATACCATAAATAGTCTCTATCACTAAAAATCCTAGGTGTAAACTACTACCAATACCTCAACGACTACTTCTACCCTGACGGAGACCTAGGCTGCGCAGACTGTGGATACGGAGGAGGTGGGTTCGAGACCAGTGACTGGAACAGCAATTACAGCTACTACACAAACGGAACAACTCAAGACATCAACTTCGAGTCCGAGGATTACCCTTCATACTCAACAATCCTCTGTCAATTACCAGGACAAGCTTCGGCAACAGACTGCGGACAATGGACCGTTGTCTTCCAGGGTTTCCTTCACGCAACCCAGACAGGGAACTACACACTGGCCCCAACACTAGGCGAGGATAATGCTCTTTTCTTCTGGCTGAGGGAAAAGGCTTATTCAAGCTATGCGAATAATAATACCGATGGCGGTGTCTCGTATACCCAGCCTGAAGGTCTTCCTCATTCTTATGCTGTTTCCATGGTGGCTGGGGAGTTTTTGCCTGTTACCTTCATTTATGCCAATGGATATGGTCCTGCGTTGAATGAGTTGACTATCACCAGTCCTAATGGGACTACTTATCCTGACGATTTGGATTTCTTTGTTCCTCCTTGCCCGAACAGTCCGTTCGTTCCTTGAGGGCGAGGAATGTGTTAGGGTGATAGTTTATCATCTGTTTGGTTGCTGTGATTCGAGTCTGGAGATTCTATCATTATCATGATAGCTTCTCCAGTGCTTGTTTAGGGGGTTCCTCTTTCTCTTGTGAAGATGTTCTTTGACCTTATTTTGTTCTCTTGTTTCTTCTGAGGCTTAATTCGAGGTTATGACCTACACTAATACTTGACTCTTATTTGTCTTTCGCAGATGCCAATGTTGAGCTTGCGTGGGTAGTCATATCGCAATTCATGAATTTCAATCGCAGTATGTGGATCAAGAAACTCAGTCGTATTACGTATTTCATTAAATGCGAGAAGATTTTAGGTAGAAAGGATAATAGTAATCAAATTCAAAGACTTTTTTTCCTAGTTCCCAGAGATACACGCTGATTAAATGCCTTGTTGATACAGTCCAGGTGTCACTAGAAGGCAGTAATGAAACAAATTATGAGCAAGACAAAACAGGTAGAATATAAGGCTTAGTTGCCATTTAAATTTTGCCGACGAACACGCACAGCCTGTGCTAATGTTTCCAGGGTGGTCTCGGTATCTTCCCAGCCAATACAGGCGTCAGTAATGCTGACACCGTACTTCAGACCAGCCTTGCCCTCAGGTGGAACCTTCTGGTTACCTATTAGGAGTTAGTAAGAACAAAAAAACAGGGATAGTCTCGGTATAAACGCACCTTCGTTGATATTACTCTCAATCATGACACCCATAATAGCAGTCTCGCCTGCAGCAATTTGTTCGCTAAGAGCTGCAGCAACCTTAGGCTGGTTCTTGTGGTTCTTCTCGGAGTTTCCGTGACTGCAGTCTACCATGAGACGGGGTGCCAGACCCTTAGCCTCGAGCTTAGTCTTAGCATCTTGGATGCTAGCAGCATCGTAATTAGGTCCCTTCTTGCCGCCACGCAGAATCACGAAGCAGTCAGGGTTACCGACAGTACCGACGATGGAGACAATACCGGGCTTAGTAACTGAAAGGAAGTGATGTGGGTGCTTTACAGAGCCAATGGCATCAACCGCGACATCAAGCGAGCCGTCAGTACCGTTCTTGAAACCGACGGGGAAAGAAAGACCCGAGGACAGCTCCCGGTGAACCTGGGACTCGGTTGTGCGGGCACCGACAGCACCAACAGACAGACAATCGGCCAAGAACTGTGGGGAAATGGTATCAAGCATCTCACTAGCAATGGGCATGCCCTTATTTGTGAGATCGACGAAGAGCTGGCGCGAGGTACGCAGACCCTTGTTGATCTTGAAGCTGTTATCGATATCCGGGTCATTGATCAACCCCTTCCATCCGACTGTGGTGCGAGGCTTCTCGAGGTAAGAGCGCATAACAATTAATAGGTCATCCGCGTATTTCTCTTTCAGCTTCATTAGGCGGTCGCAGTATTCCAGCGCCATGTCCGGATCGTGGATTGAGCATGGTCCAATGACTACCAATAGACGCTCCTTCTCCTTCTCGGTGCCATGGACAATAGCGACTGCTTGTTGACGTCCTTCAAGGACAGTCTGGCGTGACTTTTCTGTCAAGGCAATCTCATGTTGGAGGACATTGGGAGGAGTGAGAGGGTTGTAGCCGGCAACTATGCGGGGAAAGGGATAAGTATAGCTTCGAACATGCGCTTGAGGAGGTTCACATACTGCGAGAATCTTCCAAGTGGCTGGTATTACCCACGTTGGGGTTCTCGATGAAGAACTAGAGACACACTATAGGTCAATGGCTGTTGAATAGCTAGGGTATTTTGTCATAATGGAGGGGTGGACTCACCGACATAGCGGGGCTGAATTGGATCCTGCGATTGGAGAACAATTGAGAGGATGGAGACAAAGATGAAAAAACACGAACAAACTGGATTTCAATTGGAATATCAAGGTTAATTGAGAGAGAAGGAAGAAGATTATAGAATACTGGAAAACCGGGGAAATAGACCAGATAATAGAGGTTAATATACTAAATAACAAGACCAGGAATGAGTCAATGGCAATGGTCCCACGTGACTTGCCTCGGTGAGCGGGCGCCAATCCCACGCACGCCAATTACACATAGTAATGGCAATTGAAAATTAATAAAATTAAGAAATAAAGAGTTGATACCAGATGAGACTGGTCAAGTTTGAATCCCTCCTTTTTCACATTGACTCCCCCGCTATGGCTCATTCAGGACCCATCCTGGACCCGATGGTCTAGTTCTTGGAACCCCCGAATGAAATTCTGGCAGAGTTGTCGGTGTTGCTCCTTCACAGTGGTCATTTGTTGCTGGTAGAGGCCCATGCGAACTTGTTGCGCTTGAAATAATTCATCGAGAATGCGATTGCATCCCTGTTGGTATATCTGGAGTACTTGATGGATAGTGTCCTGTTCTATTGCAAGTTGACTGGAGAGGCGCTTTCGGAACATTAGCCCTAGGCTCCTAGCATATGGGTGGGTCAATTGACCTGCAATCGGCAAAACTTACCTCATTTGTTTGCAGTACAACTTCATGCGCACTTCTCTGAGCATTCTGTAGAGCGATAATCCAATCCTGTGGGTTAGTTTCGCCTGGTACAGACGATTGCTGTGGTTCAGAAATCTGTAGGGGAGCACGGGTCGCTGTTTGAGAAACATTGTGTAGTATACTTTCTTCTGCGTTCTTGTGGGGGAGGTTCGGTGCTTGAGTGGAGATAATTCCTGCATCAATTCCCCGCAAATCTGGCCCAGTGATTATGGGATTATCAGAGATCCCACTGAAAAGCGTGGACAGTACTTCTGATGGATTGCGCGCTCCAACCCCAAGGTCGAGAGTTTTACTGGCATCCTGATCGGCAATTTCTTTGGAGCAAATGGCCTGTGCCTTCTTCTTCATAGACTCCGTTTCAAACCCATATTCCAGGAACATGTCTCGCTGGTATTTGGACCACACCTGTCCATCGTCGGAGCTGTAATAGGAGGATCCATCCGAATTTCGTTCTTTGATACTGGAACTAGCAATCGACACGTCACTGGGCATCTTCACATGGTCCAACCGGGCTCGAGCTCGTTCAACCAGCAAACTGGTTCCTGGCATAAGCCTAGGGCTACCATTTGAATCGACGATACTGGCTATACTGTCTCTCGGTGGTGGGTAGAATATGAATTGGAAGGGTGTGTGAGGTGACAGAAGAGGTCTCTGAGACTCGGGAGTCTCATGATTCCTATATTGTTCGTTTGACAGACCCCCATTCGCAGCGTCTATCTCCAACTCCAGATAGTGGGCGAAGGTGTTGTTGATTGGATGGTGTAGTGACTCGGAATTGATTTGAGAATCTTCGAGCTGATCGATCTTCTTCAGAGGTTCCTTTGAGCCGGCTCTTTGTTCACCACCTCCAGGATTCGTGCTATCCTTATGAAAATCCATGTGAGTAGAGGACTGACGACTCAATGGCTTTTCCTGTAGTTTTGGAGGATTCTGTTCCATTTTCGCATCAAGGATGTGGGGATTAGTGACATTTCTCGGGATTTCGACATTCTGTGTCACTTTGGGAGCCTCGGACACGCGTTCAAATGTTTCTTGTTTGTGTTGAAGTGTATGATGATCTGCTTGTAAGTTTTCAATTTGGGGGTTATCACAAATGTGAATTTGTGGCGAGGTGATTGTGGGTTCTTCATCATGAATCGTGCTATCGCGGCCCTTATGGGTAGATTGTAAGCTTGTCTCGACAGCAGGTCGAAGTTGGGTGTGCAACTCCACGCCACGTAACGCATCGGCTAATTTCTGGCCGACAGCCTTTCCTCTCCCATCGCTAGTTGTCCGTGTTACCCGATATCGATATGCCTCATTTCTGAGCACGTCCATGCTGGTGTCAGGACTCGAAGAAGTGGAAATCAATGGATCACTAGATATTTCGATAACCACCCTTTCGCGGCTAGCTGCTTCTTTTGGTTTCGGCAGAGCTGAAGCAGATTGCAATACTGCAGACATGTTGTTGGTGTTAGCGAATTCATGATTGACTGTTTGTGAGTTGGATCGGAGATTGATCGGGCTTTGTTTTGGATGTGGAGGCACCGAAGGAACTGCGTCCACCAGAGTCAGGGGCAGTTGAGACAGTTGGATGTTCTTCTTCCCAGTACTGCTCTTTGCTTTCACTGCTTTCCTGCGCTTTCCAGATGGCGGGCCAGCTTTCGATCCCTTTCGTTTGTGATTTGTCTTCACGCTGCTCTCTTCCACGCTACTTAGCTCGGGACATGGCGTGGAAACAGAGGTTCCACGCTCATGACTGTTCCAAGGCGTCTCCCCATCAGTAGGTCGGAGATCTTCATCCCAATCAACTTCAGTCCTGAGTTTTAAAGTGTATCTCTTCCGATTTGAGCGCTGGGGTTGCCTCTTCGGCACACGCGGTAAGGTTAATTTTAGACGTTGAGTTTTGGTACCACCAGAGCGAACTGTCATATCCTGAATTCTGGTCGACTTGTCATCTGCCATTGTTTTACTACTGGTTCGTCGATTGCTGGTCCGAGACTGGATTGTAAATGGGCCATCGCCTTCATGAGAGACAGTGGGTACCTTGCGTCTGATTCCAGCAGTGACCTTCGAAGTGGAGTTGATCCTGGGCTGCTTATCTCTTCCCTGTGGCGCCGCTTTGCTTCGAGTAAGTAACGCCCCGGCACTTTCCGATTGGGGCTGGTTCAATGTATCTGAGATTGCGTGCTTGGGGTCAGAGTGACACAAGTCAGTGCCATCATCCTTGTGCTCCAACTGCGGTGGGTCTCCGACAGAAGGTAGCGTAGTTAAATTCGACCTCTTTTGCCCATCTGTGGAGCTTCGGAGACCCGAGTTTCTTCTCTGAGTTGTTCCCATTGCAGTTTTTGGTCCAGACTTGGGCCCTCGTCCCTGCAGTTTGGAATTGTCGTCTCCCATATTGGGTTGACTGGCCTGCCACCTCTCGCTAGTTCTGCGCGTACTTCCGAAAATGTGACCAAACGACAAAATTTCGACCCTGACGTCCAATTGATTACAGTTTGTATTGCAATAGCGACCCTGGCAGTGAACAGGATGGATGGTCTTGGGAATTTGATAATTAGAGGAAAGGAACAGGTGGGTGACAATGTTGAGATTGAAGCAAACAACTAATGGCAATCACAGGCTGTCACATGACTCTCTCCAATACAACTTGATGCCCAAGTTGCTATAATTCTACAATTCTATGCACTTCACACCATTATCAATGATAATTAGATCCATGTTGACTGCCTCCACGGTGCTGAAACGACTAAATGAGGGCCTTGGAATCTCTTGCTTCAATTTCCAAGTCAACCAGTGGATCCATTTCAACGCCCACCCACTCGACTTACTTCAGGTTTCCCGGTCCTCAACATGACTCTGGAAGCTTCGCTAGCCGATATGGAGTCTCAGGGATCCGGATTTCCTGGGTTCCGTTTCGCCCGTGCCACTAAATCGAGTTCCTCCGCGGCCGATTAATAATAGCGGGATCGGCTTAACAATGCTGGCTGATCCACTGCGGGTTCAGTGCAATGGATCTGCCCTGAATAGCCCTTGAAAAGCCACTTATATCTAGCCATGCATGCGCCCGTGATTGACACTCTTTTACTAACCCCCAAGCGGACTGTTCGTCTTTCAGTTTGCGCATTTAAATCGTTGAGATGAATCCGCTTCCAGATGAACAACCAACCGGCGAGCAACCCGTGTCTCCGTCTCAGCGCCGATTCAGTGCAACTGAGCCTCTAGACGAACTCCAAACCACTCTTCCCGCGACCCTGTCTGAGAACCCTAGCCTCGATGTCCGCTCCATTCCCAAAACATCAGCCGAAAGGTGTCAAGTAGCGAGTATCGCGGCATCCGTGGATCAAGATATTCATCTCGCGGAGAGGATCACGGCGCAGGAGGACACTGGAAATGGCTTACCGCCCTCGTATGCAGAGGAAACCGTGCTATACCTGGCTTATGGCTCAAATCTAGCCTCGAAGACTTTCCTCGGCATGCGTGGGATCAAACCTATATCGAAAATCTCCGTCCTTGTTCCAGAGCTGCGGCTTACATTCGATCTCCCCGGATTACCTTATGCCGAGCCCTGTTTCGCTGGTACTGAGTTTCGAGATCCCGAGACACTACCCGATCAAGAATCCGAATCTGAAGTCGAGGTTGAGGATAAACTACTCACGGAAAGCGAGTATTTATCCGAGAAAGCATCCTTACTGGTTGAGACAAAAGAGGTTCACGAGGATACCGTATCAAGACCACGATGGGATAAACCTCTTGTAGGTGTTGTTTACGAGGTCACTCTAGTCGACTATGCCAAGATTATCGCGACAGAAGGCGGCGGCCGTGGATACAAAGATGTAGTCGTGGACTGTTTCCCTTTTGCAGAGGACTATATACCCACCAACCCCGTCCCATCTCACCCGTCTACCCAGTCCTTCAAAGCACACAGTCTTCTCTCTCCGTCCGCTGACGAAGCACGGAAGAAAATCCACGCTGCTAAGACTGGCGAATGCTCTGTTGCATGTCGTGGACAGATATTCAGGGAAGTTGGAACGCATCTGCGTCCGGACCCGGAGTATGCACAGCCTTCTGCGCGATACTTGGGATTGCTTATGACTGGTGCTGAAGAGCATGATCTGCCTTGTTCGTACCGGGATTACCTTTCTCGGATTCATCCATACTCAGTCACGAGGACTCGTCAGAAAATTGGGAAAATAGCTTTCCTCGCTGTATGGGCTCCGCCAGTTCTTATCATGCTGGGTTTCTCTAGGAAATTTGCCGGACCTGATGGACGGAGTCCTCCGTGGCTGATCTCCATGTCAAATGCGGTGTGGGCGGGGATGTGGCATAGCTATGATTATTTCTTCAAGGGGATATTTGGAGATGGCGAGAGGACTATTGGTTATACCCTGGCGAAGTGATTTTGGTTGAAGTTGCTTGTAGATACCATAATTTCAGGCAGTTGCCCTTTGTAAGATCTCATGAATAAAATTGACAGTAATATAAGTTGTGGAAAACAATGTGCATTCGAGTTATCACTTTATGTACGCCATCAAATCTGTAGAGCTACACATCACCATTTCTACTCCACAATACAAGTTCGACATCACCTCCCGACCTGTGGAAATGCTATCATGTAGACATAAGGTGCATTCACAAAGGAAATTAAATTCAGTTGACTCCTCGAGCACATAGTTTTCGGAAGGGCAAAAAAAAGAATATCTAGGATACAGATACAAATGTGCCGGGAGTGTTCTAACAAAACATTGGGTCGTGACCCTAGACACAAAAAAGAAAAGCACAGATGATGGAAGAGATCTCGTGTAGGCGACAGAACATGGGGGCAGTAGCGTAAAAGGATGCCCGAGGTCATGTAGCCCCATTTACCTCTGTCATTTTCCAAGGTATACGGGTCTTACTGCATATTTAGCGGCGGGGGCCGATTGGGGGGCTGTACACAACCTTTCGGGACTTGATAGGGGCCCACTTGTAACGCTTGACCCAGACGCTGATGGCGAACAGACCGGTGAGAAGGGCAATAGCCTTGACACCCATCTTCTTACGGTCGTCCATCTCGGGCTCAGCAGCCCAGTTCAGGAACTCAGTAACGTCCTTGGCCATCTGGGAGGTGGTAGCGGGGGTACCGTCCTCGTACTCAACGACACCGTCGAACAGGACACGACCCATGGCAATACCTATAACATCCAAATATTAGCACCCTGGACCACCTCGAAGAAATGGGGGTAACACGAAATTCAATATCATCACGTACCGGTACCGGGGAAGTAGGGGTTGAAGTTCATGCCCTCAGCAACGGCAGCACCGGCGGGAGCCTCATCAGGGTAACCAGTGAGCAGGTTGAAGACGTAGTTGCAGCCACCGTGACGGCCCTTGATGATCAAGCTGAGATCAGGAGGAAGGGCACCACCGTTGGAGGCACGGGCAGCCTCGTCGTTCTTGTAGGGAGCAGGGATGTAGTCGGAGAGCTTTCCGGGGCGCTTCTCGATCTCACCCTGGTCGTTGGGCTCGGTATCGTACTCGTTCTCCTCGGCCATAGCCTTCATCTCATCGACGGTGTGCATAACACCGACCATTGAACGCCAAGGAACACGGGTCAGGGAGTGACAGCTGGCGCAAACTTCACGGTAGACCTGGAAACCACGGCGAAGGCTGATGGATGGAAAAATTTATTAGCATTGCGCAATATGGGGGGCCATATGAATAGCTATATGGGGGACTCACGAAGCGTGGTCGAAGGTCTTGTTGAAGCGCTGGTGCACCCAGGGGTACTGAGTAGGGTGCAGACTGAAGAATGAGACACACGTTAGCTCAATCAAATTCTTATAGACTTGACCGCACAATCCTCGGCTCGGGATGCCGGGAGACAGTCAGGCATTAGGGGGTCATCAAGACCACCAGCGAAGAACACTTACCCCTCCTCAGCAGGGGTCATAGCGAAAGCCTCCTGGCCATACAGGTGGTAGTACCAAGCGGCAGAACCGGCGGCCGCGGCGGTAGCGAGAGAGGCAGTGAGGGTGAGGTAGAAGGGGGAGCTAGCGGCATCGATACCGGCGGCGGTGGAGGAAGCACGCTGTGAGGAATGTTAGCCGAAAAATCCCTCCTCAGCAGCAGCAAGGCTTTGTGAACGGATTGAGCTCATCGATGAGGCTCAATTGGTCCTGATTGGGGTCATTGAAAGCGTACCGTGGACTTGCCGAGCGACTGGCGTGCGATGGCCCGGGAGGGCACGCGCAGGAGGGTACGGGCCAGCATTGTTAAATCAAACCCTCCAATCGATAGATAGATTGATGGGAATGGATTGGATCGCAAAAGCGAGAAGAGGGGGGGGGGGGGAGGAGAGGGGGGATAGTTGTGAGAAGAAGTGCTGGAGGTGATGCGAGTGAAGTTCAGAAGGTTCAAGTTTCTCAGACGGAAAATGGAGTGTAAAACCCTCGTTCTGATTGGTTCAGAGCACCCGCTCGGTGAAAACCGCGATCACTCGGAATAACACAACTTCAACTTCTTCATCTTCTTCTATTCTGGATTATTGCAATGATCACTATTGATCTGTGAATTCTCATATTCTTTTATTTACTAATTCACAGCTTTTCTGATCCCTCTAACTCCCAGCTCCGACTCCTCTCTGTTGATGGTTCCATCCACCCGATGCACCCGAATCCATCCGTGCTATGATTGGTCAACCCGGGAAATCGCAACATCAGCATTAACCACAGCGCTGACATCTACGACGATAAAGCTATGGACGATTTGGAGATACAAAATACATGATGACATGGAGAAGCTGGAAGAGGAACATTGACTTGATATTATAGTGCGGTGGTCAACTCGCCGACACCATGGAGCTAGTACAGGGCTACTACATGGCTGCCCGCCTGCATCCAAGCTATGGCAAAGCTCGCAGAACATCATCAACCGCGTCAATGAAGTATTGCAGATTTCCTGGATTCAGCCCTGCTACCGAGATGCGACCGTTCTCCGTCTGTGGACTTTGTCAGCACGTCTTCGAATATTGGATATCCGCCCCTCCCTCCCCAAATAATTGAGAAATAATTGAGATATGCTAGATGAACGATGAATGAAATCAACTTACCATGTATATGTGCCACTTCTCCTTCAATTCCAGAATCTGCCGACGAGAGAGACCTGTATAGCTGAACATTCCAACCTGAGTCGAGAGAAATCCCCAATTACCCGGAGTCCCCCGTACCTCTAGCTGCGACTTGATCTCTTGCCTGATTCCCGTAAGGCGGCCACTCATGATCTTAAGTTCGCTCTGCCATTGAGAAAACAACTCATTGTCATTCAAGACTGCACTTGCAATCTGTGCTCCATACGCCGGCGGATTAGAGATCTCCGCTCGCTGCATGATAGCGAGCTGACTCCCAATGCGCTCGGCCAGTTCTGATGCATCCGACCCAGGGGCACAGATAAAATGGAATGCACCAACACGCTCTCCGTATAATCCAAGGTTCTTCGCAAAGGACTGAGCAATACAACATTCAAATCCCTGTTCAATGAAATATCGACAGGCCCAGGCGTCTTGCTCAAGATCGCCAGATGCGAACCCTTGGTAGGCACAATCAAAAAATGGGAAATGTTCGCGCTCTCTGACGACTTCTGTGATTCTCTTCCACTCTTCTTGAGAAGGGTCAATGCCTGTAGGGTTGTGTGCGCAGCCTTGCAGTATGACTGTAGATCCTCGAGGAGCAGTGCGTAGACATTGGAGCATATCCTCAACATTCAGGCCTTTCGAAGTGGCTGAATAGTAAGGGTATTTTTCTACTACAAATCCAGTTTGAGTAAAGATCTGGTGATGGTTCGGCCATGTTGGGTCAGAGATAAACACTGTAGGCTGGACATTGCCAGAGTGAAATCTGGAGATAAAAGTTGCACCAAGATGCACCGCCCCAGTACCCGAGACGGTTTGAAAAGAGCAGACCTGGCCATCGGAGAAGAAATCAGTTCTGAGTTTCGGGAATGGCTGGAGAGACGATCAACGTATGAGTACTCACCCTGTTGTCACAAATCGCCTTGCTTTCAATCCCAAGCATGAGCCTTTGAGCAGCAGAAAGGAAAGTGTCAAGACCACGGATAGGCAAATACTCATGGTTAGATTGAGGGTTCTCACGAAGCAGATCCTCGGCCTAAACACCAATATAGTCCTGCGGTTAGAAACTTGAAACTACCTAGACGTAGATCTGACTTGAGGAAGACTTTGGTACACACCCTTTTCACCACTGGCAAAACCCATGGCTTCCCATCCTCATCTCTATAAGCACCAATCCCCAAATCTATCTTTTTCTCATGAGAATCTTCTCGATATTCTCGCATCAAACGATATAACGGATCCTCGGTGGCTACAGGCACAGTAGCCAATGTGAACGAGCCCATGATGTCAGATATTGGAATTTTGAAAAAGCCACGAGATACATTCGGCAGGTCAAATGACCTTTGATAAATAGTTTCATCGTAACCCCGCAAATATGCGCTTAAAATGTTGGGCTTTCAATTCAGGAGTATACCCAGTTGTACACATGTACACAATGTATATCCCGTGTGGACATTCGGCGATAACCCACTCGGCGATTGATGAGCCGTCCTACGTAACACCGACTCGTCATATTGAAGATTGGGTCGTGTCTGGCCGGTTATTTAAGGAACTGGCGATTTGCAATTTAATCCTTCCTATGGCGCGATAGCTGGTTTCAGAAATTCATTTTTTGGGACTTTCATTGCTCTTCAACGAAGCTTGAATTGGCAGAATGATCTACGTGACATATAGCGGCACTGCGGATTCTGCGCGCGAACTTGAATGCCGTCGATGACTCTGATCTGCCACTGGCAGTGGCACCTACCTTTGGAACATTGAAATAATGATCGGATACTAGTAGTGCCAACCTTGGAATACCGGTGCCAGCTGTGTATGTACAACAATGCAAGTCAACATGATCTACAACACTTGCTCTGGTTTTGTGATGGTCCACAGAAGGTCATTCCCAAAGCGATCCACCTCCGCAGTCCTTATGGTCTTCACCCCAAACTTCCGCTCCATCAGCATCCACATAGGCAGATTGCCAGAATGAGTACCGACCCTGATCTCTTTTAGTCCCAACTCGCAAAGTCCATATTCAAAGACCAGACGAAGAGCCTCATATGCTATTCCTTTGCCCCGGGCTGAGGATTGAACAATGATCCCCGCCGCACCAGCCTGGGACGAATCATCAGAGTCTTGATGCTCATGACAAGGACCAATCCAACCAAATCCAGTAATTCCAACGGGTTTATCCTCGTAGAAAACCAGAAAGTTGCGATAGGCAGGCGGATCAGTGACTATTGTCCATCTTTTTGCAACGGCATCCAGCTCTTCAGTAGTGGCGTCACATATAGACTTGTCAAATTCGGAATTTGCTTTATTTGCTAGGATTTCGACTACCGCTGCGACATCGTCAAATATGGGAAGCCGAAGTGATAGTGGGAGCTTGTTGGATTTGAGCTCGAGGGTTGAGTCGCTTGTTTGGCCCGCCATTTTGTAGACACTTGTACTGCCAGTGGTACTTGACAGCGAGTGGGGCATAACAATTGTATGATGCTCAGAATATCGGAATTTAGAGCCTAGATAGAGACTTAAATGGGGTGAACTTCCAGATTGACGTATTATGACTCTTAGTGAGTCAAGGGACCAACTTAGCCTCGGGCGCGAAGTGCATAAGAGATACGGAACACGGAATACGGTAGAGATCCATGTCTGAAATGGAGAACAAATCTCATTTGAAAATATGTGCATAAATTCAGGATATTATGCACATATCTGATTCAAGCTCGTCTAACATCCGAGGCTAATATTAGTTGATCGTTAGATCGCCTGTGGAGACATTTAGTACATGTAGACTAGGTAGTAGATCTACTTCGTACCTTACTCTTAACTCTCAAGTGCTGGAAACCTTGGAATACATGTATCTTCCCAAATAGTGTTTTTAATTTGAGTGAACATTTAAAGGAGCTACAAGAAATCGAAAAATAATCTCCTGAATATCGTACTCCAAGGTTATTTTGCATCAATCTTGGTAGTATGTAATGGCTGTGGAAATGATCTCCGGGCATAGTTAAATGAACTACATACGACTAGAGCACTTGAGCTTCGGAGGAACGTTGAATTGACCGAAAGACGTATATTGTGACCTAAAATTTGGAAATTTAAGAACAACTTGAATCTATGATAGTATCAACTACTAAAAGAATTACACCAAAGCTGGGAAGTGGATATCTATATCCGATACGTCAACTGGAATGGAATGTACATGTGCACCTGGGCACAGGTGACCACAACCATATCTTGATACCGGAACCTTGGAAGGGAATGCCTTGCTCGAGGCGGCAGTTTAGGTAAAAGATATGAAGGCTATTGGTTTTATTGGTTGATACATTTACTGCAGCACTTAAAAGGGGGTGATATGTTGCGGCGCAGGGGCCAGTTTGTCAATCGCCGATTGAACAGAAGTTCCCGATATCACAGAGAACAGACCGCCAGTTTTGAATCCAAACCAAGGATGATTCTTTCCTATCAATGCTCATTATGAGACAAGAGCACGCTATCACTCGGACCTTATCACAGAACCAATAGTTTGGCTAGGTTCCATTGACCGCTGCTCTACCATACACGGATGACAGGATACCAAAAATGTCTAGACCAACGTATACTGTTTTGTGTCATCCCCACAATTTATTCGCTAATAAGGCGTACCTAGGAATTCTTCAAGGTTCTCATTAGATTTGACCGTTATTCTACTAAATCCAAAGTGGATGTTGGTCATCATACTATATGGATCATGGGTGCTGAATGGTTAACAGTAAGAAGCGCTGCCGCCCGGCGGGAACTAATCACGCCGGGGTACGACATCCACCTCACACTCCAGCAACCCCCTCCTCAACGAATCATGACGCCACGATCCACGAAGCAAAGTGGTTTGGCTTCATTAGCCTGTACCGAGTGTCGCAAGCAACATCTAAAATGTGATGCGAAGAAGCCAACATGCTCGCGTTGCTTGCAAAATGAGTACTTCTGCCAATACCTTCCATCCCGACGAGGCGGCCGCAGGAAAACCCGGAATGAACCAGTTCGGCGGGCTTCGTTTCGGCCCCAAGAGCAAATCGAGGTATGTGCACCCCTTATCTTGGATACTTCATGTGAATCCTAGAATGAAACAAATGTAACCAAACGGACCAGACTTCCCTTGTTCTCCCTATTGAAGCCACTGGTCAGCCCAACACCCCTGACAGTACGTCAATTCCCAGCGCATCTAATGGGGTAGGCGTTCCATCTGGTCATGTCCCATGGCCTATGATACCCCTACGAAATGATCTCCACCAATCAAGAACAGATGCAGTCCGCGAATCTTGGTTTCATGATGACCGGTTTCTGCGACTATTCTACGAGAACTTCCATGCTGCTCACCCTATTCTCGTTCCAAGTGCAGTTTATCATGACCGCCAGTACCCCGACTTTCTTCAAATGGTGGTCCATTTTGTTGGCTCCCATTACATCTCTTCAGTCCCGAATCAACAGTACAAGGATAAAGTCATTGCAGAATTGACCTGCAGCCCTGACCGATCACCTTGCATGGTTCAGGCTTGGCTTATCTATTCAATCGCCGTTTATGCTCGTGGCGAATGGCAGGAGGCCCAGGATGCCTTTGCTCACAGTGTGCATATAGCCCTAGAGCTTGGCATGAACCGAAGGGACTTTGCATCGTCAGCTAACCCTGAGACTTCCATCGAGGCTGAAAGTATGCGAAGGACTTGGTGGGAGCTGTATATCACAGAGATATTCATGGCCGCACCTTTCAAAAACACGACTTTCCAGTGTAGCACGATGGCACCGGAGGTGGCCCTCCCTTGCGAAGATTCGGTTTACACTGGCACTGGCTCATGCGAAATCCCAACACCTCGCAAGATTCTTGATTTCAAGCGCAGGGTATTCGCACCCGACGAGACAATATTTTCATCGTCTAGTTATCGTATCGAGGCCGCAACCATATTATGTCGAGCCCTCGTCTTGAACGGGCTCCGCGACTATCATCGCGACCATCTGCAAGCTGTTGAGAATGCACTTGTTAGTTGGATCAATCACCTACCACCTAAAAAACTGGATATCGTCGACTCGTATGGAAACATTGACGAAATGATGTTCCAGGCACACATGTCCATTGCCTATGCGACCATGTTACTGCACCTGCCACGAAGCGATCTACAGCCTGTATTGTCACAATCCGATGATCAATTCTGGCCCGTTGCTACACGCCATCTAGCATCAACACTGAACCGCTCAATACACAGTATCAAGGCTACCGAAGCCTCTCGGCGTCTTTCCGACGCAATTTCACTTTGTCCCAATGTCCCAAAACATACCCCTTTCGCAATTCCCGCATTAGCCTTGTGCGGTATGATCCAACTCGCCACGTCCATCAAGCACACCGAGGAGTGTTTTGATCATCATTACAACCGTGTGACTCTTATCCTTGGATGCTTGAAAAGTACCAAGCGGATATGGAATTTGGCAGACGCGGCCTACCATCATTTGAGAACCTCAGCAGCAGATAACCTGTCGGACTCGATGGAGCGTTGGTGTACAGAACCTCCTAAGAAACTGTTCCCATCAGACTCAACACCGAGTAGCACAGAGCGTTTAAATCAGCCTACACGACCAACCTCCGCAGTGTCGGATGGCCAGGAAATGCTGTTTCCTCCTCTTGGATCAGCCTTTGTTGACCCAACTTGTTACAATGACTCCTTTTTCACATCGCTCCCGGACTTCGATATCCATTAAAATGTATTATAAGAAATGAGACAATGAAATCAATGCATCAATTTGTGGCAAGAATCTATGATATCACTTTTAGTAGCATATACCCATGACATTCAAATGTCAAAAAAGTCCTAAGGGGCAGCCCAAATAGTAAATTTCCCTAAAACACGATAACTCGACCCCTGGTATATCAAGGTATGAAATTGAACTGGAATGTGATCAATTCCACAAAATGCACTATCAGAAACACTGTCGATCCCCTGAAAGATAGGAGTCCGACAGGGCTGAGGGAAGCCTGAGGTACGTGGCCGCGCACGCAGATCACATGGGTCGGCGATCAAACCTCCCCACATTCAATCGCCGACTCACCACACAACGTCATTGCACATCGGGGATTGACATCCTACAGTGCCTTAAAACACAACCAAATCCTTTGGTACAGTCCTTGAATTGATCTCCAGAGTTCGATATTGTTACAGTCTTTGACATCTATCTCCGATTGAACATTACTCACGCACTCACGCAAAATGTCGACTTCTGCCATTCTCTCAACCACCGGGGCCATTGATAAGGGCTTAGCCCCGAGCTATCAGCCCTTCAAGGAGAATTATGACCTGGAAAGCCTTGTGCAGGATATCAAGGAGCACCTGGGCGAATCGGGCGGTATTTCTTCTGAGGACGTGAACGAAGCATACTTGATCTCTCTGGCAAAGAAATACATCTCCGACCCCAGCGATTGGATCGAATATTTCCACAATGACACGAGCAAGAACTACACCCGCAACGCCATTGAGAATATCAATCACAAGGCCAATATTGTGAGTACCCCCTGTCTTCTTCTTCCTTCTCTGGAAGCTTGGAATATGTCAGGTGTCACAGTCCAACTAACCTGAATAGCTTCTGCTTGTCTGGAACCCAGGAAAGGGTTCCCCAATTCATGATCATGCGAATGCCCACTGCATTATGAAGGTTCTGGCCGGGCAGTTGCACGAAACTGTGTATCATACCCCTGAGACAGGCTCAAAGGAGTCAAAGCCTATGACAATCAAATCGTCAACCACCTTTGGCATGAACGAAGTTACTTACATCTCTGACGATATCGGTCTTCACCGCGTTCACAATCCGCATCCTACTCAGATCGCAGTCTCTCTCCATCGTAAGTGGTTTTTTGTCAATCCAGATATATTTTTCAGATCCTGAGATTCTAATTTGTGATCCCAGTTTACACCCCACCCAATGCAGCGGATTATGGGTACAACATCTTCGATGAAGCTACCGGCTCCGCCAGTCATGTCTCACAGGCTCACTCTGTCTCCAAGAAATAGATACTTTGCAGTATCTATCAATGGTGTTCACCTGGTCATCAGACTTGAGATTAAGACGTTCCGTGGAGCAGGATGAACTTTGTCTTTTCTTTCTTTCTTTCTTTTTTTTTTTCATTCACCAGTTGCGATGCTGAGCATCCTTTGAGCGATTTGCATTTGGCTTCAAGATTGATATCCCCTTCGCGCCTGCCATGTTTCCGGGAGCTTGTCATTTGCTTTGCTTTTTTATCTTTTGGGTGAATTCTTTCTAGGTGTTTTGGTATGCCCTAGTAGAACTGGCTTTATCTTTAGCAACTGAATTAACATATTCTTACAACTTCTTGAAGATCTTCTAGTAGTAGTACTATTTGCAGTTCCACACAGTGGCAATAGACACATGCAACTAGCAGGTTATTACACTAATTTTAATTCATTTACTAATATCTACTACGATTTACTAGTATGTACTACATATTGCCCTACATGCACATGTGCATACGGCCTTTTCCCCGCAACCTAGATCGCTGACTCATCGATGTGACGTGCCCGGGGCTCCACTGGAGCTTCCGATGAGGAGTCGACCTCCTTCTTTCGTTCACCTGTTGAGCGGGTGTTTTGATCTATATTCTAACAAAACCTCTCACTGAATTCATCATGGCGCCTGTAATGAGCAGGTGAGTATGGATCAAGCATTGGAAGCAATACGGAGTAACTAATGCCTGTTAGGGACAGCTACAAGGATAACGTGAAGTACATTGCGGATGTGGACGTTGAGGAACGACAAGGCTTATTGAGCGATGAAGAAGGACTGGAAGCCGATGACAATGCCATTGTATACCGGGTTCTGAACAAGCGCCGTGGGAAATGTCGGAACCGCCACCGCTTAAAGTGCGCCCTGAAGGGCATCTTGAAAATCAGCTTGGTTGGTTTCTTGGTTTGGATCGCTGTTCGCTTTTGGGCCTGTGGGTTGCAATTATCTCTAAGATTTGAGCATTTTTTTATTGACATTTTAATGATTTTTTTAGTGCAATCGACTCACCCCGATGCTCCTCGTCCAAATTCCCCACCGGCTATCTGCCAAACGCCCGAGTGTATCCATGCCGCCTCCGAGATCATCTACAACTTGGACCCGAACTATGCGAAGATTGACCCATGTACCAACTTTGATCAACTTGTGTGCGGTGGATGGAGAGAGAGCCACGATATGCGCTCTGATCAGGGGTCAATCTTTGCCGGAACGATCATGGAGGAGAACGGCCAAACTCGTCTCCGTCATATTCTAGAACGCTCGGAGGCACCCGACGCTGCTGATGCTGGGAACTTCAAAAAGCTTAAGAATGCCTATAATTCCTGTCTGAATGAGGCCGTAATCCGAAAGCGCGGTATTGAGCCTCTAGTCAAGATCCTTGAGAAGCTACAGAAGGTCTACCCTGCGGATGACGAGAGTGGTCTTGGTGTTGATCACCATCTTACCGAGGCCGTCTTATTTCTCATAGAATCCGGGGTTGAGGCTCTTGCATCCCCATATGTTTCTGTAAGACACCCTTTTCCTCTGTTGATTTGGTTGTTTACTAACCTAAACTTAGCCTGATGATCGGGACCCTGATAACGTTGCGGTCTTTGTGAACCCTCCTGGGGATATTGGCCTTCCCGCAAGAGAATATTACAACAATACGGAGACAGTTGCCAAGTACTCAGCAGTTCTCAAGCAAATTCTGCAAGCATTTGATGTCTCCAACTTTGAAAAGATCACCGAGAACGTGGTTGCTTTCGAAAAGAAGCTGGCAGATGTGACCCCAGATACCGCAACACAGGAAGACGTAACTAAGTATTACAACCCGCTGAGTATCGAGGAAACAGACAAATTGTTGCCTCAAATCTCCTTCGTGGGAATCCTTTCAGAGCTTGCACCAAAGGATTACAAGAGCGATCGGTTGATTGTCGGCTCACCCTCCTACATGAAGGCTCTGTCTGAAATCTTGAAGAATACTCCTCGCGAAACGGTGTCCTTTTTCTTCCAGTGGAAGCTCATCCAGAAATATTCCCCCAGTATTGAGGATGACAAGATTGCTCCTCTTCGCCGATTCACAAACGAACTCGCTGGCAAAGACCCGCAGGCCACGGAGGAAAGATGGCGAAAGTGTATTCGAACCCTAGATGAAAACCTAGGCTGGAGTCTGAGTCGTTTCTACGTGCTGGATTCATTCCCCGAGGAGTCTAAGAAGCTCGGCGATCAGATTGTATCCGACATCAAGGAGCGATTCGCCTTCACCCTGGATCAGACTGCTTGGATGTCCCCGGATGTTCGGAAGCTAGGTATTAAAAAGGTGGAGAACATTATTCAGAAGATTGGTTTCCCAACCAAGAGTCCGAACGTGCTAGACCCACATGATGTGGAGAACTACTATGCCGCGCTGGAAGTGTCCGAGAAGTCTTTCTTCGAGAATGAAGTTGCTGTGGCCAAGTTCGATCTGAAGAATGAATGGTCTAAGCTAGGAAAGCCAACTAATCGCGATGAATGGGATATGACCGCCCCGACCGTCAATGCTTACTATAACCCCCCTGGCAATGAGATCGTGTTCCCAGCTGGAATTATGCAGCCTCCAGTCTTCTACGGACCAAATGCTCCACTATATCTAGCCTATGGAGCCTTTGGAGCCGTGAGTGGCCATGAACTCTTGCATGCATTCGACTCTACAGGTCGGCACTACGACGAGACAGGTAACTTTACCAACTGGTGGGACGACAATACTGTCAAGGATTTCGAGGAGCGGGCTCAATGTTTCGTTGATCAGTACTCCAAGTTTACTGTGAGCGGACCTGGCGGTAAAGTCCTGCATGTTAATGGACGCTTAACTTTGGGTGAAAACATCGCGGATGCCGGTGGACTCACCGCTTCGTTCCACGCCTGGAAGAAACGAGATGATGCGAAGCCTGATCTCCATCTCCCTGGATTAAGTGATTTTACTAAGGAGCAGCTGTTCTTTGTTTCTTATGCCAACTGGTGGTGCGGTAAGACCACCCAAGAAGCTGCCGAGCAAGCTATCTACAACGACCCACACGCACCCAAGTCAGCGCGGATCATTGTAAGTTCGACCCACTAAGCCTGTGTCATGCATGGACCCCTTCGCTAACATCCTATCCTTTTAATTTCAAGGAAACAATGGCGAACTCGCGAGAATTCAAGGAGGCATTCCAGTGTCCACAGAAGGAGCCGGTTTGCAAGCTCTGGTAAGGCACACCTCAGAGGTGTTTCCTAGAGCAGTGCTGTTGGATCAGGCCTTGAGTGTTTCTTTTCTCTTTGTCTCTTTACCTATGCATGGTTAAGTTCCTCGGTTGCTTTCTTTTTTTCGGGGTTCGGGTATTATTGCACATTTCATTCTCTCTGTCGCCTTCATTCGTGTACAGAAGACGGGTACTTAGAGATATCCTAAGGTTTTTGACTACTAATTGTGCATATGAGACTAATTAAGAACTCTTTCGGAGTCCGACACCTTGTAGTCTGGTTGCACCAATCATGTATGAGACAGGCTCAAGATCCAGCAACTCGGTGACAGTCGTCGTGTACTGGCCCTTTGCAGGAAATATGATGGAGATCCCTTGAGTTAGTATGTAGATGATGCAAAGTGCATCTGCCAGGCTTGGTCACATCCTATGTCCCGCACCCCCTCAACGCCGATCGCCGTTTAGATTAGCTTTGCTTTCCCTCCGAAGAGAGAGCAGTGTCGATCATGAGGGGCGGTCAATCCCGATCGGCTAGATCCCGGAACAGAGACGATGAACGGAGGACTTCACCTCTGAAGAAGCTCATCCTTACTTCGTACTCCATAGCAGAGCACCGTATGCTTCGAGTTGCCTTATATGAAATGTGGGGATTCAAATCATGTGAGAATCAAAAGTCCCTCGTTGCCCGGGAATATCCATGCAAGTGGACATTCAAGGTACATATGTGCATGTTACACATTGAGAAATCAAGTTGAGATCACAGATCAATGGGACTGATCTCAAATGCAAATGTCAAAAAAAATAAAGCCCCCAAAAAATCGGATCAGGAAAAGCAGGACTTTCGGAAGTCTCTGTGTCGTACTCCGTATGTACAAAGTTACCTCTTAGCCCCAAGTCCCAAGTGGAACCCACCTCCAGCCTCTTCCCCCCCCTGCTGTGGGACTGCATGAGACAATAATCCAATCTGTCGGGAGGAAAAGGATTTATAGATGGATACCCAAACGGGACGTGTCATAGCTGAGGGCTCCATCTATCAGCTCCCTTTTCCCAAAGGCGCGTCACGCTGTGCCGAGGACCCAGTGGAGCATGGGATAACGGCAGGGCTATTAGCCAGTCAGAGAGTGGACTTAGCCCAAAAAGGAGTTCGCTTCACCGGGGGTGAGGCGGGTGACAAGGGCTCGCTTGACCTATCAATTGGGGGCTGCGATCATGTCCCATATCCTGGATGGTATGATGTGATAGAGATCTGAAAGAGAGAGAGAGATGTGCATTTAGCAAGGAAGTGTGAAAATCACACCGACATAAAAGAGATTATTTCATAGTAACCCTTGGGAGATGTATACCATATATTAAGTATAGGAAGGAAGGAGAGAGATGTAAGTTGACAGAAAAGTGGCAACGGTTCCCGCCGTGTTGGGTCCCCTGTTCCCCGTAAACTCTCTCTCATCTCCCAAACTTCTTACTATTCTCCACTTGAGAAAAAAAAAACAAGAGCTTGTGGCTCATTCCTCTCCTTCTTGTAGATTATCTTGATCAATTTCTTTTGTTAATTTTGTACTTTGTACCCCCCCCCCCCCCCCATTCTTTGATTCCCTATTCTCCGTCCTCCATGCATCCGTTGAGAGACCTACACGGCTTCCACGCTTGCCAGTGAGCACCCTATGCTCAGTACCCGCGTCGCGCGCGGTCCGCACGAGAGCTATTATTCCCCAGAGGAAGAGCTCAAGCGGCCGCTCGTCATGGAACCATTCCCTGCTCCCCTCGATCGGCCCACGCATTCCAAAAATCTATCGGGGACACAAGTACGAGTCGATGAGGTACCCTCTCCTAAACAAACACGCGGTGGGACCGAACCGAGGATCAATCTACGACGTGCCAATACGGTGGCACAAGGTAGTGCGATTAAAAGGAATTTGGAATTGAAAGCCAACCGGGAGAGAACCGCAACGACAGGCACAACTCCAGGAGGACTACGAGCTAAAGATAGTCATGAGTTATTACGAAAGAACCCGCCATTGCAACGATCCCAGACACATCGCGGCCCATTAGAGGCACGGCCGGTTGCCCGTAAAGCAGGTCATTTTACGGTTGGAAGTGTCGGTCAGAATGGCAAGATCTTTCTCAGGTACGATCACGATTGTCCCTGAATCTCAAATCTTTGCAAAAAAATTTCTTGTTCTTTGCGGCACACCCGGCCCCGTGTCGCACATTGTACTGCAGGATACTGATATTAGGCCCCCTATATCCAGGCCGATTGCGAACCCACCCCAGAAGAGCCCTTCAATAGTCCCTTTCTCATCAATTGATCAAGTGACGACCGATCGTCTTCAGCCGCAAACTACCGCCCACCCCCGAGATGACCCGTCCCGATGGTCAAGTTCCCAGTTGTCCGAGCTGCGTCCGCGAGAACCCACACGAGAGGAGTACGCACCTGTCGTTAGCGATTCACCGCGACCGAAATCCGCAAATCGTCACCGGCAGCGAGCGAACTCGTTCTCGACTATATCAGAGAAACAATCAGTGTCTGGCGCGGGGAAACGTGGGGAACTGCGTATCGTGATCGATCGAACTGAGGACCGGCCCAAAACTGCGAATGAAAAGTCGCCTGACACAGCATTGGAAATCCCCATTCCTCATTACCGGCTCGGGTCGCCACGATTCAATACCGAAGGTAGTGCGAGGCTGCAGAGTTCCGTCTACACGCGAACCTCAATGTCCGATAATTTTCGAAATTCGACTTTATTGGGTGGTTTAATTGATCCCATGTCAGCGCGTCCGACACCATACACGAGAGATTCATTTGCGCGTCATCGCGCGTCTTTTGCGGTATCGATGTTCTCCGGAGCTGCGGCTATAGATCTGAGTCGCGCCTCACCGGCACCAAGGAACTCAATGGTGTATGACTTGAAGGGTCCAGTTGAACCTTCAATATATGAAACCTTGGTCTCGGACATGGATGGTGAGACAGTTGTGCGGTATATTCCAGGTACAAAGGATATCAGTGCTGCCACGCCCGCGCGCATTGTTGCGCAGATTTCATCCGAATCCTTTATGGACTATGAATTGGTGTCGGACTTCTTTCTGACTTTCCGCTCTTATCTATCGGCAAACCATCTGCTTGCTCTTCTTCTTGCGCGTTTGCAATGGGCAATTAACCGATTACAAGAAGACGGACGAATCATCCGCATTCGTACATTTGCCGCACTCCGGCATTGGATCTTGAATTACTTTGTCGATGACTTTATTGCGAACTATGACTTGCGAGTCCACTTCTGTGAGACCATAAACAACCTTTATCAGGAAGTTAAATCTCGAAGAAACGGGGGCACCAGCGATTTGAAAATTCTCATTGATCTGAAACGATGCTGGAATGGCAAGTGTTCAGTATATTGGACCGCTTCGGATTTCTCTCGAGCCTATAATGACCCTGACAGCCCGATATTGCCCGGAAATGCTCAGCTTGAACTACCCAATGATGAGATCCCTCAACAACCCGTCGCAGTTCCTAGAGTGATCCCTCACATCAAAACCTCTTCCCGGAAGAGCTTCCCTGTTTCTATACAGCATGATCGAAATGAATCTGCGGGCACTGTAAATAGTATACCCTACTCAGCCAAAAGCGAGCAAAGCATACTCGCACTTTCGTGCTCATTGCCTCCCAAATCCCCAAGGCGCTTTTCAACTTCTTACTCCAGAAGCAAAGCACCTCGACCAGTCGTCTTGGGACTTACGAAGTCGACGTCTCCTCACGAACCACCTCCAACTTCGCCAATGATTTCGCGACTCCCATTTCACGGCCACAAAAGAAGTGGTAGCTTCTCCGATTCATTCCGAGACGATCGGCTTCCTATGTCTGGTGTGGATGCTGGCTCGCCAGCTACTCCGAAAGAGATCCTGGACCCGGTCAGCTTTATTCGTGGAGCATTGTACCCTCCTCCAGAATCTTATATGACTTTAATGGCCCCGGATTCCCCTCCCTTGGCCCCTCCATCTTCATCAACTAATTCAGACCGCCGAAGCACTCCCGATGGTGGGCCTAAACCGGCGCAATTGAATTCTGGGATGAAGACCATCATTGGTTCAATTCGACGGGTCCTCCATACAAGGAACGGCGGGCATAGTGTATCCGCTCGCATGGCGAACGCATCAGATACTAAATATTCTCCATCACGAGGAAAGACATCCGCAATGCCTAATCATCTTGCATTGGGTTCTGATTTCTATCGAGAAAGAAAGATTGGGGCTATACCCAAGCGTCCCACTCGATATGATGTTTTGTGTGATCAATCCTTGAAGCAGTACAAGGAGGCTATGGAGAATGCCGCGCAGTTAGGAAATCAACCCCAAGGAAATGTGTCGAAGCCGCAGTCGAATGAGCAGGATCCCAGTCTGATTCCACATGAAGTTTTTCTGCAGAGCCCCAGGCCTGAAGAGTCTAAAATTAAGAGTGGACTGACTATGGGAAGTGGCTCCATTGTCATTGTTGATGATACTGGATTCGAATTCCCTAGTATGTCGGGAGCTGTTAACCCAAATACAAACTATGGTATTGACCAAGCACGTCTGAATGCCGGTTATGCGGTTGGCGTGTCTTCCAAATCGTTTATGTCAACATCGACATACGGTCACAGTGAACATACAGTTCCGATCTGTTTCAATGGTGAAGTTCCCGAGCTTCCTCAGAATTTGTACGCCCCCAGCATTTCTTCGCAGCGCAGGTCCTATTCCAATGAACCTCAATCCACACCTCGCAAAAGAGTCTCGCTTTCTCTTCGGCTCCGCAAGTATGCCTCTTTCCAGAGCGGAATCTCCAGACAGCGAGCGTCGATCGGTAGTGATGGAGGGAAGTCGGCTGTAAGCTCCAAATATGCCCAAGATCTGGCAGACAAGCCAATGGGTCCTTCACTTCGCAGGAGACCTGGTGGGAACTTGCGACAAATGCAGTTCGTGGATGACGTAAACCCAACTTCAGGCCGTGAAAGCCCAGCATCTATTCAGTCCTATAATGATTCTTTGGCTGAGAGTACCGTGACCACTTCTGAAGTTGCGACAAGACCACCTAGTGCCTTGATTCCACCAAATCCTCGGCAGTCTTTAATTCAAGCTCGATCAGGCCGGAATATGAAACGCTCATTTGAAGCGGCTATTGCACGCTTTGCTGAAATCCCCGATGATGAGGATGGAGGTGTTGAGTCTACTCTATTGAAGCTGGAGGGCAAATGGCCCAGCTCTCCACCGGCGGATCAAGAGATTGAATTTGAGAGAGTCCGACATTTCCAGAGTGATAATCATTGGCACGGGAAGAGTAATGCAGACTTGGATGTTATCTCCCGAAGACGACAGACAGATAAGTCCGCCTACTCCACCGTTGGAGGACATCTAGCACCACCCAGACCGTACTCTGATTCTGTCGCGGAATCTGAAGATTCTTACAATTCAATTCCTCTTCTGGAGCGTGGTTTGACGGATGAGTCAATGAAACGACCATCTCCGAGTCGTACCCAGATTCCAAGCCAGATCATCGATGTGCAAGGAGCCCTTCTCAGCCAAATTCCTAGTCGGGATACGTCTGAATTGGTTTCATCCCATCCATCGATACAGATTATTCAGGAAACAGACAGTATGCGACGTATTCCCAGGGGCTCGACTCTACCACAGCCAGCCGCCCTTGATGCAGGACACGTTACTCCCAAACATCTGTCGGCTATGTCTGTGGACCTCATTGACGCTCGTGAAGCCATGGACGCTCGTATATCTACGGACACTCGCAGCCTGGGCTCTTCGACTGTCGATATCCCGCCTCATCCGCTCGCACATCCTCCTTCTCCTCCGATGACTATTCAACACCCTAGCTCTTTCGCCTCATGTGTATCACCTTTGGAAAAAGTGCTTTTCCAGGCGCAACCACTGACGCCAGACACTTCTCCTATGCGTCAGGTGACACAACCTACCAATCAGTCACCCAGGAATGTGCCTCCATTCTCCAGCGATGTCCTTTCCAACTCAGAGAAAGACCAGCAGAATGTTATCCCTGATGAGCCTGATCATGTTCCCTTTGTTCTTGCATGCGAATCTCACATGCTTGCACAGCAACTGACATTGGTCGAAATGGCTGCACTGAGCGAGGTTGATTGGCGTGACTTGGTTGAGATGAGATGGAGCAGTAGCTCTCAGTGTCTCGTGAGTTGGGTTCAATTCCTCACGAGCGAAGAACGAAAGGGTATTGACCTAGTTGTTGGGCGTTTCAACCTCATGGTGAAATGGGTGGTATCCGAGATTGTCTTGACTCGCAATATTCAAGAGCGAGCACGCACGATTATCAAGTTCATTCATACGGCTGCTCATGCACGCCGCATCTGCAACTATGCGACCATGCTTCAGATTGCTATCGCCCTGGCTTCATCGGACTGTTCTCGACTTCATAATACGTGGCAACTGGTTCCCTCAGAGGATCGACGACTCTTCAAGGATATGGAATGTTTGATTCAACCGGTTCGCAATTTCCATGATCTTCGCGTTGAGATGGAGACGGCCAACTTACAGGAAGGCTGTATTCCTTTCATTGGTAAGTCTCATACCCCATATTTAGGTGGAACCCATTCAACAACAGAAACTAATAGTTTGATTACACAGGCCTTTATGTACATGACCTCACTTATAATGCGCAGAAGCCTGCCCAAATCTCTCGAAACGAAGGAGATCTGCTGGTCAACTTTGAACGATACCGCACTGCTGCCCGTATCGTCAAGAGTCTCCTTCGTCTGATCGATGCAAGCACCAAGTATCGATTCGAACCCGTTCACGGAGTGATCGAGCGTTGCCTTTGGATCGCATGCCTTCGTGAAGACGAGATTCAAGCTCGTAGCAAAGATCTCGAGTAATGTTTTCTTTTTATTCTACTCTAATGATTGGCTATATTGTTCATACCCCTTTTTACTGCAGAGCGTTGTTGGTTTTTTGTCTACTTTACATATATACCTGTATCTATACTTGCATTTCCATTTTTATCTCTCTCACTCTCGTTATTATGCTTGGGTCTTATTGCGTTTGAAGCGAGCATCATTTGCATACAAGTTGGACTTGAAAAGACACGACAACAGACGAGCTATACTATATCTGATTTTTGGATTCTTTGACCTCGGTCCCACTACTTGATCCTTTGTTTATTAAAGTAATAGAGTAATTCTTCATAGCTTGAAATTAATTCTCTCAATATTTTACCATGGCACCGCTATTTTCTCATCGTGTTTCGAATAAAATGGATGCATCGTGCGTCATAAACTGACCGATCTGCTGGCGGAACACCATTTTCCAGCCCGGAACCCCCCCAATTCCACTTCTCTTCAACTTCCCCAATACCCACAGTGTTATCACCTATTCTTTTCTTTTTCTCTCCTCACTTCATCCTAGGGACCAATCCTGTTTTGCAGTTGAATGTTCCGCCCCGTGTCCTCCCATTCGGCCCGCCACGATGGACACGACCGAGCCGCGGCGCGGGGCTTCAGAGGAACAGCTCGACGACTCTGATCCCGGCTATAGCCTCGCGTCTCTGGGGCCAGCGCAAGAGCTTCCCGATGACCTACCCAAATCACTAGACGACCGCCGCTCGGTACCGGTATTCCAACAGGAGACGGAGATGTATGATGCATGGCAGGGTACGTCTATACCAAAATGGAGTCTAATAACGATGAGAAACGAACATCCTCGTGGTCCGAGCTCGGGAATGGTACCTGGGCGGGTGCCAGTGTTATGTCTACACCAAGTTGGAAATAGGGCTCAATAAAAGCTGGGATTTATCGGTCATTGTTCATCGCTAACATGTCATGATGGTCTTGTATAGGGCAATCCCAATTCCTCACTACTCCCGTCGCTGCGAAACCGCTTACCTTCAGCCTAGCGCTTGATGATCACATACACGATTCGGAAACAGATCTCCGCGCCCAATATGGACATGATCTCGAAGATAACGATGCGAGACTTATGGAAATGCTGGCCGCACAAGCCGCGCACCGCGAAGTTGATTCCCTAGGCGCCAACGAGGAGAACATAGCCGTGGATGAGAAATTAAGCACGGTGGAGAAGAAGGACATTCTACAAAAGAACCTCAATATGGCAGCCAGTAATGGAGACGTGGAGCGAGTTCAAAAGTTATTATCCGGTACCGCTAAGAGCTACGTGGATGTGAATATGAAAGATGAGGAAGGGACTGTGCCGCTCATATACGCCAGTTGCTTTGGGCACCAGGATGTTGTCTCGGCGCTTCTTGATGCGGGTGCTTTTGTCGACCAACAGGATCGGAATCAGTGGAGCGCTTTGATGTGGGCGATGACGAATCGACATAAGACTATCGCGAAGATTTTGTTGGACCACGGTGCTTCACCGGATATCAAGTCTTCTTCTGGAGGCACAGCGTTCGATTTTGCGCAGCCTGGTAGTGAAATCTCGGAGTTTTTACATGAAAACGGCTACAAGTTTGGTCCCGGTGCCATTGAGGATGATTTCTACGATGCTGGACTTGCGCATGGCCGGTTTGAGGAGGAGCTCGCAGAGAATGAGATGAAACGGCGGATGATGATGGAAGAAAGCGCGATCAATTTGGAGGTGGATTTATCTAGTCTGGGACTGGATGAGAAATTCGAACCTTCCGATGAAGATGATATGGAAGAGGAGCAGCAAGAATTCGTCTGGGACCGTTGTCTCAACGATCAAATGTTCGTCTTCCAGGATCATGAACTTGAGCGCATTTTGGATATCATTATCACCAACATGACCCCTCAACGTTCTCCGTCTCAAAAGCCCGTTCCTGCAAATCTCCTCTTTCTCAGTGCGCGCTATGCGCATTATCATGCCAGCCCGGAGCTACTCGCGGAGCTTCTCACCTCGGCTACAGAGAAGATCAACGATGTGGTTGAACGTCATCAGTGGGACATGACGATGCAAGCATTTTGGCTCTCCAATGCCACCCTTTTACTTCATTACTTAAAGAAAGACGCAGGGTTGGTGGAGTCTACTGTGGAATTTCAGCTCCATTTGGCGGAGCTGATCAACGAAATTTTCGTCCTTATCATCCGTGATGCCGAACGACGAATGAACAAAGTCCTGGATGAGGCCATGCTGGATCATGAAACCATCCCAGGGCTAGAAGATGTTGCCTTCCAGAATGAATGGAAACTGTTCCGGAAGAAGAAGTCTGAGGCTCCAGAGCCTGCAGAGAAGCGATTCCGTCCACCATCCCCACGGCGACGCGCACAGGTGTCTCCACGGAACATCACATCATTACTCTCGTCAACACTCTTTGTGCTTGACCTCTATGATGTTCACTCTGTGATAACTACTCAAATCCTCTCTCAACTGCTATATTGGCTCAGTGCTGAGATATTCAACCGAATCATGAGCACCAGACGTTACTTGGCACGGACCAAAGCCATGCAAATTCGCATGAATGTCTCAACATTGGAGGATTGGGCACGAACCAACAATCGACAGCCCGAGCATTATGAAAATGGATCTATGACTAGCACCGGAGAGTCGACCGTGGATTCCGCTCGCCGACACCTAGCACCTGTCATTCAACTCCTACAATGGCTGCAATGTTTCTCTTCCCTCGGTGACGATCACGAATCACTCGTCACCACCCTTCTTCAGCTACAACAGCTCTACCCAATCCAGCTTCTCCACGCCGTGAAATCATACAGACCCGAAGTCGGCGAAAAAGGTCTCACCAAACATGCCATGAAATTCCTTCTCGACATGCAACGTGATCCTGAGATCCTCTTCCGCGAACAACTAAAACTTCAAGCCGAGAAAGAAAAGGCAGCTGCACCCCCAGCCTCTGAAAACACAGCACAAGATCGTCCTAAAACACCCACAAAGGACAAGGACTCCTCAGAGAAATCCTCTTCGCCAGAGAAACAGGCTCCCACATCTCCTGAATCAAATGCACCGCCCCGCCCAACAAGCATGATTCTCGCCTCTACCCCTCGAGACGATCGTCCACACGTCAACAGCGTCTTCCTAGACCCAACTCTTTTCCTCCCTTTTTCCCTTCCAACAAGCACAGATATGCTCATTAGCTATGGTGCCGGTCTCGGTGGGACGAATCGCGAACGTGCACGAAAGTACATACCGACCGTTCCACCTGAAGTTCTTACTCGATTTGATCGAGGCGATTCATGAGTCGGAAGAGAAGGGGAAAAAGTCAATGAGCGATCCAAGCATCTATTGTAGCACGTTCCTTCTTTGTCTTATTATTATCAATGATTATATCTTGGTCTTGCATGACAGATGGTATTGCCAATCTCTAGTTTTCTAGAGTGGAGGATTTGCACTCGAATTTCATTTCAACACTTCATTACTCGATTTGGCATGGAATTGAGATGAGGGAACGTGTATCGGATACCCATGGAATTTCTTTGTTTTCCTCTTTTAAACTAGCAGATTATCCCAGGTTGGATTTCTTCTGGGTAGTCTGTCGATTCCACCCATGCTTTATTGTATATAGATTTTTCAATGGAGGGACTTCTGTGCATATACTTAGCCGCACATGCATAAGTTTTTAACATTAGAATCGGGGGATCTCATAGTATGATGCCCATCTGCGATTCATGTAGCTGAGATAAATCTGAAGTTTGATCCTGCCAGCCTGACTGTGTCTTGAAAAGCCTCGATATCATCCAAAGATATGCCATCTCAAATCGTTCCGTCAATCCTATATCACCTCCGGGGTTCACTGGCAGATGAAAAGGTCATAGCAGTTCTAGGAGGTATTATACGCTGACTTAAGGTTACAGTAAACTTCTTGATTCAAGTTCTTCTCTACTATTATTACAGCTAATGAGCGTCTATTAAGGTGACTCGCAATCAGAGCACTGAAACATTAAAATGTATCTTGGATTTTATTCTTGTAGTCCAGAGTAACTCTGTCTACTCGGGCTCATGAAAAGCCCAAACGAGGGACATAATAATCATAGTGTAATTGGACACGATTGCCAGCAAGTCTTGTTCAATCCAGCCAAACAGACTTGGTATCAATATGCTTTTCAAGAATCAATTCTTGGGTAGAACAGAAAACGAATGAAACAGCCCACTCAAACATCACAAAAATAGAAATGATTTGTCGCTACTCACACCTATGGATGATGCTCGCAAGACTCCAAAAGGCTCAAAAGTGCAGCAAGAACCAATGAAAAGGCTCATGACCGGGTATCTTAAAACGACAAGCAGAGGTTTTGGAAGAATAGGTGCTTTAAACAAAGTAGATATGGATGAAAGGCCGTCTCAGTCTTCATCTATCGCGCCAGGCTAGGTACTCCCACCGGTATCTGGAGAAGGATCTGAAATGTTCTCCTCGTCCGACGCCGTAGTTTTATGTCGAGATGACGGGTGATCCTGGGCTTTCCGGCTTCGTTCCGGGCTGCGAGAATGATGTTCCCGTTTGAAGCCCCGTCCAGATTTACCTCTGCGAGCCCAGGGGCTCATCTCTGGGGATTCCCGTTGCCGAGTTTCCGGTCTCTCTTCATGGTGATAAGACTCATGCGCAGTCGTGATACCCGGCGTTCCATGTGCGTGCTGCGGCGTGCCAATAATTGGGCTCTGACGGCCAGATTGTGCCTCCGCTGGAACAAATTCCGATGGTCGAGCGGGAGGAGCGATCGGTGTATGAGCTGCCTGCGGCTTTCTCTTACGACTGGGGGAGTCATGGCGCATGGCCGAAGGCGCTGGATCGGCTGGAATCGATTCCGGTTGACTTCTGGCGGAGGCTGGCGCATGAGAGGGCTGTCCTGGAGGCACCCAGTGGTGAAATGAGATGGAAGGTGAGGGGCGGCGTGGGCGTGGATCTTGTCGCATAGGAGCGTGCTGAGGAACATGTGGAGCCGCCACGTACTGTACAGGGCCAACGTGAGCCGTCTGCATGGCTGGCTGCTGCATTTCGATAGGCCGGGGTAGATGAGCAGGCAATGGAACTGGGGTACCCGCAGCTGAGGACATTGAGCTCCCATTTCCAGCTGGCTGCGGGGCAGTATTGATAATACCCATGGTCGGATGTTGAGGGGTATACACATTGGACGCAGGTGTGCGTGGATCCCGTTGGGGTTCACCTGCAGCCACTTGACTTGGCAATTGTTGGCTCTGTATCGGTGGGAGCGTTGTAGAGAGACTGTGACTTTGATATGCTTGTTGTTGTTGAGCACCAGGCGCCATAGCACTTCTAGATGGCTGCGCCATCCATTGCTGAGCTGTATCAATCATCAGCTGGAGGTTTCCCGCACCCGAACTATGCATGGCCGCAAAGATCAATGGCACCATGGGTGGAGGCACGCCAGCACGCAATGACTCGATAAGAATCATTTGTTCGATTCTACGTTGCTCCAATCGCAAAGTTTCCTGACGGGTCTTTTCCTCTTCTTGGCTTCGACGGTCCTCTTCGGTCTTAGCCAGCAACCACTGTTGCATAGATTCAGTTCCTTGCCATTGTGACGGCGGCGGGGGTAATGGAGTGGGCATTGCTGCAGGCAGGTTCAAAGTAGAGGACGGCGGAAGCTCTCTTTGGGAAGATTCCATAGGCTGTGGATCTTGTCCAGATGAGGTGTCAGACCACGAAGACCGTGGGGTCGGGTGGATCTTGTGAATAACCGTGTACTCATTGACATTTGCCCCTCCGGTCTGTTGAGGTTGGAGAGTAAGTAACATTGTTCAGATGAGTGAAGATGAAACATGATGTATGGAAAAAAGCAATGAAAATCCAACATTGAAATTCATCAAAAAAGAAACAACGGGAACGGGAAGGAGCGAGGCAACGCGTCTCAATTAGGAAAGGCATATGAGGCCAAAACCAACTAAGACTGAGACCAACATGGTACATTTGTACACATCTTACTCCATAACCCCTCTCTTCATGCAGTTCACTAACACCAAATAAGTTATAATTGAACAACTCACCTGTTAAATTCAAGGTGATCCAATCAATTGGGCTGACTCAGCCAGGCCCCGGGGGCCCCAGGCCTTGCGTAATCGGACCCGATGCAGTTCGGTTGGAAGAGATAGGAAACCGAAATTAGTCTCGAGGGGAAAGAGAGGGGAAAGTAGGCAGAGCCAAATCCCACTCTTGGCAACAATCTGAAACGTATTCAGAAGAAGGGCTAAGGCGTTAGGGGATCGGAATTGAAGATCGGTAAAGCAATAGACCACTAGAAACACGGGGGAAATAATAAATAGACAATGAATCAAGTTAGTATGAAGAGAATGTCTATTGAACAATGAACAATGAAGACGAGAAGGCAAAAGGGAATCAAAAAAGAAAAAATAGAAAAAAGAACAGAAAAAAACAAGGATCAAGAGATTGGAAAGAAGGAAGGGAAAAAAAGAAAAAAAAAGAGACCAACCGAAAAGACCCAGATCGAGCCACGCATGACATGGGGACCTATTCCGTACATTAGCCAGGATAGATCGCCTTACGAAGACGATGACACACGCCCGGACGGGGCAGTGGAGCAGAGACGGGGGGGCACAAATGAGATGGATCGGCATTTCTGTTAGCCTCACGGGAGCCGCCTCAAGTGCGGGCAAATCAATGATCTAGCGCCAATTATCGTCCTCGTGTTGGGCGAACGGGCGGATTGCGGATTCCGCGCAAGCGCCTGGTCCACTTGGTACTGGTGCCGATCTCCTAGTGGGCTTGAGATGTTTCGAATGCTTGCGTGGTTCGCCAAGTCTGCCTATCACAATTTGGGTGGTGTTGATACAGTACTTAGTACAGAGTACTGGATGAGAAAGGATCCCGGGGCTAGAACTCGGAGGTAGGTCCCAGTTGGTTCTGTAGTTCACAGGTTAGGGAGCTTTGGCAGATTGCTTCCAAGTCTTCCTCTTCGCTACCTATGAATGATCAAGAGGAGAGCCGTGGAGTTGGAAAGGTTAAAGTTTGATTGGTGGCCATAACAAGGGAAGAGGATGCTCCAGGTGGATGAGTCGGGACACCGGAGAGACTTAACAGAGCAGGGATAACCTCCCGATAGATTTGCTCATCCTTCAAGGTTGCATTCAGCCTGAGATACAGCACTGGATTGGGAAATGCACAGAATCTTGCAGAATTCAAGAACTAGGATGGTGCTGGATGTTAGTACATCTTAGTCCAATGGCCGGTAACCAGAAACAGGGGTTGGGGAGGTTCAGACATCCAATAGGAAGCATCAGGCTTCATTAGTTCGATAACATCTCCCACATCTCACCCAGGATGAACTGGGGTCTTTCAGCTCTTGCATCACCCGAGGCGAACCAAGGATAAAATATTCCAAGTCGAAAAAACAAAGGTCGATCGATTTCGGGGGGATATGACATGAACATATACCTAGAAGGTACATGTACTATATCACCCTGCCAGAGTATCTGTTAGCAGTAAGGGGGTATATACTAGGAACCTGATCGTGATAAGAATGAGGAACAAAGGATCTTCCATTGTACTAGACCAATAACAATCTTAGAGAAGTCTTTGCCCCACAGATTTTAACCTTAATGATAATAGGGTGCACAATTGTGAAAACCAGTGGGAAATTTCTCACCAAACCCACCACAAAAAGATCAGTCGCAACCCTTTGAAAGAACGAAAGAAAAAAAGAGAAAGAAGTAGAGGTATGGTCGGTCGGTCGGAGATCCAGGTTATCGAAATAATCAGACTCGCAGCTACTTCTTTCTTGGAGCCCTCATGGGGACTACTTCTCGAGCGGCTTGGCCGCAATTGGCAGCAGCTTTGGCAAATGTTAGCAACTTTATCATGCGACAATAGAACGGGAGTCTTGGATTGCGTACTGGGCCCTCGGCGGCAGGATTGGCGGCAGGATTTTTGTCCGCATACTTCAACTTGTAGTCCAAGATCAACTCTCGCAATTCGGCGCGGCGACGAACTTCAATGGCGCGCTCGCGACTATTTTTGGTTAGTTTGTCTTTGTAGCTTCAACAAAGGCAATGGGGCTTACCGATAGATGATGGGGTGAACAACAAAGGTCAACATAATGAAGTGGAAAACGAGGTAGAGCAGCATATACATCACGATGCCTTCAGGCTTGCAAGTACCACTACCGGCCGCGTTGCCGAGCTCCATCTCGGACATGATGGTTATTATCAGAGTTGATCAGCTGAAACGATTGTAAGTGGGATGAGACTGGATGCACAACGATGGAATGCGCAGTGGATGTGGATGTGGAACGATAGGAAAGACGCGAAGTGACGCGGGCGAAGACGAAACCGTGATGTGAGAGTTCGCTAGCACTTTAGGCGACAACGCAGGCGACAACGTGCACGTGAGCAGCGCAATATCAAAGGAATAAATACTCAAAGGCTTTGGAACTTAAAGCCTCGAACATCAAGAATACCGATCACTCATCAACTTGAATATCTTTAAGTCAACTATTCAAAGTATCCATTCTTATGCTGAAGGCCCTTTACTGATGATGAAAACATAAGAATTTAGTATACAAATATGGCAGTGGAAAGCTATTGATATCATAATTATCATGTACGAGCTTTGAAATGAGAACTTGGGTGGTATAAAATCTTGGAATCATTCAAATTTAAACATTTGAAGGGCCTGTACCTAGTATTGATTGTAATGTTCCAAGGTTATAATCATTTGAATAGCAAACATATGAGCCCTCCAGGCTATACTACTAGGATTTGTGACAGTGAGTTTTCCATCTTCTGCTAGGCCATATATCATGTCCCAGATTTCTGTACAGATTTATCTCAAATCCATTATATCCATCCCCCATCAGTCTATATCCACCCCATTCACACGAAATTGACGTGGAACCGAGATCACCAATGAAGAAGTTTGAGTGCCAGTCTGTTTTTTCAAAGAAAATCTTCAGCCATTCACCGGGTGTTTTATGTATTCTCGAAACAGGAGCTGCAAGCCTATTTAACTGTAAAGGCCATCGGCTGCAAGGATCAAATATGAACCGATTGTGTATATGTAGAGTTTTCGAATCTTCGTCAACCCAAGTCCTGGTTTGGATATGAACATGTGCTTGAGGCTCATCATTATCCATGGAACATTCATGGTATAGTTCTTGATAGACAGATTTCCCAGTCACTGTACTGACTTTGAAGAACGGCTGACCAAACTTGTCCCTGTAAGTTGGGATCAAAGCTGGGTCTGTGTTTAAACAATACTTGCCGATATGGTGTCTATCATGGAAGGTGATACCGGTGCAAGGACAGAAGTCGACTTTGCCGGTGTATACCAGTGAACATGCTCTTTTGCTAGTCGGAATATCACATTTATTAAAGCAAGGTCGTTGGCCGAGGCTCCAGTAAGATTTTAAAGCACGCCATTTGGAGTGTCGGTGGAGACGCTGGCATTGACTGCAATACCTCCAGAGATCACTTTGGAGTCGGTAAAGTAGTTGGCTATGTGCCTTGTTCCATTCCAAAGGGGAAGAATGTAAGAATTCGGACTGCGGTGGCCATGACAAGGCCGGAATATGAGCATTGTAGGTTCCGCGCCGGTTGAGATATGATTTGAAACAGTTAAATGTATACTTGCAACTTAAAGCAAAGCAAATCTGATCTGCATCAAGTAAGGGTATAAAAATCATTTTGACTATTTCTGGAGGCAATCGATAAAGGACACTATTTCCGATCTCAACGGCGACTTTGGCCGTAGCTTGACGCTTATGGCGAGCAGTTCGCGCCATAGTGTCAAGCACTCTGGCGGTGTGTCGGGTTATACCGGGTCAACGTCAAATGGTATAGTGAAATCAAGATATGGACGAAACAGGTCAAGTGCGGCTGTTCACTAGAAGAGCTGATCTTATTGATCAGAATTGCATCATAAACGGTGAGAATATGCACTAGCAAGTTTTTGTATCGGCTCGACTATTTAGAACAGCCGACAAGGTTTGATATTCAACTGAGGTACTAGACCTAATATGGCAATCGACATCAATCTTATAAGACTGAAATAAACTTTAATCTAGAACTTTCAGACTGAATAGTAGAATAGAAAAGCAAACATACAAATAACCCAGTTGTACTACATTCTGGTTCAAAAGTCTGTGGACACTTCTCCCCCCCACCAATTTTCCGACTTGGCAACTTCAAAAATTTGCAACTCGGTCAATATGGACGCATTTGGCACCGCAATTAGTGCAAATCGTTCGAAAAATGCAGAATTATCAGATGTTCGGCGCAGTTCGATTATTACAGCTTATAAATTAGGTGATAAACCTACTCAAATTGCCCGCTATTTTCAAGTTGCGCGTTCAACTATTTACAACACAATCAAGCGATTTAATACACGCAAAGATATGCAATCAAAGCCCCGTTCAGGTCGCCCGCGCAAGATTGTTACTAGAGAAGAGCGCTATATTTATCGAATGTGTCGACGATATCCACGTATGAGCTGGGGTGCTCTAGTTGCGGAGGTTACAACTGGAGAGATTAGTATCTCAAAATCCACTATTTATCGCGTGTTACGACGATATAAATTACGCAAGTGGAAATCTCGACGCCGAATTCCATTGACTAAGGATGATGCTCTACACCGACGTCAATTCTGTCGAAAATGGCGGAATTTTAAGGAGACAGAGCGGTTAATCTTCTCAGATGAATACTCCGTGCATCAACAATAAAATTCGAGTAATGAATGGGTTTTTCGACTATCATCTGAAGCGTATCGCCAAGATTTAGTCAATTTCATAATAAAACCAGGGCATGATATCGCACAAATGGTCTAGGCAGCTATTTGGATTGGTGGTAGATCTGATTTGATTATTATGGAATGTGATCCAGAGTCCCCAAGAGGTGGTTTTTCAGTAAATTCCTATCAAGACGCCCTATAAGAAGGCCTATTAGACCATTATAACCCAGAGATGATATTGTAGCAAGATAACGCACCGATTCATATAGCTAAGAGCTCTCAGGAGTTCATAATGCAACATAGAATTCATACAATAGATTGGCCTCCGCATTCCCCTGACCTCAGCCCAATTGAACCATGTTGGCGCTTACTTAAACTCGAGCTTCTAAAATTGAAGCCTAATTTTCGACATACCGGTCGCAGTTTAGCTGCACGGGACAAATTCCATACAATTTTACGACAAGCGTGGTGGATAATACCACAGCATACAATAGACAGCCTTATTCGATCGTTTCCGCGCAGAGTTGAAGCTGTACGCCGAGGGCGGGGATATTACACCAAATATTAGTGTAATTAATCATTATGAATTAATTTATTCAATTTGGCAAAAAATTCCATGGAATTTGGAGCAAAATTCGATTTATTATGGATTTTTCAAATTGGTGGGGTGCGGGCTGGAATATGGAGTGTCCACAGACTTTTGAACTACTAGTGTAGGTAGTAGTACTACTTGAGTACTACGACCACTGACCGAGACTCGATTGATATTATCATAGTAAGCAGAGAGGTCAGTAATATTTCGATTATTGGAAAACTTCAATCTCAGCTTCAATCCGATTTAATGCCAACATAGTAGTACAAAATAATAAATGGGAATTGAACAGTGCGTTTCCCACTATGAAATGTCCACCCGGAGAGGTCAAGACCAGGCTGATCCAATAGCTTTCGAGTTTCTTCAAAGGTACGAGTTCGTAAACAGGAAATAAATCCGTCAACTCCGATGGCAATGGGCGCCACAGGTACAATGAATGTGAAGAACAGATGAAGGGGTGAGTACCAGTACCAGACAATGGTGACGAGGCATGTCCAAAATACCATCAAAAATGAGAACAGACACGTCCAAATATCGCGGGCAGACATTTCGAATATACTAAGATATAGTTAAAACATCTGAGATTCTGAAAGGGAGAAAAAGACAGAAAGATGCCAGTGGTCACGTACATTAATGCGTCCGCGGACTCAATCGCGTTTTTCAGGATACTCCCTGCATCCTCATCACTAAAGTGGTGGAAACAAAGATTCAATACCCGACATTCTTTCTTCGAGGCTATTTCAGCCGCAGGAACAGCACGAGCATCGATCGGCTCCGCGATATACGATATATTTCCTTGTTTCTTCGAGATGCGCGCCCACTCTTCCTGGTGGGGGTAGAGATCACTCAAGATAAACTGAACAGGCTCCTTGCCCTCGCGTTCGAGTTGCTTGTTTAGCTCCAGTTCCATGACTGGAGAGGGTCCTCCAGCTCCAGCACAGATATCTCTAATCGTGTAGGAGGAAAGGTCCCTCAGATACTTTTTCATTACTGCACATGCCTGTGTCGCGGGACTTCCATGGCTCCACCCGGGAATCCTCAAACTCCAGAATTTCGTGAGGGCGAGTTGTTCATGTCGCTGGAGCCATGATGGACACCATGATTTTTCACCAATTTCTAGAAGGTGGGATCGGGGCCACGACATGGTTGTAACTTTGGTGTATCCAGGGAGGTGATGTGGGTGGAGTTAGAGGTTGAAGTTCTTGAGATATTTTGCCTCAAGGTTTCCAGTTGGCTCCATTCCGATTAGCTAAAGAGTCCAATGGAACGACCAAAATGATACCGATTGATTCTGAGAACCCCAGGCTTAATTATGAGGATGAATCTTTTGGTACTACTATGGCTCTGGTACCCCGATCAATGAAATTCTTATTGATCACCATATTAGTAATTGTTCACATTTTGACATATTCTCAGGTATTCAATCCACAAATACTGGCAACTATAGAGTTCATTTTCATCTCATAACACTCATAGATGGGTTGAAGTGCATGAATGTAAGGGGCTGTGTCACCTGATAAAAGCAAACTTCCAAGTTACCAGGTGAGTGCATGAGATGGATCTGTCATGAAGACAGTCTTCCAAGGTTCCTCTTCACATCCATGTTCCGACTTCCGAGCGCCATCTCCCCACTCCGACCTTTCACAACCCCACTCAGTGTTTAGCAGAACCATGTTCAATTATTCGGAACCCTTCGCTACCCGAGAATCAGGCACTCTTAGTGCATCCCCTTATAACTGCTGTTCATTTGAGAACTACCGAGGACCACTCTGACAAGGCTACGCCGTTCGTGACCTGCTGTCCTGCCGGATATTATGTTTATGCGATCACCAATAACCTTGGAAGAATACAACATGTATTTGCACGAGTCATCTGCATTCAAGACGCTGTACATAAGCCCCTCAGGGTCCATAGACATACTTCCCTGGATATGTTCGAACAACGGCGTTCCACTCTTGGCAATTGAAAGTGGCTGCCGCGCAGTGGGGATGAGGCTGCAATTAAATTTTCATTTGAAAAACAAAGCCTTGCAAATGATGAAGATTTTGCACGAATAAAGACATTTCAATTAAACTACGGCAAGGCTGTCGAATGTACCCCACCAATAGTCTGTTCTACGAGTGGCCCTCAATTACTGGCAAGTGCATTCTAGAAATGCCAGTGTGCATGCAGCATGATGGGATATTGTCTAACATATTCAACAAATTCAATCTGTTGACGAAAAAGAAAATCAATCACTGAATCAGTCGGTGACAAGTACCACGATCTCTTTACTAATGAAAAGTTTCTTAGTGTCTCGGACTCTCGGCTAGTCTATAATCAACTAGATCAGGATTCTGAGTTGACTTTGCGGGCGAAGGTCCGTGTAACTAGCTCCATTATCAGGGGTCTGGCGGAGACTAAAAAATTGAAATCTATTTTAACCAGCTTATGTCCAGATTTTTTCTTATCGCAGACTCAAGTCCATCATTTTTCAAAGTTTTTACGGTCCTTCTCTAGACTCCCACAAATACAATGCGTGTTATTTGGTTTCTCGCTTCCACTCTTGCGCCCCTGGTCGCCGTCAAGGCCAACTCCACAACTATCAGTTATCTCGGGGTCTCAATTACTAATTCATATGCCGCCGATCTGGCCCAATTCACCAGCCTAGCTGCTGATGTATACGCTATCGATAAAACTGCCACAACATATGACATTCGCTGTGAGGATGGTGCCCCACTCAGTGTGTGCGCAATCGATAGCAAGACTCCCTGGAGAATGATTCAAGGCCCCGAGACCTACAGTATCTCGATAAAGGACAGCATTAGCACCGAAGGTGTAAGCGCAGATGTCACTGCTAATGTGGCCTGCTCGTTTACTCACACATCTGAGTCTGTCTCCTGCTCCCAATACGTGTCGTTCACTATCTCTGCGAGTGAATACTCAACTGCATGGAGCACGAATGCGCCTAGCTATACCGTCGACGCCGACCAGGTTAGCTATGTCGATCTTAAGGTCACTGGAGGCTTACAGGCTTTCTCTGCCGATGCTACGGCTACGAGCCCTGTCACTGTGAGCTACTCTGGTGTTGCTCAGCCTATTGCCACTGCAGCGCCGTTAGCTGCAGCTGCCGCTGCTGCGATTGCAGCTCTGCTTTAAGCGAACACATGGTTGATTCTTTTTCTGTTACATTATACCCTGGGTTTTCGGACATTGAAGCATATATACCGGAGCCTTATGTGGATCGATACATACGCATTCTCCAGATCATATTGGATCAAATTCATCAATATGGCTCCCAGCCATAGCTGAAGACTATCTTCAAAAAGTCTTCTTGACTATTAATTTGTTCCAACTCTATTGTACTATTAATTCTACAACTTTCTGTATACCTCTTCAAGTCCCAATTTCCATCGACCTAGGCTATTGCTATGCTTTCAACGATTACTATTACCCACCTCCTTGCTCTACAACTCTCAAGATTCAAGGACATGTTAGATTTAGTATCGATACTACGAGAGCTAGTCATTCCATCTGATAGTAACACACTGATTATGGTCCAAACCTTGATTCAACCTTACTCATTCTTAAACCCAAATACTAGCCACAAAATGCTCATCCGCCACCTAGCCACATCTTTTCTAAGAGTTAGATCATAGTTTGCATCCACTCAACATTCAGTCATCATACCATCATCAGTACGAAGTATAGCAAAATTCTTACCACGTTCAAGTTTCTCACTGGCAAGTCTGCCATACTCAATATCCCATCTCAGCCCATCTCAATCTCTATTAACCCTCTCTTCTCCCATCACACAAAAACATCAAATCATCATGCCCTCAACACCCTGGACCAAACCGGACACCAGCACCCGTCCGATCGCAATAATCGGCGCCGGAGTAATGGGCCGACGCATCGCAATGATGTGGATAGCAGCCGGGTACGCCGTAACACTATACGAAAAATCCAGCCACAGTGCCGACGAAGCAGTCGAATACATAAACAGCAACAAAGAAGCACAAGCCAAGAAAATGGGCACCAAGCCAGCCGAGATAAAAGTCACCGCATCACTCGAAGAGGCTTGTGAGAATGCATGGATGGTGATTGAAGCTGTACCCGAGAAACTGGAACTAAAAACCGAAGTCCTGGGCTCAATTGATGCACTTGCCCCGGCGGATTGTGTCGTTACCACGAATTCCTCATCACTACGCTCAAGTCAGATGCTCACGAAGACGAAAAAGAATTACCGCATCTGTAATGGCCATTATTATATGCCTCCGGAACAAATATATTACGAGATTATGTCGTGTGGACAGACGGATGAGGCGATTCCGCCGTTTTTGATTGAAAAGGCGCGGAGTGCGGGTTTCAAACCTGTGTTTGCGCGAAAGGAGTCGACGGGATTGGTGTTTAATCGAATCTGGGCGGGTATTAAGAGGGAGTGTTTGCTTGCTATGGCGGACGGGGTTACTGATGGGAGGACGATTGATGAGATGTTTAAGTCGTGGTTTCAGGCTGAGAAGGGTCCTTGTCAGATGATGGATAAGGTGGGGTTGGATACGGTTTACAATATCGAGGTGGTTTATGAGAAGCAACTTGGAACGAATCCTCGGGCGAAAGATTGGTTGAAGGCGAATTATGTGGATAAGGGAGACTTGGGAGCGAAAGGTGGAAAGGGATTGTTGGGATAGACATTTCTCATTATGTTCTTTCTTTAATGTGAAGCTGGTGACGGGTATAGTGCATGAGAAGGATCAGGAGACAAAAAGACATAGATAGATTGTGATCGTCATCTACAAAAGTCTAGCCATTACTACTCAGTTCGACATTGATATCAATAACTTCCAAGGTTGGGCTCAATTGAGATAGATCAGTGTATTTGCGCACATTGATACAAGGCACAGGAAGAAGAATGGAATATGCCATCTTTCTCGGTGGTGCTGATGCCGATGTATTCAAGTGTCCAGAACCAGCAGTGCTGGGCTTAGGACTCACGAATAAACCGACTTTGACGAATTATAAAAGAAATATACAGGTCTTGTGAAAGGTATAGGAAAGATCAAAATAAAACACATCAAACGGGGATCAGAAGAAGCGTAAGAATAGGTATCGTCTAGAGATCCAAAAAGGGAACAGTCGTAAGGAAACAGAAGTGGGTAAAGTGAGAAAGCAGAAGGAAAATTAGACAGAGAGTGTATAGCTGATGTGGGCTGTGGGAAGGAGGTTCATATTAATAGTGATGATAAAAAAGCCCCTGGAATATTAGGGTGCTCCACCATTCAAGTCCAATGATCCGTATCAGAGGAGTGCAAGACAATGTGTTGGGTATAATGGGGTATTAGACATCAACAGTGACTCTCGGGGGTATGGCCCGACCATTAGGGTATAAAGAAGGGCATCAGGAAGTTATTAGGGAGACATGAGCGGCCAACAGAGCATCAGCGAGGGGGAAAAATAAAAATAAAAATGAAAGGTGGCAAATTAGAAGTCTTAATGGGTTTTCTTTCGGCGATGGACCTTGTATTCGGCTTTGGCGACACGCATGAAGAGCTCGGTGTCCTGGATTGGAACCCAGCTTGTCAGAACTTTCATGACGTTCTCAAAATCAGAGTCCAGAATTATATCGCGCATGCCATCGATCAAGGCAGCAGACGTGGCGTGAAGGACATCTAGGCTTTGTCCAAATGTGCCAAGTTGTAGTGATGGTGGTGGTTCCTTTTTGAGTCCTCGTCCACTAGATGTGGTTGGACGTGAGGGACCGGGGTGTTCTTCGGCATCACCCAGGAGCATAAAGACATCCCATACTCGAAGCTGGGCCGGGAATGGGATAGAATAGTTGAACAGTGTCAGATACCACCGGGTACCATAAGCAGTAGGCGGGATTCCAACCGTATTCTAGAGAAAGTCATTAGCAAAAGAACCTTCGCTTTCATGAAAATGGTTGGACTGTCTTACCAATTGTGTGGCTACTTCACCACCTGCCAGCCACTCGCGTTCAAAATCATCCAGCGCTTCCATGAGCCCTGCGAATCCAGATTTATACAATTGTTCTAAGCCACGAAGCTGCCATAAGCGGGCCAGCATGACAAATGCGTGTTCCTCATCGTAGTACGCTAGCAGAGTAGCCGCTATAGCCGCCATGCCTTGCACGTAACCAGTATCAGGGTAATAAAGGGACATAGCGTGGAGGACTCGGAATAACAGACGTTGACCACCGCGATACCGTCGACGGAACATGATGTGACTGGTGATTGTACGGGGTACATCGATATCAATTTGAACGTCATCTGGCGAGGAAACATATTGGTATTCACGGAAAGCCTCCATAAGTTCGTCCTCCGACGGACTGTCTGGTTTTCGCTTCGCACTGGCCTCAAGGAAGGAATACCAGGCTGAGGACCGCCATCGGTCTGGGATTCCCTTCCATGTCCGCTCAATCAATTTTGAGCTATGTGTATCAAACTCGAATTTCATTCCACCGCCATCTCTGTTCTTTTTAACTGGCTTGGCCATCTTCGTCCACTTGTCTTCTCGCTGCCATTCCTTCTTCCGCATTGCGCGCGCAGCTGGGGTATCTCTCCCTTCACCGGGGTCATCCGCTGGAAGAGTCAGCATGTCAGCTGCCTCGTCGGTGAACTTTCGGTCTCTGTTATGCGGAAGACGGTTGGTTGCAGAGCGCAGCCGGGATGTTGAACGTCGAACTGGCAGGCTCATATTGCTGGCCGATGATGTAGGACGGCCTGTCGCGGAGGTCTGGGATAAATCACGAGTTGGAGACTGGCCACTGAATGAACGAGTATTGGTACGAGAAGTTGGGGGACGAATCGACCGTTTGCGACGAGGGGTCTCGGCGGCGAGCTGAAGACTGGTGGTGACTCGCTGGATAGGGTGAGGTTCGCCATCCTCAGGAGCATGGATGAACCCATATCGATCCACTTGTCCTGCGCCAACATTTTGCCAGTACTCAATCCCACCTGCAAGTTCCTGGGTTTCCCGCTTCATTCGCTTGCGTTCTACTTCAGCCGATGCTCTTGCTGCTGAGTCTGGCGACGGCGCATCAAGCTGAGCAGCTGGGGTTGAAGATGTCTCGATATCCGGGGATGCAGATTCCTCCCAGAGCACGCCATTATCCGACGCCATCGCTTTTGCGACATCCATATCGGTCACGGTATCATCACCCCTCTCATACATCAGCCGTACTCGTCGCGATAACATGTCTTCGTCCGCCGAAACTGCTCTGCATTGAAGGCTCGTTTGTCTTGGTCGGAGGGTGCTTTGCACTTTGTAGGGACGTGGGGTTGCCTTTGGTATTTCCTCGTTTGCTCCATCCAGGCCAGTTGACGGGGGCCGCGCCGTAGTAATCGACTCCGGCTCGGGTTGTATAGATTGTTGAATCGACACTTGATCCGCCTGTGGTTCTAAGCTCTGTACCTCTGAAATCTGTTCGGAGGGATGCTCTGACTGCGAATCTAGCTGTTTCAACACCGGTCGCTTCGATTGAGACCTGATCAAACTACCGCGGTTGGAAAACTTCATACTTGTCTGCGCCAAACCATCCAGAGTGCCCGTGGGTATATCCATGCTAATGCGATTAAATGCCGAGTCGATTTGAGGTACTGGGGGCAATTCCTCGGTGCTCATTTTACGCTCCAACTCCGTGGACCTCTTCCTCAAACCACCCCACTTCCGCTCCGACCATCTGGAGCCGGGTCGAGACCCTGGTCGCGAACTAGGCCGGGCAGCTGCATCGTTGATAAAAATGCTGGGGACGCTGTGGAGCGACGGCGCATGATCATGCGAGATCACCCGCTCATCCATTGATCTTCGTGCTCGAGTTTCCCCTGACGGTGATAATGTCTCCATGGTATTCTTGCGGGCGCTGCGAGCACTGCGCGCGGAGGTGGGACGGTCACGGGGGCCTGACGAGGCGTCGCTGGCGCTGAGGGATCGGCCATTTGGGTCCGGTGGCGTATCGGCAGGGGTTGGGAGTGAAACAGATCTAATAGCAATAGGGCGACCTGCCTCGACCGTATTCTGGTAGGGCACAGCTTGTAATGTCGACCGCGATTCCGATGAAACGGGCGATAACGATGTAGGGGGGGTTATCCACCATTATCCCGGCATGACTCGAACAATTAGAACCAAAAAAGACAACAAAGAATAAAATAAAAAGTGAAAAGAAAACCCCCCAAAGAAAAAAAAGAAAAAGAGTGACCGATTTCACATCACCGTTTCGTCAGGGTCTGGGAATTAAAATTGTCCAGGAGAAAAAGACGGAGAGGGGTGTGGAGTAGGGCCTTGTTGCTTCCTTGGCGTCTTTTCTCTTGAGTCGAAGCTCTCATTCCACACTAAAAATGTGGACTTGAACTTCAATTCTTTTTCAATGAAAAGATATTGATTAGGTCAATCAGGAATTTTCCATCTAACGATTGGGAGATTCAAGTATTCAAACATCCAGGGGCTATCTTCATCCCACTTCAATATGGCCGCGCAGCAGTGGGCCGCAGACGACGACAAAGGTGGAGCACACTAGTAGTGCTTAGATTAGAACATAACCATGGTGTCATGAAGAGTCTGGACTAAGTTAATTGGGGCTTTTTATTAAAAGAAATTCCAAAGATCCACACAAATTGTAATATTTGAGACAGAAGGGGAAAAAACGGCAAAGAATGGCGGGACTCGGAGATGCTAGCAAGAGTCATGGTTGATATATCCATCATGATAGAGACGTTATGAAGTGACAGACTACAATGCAGATTCAATGCAAGGGGGAAAATCGCAACTTTCATAAAAACAATAGGGATTCCCATAGGCCAAGGCTGTTCAAAAAAGAAAATTGCAAAGAAGGAAAAATCCAGTAGGCTATGATGGCCTATGCAATGATAAAAAAGGGGGACAAGACAGGTAACCCGCAGACTAAACTCCATACCGACTTGGATCATCGTAGTTTTAAAACAACAGATAAAAGAAAAGAAAAAAACAAAGGCAGAATAAAAAAGACATCATGATCTAGCGACCCAGCGTCAGATCCTAATTTCATGCCACTGTAGCCGTGTTGACTCCAGGGTGTACATTGCGAGTCGACTTGCTCTGTTCTACTGGCTCCTTGGGTAAGAGTTCAATTTGTCGGACCAAGAAGCTCTTTTCGTCTGTGAATTGGTCGTCATCAGTTCGATCCTCCAGGAATTTAGGGAGAAAGCGTAATAACCGATCACGGTTATTGATCAGAATGCGTTGAACAGCCACCGACTTATTTGGGTTGGCTACAAAAACCTGGATATCGTTAGTATACGCGTCACGGAGGATCGACATGGAAGATAGATATAACATACTTTGAAAACGTGGAACCCCTCATACTGGACCATCTTGCGATCGTCCCGTAGAAGCTTCATACATAGCTTCAGATTCTCCCCACTCTCCACATAAGCCATCATCACGTTGTAGTTCGCACGGTCCAACAAGATCTCGCCAAGAAGCTTAATGCTTTGTCGCTTGGTCACATATGAGTCGGACTGAATGAGGGTACTGTTGAATCGACCAAAGAACAAATCGAAATTGGTGGCTAGGTATGCCGTTACCAAGTTTTTATGTCGGGTCAAAACCTCCTATTGGGAGCATTAGCACATGCATATCTAGAGACGGTATTTCTATCGCATCGCCCTGGAATGCTTACCCGGAACGTGGTAAACGCATCTGCGCTGACTTCAAAGTTGCTCTTATCAATCCAATCGAAGAAATTCCAGAATACTCCTTCGCCCGTTTGAGGTAAATTCGGCTTCAGATCAGAGAGTCGTACAGCAGGCTCCCCTGGGTGGGACTGGTCATATAAGACCACGGCAGCCACCACATCAAACTTGAGTGCTTCTCGCAAGATTACACCACAGGGCATGGCGCTCTGGCTTTGATTGTATCCTCGACATAGTTCGATTAATATCTCAGGTCGATGGTGAACAATATATGAGATAACCGGCGGGTCTTTGTCGGGCGCATAATTGTTAGGTCGGAACCGAAGGAAATGGGAGAAAATGCTTTGTGTATCTTTTCGAGCCTCAAACGGAAGTTTGTGGATTAATTGAACTAATTCAAGAAGAAGATCTTCTTGGAGTGTTGCTTGCACAAGGGCGTGCACCTGCTCCGGGGATGTATTGACTTCTGAAACCAACACAATGTTTAGTTTAGTCGAGTAACATAGACAAAATAGCACGGTTTGTTACCTTGCGTTCCTTGGACGATCACTTTCATGTGGCCGAGCTGCTTGACTAGCTCTTCCTCGGCCTGGGGTTTCGTCAGCGATTGTATGCGAGCGGTCATCGGGGTAGGGACCTTGGGCTGCTTGTCCAGAAGTTTGAGAATTAATTCTTTGGTAGTCCGGGCGACTTCTGATGGTTGCCGCGTGCGGCCACGATTGAAAAAGAACGCCATGATTCCTGGGTATGAGTAAGTTGTTGAAGGAAAGAAGGGATTCGATTGCGCCGAACTGATCACATCTCTGGTTCCCGCAATAAACAATCGGAGGCGGGGCAACCGTGGTCGCCTCAGGCAGAAAGATCCCCGATAACGATTTTTTCTTTTATCAGTCCCATCTCTGCCCCTCCATTCCTCTATTTCAAATAGAATTCAATTCTTGCCAATTGGAGTCGATTCCAATTGCATTGAACCTGAAATATAATCAATATGGCTGCCTATATTCCCCGTGCAGAGCCTCCTGTTGAGGATGTTCACGCTGATTCGCGTTCAGTATCGGACGAGTCCGACTCTAGCAACGAGGAGGGCTGGGAGGATGTTGAGGCCGATGACGAGACACAGCCTGTTGTCGATCTCTTCTCAGCTGAGGTCTTCCCTGATGTGCGCTCTTTGCTTAAGCAGTGCAAGGAGAAGCACCAGTTCGACCTGTTGAAGATTCAAAAGGATCTTGGTATGTTAGTATGGGCTGAAAGGCTCAGATCTGCATAGCTAAAAATTCATGCTAATGTATACTATTTTTTCAACAGACTTGGATTTCTTGGACACCATCAAGCTGGTCAACTACGTTCGTTCCGAAGTCAAGGCCGGAAACCGTACCCCCGATGTCAGCTCCAAGTCCAAATTCGAGGACGACTTGTACTTGAAGCCGGTGCTGGAGGATGATGCACTTCTGTACAGTCTGGATGACATCGCCGAGGAGGAGGGCGAAGAGACAGTTCCTGGAACTGAGGCAGAGCGCCGTGTTCAGGAGCTTCAGGAGGACCTCGAAAGACTCCAGAATCAGTTCTCCGAATACAGGCTCGCTGTGCAGAAGTCTATGGAAGACCAATTGAACAAGGAGGATGAGTCTCTTGGCGCGAGTGCTCCCGCTGGCAAGGCCTCCGGATCTAAGGCCCAGGAGGTTGACGAAGACTATTTTGCATCTTACGCTTACAACGGTATGAAAAAAAGACCATTCCCTTGTATCAAAACGCTCTTGCTGACATAATTACCTATATCAGGAATCCACGAGTCCATGCTGAAGGATGCTATTCGCACTGATGCTTACCGTGATTTCGTCTACGAGAACAAGCATCTTTTCAAGGACAAGGTTGTTCTGGATGTTGGCTGTGGAACTGGCATCTTGTCCATGTTCTGTGCCAAGGCTGGCGCAAAGAAGGTCATCTCAGTTGACAACTCAAACATCATTGACCGTGCTAAGGAGATCGTCTTCGACAATGAGTTCGGAGATGTTATCACGTATGTCCCACCTTATTATTTCCATCATGTATCTTGCTAACACTTCGATTATAGCTTGGTTCGTGGCAAGATTGAGGAGGTCACTTTGCCTGTCGACAAGGTCGACATCATCATCTCCGAATGGATGGGTTATGCCCTGCTTTTCGAGTGCATGTTTGACTCTGTCATCTACGCACGAGACCGCTACCTCGCTCCCGGTGGCTTGATGGTTCCTTCCCACGCGACCCTGCGTATTGCTCCTTACGCTGACCCAGACTTCATGGCTTCGCACATCTCTTTCTGGGAGAACGTTTATGGTTTCAAGATGACCAGCATGCTGTTGAAGATTTATGATGAAGCCCTTGTCCGTAGCATTCCGTCTTCCACTATTGCCGCAGACTCATCGATCTTCTTGCCATTGCCTCTTCACAGCATTACCGTTGATGAGCTGAGCTTCTTGAAGGAGTTCCAGGTCACTCTCAACCAAGACATCGATGCTCTCGATGGTTGGGCGATCTGGTTCGATATCTTCTTCATGCCTTCAAAGGACTCTCCCATTCCCGAAAACGCTGTTCCCGCCGACATGCAAAAGAAGGGATTCGTCGCATTCACTACCGGACCCGATGGCACCGAGACTCACTGGCAGCAGACTATTGCCTTGATTGACCACGGAAAGCACAAGGCCCAGCCTTTGAAGAAGGGCGAGGTCATTTCTGGTAAGATCGGCTACCAGAAGCGGGACCAGGAGGGCTCTCGTGGTTTGAACATCGACATTCAGTGGCAAGGTCAAACTGCCAAGGGCGACCAGAAGTGGTCCCTTCAGTAAATAGTTGCGCTTGGATATTACGAATGTTTTGAGTTATGATCGATCGCAATGAGTATTAACTGGATGGTCATTGTTGTTGTCAAAAATTGCATGGTTTATACCCATATGTTCCCCGCCCGAGTTCTTCGAAGGCAAGATGGATAGTAGGTCATTGATGAACCCCATGTCAGCCTGTTATTGCTTTTTTCGGGTGTCTTTCACTGTTGAAGTTGGTTTTGATATTCATACAAAAAGAATCTACATGCATTTACACAAGTCTGGTAACATTTCTTTACAGATTTCAATTAGTAGCGTAATATTCATGACTCGTAAATATAGGTATCAGTTCAAACAAAACAATCAGTACCTGTCCGATCGATACGGACGCCTAGTTTCATCCTCATTACGTCGATGACGATGGGAATGATCTGATGAGTGGCGCGAGCGTCGAGATGAGTGGTCTCTGTATTTTTCACGGCTCCGGTCTCGATCATGTCGATCGTGATTGCGTCGATGAGAACTTCGATGATCTCCCCGGTCTCGATCTTTATCAGCTGGGACATCAAGTTGAAACCCCTCAAGACTATCAATAGACTTTGATCTTTTCCGTCTGTGACTAGTTCTTTGCTCAGATTTCAGCATCTCAAGCTCCCTCTTCCTCTGATCGTTCCATCGCTTCCGTTCCTGCTCCGTAGCTCTTAGTTGGCGAACACCGCGCTTCATAGCTGCCAAAGGGTCATTTGCATCCATCCGAGCTTTTTCACGTTCTTTGCGCCGCGGATCCTCATTTCCCCATACATTCTTCTCCGGCATAGAGTCGGGTGCTTCTGCGGCTTGGGCTGAGGATGAATACCAAGGCTTATTTCCGATAGCTTGTTTAAAACCGGCAGCATTAGAAAAGCGCATCGTGTATTGGTCCTCGTAGCTTTTTTTGCTTTTCTCAGCGTCAGCTTCCGCCTCTTTGTTTTTCTCGCTCTTCTTGCGGGGGCCTTCCTCGGGGAAGAGGTTGATATGACCGGCGCTATCCAAGAGCGGAGCATCTGCATCCTTTTTACTTCGGTGAGGTGCGACCATCAACTTATTTCGTTCTGTTTTGGCATCTGCAGCATCCTCTCGGGCAAATCTGATGTCTCTGTCTGTATCGTCTTCTCCGGCAAGGCGTCTTCGTTTGCGAAATCCTCTATCGTCCGTTAATCTTATTTCTGGCCGACCGAGCGGCTCCGATGAAGGACGCGATGGAGGTGCTGGAGGAGGCGTAGGTATTTTCTCTCCTCGTAATATCGCGATCCTCCGTTCAGCATCAACTTCTTGCATGCGACGCTCATCTTCTTCCTCGAGGGCTTTCGCCTGTGCTTCGTCGCGTTTGACTCGAGAGACATTCTCCGGGTTGTAGACGTTCCATGACTTTTTGTCTAGAAGATGGCTAAGGAGTCAGAGTTAGCGATAACCATAAAACAGAGCTTTCTACATCACCAGAGGAAACTTACAGTGGCATTTTTAGTATGTTTTAATGATGATGGTCCAGCATGCTGTGTCACTTTGGGAGAACAGCTGGAGCTTATCGATAAGACCCCACCGCCTGACGCTATTGCGGTAGTCGGGGTGATCCCCCAGCTTGGACTTGCGGATTAACACTCTTCAAACATCTCGCAATTTCATTTATTGAGGCTGCGAGTTCTCCAGTTTACTACTTTTGACCAGGAATCCGGATTAAGCGCGCCGGTGACAAGGACTCAGATACGTCGCTGCCTGCTGTTTCAAGACAGAGTGGCGTTCCCGCCAAATTCGCCCCAATACACTTAAGATCGACAACCTTTCCCAACTGCCAGATTCAATACATTCCAAAATGTTCAATCGGAGAGATCTCCCGTCTGTTCCCAATCCATTTGCATCTCGGCAGGACCCGGGACGTCCGTCGCCACAGGGCTACTCGAACCCCAACCAAGGGCCTCCACGGTATGACTATGGCCACATCCCCAGTCCAGCGGGGCGTACTTCCGATGGCGATGTACCCATGACTGACGCATATACACATTCAAGAGGAAATCCAGCTCCTCCCCAACAAATGGGTAGATCACCGCAACCAATGCCTGGCCGCATGCCGTCCGGCGGTAGCCCGACATGGACACTCCACCCTAGCAAGAGTCCAAACGACAACTTCACCTTCGGTAACCTGTATGTGAAACGCGGTCTCGTCTAACTGGTAATGTTCGCTGACTTTCAAAAAGTGTCGCAGTATCGCCCCAGGATATCCCACCGAGCCGCGACGGTAACGATGTACTCCTCCTCATCAATGACCTTTTCGTCTTCTCCGCCCGCCCTCTGGAGGGCTTCCCACCGGGATGCATGAGCATGTCGGACCCTCAGCGGACATGGGCGAATATTGGATTGAGAGATTCCATTAAAGTGCAGCTCTACGATCCCTTTAGCCAAGGTGGTCAAGCTTACTTGGGCTCTGCGGACATTGAAGTCAGCTTCGCCTCTGTGAAGAAGCGCGTGGAAGCTCCGTATGACCAGGACGAGCTTGCAAATGCTGTTATTCGGGTAAGATCTTCTCTCTGAAGTACAATATTTGCTTATCTGGCTAGATTGAAACTCACATCATTAGAACTTCGAAAACCAACTGTTTGCCCCCGGTCAAAGGATTCTCATGGATCACAAGAGCATTCCCCTCCTGCTACAGGTTAAGACTGTCCAGCGAGTTGATCTGACATCAGAGAAGGCCGACCCTAATGCCGGAGAAGTTGAGACTGATCCTAGAGCTCGAGGAATCATCACGCGGCATACCCAGCTCAACTTTTTCAAGGACTCTGCTACTGGTATCAATGTCAAAGCGTCTAATCGCCGCCCTGCTGCGAACTCCATCATTCAGCCAGGCTTTAAGTTTGAGGATATGGGAATTGGTGGTCTGGACTCTGAGTTTAGCACCATTTTCCGTCGTGCCTTTGCATCTCGCATCTTCCCTCCGGGTTTGGTCGACAAACTTGGCATTCAGCACGTCAAGGGTCTCTTACTGTATGGACCTCCAGGTACTGGTAAAACTTTGATTGCTCGACAGATCGGTAAAATGCTCAATGCGCGAGAGCCGAAGATTATCAATGGTCCTGAAGTTTTGAACAAGTATGTTGGTCAGTCTGAAGAGAACATCCGTAAGATGTTCGCGGACGCCGAGAAGGAATACAAAGAGAAGGGTGATGAGAGTGGCCTCCATATCATCATTTTCGATGAGTTGGATGCTGTTTGCAAGCAGCGTGGCAGTGGGGCTGGCGGCGGTGGTACCGGCGTTGGCGACAGTGTTGTCAACCAGCTGCTGTCTAAACTGGATGGTGTTGACCAGCTTAATAACATTCTGTTGATCGGAATGACTAACCGAATGGATATGATCGATGAGGCTCTGCTGCGTCCTGGTCGTCTGGAAGTTCACATTGAGATCTCTCTTCCAGATGAGCAGGGCCGAAGCCAAATCCTCAAGATTCACACCGAGAAAATGCGCACCAATAACGTGTTGGACTCAGATGTTGACCTGCCCGAGCTTGCACACTTGACCAAGAACTTTTCAGGTGCTGAAATTGCCGGTCTGGTCAAGTCTGCTTCCTCCTTCGCTTTCTCTCGCCATGTCAAGGTTGGCACCATGGCCAGCATCAATGATGACGTTGTGAACATGAAGGTCAACCGGGGCGACTTCCACCATGCACTGACCGAAGTGAAGCCTGCATTTGGTGTTTCAGAAGAAGAGCTCTCCAGTCGCCTTCAGTATGGTGTCATCCACTACTCTGAAACCATCAATGAGATCCTGCGGGAAGGAGAGCTATTTGTTAAGCAAGTTGGTCAGGCCGAGTCTACTCCTCTCTTCTCTGTCTTGCTTCACGGTCCCACTGCCAGTGGTAAGACAGCTCTTGCCGCACGCATCGCCATTGATTCCGGATTCCCCTTTATCAAACTTATTAGCCCGGAGGACATGGTTGGCTTCAGCGAACCGGCCAAGATTCAACATATCAGCCGAATCTTCGACAGTGCCTACAAGTCGAATACCAGTATCGTTGTCGTTGACAACATTGAGCGTATCATCGACTGGGTGCCTATCGGTCCCCGGTTTAGCAACAGTGTCCTGCAGGCACTTATGGTCTTCCTCCGGAAGCCACCCACTCATGGGCGTCGCTTGTTGATTCTGGCTACAACAACCGAGCGTGCTTTGATGAAGCAATTGGATATCTACAACTCATTCAACTCGGATATTTTCGTTCCTAACGTTAAGTCATTTGGTGAGCTGCGCTTCGTTATGGAAAAGTCTGGTGCCTTTGATGCCCAGGAAATTGCTCGTGCTCTCGAAGGAGTCGGTGGCTTGGCAGATGATGGCCGTGTCAATGTTGGTATTAAGAAGGTTCTTCTGGGAATTGAGACTGCCAAGCAGGACTCTGACAAGGTCGGCCGGTTTGTTCGTGTCATTAACCGGGCCATTGAGGAGGAACGGTCATTCTCTTAAATGGAAGTACATAGATAGAAGACTTGGCTCAGTAGCCAGATAATGATGACTGTGCTTTACTTGTGCCAATTGGTCTATGCTTTAAATTGATGAGTTGTATTGTTCCTGCATGTCAGCATTGGATGAATATTGAACCCGAGCTTTGATCATATGATGTCTTAATCATTCCAAGATTGTCACCTGCCCAGGCGGCTCCTATCAGTCCCATCCATAGCTTCTTATAATACAACCCACATGCATTGCTGGTACAACTTTGGTCTCCCAAAGTTTCCTTTTTGGGCTCTGTCTATCGGGACATATGTATCATCTGGCACAAGTTCAACGAACATAATTCCCCCGTTCAAACTGTAGATTGAGGATTAATCAGATAGGAGTATCCGTCCAAATAGTGCAGTCATACTTCAAACCAATATTCCCAGCTTGAAGACAAAACCGTGACTTTCATACCAGTCAAATACTAGTACATTTACTTTGCTAGCTCTACTGATGAACTCGCATCTACCTCGGAATGAATTTCCTACTCCAGCATGCAGGAACGCGTGTGCATAAGTTGGACTTGGAAGCCCCAAAGATAGAACCCTATCAGGCCTGACCTCTCTGTTTTCGATCATGCAGATGGATACTAAAATACAATTTACGGCCTATAATCCACATGCACTCTCGCTTCAGCCTACTGCTTCTAGGGCTCACTATGAACGAAATAGGAAATCCTTAATTACTGTAATACATGGAAGCCCTACATCCACGCTCACTGAATGGCCACAATGCCCCAGTCATACGGTATAAGAAGTAAAATAGAGTATCATTATGAACACCTACGCCAGTAGAGCCCTAAGACAAGAAAATACGTAACAAATCGAGGCTATACACGCACAAAACAAACCAAGCACTAGCACTATACACGTGAACAATCGCCAACCGTCCCAAAAAAGAAAATAAAAAAGCAAATTAGGCCGTCCCAAGATCCCAATCCCCCGATTTTATCCGAAGTCATCATATCGTCGTTAGAATAAGCAGTAAAAAACAAGGTATTCCCTCCAAAACGGGTCAAATCCCAGTTGGTACCGAATCAGTAGTCGTCATAAGTGTACTTCTTAGATGCCCGACGGTATTCATCTGGGTGGGCCTTCTCAGCCTTAGACTTCAGGGCACTATGAAAGGTGGGAAATTCGTCAGCACTTCTAGAATCTCGGGAAATTCGATGCAGGAACCACTTTGCGGCGCTAGCCTAGCCTCTGCTGCCCCCGTCGATCCCTGACGCACGTGCCAAGATCTGTTCCCGGCGGAGCGGAGGCTATAACAATCTAGCAAACCCCCCCCCCTGTTCGCGCGGAGCGGGGCGGAATTTCCACAACGTCCATTCCGGACTGCGAAAGGGGTTTTTTGAGTCTTTGCATTCCTGCGTGGCTCCCAGTCGTGAGGAATTGGTATTTATGCTTACCTGACGCGCTTCTGAGTCCATTCCAGATCCCGTTTGGTTTCTCGGGCGGTTTTTAGTCCTTCGTTGTAACTCGCTCGCAGGCCCTTCATACGTCGTTGAGCCATTGCTTGCAGCTCTAGCAGTTCCTGTTGCTTTGCGTGCAGCTGGCCGGAGCTAGTTTTTGAGGCTCGTTAGCTTAAAATACTTTAATTTGATCGCTGTGGGGGGAAGGTTGCGGGATCGCCCGCGATTTTCTTTTTTTCTTGCGCGATTGCGCGATTGCGCGGCTGTTTTTTGAGAAATGGGAGCTACTCACGTTTGTGCCTGGCTTGCCAGACTCTTGTCTAGTGGTGTTGGGTCAAATGCGTTTTGCATGCGGTCGCTCAAGACGTCGACGACATCAACGCCGGAGTGTGATGCTGAGCTGGATTCGTAATCGCCGCCAGCGGAGCTGAATGTCAATCCGCCAGAAGAGCGGCTGCCGGCAATGGTGCTAGCATCAGAATAGTCTGGTGGCGAGCCTGGGACTCGGGAAACATGGTACATGCTTGCTGGTGCCGGTGCCTTGGATGGCATGTTCATGGGCACAGCGGAGGGCTGGTAGTATTGACGGTGGTGAGTAGCCATTATGATGAATGGATTGAAATAAAGATGATTTGAATGATGATGAGGACTTGTTAAGTCAAGATGAAGATGAATCAAAAGGTAATATACTTCTAGAAGAAGTGTGATGGAGCAATATCAAAACGGGAAGGACCCAAGAGACTTAGGGTTGTTGCAATGTGAGACAGCTCGGAGAGATGGAAAAGGAAGAAGAAGAAGAACCAGGACCACCCGACCAAACGAGGGAATTTATAGACTTCGACGGAGAGTCTTCCCTCCAGCGGGGGTCCCTCGTCGTGACGAGGAGGCAAGGTAAGAAGGCAAGGTAAGGATGAGACGGACAGTAGCCATTGGACCAAACGAGAGACTAGGACTCACACCCCTCCTGTGTATCTCCCAATCCCCGAGCTTCGGCTGCACTTACTTCTCCGTATCTGCCCGCCGATTCGTCTCTTGGAACGCCCTGACCCCGCTCCGGGTGGAAATCGAGTGTGTCTGGGCCAGGACGCCATTCCCGTCCAAGGTTTCCGCTCTCCCGTGGCGGTTTTTTCCCAGGATCATCGCCCTAAATCTACGTATCCCTCCGGAATGGTGTGATCCTCCTTTTTGGGTCCGAGCGGATCCATTGGAGAATCTCAAATTCAGATGAAACAAGAAAAGAAATTGCGCTTTAAGTGGGGGATGATGGAGGGTGTTGGGCCCATACGGTTGAAGTGGAGTGGAGGGGACAGCGAAGTATAAAAATGGACATGATTCCCTTCTGACCTCTTCTTTCTTTTGTTTTTTCGCCCTTTCCAACTTTTCCCCCACTTTCCTTTCAATCCAATTTCGTTTTCTTATCTTTTATACCCCTCATTAACGGCTCTGGCTTTCGAAATTCGGTGGCTGGGAAAGGTGGATGGCTCAAGGATCGAGGTTGATTCGCTGGTCGATCGAGGTGCCGAAACGATATGGGAACTACACGAAGAACCGGTATGACACAGCTAATCGGCCCCAAAAATTATCTCCTACCCTGATGGTCCCTTTAGTCTGAATCGGGACACTAATTCTGTTTTAGTTAGCATTGCCTTGTCATTTCCGCGTGATGGACACCTAGAAAGGGATCGATTTTGTCCCTATGTTGGTGTCATCATGGGAGTAAAGATCCGCGGCTTTTTTCTCGGGACTTCTTCCGAGTTTCATCTGCTTTCTGTGCCGAAAAGAGAAAGGGAAGAGGAATCTGATGTCTCACTGCCTGACATCATTTAGACCTCAAGTACCCAAAACTCAAAAATGCAGGTAGCTCCAGGCATCAAGAGCATGGCAGCATGGTCACACGGAATGAAGATCTATAATATGTTGGACATCACTGCATGGCCCGACGAACCGTGGAGAAACCGGCAATGCCTCTCTAGGCTCCCAGACTACGGCCCCCCCATGTCTTCAGGCGCAAAAGGTTGCGAACCAGAGTCACCCTGGGAGCCAAGTGCAAAAAATAGGTGACTGTGTGACCAGGATGTGATGAGCCCAAATCATCAAACCTTCAAGGACACAAAAAATGGGGTAAAAAGATTCTTTCGACAGGCCGATCCCTGCCTCCCCGTTTGGCCGCCTGGATGCGGCTAATGCTGGCTCCAGGAGGCACGGAAAAGTCTCTGCACCAGCTATCAAGCTAAGAACGCAAGGAATAACGAGCACTTGACACAAGCGCACTAGACGCCGTAGGAATGGCATCTCCCCACTTCTCAATGCACAATGTTCAATGACTTGCTTGGTTTCTCGGGCCATACGAAAAGACCGCCTCTTCCGGCCGGTAACGCAATTCTAGAAAAACCACTTGGCGGTAGCTTGTCATCATTGGTTCTGATCTATTGCTGACATGAAAAGTAAATAGGCTTCAAGGGTTGAAACTAAGAGCCCAAAAATTCAAAAAAAAAAAGTCGAGACATGCAAGAAAATTAAATTCAAATCCACTTTGCCTCAGAAGCATTCTACACAAGGCATCCAATTTGAAGATACCCAATACTCTTGGACCTTATACAATGACAATCACTCTTGGTACAATGTACAAACTCAGGCAGCACGCTGCTGCGCCCTAGCCCGTGGTTCTATCTGCATGCCTTGCAGCCTGACGAAGACCAATATGCCCCGTTGACACGCATCCTGCCACCGAATTACACTGTGCCACCACCCTCCTCTATTTTTATTTTCTATGATTGTTCCTCTATTCATTGTCCACGTTTCCTTGATCGATTCCAAAAAGATAAAAAACTTGGAGAAGGAAAATAATAATAAGAATAAAAAAAAGATAATTAACCAAGTCCGAGAAAGCCTCGCAGGGATACTACACCCAACAGGCTTCTTCCACGCCCAATATCTGCCATATTACTTTACATCCTTTCATCCAGACTAGAACATCGGGCAGCACAATCATGACGCGCAGTGTACGCCAAACAGATCCATGAGCAATGAGATACCATTCTCCAGTCCACACATCGTCATAGCCCCAGGTGTTCCGTCCATTCACACAAGAGCTAACATTTGAATTCGCCCCTCCCTGAGCCTCGCTAGGGCCCGGTAAATCTCGAAGACCAGGTTATGTGGACTTTCTAGATGAGCCAGTTAAGAAGAATGGAACTACCAACAGTTCAACTCTCTTCACTGTTTACTGCACCCTGCACCCTGTACCCTGTCAAATTGACAACTTGACAACTAACAGAGTTGCATGCGTTGCACGAGCCCGTAGGTTTGGACCGAGGGATTCGAGAGTCCAGACAAGATGTTCTCTTTTTTCCCCACTCACATTTATTGTTTAGTTCATATTCCCCTCCAGTTTCTCAGCCCATCAATCGCGACCACGTCTGCTGTGGTTTTTGTGGTCTATTTACCTCATTTACTAACCCAATTCCTGGACCATGTACATTCATATGTTCTATATTAACCTTTGATTAGAAAGAACTCCAACACACTACAAGTCATTACTATGATCTTCTTGATCACCATTTATTTTCACTCAGATGGGAATAAGTGAGACTCTTGAGAGTGGCGTTGAGGCGGGGATTTTTTTTTCTCTTATTCCTTCACCGCCACATGCAACAACATGACTGGACGATTGTTGTGGACAACTCATCTTGCTTTCCACTTTTAGGAATTCCGTTTTTATTTGATTTATTTTATTCTATTTTTTTTTCTTGATTTTTGATTTTCTTGATCTCTGTTCTTCTCGGTATCTGCTATTTCACATACACTAGCCAACTAGTCAACTGCAGTCTGCGTGTCAGTACTCTAGAAGCCAGGGTTCTTATTGGTATCATTCCTTTTGGGTACTCACGGTAGATTTTGACTATGAACTAATGCAGAACAGAATGAAAAAATTCATGGTTTCATGATTTCATTCATTATTCCATTCATTGTTTCTCTCTAATCTTCTGGAGATATGATAATACATTGATTATACCTTGAATCAGACTTTTGGTTTAACTAGTACTACTCCCCGATTGGCTCATAGAATCCGAATCATTATCTAAGAAAAGATGGATAAGTAGATGAACATTTGAATGGACGTTTGATCATTTAACTCGTCCTAGTAGATCCATTATGACATTTAAAGGTAATAGTCAGAACTGGAATCATAGTCTATTCTCATATAAGACATGCAAGGCATGTCACTTGAACCTTCTCCCTGTACGTTTCAGGCTTCCTGCGTTTGTATTTACGTTTTCCCCCTTGATTCCTAGTTTGTCGTGGCGATTATTCGCAGTTCACGTATTTCCTTGACCTATCAGATAGGATCTTTGGGTTCCGTGACATATTGAAACCTTAGATGTGACTACTATATCTACTAGGGTGTAAGTGTGACCAGTCTTGATTGATTGAGTCTCGTCCCAACTTAGAGGAATGATTAGATTCAGGATGAATTTGCAGACTTGGGACATGTGAGTTCAAGGGGGACCGTGACGCTTTGTTGATTCATATTTGCACATAGTACCTACCAGTACTACGAATTGGTCTACTAGTCTCTGGGTGTACAGTATAGAGTGGAGCTTCTTAGAGGGAGCAAACACTGGCATCTAGTATTAGTTGAGATAGATAGTGATAATGTGTTGATTATAGCTCCTCAATCTCAATAAGACCCAGCTAAAAAAGAAAAGGGCATAATGTAAGATTATTGACAAATACAGTCAGTGAGTTTAGTCCACAGGTGTCGTTAATGCGCTCGTAATCTGGTATCTGGTATCACAGGGAAAAAGAGAAAAGGAAACATAAACCAATGGGGAACTATGACCAAAGCTGACGCCATATTTCCAGCCCAGAGGTCGAAAGAAAAAAAACCCAGCCGAAAACCTACACTGAGAAAGTGTAGATCTAGTCAGGGGGTGAAATGAGAAACAGGAAAATTCAAGAATACAAAACCCAGCCCATCCATAAGAGTGCTGTGAAGATGCAGCAGTGGCTCGATGGCCCAATGCAAGATAGATGCAATGCTTATAAGTCTCAGGTAAACCCGAACGAGATGATGCAATGTGACCGGAAGCCAGGAGTGTACCAAATTTACTGGCACCGTAAGATGGAAAAGAAATAACGCCTGTTGTCTGAAATCCCAGTCCCCAATCCCCAAACCTCTTCCGTATTGCCATGTAGAACAAAAAGAAAGCGTAAGTAAAATAAGAAAATCACCGCTTGCACCATAAGCCGGAAGACCGCTAACCAGAAACCCGAACCATGAACCCGCTCGATCGTGTGCTGAGTTGTAAAACGAAAAACAAAAACTGGCTGAAAAACGAGGATTTGATAACATCATGTCATAGAACGAGTAAAATCCCAATCTTAAAAAAACCATATGCAAGAGGGGCGCATCATGTCAGGCATCTGAGCGTAGGCTTAGCTCTAATGCTAGCGGCGGCTAGTAATTTGAGGGTTTCCAGGGTGAAGACGATCGCGAAGAAGAAGAAGAGGTTGATGGTTGTCAAGAAGACCCATCATCATCTTTCCCAATTCGTTGTGTTTGATAGGTTTCGTGACATAGTCATTGAAGCCTGCACGTGCAGCATCCTCGATTTGATCCGTCATCGCATTGGCTGAGAGAGCCATGATGGGAATTTGAGGGTAGTGATTTTTCAACTCCCAGGCACGTATGTCTCGACAAGTGTCATATCCGTTCTTGATGGGCATTTGAATATCACACTGTGGCCTATTAGTTGGATGTCTTCGATGAGGGGAAAATCAAACTTACAATAATGAGGGAGTAATAACCAGGTTCTTTGGAAAACACCCTATCAAGAGCCTCTTGGCCATTGGATGCAGTGTCGGACATCAGCTTGATCTTGTCAAGATATTTCAGCATGACCTGAACGAAAACATTAGCGAACGAGCACAATGAATAATACTGAAAAGAACGTTGAAACGGAAGACATACATCACGATTAGTCTCATCATCTTCCACAAGCAAGATGCGGTACCCTTTGTTGCCCAAAACTTCCTTGACCATTTTGGAGACAGTCTTGAAATTGTTGTTGATCTCGCGAGCCATGTCCTGATTGCGATCTTTGCTGAGTTCGCGCTTACTGTCGGGGTCGAAAATTATTGAAAAGGCAGAGGGTTTGACAGGCTTCGGCACAATGAACACCTTCTTCCCCGATGCTGCCAGCTCCTTGACGCGTGTGCTGATCTGGCGCTTCTGATACAAGTCTGAGATGATGACAATCACGGGCGCCGTACTTGAGTCAGATTCCGATACGTGTTGAATCACGTCTAGAATCTCATCCGTGGCTGGCAAATTGAGCACCAGATGGGTGCACTGCGCGTTGGATCCTGGTTGAATCAAGTCCTTCCATTCATCAACGTCAGGCAGAGTCGTGATCTTGAATGGAATCTCGTGCGGAACAACTTGCTCAATATGCTGCTTCGTAGCCCTGCGGGTATTGTCAAGTGGGCACAATATGAAGATGGACAGAGGCCCCTGTGGAGACCCTGCTGAACCAGTCGGCGTTGGTGCAGAAGTGTCATCCGATGGCGGCGGGACAAATCTGACCGGATTCTGCGATACGATCCCGTAAGATGTCTCTGGAATTGCCTGTGGGCGAGCGGTGACACTTGGACTACGCTCAATCTTTCGGATATCCAGTGGCGGTATTTGCGCAGTCGTAATATCCGGGGTTGGGAGAGCAGAGGAGGGCACAGACGGAGTGTTTAACGTCTTCGCCTCCGAGCCAGTTGCAGAGCTACTGAAGGTAGGAGAGTGTGACGCGGAGGCTGGAGAGTCCAAGCCCGGAGAAAGAAGTGCAGTGTCCTGCAGCTTTGGGTCAAAACCACGTGACGGCCACAGTGAGTATTGGTCGTATGAAGTTGTTCTCGATGCCGTTGGTCTTCTAGACGCAGTGGAAGCTTGACGAAGGAGGTTGGGTCTTTCGGATGGAGACGGCGGAGGGGGAGCATCGACCTTTACATTAAAGGAAAATTTGGCTCCTTTGCCCTCCATACTACTGGGGGTAAGCTTGCCACCATGCATCTCAACAAGCTGCTTCGACAAGAACAGACCCAGACCACTGCCCGCATTTTGCTGTGACCCGTTCTCACCCAATTGACTGAATCGTTGCATAAGCCGCGCCGCATCTACTGCGCTGAATCCTTTGCCTGTATCAACAACATCGAAATTGAGGAAAACTTCAGAAATCTTGATATTGGCATTTTCGTCGTGAAGAAGGTTGCAAGAGATATGGATTTCGCCATGCGGAGTGAACTTGACAGCATTACCGACAAGATTGATGAGGACCTGACGAATTCGGAAACGATCGCCAATTACCATCGATGGCACATCTGCAGCCATGACATAGTTTATCTCCAGACCTTTATCGATGGCTCGGGAAGCAATGGTATCAATCACGTCCTCGATCATGGACCGGACATGGAACCAGGAGTTCACCAGCGACATCTTACCAGCCTCAACACGAGAGACGTCTAGAATGTTATCCACAAGTTCTCGGAGGTTTGTAGAACTATTTTGGATGGTATCAAGCATTCGTCTCTGGTCACTATCAAGTTGAGTGTCCAGAATGAACGGAATTGTACCGAGAATTCCGTTGAGAGGTGTTCTGATCTCGTGCGACATATTGCTGAAAAACTTGGTCTTGGATTCCATTTGGTTGTTGAGTTGACTCATTGCTTTGTTGAGCTCCCTCTCAAGATTCTTGCGGTCATTGATATCAGTGCAAGTGCCGTACCAAGATGCCTCTTCGCTACCAAAGCTGCTCGTATGAACACGAACCAAACGAACCAGATGCCATCGGAAGTCCCCTCCACGAGAGCGAAGGCGGATCTCAGTAGAGTAGAAGACGCGACCATTCTCGTCCTTCTGCAAAGAGGCAACGCCACGTCTCACAAGTTCGTCCAATGCAGATGAAACGCCATGAATTTCCGATGAAATTATTCTGCTCCCTGCATCCATAGATTTGCCCAACTCGACATTTCCATTTGGATGGTGGTTCGTTGCTGCAGAAAGACCACCGCATTTCTCCAGGTCGTCTGGATGAACATGTTTAGCGAAACCGAGGTCGAGGGCCTCTCCAAGCTCTTGGCCTGTGTACAAATTCCACTGTTCGTTGACGAAAATCAAACCTCGATTCTCTGTTGCCTCAAACACAACTTGAGGAATCGAGTTTGAGAACGCGCGATACTTGGCATCGGTGGCAAATTTCTCTCTCTCCTGAGTTGCCTTCAGCTCAGCAATATGCTGCTCATGAATGTCAAGGAAAGATCCAATCCAGTAAAGTACTTCTCCCGTTGCAGAGAGAAGCGGGTTAGCTCGAAAGATGAACCAGCGATAGGCAGTCTCATCATTGAATCTTTTCACGCGCACTCTTTCCGTAAACTGAGAGCCGGTTCGTAAAGCATTTTCCCACTCGCTCGAAACATGATCCCGCTCGCTGCTGTGAATATTCTGCCAAGGATCTCGCAGCTTTTGCTCGTGGGGCTTGCTTCTCCTGTATGCATCAAACTTGGCGTTGGTCCAGATGACTTCACCACTCTGGGGTTTGGCAAGGAAAAGATGTAGAGGAATAGAATTAAGCATTAATTGGGCGATGGTATCGGAAAACGGACGAGGTAACTCCCGTTGGAGTTGCGCATAAAATGAGTTCGTAGATGCTTGGCGCGATGACGGTTGAGTTGGGGAGACGATAGAGGGAGGCCTCATCTCTTGGAATGGGGATGCAGTAATGAGGGTTGGGTCTTGGAAACTGCTCTCTTCATTTTTGGGTACGTTGCCAGTTAATTTCCCAGGTGAGGGCGGGTTCGATGCGACAACCTTTGCCTTGGATTTGGCAAGCCGGGGACGATACTGCGGTCCGTTATCGCGGGAATACTTTGAATTCTGAGCTGGAAAATAACTGTCCGTATTGTCTCGTCCCGTTACTGCTGGAGAAAGAGTTGCTGAAGCGAGTCCAATATGTTGACCATATTCGAAGCCAGGGGTTCCGAAATTTGATATGGCTGGACTGAACTTTGTGGATGAACGATCACTTGGGCTGGTGACACTAGCGCGAGCGGACATAGAACTTTCGTCACCCACAGAGTAGCTGACATGGCCGCTTAGGCCTGCAACGAGTTCCAGCTCGCTGCTTGCATCAGAGAACGTACCACCGAGTCCAAGTAGATGACCGTAACGCGGGATTTCAACCTTCGACATCAGTTGGCGCTCAAGTTGGCTGTATTGTTGGGCCAGGCAAAATGAGTTTGTTAAATGGGGCATGAGACTTGCAAGAGACTTGCGGAGATTCGGCGGATATGGTACAATTGCGGACAGCAATGAGACAACAGCCACCGGGAACCTCAGAGTCGATGGAGAAGCTTGGTTGGATTGACCTCGGTGTAGAAGAGGCAAGTGAATGATTGTCTTGGACTGATCTATGCCAATGGCCTCCAATGGATGTGTGTTAGAATAATCATGTGAGGGTGGATTCTTCTCAAACGCGCTTTCATCAACTGCATGGCTCAGGAAAAAGGGATTTTGGTCGGGATTTGTTCGGGGTGCCGGTGAGGGTGCAGGGGATTGAGACCAAGGTGATTGCGGAACCTGCTCATATTCATCATACGACCGGAACCCGAAGGGCGCAAGATTTCCAGAGGATTCCTGCTGCGCAGGATCCCCTGAGGAGTAGGCGGGTGCATGTGGTGCCTCGCTACCCGGGGTGATCTGAACTGTATCTAGCGGACTCTGGGCTGGCCTTTTTAGAATCTGGGCCGAGTTCTCAGAATACTCACGCGTAAGAATAACAGGAGTTGTCCGGCCGAAAAGCTTTACTACACCTGCCCGCTTGATGAGCGGATCTGGCTCTATCTCAAGTGGTCTTGTCAATGGAAACACTGCTTGTCGGAGACATTCTGTCGATCCTCTGGCGAATTCATTGGCTCCAGGTTGAGTTTTGGCAGAATTCTGGGTGGTTGAAGAGAGCTTGACCTCTGTAGGGCCCGATTTACCCGCGATTCGAGCATGCCTCTTCTCCGACTTGATGCTATTTGTCTTTGACAGCTGGTGATTTCGGTCGAGATCTGTCGTCTGCTTTTTACCATAGCCAAATCCTGCAAAAGAGTGACGTGATGAGAGTGGTGGTCGCATTGAGGCGTTCCCTGCATGTTTCAAGTTGGAGGCCACAGGTTCATCTCCCTTGTACCCCGCTTCATTGCTATATGTTCGTGCAATTGGGGTTTCAGGTGGCGCATCACCGTCATTATCATTTTCATCGCGGGTGCGCGGCATGGGGGGGTTTCGCGAGTCTTCCGCCGGCGCACTGCCATATTGGTTGAAAACCGCCTTTTGACCCCATGGTACATTCTCAAGATCTGTCGCATCTCCAGGAAGGGCAAGTGATACACGTTCGGCCCCATAGTTGCTTTGCATAATATCAATCAGGTTCGACCACCACGCTTCTAAACCGGCATCCGCATTCAGCTTCAGCGTCAAATCGCACAGATCAGGGTTTGGGAATTCAGAGTTGTCAGGTGTCGCATTGTTGTCGGATTGGAAAAGGCCTTGCGGTAAAGTCGAAGGCTGAACCGAGGCTTGCTTCTGCTCTGGGGATTGAGATCTCGAATTTGACTTCTGTGGAAGTTTCAATCGGAATTGATTCCGATGCCCCGCTTCCTCCAATTGAGATTGAGCCGATTTCTGTACCCTGGGGAACGGATAGGAAGGTGTTTGATCCATGGTCTGGCCTGTGGAATCGGGTTCGGCAGCTTTAATAGTTCCTCCAGAGCCAACGGAGCCGGAGGATGGGTGAATGATCGTGGATGGAAGGTCTGTGACAGATGTGTTGGATAAACGTCGTTTTCGGGGAGTATCATTCAAGCTCTTGGAGACCTGAGCGGGAGGGGCCTGTTGTTGCTGCATTTGTTGGTATACTAACAACTCTTCCATCTGTCTCCGCAGTTCCTTCAAGGTTTGTGAGCGCCGACCCTGATCCTCTTGCGGCTCGTTTACCGATCGCGTGTCCTCGGTAATCGGAGTCAAACCAGTGACCTGCTCAGCGGAATCCCCACGCGAAAAACGAGGCTGGCGGGCTGTCGTTTTCGTCAAGCCGTCTACTCCAAGCAACAAGCCATCCTTCGATCGCTCAATGGGATCCTGGTCTGGGGGAAGATATTTCGGCGACCGCGGGGGTTGTACGTGAGGAGGCTGTGACACGGCAACGGACGACACTGTCTCTGTAGGTGATGGGAATGGCGAGTTTTTTCTGCTGTGCACGTCCCCCATTCTCTTCACTCCACCAGAACAAATCAAAACTCCTGAGCGACGACGACAGCGCAGGAGTAAGGTGAGGCGATCATTTCTCGGCCACAATGGTCCGTTTAACAAAGTCGTGGGGTGGGTACCGAAGACGGGTTCACAGTGTCGACTTAATGAAACGAACTACCAAACACCAAAGAAGAAATGGGAAAGAAAAAAATTAGGGGAAAAAAAGTCAATAACTGGACCAATTTTGAATACTGGATGAGAGTGTAGAGGTAAGATGAATAAGCGACAGGCGGTGTATAGGCCGTCCAGGCCAACGAGGTTGTTTGTGGGTGAAGCCGGGAAGGGTCAACGAGTCAAGGTTGTTGTGTGGGTGTGGTTTGAGGGGGGGATGATCGGGATCGAGGGAACCAGACAAGAGTGACTCTTGGGAAACTGGCGTCAGTACCCGCCAGGCCATTGCTTGGATCGACCTAGGAGTGGATGAAGGAGGCAAAAAAGTGGATTCAACATGATGGTTGGTCTATGGGGTATGACGTAGTTTGGCCCTGGTCCTGGCGCAGAAAAAAAAATAAGGAGGATTCAAAAGAACCTGATCATACTTCATTCTAATGCATGGACTATCTTGAATATATGGCTACTATTACTCTATATGATCTGATATGAATATAATCTTGGAAGAAGTATACAAGATGTGATGTTGATGTTGATGTTTGCACATGATGCATTTGCCTACTAATTTGAAGTCAGATGACCTCTGACGACACCTCATACATAGAAGGTCTGAGGTCTGAGTACTACGTACCTGATACAGGTGCATACTCCGTCCACGGGTACTCCCTCTGAATCTCTCTGAAGACTACAGTACGGATTATGGGTTTAATACAGGGGAGAACAGGGATTTGCTTTCTCCGTCTTTGTGAAAATTCCAACTTTTCGGTCTCTTTTTATCTCTTTTTCATCCAAATTATCGGAACTATATTAATGGTCATAGCTTTAGTCTATCATCCCATGTGGTTGCTAGGTGATGAATTATTCAATCTTTCTGAGATTATCGCTTATACCGCTACTCCATAGTTCGACTTTGTGGATTTCCACGTCATTTGACCCTCAGGTCAATGCGGCAATGAGAGTACTCTGTACGGAGTGAGGAGTGCAATGACCATCCAAAGGCTACCTGCATGGAACATCTGGGCATTCAAGTCCTGGAATGTTAAGAACTCGCTATGGTCTAGACCCTCGTTGACATCCCAGGGCGTTAATGAGAAATGAGGACAAAATGGGTCGATCATTATCACCAGCCTTCGGCACGATGATGCAAGTGGTAAACCCAAGGGCGCATTAGCGGTGTTTCTAGAAAACGCCTAAACTCTGGGGGAGTCACCGGAGAACGTGAAAAAAAAAATCTAAATTAAATTAAAAAATAATATAAAATAAACAGCCCTTCAAAAACAAGCTAGGAACAATTGATAGGCTAGAAAGGAAAGGAGACTAGAGAGTTAGGTTTTGAATAGGCGAGTTCTTCTCCCATTGAAATGAGACGATCGACCTGATGTGGCGCTTCGCGTCCACTGTGAACCCGCTTTCCCCCCTTTCGGAATGGAGTCGAACGGTCGCTTGGCTGAGGACACGAGTGAAATCCGAGCCCCAGTTTGAAGCCCCTTTTTTCTTTTTTGACACTCTGACGATCACCGCTGATAGTGTTTCTGACCTGTCGTCATTGAGCATATGTGCTATGTTTAGCTGCACTACGGAGTACTAATAGCAAACTCCGAGCTGGAAGAGACGGGAGACCTGAAGAGGTGACTCGGATCAGGTCTAACCTATTGGGAGGCATATTTTCTTCGGGAGAAAAGGAAGATAATATTCTAGACTGTAGATAGAAAAGCCACCTCCGGGGCCGCAAAACACCCGTAGTGCCCGAAAGGATGCCCAGTGCAGCGCCAGTGATTGAAATGTGGAATCCCTTTGGCTGGCGTGAAGAATAATTTGCGACAAGCGTGGGCGAATTCTGCACCTAAATGGCATTAAGGCTGATCGGCTTGGTTGGGATTGGTTAACGGGGATATAGTCGCATCGATGGGGCAGCACTAAATCCAGTCAGACGGTTCAAGTTTGGCCCGAGTCCTCTCGGAGTAAGACCATGGGGGCCATGGAGTCTTTTCCGAGCCCATTCAAATAATCCATACGTGGATGATGTTCAAGTTGGCAGTAGATACCAGTAGTTATGTATTGTTCAGGAGTGTAAGAACCTCCAAGGTTCTGGTTCGGCCCGGGGGGTTGAACTTGAACATTTGAAGGTTGGAACTTTCACTGGCACCGTGACTGGCAGTATTGTAGTAGGCCACCTCCAGGGCTACCAGGGGCACTAGTGCTAGCTAGTACAAACTTGAATTCACGTTGAGTCTTAGATCATTCGATCCCCGGAATATCCGATACTTACACCCGCACATCCATGTGGGAATACAGAGTACATCCAATGGAGAATATTCTAATTTCAGAATGGCTTACAAAATTCAGAGCTCGGAGAATTTCCAGGGTAAGTGATTAATAGATCTCGTATTAACACATGGCTCACTGGAAGGCTTCAAGTTTGCATTCAGCTTTAAGTTAAGCTCATACATCATACTATAAATCTTTCCATACATCCATATACTATCATGGCAGTAGATATAAACCTCAGGCTTCAAGTTGGAATGCCAATGGACATAGCAGCACATGACATCTAGAATACTACTAGGTAGTACCTAGGCAGTACTAGTACCATGCCTGGGTGCCTAGGTGCCAGTGTAGTAGTAGTAGCCCTTACCGCCCAAGCGGGACAGGACTCTGGGTGGAGTGCTCAAGTGCCGGTGCCAACTTGAACCTTGGAATGTTTTAACTTGAAGGTTTTGTCCATGTGGGTCTATCCATCTCACCCAAATCATCAGAGCTTGAGTGCTTCCAAGGTTGAATGTACATAAGTATAAAAATTCAACTTTTGTCATCCGATTTGAAGTTCCAATATGAAAATGGCCCCAGATGCCTGCATGGTTGGTGCATATGAGGGAACTGAAGGAACGTGGGGTTGCGTGTACTAGTAGGTACTTTCAATGTAACCTCCAGGGTCGAATCCTTCAAATGATGATCAGGGTAGCTGTAGTTAATTGATATGTGAGAAACTTTGGAAGTAGTTTGTTATGCTTGCCATTTGAGTAGTATGTTTGAACCTACTATACCCAATCAGAGATTGAGATTTGGATGAGATATGTTCTATGTATGCAGTATGTAACTCGGATGCATCCGCCGATCTATACTTAACATGACTAAGCATGCACATTGACGCTAACAAAGCCACTTGGAGATTTGAATTTGGTCTTGGTGGACACTCTAGAGCTATTAAATGGATGTTTTGCTTTTTCTCGGTGATGCAATAAATCTTGAAAGCTCGATTTAAGAGAGCCGAACTATTCACATCTGCATATTATCTACTGTATCAGCTGAGTACTATCACAGGATTCACAGCCCTATGACCTGACTTGGATGTTCACGGGTATACATTGTCCACGTAAAATAGATAATCCGAAAGTGTCCCACTCGAAAGAATTAAGCACGCGCGGGCCGTTTTGGGGCCTTCTAGGTCATTTTGTACCAGTGAAAGCACTGTTATCTCCTCTTGTGATCCTTATTGCAGGTGCCGGGACCTGTTGACCCCCCCCTACGAACCCTTGCGACGGAGCCCTACCACAAGTTGGGGGCTGATTCTCCGCCATTTTATTATTAGCCCCTGCATCCTCTATGTCTGTTCCGTCTTCCGCTTGACTTGACGCACGGAGTTGGGCCGTCAAGAACATCGAAGTCCCGGTCTTAGGTTGTGGATAGGACAGAAGACTTAATCCCAAGTCTGCGCTACTTCCTGTCGTGATGGAGGAGAGTCACTTCTTGAGCGACGATCTGCCGCTGCCACCTACCCGGTTGTTTGAACGTCTGGGCCAGATCCCCGGTTACACCTGGGATCAGTCAGTTGAACCATTCCACTCCACCTATAACCATTGGCATATCTCCGGCTTTCGCCATGTTGCCGATTCAGATTTATCTACCCCGATCGCGACCTCCTCCGGCCCCGCCTCTTCCGGTCCTTCTAGTTTGACTCGATATTCCCCCCGCACCGAGGTACGACCGTCCGCGCGAGGTTCAAATCGGAGGTTCAGTGTGAGCGAGACTAGTAGCGAACTGTCTCTTTCGCGAGGCGGCGATCATGAACCTGTCTGGGTACCGGTGGTCGCTCGCGTATCAACGAATTTTATCCGACTTGAACGAGAGTTTCATATGCTCAGATCGATTGTGCAATCATCAGACCCTGATTGTAATCATACCGTGCGCCCGATCGACTTAATACGACTTCCTGCCGATCCCACCGATGGAGGAAGCCTCTTAGTGGCTATATTCGAGTCCCGGGTCATGACAGACTACGCGACCTTGTTACATTTGGCCCCGCTTCCTTTGTCGCGGGGTCAAAAGGTGACCAGAACCTGACACCGAATGAGCAGGTCGACCTGCCAGCGTTTTTCGATTTTGCGATTGGCGCATGTGACTGCTTGGAAATACTACACTATGGTATGAATACTGTTCATGGAGAAATTCGTGGAGATGCTTTCCATTTGAGCCGCGAGTTAGGGACGGTCAAACTGGCCAACATGGGAAATGGGGCACGCTCATTCGATAATGTACTAAGTGAAGGCTGGTCCTCCGTGTCCCGAGAGTTGGGAGCCAAGTACAAGCTGCAGTTCATTGCACCCGAACAGACTGGCAGAATGCCGACAGAGCCAGATAGCCGCACAGATATCTATGCACTGGGTCTGTTCTTCTGGTCTATGCTTGTAGGAAAATTACCCTTTGAAGGCAGTGACCCGGTTGAAGTGGTCCAGAACGTTCTTACCAGGAAATTGACTCCAGTCTCTGCAAAGAGAATGGACGTTCCGGATGCTCTGTCCGCAGTAGTTCAGAAAATGACCCAGAAAGTTGTACATGATCGCTATCATACAATCTCGTCGGTCAAGCGGGATTTGGCTCAAGTGGCTAAATTGCTAGGCGATGGAGAAAGTGAAGCCTTAAACAACTTCAAGATCGCGCAACGAGACGTCTCATCGTTTTTCACCCTTCCTTCTAGAATGATTGGCCGGCAGAAAGAGTACGATACCATCATAAATGTTGTGGAAAAGGTCAAAAAACGCCAGGCCGCAGCATCTGCGAAGGCATCCACGCAAAGTCCCGCAACGGCTCATGCTATTGCCTCTAACGCTTCAATCTCCGAGGGACGCGTGGACAGCTTTGATATTGCTTCTATCTCCAGTGAATCTGCTAGTTCATTCCATCTGCCTCCTCGATCTGGCTCAAATGCCACTCAGTATCATATTGCGCAGATCAATACCCAAGACTCTGTAGCAAGTAATGACACAACGCCTCCACCAAGACTTAGCCAAACTTCAACGGGCACAGACCCAATGATTCATACGCCACCAGCACTGAGTTACAACAAAATGAAAAGCCCCTCACATTCTCGTTCCTCTCATACTACTGACAGGGAAAGTCATCCCTCCGTTGGGACCAACACGCACAGTCAACCATCGACGCAGACATTCAGTCAATCGGAATCATTGAACTCTCTTGCCAAACAAAAGACTGGAGCAAAATACCGCCATAGTGGTCGATGTGAGGTAATTGCAATCAGTGGCCAGGCAGGAATAGGAAAGACGGATCTTTTGAATCGAGTTCAGCCACTCATCCGCAAAACGGGATACATCGCAATCACCCGCCTAGACCGAGCCAAACGAGTGCCCTTTGAACCATTTGCCAAAATTCTAGCGAGTCTACTACGTCAGATCTTCTCAGAGCAAGACGTCAACACAAATTATCACAACAGCATTCGCTCCACTTTACGACCTATGTGGCCTACGCTTCACAAAGTGCTGGATCTCCCAGAACATCTCATGGCACCAGGAGCCAAGTACAAACCATCTGAGAAACTTCCGGTTCTTCAGAAACTTGTCCAACAGGAGAGCGGGGAGTATGATCCAGCAAAGCGACTTCACATCCCGTGGATGAACAATGACCAGTCATCGGTTGACTTTTTTCTATCAAATGCCGCCTCAAACAACATGCGCCTGATGGACATTTTCATTGAAATCTTGACAATGCTGTGTCAGTTCAAGCTCATCACGGTGTGCTTGGATGACCTTGAGTTTGCTGATGATGAGACCTTGGAATTGGTTCTGAGCATAATTCGACATAAGTTACCCTGTGTACTTGTGCTGACAAGCCGCAAGGATGCGGTCACGCCTGATCAGATTCGGACCCTGTTTGAGACCGACATGCCGAACATCACGAAGATTAGGCTTGAGCCGTTATCAGAAGATGATGTCATGGAATTCGTCGCAGCAACAATGCATCAAGACCCCAACACGACGCTCACTCCACTTGCCGCCGTGATCCAAGAAAAGAGCCAAGGAAATCCCTTCTATGTACGCGTGATGCTTGAAACTTGCTATCGTAAGAATTGCATATGGTATTCATGGAAGGATTCAAAATGGCAATTCGATCTAGATCGGATTTTCAACGAATTTGTCGCTCCCGTATATGGAGAAGGCCTGGGGTTAGGCTTCCTGACAAAACGCCTCCAAGAGATTCCACCTGCAGCCCGGTCGATTATGGTTTGGGGAGCTCTGCTTGGAAGTCCATTCTCATTTTCGCTAGTTCAGAAACTTCTGACAAGTGAATTTCTTACCCCGACCGACGATGACAAAGATTTGGATCTCACATCGCCAGCCAACGTGACCTTAGTCAGACAATCTGAAGGTGATATGGTGGTTGGGCTACAATATCTGATTCAAGCGAACCTTCTTGACACCGGGAAAACTGACGACGAGTTCAAGTTCGTACAACCTCACGGATCTCTGGAAGTGACAAAGTTCATTAACTAATCTTGAATTTTACTTTAGGTTCGCAAATGATCGTCTCGCACAAGCGGCTCTTTCCTTAGGCGAAGGCCGCAATGTTGAGAAAATGCACTTCATCGTTTCGCAAGCGTTGATGAAATACTACCATGATCATCGGAGCCGGTATTCGATGGCTCATCATGTGGCACTCGCATCGCCGAGGATAAAGTCTCGCGTGAGTCGTAGAGTTGATTATCGCCGCATCTTATGGGAGGCCGGTCAAACGGCTGCCCAGTCTGGCGCTCGACCTACTGCTCTTTGGTACTTCCGCCACTGCATAGCGCTCCTTCAGGATGATCCTTGGGATGATACTAAGACGGATGTGTATTACGACGAGACGATGCGTCTTTACATCGCGGCCGCTGAGATGTCTTGGTCTCAAGCTCAGAGTGACGAGGCCCTTGAGCTGATTGGCTCTGTATTTGCTCATGGCAAAGATGCGGTAAGTAAATCAAGGGCTTGGGTCATCAAAGCCAAGATATTTGCTCAAATGGGCGATCACCATCGCTCAATGGAGGCGTTGCTGTCATGTCTCGATGAACTTGGTGTCCACCTGCGGGGTCCTACTACCTATGAAGAATGTGATGTCGCTTTCTTCAAGCTCAAGTCTTTCCTCGAGTCAACAGACCTCGGATCTGTCGCCGAAAAGCCTATCAGCAAGGACCCGAATTTGATTACCATTGGTGCTGTCATGGCCGAAGCGATGGCTGTTACATACTGGGATGATGCGCTGGTCTTCTACAGAATGGCTATTGAGATGATGCACATTCACATCTCAAGAGGTGGCTTTACTCAAATATCGATTGGCTGTTCCCATCTTGCCATGATTGCTTTGAGCAGGTTCAAGGACATTGAATTTGGAGCGAAACTCAGTGATCTTTCCCTATCTCTGCTTGAACGTTGCCCTGAACTGTGGACCCAGAGCAGGGGATCCATTGTTCATAATCTCTATGTCAGTCATCTTCGTGTTCCTTTGGCGTCAACATTACCTGCATTGGAGACTTCGCTTGAGGCAACATTCACAATGGGTGACCCGTATATCACTCTCATTAGCATCTCATCAATGGCCATGACAAGATTATTCCTTGGTCAAGATATGGGTCAGCTGGAGGCATTCTGTATTGATACTCCCGAGGATATTCCTATGTGGTCTCAAGATACTCGCGGTGGTGCCAGCATAATTGCTGTTCGGTATGTATTCCCACTTTGAAGTTTTCTTTTAGCCCGATTACTGATACCCCTCATAGTCAGGTTCGCACGAGCTCTGCAAGGAAAAACAGAATTTCGATATTCCGAAAACGTCATTTCAGATGATGAGCATCAGACAAATTCGTACATGACCTTCTTGGATACTCACACTAGCAATCCAGATAGACCCCGAGACCTCTATCTGGGTCTTTCCATGATCCCCTTATTCTTGTTTGGCCACTACCACAAAGCAATCGAGGTCGGTACTCAATTGCTCGAAACATCACACAGACTCTGGTCCGTGCGAGTGTCCTACATAATCCACTTCTATCTTGCGGTTTCACTTCTTACTCTTCACAACGACTACCCTGCCCAGGGGTACCTCGATGGGAAAATGGATATGATTCTCAAGTACAAGGCTGAAATCGAATTTGCTCGTCGCTGTTCCGATGCAAATTACGGCATGTGGTACTTCATTCTGGAAGCACTGATTGCCGAAGTTAGAAACGACCATGGTGCCACAATTCAGAATTTTGAGGCTGCTATCGATCATTGTCAAATCCATGGATGGCCGTTAGAAGAAGCTCTCGCTCTTGAGCTCCAGGGCGAGTTTCTTATACGACGTGGCGCGAAACGCGCTGCTCGTGCCCTGATGCAAGAGTCTATCGCTACCTGGAGCTCTATCAGTGCTGCCGGCAAAGCAACCATGCTTGCTGAGAAGCATGAGTGGCTTCTGAAGACAGCGACCTCTGTTCGGGCTGTTGATGTTGGTTGCCAGACCCTTGACTCCCTCCTAGAGATTACCCGCGATGCTGTACAGGAAGAGATCATAATTCCTTCTCAAATAGAGGAAGATGCGCGACGACAGCAATGGATTGAGCAGAATGGTCTCAATTCGGATGAGACTCCTATGGATATCTCAAGTGTTGGTCTCGATATCATTGACCTGTCTAGTATCTTGGAATCTAGTCAAGTTATGTCGTCCGAACTTCAAATAGACAAGCTCTTTACAAAGATGCTTGAGATCCTCTTGGAGTCCTGTAACGGCTCTGACTTTGCAGTGATTGCGACAAACTTCGATGACCAAGGATTTGCCATTGCCGCAGCGGCGGACGCAGACAAGGGTCAAAGATCCTACCCCGATGGCCTTCCATTTTCGGAGACAGAAAGTCGGATGGCGCAGCATATCTGTTACTATGTCATGCGTACACAAGAGGAAGTCTTAGTTCACAACGTTCTCGAGGATGAGCGATTCTCTAATGTCAATGAGGCCTATCTTGCGAATTACCCACAAGGTCGATCTGTTATTGCGCTGCCGATTATCCAAGCGGACAACCTCCTTGGTGTTATTCATTTGGAGGGAAAGCCGAATTGGTTCACACAGCGAAACGTTGTGGTTCTGCACCTTCTTTGCAACCAAATCGGAATCTCATTGTCCAATGCTTTACTCTTCCGTGAAATCCGCAAAGTCAGCGCCAAGAATGCTTCCATGATTGAGTCTCAGAAAAGGGCTCTTGCTCAAGCACGTGAGGCAGAGCAGAAGGCCAAGGTTGCAGAGGCAGAAGCTAAACACAACGTGAAACTTAAGGAGGATGCTGCAAGAGCCAAGTCAATTTTCCTTGCAAACATTTCCCATGATCTTCGAACTCCAATGAATGGTGTCATTGGACTTTCAGAGTTGCTGAAAGGCACCAAACTGGACAAGGAGCAAGATGAATATGTGGAGTCAATCAGGGTTTGCGCCGACACCTTGTTAACTCTCATCAACGATATTCTAGACTTCTCCAAACTAGAAGCTGGCAAGATGAAGATCTCCATAGTGCCGCTAAACCTGAAGGAGACAATCTCTGAGGTGATCCGTGCACTTAGATACACCCACCGTGAGCGAGGTCTGGAGACAATTGAGGATTTAGACCGTGTTCCCGCAGAGTTGGTTGTCCTGGGTGATCCAGTCCGTCTACACCAAATTTTCATGAATCTCCTCAGCAACAGCTACAAGTTTACACCGAAGGGTTCCATTACCGTCAAAGCGAGAGTCGCACGCGAGGCTAAGGGCCGTGTTCGCCTTGAATGCTCTGTATCTGATACTGGAATCGGAATTCACGAAGAGCAAAAGGCTCGTCTGTTCCGACCTTTCTCCCAGGCCGACCCATCTACTGAAAGATCCTATGGAGGTAGTGGATTGGGCTTGAGTATTTGCAAAGCAATCATTGAAGACGTCCTTGGTGGTGCTATATGGCTGGAGTCTGAATCTGGAGTTGGAACGACCGTCACTTTCCACTTAGTCTTCAACAAAGCCCCCAAGAAGACGGCTGTCAAGACCGCCTGGTCGCAAGACCTGACTCAAGCAGAAAGCAAACAGGCTCCTCGACCTACCGTCCGTGATCTGACGCAAATCCCCCGCGATCAAATCCGAGTTTGCATTGCTGAGGATAACCCGATTAACCAGAAAATCGCGGTCAAATTTGTCACTGGACTAGGCCTACAATGCGAGGCTTATAGTGATGGACGACAAGCCGTGGATGCGCTTCGCACAAGATCCAACGAAGGTAACCCGTTCCATATCGTCCTTATGGATGTCATGATGCCTACCTTGGACGGCTACAATGCAACCCGCGAGCTCCGCCGGGATCCCGATCCCAATGTGAACGAGGTACTAGTAATCGCCATGACTGCTAGTGCTATCGAAGGCGACAGAGAGAAGTGTCTCGATGCTGGCATGAACAACTATCTCCCGAAACCGGTTCGGTCGCCAATCCTCAGCGAGCTGCTTGACAAGTATCTTGCGCCCGTGCCGTCCCATCCTCGAACGCGCTTGGTGTTGAGAGAAAAGGGATCTCGCGCAAGTCTTGGACGTGATTCCGGAACCCCAACCAGTCTCTCTTCATCTGGGTCTGAGGAATCCAAACTTCCTCCACCCCGTACTTCGGGGGAGTGAAACCACACATACTGAACAAAATGATACCCGCACAATTGCACCCGATAGAACAAGGCGTCGAGGCGTCATGACATTTATCATTGTGAAAAATGAGCATATACAATGATTTTCCATGTTGAATTTTTCGTTTTCTTTATCTCTTATTTCTTCATTTCCCCGTTTTTAAGAATCGTGACATCATTGATCTGATTATTGAAGACTTGGATGCGTTTTTCAGTACTTCAGATGTTTTGTTTTTTTTCTTTTCTATTTTTATGGCATCCTTTCGATGGGCCTATCTTTACATCTCTTGAGTTTTTTTTGAACTTTTGCACCATGGCCTTTTTAACGTTTTGATGAGTGGATTCAAGTGACGACTTTCATGCATGGTGTTATGTTGAGACTGGGCCTGTACAGATTTCTGTACAGTTTTGAATTTGATCGAATCATTTTTTTTCATACTATTGCCTTAAATTACTAAACAGAGTATACTGATATATCAATGATTCCTACTAGTAAGTTGATTATCCTAGGTCGCGGTAGAATCGTCATCCATGATAATCATCTCCAGGTCTATTTTGAGTAGCAATATTTGAATCACCATGGCCCAGAATCCACAACCTCTCAATATTCAGGCGCACAGGCGACTTATCTGAGGGGCAAAGGATCGCTGCCCAATGCACGATGTGCATGATTCCTCAATCTCGGCGGTTGATCGGAATTGATGCATGATCAACCACATCAACTGAAGTCATGCGAGCAGATTGCGATATGCTCTATACAAACTTGGAAGTTGACGGTTTCTCCCCTCCATATGTCTGTTTTGCATTTTTTTCTCTTTCCAATACAAATTCATGCCCACACGACATAGCGGTGGGTTTCACAGAGAGCTGCATTTCAACCCAATTCTCCGAAATACAATCATTTGTCATTGTTCACCAAAATGTAGCGGTCTCTAGATAGAGTCGTTCTTTGTTTGATTTGACATTTGACGGGCCTCTAAAAGCGTTACTATTGTGATGTTGACCACGATTGGTGTTTGTGTGACGGTCAGCTGGTTTGCTCTCGAGTCCTGATCCTGCAACCATCTATGACGTGGATCAACATTGGAAAATGAGAAGCTCGTACCGAATATTGAGTGAATAGGAGAATGGGAGAGGTTGAGACCCAAGGTACCCCTTTTCAAGTTAATCTTCTGGAATGCACATTTCATGCTCTTTTCTTTTTTTCTCTCGCTTTATATGTCATCTTTTTCCCAATGGAAAATTCAAAAGCCCCCCATGAGACTTGTGAAGATGAATGGAGAAAGAAATAATAGAAAGAGTATTTAAGCTATATAGGAGGCATAAAGAGACAGGAATAAGATCTCACTCCACACAACATTTGAGAATGCCTTGAAAAGGCCAAGAGCCCGACCAATATGATCAAAATACCAGTTGCTTAAGGCTTTTGTAAAAATTCTAACCCAACGCCAAAAATGCCTATCGTGTCAACATTCAGTGTAGTATGCTCGCCAAAAGAAGAGGTCACGAGAAATCAAAAAAGAAAGAAAAAAAAAGGAACAGCACTTTTGACCATCTTCAAGCACATCAACCATTCGTAGCTGCTTTCTCCAGCTCTTTATATCGCCATGCTAACTGTGCCAACAATGTTTTATCAGCCGGAGTAAGGCTTCTGCCCTGTTCAGCTAGCTCTTTCTCAGTCTGCCTTAACAGCTCCCATCTCTTCAACAGTTTTCCTTGTGCCTCTGTTATGGACGCCAAGTTATTGTCCTTCGAATTCATACGCTCCTCAATTGTCGAGTGATAAGATAATTTGGCATGGAAGAGAGTCATCTCTGATTCGTCATATTTTAAGCCTTGGGCTTCGGGCATTGCGGAGGAATCTTGGGCACTCTTTGGTGGCATCGCGAGGGGAAATGTATACTCGTAGGACTCAGTCCAAATGAAAAACACTGAGCACTGAAGTTGGAGGTGTGCTAGAATGTATTTTGGACGTCTTTATCCGATGAAGTTGGAAAAACAGATCTGGAGGCGTGGCATACGTTCATGAAATAAGTATGCATGGGAACACCGGGTGGCAATGAGCCATGAAGAAAAACAAAAAGATAAGGTGCACGTAATGTGCTTGTTGAAGCAAACTTGAACTCCAGTAATCGCAAATAAATAAAAAAAGGAACTGAGTAATAGGTATAAGAATAAAGACAGACGTTGGAAAAGGTGTAGCTAGAGACCCAAGAAGGGCGCCTGACAATCTTTAATTATATTATTAAATGTTTAGTTATATTAAAGAGCAAAGCTCGCCTGGGCACACGCTTGTCATGGAGAACTTGGTCATCCAATACCCGACCAGCTACATCCAGGGTGATACTAAGGGGAAACAATAGGGACTACGAAACACCCAAAAGATGCAGGACCAATCCCGGAAGGAGAAGGAAATGATGGTGGGTAAAGGTACAAATGAAAACATTCAAAATTAAATAAAAATAATAAAATAAATTTGAAGAGGAAGTTCAAAGACCCTGTTAATTTACAACAGTTAAATGGTTCAGTTGCATCTCTCGGAGGTCTACTGAGTCTACTAGGAACTTGCTAGAACTTCCAAGGTTGAATTTGGTAGAGACTCGAAGTATACAAGGTTGCCTGAGCGTTACTGTAGGGTGTTGTTTCCCCTCACATTAAAACTTGAAAAGAAACATCAAACCCAGCATTAAAAAAATTAAAAAATGTACCAAGAGTCTCATGACTATAGAGCCAATTGACATTACCTAGGCTTGATGGTAACACCATGTTTCTTCCAGGGAGAATCTGTAGGTGATCGGGAGATGCAGCAGTCCCGTCTCGGTCCGTATGGTTGTGTACGCAGGGACTGTGCGGGTACTTCAAACATTCAATGTTGGCCACGTATACTATTAAGAATAATATTTATTGTATAGAAAACTAGTGTTTGTCTAATGTTGAAAAATGAATCTAAGTAACTACTACAATTATTGTATCATCCAAAGATTCTCGGATTGAAACATTGCCCTCCGTACTAGTAGAACGGTTGCCTCATATCGTATTCAAGTTCAAGTTCCTCGCCACGCGGAAATTGAAAAATCACACAAGCCGTAGCTAGTCCTATCTAGACTCATTCTTGATAGGGGAGTCGATGGGAAATTACACGAAAATAGAGTTGATGTTACCTGTCAGTCATTAAGCCTTCTCGTCGTCTCACCGTGCATTCCAAGTACTTGGAGCCACTGGCATGTAAATATCGGTACATGACCCATGGGGATCGAAGAACATTCTATCTCTGCATGGAAACATTTTGAACCGAATGGCACCGAGAATCGTTAAATTTGCCTGTGACTAACTCATCCCCATCTAGGGGGACGGATGTTGTGCTCCCCAAGGAAGAAGCTCCAATGTTACTTTGAAGCTTCAAAGCCTCAAGATACCAAGTATGCAAACCGAAACTATGCTAAATGTTCTATTTCACTCAAATTGAGTACTGAAAACATTGGAAAGAACCTCAATATGTCAATCCGTCAATAACTCAACAAAGACGATTGGTATAGCGATAGGGGTGGTTATTTTCTCTCCCTGCCCATTCTATGGAGCTATACCCAAGTACATGGGTACTTTCGTCGGCACCCGAGCAATGCTACAGAGCATCATGCCACTTGTAACACTGTCGGGTGCAAGGAATCTGTTGACCATCTTGTCTTTCTAGGAGCACATGATGAATTGAATGTAAGCCATTGTCCAAAAACGCCGAATTCAGCGTCGTAGACCAGAAAGGGTGATAGAAAATGGAGACCAGATGATGGTATAAGGAAAAGTACCTTAGCTCGGTACCTGAGCTGTTTGTGTGACACTGCAAGCCGATATGGGGGACCTTTGTTCTTAGGTTTGATTGGAACTCAGACTGGTGGCAATGATATGCAAAGGGAAGAATTAAAGGGAAGCTCATGCAATCATATTATCATGATTCAATTAGATTTACAAATGTACGCTGACCGTTTTAGGGCTAGAAATATCATCTGATTTGAGAGCATAGCTTGGGATATCTACACATACACTACATCTTGTAATAGGGTCAATTGTCACAAGGACATCCTTTCATCACAAGGTAGACCCAAAATTGCTGCTGCTGTAATTTAATGACTTATCGATCCTTCTGAAGTTCAAGAGTGGGCGATGGAAGACGGAATTGGTGCAACAGAACGAGTATTCCTCCGTCGGGTAAGTACAGCTTCATCGGAACCGACGCTGTTTCATCTATTTCGCATGGACATTTTATTTAATAGTCCGTGCTGTCAATGATTCTTTTTGCTTTTTTGGCTCATTTAAAGTCCAAGTGGACCCATGAGAAAATAGTTAATTATGTGGTCGATGCTCCTGGGAAAGTAATAATCTACGAACCACGCTCAGATCTCTTACCAGAGCCGGATAGCTGCAGCTCGTTGATTTCAGGTGAACAAATGGAAATTTTGGGAGCTTGGGCAATCGTATGAGTCTAACAATCATGGGAATCTCGGAGTTTGGGTCACAAGAGGAACTGAATTGAGTAAATTGTGACGGAAAAGCCAGTCATGCTGTGTTTGTCATTTAAGCGAAGTAGCTAGGCAATCATCAGAACAGATTAGTTCACTGCAGAGCTATTCGACTAAGAGAGCGTTTCCGTAAAATGGGACAGGGACATTGAATATCCGTTCCTAGATTCATATGCGTATCTCAGCGTCCAGCTATGGCCTCTTCATCCCGCTCCGCTGCGACTCTCTCCTTCTTTGCCGTCTCGATATCCAATGACATCTTCACAGGCCAAACCCCAGGAGTTTCGAAAACTTTGTCAATTTCTTCCAAACTCAGACCACTGGTTTCCGGGAAGGTAAAGTAGGCCAATACCAGCTGGACAGTGTTGTATACGATGTATACCACCCAGATCTTATAGCCGAGCTTGTCGATTCCCACGCTGATTCCATAGGTTTGCACAGCTCCAGCCCCACCTTGGATCAGACTGTATAAACCCATTCCTTTCGCACGTAATGCTAAAGAAAGCACCTCCACTGGGTATAAATTATGCATCGTAGCAATAAGCGAGGCCGAGAAGGCTTGGTAGAGGAAGATCCAAAGGATAGTGAGGGCTGCTGTAGCGTTGCTGGTACTGACACTGTACCGCCATGATGTGATGGTCGTAGCAGTTTGGAATATTATCATACTGATCAAGCCCGCGAAAATCAAGGTTCGTCTGCGGAAAATATCGACGAGGAAGGATCCGATCGCAGTAAAGACGAAGTAGGTTGCTGTGCTTCCAATATTGATTCCGAGTTGTTGTTTTGTGTCATCGATACCGATAGTCCCAAGGGCTGGTGTCAACTAGAGCAAAGTTTAGATTAGTATAGCACAGCCTCGGAAGGGAATAGCGCAAGTTCAATATGCTTACATAGTAAGAAATAATACCACCACCATTCCACTGTTGGAAAATAGAATATAGGGTGAGGACCAGGAGTCGGTAGCGAACAGTCTTGGTAAAAAACACCCGATAGTCCCAGAAAGCTCTGAACCCGGCTCTGTCATTTTCCAGGGATTCCTCCATCTGTCTGACCGCAATCTCAACGATCGGCTCATTAATATCACCACTGGTGGTGTGGTACTTGGCCACTACTTGCTTTGCCTTCTCTCGCTGGCCCTTCATGATATAAAAACGAGGGGACTCAGGAGTGAGAAGGAATATGGTCACGCAAACAATGCCAGGGAATATAGCTTCCAGCAGCAAAGGTGTGCGCCAGGACCTGTTCCCAGGAAGGTTCTCCAGGCCAACCATGGCACCAAGAATGGCCAAACTGCCAACCTGATAACAAGCGCCGAAGAATCCAACCATGCGACCACGGAGATGCATCGGAGAGACCTCACCAATATATTGTGAGCTCGACATCAGTGCAGTACCAAATCCCATAAAGAAGCGACCAGCCATGAACATGGGTAAATTAATTGCACAGCCCTGTAAAATAGCCGCGAGGAGCACGATAGCGTTGCCAGTGAAGTTGATACCTCGACGACCGATTACATCGGCAAAAGCCATGAATGGGGCACCACAGACGGTTCCAATGCTCATTAAAGCATTAATGAGACCATATGTAGATCCAGCTGTGCCGAACCCGAAATAGGCATGCCATGCATCTAGGGCGTCGATACCGCTGATCACTCCCCAATCCACTCCGAACCCGGCTTGATTGCAGCCCTGCACGAACATGATCAGGCCAAGGCGTACCCCAGTCCATGATCGGATGGTAAGTGCCTCCTCTGAAATCTTGAATACATCCTCTTCTGTCAATCTCGCGAGTACGGCTTCCTCGACGTGCTCTGGTCCCTTCCGTAGCACCTCATCGACCTCCACGGCTTCGGTCTTTGCCATGATGAGAGGGGGTATAGAAAAAAGATCACAGAATAATTTTGAGGTTCGCTTCAAGTCAGGAAGAAGATGGTGAGTTTGTCATTCAGCTGCAGCTATGGAACCCCGAACCTGAACTGAAAAGTGCAGGGAGGACTTGGGTATTTCTGCTAACAAGGATGTCGAGAAGTCATCTTGAGATAGATGAAAGAATGAGCATAATGGCTGAATCTTTTATCGCGAGTCCCCATTTTGTCACGGAGACCAACAAGGATCCGAGACTAAAGGGGGATAGAGGCAAGATCTAGAGATCCTCGCTGGCATCCCTTGCGGTGAAATAGCGTGGCGCGGCTAGAAAAAGCAATAATGATTGGATTCTAATGGTAAGGTGGAATGCTGGCGTTGGTCACATTGCCTGAAATGAATGAAATTAACCAATCAATGATCCTTTTCTTAGTGGCAACATCTTTTCTTTTCAGGAATACCCTGCCTACCAGGTTATGGGGCGTCTACTAACCATTCCCAAAGTGAATTTCTCCACCACTTGGAAGCGGGTGCGGGGGAAAGTATAGATTGAGCTTTGCCATGTGCACATGCTTCAGAGTTTAATCTTCCCCCGCTAGTCCCAATCTCCGGATCAAAGTCAATTTGTGGTGGGGAATCCGGGGAACGAATTTAACCGGATTTTGGTGAAAGCTCCATTGAGAATAGGAGTGGGAATGTTTAAACTGGAGTAACTTGAAGTGACTAGATTATAGGTTCCTAGAATTGCCGGTATTTGCCGTGTCTATCCCGAGCAATCAACCTGGAATTGATAGCAAAGCTACCAGGTTCATGCTTGAGTCTTACTACAATTCCGGGATATCATCTCTCTAAGCGATCCTTTCCTTGAGCTGGGTGGAATTGAACCAACTACTAGTCAGCTGTCACGCACCCTTCTTTTCTCTCCGGCACACCCGAACCTAGATACTTCAATGAGTGAACTGTGGTATCAGCAGCCTGCTGCAACTTGGAATGAGGCATTGCCTCTGGGGAATGGCCGACTTGGAGCCATGGTCCACGGTCGCACTGAAACGGAGATGATCCAGTTGAACGAAGCTACAGTATGGTTTGGTGGACCTCAAAAACGAACCCCCGAAGATGCACTGAGCAATCTTCCTGCCCTCCGAAAGGCCATCCGCGAGGGCAATCATGCAGAAGCCGAGAGACTGGTTACTACCTACTTCTTTTCGAATCCATCGAGTCAGCGACACTATGAACCTCTTGGGAATCTCTTCTTGGATTTTGGACACAAACTTGAGCAAGTTACCAAATACCGGCGCTCACTGGACCTCACAAAGGGAGTCTTGCATGTTAACTATGAGCATCAGGGTGTTTGCTATGACAGACAGATGATTGCTTCAGACAATCCCTCTGTCCTCATTCTGCGCCTCCGATCATCTGCTAAAGCCGAATTCACTTTGCGCTTGGCACGAATGAGCGACCTCGAGTACGAGTCTCAAGAATATCATGATTGGATTGAGACAGTTGGAGAAGATCAGCCCCTTCAAGCCGCGGGTCTGAAAGATAACACTATCACTATGCCTGTCACCCCTGGTGGGAAATGGAGTAATCGCGCTTGTTGTATCCTTCATGTCCAGACTCTTGATCGAGACAGCAATGGCACTGTTACAAAGGCTGGGAAGAACCTGGTAGTTAAATCTGACGACGCAGTAATCTACATTGCTGCACGCACAAGTATTTGTCAGAGAGATTACAAGACCGATGCCATGTCCGATATCGCAAAACTTGATTCAAGCCCGGTCAAGGTCTGGGATCAACGAGTGCGAGATAACCAAGAAATATGGGCACGAATGCATCTAAAACTCAGCCCCGACCGGTCAGATATTCCCACTGATAAAAGAGTGGCTGAATCTCGGGATCCGGGCTTGATTGCACTCTACCACAACTACAGCAGATACTTGCTCATGTCATGCAGCTATGAGGGAAGTGCGACCTACCCATTGCCCGCCAACTTGCAGGGAATCTGGAATGCCTCTTTTCACCCCGCTTGGGGCTGCAGATTCACGATCAATATCAATCTACAGATGAACTACTGGTCTGCGAATCTGTGCAATCTTTCGGAATGTGAGTTGCCCCTGTTCACACATCTTGAGCGCCTAGCCTACAATGGCAGAAATACCGCGAAAAAGATGTATGGATGTTCTGGGTGGACCGCCCATTCCAATACTGATATTTGGGCCGATACTGACCCGGTGGATCGTTGGATGCCCGGGACCCTTTGGCCACTGGGTGGTGCATGGTTGTGTTGTCACCTTTGGGAGCATTTCCAATTTACCGGACGAGAGGATATTCTGCGCAAGTACTTTATGGTTCTACGAGGATGTGTGGAGTTCCTCCTAGACTTCCTGATTAAGGATTCTGATGGGAAATATCTCACAACTTCTCCTTCACTCTCCCCAGAAAATTCATATTACGATGAAATTGGACAAAAGGGTGTATTCTGTGAAGGATCTACGATCGACATCCAAATAATCGACACTGTTCTCAGAGACTTCGAATCTACAACTACACAACTGGAAATCGATGATGAGCTTCTCCCCAAGGTCCGCGAAACCCGATCCCGACTCCCACCTATGACAATAAGCAAAAACGGATATCTGCAAGAATGGGCTCAGGACTACGATGAAGTTGAGCCAGGCCATCGCCACACCTCCCACCTGTGGGGTTTGTACCCCGGAAACAATATTACACTGGATAAGACGCCCGCTCTGGCTGCAGCTTGTAGGGAAACTCTTCGCCGACGCGCGCAGCATGGAGGGGGTCATACAGGGTGGAGCCGGGCCTGGCTAATCAATCTATTCGCTCGTCTTCGTGATGCGGAGGAGTGTCAAAAGCACCTTGACTTGTTACTTTCACAATCCACGCTGCCTAATCTATTTGACAGCCACCCGCCATTCCAAATTGATGGTAACTTTGGCGGTGCTGCGGGGATTGTTGAAATGCTGGTTCAATCTCATGAGTCCGGAGTAATCCGACTTCTTCCTGCTTGTCCGTGTGACTGGAGTGGTTCGATTCACGGTGTACGAGCGCGAGGGGGATTCGAGTTAGGTTTTAGTTTTGAAAAGGGATGTATTGTTGGTGATGTAGCTGTTGAATCACTACATGGAGAGCCAGTTACTGTGGTCTTTCCTGGGGAGGGTGGGTTTCAAAAGCACATCGACCGTGCTGGTCACTATAAAATCTCACCGAGGGATTATTCTAGCTAGTAAATCCGAGTCTTCGACTAGTATCCACAGCTTGAATTTAACCATGATAACCTGAGAAAATTGTATGATCTTCCTTGATTCCGTATTCTATGATTAGAAACTAGACCAACTCATCATTCTCATTCTCGTCCCCGCATAATCCTTGTCCCGATCCACCGGCTTTCCCTAAACAGACACGGAGCGAGACTCCGCATATCCCGAGCTCTGGTTAAAATGAGAGTGAATAACAATTTAAATTAACAGAGCTTAGCCGGTTGACTACTATAGCCCCGCAGGAAACTCCTCTTTGTCCAAGCTTCTATAGTTTGAATCACATATCAGCGCCACTTCACACTATTCCTATTCCACCAGATCAACTAAGACCGAAGATTGGAGAAATGGACTTAGCTACAGTTCAAGACGTCAAAGGCGTTCTTCGGCCGGACTTTTTCCATGGCTTTGCGACCGCTGCTGCGCAGATAGAAGGAGCTTGGAATCAAGATGGCAAGGGTGTTTCAATCTGGGATACTTTCGGACATACACCTGGCAAAGTCGCGGATGGAAGTAACGCCGACGATGCGGTACGAGCATACGATTTCTATCGCGAAGATGTGGCACTACTGAAATCCTGTGGTGTCAACGCTTACCGATTCTCACTTGCCTGGTCGCGCATTATCCCGCTCGGAGGACGTGATAACCCTGTCAACGAGGCTGGTATTCAATTCTACTCGAATCTGATCGATGAGCTTCTTCGCAATGGCATCACACCATTCGTTACTTTGTTCCACTGGGATATCCCACAAGCTTTGGAAGATAGATACGGCGGGATGTTGAATAAGGAGGCCTACACACCAGACTTTGTCAATTATGCGCGAGTTTGTTTTGAGAGATTCGGGGATCGTGTCAAGCACTGGATCACATACAATGAGCCAGGTGTGTATACGCTTGCTGGATATGCGGCGGGTGTACATGCACCAGCAAGGTCCTCATTCCGGGATCGCAATGAGGAAGGAGATTCATCCACTGAACCCTTTATCGTGGCTCATACGGAGCTTGTGTCTCATGGATATGTTTCCAAGATGTACCGCGAAGAGTTTCAACCTGAGCAGCAAGGAACCATCGGAATCACCTTACATGGGAATTGGTCTGAGGCTTGGGATGAAGAAGATCCGCGCGACCAGGAGGCAGCGGAACGGGCTCGCGAGTTTGAAATTTCCTGGTTTGCCGATCCTGTGTACAAGACTGGTGATTATCCTGCATCTATGCGCGCACAGCTAGGCGATCGACTTCCGCGATTTACACCTGAGGAGTCCGAGCTTGTTTTGGGAAGTTCCGAGTTCTATGGAATGAACAGTTACACCACATTCTTCATGAAGCACAAGGATACGCCCCCGGATATCAATGATCATAAAGGCAATGTGGAGATTCTTGATGAAAATAAGAATGGCGTGCCTCGTGGTGAAGAGAGCGATACTGAATGGCTGCGGGCCGCGCCGTGGGGATTCCGAAAGTTGTTGAACTGGATTTATGCGCGGTATCAGACGCCTATATACATCACTGAGAATGGGACCACCGCGAAGGGAGAATTTGAGCCATCGCCAGAGGTTCTGAATGACACGTTCCGTATCAAGTTCTTTGAAGGGTATGTGGGCAACGCGGTTGCTCGAGCTGTGAAAGAGGATGGAGTGGATATTCGGTCTTATTTTGCGTGGACGTTCCATGATAACTGGGGTACGTATAATCCATTTCAAACAGGAAACAGGGTACCTTGTGAATAAAGCTAACTGAGGTCTAGAATGGGCTGCTGGGTACGCGGATCGATTTGGGAGCATCTGGATTGACTACGAGTCCAATGAAAAGACTAGGTACCCCAAGCAGTCTGCTTATTATTTGGATAAACTGTTCAAGCATTTGATTCAAGATAGCTAGTGATATGTGGCACCTGCGATGATCTAGCATTCATCCGAGTCTGGGGCATTTTCAATGTTGACTCGATATAGACGAGAAGATAGTTTTTGTCTTATACCGATTGATCGTTATACCGTGACTGTCAACGCCATAATAAAACCCTATTTAACTTCTCACGATCTACTAGAAGTCTAATTATCAAGTCACCAACCTATTCCATACTGCATTTGAATTTAGAATGGCGTGGACTTTCCTATCGCAGAACTCTCAGTTGGAGTCATAGTCTTATCGGCTAACCCCCGCATGACTCCAACTGAGTTCGGCTCGGCTGTCAATGTTGCAATCATATACCCCAATGGTTGATAAGAACCTCGGAAATGACGCTGTTAAAAGCAACCGATTAACCTCCCAGCGAATATCTTGAAGCGCTTTCATCGTTTATCCGATTCTTTCAGTCATCTATCCACCATGTCTGCAGTGGATCCCATCAAACTCACACTGAGGGGGAGTCCTCGAGAGGTAATAATCATTGTGATATCTTATTTTAGAGCATCAATCAGATTGTGAAGAGGGCTTACATATTATTTTGAAGATTGGAATCGAACACGGCCGGTCTTTGCGCGACCAAATCCGAGACCAGATCAGCATCTACGAATCTATGTTTCAGTATACCTCCAAGCTATCCTGGCCCGATGTACGAAAAATTTCCAAAGACTTCCAACCTTCACTCCAGAAACTGGTCCCAAATATCTACGAGGAGATGGAAGGAATCGCTGAAGGGGCAGGACTAGATATCCTGGATATAGTTGCTCTCAACTGCCGCAGTGAGATCGCTTTAGGGAAGTTCTCCGATGGCTGCACTGCTCTGAGCTTAAGAAAGAGCAATAATGCGAGAATACTATCTCAGAACTGGGATTGGACTGTGAGAGTATCGAAGAATTTGGCAATGATATCGATTGAGCAAACCGGAAAGCCGACCATATACATCGTAACTGAAGTGAGAGACACCTGGAGACTGATAAACACATTATCGGACACGTTGAAACTGATATGAATACTAGGCTGGGATTGTCGGGAAGATTGGATTCAATTCCGCCGGTGTTGGAACATGCCTAAATGCCATCCGAGCCAAACCGATGATTAGCAGCAAAGTCCCTATCCATGTGGCGCTTCGACTATGCCTTGAAAGTACGTCGGTCGACAATGCAGTAAAGACTCTCGAGTCTCTAGGAGGTGTCGCATCGGCTCAGCATATTCTCATTTCCGATACCAGAACTGCCCTGGGGCTTGAGCTATCACCTGTTGGAAATAAGTATATCACTGAAGACGAAGATGGTCTTATTGGGCATACAAATCACTTCATTGAGAACCGATATGTTGAGGAACCACCATGGTTAACAGGATCCCCAATTCGCTTGAAACGTGTGGGAGAATTGGCCCGGGAGCTCATAGCGGATGGAGCTGGAGATGCCATCACGCCTTCGGTATTACGGGATCAAGTCTTCTCTGATACCTTTAATTCACCTCAAGCAATCTGTTGCTCTGAAGATCCGGATCGAGATATTTCAACACGGAGTAGTACATTGTTTAATATTGTGATGAATTTGGAGCCAGAGAAACTAGGAGCTGAAGTTATTTTTGGTCGACCAGGCTCTGGACTAGAGGGACCAGTATTAAGGATGCCCTGGACTTGACTGTCCAGTGACTCAGGCTTGACGTATTTGATTAAAATAGAGATCTACTCACTACATTATCTATATCAAATTCATTATGCCTGACTTGAAAATTAGCTGACTTCCAAAGTTATACTGAAAGGACTTACTTTTCACTTTCAATAACAAATCCTTCCTCATTCTTTCTACACTAACCTCACACCGATATCCAGGCACAGTGCTGTCCTTTGCTATTAGAAAGTTCTTTGGAAGAAGGAATAGAAACAAGATATGTTAATATGCTGAATCTTTGTTCACTTTCAAGGTTACAGACAGTCTGGTCTATTTCTAGGCACCTGTTAGACTTTCTACAAGTGTCAACAACCTTTCAAATGTTATATTCTTCAATGCTCTTCTTCCACTGACTATGCATGATATGATTTTACAACCTTGGAACGTTCTATCAACTGATCTATCAGTCCCCCTTTCCTCAAGTCTCACATCTGTCAGAAATGGAGATCCTAACGGCGATCTCTATTAACGCCTTCTATAATGAACAGAAGACTCCCTAATTCCGCCGTACGTGCTACCGCCTTATCTCCCCCTCTACTTCTCATTTTTGGTGACTAAAATATTCTCTCATTCAGGAAACATTGGAACTTATACAAGCTACTTCTTTACTCTTCCTATATGGATCTTCTCATATCTATCTCCAACCTTTCCTTCTTCAACCCACGTGCTATACCTTTTCAGGTTGCCTATGACACGGGCTACCAACATACCCACCGAGCCTACGGCTTCCTCCCTCTACTTTTAATAATTCTCAGATAACCAGATGCATGCACCACATCTGGAGACTCTCAAGAATTATTTGGAGGAACCCCAGTTACTGGATAAACCCATACACGGTTTATCCGAGAGGCACTTCATGAGACATCAAGTCACCTCTAAAAATATCTGAAGCAGAGGACTGCAGATGCTACCAGGGCTTGTCTGGGCTCAAGACATGATATCTATGGCTGCTGGTACAATCAGAATCAGAGCTTATAAGTTATGGCCATGATGTTGATCCTGGCATAACTGATTTCAACGTAACTTTGAAGTTGCTCTTTCATCAGTCAGATACTATATGTAAGTAACGTGTCATTATTCGGAGCTCATCTAGCATCTACTAAACCTCGAGGTTTTGCATCCTCTCTGACTCTCAAAATAGCCTACTTACTCGTCATCCTATTTTCAAGCTTTCCAACAATTTATTTGGTATGTCTCCCGGTCTCTGAGTATTTTTCCGAAGCCTTATTAGTACTATTTATTAGAGGCTGGCTCACCATATAAACCTTAGGCTACACAATTCGTGCCTTGCACTTGACTTGTATCTCTCGATCAGACTTGGATGATGCATTGACTTACAGGACACGAAATGGAATGGCTCAAAAAATTGGAATACCCACTAATAACTATCGCCTTCGCCCTTCACAGGTTCGCTCAAATGGTAAAGACCGTGGCACAGAGGCGCCACGAATCCCTCGGCTGGACATGAGGTTTTCCTTTTCTTTGGTCGGAAACTGTGTCGATTTGGATGAATTTGGTGTTGACATTGACTAGGTCGGCCGCCGTGGATACAACTGGACCAGACCGCTTGGCTATGGTCAAGGGTTATACCCCCCAGGTCAACGCCGCTAGCAGAGCAGTCCCCAGGTCAGAAATCTGAATTCTGGCTCCAAGTCAATGGCTACCCTCAATAAGGATGAGCCTTGCACGGAGATCTCGCCTTCAAATATGTACATTCCTGACATACGCATGATACAAATAATTTCTCTCGCCAGCTAACCTCAATCAAGCCCTCGGCGCACAACTACCAACGAAGGATTTTATGGGAATCTCACTTGCGGCTAAAATATTGAAAGTCACAGGATCAAAATACGGTATTATCTGCACCATACAGGCGTAGATCCAGGTACTGGCAGTTCTGCTCGAAAGACGCAAATGTGATCTTTGCGGTCCTGCGAGCGCAAAGCTATACCTGGAATGGTACGGTTTGATGTCAGTTCTGGGCTGAGCCAAAGACTCCAAGATCCCACTACCTTTGGGCAGCGACAAGGCCAAACGGGATATACTCCCCTATCTTTCCAGCATTTAGAAAGCAACGACGCTATCAATGACTACCCTGACGGCCGTTGTGCAGAAAACGGTGTCTCTCACGCAATCACTATACAACTTATGGCCAAAGGGCTTCAAGAGCAGAGGTGTTGTTAAGCATACGCGACAGCCCTGAGGACTACCTGTTGTCGTCATTTTAGATAAAGTCCCTTGGCTCCCAGTCTATGGTCGCTATTACGCTATTGCGGGCCACCACCCTGGGTTGGACGCCAGCTTTATGAGTTAATGGCTCTTGAGTAGAAAAGCGTGGCCATGGTCAAACAAGGAGAACAAAGAGTCCTTCTTTTGCCTACACCAGGACGGGCTGTATAAGGAGATCGTGGATTTCGCTGTTATCTACCATTATGTTATCTACCATTATGAAGATTTCTCTAAAAAGCAGCAGCAACGGTTTGAATGGCCGGCTAGCAACAGCACCAACAGCAATAGCAACAACAACAACAACAACCTACTTTATTCAGTGGCGGCGGAGGGACTAGTCACTCACCCCTCATTTTGCAAGCTATGACGGTCATAGACACTACATCGATTGTGGACAAAACAAAAGGCCATATTGAAATGGGCATTTGTCTATACGCGTGACTCGACGTTCGAAGAACTTGCTGGCTAATACACACACGGGTGGGTGGTTGGTGCATAGGAGGTGTCCGAGAAACGTACAAAATCTCCGGGGAGTCTTCGTCTGTGATAAGTGATACAGGCTATTGCTCCACATAACTGCTGCACAGGCCATTATTAATTTCTTTTCTAGAGAGGCCAGTTCAAATTGCATAAATGCGTTTGGTCGACCCCGAAGCCTAGTACCAGAAAGATATTCACCAACCAAACGGGATACTCCAGACGGACAAGGAGAGATTGGCTAATTCCCAGCTGAATCTTCTGAAGAGAGTTCATCAGGGCGATCCAAGGATTTAGCTGACCGAATATTCAGGCTTATCGGATTGGTCAAAGACTCAACATGGAAACATCAACCAAGACAACCGATGCTATTTAAGCCCATCAAAGCAATCCTGATAACTCAAAGACAAATAAACAGAGTCGCAGAGGCACTTTCATTAAGCCTCAAAACAATGATGGAACTTGCTACAAACCCTGAGAAGAGGTTTGCAATGAGATTTGGCTTTCATGAAATCGTGACGACATTTGATGTATCTTTGCTCTGTGAGGTAATGCTCACAGTTTTCAATAAAGCCGCAATTGCACTTCTAGGGACGATGGAGAGCTTTGATTGTCTTTGTCCTGTGAATCAAATCATTCAACGGGGAACCTATATCGATTTGCTAATTCACAATTTGATATTGGTGGCTGGTTATGGCGGCTCCTCAAAAGGGATCCGTGAACGGGATAAACAACTTGAACATTCATGCCAAGCAAAGAAGGGCGACAAGGCCGATTCTATATGAAGCTAAAAGGGCTTTATATTACTGGAAATTAGCGAGCATTGATGACTCTTTTTGCCTGAGATCCCAGAGAGGCTGAATTGCTTGCTGGATCATCGACAACAGTATCTTGCAGAAGAAAGAACATGCCAATTTGAGCTTAGATCCTCTGAAAGAGAAATTCAAGAACCTGATGGGGTTGCAAACTCAATTAAATGGTACATACTGAGAATCTACGACCACTGGCATTATATATAGCTTTACTAATGAGTTTCCAGCTCTGGAAGAGCGCCGCGGCACCCGAAGACTATTCCTCTCGATGCAAAATACTAGTTATACAGCACTAGCTTTTGCACAGATCTACAAAAATCTCAGCGCTTTCCTCTTCAGTATGTTGTGATCTTCCCAAATGGCGAACCAGGCTGGTATCTCGAACTCTGCTTGCACCTTGGATCAATAAAGGATGAGATGGAACCGCTCAAGTCTTCCATACTACCGGGAATAATATCCCTGCTCCTAGCGAATTGGAACACAAAATTGACGCCATTCCTGTTTTCTGGAAGATCAACCAAGACTTAAAGCCACCTTAAAGCATATTCTAGGAATTGTTGATACTCCCATATTCAGAATTACCAAGATACGCTTGACTCCCTGCTAGAACCTACGGCAGTAAGTAAGGTAAATCATCACACGTACCATATTCCTGCCCCTACATCTGGAGTCTTTTCATATTTGTAGAAGATCATAATATTGATATACTTGCTATTCTGGATTGTTGTTCCTTTTTATATTGAAATCAGGAAGCAGGCAGAAGGCGGCAGTCTAGCTGTGAATATGGATCACATACCTACTATGCAAGTATATACCGAGGCGAGGCGCAACATCATTGGACCTTGGAACCCGAAAAGACGAAAGTATCAGGATGTTTTGAGTCCTTGTTCTTTTGCTTCAAATTCAACCTCATGACTACACAGCTATGCAGGAAATCCAAGATGGTTTTCCACGAGCTAGGATCGTGAAAATCAGGCCCAAAGCGAGGACACTCGTTCAAACATGACTCTAAGCTAGGTTTCTCGTTCAAAATATCATTTGACTGAGATATCTTCCCTTGACCGAGCTACGCCAATTTCCCTTCAAGAGCAATTGAGTTTAGGAAAACTACAGAGACAGAGAAAGCATGCCCAACCGCCTTCTGTGGTTTGCAAATAAGAATGTTTCACTAGTTGACGCAAAGGTTGTGGGTGATTCGATGATATTTCTGAATCCTACTATAATCATCTCAATGATATATCTCCAATGGCAGAGGCACTGGCAACTTGAACTGATTATCTTTATTTTACAATACCAACTACATATAGTCACTCTGGGAAAGTTCACTGATTCATCGTGATGGATGGTGAACCAATTGACGCACTATTTGGATCACTTTCTGGATTGCACTTCTAGCCCTGGAGGTGATATCCAGAAAAAAAGAACATTTTGAAATTTCGAGGAGTTTCCGAGACATTTGTGCGCTTTCATTTTTTAATATAATCAATATTCCTGTCATTTTCCCTTGTAATCTTGCAGTGTGCGATGTAACCATAACCTTGGAAGGATTGAAGGAATCAAGGGGGAGTATGTATGGAGTATGGAGTATGCGGGGCAATGATAAAGGTCAGCAATAACCATTGTCAATCACTAGCCCTGGACTGGTGTAACCGGAGTCCGGAATACATAAAATCGTCATTGGTCATATTAATTGCGCCAGATGGAACCGCTAGTAATGTCTTATCAATTTGTGCATGAGAAGTTGCGTAGGCTCGATGACGAGCGCGCTAGTATTTATGACTAGTTATGCCCGGTGATTTCCACCATCAACACCATTTCTATTAAATGGGCCTAATTTCCCTTTTACACCTGCGATGCAAAGTACCTGTGAGACTCATATAGGGTACTCTACTAAGCGACCATGGCATCTGCGGGTTTAACGGAGGCACCGCCAGTGGCAATCGAGTCATCAGAGACACAACCTTTATTGGGTCATTCTAGCAATGAGACAGAGACAGAGGAAGGATATCTTCTCTTGAATCTTGTTTCAGGTAAGATTTTCCTATACTAAATACCCCGATTTATGGTCACTAACAATATTTTGAACTCATAGGTACAGCTAGTATTGCTCAACTGGGAATCTGGGTTGTAAGTGATCACCTGGGCATGATTATGATGTGATATTGAGCGTCATCGTACCACCAATATCAAGGAATATCAAGGCAGCTCGATATTAATCAACTTCTAGTTCGCCGCTCTCGTCTGGTTCAACATCCTCTCTCAACCAATCATCCTCTTCACAGCTCATCCAGTATGTTTAACACTCACTTTTAACTCCCCAATAGTCACATCTAACAGTAATCTCTCTCAGCTTCTCGCCATTTCAGGACTCCTATTGCAAGTGCAAGGAATCCTTATCGTCCAACCAACCACAACAGGTCCCCAAAAACACCGAGGCGCTCGCTATCACTATATCATCCAATTAATCAGCACTTTTCTCTTCCTCGCTGCTTTCACCGTCATCGAAGTCAACAAAGGCACTCACCCGCATTTCGTTTCTGCCCACGGAATTCTCGGTCTCCTTACGATTATCTTCGTCACTTATCAATCTCTCTTCGGTGTGGTCCAGTACTTCGTGCCTGGTGCCCTTCTAGGCAGTGTCGAGAACGGAAAGAAACTCTACAAGTATCATCGCTGGACTGGATATGTGGCGCTGTTGGTGCTGGAGATTCCGACTGCGATCTTCGGGGCGACGCAGACGGGATACAGCATAGCCTTTTTACATATCCCACTATGGGCGGTCATTATTGCAGGGCTGGCTGTTGTACTTGGAGCTGGGGCTCGAATTCGGAAATTCAAGTTGGGACTTTGATCCTAGCACCAGTTCCATTCAGTTTGATGGGTTGAGGCACTAGCATCGTGCTTTATGCTCTTATGAAATTCAGCGCTGCAATGTTCAACTATTTTATGGGTTCTATCATTGATGAAAATGAGGTGAACACGAATATTTATCCTTCCAGACGCACTTGATAGTCAGATTGAGAGATATCTAAGAAGTGGAAGGATGAAGCTATTATTTACTTCTATGCGTGCATCATTCCATAGCACGGTAGTACCACTGTATCGCATGAGGCCAGATGCCCCATCATAAATCAAGTGTAAATTTTTATATTATTATGTCTGACTCTTTCCTGTGTAAAATACCCAATCAATAGTAAATAACCTATATAATTTCCTTAGTGCTCAAGAATTACTTGTAGAGTCTTGGAATAAACACTGTAGAAGTGGATCATCTTGGCATGAATCATGAATTAATGATCCACCTGCAACATTGAATTTCTCCTCTAATCCAACTCCGAGATTCGAGTTCTATACCTCTCCATGGCTCCCTCTACCCCATATATCTGCCTCAATTGCAGATGGGCACCTCGATATAATCTGACTCAACTCCGTCTCCGACGCAATCTCTCCTCCCAACGAACTCAAACCCTGCGACCCGCGACAGCTCCAAAACCCACCCCGGACATCAAACACATCCGTCAAAATGTCGACAGCTATGCCCAGAATTGCATTGACCGAAACTACGCCGGCCATGCCGAATACCCTTCCCAGATTCAAGCTCTGTCAGAAGAAACCCGACAACTCGACCAGGAGCTGCGCACCCCTCGATCGCGCATCAAGCAACTAGAGAAAACCATCGCGAAGCTCTCCTACGCAGCAAACACACCCTCAACAAGCAACGAACCCAGCGAAACGGCCCAACCCGATATCTCCTCCTTAAGAGCCGAGGCCCAACGTCTAAAAGACGAATCCGCAGCTCTAACAACCCGCAAAGCAACCTGCACTGAAGAAATCACCCGCCTAGCACTCTCCCTCCCCAATCTCTCCTCACCACAAACTCCAATCGGCCACAAACCAAGTCTAGTCTCCTATCTAAACTTCGATCCCACCTCTCCGCCTGCCTGGACAACCTCCAGCTCGGAAACCCTCGCCAAACGCTCCCACGTCTCAATCGGGACAAAGCTGAACCTGTTAGACTTCACCAGCTCAGCTACAACAACAGGATGGGGCTGGTACTTCCTTATAAACGAAGGCGCGATGCTGGAACAAGCACTAATTCAATACGCTTTATCCGTCGCACGGAAACGAACCTGGAAACCCGTTTCCCCGCCCTCAATCGTGTACTCCTACATTGCCGAAGCATGCGGTTTCCAGCCCCGAGACCAACACAACGAGCAACAAGTCTGGAACATCGAGCAAAGCGAGCGCGAAAAGGACGTAAGGCCTCCACGCTCCTTAACCGGTACCGCGGAGATCCCGTTAGCGGCTATGTACGCGGGACGGGAGATTGATGCGAAGGAATTACCACTTAGAGTTGTGGGTGTTAGTCGGTGCTACCGTGCGGAAGCTGGATCGCGAGGCGTTGATACAAAGGGTTTATACCGTGTGCATGAGTTTACGAAAGTGGAGCTTTTTGCGTGGACGGATAATGTTACTGAGAACAGTACCACTACCACTACCACTACCACTACCACTTCGGATGGACTTTTCGATGAGCTCTTGGATATCCAGATGGAGATCCTCACTTCGCTTGGTTTGCCTTGTCGGGTTCTTGAGATGCCGACGGGTGATCTTGGTGCGAGTGCGACTAGGAAGCGCGATATCGAGGCGCTGTTCCCATCGCGGTACCGGCCTTCTGTGGTGATGGATTCGGAGGATATCGTTGATCCTGCGGTGCGGGGATTGGAGTCTGCGTGGGGAGAGGTGACTTCTGCGTCTATCTGTACGGATTATCAGAGTCGTCGGTTAGCGACTCGTGTTCGGGGTGGTAGCGTGAAGGAGTCACGATTCCCGCATACTGTTAATGGAACAGCGATGGCTGTGCCGCGTGTTCTGGCTGCTATCCTTGAGAATGGATACGATGCGGAACGTGGTGTGGTTGTTATTCCAGAGGTTTTGCGGCCGTGGATGGATGGTATGGAGACTATTGGAACTAAGCAGTGAGAATATCACTGTTTAGTTCGACTTGTTACTAGTACTTGGCGTTTTTTCTGTACAATATTGAAATCTTGGAGATATGTATGTATACGTGAAGATGAAAATAGACATGATCATTACTGTCATGGTGTTGCTATGAACTCTAGATCGTAGACATTCATTTCAAGGACATTTTTAGTAACCCAGACACCACCTAAACTGATGAGATATCCAAAAGAAAAAAAGGAAGTATTCATAACGTCGTAGCACATTAACCAGGCGAGTTCGGGGCATAGATCAAAAACCCATAACACCATGGGGAAATCAACACATAAATGGGAGTATAGCCAATCCATCCTATTTGAGCTGACCAGCAGCTTAAGACGAGAGTATAAGATGGACCACAGACGCCGGGATGGAGCCAACATCAATCCATCTAGAGAGCTGCGGGCTTGGATATCATAGATGAGCCCAGAATTATAAAAAGAAAAAAGAATCATGAAAAACGGAACAGTCAGCATGAAGGGTAAACGTATATAGCCCTTTCAATCAGGAGCTCCAAGGCAAATCAGCCTCTTCCACTCGAGTGCAGGTGAGATAAGGCAGTCCAATACCAGGCGTGCTTTCACTCCCGGAACTCGTACTACTCGATTCTGCGCCACCCTTCAGCTCCAATTCAAGGAAATTCCGCATGAGTGGTTTGACAATTTCACGAGCCAGCCGCTTAATCTCATCCATCTTGCGTTCGAACCTCTTGAGCGTCTCACGAGTATACACAGAATCCGCAGATGGAGTCGGATGGATCTTAAGGAAGCGCTTGAGTTCATCATGGGGTAGATACGCCTGAGACGACGAAGATCCAATCAGTCTGTACACGCGAGCCGCAGGATCAGGCGGGACGTTTGGTCTTGATGAGCTAGTTTGGGATCCTGGACCCGCTGACTGTAAGATGTTGGCTGTGGAGTTCTTGAGAATCGGTGCAGGTGGAGGTGTGGTGTTCTCTATCAGCCATTGGCGGAATAAAGAGACGGCAAGCCAGTCTAGATATGCGTTGTTCGGACCGACGCGTTCACCGCGAGAGGTAGTCAATGATAGGCGGAAGAGTTTAGATTCTACTCTCGCTTTGAGGTCCTCTAGGTCTTCGTATTTATCTTCAATTAGGTCCAGGACGGGACCTGGTAAAGGGGCGTATGTGCCGTTGCGTAGGTTTGGTAGGGCAGCTGGCCATTGTCCGACGACGTGGATTAGAGCTTCGGAGAATATCACCCGGCTGCGAGCTAGATACCCCAGCTTAAGGTAACTAGGAGGGTACTTGGCAATCTGCTTGAAGAGCCGCGAGCCAAATCCTAGCAGATGGTGGTCCACTCGAGGCCCTGTCACTGGGAGTGCGTCATACATATCAGCCAAGGCAAGCAGGGATTTGCATTCTGTATAGGCCGATGCAATGTTCACGCTATTTAGTATGGGTGGATGGTTGTAGAATAATCGGAAGAGATTATCATAGTCGCGAACTAACGGGTCCATCGTGCTATGGTCACTCCCTTCTGTTTGTGGAAGGTGTATCACCGACTGCATTCCCACCAAGTTTGCCATGGATCGGAAGTAAGCCGCCTGGGTATTGGATGGTTTGGTCATTGTTGGAGGGAACGCGGTTTGGTCACCACTGGTCATTGGGGCAAAGGTAGGTGGCTGTTTATAAGTTGCCAAAAGTTAGCGATATGTCTGGTGTCTCTTTTACCCCCTTGCGACTGGGATGTCTTTCAAAGGGGAGTTGTCTTAAGACCAACCTTCTGCACGAGAATAGGCTCTTCCTCCTCAGACCTGTTCTCCCAATCCAGCTCATATCTCCAGCGTCGTCTTTCACCCGGTCTCGTAGGAAGTCCTCCGTTTTCAGACTGTGCCAGGGTTGATCCATTGGAGAGCGAGGACGATTCCTCACTCACCCGAGACAATGTCCCATCCGGCTTCGAGGGTCCCGGGGTACTCTGACCCGACCATTCCTCATCTATGCTCGCCTCAAAGAAACCAGAACATTGCGCCAAGATCAACCCATGTAGTAGATATCGTCTTTCATGGGAACCCGTACGGATCGCGATCTCGGTGTCGCCCGTATACGTGAAGATTGGGAAATCGTTTGAGGATGTTGACAAGGAGCCCCCATGGTGGGACCGACCAGATCGATGACGGCGAGTCGAATGAGAGTGACGCGAGGTCACTGACGGAGCGCTTTGATTTGGTACCGTGCGATCGACGATTTGAGCCTGAGAAACCATTGCGCGCGTGGATTTTGTGTTTTGTTTGTCGTTCATGCAGGTCGCGAAGCAACAAAACGCCCTATAACAGAAGAATAGAGGGCGCCGGTGATCAACACCTAGTTGCGCCGAGTAAATCCGACATTCAAAACCATCTAAAACGAGGGAAATGAGAGTATGTGGGGGGTGGGGGGTGGTAGGGTTCAGAAAGTTGGTTTTGGTTGAGTGGATATCGCGACGGTACAGAGTGAGTGTGTACACTGATGATCTCCCCGCGGTACTAAAACACCGGTTATAGATAGATTGCAGAAAATCTCTTCCTTGTAAGTGGGTTGTTTTTGAGTCTTGTAAGATCTCAATAATCGGAAATGGTTTCAAAGACAAGATATTGTAAAAACAGACACAAAGAAACCCCTGGATATTGCCGGGTACCTGAATTGTGTACTCCGCAAGCAGCTGGTGGCGAATGCATCCTGTATACAAGACCGAAATTAGTAATGATCTATACCCCAAAGATGAAATCTGCTTAATTTTCATGCATAATTTCTATATGCGATCTATTTGACTAAAAAATCTACTTCTTATATTTTATCTATCATAATTATTTATCCAAATGTAGAGCCTATAGTCCATCATAGCCTACTATAGTATAAGCGGAGTTGTCGGGACTGGGCCTAGTAACTCTGGCGCCCACTCGGATGCGGATTCATTCTTTTTCCCCACCTTCTGCCCATCATTAGATCTTTTCTTTCCCAAGATCTTCTTGTTACTCATATCCCTGAGTTCGATCTTGAATCTGTCAAGGAACTTGAGTCGCTCTCGGTGGGTTGAAATACGAGGTCACACGTCCTAAGCCCCTCCTTATCCCCTTATCCCCGAGTCATCTTCGCCAATCTAAGAAATTCGTCATCAAAAAATCTGGCCTTGAACGCTTCCTTGCGGGACAGCTTTCATAGCTGTCCCGATCTGACCTCCCTGCAGATTTCTACTGTCTCTGCAGACGGTTACGATCCTGACGTGAACACCGAACCCTCTCGCTCTCCTTCTCCCGACCCGCTTGCCCCGCGCGGCTTCAAAAAACGTTCCGGTCGACAAGCCGTCTCCAGAAAAGCGCGTGGTGTCATCGGAAAGGTTCGCGCATTCCAGCGCATCGCGGCTGCTAAGATGGCGCATCCCTCAATCAAGATCGACACCAGCGTGCAGAGCACCAAACGCGGTCTTCCCTCCGATAATGATGGTCTCGATATGGAACAGGGGAACCCCCGCTTGGATGCTGGGAACACTGAGGACGTGCCACCGTTCCTATGCCAATCATTCACAGGTGAGTTTAACCAGGGGTGCGAAAAATGACAGGGTTGGATGCGCCTGTAGGAGAATTTCACCTGCACGTGGAAGGACAAAGGCTTCGTAACATGCGATCATGTTGAGATGAGAATGCGGAAGCTGACATCTTCATCTACCTGCAGAGATCCACGAAAAATTCGATGAACTTGAGTGGATCCAGAGAGAACGTATCCAGAGTGCCTCAAACGACCCAACCCACCCTTTCGCAACTGACAAGGACCCCCCGAGCCATAGCGCGCAATCGGTATCTGAACGTGTTGGCATATGCGAATAGTCGGATCCATCTGCAGGTTCCCGAGGGCGAGTGTGATTTCATAAATGCTTCTCCGGTTACGTTGAGGGACTCGGTCACCCTGAAGGAACAGAAGTACATCGCAACTCAGGTGGGTGATTCATCACATTCCATGCACGTTCCTTTGGCGGGGCAGATCTAGCGGGAGGGGAAGAACAATGAAGATGTTTCTTTACCTCCCTTTCGTCTGAGGTCGTCTTCATCTAAACTTAGCTGACTGTATAAACAGGGACCAAAGGATGACCAATTCGGAATATTCTGGCAGATGGTTTTCCAAGAGAGTATGGATGTGGGAGTAATCGTAATGCTTACTCAAACCTTTGAAATGGGTCGGGAGAAATGCGCCCAGTATTTCCCTTTGAATTCTGAAGACCCTGTAATGGACCTTTCATCGGATGATTCAGATCCCTTTGTCAGCACCCCAACATCAGACGAAACATCTGGTCCTGTGAAGACCGTTACCCTTCTAGATTACTTCTTCGATGAAGCATCCCGTTCTGAAGTCCGCAAACTGGAATTGACCTTTGGCGATGAAACCAAGATCATTTGGCATTTCCTGTTCGCTGGCTGGGCTGATCATTGCAAGCCAGAGGGACAAGATCGCGATGGCCTGCTGGAGCTTATCAAGCTATCGGCTTCCAAGTGTGACCCCGCTAACCCACGAGTGGTGCACTGCAGTGCTGGTGTCGGCCGCACTGGAACCTTCATTGCCCTCGATCATCTCCTGCGCGAACTTGAATCGGGTCAGCTGCTGCAGGTAACCGATCCCGAGGCTGATCCGATCTTCGATCTTGTCAACCACATGCGTGAGCAGCGTATGATGATGGTTTACAATGAATTGCAATGGCAATTCATTTACGAAGTCGTCCGCCTCAAGACCGATCAGAAGCTTGGCAAGTACGCCATGGAGTCACCCGGCAGCCAGACTGAACCTCGTTCCGCAAAGGTCCCCAAGCTGAGTGACGAAGATGAGTATGTTATACCGTCAAAGCCTGAATTGGAGCTTGCCCCAGGCGGAGTTCAAACTCCGATGCGAAGTTGGTCTGGAACCCCCAAGGTCTCTGACGATGAAGAGGCCTGAGATGCCGTCGCGTCATACAACCCCCCTTGCTTGTTTTAATATTTCTTCCCCCTTCCCCTCTTTCTTTCGCGATGTGATCATGACTCCCTTCATGCTGTACCTCAATTCCTCCCCCTCCCCCTGCATCCTATCATGGCATCCGGTGTTAAATTCGTTGTCTTCTTGAATTCCATTCTTACCCCCAAATTCCTTTACCCATTTCTCACTTCTGACCTCTTTTTTTATTTCTTCCCTCCAAGAAGTTTGCTCTCCTAATTCTCTTTTATTTTCACCAAATACCCCCGTCCCACACACAACTCAACACTTTATGCCCTTTGCGCCGTATGTAGTTTTATGCCCTGGCTGCCTAGTTCTCTTTTAGAATTGCTGTATACTAGCTCGATCCAATCCGTGTTTATACTTGCTTCTGAGTCGATTTCTGCAGCCTCCAGCATATTCTTTCAGCGGTCGGCGCATTTGAGTTTCCGAGGTTCTGAGGTACTATATGAGATTAAAGTAGCGTTGAGACGGATTATTGTACTCGGTGGTCCACATGTCCGGTCATGGCCTTTGAACTCGAGTTCAGCTAGTGCCAGTGGCCATCAATATAGAAGTTGCCTATTCATGCCTTTAACATCAATGTTGGTTCTATTCTTCAGTTATTGCCTACATACATAATGTCCTCACCTAGAACGGCTTGAGGATCGGACATAATAGCCCAGTAAAAATGCCCACCTGGGCAGTTGAACAATTGATTTTTCCCGATATCAGCACTAGTAATATTAGTATTCAGCTGTTACTATTAGTGCTTAGGCTATTACTAGTATCACTACTACTAGTATCATGATGAACTTGAATTGATGTTCAAGTTTTCAAAAGTTCGACATGAACTTGAAGTTGTACTACTGCCCAGGTGTTAATGGTCAGGTAGTGGACCTCCTGGGCTCGGATGTATATATGCCGACTCGGAGCCGTGGCATCGTTGAGGACTCCAAGTCGTCGGATTGATGGATTCAGTTCAAGTTGATCGTATGAACTTGAAAATTGGCAGGATTTATGCCGTAAACACCTTGGAAGCATGGAAACCCACAAGCCTCGAGGAATCAGCCTCAGAGTCTGGTATACTTCAACCAAAAAATTGATCAACATTCGTGCATCGGCTTTGTCATTAAGGATGGTGTGATAGCTGTACAGTTGAGAGGAAATCCCCCATCGCTCACATAACTGCATACATAAAACATTTCAATGCGTTGAGAGTGCGAGATTCACCTCCAGACTCTCTCGCTTTGAATGAAAGCCCCAGAAAGAAAATCTTTGGCGCCATAAAATAAACAAAAATGAGGGCTGCGGCTAAATGACTGGTATCATACCAACATGAGATCCATCAATAAACGCATGAATAATCATGAGAAGGAGAACGAAAAGAGAAAATTCGACTGGATACAACTCCCGACGAGCATATACTTTTCTCAAGGGAACCCTCTGGACTAAGTGCTGACTTCAAGGTCCACTAATCATTACGTTTCCCAGTAAGTTCCCCGTTGAGTCCAGCCGAGCTGGATTTCCGACCATCGTGATAACTTGGAGGGGAAGTCGGTTGAGATGGACCAGGACCATCCTCAGTGTCCCAATTATCCTCCGCGTTCTCGTCCCAGTTATCTACTTCCTGTTCCAGAGACATGACGCCGGATTCCTGTGGACCGAGGCCCTCATCGCGCAACGAATGGTCTCCAGCACCAACACCAAGCTCAATATCTTCATCTCCAACATCTGTCCCACCAAACCGGCTCTTACGGCGGCGATCTAACATGCGGCGGTGATACCAGCTGCACAGACCAACGGCGCCGAGACTTCCGACGACATTAGCGACAATGTCGAATGGATCGAAGGGTCGATCATTGGGAAGAAGGCCTTGAACAACTTCTGAACCGACACCAAGTCCAAGAGTGCAGACCAAGAGAGTGAGGTGTAATGTACGGCGACGTGTGGTGTCGAGGATCCAGTAGAAGGTCAGCGACAGAAGGAAGAAGGTAAACAGATGCAGGAATTTGTCATTAGGTTGGAGGTTGGTTGGAATTGTTGAGGAAGTTGAATGAGGAAGAAGACCGATGTAAGCAGCAAGAATAATTAGAAAGACAAATGCACCTGGATATTGAGTATATAAGTTAGCGTCTGGAGAAGGCGATCGCGCGATCAGAGCATCGTACCTGCGAACGGGTACCGGATCCGCATGATGAAGGTTTAAGGTTTGGATCTGGCAGGTCGGAAAAATGATACAACTCAGGAACAATGATTCACTAGTGATGCCTTTAAATCATCCGTGGTTGAAAAGAAGTGGCAGCTGTTAAGGTGGAGAGGTTGGAGTAAATGCGGAAAACGTGGATCAGATGGCCCCAGCTGTTGCCTTCTGCGTCATATGTGGAGAGAAAAAAGAAGATACGGGGAATTGGGAATTAATGAGATTCACAGTGGATCAATGGTGATCTTTCAATGCATGATTGAAGTAAATGAAAAAGGCAAAAATAATTAAGTCAATATGGTTTCAGTAAGATCCAACTAAGGGGAGTAGAGTGAATTGAGTCTCTTCTTGACGAAGTAAAGTTGAAGTGAATGAAGTCGAGGTCGTATCTGCCACGTCTCTCCGCCTTCGTGCCTTCCCGTACTTCAAACCGCCTCATCGAAACTAAGGCACTCTAAAGCTCCCATCTTGTTCATCAAACCTCGGCATCGTGCCATCATTTTTGGCCTTTCCGACATCGCTAGTCGATTTGACAAGACGAGAGGTTTCTCTTGATGCCTTTTACTCCCATTGAACCCTCTCAGTTGTGATTTACTGTTCCCGTGTTCCAAACCGTGGAGAGTCGAGTCTCGGCCGCCCCCAGAACCGGGGTTTTGGAGCGAGCATGTCGCTCGGTCCCAACGCCTGGCCTCCAGGCAATATTCGTCCTCCCGACGAGCAGCATGATTCGCCGAGACCTGTCAATGGCTTAGTGAAGACCTTGTCTGGCTCGCGCACTCCCCAGATACGCGGCTCCGTCAGCGGCGACGGCCCTAATGGCAGTATGACCTCCGAGCCCGATCTCGCTATCGATGAGGATGCGCGCCTGGGTCAATTCCGCGATGCCTACCGCAATTACGAACAATTCATCAACGCAAAATTCTCTGGTCGTTATGTCCCTACCAATTCGGCGCGTGTCGCAAAACCCGAGATCCACCCTGCCGACACTACATCAGAACGCGTTGATGCGCCGGCTGCCCCTGCGGCGAAACCTTCAAAGCCTACCCGCAAAATGGACGATGACTATGATGATTATGATGATGACGATGATGCGGACATGGAAGATGAGACAGATTTGCCCTCGAAGACCAAGTCGCTGCCCCCATCGCAAGACCCAACTTCTGCCCCCGTCTCCACCCAGCAGCGTTCAGGTACAGCTGCCTCGACCAATGGTTTGACGAATGCCGATGCTCCCAAGGAGTCCAAAAAGGAGACACTCGAAGATATTCGGAAGCAACTTGAAGAAGATAAGAAAGCTACCGAGGAGGCTGCTAAGCGGAGCTTCCACACCTTGTTCTACACCATGGAGAATGATCGCGATGCGATGTTGGATCAACAAAGATTGGAAGAGTCCGAGCGACAAGTTGATGCAGAGATCTCGGGCCAAGCCAACACTGGCGGAAATAATGCTGGCGGCGGTTCAAATGGATACAGCTCCCTCAGTAACACCAACCTTGGAGCATCCAGCTTGACCCTGAAAAACCTTATCGCCCGAATCGACAAAAAGCGTGACATGGTTCAAGCTTCCGACGCTGAGCTCCGAAGTTTGCTGAGTGAAGTGCGCAAGAACCGTAGCAAGTGGGCCAGCGAGGACAAGATTGGCCAGGAGGAACTCTACGAAGCTGCGGAAAAGGTCCTCAGTGAGCTCAAGGCTATGACAGAACACTCGACTGCTTTTTTGACCCGCGTCAATAAGCGTGACGCCCCCCGATTATTACACAAGTAAGCTGCACCCTTTCTTTTCCCTGCGCTCAGCTCGTGCTATTAAGTTCCATTGTACTGACATTTAAAAACCAGTTATCAAACATCCCATGGATCTGGGATCAATGACAAAGAAGCTCAAAGGCATCCAGTATCGCTCGAAACAGGACTTCGTTGACGACCTCAATCTCATTTGGACCAATTGTTTGAAATACAACACGAATCCTGAGCATTTCTTACGAAAGCATGCTCTTTACATGAGAAAGGAAACCGAGAAATTAGTCCCTCTTATTCCCGATATCGTGATCCGAGACCGCGCGGAAGTTGAGGCTGAAGAGCGTCGCCTCCAAATGGCCGAGCTCGATGGTGCCGAGGAAAGCGACGATGAGCCCATTATGTCCTCACGTGGAAGAAAAGCGCCGGGAAAATCATCCAAAAAAGGCACTGCGCCTTCCAGGAATACTCCAAGTGGCTCCGAAGGTCCCTCAGGAGGACCATCTAGTCAGCCTTCAGCTCCTGCTCGTGCAGATTCGGACACCGCCATGGAAGCGAGTCAGAATGGGTTTGGCACACCACCTCCTGGTTCTCATACACCTTCTGATCCCGCTGGTCCTGGAGCCGGTGGGGCAGTAAGCCATGCGGATGACACCATGGAACTCGATGGTCCCCTCCCATCAACGACTGCTCTTAGTGCTCTGGCCGGCCCTGGTGCTGAGTTGGAAGACCCTGAATACAAGGTGTGGAAACAGGTTACCAAGAAAGACCGGGCCCTGATAGCTGCAGAGCGTCATAGGTTGCTGAAAGGCGACAAGCTGAATCCGGATGAATTCGCTTTGATGAGAACAAAGGCTGGTATGCGCCGATGGCTCCGCCATGAAAAGCAAGCTGCTATCGAAGCTGATAAAATCCACGATGGTGGGTCTGGAGCAATGGAACCCGAGGCTGCTGGTGAGACACTTGCAGAAGGTATTGAAGGCGAAGAAGAAAAGATGATTCCATATTACTACGACGTCATGTCAGGTGTTCCCGATATTCCAGATTACCTCGTTTGGAAGGAGGATGCTCAAGGTAATGTGGTGGATTCAAGAGAAGAGTATCTCCGTGTTCTTCCCAAGGGGTCTTTTACCCAGCCTGACAGCAAGCTATCTCGGAAGCTGGATGCGAATATGCGACAGATGCAAGAGACTCGCAAGATATGCTCGAAGATTGGCATCGTGAAACAGATGCAGCTCCAATCTCAAGTATGTCTCTAAACCCCCGTCCTTCCTGCTTGCAAGAACCGCAAACTAATTCATTTCTAGATGTATCAAAACCAATTCCAGAAATACAACCCAGAGCCCTTTGTGGAGCACGATATCCCACCTCATGTCATGAATGACAATGGTCCTGTCATTGCTCCTGCAACTTGTCGCGCAGCATTGCAGCGCTCCGTTGCCAAAATCTTTTACCACACTGGATTTGAAGAGTATCAGCCAGCCGCCATAGAAGCCGCCACGGATATCGCCGCCGATTTCTTTAAAAAGATTGGCCAGACAATCAAGTCTTACATGGAAGCCCCAATGGTCCCAGCTACAGAGTCCCAGGACACTGCCGCACCTACTACAGAATGGAAACCGGCCTACACCCAGCCGCAGAAGATTCTCCATACACTCGGTACAGTTGGCATCAATATTGAAGAACTTGAGTTGTACATCAAGGATGATGTTGATCGACTCGGAACCAAGCTTTCGACCGCCCATGATCGTCTTAAGTCGCTGCTCACAGAACTTTTGCGCCCTGCTCTTGCAGATGGCGGCGAAGATGGTTCTAACGTGTTCCAAGACGGAAGCGAGCAGTTCGTTGGTGGTGATTTCGCTGAGGATATCGATGAAGATTTCTTCGGATTCAAGGAACTGGGCCTGGACCGTGAATTTGGCCTATCCAATCTGAGTGTGCCGCTGCATCTGCTCCAGAATCGGATGTACAACGCGGCGCAGTCACAGAATACGAATACAATTCAAACCGTCACCCTTTTCCAGACGCCACCGCCATACTCGCGCATTTCGGTGGATAACTTCTCAACCCACATCGGCCTAATGCAAACTTTCTTCAAAGGCAAGCTGGATGCCAACGGAGATGAACCCCTTGTGGAAGACCTTGAATTGCCCCCCGAAGCAAAGACCAATGGCCGTCAAGCCCCGTCTACCAGCATCTGGTAAGATTCCGCCTATGGCTGGGGTATCAGGGCCTACATCGAGTCCTCAGAAACGACCGGCACCTTCCAATGCAGTTGGAGGTATCAAGATCGGACTTGCCGAGCCGAGCAAGAAAAAGGCCAAGAAGAATAGTGGTGTGGCCTTGGAGATGCCTAATTTCAACTTCGATGGAGACGGAGATCAGGGCGACTCATTTGATGGGGCTGATGTTAAGCCCGTTGATGGTAATGCCATGGGTGAGAATGTTGGTGATTCTAATGTTTCGCAACCAGAACATGTTGCGTCCTTAACAAACGGTACCACAGCATAAATTAGGTAATAAGATCGTTTTTATTATTATTTTTCTCTCACCTTCTGTTCCAATTACAACTTCCTTTCCCTTCACTTTGACTTTTCTTTATTTATTCCAATGTTTGATTATGTCGCCCACGAACGATGATACTGCCATTGCGACGACCTCTAGAAAAAAACCCAAATTTCCCAGTTCTAGGAGGGATTTTGAATCACTGTTTCATCCAATATCCATTCAGTCATTTTTTCCCTTTCCTCTTCCCAATTCGAGCTATGTATTATGTCTTTACATTTTTCTTTCTGATATTTGGGGCTGTCATTGCATTCATCATCTTGTATTCCACACCTTCAGCCTCCGACTCTTGATACTACTTTCTCCTTCCAAGGTGGTTACCATCTACAAGGCCTGGCATGTACCATACTATACCATTTGAGCTTTCTCAATGGGTCGAAGCACCACCATTCTTCAAGGTGATTGAGCATTCAACTTATTGAAACTTCAGATCCGAGTCCTTCCAGGGGTTGTAAATTTCATAGTTTTTGTACATCGTGCGCTACTACTAGAAACTTTCACCTGGCATATGTAGTATGTAGAGGGCCATCTACTGGTACTGCCTATAGTAATAGCGGTCTATCTAGTCGTCAACTTCCAAGGTTGAAGTTATCACTCACGTGCAAGTGCTCAAGCTTTAAATTTTACGAGACGACTCTTCGGTTAGTTTACAACATCCATTGAGCATTAGATATACAATCTTGGAAAGGAATGGTTGGTGATAAAGCCTTCAATTTTGGGTGAACTAAATAATGATAATGAGAAATGTGGTCCTCGCCACTAGATCAATCTGTATCAAGTCCGCCTGCGCCTGCATCTCATCCATGTTAAACCCTTGTGGCTGGCAAAGATTCCATATGGCGCAAAGACAGAGGGCTAGCAGTCTCGATTCACGATTTCCAAGCATTGAAGATAGAATAAAGAGCAAGGAACAGACACTGCTTTTTTGATAGGTACCGTCAATCTCCGCGATGGAATCAGAAACTGGGAAGCATAAGAGCCGACCAGAATTGAACCACCAATGAGCAAAAGATTGGAAACAATTTTTGGTAGCAGGAAATATGACATAAAGGAAGGAATGATAGCACCAGGGCAAACTCATTGTTGAACCTCCTTCCCAGTATTCGGCGCATTGCAACAAAACATGCTGGCATTCAAGTTGACTGTGTAGGCCAAGAAAAAAAGAGGTCAAGGCACATATTTTAGCTGCACAAATAATCAAAGATCGAAGGAACTCACAAATTTCTGGCGGGTGAAACAATCTAGATCCACCACATTTTAAGCGGAAGCCTGTTCTCGGAACCTTTGATCTCGAGAAGTCGTTGCTTGACAGCATCAGGATCATCCTTTCCTGGCTTAAGCATCGAGCGCTCCTGTGTAATCTTCGAGCCACTCTGCATGCCGGAATCGACGGACACATCCTCATGGTGACGAGCACGAACAGAGATCAGGTGCGAGTAGTAAATGGATGGGTGAATGGATACAGGCGTGGTCGAACGGACATACTGGTAACTCTGCTCATAAATCATGTTCTGAAGCTCATCGGGCTTGTGGCCAATCTCATCAAGCACGACCTTGTAATGAACTGGACGTGCAGTTCCCTGGAGAGCGGCATGAGCATAGAGTAGGAAGTCCCAACCATGAGGACTGGTGACTTCACGGTCAATCAGAGTACCGGGGAGAGGGTTTCCATTCCTGTCGCAGGTCTTCGGGTCCTTGGGATTGGGGAAGGCTCGAAGGTGATGGCGCTTATTGGCAATCACCACACATAGCTTGCCGGGTATTCGACCAGACCACAAGCTTCAGCTGCAACTCGACGGATTGCAGGGACCTCACGATTGAGAACACCCTTAACCTCCGAGTCCGAAACGCCATCGCGGAAGTAGTAGATATGCTTTGGGGGAAACTTCTTTTTCCCTACCGTATCAATCCACTCTTTCAGAAGGGGCCCCAAAATCTCTCGGATGTTCAACTCCCGAATAATTTCGATCTTGTCTCCGTTACACTGAGCACCTCCCATGTAGCTTATGCCGTTGGTGTCGTTTGAGATACACATCGCCGCCAGGGATGGCGTCCACACACCCAGAGTGGGATGGGTGACATCGCCACCGATTATCACCGAATGCGGACGAAGAGTTGTTTTCTTGGAGGTTGGAACTACACGGTTGGTAACACCACCAAGCTTGGCATTGACCTTCATCAAAACATTGGAGTTGTACTGAGGTTTGTTCTCCTTGCAGCGGACAGAATGCAAGACCTGAGAAGGGACTCCGAATCGGCAATCAGCGGACTTCTTGATGCGAAGATAGACAAACGCATCCTTGAGAGGCACTATGATGATCAGGAGCTGTGGCTCTTTTTTCCATGCATTTCCTGTCTTGTCATAAAGCTCCTTCATTGCTTCGCCAACATCCTCCTTCATCTTGATCGTCATGGGGCGGCTTGTGACATTACCGCCATGCTGTTTGTAAATCTTCACAAACTGATCCAGCCAGGCTTGAACTTGGTCAAAGTTGATGTCATTACGAGGACCAACAAAATAACCGATTCCCCAAGACTGCAGTGGCTCCGTGTTGGACTTGAAAAACTTTTTTCCACGAAGATCCCAGCGAGCAGTCGTACCCGGATTATGTTTAGCGTTCCCAAACTGGATCTCGGGGCTAGGCAGAAGTCGAGCTTTGACCTTCATCATCTCATGCCCAATCCTCATGCCGAAGCGAGTCAGATTTGGATCCGTGTCGTGCTTGAGAAGCCCCTTGCAGTTGATGATGTGATTCAGACGTTCGATGGGCTTCTTTGCAGTGTATTTGATCATGTCAGAGGTCTGAAGATCCGAAAGCTTGAAAGGCCATCGCTGAAGCTTCTTGATAAGCAGAAATTCTGCAGGGTAAACGACGTTTTTTGCGGTCATTTTCACTAGAGGTAAGAAGGGAAACTCAAGATAAACATTGTACTTCCATTTAAAGTAGCCCTCAACAGACATTCTCTTCTCGCTGCCAGTTGCTCGATCCTCGATAGTGAGCATGTACTCCCTAGCATTTCCATTGACTAACTCCTGGATCTGGAAGCTCTTGTCCTTGAAAGGACATTCCTTGTAGTCAGGTGTGACTCGCAGACCCTTGATGTACTTATTGAGTTTGATGAATTCCTTGGTTGGCCATCGTTGCTTGTCTGAATCAATTCGGGGACGGAGCTGCTTTGCCATGTCAGCCTCATCAGTGGCGTCAAGAAATGCCTCGCATTGTAGCCATAAGGCTAATGCGAGAGAAGAAGACGGCATGAGCAGCATCCAAGTTTAGCAAAAGGCCGTTGACACAAGGCCGAATCATTTGATAGATTCCGCGGTAGCAACTAGCACCCGAGTAGCCTCCAAGGGCGTAGTGGAACTCATAGTGCAAGTCCCTGGTTTTGGGGTTCTCAAAAAGACCATGGAAAAAATAGGCTCGCTTGTGTGCCACGAACTCCGTCGTCGGCCAATCGCGGAGCAAGTGGTCAAGGAAGTCTGAAAATCAATCAGTTTAGTGCAATTAACATTTCTAAAGGTAAGGAATACATACTAAGTGCCTCAATGACGGTTGAATCGAGGGGGCGCTTCTTTTGAAGCCAATGATCGATGACACTCAGGTAGATCTTGCGACGAGGCAAAATCGAAATCATCAGCATTTCACGGTGAACGTTACCCTGAGTGCCTGATTGGCGTGTCGAACCACCCTTGTACTCGAATTTCTCATGGATCCCTTTTTCGACGCAGATAAGAGACCTGATATAGTAAGTACTTCACTCCCCAGGAAATAGTCGTCATAAACAACTCACCAAGCTGTCTTGGCCCCATCATAAATTGCATCAGGAAGCTGCTTCTTACGGGAATCACAATTGAAGCTGCGGCGAAGAACCCGGCGATCTGCCTCATTGCCAGGACCAGAAAGAACAACAACCTACAGAATTATTAGCTTATTTTTATGACATTCTTTACCAAATCAAATGTAACTGACCTCATACTGATACACTGGCTTCGTTGGGAAGCTTGTGATCGGCCAGGTGTTCATAGCAACTTCAATTTCCTTGCCAGACGTGTTGTATCCAGGACGTTCCATAGGACGTATTTCCTCGCGCTATCCAGAATAAGCGTGGTTAGATTAGTATATCTCTTATGTTTTTGTACTATCAAGCAAGAGAGAGGGGTTGGGAAAGGAGACGGAGAAATGATCTTGAGAACTCACCGGCTCACGGTCTCGCATGAAACAATAATATGGGATATAGGGGGGCAGTCATCTGGCCATGTCCGGGGACTTCAAAGTCCACGTTGACGTAGTCTTTAGGAAGAGACTCTGCAGCTCGAACCAGAGCTTCCTCCATCTCCTTAGCTTGACGCGGAGGAGGAACATAGTCGCGACCTGCATTTCTCTGAGAAACAAGCTGACGCTTGGAGGGGGAGGATCCAGTGTCGGAAGAACCAGCATTTCCACTTCGTGGGCCTGTAGCCTGCATTTTGCTGCCATGGCTGCCATGGCTACCATGGCTGCCACTGCGGCTAGAATCCATCAGAGACGTATCCGAACGGTTTCCGGTGCTGTGTGCCTGCATTCTGCTACCACGGCTGCCACGACTGCCATGGCTGCCACTGCGGCTGCCACTGCAACCAGAATCCATCAGAGACCCATCCGAACGGTTTCCGGTGCTGGGTGCCTTTCCTCCACCAGTCTGACCATGAACCTCTTGATCTGTCGGCTTCATCGTGTCGATTTCTACTTGAAACAATGAGAATTAGCGGGAAATTTCTCTCTTGCAGGCATAGAAATTCAAAAATGTGTGATATGATATTGGCGAAAACTGAAGACAAGACAACGAAGTGGGGTGTGTGGTGTGGTGTGCAAATGAGTTTCTTGAAAATGCAGGAAGATAGTCACCTGAGCCCAAGAGCGTTTGTATGGCTGTTACCTGTGAGCTGTCAAACTGTACCTGGAGTGAAATGACACGAGCTGTGCCGATATGAAGGGTTGTATGAGAAGAAGCAATGTAGGATATGAAGATGAGAAGCAGGAATGAGTAGATGATACGAGAGGAGGGGATAAAGAAAGAAAAGTAGAAAAAATTCAGAAACCTGAGGGCTTGCTGCGATGATATTTGCCCAGTTGCCTAATGCAAAAGGGTAGATCAGCGAGGCAGTTCAGATTTCGGTGTTGGTGCGATGGGGTGGAGACGAAGGTCAAGAGCGAAGACAAAGGGGGCTAAGTGGAGGCTTGATGAAGAGGCTTGATGAAGAGGCTTGATGAAGAGGCTTGATGAAGAGGCTTGAGGTTGAGGAAGGAAAGAAGGGTATGAAGAAGGTATGAAGAAGGTATGAAGAAGGAAAGGCGTAAAGAGGAAGGAGAAGAGCTTTTATAGTAGGCAGGTACGATGGATAGGACCAAGTTGCCCAGAAGGACGAAGAGCAGTCACGAGACAGAGAATGAGGAAACAACAAGTGAGTGAAATTACATCATTTAAATCAATGGTAATTGCCTGGAAATTTCTACTTCAATCATATCAAGTCAGCTCTATTTGTAGAGACAAAAGGAGATCTAGATTGCCGTCAAACTCCTGGAATCCAAGGACCATGTTGCTCTCTCTTAATCTTTATGGTTCATTGAATAACTTCATTGAATCAAATAATCCTTATAGAATCTCTCATATTATTCATTGTAAGATGTCAAATGAATGTTGTGGGAGTAGTATGGCTATGTTGAATTACCACAGTCTGTTTATTAGGGCACGGTATCTGAAGGAATGCACGCTGTCTTCTAAGCTTATTGAAACCTTGGAATGAGAGAGCCACCTTTACATAGCTCAGTCACATTGCTTGCGGTAGGAAACTCAGATCAGTGCTTCAATTTTACCATATATCTTGCATTGATCGAATTCTCACCTTGGTATTGGGTTAGGCTTCTCATCAATAGTAGTATGACATTGTAGGTAGCCATATAACATTAAATACGTAGTAAGTGCCTAATGGAGCTATTCCAATCTTAGAATACATTCAAACAATACCATTCATTATCTCATGACTATTACTTTTTCATACCAAAGTCTGGAATCTTTGAATAGCTAGTGATGATGATGACCACCGCTATCCTCTCTGTCACTGGCAATACTAAATCTGTCTCTTAAATTTGGTCTATGTTGAAGCTCAGATTCTCTCAAAAGCTCATGAGGTACACAAGCCCACTTTGCGGTGACCAGAATTCAATCAGCTTAGACTTCTTTTCATTTGTTGATATACTGCATGATTCAGGGTCATGTCATATTTGAATGCAGATAACAAGTGTAGTCCATAAATCCATGGACTCGGCGGACTCAAGTTATGTCTTGAAAACCGATCGGAACCTCATATTTATCCCAATAATCTTGCACAAATGAACTACATCAACCTAGTATGAAGTAAGCCGGTAGGGGATATCCGTTGAGGTACCGTGGGGACATACTGTGGACAATGTGGAGTGCCCTATGGAATGCAGTAATGTGACTAATGTCTCTGTGCATTATGGATCTAGGACTAATTTTGATCACCCCAAAATAAAATCCCAGATAACAAGTAAAAGAGCATCAGGATTCAAGATGTTCTTACTTTTTTTCGAATTCATTTCTCCTTATTTTTTACTTTTTCTTCACTTTTTTGAAGAGATAAAAACACGTAAAAATGCCTTCATTGGGCGGTATATCATGGCAGAAAGTGATATACCAGAAATCTTCAAGTTCTCCCCCACCTGGGCACTTAAAGTGATACTCTTGAGTTACAAGATTTTATTCTCGCTATTCAAGGGGAATTTCAATGGCCGGTGCTGCCAAAAGAAGTATGCCGGGTAACTCAGATTCGTCTAAGCGCCGAAAGGTACATGTGAAATCCAGATGCTGCATAAATCAGGAATTCTGACATGATCAATAGGGCGAATGGAAACAACAGCGCAGTCGGAATGACATCGAAAGTGGTGAAATCGGCGTCTTTGTGACTTGTGAAAAGGGCAAAGAAAGTAAATGCTGCGCCGAGGTTACAGATATCTTCTCCGACGTGAGTGTCTCACTCTCATACAATATGCAGCAGCGGGGTGTCTTTTTTTTAGGAGAAAAAGGAAAGAAATTATATTAACCCGTTCTGATGGGATGTCTGATCTCACTTGCTTACTATGAAAAATCAGATCATTGAAAAATCAGCCGAACATGGCGCAGATGAGGACTCAGATTCCGATGATGCTGATATCGAAGCCCAAATTCAAAGAGAGCTCGAAGGCTTGAGCGCCAGCAAGAAGAAATCGCGTCCAGTCCAAACCATGCAGCTAGATATGCCCTGTGGTACGTTCTTGCATATATGAATGACGCGGCTATTGCGCCTTCAATTCGAAGACCAATCACATACTAACTCTCCATCAGTTATCTTTGCCCGACTTAATGATAAGTCAGTTGATCCAGTTGAGCTAGTCCATAAGCTGTGCGTCGATGCACAAGCCAATCCGGATAAGAAGCAGAGCCGATTCATTAAGCGGTTGACTCCGATCACCATGATCAGGAAGACTCTGAGTGTGGATCTAGAAGCCTTCGCAAAGGAGATTCTCAAGCCACACTTCCACTCCGGAGGTCCACCAAAGAAGGTCTGTTCCCTGTCATACAGCCACGCTATGGGCTTCTTCTTCATAGTATCGGCAGGATCCCGGAATTTCCTTTTTCTGCAATTCCTAATTTCCAAAGCTGACTGACCTTGTGCTGAATAGTATGCTATCCGACCCACTGTGAGAGGTAACAGCAAGATCAATCGTGATACTATCATCAAGACTGTTGCCGATGCCGTCGGCCCTGAGCATCCTGTGGATCTTAAGAATTACGATTTGACTATCCTGGTTGATGTTGTTCAGGTAAGCGTGCTTATGATGCATCATAACCGGCCTTCGCGAAGTCTAACTATCTCTTCATAGAACGTCATCGGAATGAGTGTCGTAGGAAGTGATTATGATGATTTGAAACGGTATAATATTGCAGAGATTTACGAGCCTTCACCCAAGGGACAAGCGACACCGGCCAAGACTGAGAGGGAGCCAGAAGTGAAGCCTTAGCGTGAAGTGCATTAAAACGAATTCCCATCTGCACGCATTCAGACATGAAATACGAAAACGAGAAAAAGGATCACTACGAACCAAAATCAAATCGCTGCACATGCCCAGCCTTGCAGGTGGCATCCATAGTCAGGCCCAATTTCCTGCTAACCCAGGGGCCCACGTTTCTTACACATTCATCCTGCTCAATGCATCAATCATACCCATTTTATTAACCTTCAAAATCATACTCGTGCTTCGTATCCGCGAGTTTTTCTATTTGGCTCCACAATACATAACAGAGTTTGCAACCCATTTTGGGTGTCGAGTACTCCGTAGAAGAAGCCGAGAACCCGAACACCGTCGATCAATGGAGTCAGGGTCTTCCACGTCTACAATAACACGGGATTTATTTGGTAACGGCCATTTAGTATCGTAATTGTCCCGGTGCGTATAGTGGATAATTCGAACTAATTAACTCCGTTGTATGCCCGTTAAGTCGCATTGTGGATCCCATTTTGATTAATTTTCGCTTGATGGCACATGAACATAATCCACTAACGCATAATGTCTCCCAATTACATCTAGGCAGCCTTGTTCATGGATATAAATTCGTCAGGAAGTTCTACCACTTACTTCTTTTGTTCTTCAAGATCCACACGGGTAGACCCACTAGGAAATTCGGCAAGAGACAATTGTTATTGGTGGATTCTTAGTGCTCGGATGCACGATATCGCTGAGAGCGGGATCCTTAGGCGAGATTCTCGGACGTATTTCTTCTTTTCTTTAGTCTTTGCTCATCCTGGTTCAAATGCTCAAGTTATTAGTCGCTCTTGAACTTATTTGCAATTTAACAATTTACCACGATGTTATGGGTCCATGGGTCTGACACGAATCTTCTCTCGGTACTCACCTTGTCGTACTCCGTCTATCGCCTATAGAGTACGAAGTGGTCAGTACTAAGTGGTCCATTTTCAAACCTCGGGTGACCTCCACCGTTCCATCTCTCGCGTAGCTTAACCTACTATAGTCCTATGTTGGAGACAAGGCCCGTGGCCACTTTCCCCTAATATCCTAGGGTTACCGTGGGCATATGCAAAGATGGCGGTCTGGTGGCTCCCCTCTCGGTTCTCTCTCGGTTCTCTCTCCACTGTTGAATGTGGATTTCTATCTAAAAGGCAAGGTAGCAAAATCCTTAAGCGTGAATGATTTATGTAGATCAACTATCTCCTCGGAGTATGGGTCGCCTAGATCTTATTCTTGGTGATCTACATTCAGTGCATATTTCCTTTTTCTGTATATCGCTTCTTTCCACCTGGACACCTGGTCACCAAACTACATATCGGAATGCATCTGTCTAATGTGGTCACACAATCTATTACTATTCCCCCGAAATCAAGGGAACATAACATGGACACTCGAATTTCGCATAAATCTAACAGGGTAGTCAATGGAGAGGAATATCAGAAATTGAATGCCGTCCTCTCCTTACTCTTCCCCTCCACAGTTCATGTGCAACAATCCCAGAATATTACCGGCCGAACACACCTACTCCGCCATCTACTCCTTTCAAATGGGGCTCGTTTACTTCTCAAGGGCTCTCCTTCACGGGGAATCCCTCTTCTTCGAAACGAACGCTATTCTTTAGAGACAGAAGCCCGGTTCTTAGCTCTTCTAGGCCAAAGTGCCAACCCCTGCATTCCACAACTCTACCATTATGACCCTCAAGGCAGGTTACTTGGATCCGCCTATTTAATACGACAATATATGAAAGGAATAACTCTATCAGAAATAAAGACCGAAATCACACCCCAACAACAAAACGACATCGACCGGCACCTCGGGTTCCTGGCTAGTACAATCGGTCAAAATGTGGCACCAGCATTCGGCTCACTACAACAAGTAGCCACAGGTACAGGAAGGCGCTCCTGGCGCGAAGTGTTTTGTGCCCTTTTCGAAAGTGTTCTCCGTGATGCCGAGGATATGTTCATTCACCTCCCCTACGCTGATATCCGCCACGAAGTGAGCCGGCTCTCTATCGTTCTCAATGAAGTTACATTACCACGTCTGGTGGTCTTTGGGTTTGGACGACCGTCACATGTCCTGCTGGATGAGAATTCTCATCAGGTCTCTGGTGTGGTGGATTTCAGTACCGCATTTTGGGGCGATGTGTTGATGGCGGAGATATTTGAGAACCCTACCACTGCTGTGCTAGAGGGGGCTGGTTTACCATCGACCAGGACTAAGTGGGAGGAGATACGGCTATTGATGTGAGTTATAAAATCCTCTCTTTTCTCTCTTCTTTGACAGCAATACTCGACTTCAGGGCTCTCGCTATGATATTAGTATTTCCATGGGTGTGCGCTAACTTCGAGATTCTCATACCTAGGTATTCATGTTACCGACTGGTAACACAGATCACTATACAATATTATCGCAATCGAGATGAGGCGAAGGAGTTTGATGCGCGCCGAAAACTGCTGGCGAGGATTACGGATATGGTTGCTTTGGAGCCAGTAGCACCTGCCAATGGACAACGCTGAGGAGCCCCTGGAACCGATCGATTGACTCAAGTGCTGTGATTTTGAATGGTTAGGTGTTTGAGAAATATCCTTTTTGCGAATCCTGCATATAGACATGCATTCAAGCCCCTGGTTAAATCCGATGGAGTAACTCGGATGCTACAGTGATGAAAGTATAGCCGGATGTGGAGCCGTTATATAGTTTTCGTTCGGCATGGGCCGGATATCTCAAGCCAGTGGGTTTTCAAGGCGCTTACATTAAATTGCATTTGGTCAAGGTCATATCATGAGAGCGATATACTTATCATCTAAATTTTATTTCCTCCCTTTTCAATACTTTAAATTAAAGACCAATTAAAAGGTCCAGTCTCATATAAAATATGCCCCGGATGAATAAGGCATTCCCCCCTGCGGCGTTACGGAAAGCGGGGCAGATCCTTTTAGTCTCTCCGCCATGTCGTCAGCTGCAACTTGAACTGTTTCTGCAAGCTTGACTTGCTTCTTTTCTTTGTCCATAATCTGCCACCCAAAGGTAGCACACCATGGCGCAATTCTTACGAGGCAAGCAGGCTGGAATTCAGAAAGATCTCTCAGAGGGCTTGTCCCCAGAGCTTTTCGCTCTTGACGACGTTTGTCTTGGCGCCCCAGGCAACTTTTTTTTTATGATGATGAAGCTAACGCCCTGTGATGCTAGTTTGAGCGATGTGGTCTGAATTCTCAGATTAGCGTGGTCGCATACGATCCAGTTCAGTCCCTCCTCGCCGTCGGAACCAGCGATACCCAGTTCGGGAGCGGTCAGATCTATGTCTTCGGTCAACGGCGCGTGTTGATGGTCTTTAAGTTGCCGCGCAAGGCCTCGGCCAAGTTCCTCCAATTTTGTGCAGACAAACTCGTCAGCATAGACTCCAAGAATGAGATCAGCATTTATGGGTTGGAATCGCGCCGCCTGGTGACCTCTTATGCACCACCGGGTCAAGCTACTTGTCTTGCGACAGATCCAAGTCTGGACTATGCCTTTATTGGATTATCAAGTGGTGGGTGCAATTGATAACAGAAGGAACAAAGAATGACTATATTAATTATTCTTCTTAGGCGATGTGATTGCGTATGATCTCGACCGAGAGTCCCTCACCCCTTTCAAAATCCCCAACCTATGGCTTGCTCAAAACCCGCGCTCTCGACTGTGTCCCGTGGTATCCCTTGCTTTTTCTACCAGAGATATTGGAAAGATCTTAGTTGGTTATCCCGAAGGAGCGGTAACTTTCACCTTCAAGCAAAATATTGCACAGAAATACTTCATCTATGAGATCCCTCCAGGGGCTCCAGGTGGCGATCCAGCAATGGCTTCGAGCGGCCCACGCAGACCCAGACTGATTGACACTATCTGGCATCCGAATGGAATTTTCGTATTGACTGTACATGAAGACAGTAGTCTTGTTCTTTGGGACTCCAAGGAAGGCCGCAAGCTTCATGCTAGAACGCTCCAAGCTACTAATATTGATCAACCGGGCGGCGGTCGAACAGATGCAAGCGAAGCAAGTGGACCCATCGAGCCCATTACCAAAGTCACCTGGTGCGCCAAAGAAAACCCGGATGATACAGGTCTCCTCATAGCTGGTGGAAAGCCCGTTCAGGATGTCAATAAGGGCCTCACATTTCTCGACATGGGTCCTACACCTAATTACCAGACCTCTTCCTGGCAAATTCTTAGCGGCTATCTAGAGAGGCCAAGGCGCCAGATAAATATCCCAATCCCACCAGGTGCTGTTGCAAGCACCTACTGTTTGATTCCGCGCACCACTCCATACTTTGCTGGGGCTCATGACCCCATTGCTATTCTTGCTGTCCTTTCTTCAGGCGAGTTGCTCACTATGAGCTTCCCAAGTGGTCATGCCATCACACCGACAAATATGCTTCATCCATATCTGACCTTCGTCCACCCATTTGTGAACAAGGCGACTGTAACACCGGTTTCTCGCGACGTCTGGCTCGGGCTGAGAGAACGGCGGTCACAGGGTCCAAAATTCGTGTTTGGCGGCGCTGAAGCAAGAAACCCCCCTCAAGCGATATGAGGATCGGAATATTATTACCACTGCACACGCGGATGGTACTATTCGTATCTGGGATGGAGGAAATGATGACGAGATTGAGAATGGTGACACAGTTCAAGTGGATTTGGCTCGAGCTGTAGGCCGAGTCCGCAACGTTGAAGTCAGCCAGTTGTCAATGGCGAGCGGGACAGGTGAAATATCAGTTGGTTTGACAAGCGGCGAGGTTGTTGTCTTCCGCTGGGGTAATAACGCTGCGTACGGCCAAGAGGAAGCACCGGGGGCCAATCAAGGTCCCGGGCGCTTGACTCCAATCACCAACCGGACAGATCCTGGCCTGAAGACGGGAATGCTTCCATTGACGCTATTGAATATGCAGCAAGGAAGTGTTACGGCGTTGAAGCACAGCCCAGTTGGCTTTGTCGCTGCTGGATTTGAGCAGGGAGGATTGTCTATCATTGATTTGCGTGGCCCGGCTCTCATCCATACAGCACATCTCTCAGATTTCCTCAAAGCTCCAAAGAGGAGCAGCTTCCGAAAGCCCAGTCGCTCAGACAGCACACCAGCTGAATGGCCTACTTACATTGAATTTGGCGTGATGACCTTGGAGGGCGAAGGTGAGCACTATTAAGCTCCTGCAGATGCATGGATAAAGCTAACCTTCTTGACATTTAGACTATTCTAGCATTTGTTGCTTCGTTGGTACCAACAGAGGAAATGTGGCGACATTTAAGATTCTTCCAGCGGCCAATGGAACATACACTGCGGCGTATGCCGGACTTTCCAATGTCGAAGACAAAGTTATTAAAATAATTCCCATTGATACAGACTCTGGTGACCAGGCCCTCGCCACACCCAATGCTGTCGCTGGCTTGAGAAGCGGAACCAAGATCAATGGTGTTGTGATTGCAGTCACAGTCTCAGGATGCCGCATATTCAAGCCGCCAACTGCCAAGGGCGCCCACAAATCGTGGGATGATTACCTTTGTGATTCGGCTCAAGTTGTGAAGTCCGAAGGACGAGGCTATAGCGTGGTTGGACTATTCGGCGATGGAAATGCTCGCGCATTTTCTATTCCTGCGCTCAGAGAAATCGGTTGCACCAAGATTAGCCAGATCGCTGACATTCGACGTCTGCCAGAGGCATGCATCACACCCACTGGTGGTGTGATGGCCTGGGCTGGCCCTTCACAAATTGCTATGTTCAACGTGTGGGGTCGAGGAACTAGTTTGTACGTCTTCACCTGTCTACTAATAACGTAGGAGAAGACTCTGTTAACATGATATTTAGGGCCCCCTCCCAGGACCGTCTCTACGACCCTGCAAAATTGCTGCCCGCTCGTCCTACGATCACCAATATGCAATGGATCTCCGGCACACAATATATCTCACCAGCCGATATGGACATCCTAAGTACGTTTATCCTTGCCAGAGTCAAATACAGCATTATCTAACCAAGATTAATTACAGTCGGAGGCGTTGACCGTCCACCTTCCAAGCGCATGGTCGAGCAAATGAAGCTAGAAGAAGAAGAGCAGCGCAAAGCCCTCCGCGAAGGCCGTGCAGCGCCACAAGCACAGGGTAGTCAAGAGGGCTGGGGAGCATACATGTCACGCCAAGTCCAAGAACGCACGGAGCGTCTTGGGTTGGTAGGCGACACAATGGATCGACTTGAGGAAAATAGCAGTAACTTTGCCTCGGATGTGGGCAAGTATGTGAATAGCCAAAAGAAGAAGGCTATCTTTGGCGGTAAGTGATCTTCGTTTCTCTCGTCCACTTGGATCTTTCTTCCTTGAAACTTGTCCTGTCTTTGCTGTGATAGCTCCCCCCGCTCTAAAACCCCCTTGCATATTTGACTTGAATGGCACTGACCGGTTTTTCTATAGCCCTGGGCTCGAAGTTTGGAATCTAGTTTTTAGTGTTTGTGGGAAACCTTGTACAGGAGGACGGCTCAGGCTTAGACCGAATTACTCAAAATGAAGCTATTCGTTATGGATTCACCCTAGGTTTTTTGGTGCCCGCGGGCCATTGTAGTTGTAAATGAGTTTGATTTTACGAATTGATGAATTTACAGGTCGTTTAGTATATTAAAGTTGCTCATAATGTCGTTATACGGAACCATGCATAAGAACCCTGGCTGTAGCAACTTGAAGTCTCGGCTTGGAAGCAAGCTGGAACGGTCCGGGCATTCCAAAACGCAGATCAGCATCATGGAGGCAAGCTCCCACAAATGGCCATGAAGCACGAGCTCCAATTCCATTCGCAATGTACTTTGTAGGGTCAAACATTGAAATGTCTTAAGGTCACTACCAGGTGGATAGTGCGAGGAGAACAGCAGCTGCTCCTACATACTCTACATTACAATCGATATGTTCACGTCAACTCGAATAGATCTACGAAGAAGATATTCGAAACATAAATTCTATTTCGGAGCCCTGATCAACGCCTTGGTTGGAAAAGGGATATTGTTCAATAAGATCCAGATGTCATAAGCGTAGCATACTGATTGTCGTCATGCATGGAAGAGTAGAAGAATGGAGCAAAAAAGGTGCAAGCCAGGGATGAGAACGGGGAGGGAAGAAAAACAAAGAAGTCAGACCTGATCGTTACCCGGGCAATAAAATCATATCCAGGGCACAATCTAGTGCACCATGACCTCGGGTTGAGGCTGGTGAGCAGGCTTGGACTCATCCTTCTGCTCGGCGTCATCACCCATCTCAACATCCTCGTCGCCTTCACCGCCCTCTTCTTCATCAAGCTCATCATCGTCATCATCACTCTCCTCCTCGAGATCTTCACTGCCAGCATCGGACATCTCATCTTCTTCCTCTTCTTCCTTGCCAACTGTTTCCTCAGCACCTTCCATCTCCTGATCCTCACCCTCGTCAGGCTTGTTTGCCTCCTCGAGTTCCTTGACAAGAGCAGCTTCCAGCTCGGCTTCTTCTTGACCGTAGGCATTGCTGTCGTCCTCAAGGTTATCAGCCTCGGGTTGGTCAGGTGGGTACTGTGCGGGGGCAGATTCGTCCGAATCCCTAATAAACAGAATTAGCATGCATGGAATAGATACAGAGCGTGTATAGTCAGAGAGAAAGCATACCATTTGATAGCGAAGCGAGTCACACGGGGCTTCTCAGCAAGGACATTACGGCGGATACGGTCAATGGCAGGCTTAGCCGGTGGGTCGGCGATCAGCTCCTCAGAGTCGTACTCATTGTTGACATAGTAACCGACACGAACGAACTCGCGGCCATCGTAGCTGCAAGTCAAGAGGATAACAGTGACACCGAGAATCTCAGAGGGAGGGATGCGCTTCAGATCGGGGGCATCGGCCTCGAAGATGAACTTGTTTGTTCCGACCGGGATGGGGCCAACGAGAAGGGAGTCAAGTTCTTGGTCATACTCCGATCTAGGGATGTTTGTTAGTAATATGAATCATCGGATCGAGAGGATCTGTATAGTGTTGTGACGGCTAGGAGGGGCAATGGGTCGGGAATAACATACGAGGTGGCGGATCCGACATAGGTCAACTTCCACTCGAGATCTAGGGATTGGGCATTAGTGAGTAGTCATTTAGAGTAAGGAAGAAATAAAATACCTTTTTGCAATTGTTCCAAGCACTCGAAAGTAATTTCAAATTGGTATGATGCAGTGAAAGTGGCAGGGTTGTTGAGGATTTTAACCCCAAGCAGAGAGACGACGGACATTTTGATAGATGGGGGGTAGTGTATGTACGAAGGGAAGTGTAGGACGGGGAACAAGTGGGAAGGAGGTGTGGGCACACTTTATAGGGCGGGGTGGGATGGAACGGGAAAGGAAAACAATAATAAACAATAGCGAGAGCTAAAAAAGACCGCTAACTGATCTACTCTTTTCGCTTTTTTCACCGCAAGGAATGTAGTGATCGAGTTCTATGCGAGGGAGACAAGAAACACGCGCGCGCGTCCCTTGCGCGTTGACCGCCCACGTGACATGCAGACTCAGCTTCAACTTCGCCGATTTGGGATTGGTGCACCGAGTCACTTCGAGTTGGTCAAGGTCCATTCAATCTTAGATGGTGGGACAACCAGTGAATTGATTCAGTGACTGATCACTGAACTATCTCTTACTTTTCCTCTTCCCCCTCCTACATTCTCCCTCATCTACTTCTTCTATCCAACTTCATCTACCCCATCTACCTTTGTTTCCTTGTTGCTTTGTTACCTTCTTCAAGCTTCCCCATTTTACTCATTTATTGCTGAGCGCATCAACAGGGTTTCGCTATCTTGACCATGGCGGACAGTGACGCTGAGCAAGCCTTCTTTCAGGCTCAAGCTATGGAAGCTCAATTGAACGATCCTGTCGCAAGTGAGGATCACACCCCAGACAATGACGATGATGACGAAGAATACGACCCCTCCAAAACTCTGGACGATCAATACCAGCTTTCTTCCGAGCCTTACCAGCATGAAGGTATCAATGATACTGAAGATACCGAAGATGTGGAAGCTGATGAAGCTGATGCTATCGATCCCATTCCCTCAGAAGTCGAGACTGGCGCCGTCGATGTTGCATCGGACCCTTCCCAAAACTCATCGCGCACCGAGTCTCACTCATCCTCCCCAGCTCCACCCGCAAGTGTCGCCGTACCCCAGCCCAGAACGATTGGGGGATTTTTAGTTGAGGATGATGAGGACGAGGAAGACCAAGATGAAGCGGACTATGAGCCGCCCGCGGCATTGGAGGTGGATGACACAAATGCCATGCCTATGTCTGAAGATCCAAGCTCAGGAAATGCAATTCAAACTTCCCCTGATGTATCATCGCACATCGCTATGCAGGGCGTTACTTCCATGCCAGATGTTGCCCATAGTTCCTATTCTCCTGTTCCCGTTTCTAATATCGATCCCGCGGCTTCTGCCCAAGCTTCATGGACTGGCGCCGCCTTTGATGCGAGCCACCAGAACAGTACCGTTCCTACCCCTGTACCTGATGAGTCTGCTGCTTCCAGAGGTCGTTTGCCTCATGACCGTGTTGGTATCTTGCAAGACCGAGTTAACGAGGACCCTCGAGGTGATCTTGCTGCGTGGTTGGAATTAATTGCTGAGCACAGGGGTCGTAACAGACTTGACAGTGCGCGCGAGATTTACGAGCGATTCCTCAAGGTTTTCCCTATGGCGGTAAGCAGTTTTTTTTGGAATATTTCCTTCATTTCTTTCTGGCCTGCTTGGATATCCAAAATATGGATGAAGCTAATTCATAATTACTAGGCCGACCAATGGGTCGCATATGCGACAATGGAATCCGAGCTCAACGAACTCTTCCGCCTCGAGCAGATTTTCAACCGAACCCTTCTCACGATCCCAAGCGTCAACCTGTGGTCTGTCTACTTAGACTATGTCCGTCGCCGAAACCCCTTGACGACCGATACCAGCGGCCAAGCGAGACGGGTCATTTCATCAGCCTACGATTTGGCTCTGCAGTATGTTGGAATGGATAAGGACAGTGGAAACATCTGGACCGATTACGTTGAGTTCATTCGCTCTGGCCAAGGAACTGTCGGTGGCTCAGGATGGCAAGACCAACAGAAGATGGATCTACTGCGCAAGGCTTACCAAAAGGCCATTTGTGTGCCCACCCAGGCTGTCAATGGTCTGTGGAAGGAGTATGATCAGTTTGAGATGGGCCTTAACAAGTTGACTGTATGTGTTTCTCCCCATTTGGCGCCTATTCATTAATCTGACTTTGGTACAGGGTCGCAAGTTTCTCCAAGAACAGTCCCCATCTTACATGACAGCTCGCAGCTCCTACACTGAATTGCAGAATTTTACTCGTGATCTCGTCCGCACTTCGTTGGCTCGACTGCCCCTGTCGTTGGATCGGAGGGTGACGTGGAATATGCACAGCAAGTTGAAATCTGGAACCGATGGATCGAATGGGAGAAAGCGGATCCTTTGGTATTGAAGGAGGAAGACCCAGCTGCCTTCAAAGGACGTGTGGTCTATGTCTACAAGCAGGCTTTGATGACACTCCGCTTCTTGCCACAGGTCTGGTTCGGGGCTGCCGAATTTTGCTTCCAGAACGACCTGGAAAACGAGGGCAACGAATTTCTCAAACAAGGTCTGGAGGCAAACCCGGAGAGTTGTTTGTTAGCTTTCAAGCGTGCAGACCGATTTGAAGTTACATCGGACTCGGAGCAGGACTCTCAGAAGCGCGCCACCAAGGTCCGAGAACCTTACGACATGCTGCTTGATGCCCTCTACGAGTTGATCACCAAAGCGAAGGCTCGAGAGACTCAGGATGTGGCTCGGATTGAGGAGACTTTTGCGAGGGAGAACCCAGAGAGCCAGTCCACTCCAAACGACGACGAGGATGATGGTATGCCCAGCGAAGCCAAGGAAAAGCAAGCAGCCAAGAACGCGCAGGTCGAGGCGGTCCGGAAAGCCCATTCCGTTCAAATCAACTTACTTTCAAAGACTATTTCTTTTGCCTGGATCGCCCTTATGCGGTCTATGCGTCGCATTCAAGGCAAGGGTAAGCCTGGTGAGCTGGCTGGTTCTCGTCAAGTCTTTGCGGACGCTCGAAAGAAAGGCAGAATCACTAGTGACGTTTACATCGCGAGCGCCCTTATGGAGCATCATTGCTACAAAGACCCAGCAGCTACTAAGATCTTTGAGCGAGGTGCTAAACTGTTCCCTGAGGATGGTGAATTTGCTCTTGAGTATCTGAAGCATCTGATTGATATCAACGACATTATCAGTAAGGTTCAAATTCCGGTCCGTTCGTTGTAGAAGATTATCTAACTTGGTTTATAGATGCCAGAGCTGTCTTTGAGACCACCGTCCGCAGATTGATTTCGAACCCTGAGAACGTGCACAAGGCTAAACCCATCTTTGCTTTCTTCCACGAATATGAATCCCGCTACGGTGATTTGGTCCAGGTAATTCATCTGGAAAATCGCATGCGCGAGCTCTTCCCCGAGGATCCTGCTTTGGATCAGTTCTCCCACCGTTATGCTACTCCTTCATTTGATCCCACGGCTGTTCAGCCTATTCTCTCCCCGACACAGACTACTCCAAAGACTATGCAGACATCCATTCCTCAGGAACCCCGTGTCGACATACCACCTCCTTCTAGCTCGCCTAAGCGACCTTATCCCAGTGATGGCGATTATGAGTCTGATCGTCCCCGCAAATTTGTGCGTGCCGAGTCACCAATGAAGGCAGCCCAGAGCCGCCGCCTTGAGCAGCAGAAGCGCCCCCAACAACTCAATGGGCAGATGACATCTGCGTATAAGCCACAGGGATCACCCGCTCCCTTGCCTCGCGATGTTGTCCATCTTCTCAGCATCATTCCTCACGCATCCGCCTACAACATTGCTCGCCTTAACCCCGAGAAAATGATCGATCTTATCCGCCGGATTGATCTTCCTACTTCAATCGATCAGATTCCTTTACTCGCGAATGCTCGAAACACCGGAACAGCGCAAGTCCAAAACCAATACTCCGGTAAGATCCAACTTTCTATTCTCATCATGATTGCCTACTTAAAAAACGTAGGTTCCTACCGTTGAGTAACACTCTAGCGCGCTTCATCATTTCTCTCAACCTCTGTGCATAATATCATCACCGCTATGCCCCTTCTCAAAATTCTAATCGCCAAGGCGTGGATTCAATGACCCTTCACCGTCACGCAAATGCCCTTCGTCTTCTTCCAATTCCAATCTTCAGGTGAAACAAACGTCTTTGAAATTTGCATCTGCCGGCGTCGGTCTGACTCGCATTTTTTGTTTCGTGCTTTTTCTTTCTTATTCCCCTCGGCTCGGGACCTTGCGATCTTGTTATTTCCCTCTTCGTTATCTTCATATCTAGCCTAGCGGCTTTTTCACTGGAGGATTTCCTCCGTCCTTGTACAGTCCCAGACAGTGCAAATACGTCAATGAAAGGACCCGCCAGATCCCGGTCTGGTGGTTGTTTCTTATCATCTTTTCTTTCCCATTAGCTGTAATATCAGAATCTGTCACAACATCCAAGAAGTAATCTGAGCGTATTCCAACTTGAAGGATGCACAGTACATACTGGAAGATAATTTGACCACAGAGTACTCCGTAGACCGGTTCTAGATATCCGCAGCCCAATTTCATATCTCTTATCTATCTTACCCCGGACTATTCCAAGGTTAGATCAGCACTTGAGTGAACGCAATGCATAAAGTATAGGGTTTCAATAGTACTTTCACTAATCAACGTGCTTTATCTTCAATTTTTAATTGCTTTATTTTTTCTGTATTATTTTTAGAATATATTAAAGATTGATCTAGACTCACTCTCAATTGTACAAAAGTAGCTCCATATGGCATGACATCAACGGGCCAATAATGACGTAGTCCTAACAAGTCTTAACCAGTCTCACCTTCATGTATCTCGACTTATTGAGCTTATCCGGCAAATTTCATTCCGATTTTGCCTTGTTTTGGTAAAGGTGGGGAGATGCCGTTTGAATCGTGCTACACTTGTGTAAATCCTGCTATTTAGTCTCTCACTTTTCACCTCTCACTTTCTTCCACTTCCTGTCTTCCCAACCTACCTCCACCATGGCGTCTACTGATATTGCTACGCGAGAGCTCCAGAACCCCGTCGATGTTGCGGAATATCTTTTCCGCCGTCTCCATGAGGTTGGAATTCGAGCGATCCATGGTGTCCCTGGTGACTACAACCTCTCTGCCTTGGATTACCTACCCAAGTGCGGTCTTGACTGGGTAGGAAATTGCAATGAGCTCAACGCCGGTATGTTATAACCAAAGATTCCCATTGATTGATGCTTACTCATAACCACTGATCTTTCTCATAGGATATGCCGCGGACGGTTATGCACGAGTCAAAGGAATTAGTGCTCTTATCACCACCTTCGGCGTGGGTGAATTATCCGCTGTCAATGCAATCGCAGGTGCATACTCCGAGTTTGTCCCGATTATCCACATTGTCGGCCAGCCGACGACCAAATCACAGAAAGATGGAATGCTGCTTCACCATACGCTCGGAAATGGCGACTTTAATGTCTTCAACAAAATGAGCGCGGCGATTTCTTGCTATGTTGCCCGTCTGAACGACCCTCACGATGCCGCAGCCCTGATCGATAGCGCAATTCGCGAGTGCTGGATTCGCAGTCGCCCTGTTTACGTGACTCTGCCAACCGATATGATCTATGCCAAGGTTAACGGGGACCGCCTGAAGACACCAATTGACCTTTCACTGCCTGAGAATGATCCCGAGAAGGAGGACTATGTAGTTGATGTCGTTTTGAAGTATCTTCGTGCAGCCAAGAATCCCATCATTCTGGTCGATGCTTGCGCGATTCGTCACCGCGTCTTGGATGAGGTTCACGATCTAGTTGAAGCATCTGGCTTGCCTACATTCGTTACCCCCATGGGCAAGGGTGCGGTAAATGAGACTCACAAGAACTTCGGGGGCGTGTACGCAGGCAATGGATCCAATGCTGGAGTGAGCGAAGTGGTTGAGTCCTCGGATCTTATCCTCAGCATTGGAGCCATCAAATCCGATTTCAACACTGCAGGATTCACCTATCGTATTGGTCAGCTGAACACGATTGACTTCCACAGTAACTTTGTGCGAGTCCGTTACTCAGAGTACCCCGACATTAATATGAAAGGTGTCCTCAGGAAGGTTGTTCAGCAGATGGGAAAGCTCAGTGCTGCTCCTGCCCCTCCTATCAACAATACTCTTCCTCAAAGTGAGCAGTCCTCAACCAGTCAGACAATTACCCACGCTTGGCTTTGGCCCACAGTTGGTCAATGGCTCAAGGAGAACGATGTGGTTCTCACCGAGACTGGTACCGCCAATTTTGGTATCTGGGAAACTCGATTCCCGCCAAATGTGACGGCGATTAGCCAAGTACTTTGGGGTAGCATTGGGTATGCACTTGGATCCTGTCAGGGTGCGGCTCTGGCTGCCAAGGAGCTACACAACCGTCGAACCATTCTCTTTATTGGAGATGGCAGCTTCCAGTTGACTGTGCAGGAGATTAGCACTATGCTGCGCAACAAGCTCAACCCTATCATGTATGTTTTCCTTGCAAAAATTACCTGGTTTCAAATAGACAGCTAACTTTGACGCAATTTCCAGCTTTGTTATCTGCAACGAAGGCTATACCATTGAGAGATACATTCATGGATGGGATGCCAAATACAACGATATTCAGCCATGGGACTTCGTCAATATCCCTAAAGTCTTTGGTGCCCAAGATGGATACAAAGGATACCGCATCAAGACCAGAGATGAGCTGCACAAGCTATTCGCTGACCAAACCTTCCGCGATTCTGACAGTCTTCGAGTAAGTTAAGGATTGGATCCACAATACTGATTCAAAGAAATTGAGAATTATGGGCTAACATAATTTGTAGCTTGTGGAGCTGTACATGCCTCGCGACGATGCACCCGCCGCCTTGAAATTGACTGCCGAGGCCGCGGCCGAGCGCAACAAATAGGCCGGCGGCATAGTCTCTCTACACCGATGTTTCAACCAAATAGGACTAAGATCGGCAACTTGAACCCCGCGCAGTGGACTGGATCAGAATATTCTCCTTCATTCTATGCTTTTTACTATTTGTTTTTGCTTTTTCACGGCGTTTTTCTACCCAGTCTATTAAACGATTACGACTCCTCTCTTACTTCAGAACCAGAATGGAATTATTTTGATCCAAGTTGGAGTTAATGTAGTGGTAACCCAGTGGATATGTACGGAGCTGCCGAAGTATAGCATTCGAAGTATTAGTGGCCCTGTCAATGAGTAGTGGTTTTCGTATTAAACAGCACTTATACCACTATGTATCTCCGAGTTTTATCTGAACTTTGAAGGTGGCCTCAAGTGCTTATTCAATATGTTTTGTAAACAACTGAGGGCACATGTAGTACGGATCAGGGGGTACACGCCTAGTAGGCGCCGGACATGGCTAGCCACTCGGACCATGCGCCACGATGTTTCAGCTGCTATCTCCAGGGCTTGGCTCTTTACGAGATGCACACAGGTCAAATCGTGATTTAGCAAGGTCTCACTCCATTACTGGTAGCCGGGTCGCCTGAACAGTTTTTGGACAAACTTGAAATGATTGCTTACTAGTATATGAAGAAATCGATTGATCTGATCTACTTAGTAGCTAGTGGATATAAAGGCAAGTTAGGGCTCATATGCCGGCACTAGTTCTATAGTACTATCTTAGCACTGGAGGTCCTCACCCTGACAGCGATAAGACTAATGTGATATCCCTTCATTCCAAGGTGAATATGACAGCTTCAGATAGTAACATTTAAGTCAAAAGTACTTTTGGATCATAACAAGGTGCAGCTATAAGTGCCATACAATTCTGCACCACGTAAGGCTTAACGGGTTCTCCACTTCATAGCGGGCCCACGTGACGATCCCCAGGCGCCTAAAAAAGAAGAGTATCAAGAAGATATCTTTGTTCACTATCTCATCCCTGCGATCTCGTCGTGGTAAGTTTCAAGTTTTTTTTTGAATGTTGGGAGAAATTATCCGGCGCAAGGGAGTTCAACTGGAATCTTACCTCGCTTGCTCTTGCTTCATACCCGAGGGCGATCTGGTTTCTTTTGCCCCCTCCTCCGACCCCGATCATCCGGCTGACCATGATTGTTATTGATTCTAGGATCGAGTTCAACATCTCTTCGTGGGCTGTTGTTCGACCAGACGCATCGCAGTTGCTCTTATCGTCCGAATCACTCTACTACTCTCTTGTTGCGCCCGTGCCAACAGATCGGCGACAATCAAATGCTGCCGGGGTGGAAAAGCATCCGACAATTCTACTTCTCGTTTCACAATCAGCCGCTCGATCCTGAATATTGTCTCTTTTATCCTTCGCCAGTCCAGATTCGCATAGTGCTGCTTATTGAGAAAATTTGGGCAGCCTTCAAATTCGAAGAATCGAATCGATATTACTTTGTGATGCGGATAATACCTGCGATAAATACCAACAATCTCTATACTTCTTGTCGGAGGCCTTCCATCCGCATTGTGGACCGTGCTCTATATCCGCTTGGACTGTGAGCGCACTTCCGGTTCACAATGGACGGCCAGCGACAACAGTATTTTCAATCGATCCCTCCTCCTCCCCCCACGGCCTACTCAACTTCAAGCTGTGAACATAACGGGCTTTCCACCACCGCCGCCTCCTCCAGGTCCACCACCGGTGCAGCAGGGATATGCTCAGCCATGGCAACAGCCAGCATACGGTCGCCAGGTGCTGACTTCTGGCTACACATTGTCACCTCCAGCAGCATACGCCCAACATGCTCCATACAAGCCCGCTAGTTTCACTGGTGTAGACCCAGCTTACACGTCGGCTACATACGTCCCAGGCGAGCCTCCGCTCACCTCGGCGACCTATGTTCCGGGGAATGATACTCTTGGCGGCGGATTTCCTCCACTGTATGAGCATTCTCATGGGCGGACTAACTACGACCCGTATGCACAACAGCGTCAGACAGGAGCCCCGGTGTACATGGATACAGCCTACAATCCGCAGACTCCAGCGGTTAGACCTGTACAACAGCCACAACAACCATTCGCCATACACAATAATTACCATGAACTGTCGAATGAACATGTGAACCCTCAGCCGCAGGTGCCTACTCAAGCAGCCGAACTCACCAAGTCACCCAGTCATCGCCATAATACCAGTGGTGCGTCACTAGGTGGACTCTCACCAAGTGAGGCTGCGGCGCAATGGCCTCTGGACAAAGTTCTACTTTGGTTGGCTAAAAATCACTTCTCCAAGGATTGGCAAGATACGTTTAGAGCACTTGAGCTTCAAGGCGCAGAATTTCTTGAGCTAGGTCTCGCTTGGGGCGGACGTGGAAATATTGGAAAAATCCATCAAGTTGTTTATCCTCAACTAGCTAAGGAGTGTGTCCGTAATGGTACTGGATGGGATTCCGAACGTGAGCGCATTGAACGTAACGAAGGTCTGCGCATCCGGAGACTCATTCGTCATCTTCATGATGGAACATCGGATTCGTCTATATCTACGCCCTTGCGCCAGGATCCACCACCATTTTTTGATACATCGAACCCTTACCCGCGTGAGCCTCGCTCGGCCATTGAAGGGACAAATGACCTTACTGCAGAGCAGTTGGCTGCCACGCAAACCTCCTCCGCGGGTCAAAAGCAAAACACAGGAACACGATCCTTCACCACCCCAAATCCCACGGGTCATGGCTCTCCTTATGAATCTCCGTTGCGGGAGAATGCGTCTGGACGATCGGAGTTTTCACGGAACGCTTTGAGCTCAGCCCTGAATGACCATCGGCGCCAAAGCCCGTCTATCTCCAACGACGCAGGTACGTTTTCAGGCTCGACTCTTCGACCTGAGAATAGTCCCAAAAGCGGCAGTCCTGCAGCACAGTTTGCCTCTCCGTATAACGGACATGGACAGGCATCATCATCCACTGGAGACTTGCCACTCAGGCAGGATCATTCTCGTGGAAACAGCACAGATTCAATTCCTGGCGTTGGTCGTGGCCCTTCCTCTGCTATTGGTGGCCGGTACTACGAGAATCGTAAACCAGGTGAAGGTGCGCGCCCATCGCCCCAGGGAGACCATCCGCATGGCTATTCAAAGGAACACGGCAAAGGATTCTTTGATAGGTTTGATCGTCTCAGAAAGAAGACAAGAGGTACCGACTCCAGTCATCCATCGCCTAGAGAGTCGGATCTGGAACCTCCAAGCCCAGGCGAACATCATTATGTCCCGTATTCGATGCCGGGTTTTAGCACGAGTGATTTGTCTGTGAACGAGCGGCCGTTGTCGTCAACGCCAACGAAGACAAAACGATGGATCATGGTCACTGTAGATGGTGAGAACTATCGCTTGCTCGATATTACGGACATGGAATCGTCGAGTAGCCTACGAACCGGCATATGCAAAAGGTTGAGCATTACGGATTGGGGCAGTGCTCAAATCTTCATCACTGAACCAGGCCAAAGCGACCATCATGAGCCCATGAACGATGAATCTTTGCTACGCTTCCGCCGAGGCAAATCAGATTCCAACGGCGCCATTAAACTATTATATGTCAAGGGATCTCAGATGGCTCGCTTATCCGCAGTTGAGGGTCTTGGGGTTTCCATAAACACAACTCCACATGAAAAGCCAGCTTTGTCACCTACGACCGCTCACACACCGATCACTAGAAAGCCCCTAGCAGACGATGCCAGAGTCTCACCACAAACTCAACTTACGCCCAGCTCGCCTTTCTCGAGTTCTCGACAGCCTACATTGAAGGCCTCGAGTACCCCTGGTGGAACTTCAGCGGATCCTCTCAAGGATGATCTATCTGCTCGGCATGAGGCCTATAGACGTGAGGTTGAACGGAAACAGGAAGAGAACCACATTTCACGGCACCCACCGTCTCCTCAATTACCACGAGATGGTGCATATGGTGAGAATGGGTTTAGAAGTACCAAGGTCATCGATTTCGACAAGCGTCGCGTTTCGCCATTTGAGGAGAAGAAGACATCACCTTATGACGATAAGAAGGCCGAAACACTTGTGCCTTTCCGGAAACCACCGGTGGCTCCCAATGAGTCAACTACTCTGACAAAGGTCAACTCCCTCCGAAAGCCTCAGTATCCTCAAACGCATGGCCTGGGGGCTGCTCTTACCAGTATTGGTCGTATAACCAGTGCCATTGGTACACCGGCGACCTCGGTTAACACTACCTCCACGCCTTCTTCTGCCAACCGTGACAGTGCTGGATCCGACTCTGACAGACCTCCGACGCTTGACTCTGCAGATACAGCTTCAAGCAGGACAACATGGGGTAAGTCCTCCTTTGAACCCAATTTGATTTGTTGGGTGCGAAGTATATTATATGCTAACGAATTTATTTTTCATAGAATCCCAAAGTGGCACCCGGAGATCTGGCCAAGGCAATGAGAAGTCGCCTGCGTCATTCGCTGACCCTTCACGGAGATCATCTCTACAATCCCGCAAATCATTTGGGCCGGAGTTCGTCTTTGAAGAAAATGAGGTCTCTTTCCAACGAACACCTCAGCCAATGGACGATTCAGATGACGATGACTCATCTGATGATGGCTTGTTCATGGTTCCTCTTAAAAATGAGAACACTGTCGAACCTGTACAGGAGACGAAGTCTTCACGAGAAAATCTCAGAGTCGACACAAATCAAAGAGGACCTCGAGTTACATTTGAATCCCCTGTCAACCCGGGAGAAAGTTCTGGCGGTGAATTCTCTGACAAGCAGGATCCTGGAACTTTCTATCATGACGGTTCCCCTGTTGAAGAAAAAACCAACAAAAGATTCTCAATCGTCAACGACGATGTCTGGGCTAGTCGTCCTGCTGTGGAAGGCGTTATTGATAACCTGGACAGCTTCTTCCCTGGCGTTGATCTTGATGCTCCTTACTTGGATGAGCCAGCTTCGCCAAACACCAAGGGTCATCATGATGATTCAACCCTCAAAGGAAGACCGGAGCATCCACCCCTATTCCTTCATCAAGTATTGACCCTACCACTCTCTATGGTACTGATACCTCTACTATGCGACCACAGGCAGGATCCAAGATGGTTGCAAACAGGTTGATGAATCAAAGTGGAGCAGGTGCAGGCGGCGGCGGTGGTGGTCTTGGACGGACCAAATCCATTCGACAGGTGGCACGAGACTCTCATCGCACCAAGAGTGTCAGTTCATCCGGGCCCCAGAAATCCGGCATGCTGCGTCGCAAGAGTACCAAGATGTTCGGTGCCAAGATCATGCAAATCAGTCCTCAGCCTGGTAATCGACTCAGCCGACTTGACCCTATCCCTCAAAATGTTAGCCACCCAGAACCCAGTGGATCTGTTCCGCAACGCCAACCTACCTTCCGTATCATTCGCGGTCAGCTTATCGGCAAGGGTACATATGGACGTGTTTATCTCGGCATGAACGCGGACAATGGTGAAGTTTTGGCGGTAAAGCAGGTTGATGTCAACCCTCGGATTGCAGGATCGGATCGAGATCGCATCAAAGAAATGGTCAATGCTCTGGATCAAGAAATCGATACCATGCAGCATCTTGAACACCCGAACATCGTGCAATACCTTGGTTGCGAGCGAGGTGAAATGTCAATTTCCATCTACCTCGAGTATATTTCCGGTGGTTCGATTGGTAGCTGTCTCCGGAAACATGGAAAATTCGAAGAGAGTGTCGTGAAATCTTTGACTCGACAAACTCTGAGTGGATTGGCCTATCTGCACGATATGGGTATTTTGCATCGAGATTTGAAGGCAGATAACATCCTCTTGGATCTGGATGGAACCTGCAAGATCTCTGATTTCGGTATCTCGAAGAAAACAGATGATATCTACGGTAACGACTCAAGCAACTCCATGCAAGGTTCGGTCTTCTGGATGGCCCCGGAGGTTATCCAGTCACAAGGCCAGGGCTACAGTGCTAAGGTTGATATTTGGTCTCTTGGCTGTGTGGTACTGGAAATGTTTGCTGGTCGTCGTCCCTGGAGTAAAGAGGAAGCCATTGGCGCTATCTTCAAGCTTGGGAGTCTGGGTCAGGCTCCACCAATTCCAGAGGATGTCAGTGCAAATGCTACAGTTGCGGCACTATCATTCATGTGGGACTGTTTCACTGTGTACGTTTTATCTCCCCCACCATCGCTCTATTTTGATTGTGGTTGCTAATTATCATTTCAGGGATTCCGCTGATCGTCCTACTGCCGGTACTCTGCTCACTCGCCACCCCTTCTGTGAATCGGATCCAAACTACAATTTCTTGGATACGGAGTTGTACAAGAAGATTGGATTGCCCGCGTCTGAGTCGTAGAGCTGGTCTCGACAACTTATTTGGCTTGACTTTCTTGAAGTATATCAGCTTCATGCTGCATTTTCAAATAATTCCGTTCTAATATTGGTTTTGTTCGTACACATACCCCCTCACAGTTTCTTGTTTTTGAGCGAGATGAAGTAATTGGGAATGGTTGCGGTGGATTACGGTTTCATGGTGCCTATGGTCGTCCGGAGTTTCTTGTACATATGCACTTCGACTATGTCATGTTGAAATGTTCAAAACGCTTCAACTGCTAAGCAAGATATCGTCCTTTCACCCGATGCATTTCATCTTGATCTGATTTCCATGTAACTTGAAGCATGAGCCTTCAGTCATCGTGTAGTATACAAGAATGAGAGATATTGTAGTGATGCACGCCGCGCTATTTTCATATGGTATCTATAGAAAAGAACGGAAAGAAAAAGAAACTCATCTAATCTACGAGGTTGTACTCGAAAGATCATCATCATCGACTTCTCCATCCGGTAAACCAGCAACACCAACTCTGAAAATACTCTCACACCACTCCCCAAACGTCTCAACATCCCACACCGCATCATCTCTACCCTTCCCATTCTTACTAAACGGAAGTCCACCCTTGCCCTTCTGAGAAGAAGTATACTTCTCCAAGAAATCCTCATAAATTTGAATCGTGCGATCCTGTACTGCCCCAACAAGCGTCTCCTTCATCCTCGTATCATCTATATATTCATTCAGAATCTTTCTCAGAGAAGGAACCTCCTTCTCGATAGTTCGACAAGAAGGAAGTATAAGTTCTCCTGTGACTAAATTCCTCGTATCGATAAACTTCACTGGTAACGAAGCAGTCATCCGTGCCGCGAACGCATTAATAAAGTCGTTGATCACAGTCCGCAGTCGTCCGTCGAGTTCGACTTTGGCGTCGAGCATATTCTCGACGACTCGAGGAATCAGACCGTGTCCTACGAGACGCATGAGGTTTCGGGGGTTGAAGAGACCTCCTCGTTCGCGGAGTTCCCAGAATGTACTTGTCACGCCCGAAAAGTCGAAGGAGACTTCTGGTGCGACGTATTCGATGTCGAAGGCGACGATTTGTTGTTTGAGGATTAGGAGGTGGCTCATGAGGAAGAGTTGGCCGTCGGCTGAGGTGGCTTTGTTGGAAATTAGGGTACTGGCGTTTTGGAGTGAGAGAGTAGTTTGGTGGACAATATTATGTGCAAGGTCATCAAAGACGGTTGACTAATGGTGAGCATGTTAGTTGACTGAGCACATAGACGATTATGATTCCGTTTGAGATGGGAAAAGGCTTACGTTTACGAGGCGGTAGATCCGACTAAGGAGCCAGATCGCTTTGCGCAGGGTCGGGTACCACCCTTTGAGCGCAGTTTGGGTTTCAAAATCCCATTTACCATCCTTTTCTGGTGCAGCCTCGTCACCTTCTGTGGTGGGTTTGGTCATATCGATCATCGTATCCGCTATAGTATCTTTCTTTCCTGAGATTTGTCCATCGGTCACTGTTAATGAGACATGCCGACTGCGCATCGGATAATCAATGTCTTCAGGTTTGGGCTTATATCGTTCAATCTCGTCGCGGAGAACGGCCTGAGCGCGGAAGACGAGTCGAGTTTGAACATCCTGCAGCGCTGGCTGAATCAAAGTTGAGAAGTCGAGCTGGTTTGCATCGCTGGGCTCAGGCTCTTCGTCGGGATCCAGGAAATACCTCGTCTGGAGAAGGGTGCAAAGCTGGCAAAGGCTGACAATGTCCGTCTCGTGGATGATACGAGGACGAAGGTGATCATAGAGGGGTTCACATATGGTTTCAAGGAAGTCATATAAGCCTCCATTCCCATGGAACCATTCTCTCCACAGGTCATATTCATCCAGACATAGGCCGCGAATGTAGCTTATGCTGGCACGCGCAAATGAAACTAAGTCTTTCGATGAACTGGGCGTTTGCGTGATCTCCTGAAGCTTTCTTCGAGCGAGTGGAATGATGAGCTTGACTCGAGTCGCCGCGTAATTACCATGCAATTCGTTCATCAGACTCTGATACTCGGCTTCATTGTTCTGGTCCGGGTTCAGGGGCGGGACGGCTCGTTTCTGGATCTCTAACCCGATTTGCTTCAGCTCGGGCGCCCCAACCCTGAATTTGGCGTAGAGAAGGGCAGACAAAGCCGTTTCATTCAAGCTTTGGTCTGCAACTTTCTTTGCGACATTCTGGTAGATATCTTTGAGTGCAGTGACGAAATTACCGCGGATGAGCGTAAGGGCACGGGTTAAAAGAAGACGATATCTGGACCGATAGGTTTCTGCTTCTTTTTGTTCGGGCTAATGCAAATGTTAGTGATCAATCATTCTTGGTCATAGAGATATGGATAAGCGTCTCATACGTGGGTTTCCATATAATCCAAGCACACATCCAAACGCCTCAGCATATCTGAGAACTCTCTATCGCGAACAGTATTTCCAGCGCCTGGAGCATTCAGTCGTCTTGAAGCAGGATCCAGGAAGTCATAATATTGCAAAATATTCTCAATGCCATTTGCAAGTCTTGTATCCCGCTCCTGCGCAGCAAGTAGCCCCTCACATTGTTTCTCAAAGTTGGAGGTCTGTGATTCGACAGACTTGAAAGATTGGGATACACTGGACAAGTCGTCGAGTAATGTTAACGTGGTTGATAATATCTCGTCAATGTGTTCTTTCGATTGTTGGAGCTCGTCGAGGTAGTTTCTAAAATGACGACCAGATTAGCCTCTAAACTGTCAACCGCAATGTTGAACTATACTTACTGATATTGGTCATAGCTCTCTTCTACCAAGTCCTCTTTCACATCATTGAGCCATCCAGTAAACTCTAGTTCATTATTCCACGTAGGAATTTGCCATTGGGGGGCAGTAGAGGGGTTCTCCTCTGTTGACTCGAGGCGCGGCTGCGTTTCGCTGGCAGTTAGCTTCCGCGGCGGGCCCGATGGTGCAGTCTGGCGGCGAGCACGTTGATGTTTGGTAGAGGGCATGGTGCGATGAAAGCCCTGGAGAGTAATTTTAGGTCGAATATCTGCTCATTACTTTTAAAATGTCCAGTTCAAGCACAGAGCTAATGCTAGGAATCACCAAGAAGATGGCGAAGTGTGTTAAACCGGGGAAGTTCTGCCGTGTCAGTCCGCCTGATGATCTGACGCAAAGTAAATCAAGCTTCGACTACTTGGTCGGAGCTACAACTTGGTTCGTCCGAACTATCTTCCAGACAAGATCAATACTTATGGATATGAATTAATTGAAACCAAAATTAAACCATGCTGGCAACTCGAGCACGTCAATCCACAGCCCAGGCTGCCCGTCAGCTCCGTCCCTCCACCCTCGCGACCCGTCGAACTCTCAATGCGCCATGTCGTCGATTAGCAAGCGGTAAATCACGAAGCTCGAACCCTTCAGGAAGCTGGATCGGCAAATCACTGGGAGTGGCAGTTGCAGGTACTGCTGGATTTCTCGGCTATTCCTACCTGACCGGCGATTGGAAAGAAGCATGGATCGAGAGCCAGACACTGAAGAAGGAGATCATTGATGTCAACGACCTGCGCGCTCAGTTTATTCAAGAAAAGCGAAGCCTTAGGACCCCCGGTGTCTACACTTGGGGCTCAAATGAATTTAAGGTCGCCGACCCAGGATCGAAAGACGCCGATGTCAAAACGCCCCGACGATTCAGGTATTTCAACAAACAGGTACTGCGAGACTTCAAAGTCGATGAGAAGTCTGGCGCTGCGATTACGGAGAACGGAGACCTTGTGCAGTGGGGAAAGGGATTCTCAGAGACCGAATACAAGCCTACCAAGACTCTGACAGGCAAGAACTTGGCGTCGCTTGCTCTGTCTGAGAGTCGCATTATTGCTCTATCCTCAGACGGCAGTGTCTACTCGTTGCCTCTTTCCAAGTCTGAACAGGCATCCGGTCCAAAGGCTCGCGAGGGCTCTTGGGTACCATTTTGGGGAGGAAACTCCACTTTGAGCTACCGTATTTTGAAGCCGAAGCTGGGCCTTGGCGAGAAGGTCACTACTATCTGTGGTGGTCAAGAGCATGTTGTGATGCTTACAAGCTCTGGACGCGTGTTTACCGCTGCTTCGTCTACTGAGAACTATCCTACTCTTGGCCAACTGGGTGTGCCTGGCCTGACTTGGTCCACTCGACCCAGCGGTCCTGCAGATGCATGCCATGAGATCACATCACTCAAGGGATCCAAAGTGACACAGATTGCCTCGGGTGATTACCACGCACTAGCATTGACCAATGATGGTCGCCTGTTCGCTTGGGGAGATAACTCTTTTGGCCAGCTGGGAGTTGAATTCACTCCAGAGGAGCCCTCCAAGGATACTCCCTTTGTCGTGCCCGTGGAGAAGTATTACCGAAAGCAGTTCTACGCTCCAACAATCACTAGTGTCGCTGCTGGTGGTGCCACCACTTTCTTTAATGTCGATTCCAAGCGAATTCTCGGACGCGACGAAGAAGCGTCCAGTGTTCGTGACCTTGGCAGCGTGACTGCCGATACATGGTCTTGTGGCCGGGGTATCTGGGGCACCTTGGGAACCGGCAGATGGATCCACATCCAAGACTCGCTCAGCAAAGTAAAGGACCTGAGTGGATTAGGCGAGTACGACGAGAAGACCAAGCAAATGACACCCATTCATTTGCGCAACGTGTCTGTTGGCACGACCCATGTCGCGGCTGTACTGGACAATAAGACCAGCATCAATGGCAAGAATAAAAACTCCCTAGACAAGTCATCGGACTTCGGTTATGAGGTCTTCTGGTGGGGCGGTAACGAGCACTTCCAACTTGGAACTGGTAAACGCAGCAACCAGTGCCGACCAAGCTACATCAAGGCTCCCTCGGAGTATGCTAAGAAGCCTGAGCCAGAGGCTCGACTCCAGCTGATGCCCCGACACAAGGGACGTGTTGACAAGCGCACTGTGACTATGGAGCAGCGTGTCGAGTGTGGTCGCAATGTCTCTGCTATCTATTCAGCGGTTTGAACAGACTGATGCCAAAATACCATGTAACATATTATGTGTAATTTTAACTTATCTCCAATGAAGAAAACTGAAACAATCACTGTGTTCTCACTATAGTTCCTTCTGATATACTCTCGTTGTCCCGGTGCCGTTGTTTTCTTATCGGATGCAAACTGAACAAACATCACCGCGGAGACGCTTGGACCACTGCTTATCCGGAAAAATCCCAAAAAAATTCCTGGACGATTCTTAAACCTTTAGAAACAACTATCACAATGCCTCGTGAAAAGGAAAAGAGAGGCCGTCGAGCCGAGAAAAAGACTAAAAAAGAGGAGGACTCAAAGCGAAAATTTGACGATGCCCCTGAAGAGCCTGTCGCAAAGCGCATGAGGCCCTCCGACCCCGAAGCCGATGCCGACGCCGAGATCACCCACGATACAGCTACACCCTTCGATCCTACAGCAGACCGTATCTCTGTTGGAGAAGGCGAAGGCGAGGAGAATAGGCAGCAAGAGGGAGGCGATGTCGATGAGAATGGAAATGTTTTCTTCGGTTTGCTCGATGAGGACGAAGCTGAATACTTTTCGCGCGCCAATGAGATGCTTGAATCCAACCAATTCGGCGATGCTGAAGAGAAGCACCTATTCATTGAGAGCGTATGGCGTGAGGCCAATGGAAAGGAATTGAAGGTCGCCTGTAGTCAGGGTTGTTCGAGACTGATGGAGAAGCTGATCTCCATGTCAGATGCCCGCCAGATTCGACGACTCTTCAGCAAGTTTCTGGGCCACTTCCTTCACCTTGTCCAACATCGATTCGCCAGTCATTGCTGTGAGACTTTGTTCATCAATGCAGCTCCGGCGTTTATGCAGAAGCCTTCAAAGGCAGAGAGAAAGGAGCAGGAAGAGCAGGACGGAGACGAAGAACCAGAGCTATCATTGGCGGAAATGTTCGTGGCTATGATTGATGAGCTGAAACCATACTGGGAATTTCTGTTGACCGAAAGATTTGCGTCGCATACTATCCGAGTGTTATTGTTGGTTCTAGCTGGAGAGCCAGTGGATGTTTCATCCACAGACTCACCAGTTGCGAGCCGTAAGAAAGAAAGACTGGGCCTCGCGACCTCCAAGCCGGAGGATGAGGAGGAGGAGAAGAAGAAGGCTGCTCCTCAGAAGCGAAGCGTCCCAGAATCCTTCCAGACTGCACTGAAAAAGATCATGAGTGATATGGGCTCTAGTCTTACCGATGTGTACCTCCGCTCCCTGGCTACCCACGAACTTGGGAACCCTGTTCTCCAAGTCATGCTATTCCTGGAGCTCTCTCACTTTGGCAAGTCAAGCGCTCAGGATCCCAAGTCGATCCTCCGACGACTCCTTCCTGACGAGTCTTTCGAGGAGGGTACCGAGACCGCCACATTTATTCGTGGTCTGCTCTATGACCCTGTTGGCTCTCACCTTGTTGAGACCATGGTGCGCCACATGCCCGGAAAGGTCTTCAAAAATCTCTACAAGAACAACCTGCGCGAGCGCATTGGATCGCTATCCCGCAACCAAACCGCAGGATATGTGGTTTTACGAATCCTAGAGCGTCTTGGAAAGGACGACTTGAAAGATGCAATGGACCTCATCATCCCCGAAGTTCCCGGATTGATCGAGAGATTTAGACTTATCGTACCTCGTGTGCTGATTGAACGATGTGTTATTCGCAATGTCGACACCAAGCCTTTTGCTCAAGCACTAAAGAATGCCTTTGACAGCGACCCCACAGCCCGCCTTGAACAAATGCTCCGACTCAATGTCAATGGCGAGGAGGCTCCACAAGAGGAGGAGGACCAAGAAATGGAAGAGGCAGATGAGGAGGGACAAAGAGAGCGAAGGGAACGAAAGAAGAAGACTTTGTCCACCCCGGCTGCAGAGAAGCTTCACGGCTCCCTATTTGCACAATCTATGCTGTCTGTTCCAGGCCCAATGAGTGAGCTTATTTACACCAGTCTCCTGGCCCAATCACCCGAAACGATCATAAAGCTTGCCAAGGAAGCAACCTCATCTCGTGTCTTGCAACAAGCCTTGACATCGAAAACCTCAAAACCCCAATTCCGTCGACAGTTCACAACTCGATTCCAGGGTCATATGGTCGAACTTGCTCAAGATAACAGTGGATCCCACGTGGTGGATTGTCTTTGGGAGGCAACAAAGGACATCTTCTTTGTTAAGGAGCGAATGGCCCAGGAGCTTGCCGCTGAGGAAATGCTTCTCCGTGACTCATTCATTGGCCGAGCAGTGTGGCGAAACTGGTCAATGGACCTCTACAAGCGCCGTCGGGGTGAATGGACTGGTCGGGCAAAGGGCATTGAGCGACAGCTTGCAGGTATGGAGATTAGTACTGGTGAACGACCCAAGTCCAAGATTGAGATGGCAAGAGAGCGATATGCCGCGAAACGCAATGAGGAGGAGGCTCAACAGGCCGCTGCGGCTTCCTGATTGAAGCAAAATAGACTCATGATTTGTTAATACCACCCAAAAATCTATTTTCTGTTAAGTGTTTGATACATTCAAGTTCAAGTTTCTCTTTCTCTCTATTCTGAGACATTTCAGATGTTGGTCTTGTTTCAGGTTTGTTTAAGTAGACAAATATCTTGAATCGCAGAACAAAGCAATTATTTCAAGTTCTGAAGAATTTCAAGTCAAATATAGGAGGACCCTCCATCTATGAATAGGCTGATAAAGGGCTTTGAAGGCACACATGTAGCTTCATCTTTTTTAAGAGTCTTGCGACTCAGATGACACCCTTAAGCAAACGGCTCTAGATAGAATTATTAGTATAAAGGACCTTGTTTATTTCCCTCTGATAGAATATTTGGAAATTTGTGACCATTTTATTTGATTCTACCCTATAATATCATCGGCATCGCACTCTGGCAGTGAAAAATAAGCTCGAAGAATAATATCTGACCTTACCCTTCATCATGGACGAGCTGTTCTCTAATCAATCAACTGTGTACTTGGCAGAACCATACAACGGCACAGTAATCACCGATGACTGCTACGGGGCCATTACTCTGGAAGTCCTGACCCCAAGAGGACCCATGAACAGTTATAACTGCATCATGCTCGCATGTAATGACCATCCATATCTACAACGACAATACATCCCATCAAGAACATACCTTCAACAGCACTCTACTGTTCGAGAAGACCATCTATGGATCGGTGTCCACATGGAGTGTGGTATGCAGCGCAAGGCTACAGAGCGAGACTGGTTCTTGACCCTGAAGCACGCTATTGAGCAAGGAAACTATTCCATCTCGAGGAATCCGAGACGTGGAGGTGGATGGTCTCGTACTTTTTGGATGCAGATCAGAGGATACTTTAGATATTCGGACCAGAATCTTATTTCAGCAGCGATTTGGAGACATTTGGATTTGTTGATGCAGCTCATTCACTATGGTATTATTGTTATCAAGAAGGAGAAGCTCATTTCGATCCAAGGTGGCAACTATACATTTTATTGGGATTAATATGGATAAGTACTACTAGTCGAACAAATGGACTAAAGGTGCGTCGGAATTTCGGATCGAGTAGACAAAATACAACAATTTTCATTCGGTGTCATGTAAAACAAAGCATCCTATACTGCCGTAATTATGTGCTCTCTCCAATTCCCAATTCTCTATTCACTTTTCTCTCCATCTTTATCCTCTGATTCAACATCATCTCCAACGTCACTCTTGTTACAATCAAAAATCTTCGATACCTCTTCCAGAGATCGACCCTTGGTCTCCGGAAACAGGAAATAAGCCAGCAAGAAAAACATGACAAGACAACCCACATAAACAAAATAGTACTTCCACCGCATAGCTGTAAACGCCACAGGGTTGACATACTGATTAAAAAAGCATGCAAGAGCATCTGTGGATAAAGTGATCGCCAAGCCCTTTGCTCGTAGCTGAAACGGTAGAATCTCCGCTGGATAAGCAATGAACAGTGGCGCATAAGCCAGATCGAACCCGGCAAAGAAGAGGAATAGCATGGGAACAACAGCGAGTCCCGCAGCAGCAATTTGATTCTCTTGAAATAGACCAGCCATGATTGTAGTCAGAGATAGGAAAAGAAGCATGGAGGCAGTTGATAGAAGCCAGAGAATACGGCGACCATATCGCTCAGATGCAACTGCGCCTGCGGATGAGAGAATGAGGTTCCATACTTGGAGACCTACGTTGAGACCACCCTGATCGTGCGGTCGTGTAATGCCGACAGATTTGATAATTGGTGGAAGATAGTACGAGAGAATTCCTATTGAGAAGTTAGTAAGACCTATTTCTTCATGATGAGAACTGGATATGAATAGCTTCATACCATTTCCTGCCCATTCCTGCATAAATCCAACAATGATACAGATTGCAAGACGGTGTAAGTCTCCTCGGGATGAGAAAAATGTTTTCCAATATCCAGGTTGCTGGTAAAGCGTATCGATGCTAATGCAAATTTGGTGGAATTCATGTTGAACCAACACATCATCTGGATTTCCATTGGCGTGATATTTCTCGAGAACCGCCAACGCCTCAGTTTTTCTGCCTTTTGAGACAAGCCAACGTGGACTCTCTGGAACGAAGTAGAGTCCCACAAGTTGTGTCAGAGGGAATAATGCCTGCAGCATGCAAGGCACTCGCCAGGACCAGTCATTGTGCACTGATAATGTAGCCAGAGTTATCGCAGCAGAGGTGATAGATCCAATACACCAGGCTGCATTGTATAATGCTGTAGCGGTTTGTCGTTGTCGAGGATGGGCGATCTCAGTTGCCAGAAGGGGAGCCGCTGTTTGTGCAGTACCTGTACCGAGACCAGCTAGGACTCGACAACCAAAGAATGCCCAATGACTTTGCACAGCGACCTGAGCGATTGAGGCGGCGATCACCAGGCAAGCTCCAGCACACACACATACTTTTCTGCCGAACATATCTGCGAGATAGGATGCTGGGACAAAGGACACGAACGCCCCTAGGGAGGTTGCGGCAATGAGAAGACCAACAATACTTGGCTTGAGACCACCTGTGAGGGTGGTAACTGTGACCATTCCAAGATGTTAGCAACTCGACATCTAATTTTCCCTCTGATGGATGAAAAACAAGAAAGCCTCTTACATTCAGGAAGAACGAGCAACCCATTCATCAAACTCCCGTTATAACCTGTTCCAGCCGACGAAGCGAACATGAACGCAATGCCCATGTTCAACTTACGCAGCCCACGATCTCGAAGCCAACTTCCATTGTTCTTATTCGGAAGCTCCTTCAGTGCCTCAATCGGCGTATCTGGCTCAGAGCTTGAAATATGCTCCATGTTGTCCTAGCAAGTCAAAGACAGGCCGTTACAAGGCCGCCGAGTCAAAACGAATATTCACAGCAAGGTCAATGCCGGATTTCCGTTCTATTAAGCTTTATATTCAAAGGTATTAAGCTACAGGAAGATTTACATAGAGCAAGGGATTGTTATCCACATTCCGCCTACTTTAACCTATGAAGCCGCCCACCAGCGGGGTCACTTGTTGATCGGAGAAGCATGGAATGAAGGGAGGAATGAATGAGCAGGATCGAGTTTAGAAATAGTGCACCTGAGCTGTATAAATATGAATCAAGGAGCAAGATCATGAAGACATGAATCATATATTAAACTTCCATAGCTTCGAAACTTGAAACCCTACATCGTTGCTTAGAGCTCAAGGTCGAAAAATGATATCCGTAGATCTAGTTCAATCTCTATTCGTCCGAGTCTCCGAGTAGAGAAGCATACCGATTCCCCAGCCCACAAAAACCCTCGCACTGTTCTCCAACCTCCCTGTTCTTCTCCAGTACTTCCTCGAGACTCCATGAAATTCGCTCCGCACCTACTCGTGCACCCTCGAGGTTCGGTGCCCCAGGTCCAAGACGTAGACCGGCCATACGACCAGTCATGTATAAAGGTACATCCTCTCTCCACATGAGATCCTCTGTTAGACATGGTAATCCCTCTTTCGTTTCAATGGGGTACTGCGCATTCATATTGTTCAGCAAGGGCATCTCGCATACGTCTGCACGGGCCCCTGTCGCGAAGTAGATATAGTCGATGGGAGGCAGATCAGGAATCAGCGGATCGGTAGTAAGTGACCAGGTCTGCGACTCCGGGTTATACTCATGCGATGTGATGACTGTGCCTGTGTGGATCGATGCGCGATTTTTAGCGGCATGCTGCCTGACGATTCGGGTATAGCGAGGCGTGATGCTGCCGCCGTTCCGAGCTGTCTTCATCATTTCAAGACGTTCTGTTAGGAGTCAGTTTAATGTTTTTGAAGTTTGAAATGATAGGTATATCGAACCTTCGTCCGTGTCTGCAGACCAAAATGCTGCTTTTTCCCAATTCTTGTATTTTCCCATCCAAGGTAGACTGATATCAAAATGCTTGACTATTGGATGTAAGCAATATTCTTTCATTAAGACATCGATGAACTCACTCTTAAGACCCGATCGCATCAAAAACCACACTTTCGTAACACCTTTTCGCACAGCCATATCGACAATCTGTGCTGAGGATAATCCTCCTCCAACAACAACCACATTTGTCTGCTGTCTTCGCTGAATCTTATTGCGAACATTGAGGCTTGGGAAAGACTTAATTTCCATACTGTGACAGCATGCATCAGCCCCATCCTCTTTGCTTGATGGTTTCCATGGGAAGATCTTGGAAATCCCAGCTCCACCAGCACCCATAGCGAGAACAACAGCGCGACTGTAGAATTTCATGCCCAAAGTCGAAGTCAGGGTGAATATCTTCGAGTTCGACACTGGTACATCTCCTCGGTCCGGTAAATAGTCGTATGTCATATCGACAACTTCTTGCTGTAAGATCTGACCAGGTTCATTCAATCCATAGCGTTCAATAATTGAATTGCAGTAGTCAGCGAAGAGATCAGTGGATGGAGAAAAGTAATCTTTCCGATCTCTTTCATCGATCTCAACTCCTCCGATCGTTCTATACAAAATCTTTTGTTAGCCCATATCCCTTGACTCGTTCTGAGATGGTGACAGTGCCCACTTACTGTGACTTCCCACCTTGCCGTCTCTTCTTCTTCTTATGCTTGCTCATCTCTTTACCAACACAGCCCGGAATCTCCCACAAATCATCCTCTCGTCCCATCTCCTGTGTATAAGCAAGCATTCCATCCCGATCCCCAGGGTCAATATGGAAGAACATTGGACTTCTCAACTGCTTAATTTCCAGAACTCGAAACGCATTATTCCATCTCTGCATCCACTGTTCACCCGATCCATCCAACACAAGCGTAGAGATAGAGGAAGATGGTTCCGATGATGTGGAAGATGAGAGTGACGGTACAGAAGAGATCGAATCAGATGATTCGCGTCGGTATTTTATCCCATTTGTATTTGTCTGATTCTCGTCTTCACAGGGACAATCTTTTAGACCACGGTTCCATTTTTCGGCGCGTACACCATTCTTCTTGCTCCGGCCTGCTTGGACGAGGTTCATACGTCCTTTGTGCTTTTTGATCCAGTGATAGCGTTGATGTTCCTCGTCTGTGAACATTGCTGAGGGCGTTTCTTCGTGGAGGCGGGCGGCAACGCCTGAGACCACAGGGGCCGGCGCCAACGATTATCACATCGTGAATTTCGGGGTATGAGGGAGGTGTGTCCATATTGGATGAAAGGAAGTATGAAAAGAACCAGATCTACTTGAGTAATATTGACAATGTATATGTCCGACTTGACGATTATTGATGACTGTCACGGTTCAAGTTTGAGGATAATTGTATTCTAGACTTTATGAAACGGGATATTTTCCTTTTATATGTACTATGTCTTCTGCAATGTCCTCATTGCACGATTTGGCTATCGAGGTACTCTTACCCCCCCAAGGTCCTTGAGTCCTTATTGAAATAGAGGAGCAATACTGTACAAAAAGGTGGAGCAACCACATTAATGATTGTGGATCAGATCAGCGGTTAGAGGGAATCAGGACATGAGGACCTTGGGTTAGTTAGCTCACACGACTCACAAGCACCAAAACTCGATATTAATACAAGTAATGAAGAGATAGGAAGAAAATTTGAAGAAAGTCATATCATTAACAAGTTCAGCAGAAAGAGAAAAGAAATTAGATTAATATCAAAAAACAATAACAGAAGACCAACTTGGGGGGAATTAGCAAAACAAAAATAGCCACCAAATAATTCTGAAAGAACCCCAACCAAATAATCAATAATAAGGAGTGAATAGAATCGAAATAAAATCTTCAAGTGGAGTTCAAGAAGGGGAGGAGAAGAAAAAGAAGAAGAAGAAGAAAGGGGGGAAGAACTTGAAAGAATAAATAAATCCAACAACGCCTCATATCCTGCGCCTAGCTTACAAGATCAAGAGGTCCGACTCTTCACAAACGTCTCCTCTTCCTTGATCCAGTAGTTTTCGTCGTTGCTGTTCCTACAATACGTCCACCTCCTTCACGACGATGCCAAGCATCGTGAGGCCAGACCCATCCACGAACACGCTTTGCGTCCCGTCGTTCGCCGATCTGCGGCTCGGGGATCCATTTATCCTTGCCATCTGGAAGAACGTTCTGTCGCGTGAGAGCTGTGGGACTGCCTATGCTGAGATGTGCGGATGGCTGATCAGGCAGTGGCACCGATTTGGCGAGCATAAGCAAAAAATACAAAGCTAAGCTTGCAGTCATGGGAGTGGAGAGTGTATCCTTTTGAAATTCGGAGTCAAGACCAGGAGATGTTTGACAGGAGTGGGAAGAGCCTTGAGAACATGACCCATGAGACGAAGATGAAAAGGACCTGGAGCTGATAGGTGTTGCCAAGGCGGAGGCATCGTGTGCTGCCTGAGGACTTGGTGTGGAAGTCTTGAGTGGGATCGGGGCTGCGACCTCTAAGTATCCGAAGTACGGGATGTTAGAATCATCATCGCAAGCTGCACGAACACAAACGAGCTCTATTTCGGTGATGATGAAGCCGTAGCGACACGAGTGCTCGCGCATGCAGCGTTGTAGATGAGCTAGACCGTTTAAGTACTCGACGCGACGATGGGGTGCTTCGTTGCGCATGCCGGAATTCCAGCGATCGAAGCTTTTGACAATCCCCACCAGACGTCCCCGGATGAGCCCTGCACTGGTGCATTCAGTGTCCGTGGAATAGTTGGCTAGGAAGTGCGGGTGACCATGGTTCTTGTGTCCCGTGTTACGGATATCAGGCGCTGCGTAGAGTTGGAGATGATCTGTGCCTTGAGAAACGGCCAGAGCTGCGTTGATTCGTGGCGCATATAGTTCACGGATAAGAGCGACGAGACCAGGCTCAGACTCCGGCGCTAGGCGTGAGGAGGGCACACCCACTGGCGGAGTAAGAGTTCCAGGAATTTCCGTCTTCAGTAGCTGGGTAAGCCCGCGGAATGAGTCAAAAGTAGCAAAAGAGAATGAGTTCCAGTTACGGAGATTACGAATGTCCCACCAGAAGTAATCGTGCATGCCACGGGTTGGAATCACGCTGACATTGCGAACAAGATTAATTGCTTGGGTTGGCGAAGTCAAATATGACAGCAAATTGGTGGACGGGGGATTGATATTTTCCTGAGGACTCGCCAAATGCACCGGCGAGCTCTGAGGGCCATGAACTGGACTGTAACAGTATTGAGGTGTGGGGACAGTCAGTGGATAAGGTGGGATGCGCACTGGAGTAAGTTGACGCATTTCAACTGGCTGTTGCTGAGGTTGAGATGGATAAACTACAATGTTTGGAGTAACCGGAGTAACTGGCGTGGTCGGAACAGTCTGCGCCTGCATTTGTGGCACATAATTCCATAGTTGCTGGTGAGTAGGGTATGCAGATCGGTTCGGAGCGGGTATATCAATGCTTGGTCCGCGTCTATCAATGCTAGACGCAGATGCAGCTCGAGCATGTCGATATTTCGAAGTGATAGCCACAGGAGATGCCAGGCTAGGAGCGCTCTGGGGAATAGTAGCACTGAGCGGCGCACGTGTGAAAATCGAAGAGCTCTGAGGGATAGTAGCACTGAGTGGTCCACGCGTGACAATTGAAGAGCTCTGGGGGATAGTAGCACTAAGTGGCGCACGTGTGAAAATTGGAGAGCTCTGGGGAATAGTAGCACTGAGTGGTCCATGAGTCACAATTGGAGACAGAGGAGATGCCAAAGGCAACCGATTCGCTGCATTAGCGCGGTTACGCTGGGTAGATGGACGACCAGCAGGATAAGGAGCAAAGGCTGGTGCGTTCCACGCCTTAGATACAACCTGGCGGCCTCTCAGAGGTCCACCAGCAGAGTAAGGTGGTCCAGTAGAGACAGGCTCAATTATCACGTCTTGAGGTCGAATCTTTGGCAAAAGAGCTGGACCATGATGATGACGAGTTGGTGGAGTACCAGGACTGGTATTTCCCGTCATAGTGGACCAAGGGGAAGATTCACAGGAATAGATTGAAGAGCCAGATGCGGTGCGACTATGCGCAGATCCGAGGCATTCCTCATAGGGCACCGCTGGTGGCGTGGTTGGTTGGTAATGCGCGTATTCCAGAGACATGATGCAGCGACGATGATAGTTCGATTTCAGTGGATCCGCTTTCCCCCAATAAGGAAAGAAGAAAACAAGATAAATCAAAAGAGTCAGAGAGAGAAGGGAAAGAAGAGTAGAGTAGAGAAGGGGAAGGAGAAATGTATCAAATATACACTTCCCCACAAAAGAAACGAATGTCAAAGTCGATGGCCAAGTGAACTCTGGTTGAGATGGCATGAGGAAATATTCAGATGAAGGCGAGCAGGCTTGGATATTAAATGTTTGAGAGATGAGTAGCTTCAAACATGCAGATATCAAGCCAGGCCCACTCATGAACCCCCGGCGGATCTTGAATAACTTGAAACATGGAGAAAAGCTCCATTTTGACGCCAACGGAGGCTCCCATTCTTTTTTTGGGATCCTGGTCTCTGATCCAGGGCCACGCCTGCCATGCATGAAACACGAAACTGCCGACAATTGTGCCTAGGGTCGCGCGACAGGGGACATTGAAACTCCATGCTGGGTCTCCTTTGGGGCATAGTGCGGTTTCAGCGGACTGTCGCGCGTTAAGATGTTACTATATTTTGCATCAGTTTGGAAATTCTTCTTCAGATCTGTCTATTTGGGTTAGCCTGATGCACAGTGATCGAACACTTCTATTTCAGTAACAATTAGCCTGCAAATTGACAGGTAATTAGGGGCTTCATCACCCCTTCAGGTAGCGCCCATGCTTGAGTAAACTCAGAACTGAGTAAGATGGGCGGTTAACGGCCTTTTCTCAAGTTAATGTGGGATAAGAGGGGAAATGGGATAAAAATAGTAATAATTAGCTTGTGTGCTGAGACTATGCATGAAGCAGAAGGTTGTTTTCGGGGAGAAGGCATCCCGGGGGGGAGCTTGGACGATGTAAGTCCAAGGTTGTTGAGTGTGATGAATGGTGGGCGGTTAGAGATGTAAGGTGAAGTCTCAAGTACGCGCTGGGGGATCTACATCACATATTGTTAAGTCTCTAACGACCAACCATTCAGCGCGAAATTTCCCATAATTAGCATGAGATAAATTCACCGACTCATGTTCTAAATTAGCAATTAACCAGAATTATGGTCAAACTTGGAGTTGTTAGCTCCAAATATTGGGAATAATTCCTGTTCCCCACTGTTAGACATCAAGGCCTCTAGACCTCAAGCCCTTCTGTCACAGATTAATCTTTGAAACGTCTGTGCTTTTTATCTTATTATGGGCGAATAATGTGATGTAGAAGATTTATCATGCGTTGATTTCGGTCCAGACTCTCTCATAGGTTCGGCCGTATGCGGATATCTGGAATTTCCTACTAAGTGATGATTCCTAGTGCATATCTAATAATGCAGAGGACATAGACATACTCAATTGTACACAGCTTCAGTGATGATAGATTTCTGATAGTTATTTGAAGCCAGTTTACTATGTGGACTGGGTTTTTGAATCTGGTTGCTACTAGTATGTTCAAGTTTCCTTCGCGCGCTGAAACGGCCGCAGCTACATAGGGGAGCCCCAGGATATCTTCTTTGTTCCTAGCTACTGGAGTGTTTCATGGGATGTTTCAAATCGAATCCATCATGTAGAATGGGCGCGATGCGAAGTCATTAGTACACTATTCATAGGATATGTACTAGGCTTGTTGTGGGGCGTTTGCTATTCTTGCTGTATGCTGTGACATGAATGAATGGTAATACCCGATACTTGTTATGATGAGAGTAGAACTTTTGAAGTGGAAACCTGCATTACTTCAGCCTTGGAGGATCTAACATTGAATGGTTGGATTGAGAGTAAACTCCTTAGTCTGTAACAATCTTAGAGAGTGATTTGGGTGCCTGGAAATCCAGGTCTGCTCATGCCTAAAAGGGATAATATCATCTCAGTCATAGGAATAAATCAGGAATTCATAGCACAGAATCCTTCCGTGGTCTACTAGTTGGCTATCGCACTTCGGTGTGAGAACCCATCTAAGTCTACCCAAGAAACCCAGTGGACTCACCATGGTTTTAGTAATGATGGTGAGGATCTTGGGTAGGAATCGTAGGATTCTCTTTCTTGCACTTTCAATGTTTTATTTAATATGAATTTCTTTTTACTATTTTGCTGGATACCTCAACCTACACTCGTCATTCCGATACTTCTTTTATATTTTTATCTATTTTATTTGATTTGTTATAAAATCTTCAAAATTTGAAACTTCTCCCACCTCACGATGACGGAAGAATCTACAGGTCCTGGGTTCAAGCCCAGTCCTTGTCGTTTCTTTTTTTCTCTCCTTCTCTGTCCTCGGGGCAGATATAAAAGCTTCCAAGGTTATACCCCTTTTGATCACTTGTAAACTTACTGCTACTACAAACCTTGGAATCACCTTCCCTATCAATCCCAACATCGCACTTCGAGTCTCTTCAAAACACGGGGCCACAAAACGATTGAAGTGATGGATAGACATAGAAAGTCACATTATTCTGTCTTGAAACGCACTGTACTAAGTATCATTGGCGTAAATAGGAGGAGTCCGGCGCGCCAATCTGAGACATGAGACTCGGACTTGGGCAGTAATGTACCCGGGTCATCCTAGCGTTTGAATAGGAGCTGCGGCTCTGCTGATACTAACACATAGTATACTAGCTTCAATTCGGATCTTGGATGTAACATTTGAATCAACTTAAACGTGGATAGTAGGAGAGCAATAAAGTTTATCATCATGTGGGCTGGCAATGTTTATTACCAGTGGTAAGCAAAAATTCAAAGACTGGTCTATCTGATCATGGCTGAACTTCAATGCGCAGGTGCTCTATTAAAAGATGGCCTGAGAGATACTATAACCGACGAAGAATATGAAACTAGATTGGGACATCTTCTAAATGTTCAGTACACTGTCAAATTATGCCTAATGAACCTCGGGAACCTTGGAACCTTAAAATATTTGAATATAATTCCAGTGCGGGTATTATGGCACGAAGATCTTCCAGGTATTTTCGACATGGGAAGCAACGTTCCCAGATGCAAGGCAGTCTCTTCCAAGGTTCTGGTCAACTAGAATGACAACATGTAGGTACTTTGGCTTTTCGGTTGATATGGCCTTTATCGTTGTTTTTGGGAAAAGAAAGCACTACAAAATGAAGTATAGAAATTGAATGTGGAATGTGATATCATTATTTGTTTCCTAGCTTATGTCTAGGTAGGATCTAGCTTATTTCATCATTCATCCGAAAATAATCGGTAAAACAAAAAACAAGACATTTAAAGAGCAAGGGCTAGCCTTGCACAGTCTATTCGACGCAAATTGAACCCAAAAAAAGAAAACGCTGAGGGGAATCGTTTCTGAACCGTCTAAACAAGGATCAAATCCAACGGCAAAAGAAGAACGGAACGACAGATCGCTTAAGCCTTGATCTCGTACTTGCGGCGGAACATGTCATCCACCTCAGTAAGGTAGTAGGTACCGGACTGAAGAGTCTCGGTGCTACCAGTAGGCTTGAAGTTCTTCTTCAGGTGAGCGTGCTCACGGAGCTTGCACATCTCATCGTAGGCAGCAGGAGCCAGGACGTTACGGGAGTCAAGACGGTTCTTGAGATCCAGCTTCTCAACGATGTTGGAGACGTCACCGACGATCTTAGCGCTGAACAGGGAAGAGGCGAGACCACTGCCGTAGCTGAAGAGACCAATGCGCTTGGGCTCGCTGGGGGAGAAGGGAACATAGCTGAGCAAGCTGGCAAGACCGGCGTAGACGGTGGCAGTGTACATGTTACCGCACAGACCGGCAACGTTGAGACCAGGCTGAACACGCTCAGCGAAACGCTTCTTGGTGAGAGCCATGAAGGTCTTCTCGACGGCCTTGTCGGAGAGAGAAGCGGCGTAGTCGAGATCGCGGAGCTCAGGGGCGACCTCAGCGAAAGCGGGGTGGGTGGGGTTGACAAGGTAGTCGTTGTAGAGCATACGGGCGAAAGACTTCTGGACCAGCTTGCAGGTAGGAGCGTGGAAGAGGATGTAGTCGAAACGGTCCAGAGGAGTCTGGGCCTCGTCAATGGCACCGTTGGTGCCATTCTGGTTGGACTTGAGAACTTTCTCGCGGGCATCGAAGGCCTTGTAGCAGGCATCAACGGCCTCAGTGTAGCACTTCAGGGAGAAGTGACCGTCAACAACGGGGTACTCGCTGGTGAGGTCAGGCTTGTAGAAGTCGTAGGCGTGGGTGAGGTAAGAAGCACGGAGACCGGGCTCGAAGACAATAGGAGCATCGGGACCAATGAGCATGGCAACACAACCAGCACCACCGGTGGGGCGGGCAGCACCAGCAGCGTACAGAGCAATATCACCACAGACAACAATGGCGTCACGGCCATCCCAGGCGGAGGACTCGAGCCAGTTGATGCTGTTGAAGACGGCGTTGGTACCACCGTAGCAGGCGTTGACAGTATCGATACCCTCAATGTTGGTGTTACCGTGAGGAGCAAAGAGCTGCATCAACACGGACTTGACGGACTTGGACTTGTCCAGGAGGGTCTCAGTGCCGACCTCGAGACGACCAATGGACATAGGGTCGATGTTGTACTTGTTCATGAGGGAGGAGAGGGTGGTCAGGGACATGGAGTAGATGTCTAATTGCACGTGCGTTAGTATTAATGATTCCCCCTATACTTTGAATTGCTGGGAATTGATTCCCCAGAGAAAAAAGATATTCATCACATACCCTCACGGTCATCACAGAAGCTCATCTTCTTCTGGCCAAGACCAATGGTGTACTTTCCCTCGCTAACACCGTCATGCTTCTCCAGATCAACCTGGTCGACGCACTATAGACCAATGTTAGCTCCAAAGCTTCCAGGGGTATTAATATGCTTTTCATAAGCTCTGGAAAACGAACCTGAGAGGGGAAGTAGACCTCAATGGCCTTGATACCAATGTTCTGGGGACGAGTGGCCATGGTGGGGGAGGGGTAGTAGTTTTTTTTCTTAAAAAAGAAAAATATCACACAACGGCACGTAAAAAAGGAGAAAAAGGAGTAAAGAATTAAATTGAGAATGAGTATGAAGATTCAAAGAAAAGCTGGAACTGAGGGAGATCTTATAAAAGAAGAAAAGGAGGTTGTTGTGTACTCGGATCTACAGTGTACGATCAGTCACCGTCTCGTTTTTTTTCTGGCGGTGGAGTATACTTGTTGGCCTTCCTTTAAGCCGAAAGCTGGTCTGAGGGTCCCTTTTTTTCAATGAATTCATACATAGATCTGACTTTGTCGTAAATAATTGAACCTTATAGGTTATGTTACATATACGGAGTTTTGGGAGCTTCTTCCATGTGCTGCAGGAGCTCCGGGATCCGGGTACCTTGTACCTGATATACCGAGTAGATCTCAGTCTTGCTCAACCCAGGCGCCTTTGAGGGATAAAAAGTGGTCAACTGGTCAATCCACTCTATTTTGGCTACACGGTAGAATTCAGTCTGTCTCATCTTATCTTCATTAGTCTTCTCCACTTCTACTTCCTTGTCCAGATTCACAATTCAGCCATAGGTGGGTTCTTTCGGGACTCTGGTGGAGTATGCAATAAATATGCAAAGTGGCCTCATCACGGCTTGGATTCTTCCTTTTTACCGATCAAACATAGACAATATGGAGTATAGTAAAGAGACTGAGGTCTTTTAGGTACAACCTGAACAGGCAGCTATCGAGAACTGGGGCCAAATCCATCTAGATGTGGCGCGGACTAATCTTCTTCAGCGTTTACGTGGACATCCGAGGTTTGGGTACTCCGCATGCAGTACAGTCCCTGAAACAGAATAAGTGTAATGCTGATAGCAGTGAGATGATGGTGAAACTGCCCTAATAAGGGTACTGTACATATTCACTGCTGGGCCCTGAATGTAGTGATTATGGAGCACAGGATGAAGCAGGCAAGATCGTCCATTCTAGGCTAGAGATCGCCCCCCAGATGCTTAGTCATTTAGGGAGAGTGCAAACACAAATACAAACACGTGTTGGTGGAGAACAAACAGTGCAAACAGAACAAACCTGCTGCGTTGCTAGGAGACAGAACCAGGAAAGGAAAGGGGAGTAAAATCTACAATTTCAACTGGCATATTATTTACTTACACCTGAAGTGCTGAAGTTCTGACAGCCATGCAAGGAAAATATCATCGAAATAAATTTCCTGGAATTTATCTCTGGTTATGCCGGTGCTTGGCGCAGACTGCAGTGCTTGCTGGATGCCACCTGACAGTAAGGCGGATCATCTGCCTACCTCCAGGACTATCAAATATGGTGGGTAGTGCATATGCAGCATAAAGTCAGAAAAATGACCCTCAAGCGCTGGTTATTTGATAACCACCTCGGCCTTCTCAGCCTCCAAGGCTAATTTTGGCTATGACCATCGCTGGATTGACCCCGCCCGGGCGCACTCCTACACTTGTCAAGTTGCCTCATTCGCCGATATGTGCAAGCGCTTATGCATGGTGGCTTAGGCTGATGACAAGAACGTCTTCGTGATCATTTCTCGTTACCCCTCTTTTCTCTTTCCTCTTGGGTCTCCTATTGAGCTTGAATGATTCGGTGTACATTCTACGAATATTTCCGAAGCCAAACTTGGAAGCAGCCATATTTTCTATCTATCCACCTTTGTCTTCCCCGCTGCAGCAGTGGCGGGTCTATGCCAGGCACCTCTTTTTTCTACCTATACATTGAAGAAATGGACCCCGTCTCTGTGGAAAGTATGACGACCCTGGAAAGCATGACGTCCAAAATATCTTTTGGGTCATCAAATGGAGCCTCAAATTCGGGGGTGCAGATTGGTGTGAGCAACGGACCAGTCACTAACCACTTTCATATTCAAAATGAAGGGAAAAAGGAGACAAATGATAGGTCTCGTAAGTCAACGAAACCCATAAGTTTCAAGATTGAGTTTTATACTTATTCTTCTAAGGCGACCAATCTCAAGCCCATTATGTTATCCCATCTTTGAGCAATCGTCACTTTACTGGCCGTGAATCTACGTTGGATGAGCTGAGACAGAAGCTATTCTCCCAACCTAAAACCGAAAAGTTGGCCCTCTATGGACTAGGTGGCATTGGCAAAACTCAGGTTGCCCTTCAGCTCGCTCGCTGGGTGAAAGCGTATGTACCTGATTGCTCTGTTTTCTGGGTTCCTGCCCTAAGTATCGAGAGTTTTGAGCAAGCCTGTTCGCAAATTGCGAAAGAACTTCAAATCCCACAAACCCCAGATGATGGAAGTTTTATGGAATTAGTTTGTCGACAACTGAGCTCTGATAAAGCTGGAAAGTGGCTTTTCATCGTCGATAATGCCGATGACATCGACTTACTTTTCGATAATCTCGATCAGTATTTTCCATCTGGCGAGCAAGGAATCACTCTGCTTACTACCCGATCCTATGACGTGGCAATATCTTTCGCAGGGACGGATGTATTTGAGCTGCAAAAGATGACACAAGAGGAAGGAATGGCTTTTCTGGCTAAGATTGTGGGGAAAGACTTACTATCTGACGATGAATCGTCTATGAAGTTATTGCAGGAGCTGGAATTTCTACCTCTAGCTATTACACAGGCAGCTTACTACATTTCTCGAAACAAAGGAACCACCACACGCTACCTTGAGCTGATGCATAAAACCGAACAAGACCGTATACGTCTTGCAAAGCGAGATTTCCACGATAGCACTCGCTACCGGAAGAAGCCAAATGCTGTTGCTACCACATGGCTTATCTCATTTAATCAGATCAGAGACTCCGACCCCTTGGCTGCTGATTTATTGGAATTTATGTCATACCTTCAGCCAAAAGCAATCCCACGGTCTCTTCTCCCTGTTGATTCAGAAGAAGATATGGATTTCGCAATTGGCACGCTGTGCAACTATGGATTCCTGACTAGGAGAGACAAGGAGGGCATGTTTGATATGCACAGCCTCGTACAGCTATCAACACGAGTCTGGATAGCAGAGGCACAAAAGACACAACAGATTGTCACGGCAGTGACGCAACAAATTAAAGAGTGTTTTCCATCCGAGGAATATAAAAACCGTGAGATATGGAGGATGTATCTGCCACACGCGTGTGAAATTCTCAAAAAAAATGAAAGTAAAGATCTAAGAGCCAGGTATATGTTACTGTCTAAAATTGGAAAATGTATTCGAGCAGATGGTCGGGCGACAGAGGCTATTACTTTTTTTGAAGATGCATACGCATGGCACAAAAACCTATATACCAACGAACATCCTGATCGACTAAGCTCTCAGTACGATCTTGCGCGCGCATATCGATCCAATCGGCAGTTCAAGCAAGCTATAGAGCTCCTTGAGTCCGTGGTTGAAGTGGAGAAGAGAACGCTTGATGAAGAACATCCTGATCGACTGGCATCTCAGTACAATCTCGCACGAGCATATAAATCTAATCGACAGTTCAAGCAGGCTAGTACCCTCCTTGAGTACTTGGTTGAAGTGGATAAAAGAATGCTTGATGAAGAAGATCCTGACCGGCTGGCATGCCAGCACGAACTTGCACAGGTATATCAATGCAACGGACAAATCAAGCAGGCTATAAAACTCCTCGAGTACGTGGTTGAAGTGGAGAAGAGAACGCTTCATGAAGAAGACTCCGATCGGCTGGAATCCCAGCATACACTCGCACGGGCCTATCGATCCAATGGACAAACCACGCAAGCTATAGATCTACTTGAGCATGTAGTTTCAATACGGCACAGAATGCTTGATGAAGAACACCCTAGTCAATTGAAATCCCAGCAAGAACTCGCACGAGCATATCATTCTAATGGAGAAACCAAGAAGGCTATAGATTTACTTGAGCATGTTGTTACAGTGCGGGAAAGAACACTCGATGAAGAACACCCTAGTCGACTGGGATCCCAGCATACACTTGCACGAGCATATCGCTCCAATGGACAGATCAAACAGGCTATAGATCTACTTGAGCATGTTGTTAGAGTGCGGGAAAGAACACTTGACGAAGAAGATCGTGATCGACTAGCATCTAAATGGCTACTCCAAGACATAAAGCAGTCGTGCTAGTGGATCAACATGGATGGAGAAAATGGATATTATGAGAATTATAATGTAATTACATTCAAATGTTTCTAACATTGAAGGTTCCGACATTGATTCTGAGCGTATTCTTTTGTGTTGTATGTACATAAACTTAGGCTACTACCTAGTACTTCCAAGGTTAAACTTGGAAGTAAATAATAGCCCTGGAGTAGTGCACAGTATGCACATCATCAAAACATCTGAATGTCAAGATATTACAGCACTTGAGTCTGGTACTATACGGTACTATCGTTCCATCAAGTTTGAATCGATGCGTATCGAATATTGAAGACTCTGGAAGTTTTAACTGATATCTATTGATATTTGAAATTGAATCTTGAATCTTCCAAAAAATGTTGATACTGGGTGACTCAGCACTTGAATTTGAAAACCACAATCACCAGTTGAAATGCACATCGATCCATTGACTAGGTAGTCTCAGGCTACACCTGGGCAGCGCTGAAATGCCCACTCCCGATCTCAGACCCTCTACTTACTGAGCGCGAACTCAGTCTCCGGGCATTTAATTTCTTTCAGACTTCCTAAAAGATTCTCGAATCGAGTTCATTGAAGGGACTGGTAATATGCATATTTAATTTTCATTACACTCTGTGTATATTCAAGTTCCAGATGTAGCCATCGCAGAACTTCCATCTCCTCATAAGATGGTATAACATCATCTCTAATCTAATCCATAATAGCGCTATGGGAATTATTTGCCTGTAACCTCTTGCGAAATCGCATTAGCAGGAGGGGCATCGGTGCGAACATCAGTACCAAGAGTCCGACCAATGTTCCTCCCCAGCCATATCCCAAGGAAGCAAACATCGGCGGACCCACCAATGGTAAGAAAGCCGCCGTTGCATTCCTAGGCACGAGCATCGCGCTGATCGCACTGGTAGCATATATCCCAAATGAATCAATGATGTAGGTTTGCACCGAGATTGTTGTGACTGCGAGAGCAAACCCGATCATTCCAGTTCCGATGATAGGTACCACAAATTGGATGTGATAGTGCACAGTCCATCCAAATAGTATATGTCCCCCACACATCAAGATACAAGCAAGAAAAACGGGCGGTAGGCGCTGTTCTGGTGCAGGTGATTGCCCACCATTCCGGTTTTTGATGATGCTGATGTAGTAATCCAGTGTCCAACTACACAGAAGAGCTCCCAATACAAGTCCAAGACATAAACCCAGGAAACTCAGGCCTGATGCACCTTCCGAGAATCCATAGGAATTCTGGAAGACTGGGGCAATAGTCGTCATCACGAGGTAAGTGAAACCATATACCACACTGATATAAAGTGTGATCAGAGAAAGAAGAGGGAATCTAAAGAGTAAGCGAAGCGGACGAATAGCAGTGCGGAATAAGCGTTGGCTAGTCGTCTCATTCTCATTCTCAATCTCATATTTCGAGCGGATTTGCGGATTCCCTGTGCTTTCCGCAAGCTCCCTAGCTTTCCGTTTGAGAATAGTAACCTTGTAGGTCTCCTTATAGAAAGCAAAAAGTAGCAACGAAAGCGCACCGGATACTATGGTCGGTAACCAGAATGCCCATCGCCAACCAGCTCTCTGGCCCAAGTAAGATCCGATAATAGGTCCAATCACGGGTCCAAGCGCACCCGTCAGAGACATGATAGACATTGCGCGACCGCGCTGCTCTTCTGCGAATAGATCTTTAACAATGCCAGGTCCGATGGGCGATGCCGCTGTTGCGGCTCCACTGAGAAAGCGGAAGGCGATGATCATTTGGATATTGGTGCTTAGGGAGGTCCCGACAAGAAAAGCAACGAAGAGGAAGTTTGCGACATGGAGAACCCATCGCCGGCCATATTGTTCGGAGAGTGGACCCCAGATTAAGGGAGCGATGATTTCGCCGAGTTCCCAGATGGAGACGATTAAGGTGCGGTAAAGGGAGTTATCGGAGTGAAAATGGGTTAATATCGATGGAGAAACAGGCGCGGCTATGATGGTACATAATTGTCTGTTGTGATATTTAACTTGTTAGTATGAGCGATTGGGAGAAGAGAGATGGGTGTTGAGTTGGACGTACACCACCGTGGAAAGGCACGCAGTCAGTACGACGATGGACCATTTGTATGTTTTCGACCAGTTTAGTGGATTTGAGGGATCATTTGTTGTAAAATCCACCACAGGTGTGGTGGGTTGATCTATACCGGAATCGATGGGAATGACCTCTCCACGCTCGGTCTTCGGCTCCGACTCCATGTTGATAAAGTCCCCTGAAATGTGGGGTGGTTGACACGAGTTGGATCTGAAGAAGTCGAAGAATTTGGAAAATTCTAAGACATTTCCGTATGCAAGGTGTGAGTCAGGGAGTACAGAGCCGCTCTGTGTTTGGTATTTGGAGGTTGTTGCCAGTGATAGTTGTAGTAGTGGGAGAGAAAGAGCTACAGGAGCTGCAAGAGGTAGACTCTTCCCACTTCAACCTCTCAACCCACTTGAGCTTGTATGCTTGGTTAGTTGCATGAAACACAAACAGAAAAAGAGAGACAAAAACACTCCAAAATTCATCTTTGGCGTTGCACTGGCGATCCACTCTCCGCAAAACCAGGGGTCGATTGGTCTGTCCATGGTAACAAAACTGTCCTTCTGCTGCTTACTTCAAGACCTCAAGTGAGACATTCGAATAAATTGGCTTAATAAAAAACTATAGTCAAGACTAAGATATTCATTCGTGTATATTTTTACTGCCAGATTTTAATAAGAGTCATTATGCCGTATGGCTCAGGCTGACAGGGATGTGCTATATAGTCCAAGTTTAAATTATTGACATAATATTACTACTGACCATCATGAATAGTATTATCTCACTCAATTTCTAGCATTGAGATTTCTTTGGTCGCCACAGATAATCAAAGCCAGAGAACAGCTTCAAATTTTCTATTGAATCCTCTCCGCGTACAGATCGGATTACATTGATGCTGTAGAGTTCCGGAAGTGGTCGAGACTTGAGTGGATAGAATGCTGTCTGATGCTCGTGGAACGCGCAATATCTCCGCTCTATTGCATAAGACCTTGGATTTAATAGTGGCGGAGGCTTTATTTTGCTCCTAAACTGCAGATCAGATTGATAGACAGGTTCGCTTTACTCCTATCCTTATTGCTCTGTCTGATGTAATGAAGCCTCACATATTTGTACCTTTGGTCTGTAATATCATTAGTATCCATTCATTTTGCATTTGATACTAAAATTGCTTGCTCAAGGAGATAGAAGTAGCGGTAAGCTTAAATTCTAATTTTGATTTGGTCCGAAGTTCCTGTAAACTGTATGCATTCGTTCAAGGAGGTTTCAAGGGAGACTATGCATCATCCCATGCTAGTAATTTATCATGCATGCATCATGTATTCCGAATCTGTTCTGCATTCAACCTCTGTATTCTCCATTTGTACTCCCTGCTGCCTAATAGCGACAAACTATATCTCAGTTACTCACTAAATGGATCAGCATAATGCCCATGTTTCTGAAAATAACTTTCCATCGCATCATAATGCTCACTATCCTGAGGACAAAAAGCATACCGCTCCACACTATGAACAATAACTTGATAGTCGGTCAACCGCTTATAGCAGGCATTACGCTCCGGTGCTTGAGTCCAGGCAACCAGCTTATCAAAGTCCTTGCATTGCATAGCCTGGCCTTCCCCGCCACCATTGTACAGTTTCAGGGATGGCATAGGGGTATCGTCAGCCTTGCACATCAGATCCTGTCGCAAGCTATCGAGACAATGTTCAATATGGTCAGAAGGAATAGAGGCCTCTTCACCAGCCCAGAGCTGGTGGTATGTCCGACGCATGACTTTCTATAGAGATATCTCCATTAGCATTGGAATATTTAGGGGGTATTGGACGACCTACTAGACAATGCAGTTGATGGAAAACTTTGACGAAGTAGATTTGTCGGTTTGAATCCCAGGGAAAGGCCCACGATCCAGTCAGACCCTTTTCTTTTGCCCATTCCTTGGTAGGAGCAATGACCATCGGATCAATGCTAAGGCTCTCCCACATTTCATCAGCGTGCGTTTTGTTGTGGCTGGTGTATTCGGTGTGATGGCTATAAGGAATCTGGGTGTCGAATGTGAGGCCCGCTATAGTGTGTTAGGGTCGTTGTTTCCATTGATCGTGATCGATTGTTCAAGGCAGATTCTCACTGTAGGGTGATTTCTGAACCGCTATGCTCTTCCAGGATTCGACATGTTCACCAGCAACATTTTTATACAGCTCTTGGTAACAATGCCACCCCCAGGCCAGAGTCAGAGATAAAACAACAACAATTAGAGCAAGAATCCTCGTGGCCCAACTTTGAACTCTTGCAGAGCGATGCGCCACAACAGGAACTTGAATTGAATTCCCATCATGATCGACAGTCTCAACCTTTTGATAAGGGTGCATGATGAACTGGAATAAAGTATATGGAGAAAGGAAAGGCAAATTGATTCTCACAGCGACAACTGGAGACCCCTTCTTTAGACCCCCCTGAGAATAAAGATAAGGTCCACTGTTGATCATATGGGGCCATGCAAGTTTACCTCTCAACTAAGCAAACTATAGCGAGGAGGCGTCATCGGGAATCCGGACTCGATTTGAATCCGGATGCTGCACATGTACGGAATCCGACAGCGGCCACAGCTCACATGCCTATTTGGGAATTAAAAAAATGATTTTTCGAGCGGCAGAAAATGATTGTTACCAGAATTGCTATTACAATGATCCATTCCAAGGTTCTACTACCGCTTCCTAAATCAGTAGGCGGAGGTTGCCCGCCCAACTAAGTTTAAAACGGGCAGAAATAGTGACTGTAATATCAGCTTGTTCAACCTCTCTATGCCCAGGTGGTGATGGTATTAAGAGAGCTTGGGCTATATCTATCTTAATTACTGTAGATCTATCATAGTATAAGTTTAGGATTGTAGATTATTATTTCAGCCTAAAAAAAACTCCTAGGATTTCAGGCAGTCTAAGATAATTTTAAGATGGTTCAGTTAAATTTCAGGGTAGTCACATCTTAACTTAAGGCACCGGAGTCTTCCAGGTGACGCTGTACTCCAGGCAGGTCACCGGCAGTGAGGTGTGATGCCGCGGAGAGCGTGGGTCTTGGTTAGGATTAGCCTAAATTTCACAACTGTGTAAGAGCGGTAGCCTAGGCGGTCTGTAATCTATTCCAAAATAGGCATGTGAGCTGTGGCCGCTGTCGGATTCCGTACACATGTGTTGTTTGGATTTTTCTCCGCAAGAAAAAAAAAATCAATAAAGTCATTAGATGTTATTCACGCGTCAAGCAAGGCTGGTGGTGAGCAAATTAGCTTTTGTCACACTTTACCGCTCATGCAGCAACCCATCCTATGTCACATTGAAGACCCTGCCCAGGTGGGATTGTAGTGGGTTTTGCCGATCTGTCGATCATTTTAGTTAAGAAGATCCATATTTAGCCCCAGGTTCTCCGCCCCCAAATCCCACTAAAAAAATGTTTTGCGGATAGATGCAGATGTTTTAGCTCGGGATCCGAGTTCACATGGAGAAGTGCGTGAGTCCGAAGAGTTGAGAACTAAAATACTGGCTAGATTCTCTGAAGAGATGAAATTGGGAATAGCACCGGACTCTATACAGACTCCGAAAGGCATCAAACTTACTCACGATTGCTTCATTAGATGGTTGTGTCTCAATCGCTCTGTCGAATAGTCTTTCTACGGATCTTATATCCCTAACTGCGGTAAGTATCTCACCCCTGTATAAGAACAATCATTCGCACATCGATCATGCTACTCCATAATCAGGAATTCCTCTCCTTTATTCTCTCGCCAGTCGTCTCAGCATCATGTTCGTATTTGGATCTTTCCTTTAATCAGCTTGTCATCAAACACTTACCTTAGTCGCAGAATTCAGATAGCACCCCTTGTGACAAAGGTTCGAGTCAGATCAGTACCGCCTGAAACATAAGCGATTGACCAATTCTTACAGACGAACAAAATGCGCTTCTTCGTGTTTCTCGGACTGGCTCTGGCCACTTTCGTCGCTAGTCAGCCGATTTCCTCACCCGGCGAGGAGAATGTTCGAGGATTGGGGGACCCAGAGCTTCAGGTTGCAGCCATCAACTAGCGACTGTGCAACTTTAGCGGTTACGTGTTCATGAGCAATTTCTTCAGGTTACAATTTATTTTAAGATCTCGAAAGTCACATGCATGTTCAATCTCATTCTTATAATGATCCCATGATTTATCACTTTAATTAATAAATTTATCAACATTTTAACATGTGAACTCATTTAGACGTACTGCGGGATCCTCAAGACCCTGATTCGATCTCAGTAGTAAGACGGAACATTCCACTGGGGAATGATTCCAGAAAATCCCGAAGATGGGGCGTACTCGCAGAGATGATCGTCACGGTTTGCAGAACTTGGCTGCACATCACCCATGGCCAGAGCTCCAGTTGTAGCGAACATCCACGAGCATGGAAAGCTGCGGTATAGTTTAACTGGACAGCAGTTACGGCAATATCCCTAGTAAGAATCCTCGATTAGTATGAATTTTCCGAGTCGGACGCGTATTCACTCACATGATCCTGACACTGAAACAACTGATAACCATGATACGAGTCCAGATCTTCATATTAAGCCTTGAGATGAAAAAGGTAAGCGTCCCAAACATCAGGCATTCGATGAGTATATTTGTTGCGCCAAAGTATCGCCATAATTCGGACTGTTTCAAGTTAGATTTTTTGTATTGTCTTGAGAGGAACCGTGTCCAGACTTACCGCATCAATACAAGGTCCATTTGCTAGATCCCAAACATCAGGTGGTGAACATTGGACCGAAATGGCAATTACCATCGAAAGAATCCATACGATCAAAAAACCCACGGTCGCAATGATGGTTCTTGTCATGCCTGTTGGTGATAGTAGCAAGGAGAATAATGCGACCATTGAAAGCTTTCCCAGACCAATAGCTATTGTGTGAAGTATCTCCATCGCATATAAGGATTTCTGTACTTTAGCTAGTCCAGCATCTGAACATCCATCTGCACCTTTTCCCAATCCATGATTCGCAGCTATAGATACTGCAGCACATGACCCTGCATTGAATAACTACAATTCATTGTTAGTCTGCCGGGGTTGTCTTTGACCCACCTAGAACAACAGTTATGGAGAGGAGCATACCGATGTGGTAAAAAGAAGAGCGAAGCTCAAGTACTTTCGCCTGAGGAGCTGCCAACTTGCAAATAGACAAGCAGCTACAGCTCCTACCGAGACTATCACAAGAAAGCAGGAGACGACTTTCAAGGCGTCAGAGTGATCTTCCATGCCTGCGATTTGGGACAAAACAGAAACTCGAGACAACGGGGTGGTACTGAGGTTCTCAAAAAGGATGGGGACTTTTGATCATTGATCCTTGTATGGTGCGGGGATCAAATGATTAAAACAAAGAGCTAGCAGAGCTTGAGAGAACCATGATTCAAGCTTGAATTTCAAACAAAGAAAAATCACGGTGGCTTACATCTAGCCGCTTAGAACCATGTCTTGGAAGGGATGAACACCCCCAATAACAGTCCTCTCCAGCCTTTTTCATCCTTCCAGACTTTAATTTCCCCCAAATAACTTGTAATATGCACATATGCACGAGGGATCCATGGTCAATAGATTTGGCATTTGGGGGCAAAAATTCAACCATAACCTTGAATTCAAATGGGACTGCATAGGGGAAACCAGCCCTATTGGAGATCGAGTCCCGATGTACATTCTTCGGCCCCCACCATAACCACCATGGCGCATGATAGATCATGGCGGTGGAGATTGATGGAGGTCTTGAAACAAAGAATGTGCTGGTTACCATCCCTACTGTCATGCATAAGCTCGAAAATAAGTGGCTCCCGATGCAGGGATCTGCTGGGGATGATCCCTGGGATTTTCCCCGTTTGGTGGCAACCTTGCACGGGGCTGATGCTTATGATCCTTTTTGGAAGTCGAGCCTTGTACTTGTAACACTTGGGGTTGAATTTGAAAAAACTTTGATCATCGTTTTCTTTTCTTTCATGCAACCGAGCTGACCCCGCTGAAAGTGACTAGGAGTAGAAAGTTCGCATGGTGATCGCTGAAGCACTTGGGGCTCTCTCACTCTCGAATGCTTTTTATTCCCCTTTATTGAAGCATATCTCCACGTGGAGTCTTTGATCTCTTGTCTCGGTGACTTTTTTTTCCCATCTTCTTTCAATTCGTGAATTGTGAGATTCGCCGATATGGAGATGGAGATGGTCACTGTGCATGAGTCCAAGGGGCAGTCTGAGTCGACTTGGACTGATGGTAGGAATCTTCTTGGATCAGACAGAAAGAGTGGTTCTGGACTCAGTCGTGATGCTGCGGACCTTGCTCGAGTCGGTAAAAAAGATGTGCTCAAGGTATGATGTTGCTATTCTGCAGGTGATATGTGGTGGCGATTTGCTTTGATCTCGGGCTGACGATCTTATGCAGCGTCGGTTCGGCTTGACAAGCATCATTGGCTTTACTTGCAGTCTGATGTTGACATGGGAAGCGATAATGATGTTCGTAATACCATTCTGTTCTTGCTCTTCATTGTTAATTATCCTGACCTCCCTATAGGAATCTCGGTGTGGGTCTTGAGAAGTAAGTTTACCTATCATCGTGTACATCCTGCATGAGCACTGCTGATTGATCCAACTATAGTGGTGGCCCTGCTGGCTTAGTATATGGGTACATTGGAGTTTGGATTGGATTCATTAGTGTTTCCATTGTCATGGGAGAACTGGCGAGTATGATGCCGACAGTAAGTGCTCTCCCATCCTCTGAAACGGGATTAGCCTCTGAAATTGTCGGTGGTGAAGGCTGGTGGACAGTATCACTGGACGAGTATCCTCGCGCCTCCGTCTGCTAAGCGCTTTGTGAGCTATATCACCGGTATGTCAGCCTTAAACTAAACATGAAGGAAACGTCTTACTAAGTAATATTGGTCACTCAGGATGCATCTGTATTTTTGCTTGGACGGCTGGTCCAACAGCTGCCATTTATCTGGCTGGTAGTGTTCTTCAGAGCACGATCGCATCTAATAATCCCCAGTACGACCCCAAAGGATGGCACGTCACTCTTATGATGTGGGCAATTTTGGGTATTTGTACCATCATGAACACTTGCTTGGGCATGGTACTGCCGATTGTTGAAGTCTTCATTCTCATCATTCATGTGTTTGGATTCTTCGCAGTCCTAATTCCTCTCTTGTACCTGGGACCCCGAGCCAAAGCATCGGCTGTCTTCGCCACGTCATATGAACTTGGTGGATGGAATGATGTTACCCTGGCCACATTTATTGGCATGAAAGGAGCTGTTGCAGCTTTTCTTGGTAAGTCCGACTCTAGCCGTAAATATGAGTCGAATTAACCACTTTTTTAGGGACTGATGGCGCCGTTCACGTAAGCATCTCTCTTTGCGATACTTTCTTCAGGGCTTGTATGCCCGCATTTTACTAACGACTAAGTAGATGGCCGAAGAAGTCGCGAATAGTAGTACCGCCGTACCCCAATCAATGCTAGCAGCAGTCTTGATCAATGGGGGAATGGGATTCGGAATTATGATCGCCTTCTTATTTACCGCTGGAGACATCAGCACCATCCTCAAGTCCGGCGCTGCATACCCATTCATCAACATTCTAGAAGATGCCACTGGTAGTAAGAGTGCCGCCATCACTCTTTCCAGTATGGTTTCTGCCTTGCAAATTTGCGCTGGACTCGCCGGTATCTCATCTGGCAGTCGCATGTTGTGGGCTTTCTCCCGTGAGAAGGCGATTCCGGGATGGCAGTGGATCAGCCAGGTACTTTAGCGCCGATGCCCCAATGCTCTAGCTCCTCCACCCTGTCGATCATCTACTGACGGTTTCTCTTCAGGTTCAAACGCGAGTCGGCATTCCATTCCACAGTACTATTGTCATTGTGATTGCTGCTGGTCTACTCGCCCTGATCAACATTGGATCTTCGGTGGTACTGAACATTATCTTGTCTTTGGTACTCCAAGCATTCTTCACTTCTTATATTATCTCCCTTTCTATGATTCTCTATCGAAGATGGAAGGGAGATATTGCAGAGCCTGGTCCAAATATCCCTAGAGAAGTGATGGTGTGGGGTCCTTTCCGGTTGAAGGGCTGGATTGGGATCGTTAACAATATCTTCGCTATCATTTTCTCAGTGATTATGATGTTTTTTGGTTGCTGGCCGACAACAAAACACCCTTCGCCTAGCGAAGTCAACTATAGTGTCGCTATTTTTGTGGGAGTCAGTCTTCTCTGCATGGCCTACTACTTTCTTCGGGCGCGGAAGTTGTATAAGGGACCTGTGGTGGAAGTGGTGGAAGCATAGTAGATTGAAAACTGAAGTACTAGTACTACCAATGTTGTAGATAGGGATTGAATCACAGAGATATCTTAATCTGACAGGGATCTATGTTCTAGTTAAATGATTTCAAATATACATTTATGAGGTATTTATGCTTACATCTGGTTGAAATATGGCCACATACACCGATAGAATTATTCTCACCAATTCGACACTACTCTCTCACTGAAAGGTTGAATATAAAATTATATTATTTAAATTATCACTACTCACATACTCTATTAGTCAATTTATGTCGCCATACTGTTTTACTAAGTGACGCGCGTAGGACTCTTGGTGGACCTGCGCCACACGGAGAGACGGAGAACACGATTAGATAGCGGAGTTAGTACCTGGGCTTCTAAGGCTTCCAACGTTCCATCGACCTTGCCCCGTATCTTCAACCTTCCCCCCAAATCCCTGAGGAAACTTCATCTCGGCCCATCTCTAATCATTGGGATATTTATTACCTGGCTCAAATAAGTAGATCATGATCTTCCGGATCTCCGCATCCGCCTCCTCCACTTGCTCCGGCTCCTGGAAGCCTACCCCGTACCACCATGGGCGACGATAAGTTCGAATACCACTCCCTCCCTATCCCCACCTACGAAGAAGCCACCGCTCATGCTTCTTCATCACGAGATAATCTTGGCGATGGCTCCGATGCCGAACGTCAGGGGCTTCTTGCTCGCGAGACCTCACATTATCAGCCCCCAACCGTCGAATCAGTTCGTGGCAGTCTCGATGATCTCGCCTCGTCAGTATCGGGGTCATCCCGAGGCTCGGTGGAGGAGTTGCGCAGGGAACTAGATCAAATGGATGTCGATGACTCCGCGACATCATCCAGTACACGCTCTCGATTACGACAGCGATTCTTCTCTAAACGATTTCCCACCCTCACTCGAACCCTCTCCGCAATTCATCGACCTTTTAAACGATATCTTCCGAGTTTACCAAGTTTCAACTTCAGAATAAATCTCAGCGATGTACGAGCTCAGATCAAGGACCAGGCATGTCTTATCCTGTTACGGATATTTGCTCTCATGCTGGTGGTGACTTTGGTCTATGTGTTCTTTATTGGAGACATTTTCAACTTGAACAATCGCATGATCATGGGTCAAACCTACAGCTCGTCATCAGTGGAGAATTTCATCCAGGGCAACATCAACGATACCAACATCGCCGAAACGCTCAAACACATCACCTCATTCCCCCATATCGCTGGTACAGAAGGTAGCTTTTACCTAGCAGAGTGGGTGGAACAGGCATTCCACAGTGCGGGATTCGACGAAGTGGAACGGGAAGAGTTCCAGGTCTATTTGAATTATCCACTCGCCGACGGTCGCAAGGTAGCAATCATCGATCCCCCTCATTTGGCATGGGAAGCGACACTGGAAGAGAACCACGAGGAAACCTTGGTGTTTCACGGCCACTCCAAGTCTGGAAATGTGACAGGACCTCTCGTCTACGCCAATTTCGGTTCCCGGGAAGACTTTCAGTTACTTGCCGACCGTGGTATCTCCCTAAAAGGCACTATCGCCTTGGTACGATACTACGGAACAGAGGAGAGATCGGGCTTTGAAAATCAAAGCAGCCGAGCTCGCGGGAGCGGCGGGGTGTATAATTTACTCCGATCCGGCTCAGGACGGCTTTGTCCAAGGTCCCGCTTATCCCAAGGGCCGCTACATGCCCGCTGATGGAGTTCAACGAGGTGGTGTCAGTATCATGTCTCAGGTTATAGGAGATGTTCTGAGCCCCGGGTGGGCATCTACCCCACAGGAGAAACATAGATTGTCTCCAGAAGAAAGCCCTGGGTTGGTTCAGATTCCCAGTCTTCCGATCTCCTGGAGCGATGCGCAACGGCTGTTACAGGCGCTAGAGGGCCATGGCTCCAAGGTTCCGGAAGACTGGATTGGTGGAGTTCCCGATATTAAAAGCTGGTGGACTGGTGATCAAGATTCGCCAACTGTCAACCTGATGAATCTGCAGGACGAAGTGGACAGAATGCCCATCTATAATGTGCATGGAACGATCATCGGATTGGAAGAGCGTGAGAAGAAAATCATTGTCGGCAATCACCGTGACTCGTGGTGTCTTGGGAGTGTCGACCCTGGCAGTGGCACTGCTGTTTTTCTTGAAGTCGTGCGAGCCTTTGGTGAGCTGTTAACCTATGGATGGCGACCACTTCGCACCATCGAGTTTGTTAGCTGGGATGCCGAAGAATACAATCTTGTTGGTTCCACAGAACACGTTGAGAAGGAGATCGAGAATCTTCGGGCTAACGCATATGCGTACCTGAATGTCGATGTTGGCGTATCTGGCTCTCAGTTCCGCGCGTCCGGTTCACCTGTCTTTGAACGCACTCTCATGCAGATCTTGGGACGTCTTTCTGACCCTACTGCGAACAAAACACTGAAGGACCTCTGGAAAGAGAAGGGCAGCAAGCTCGAGCCACTCGGTGCTGGTAGCGATTACGTCGCTTTCCAGGATATTGCGGGCACGTCAAGCATTGATTTTGGTTTCGAGGGAGAATCCTACCCTTATCACAGTTGCTACGAGTCTTATGACTGGATGGAGAAATTCGGAGATCCAGGCTTCCAATACCACAAGCTTCTGGCGCAGTTCTGGGGTCTCTTATTGCTGGATCTTTCTGAAAATCCCATGCTTCCATTCGATATGCAGGCATATGGTAGATACGTTACTGGGTGGGTAAAAGACCTGGACGAGTTTGCCAAATCTCACAAGGCAGACGTCAATTTGGAAGCCATGTACAATGCTGCCGCCGAACTGGAGTCTAACAGCATGAAGTTCGAGTCCTGGAAGCAGGCATGGCATGATACTGTCTGGGGTTCTGGTGGATACGAAAGCAACGTCATGGCTCTTCAGCGTGTGAATCACAATATGCGGATGGCCAAATTCGACACTACTCTTTTGGATCTTGAAAAGGACGGTGGTGTAAGTTTTTTCTAATTATTGCAATACCTTTTAAATCCTGAGTCTCTCCGACTAACCTCTTGCCAGATCCCCAACCGCACTCAATTCCGACATGTCATCTTTGGACCTGAATTATGGTCCGGCTATGATGCCTCTGTCTTTCCAGCTATCCGTGATACCATCAACACAGGCAACTGGACACTGGCACAGCATTGGATCGACCGTGTAGCCAATGTGATCCATACTGCCAGCGACAGTCTCCTTACCTAAATGTACACTAACCCTTCATCTCTCTCCTTGTTTTCACCTTTTCGCTCTGTTCATTTTCTCTGCATACCCACCCCAATACTTTGACCAGCATTTTCATTTGTCCAAACCTAGGCATTGTACAGCCTGTCTGTGGTTGGATTTCACATTTATATCTTCGTCTCTGCATCCATGTTTTGATCATACATATGCCAATCATATTTCTCGCTTGGTATCTCAGCGAATCCTGAATTGATTCATTCACATAATTAACATGCTGCTACTCATAACATTGGGGTATCATTCCTCGTAGAATACACGATTCTCAAATCAAACACGAGGTAAAGGCGGATCAACCGCCAATAATGCAGGATGATCAGCAAGGGATTGCCAAAACCCAGCCTCATAATCCCACAAATCCTGACTCAATAATGCAGCCCAATCATCACTTCCCTCTTCGTGATGCCCCTGCGGTTCCGATGATCCTGGTACTGCATCCGAGTGGAAAGAATCCAAGAACCGCTGAATTGTCTGTGTAGCTTTGGACAAGAGCGCATAATTAGGATCCCCTGGTCGAACAATCGTTCCAATCTGCACCTCTGCAACGAAGACACTTAGGTCGCGCAGAATCTTCGTGCGGGGGATACTTCCTGCCGTGGATGTGTGTTGTTTTAATAAGGCAAGGAGAATTATTCCTGCTGCTGGAAGGCCATAATATGCGACCTACAGTCGAACTATTAGATAAAATAACAAAAATAGAGTAGGCTTAAATGCAGTCATACCTTCCAGATAAGACCAGTTCCAGAATTGATTAATTGATCCCGTAGAAGAATAATCTCAACTACAAGCGCAAGCATTTGTCCTGCTGTCTCGATGATAGGGATATCCGGTTCGGTGAGAGTATTCAATAGTAAGAGGCGGAGCAAGAAGAGAACATGTAGATGTTGGAGTCGGACATGTGCGAGGAAGTCTCGATCGAATGGTGTTTGTGTACATTTCTTGAGACTACTTTCAAGGCGGAAATGAGCTGGTAGTGCACGCCATTGCTCTTCAGCCTTCCGTTGAATTGCACTAAATTTTTAACATTAGTGAATGATAATAGAATAACTTATGAACCACTTACCTTGCTCGTGCTGCGCATCCTGCATCCTGTTTATCTTGAAGTAATTCCCAGACTTCCTCTTTCAGGAATGCGCAGAGCGCAGACCAGCGTGTATCGGCTCGATAACCGGGCTTTGAATCGGGATCCCAGACATTAATCTGATTATCGCTATGTGGGTTATTAGGTGCTGGTGTTACACTCGTCGATTCATCATCTGATCGTAAACTTGTCTGACAAGATGGAATCTGGAAATGGCAGAAACGCTTGTTCATCCTAGGAGGACGACCTAGAAAGATGGCGATATTCTTATCTGCGGAATAGATTCGCGCAAACGCAGATTTGCGCAGTTCCATGAGAAATCCCGGGATACCAGGTTTCATCTCAAGGTTCTCATGGTAGCCCATTGCAAAAGTTGATGAGATGACATCGCCGAGTTTGCGCCAGGAGTGGTAACCTGTAAGTGTCAGTAGGGATCAATCTATATAATAAAAACAAAAAAAAAACATACTTTCATCACCATCCACATAGGAATGTACAATAAAATTCTCATATTGCACAATCAATTGTAGATCATTCAGACAATCCAGAGAAAGAGAGATCTCAACCGCAAAATCACTCAGTTTAGTCGCAAGCCGGCGTAGGGTATATTGAGCCTCCTCAGCTGTATAGAGCGAAGGAAAAAACGGGATATCAATAGTCGCGCGACTCACAGCCGCGAAGAATATTGCAATGGTTTCCCAGCGACAATTATGGTCCATGAATTGAGACGAAAACTCCGCCAAATCCATCGACTGTGTGAACCGCAATGGCTGAGCAGAGTTATGTAGAAGTCGTCGCGCATACACCAGATGCCAATTCTCGTCGTTCATTGTAAAGAGTTGGCTTACGCTCTCTGCGCATTGTGCTACGAAAGGCTCTGCGAGAGCTAGATTGGCTCCTTTCGCTAACCAAAACATCACTAGCTCTTTCATTGCGGTAAGAGGATATGTTGTTATGATGTGTCGGAGAACATCAGCGCCCTGTAAGAGCAAGTAGTTATCGCCGATCCATTGCGGATTCAGTGCTTCGGGGTTTCCCGTCTGCGCGCCCGTGCTATGATCTCCCTCTGTCGTGATATGTTTGAATATAGCGGCATGGCTGGATGGGCCTAGGTAACCGGGGTTGGGGTATGGATTGCGCCGGGGGGTAAACGAGGGTGATGGGTCTGGTGAAGGTAAATTGCTTCATTTAATCAGCGAATATATTCCGTGGGCTTCATTTCACAATCTTAAAAGAGTGTCGCATGTCCATATTTCACTTTGCAAACCCCCACTTACCTCGGTTTCTCGATGCGCTTCCGCTTGAATGGTGTTGTGCGATAGATGCAGACACCTTTATTATTCTGGCATCTTCCACAGACCGGCTGCTGATGATCACAGGCGATTTTTGCTTTCCGACAAGCTTCACAGGCAGCTCTCCTTGAAGCCATTCTTCATCAAGCGGAGTGAAGTCCGCAAGTGAAAGTTCAAGTTTCTCGGTTATCAACGGATTATCGGAATATCGGCCAGTCGGCGATAAGATAAGTGGGGAAAGGCGGGGAGTGTGCAACATATATTAACTTGCATATGATCTACAACTTTCTCTCTTTCATACTTCTCTTACAGAAATTGAAGATCTCACCTTCATCATGTCTGACTCAATTAAGTTAGCTGATTATCTCTTCACTCGGCTACAGCAGCTGGGTGTACAGTCCGTCTTTGGTGTCCCCGGAGATTACAACCTGCGCCTATTGGACTATGTTGTCCCTGCCGGTCTACACTGGGTTGGAAACTGTAATGAGCTCAATGCGGCCTATGCAGCCGATGGCTATGCGCGAATGAATGGCGCATCAGCATTGATTACCACCTTTGGTGTGGGAGAGCTCTCAGCGGCTAACGGTATCGCCGGCGCATACGCAGAGAGATCCCCCCGTGATCCATATCGTTGGCACTCCACCCCGAGTACAGCAGGATACCCGTATGCTGATGCATCATACTTTTGCCGATGGCGAGTACAAGCGATTCGCCGCGATGTCCAAGCATATCACCGTCGCCCAAACAGAGATCCAAGATGCTGCCACTGCCCCAGAACGAATTGACTGGATCCTACAACAAGCTCTCATCCACAGCCGACCTGTGTACCTGGAGTTCCCCGACGACATGCCACAGGTTCTCGTCTCATCCGCAAACCTCAAAACACCAATTAAAGTCCCCGAAGCTCCCAGTCCAACCTACGAATCCGATGTCATCGCCCGCATCCTCGAAAGAATCTACGCCGCTAAGCAACCCGTCATCCTCGTCGATGGTGAAAGTCAAGCCCTCAGAATTGTGGACCACCTCGATACCCTAATCACATCTACAAAATGGCCCACGTGGACCAGTGTCTGGGGTAAGGGTCTCGTCAACGAATCCCACCCAAATGTGTACGGCCTGTACGCCTCCGACTTCGGCGACAAGCCCGCCAAGGCGTACTTCGACTCCGCCGATCTAGTCCTCACATTTGGACCCCAGTACAGCGACACAAACAGTTACTTCTCAACAGCAATTCCAAAGCCTTCTGCCGCGATCACATTCAAGGATACGACCATTCAAATCGAATCAGATATCTACCGCGACATCTCTCCATCCAGAGTCCTCACCCAGATTCTATCTAAGCTCGATTCTACCCGCGTCGCTCGGGTAGAAGGTCCACCTAAAGTCCTCGTCACGACAGACGATATCAACTCCTCAGACCTGATTGCGCAGAAGAATTTCTTCAGATTGGTGAACCCAATTTTCAAGGAAGGTGATATCGTCCTCGCCGAGACAGGTACAGCCGCGTACGGTGGTCGGAAATTCAAATTACCACCCAAGACAAGGCTATTCACCGCTGTCACTTGGCTTTCCATTGGATTTATGCTCCCTGCTACACTGGGTACAGCACTTGCACAGCGTGACCAGAAGAATCGCGAATCTGGATCTGGAGTGAAGAACCAGGCGGTTCTGATTATCGGAGATGGAAGTCTTCAGATGACAGCTCAAGAGATCAGTGTTATGATTAAGGAGAAGTTGGATATCCTGATCATCATCATTAACAATGAGGGGTATACCATTGAACGAGTCATTCATGGTCGGAAACAGGCTTATAATGATGTGCCCTTCTGGCGACACACGCAGGCATTAACATATTTCGGGGCGGATGAAGAGGATGTTAAGAGGAACACTTTCTCGGCAAAGACGGTGGGCGAGTTCCAGGCTATTTTGAGTGATGAGAGAGTGCGTGATGGGAAGGGAGTACGGATTGTGGAGGTTTTTATGGAGAGGGAGGATGTTCAAGAAGGACCGTTGTTGTGGGTTTTGAATAAGCAGCTTGCCGAGGAAAAGGCTTCAGCTGCTTGATTGTAATGTAGATACTAGTCATTTCGACCTCTATGGTGGTCTTTTGCATATCATAACTTATTTCGTATAGATCTGAGAATGCAGGTGAATTTCTTCAATGAATTTTGATCTCTCACTATGATTAACCACGAAGGGTGCATCTCGCTCGAAAACAACAGGAAAAAAGGTACATAAGAGAAAATAAGAAGAAGCCGCCGAAATAGGCTTGTGAACGCCAAACCCTATGCTCCAAACCCGCAATGGATACGGTTGCAGAAGAAGTAGAATCAGAGATGAGTGAGAAAGTAGCCAAAAGGGCAGCAAAAACGACTATTAAACACATCGCTTTCCTGGTTTTTGAAATAACCCGGGAGTCTATATTCGGTTCGAAGGGGTAGGAAGGTAAGGTGAGGAGATATTATTGATAGAAAAGAAAAAGGAGGGAGGAGGGCTTGCATGGGCAAAGTGGATAGAAGAGGGTGTGAAGGAGAGAAGGAAAAAAATGATAAGACCCAATTCGTTTACTTTCGGAAGCTTTCAACTCCTAGAGTAGGTGTTTCCACCGCACGATCGGTTGGGACGCCCTCGTCACGGCGTCGGGCGAAGAAGCTGTCACATTCAGAGACAATGTGAGCCCATTCTGCCAAGGCACGACCAGCATATTTGCTGGGTACCAAATGGTCATAGACAGGCCGAGAGGGCAATTCGGGTAAGGGAGAGTTCTTAGTGGTGTACGCTCGGGTATTTGGTGCTAGGTTCGGATCTTCTGTCGAAGGTGGTTGAGAGTCTGATGGAGGTTCAGATGCAGGCTCACCGGGGGTCATTTCTGTGTCCGTCACTGCCTCTGATCCAGCATCCTCGTCAAACTCGCAGGATTTATCAGGAGAGCGGCGATGCTGCACATGAATTTGAGATGCAACTGGCAGACAGGGTGTAAAAAGACGTTTGTTCTTTGTGGGCCACTGCGGACGATCCATCCATTCCAACGAGAACTTAAAGAAGTATGGATGGTGTGGCGTCTTAGGCCGCACGAGATCGTCGGAGCTAGTGCTCGGAGTCGTTTCATGTTCATCTAAGCACCTGCTGTCGGGGCTCATGGTTAAATCGATTACATTGCTATCGAGGTCATCAGAGCCGCTTTCGCCGGCAACATCGCCGGTTCGACCGCTCGATGAGCTACCAAACATGGACCGAAGAAGACCCCATCGACGCTTGGCAGGTTGGCCATCCGAGCCAGTAGAGTCTGTGGAGCTAGATCGTCGGTGCGTCGTGACCTGATCGATAGTGTTGGGCGGGATGACGCGATCGAATGAGACAAACAGATTCGCTGGGGACAGCTGATTATCACATCGAATGATAATTATCCGTCGTCCCGGCGCAGGCGTGCAAGGTGCCGAGGACAGCGGTGCAGTGAGTCCTTCCTCTGCCTTCGATTGAAACCCAATATAATACTCCCACACTCGCAGTAATCTATCAGAGAGGGTTTCATAGATCGTTCTAGTGAATTGGTCAGATTAGCCACCATGGGTGAAACATGAGGGACGATAGTCCAAATCGGTTAGAACTTACGAGTCAAGCGCAGATGGAGCCCCGCTGAACCTCCCCACTCTCCAGCATAGGAGACGGTGGAAGTAGGCCCGAACCATCGGACTCCAATGAGTAAAGTAATGGTAAAAGACAGGCTCATGCAACAAAAAGTCCAAACAGAGACTGGCCTTCCTCTCCTCAGTCGCAATCCAGGTCCCCCAAACACTGTAAATAAATGAAAATACGCGAACTTCCGTGAGCGAATTGTAGCTCTGGTTCATTTGCCGACATACTTCTAGCCAGAAATTCCAATCAAAAAGCTCGGTTTCGATTGATTGTGCGTAGCGCGTGATGATCGGGATCACCTCCTCGGTCAGGTCGCACAACAGGAAGCAGGCATTGTGATCAAAGAGGGAAATCTTCTGGGCAACCACTTTGAGCAGGCTACAGAAAGTCTCGGCATACAGCAAACGAGCCCGGTTTGGCTCTGCAGAATTGTCGGAGAGAAAGTCTCGAAGAAGAATTATCAGTCGATTCTCGGCCATTGATCGATGACTATTCCTTATGCCACCTCCAAGTTGATGAGGGGAAGCAGAAGCATCGGGGGATTCGAGGTAGTCGTCAAATGTGATTGCCGTCGCTGTATGAGAATTCTCCGATATCTGGTGCATCGACTGTTTGTAGATAGTATCTTCGAGGGCAACCAGAAGCTGTGCATGAACCAGGAGTAGGCCAGGTGCCAGAATCCGATTTGTTTTCTCGATCTCTGGGGGCAAGTATTCCGCATAGAGAATGTGGACATATTTCACAAACACGAAGAACAAATCGGTATCCCGGCCACACCAGCGTGCAATCCATGGTCCATTCCAGGGAATATTGGCTGTATTCAAGGGCGGCTCTGGCTTCTTTCGCAAATACCGCAGAAGCGGCGCATGCGAATGAAACGCCAGAGGTCGCAGCGCAGCAGGGAAGCTCAGTGCAAGCTCCTGGGTATATGCACGCAAAGTACCAAGGCGAGAATCAGCCGATTCGGCAAAGACGCGGCGGAACATTGCAGGATTTGTGTTCCACAGACGCACCAGAATGTCTGCTACTCCGGGGCAGAAGAAGAAGGCGTAGGCACAGGCCTTCCCGCAAAATGCTACCAGACTAGCTGGTGCATTTCGCTGGGACATTCGTGCCACAACGAACGCCATCTGAGACATGAGATTCTGAATAAAAATGTTTCGAATGTTGTGATGAATGGATTCCAGCAGAAAATCCGACCCTGATGACGCCGAGCCCTCTGATGTTTCTGACACAGAAGTGGAGGCATATTGCAATGAGTCTGTAAGACCATTACTTTGCTGTGCTGTCGGGAACGGCATGCGCCATTCCGGTCGTGTCATAATTCCCACCACTGCCTCGAGAAAGATTGGTCTGTCCGTCCCTGAAATCGTTTGGTTCGGCTTCCCATTGAGCATCTCCAGCATCCCAATCCACCACTTGTTCAGGATATTGACTCGCCGGTCCAAGTCCTCCGGCCTAAGGTTCTTGCAAGAGGTGTGTAACTGATGGCGACTCAGGAATGGAAGAAGTGAAGTTCGAATAACATTAGCTTTCAATGAGCTCGATTTGGATTGGAACCTGATTGTGTTTTCGATTTCAGCGATTAGCAATGAAGACGAATTTATAAATGAGCTAGTCTTGTAAACTCACTTTTGGTAATCAGCTTCAAGGCCACGGAAAACGCCCCATAGTTCGTCTTTCTTGCGTGATTGCTCGGGTGCACTATTCTGAAAGGCTGCAACTGTTGCTGCAGCGCCCTTCGGCATTGGGGGAAGGACTGGTGTTGACACGGAAAGAGACGCGGTAAACTTGTCGAATGAGGTCTGATGTCGTAGAAGAAAGTTGTTCGAAGGACTGCTTGGTGATCCCGGAGAATCGCCGTGACCCTTGGCTACAACAGCGAGCATCGGACGGCGCGGCCGTTTATATAAGATCGTTCTCTTCCGTGACGGTGCTGAATCGGAGTCAGACCCTTTGCGCCCATCAGACCTTGTGGGAGATTGATCGTCCGTCTGCTGCTTTATCCTTTTCGCCGTTGATGGGGATGGTGATCGAGAGGAGGATCCCCATGGTTTTCGCGCCAGACTCACTATGCGCCCTGACATAGAGCGGCTCTTCGATGGCCGAGCAGCGGGTTCCGGTGCTCTATGTTCCAGTGGCTTTGTTTCTGTATTTTGAGTTCCCGCATTCTTGAGATCCTCTGATGACGGTAGGGTGAAGTGAGATACTGGGGCTGAGGGCTTGTTCTTGTTCTTGGAGCGTAGGGATGTGCGGCGCAGAATATCCTTCCCCGCCTCCACGCTTTCCTTGGTGGGTGACTCGGTCAGGGTCGGGACGGCATAATCGGAGAAGGTTCTTCGGAGGCGAGGAGATGTTGGATCTGTATCGTCGTCTGTTTGGGTGGGGAGATCTGTATAGCTAGCGGCTCGTTGAAGCGCGTTAAATCCTTCATCGTTCGCATAGACACTGGTAGTCCCCTCGGGCAAGGGCGAAGACATGGTCTTGAGGAGAAAGCGGTCAGGGGGATAGCTGTCGACGAGAGGACATTTCCCTAGAGGACCGATGTGCAGTGAGTGGTGTTGAAGAAGACCAGCTTCTTCATGCACCAAGAGAGAAGCAGAGAGGGACTAGTGTCTTAGGCGCACAGCATTGCCAGGCCAATGGGAGAAAACTAGGCAAACACCGCAGTAACTCAAGAGAAAATCGATGCAATCACGTCACGACAAAGAGAATAAACCCTCAAAAAAAAGAATAATAAAAAAATAAACCAGGAAAAAAAATTCCGGAAGCACAAGGCTGATTGATCACAATCAAGCAAAGCGTATAAGAGAAGAAGTCGGTCTGTTGATAGATCGTCACTGCAGCTACCAAGGCACCCAGCGGGCCAGCAGTGAGTGATCGGCGTCGGGAACCCTTCAACGGGATCGGGAGTAGAACAAGGGTCTAGTGGCGGGGAAGTGAGGGCTGAGGGAATAAGGGGGGATTGTTCTCGGTAGATTTGGTGAGGATTTCGTTTCTTTTTCCTTGTGATTCTTTCAATATCTTCTTTGTTTTCTGCTTTTTGATCCCTTTTCTGTGAATTGGCAATATATGGATTGGGAGGGGGAGCATGAGGTGAATTGAAGATGTGGAGGAGGAAAGAAACTCTACAAGGAATCTCCCATAACAAAAAAAAAAATTAAAATTTAAAATTTACGAGAAAGAAAGAAAAAAAAATTCAGTAGGTATAGCAGATATTTTGAATCAAATCATAAATGTAATAATTATATTAATATTAATTGGAGATACTCCGTAATCCTTCTCCCCTTGAATCTCCTGAGACACGCTGTCCATTACTCCACTCCTTAGAAACAACCCACGGCTCACCTCTCTACGTAGCTTATACACCCATCATTCTCGCGTAATCCGTGAGAGGCTCCACTGCATAACCCAGGGAGTGGCCTTGAATCAAGAGAAAAAAAAATATCAGAAAAAACTTGGTTCAAATGTTCCAGGCTTGATTGCAACATACGACACCAATCGTATCAGCTCCGGGGAATCTTAAGAGTACATCTCATACGATTGAGATCGGAGGATACAGATGGTCTCTAAGTACTATATACAGAACACATACTCCGTACTAGGGACTAGTAGTCTATTTACAGAAAGTAGGGGAGATCTATGACCCCAAGTGGCGTCGTAGTGTTGACAAGTTTCCCGATCCGCCCACTTCCGTACTCCACAAAGCTATGACTGGTGCCAGTTGGCTGTGGAGGTACATAAACAACATTGAATACGAAGATGAAAGTACACTGGGGTATGTACCACTAGTATCATCGGTACTTCTTGCTGACCTTTCACCTGGGCACCATTCTGAGATACATTCCACATGCGAAGGTCCATGGAATGTTACCTCACCATCGCTAGATGACACCATGATCAATGTTCATCAGCCCAACGGGGCAAAGGAAAAGCAAACGTACGAAGAAAAAGAGTTGGAATGTGATCCAATAAATGTAATCAATTGATGAAAATGACATGATAGATGCCCCACATTCTCAGCCTGGACCAGGAGGGATTGGAAGAGCGGGGAGATTGGTAACAACGCAATGGTGGTGGCCCATTACATCAAGGGGACTTGTAGATCAAATCGATGTGGATTCATGAGCCATGTCAATCTGGACTGGCTTGAGAAACCTCAAGATCGTCTCATCCATTGATGTCCCCACTCTGCAGGGGTTCTCGCTGCTAGAAGACAATGAAGCCCCATGGATAGACCTGGTCCAACATGAGGATTTGGGTTTGACTGGGTTCCGCCAGTGTATCCTCCACACAGGTCTGCTCCACATTGCGCAAACTCTTGGCGATGGTTTCATATGGATTTTGAAGGACTCCCTGCCGACGGACGCAGTATTCAAGCCACCATCGGGGAATCTGTGAGCTGAAGAGTGAGAAAGATGGGTTAATGTAGACCCATTCCAAGGTTGCTGCATGGGATCAATAGTGTAGTGATGAGGTGGACGGAAAGCAATATATATGCATCTGGAAATTCTATTGGCGGTGGATCCATCGTCAAGGAACAAAAAAGATCTCAATTCCACGATTAAACCATTGTGAAATAAGCTCGGCCGGATTCTCCATCTTCAGCGCCATGTCATTAGCCTTAGGCGTTATGCAGGGCGTCTAGCCCACTGACGAGTCCAACGGTGACGACGCCTTAAGTGGATGGAAGTGTCACGGTAGAAGATGCCCGTCATGTAGCCAGAAGTTGCCACTGTCTCCATCGATTGGCAAGATGGCCGAGTTGGTCTAAGGCGTCAGGTTAAGGTCCACCTTGACTCTTACGGTAATCCCGTTTCCTGATCTACGTTTGTAGGCGTGGGTTCAAATCCCACTCTTGTCACTTCTTTTTGTCATTTTTTGTATCATCATTTTATGTTTTATTTTTTAAATACATTGTAGAATAAGGCTGGGTTAGGATTAATCTTCAGGTAATAATTCACGTTTCAATGGATAGAATTCCAGGCCTGTATCATGTTCTTTCAAGGTTGTGAAGGAGTTCTCGCAATTGCCCAGTGATGGAGATAGATTCTATAGAAAAGTCTGACCCCTTGGATGAAACATTTGAACTACCTGCACATGTGGGCACTGTCATGGCCTGGAAAATTAGATATAAAATTACCTATCATGGTTTAGTCGGTGGTTCAAATATTTATGACATGATCTTTCACCTGAACAGTTTGTATTTTTCAACCTTTCAAGTTCTGAGGTCTGTTCAAATGTTATTCTGTCCACCTGGGTTCTGACAGCACTGGGCTGATCTTCTAGTATACCAACATTTTGAAATATGTTGATTTCGACCATAGAGGCCACAATGCTACTCATTTCAGACTAAAGTCAAGCTATTTGTACGATTAAACCCATCAACACAAAGTGATGATGGTGCAGTGTATACTTGCTAACCGTACAGCGGGGAGTGGTATCCATGGATCATAAGTTCATCATGCAAGTAGTTTCCAATGATATACTAGTCAGATTATACTAGGTAGTAAGCTTCAATGTTATAGATAATGAAACATGGATCTATAGATCCATAGAAAGAAAAAAAATTCAATTTGGTGTGATCTCCGCGCCCCAACCTGGAAGCTGAGTTAGATACATCCGAGTCGCCGGGATCGGAGCATCCCTTGCTAACGTAGCCTGGGTGACGATGCATAGATCAGTTGAATTATCAACAACCAGCGTTTGAACATTGAAAGCACTGGCAACGCACCTGCATGCATGGCCGTTACTTACTATTGATAAGTATCAAGTCATATTTTCAACCAAGTAGAAGGTTCGCTAGCGTCTAACCGACTCGTTATCAGATCGTGCAAAACAACCAATAGAGCCTGTTCTTTGTTGATATACTTCCAAATCTTGAAATTGATCTTGGAGTCGATTGATCTGGCGTGAATTTTACCTTGAATCTATGTGGGATGAACGGTGCGTTGAAAAACGACGGCACATCCCATCGAGTAATCAATCCCTGCACCATCGCATTCGAGGCCATTGGCTTCAGGTCCCAAGGGCGTTGAAATAGCGGCCACAATCACTGTAAGATCCACAATAGACACAGCTTGTGACAAAAGACAAGTAGATGGAGAACAAAAAGAGGTTGAACATTTCAAAGGTGGTCTAATTTACAAGCTTCAGGACCCGAGAGGCGGCTAATATAGTCACGCCACAGGCATGCACAGCCGTCCCCCCCATATTTCCCCAGACCTTGCCAAAAGAAACAAAGGTACATTTAGTGGGCAGCAGGGGTCTCCTCCTCATCCTCCTCAAACCAGCTCTCCTCAACGGGGGCAGCCTCACCGGCGGCGGCCTGGCCCTCAACCTCAACAACCTGGCTCTCGTAGGCGGAGAGCTCACCGGCGAGGTTAGCCTCCTCGGGGGAAGCGGGGGCCTGGGGGAGAGCGAATTTCTGGACGTGGGCATCGGCGTCGCCAGCCTTGATGGGGGTGGGCTTGTAGGCCTTGAGCTCACGGAGGTAGAGGTCCTGAACAGGGTCGGCTGAAAGTGATGTCAGTATACAGTTGCGGGCGCTATTTCGGAGGGTGATTATCGAGTAAACAGATCCGACTGAAGGATTTCTGCCTTTCTCAATAATTCTGGTAGCGATACATACCGCGGCGGACAGCGGAGGTCAGGAAGGTGCGAGCGACCGGGACCTGTTGCCGAGAGGCACGGGTGAAGAGGGAGCGCTGTTGAGTCGAGTTAGTCCAGCTGTATCGTGAATATATGGGTAAATTGCGCACTCACCGAAGCCCGGAGAGTCTGAGACATCATCTTGACGACGGGGGAGTAAGTCGGTTGAGGTAGGAGATGAGGGGATTGCTCGACAAGGAGATCTGATCCGTTCGTTACCGTGAAGTTCAAAACGACTTCTGTTCGGAAAGAAACTCTTGGCGCTGAGTCAACACCACGTGACTCCGGTTTGCTCTCAGCCGGGCTCATCTCATTCACTATTCACTGCCTCATTCTCTGACTCTCTTTTTCCCCTTCATCTCTCCCCCAGCCCCTCGATCCACCCCCCGTTCTTCTTTCCTCAGCTTGTCTCCGGAACTGGACGCTTCTGCTCTTCATACCCCTGCAGTCTTCAGGTTCGACGATCCCTTTTTCGTGAGTTCGCTCTTACGGAGACCTTGACTGGTTATTTGCGGTCGGACAAGCCGAGGTATCGAGGCTCTGTGAAATCCCCTTTCTTTCTCGAAGAAAAAAACGCAGACCGGTGAAACTTATTCACTCCTGGGGGGTGATCTTTTGCGCTGCACGAGGCCATATCTGAAAGGTAATGACAGCCTTAAGGACACGGAAAGTCTGTGGGGTCGCAACTTGGATGGATCTTTTCATCTAGGCGATGACTTTCATGAGGCCTCGTTGTGTAGTGAATGGAATGAGCTAACATAACTACGTGGGTAGTGGTTCGTTCCAGTTGAGCAGCTGATTTCTTCTTCTCTCGTGGCACAGCCGCCAAGTTGTATTCGCCACTGTTCCTTCGTTACTACAATCGCAAATACAACATCCCCGTCACAGCCAAGCGAATTGCAAAGAGAAGAAAAGCTCAATTTGAAGAAGTTCAACGAGCAACGAAAATGGCGACCGTTTCCAGCCTAGCAAGGCCCGATGCCCTCACTGGAGGCACCCCATGGAAGAAAAATCTTTCTGCGACTCTTTCCTGCCCTGAATGCAAGGAAGTCCCTCCAAATCTCGAGTTTCCCGATTCCCATGAGACCGTCTGCGGCTCTTGTGGTCTGGTTCTCGCTGATCGTGAGATCGACATGCACTCTGAGTGGCGAACCTTCTCGAACGATGACCAGAACAACGACGACCCATCCCGTGTCGGAGATGCCATGAACCCGCTGCTCAATGGAGACCAGCTGGAGACTTCCATCGCCAGTGGAGCTTCTGGTCGTGCTCGTGACCTCTACCGTGCTCAAAACAAGCAGTCCAACGAGAAGGCAAACAAGGCGCTCCTGGCCGCTTACAAAGAGATTGGTGCGCTCTGTGATGGTTTCAACATTCAGAAGAATGTGGCAGACACAGCCAAGTATCTTTTCAAGATAGTTGACGATGCCAAGGCTTTCAAGGGCAAATCCCAGGATGTGATTATCGCAGGGTGCATCTTCATTGCCTGCCGCCAGTGCAAGGTCCCTCGTACATTCACCGAGATCTTTGCTGTGACCAAGGTCACCCGCAAGGAAATTGGACGGATCTACAAGTCTCTTGAGAAGTTCTTCACGAATCAGAATGTCGAGCGCCACGCTGCTGTTCTTTCCAGTGGCGGTGTCGTTGATCCCAATGACACATACACCGCTACCACCTCGACTAAGCCAAGTGAGCTTACCAGCCGTTTCTGTAACTTGCTGGATCTTCCCTTCCAGGTCACCAGTGTTTCTGCTGCGTTGGCTGATCGGGTCACTTCCATGGGTGACCTGGCTGGACGCTCCCCGCTGTCCATTGTGGCCTGCTGCATTTACATGTCCTCGTACTTGATGGGTCAACCTAAGTCTGCAAAGGAGATTTCCGTTGTTGCCCACGTCAGCGACAGTACCATCCGTGGTGCCTACAAGCAATTGTACGCTGAGCGCGAGCGTCTTATTGACCCAGAGTGGATTAAGGATGGCAAGGGCGACATGAACAACTTGCCCGTCGGTTAAATCTTTCAGATAATCGAAACTCCGCTGTTGGATGCACCGTTACTCACTGACATATCCACGGTCTCTACGATCCCTGCATACCAAAAATTTGCATATGGAATTATCACGACCCACTATGAAAGTATGAAAAAAGGCCTTATCTCAAAAAAAAAAAAATTGAAGAAAATGATCTAAATTCTCCGGAAAAAAATCCAGTTCAGTGGTTGACTATGAGCATGTTTCCCTACTAACCCTTGAGCACTGATAGATGTGCCTTTATCTTCTTCTGCGTTCTCATTCTAATTCCCCATTTTGAATGGCAATACCCCTGACTTGAATGTTTTTCAGTCAAAATCGCGTTTCATTTTCTTGCTTTTGAAATTTTACTTGCTTGTCCAGCCGAAGACACCACTGTGTATGTATATGGCAATGGATTTAGCTGAATCAAACCAATTTTAAACCCCCAGGGTTCCATTTATTTTCCAAACTTAGTATGCCATCCTCGGATAGGTTGTTTTCTCCTGGAGAGGACCTCTGGGTTGTAGTGTTGTTCTGGAACTTCCAGGACATGGTGAAGTGTCCTTGATATTTGGAATTTGAAATGCCCCAGTTAACACTAAGTCTCTTCGAATGAATAGGTTTAAGGAGCATTCAAATTAGTATGTTACTGTACTAGGCTGAAAGACTACCTAGAATACCGACTAGACCAGAGAAACCGAAATGCCAAAGGAGACGAAGCTTCCAAAGGACCAAATGGCATTCAACTAAGGCGTCCAATGGACTGGATGATAGAGCTGATCAGTCAATTGATCATTCAGTAAACGACATGCAACACGCAACATTGGGTTGACCAGGTTGAGGTACCATAGATAATGTTAGCAGTAGCAGTAAGTAGTTAAAAGAGGGGAACTGGTAATGTGGGTAGTGCATAGACGCACTTCCACTCGTATTTCAGATATTCAGATCATGAATGGGAAAAAGCGAGAGATAAATGAATGAAACGGACAAGGTATGAGAATAGAAGGGGAGAGGTGAAAAAGCAGCACAGAAAAATAAAATAAAACCAATATTAGGATGACGATCCCACGTCTTGCAGTTCGCTGTCAGATGTTTTCTTCTCATCGATTGAGGGAGTCTTTTCCTCTAATTCGGCTTCGATCTTGTTAGAGGGGGCTTCGACTTCCTCGGAGGCAACTTCGGTGGCTTCTGTGGAAAGTTCCTCTTGCTCGGCATCAACGGCCGGCTCTTCTTTCTGAGTCGTAGGTTCGGGTATCGAAGAAACTGCTTCTTCAATGGGCGATGCCTCGGCAGGCTTTGTCTCAATCACTGGGGCTGAATCGACATCCGGGGAAGAAACTTCTGCAACGACGGGCGATTCTGGGGTCGGGTCGACGGGTTCACCCGCGATATTCTTTGCAATTGCCGGCGCCATGATGGGCTCAGGTTGAATAGATGGCTCCAGGGTCTTTGTTGCTTTGTTCTCATCGCCAACAAGGAGGTTACCATCTTGAGTGACTTGCCAAACATTCCAGGTTTCTGTGATCTTGATCTCTGGAATGGTAGGAAGTCTGGCGTTGGCATTCTCTACGGCAGGCTTTCGCCGGGCAGGGCCACGAGCTCGACCCTTCCGGGCGTCACTGAGCGGCTGCTTCTCTGCGACTTGCTCGGGCTCCTTCTCTTGGGGCTTAGGTTGTTGAGGACCAAGCTGAAGACGAGAGTTCAGGTCTGTGAGGAATCCTGCCTTGAGAGCTGCAATTTTGCTTCCACCAGGACGGGCTGGAATTGAAGGTTTCGCTTTGGGTACGGCTGGCCCTTCGGCTCCAAATTCCTTAGTTTCTGAGCTGGCTGGAACACCTCTGTCTGCCGAGGTGTGAGTACTAGGTTTCGCGGGACGAGATGGAATCTGAGGTTTTGGGCGGCCTGGAATCACTGGTGGCTGGCGCTTCTCCGTAGGCGATGTGGATTGGGGCTGTTTCTGTGGACGAACAGGGATGATCGGTTTGGCGGGTACCTCTGGGCTTTTCAGTTCCTCTGCAGCAGGCTCGACAGTAGTCACTAGCTGTTGACTGTCTGGGGCATCCTCCCAGATATCTTGACTAGGAAAACGTTGCTTGATAGTGTCAGGACGTTGGGGAACCTTCGGGAAATCCTTATCACGTCCAGTCTCGCCTCCCAGAATATGACTAGCCACTTGATGTGAGTTAATCTTATCGGTCTTCATTCTCCGGATGGCTTCTTGGTCGGGTGTCTCAAAAGTCACGGGTGATTCAGCCTTGGGAATATCCGGAGTTGTAACAGTAGCATGAAGCTGTAGGCTGTTGGGTGTGTCTTCCCAGATATCCTGGCTTGGGAATCGGTGCTTAGAGAGATCAGGGCGCTTTCTAAAACGCTCTGCAGTAGAGGCAGGACGCTCCTTCTTGGTTTCCTCCTCTGGGAACAAGGGCTCGTATTCCTCAACATTTTCCAAGGGCGTGTGATTCTCATCATGAGAGTCATATCGAGTTAACATAGGCGCGGCTTGGGCACTGGTAGACCTGCTATTGGAACGGGTATGCGATACGCTAGGAGTGCGGCTTCGGTACTCCTCATCAAAACTTCCACGGGTAGGAGAAACCGCTGGGTGCAAGAATGCCGAATCAGGGCGGACCTCATCAGCAGCTAGGATAGGTGCATCTTCTTCAAGAGCTTCTTCCGCATCAGTAGTCGATTCATTTTGAGCTGATGAAGGAGCAAATCCATCCGGATGGTGAAGAGGGTGTTTTGGGTCGTGAACGTGAATCACATCGCCGTCTGCATAATGACTATGCGAGCTGGACCGGCCATGACGTAGCACGGAGCCAGGAGCCTCCTTTGACCCAGTGACTGAAGCTGGGAAACTCATTTGGCGAAGTGGGGATTCCACCACAGGTTGCGACTCAATGCGGTTTTCCGGCGGGGGAGATGCCATGCGGTGTGTGTATTCATCGGATGCAAGGTATCCAACCTCTTCCTCGGGCGTTCCAATAACAGCGGGTGAAGCACCTGATATTCAGGTCAGCTTTCAAAGAAGAAACTTTCTACTACGAATTTACGACGCTTACCCTTTGTTGGGCCAGACAGGCCGGGGCTTCGAACGATTTTGTTCAGATCGTCACTGCTCAGCGCCCAATCGGGGCGAGGGGTACCCACGCCAGGACCATACTGCCCCTCTTCTTTCACGTACTCGTCGGGGTGCTTTTCATACCATGCCTTCTCAAACTTGTCGGCGTGTTGGACACCGTGTCCGTGAAGGCCATAACTACCTGGTGGTAAAGAAGAATCGCGAGCACTACGGGTGCGGTGGTGATTGCGACCTGGGCGCTGAGAGCCTTGATCTAGATAAGGGCTAGGGGACGGCGCCTGGACATCACCGGCATTGGGATACATTGGAACACGGAATCCATGTTCTTCTCCGAGCTGAGCAGAGAGACGTCGATCGGAGGAAGCAGTTGAAGATTCGGCTCGTGAACCGCTTGCCCGAGAGTGTGACGTACGGCTGATTCGCTCTGACTCGTCGAGTGCGGGGGAGCTTTCGCTATTCCGGCCCAGTCCCGCAGCAGCGGCCTGGCGAGAATCTGTGCGAGTGACCACCTGCACCTTGGCCTTAGCACTTGACGTGGGCAATGAGGGTCTAGGTGCATGAATTTTAAGGTCACTGCTAACGTTGCGAGTTTTAGGAGCGGCATGTTCATGACTTTCAGGCACATTCGCCACATTTAAATCGGCATACTCAATTCCTTCCTCGCCTAGGGAAGGTATCGTTACACTCGGGGGCCGCTGAGGAATCTCGTTGGAGATGGTCCGGGTCATGCTTGGACCACTCCATTCATTGAATGGGGATGGAGCATAGTTGTTCCTCATTGGGGATACTGATCGATCGATACGATGGCTGACCGGACGTGGAGGGATGCCAGGCGTTTCTAAAGAAGAACGCGGTTGGGGTGATCGAGCCGGTCGAGGGGGGACGACCGGGGCGGCTTGGGTAGACATTATGAGTGTTATTTTGAAGCTGTCGGATTTCGATATTAGCTTGGGCTCGACAATGCCCTGCCCCGAGGGCCCGAGGGCCACGTGTTGAAGACAGCTTGGGCCTCTTGCAATGAGCTGATAATCCTTGCAGGCCAAGACCTGCACCAGCAAGGTCTGTGGAGTGAACATCCCGAGCTACCTGCATGAATGCAGGATAGGTCCATGCCCCCTCACCCCAAAAAGTGACTCCTATCAAGGATGAGGGGAGGGAAGGGGATGCGGACAGATGATAAGGTGATATTGATGAAATGACTTACCCAACTTGATTTGTGAGTCAATTTGAATTGATCAAGGCTAATTGGCGAGATACAGAAAGCGAACGGGTCAAATGAAGGGAAAGCAAGATACAATAGAGTCAGAGATTTGAAGGAAAGCAGGATGATGTATGTCCCTTTCTGCCATGACCCACCGAGCGTGACGTGCTCTGACCGCATCCAAGACCTCCAGGCCGGAATTTGATACAATTACAGTGTATTTTACTATCTTATTACAACCTTGGAAGCCCGCTGGAGCCTTCCAAGGCTGGAGCTACAAGGGGTCTCAACCATGTCTTTGCCCAGTGGATTCAAGTTATAACTACAATCTATTATGCAACATGGATGAAGTATGAACTTGAATGAAGACATTGAGTGATTTTCATCACGGTCGGAATCAATAAATTAAGCTCAAATTGCTTTCTTTTTCTCCTGGAGTATTTGCTGAGGCATTTTCCAGGCAAATGCCTCAAAGGAGTGGAGTGTGGTTGTGATCACCTGTGCCTGGGGGCAAATCATGGTCCATATCAGTGTTCATGGCGGTCTATCCAACCAGTCTAGCGTGCAGCAATATGCCTCTCCTTTTTCTTTTTTTCAGAGACTATTGGACCGATAATCTCTAGCGGGAGGGCCAGGCCATGGCCCAAAAGTATATTAATAGCTCGTATCTCCAAATATGCGCTTCACTTAAGCGGAATCCAGAGTGGAATCCAAGTGGAATCCAAGTGGAATCATGAATTCGTGATCGGTGTTGCAGATAAGACGAACCAACGACTACATGTATCACTCCGATTATATCTCTCATTTCATTATTGGTTCTTATGGCCGAGGCGGTGAGCCAAGCAATTGTTCTCCGCATTACATCATAGAATTGATTCCTTATCTTACATCAAAGAGAGATGTGATAAGAAATACTCTATTTCCATTTATATGTACTAGTATATGGATATCAAAGCCTGAGTTATCCATTTCATCTCATCCCGCTCGGCTCTAATAACTTGCCTAATTCATTCATAACCCACCAGGGAATCACGCGAGCATTTCAATTCAAATACCAGACCAGGTGAAAAGTTTAAGAGATCTCCACTCTAAGCCGAGCCTAGCCTTGACAGAAAATGCGCTCAGTACCGCTCCTGCCGAGGGTGTATGACGAAGAATACCCCTAGAAACCAGGTTTCTCTGACGTCTAATGGTGCCTGGGGGTGGACCAGAACTTGGAGGAATCCCGGGTGGCTTGAGGGGTCAGGTGGCGGGTGAAGTTCATCGATCGTGTTCAGCTGCCCAGTGTCCCACTGCCAGGATTTGCGGGGTGACGATCCTGCCAAGTCGATGATATGTACGGAGTAGGTAGTATTAGAGAGAAACAAATCCGGTCGATATTCGGTGCATTCTCTAATTATCCGATTTTTTCTAGAACTTCTCCCGGGCCGTCAATGGTTACATCTACGGATATACCCGTAGGCCTAGCAGGACTGCTATATTAAGCCTGGGAAGAGGGTAAATGGAGCTACGTGGCTGAGAGTCTGCATGTCATCAATTGCACTGCCACTCGAAAACTCCATTTGGGCATAGCCCTGGAAGTATGTCTGTCAGACTGTGACTATCGTGGCTCCAGGCTGCAATAAAACTTCGAAGATTACTAGTAGAGTATCGATTGCCTATCAGGAGCATGAGCTTTAATCGACTAATGACTATGAAATTTAAATTTGTGGAAAAATTAATAGTAGCAGTTGATTCAATGTTTCATTACGATGAAGATATCCTGTATATGGATGTGAAATTGATCAACTTCAAATGTTGTCTCTTCTCTTTCAGACTGGGACAGGAGCACATTGATATCAATTGATACTGTAGAAAATATGAGAAACATGGCTACTGGAATTTTGATTGTCCTGGTAAGCATCATATGTACTAGGAAGTAAGAAAGCTCTGAGAGAAAAAAAAATGAAAAATGACAAAAAGAAGTGACAAGAGTGGGATTTGAACCCACGCCTACAAACGTAGATCAGGAAACGGGATTACCGTAAGAGTCAAGGTGGACCTTAACCTGACGCCTTAGACCAACTCGGCCATCTTGCCAATTGATGGAAGAACCTTCAAACTTTGGTTACATAAACCAAACACCAACAATGAGTATACGTTTCATAGGTAAATTGAACTACACTTCAAATATTGGTAGTAGTAACGTAACTTGAAATCATCATGATGATGATTGCATTCAAATTTTTCAAATATTGTTGCTTCCAGTGCTACATATTCAAACTTGAACTTGAATGTTACATAGATGCACTGACACTTTTGGCTCGAACCTACTACTACATGGATAGATACCAGTAGACTGTGATGTATATTCCAAGCCTGAGGTTCCAAGGTTGATGCCTCAACTTGAAGTGCTGTACCTGACATTCAAGTTTAAAGTCCGAGTCACCAATTAGTATCACATGTGCATGAGCCTGAGTAGGTGGTACTGGAATATAACTACTACTAGTATAGTACATAGCACTCGCTTAAACTTGAAGTTCCAAGGTTGATCTCGTAGCTCGAACCTCGGAAAATTTAAAATTCAAACTTTCAAGGTGCACATACGGGACTTCAAGCCCTGGAGGTATTGAAACTTATCCAGAGCTGCCACCTGGTGCATATGGATCCACGTGAGCCCGAGCACTCAAGTGCTGGAACTTCAAGTCAAATTTTATGTAGGTAGGCTCCAAATATCCATCCACATCATGATGTGCAACATTGGAAGCATTGGCAATTTGGCATACATCTATCCACACATGTAACTGACTGAGTCTAGATGGATGCCCTGGGTGTCGGCTATTCTGCCCGAGTCATGCGGTGATCCATACTACTCAAGTGCTAGTACTTCAAGTTACCAGTGAGTATTCCGGTACAATGCAGAGAATAAAGACTCTTCAAATGCAATTACTACATATAATCGATTCACCTGGGCAGGGCACCTGTGTTATTGAGTGACAATTGAAAGAACATCAAGATATCTTGCCTACTAGTGCATGTGGTAAAGAAGGAACCTGAAGAACTTGAAGAGGATCTTATAAGAACTAGGTAGAGGAAAACCATACAAACTTGGAACTTTCAAGTTTTAAATATGCTCGCAACGAGGACAACGACGTGTCGTGAAGACGCCCGGGCTCAGAGGCTAGCCACTGGCTATTAAAGAGATACTAGTACAGAAAGGAAGAAGAGCAAGGTCATGACGCATTCCATTGCAAGTTGCCCCGGGCAAAGGTTCTTTCGAAAATTTCGAATCGAGCATCTTATCATTTCTCCCACATACACCTAACCCCCTCCAGTGCTATATGCCAACGCACCAAACCACAGGAATGAAGGAAGTGGCAGGAAACTAGGTTCGAAAACCAAGCGCATTAAACGATCATCTGTACAACACTCTGGCCACCCAGAGTCTTGCTGCTCACGAAATCCTGTTTCTTCAGACCAGCCAAAGCATAGAAGAGAGCGGCAATTATAAGGACCACGGCGGCAGCAATCAAACTGGAAGCTCCAGTGCAGAGACTGGCCCATTGAATAGCGCTGAGAGCGGTGTACATGGCGGCTCGCATCCAGTTGGTCGTGAAGCGGCGGATGAAGCCATCGAATGCGCCAGAGGTGGGACAGATGCGGAGGAGCCAGGGGACTTCAATGAAGAGGATTACCAAAGCGGAGGCGCTGATGGACGATTAGGAAAAGGCAGATTTTCTTGCTGGGGCGCAAAACTTACATGGCGAGGACAGCAAAGATGATCCGAACAACATGGAAGGTGAAAATGTTGGCGATTCCCAGCGCCAAGCATAGAATGATTCCCAGAACACCGGTCCTAACAGACAATAATTAGCTCGTGATTTCTTGCGCGCAGATAGCAGGCCGAGCAGAGCCGGCGCAATTTTCTGCCAAAGCGCCCAAGGTATTTGCTGCCCCAGCGCATCCTTATTTGCAACCTGTGATATAAAGTTCCAAGCTAAAGGCCCGGGGCTGGTTTCCCAAGGAAAAGTCCATCGTTACTAACCATTGACCGTAAATACCTAGAGAAGCGCAATGTTAGCGGGGAATCCGCCAGTAGCTGATCGACAGAGCTGCCGGAGCAGCACGAGGCAATACGTACTGAAGTTTCGCGACCGGAACTCGTCAGCCAGCGTCATGATGGGCAAATAGATAACAAAAGTTTGCAGAAATTAGAGACTGCAGACTTGGATTGAAATCACTTGATGTGGCGATTTGCTTAAGAGAAGGGTTCAAGAGAGAAGTGTACACGCGGCTGATTAGCCACTGGCACCAACGGGCGGGCGGTCAGTCACTGAAACGCAAACAAAACAAAGCGGCAACTCGTCAGTGTCGATCAGGTACCCAACTAGGGCTATAAAATATTTCCGAAGTTGGAAGCTGTTTATTAGGGACCTTTATATGATGAATTCGCGCAGCAAGATGAAACTAGTCAATTTAACATGTAAAAATCCTAGATTAGGGTTGCATCCTACTAGAATTTATTCACTCTCCCCTTTATCCAAGACAGACATCAAACATTCAAATACCTTTCTCCAGGCTACCACATATATTTAGTAACCTTTGAACTCTTTACTCTGTACAGAGTGGAGTATGGATAGCTGCTCTCTACCTTCACGTGAAAGACTTTAAAATGTAAGAATAGTGGTCCCTCAGTATGTATACTACATAAAGTACAACAAAAGTACGGGCTCCAGGGCTGCAGGCAAGCATTCCACTATTTGGATGCCCCAGGAAACTACCTAAGTGTACTATGAGATAATCTGCCAGAGATAGCTCAACATTTCAAACCCATGCAGATGTCATATAATAAGTATATTCCAGATCGAACAAAAAAAAGAAGATAAAAGATCATGTTTTAATGCAAAAAAAGAAATGATAAGAGGGAGATTCGAACTCCCGCCCCGAAATCGAGACACGGATATTTGGATCAGGTATACCTGAACCGTGCGCCTTGGACCGCTCGGCCATCTTACCAATGTGATATCCAGAAGCCATTTTATGATTATATCATTAAAGATTGAAGATGCAAACCAAAGTTGACCTACCATAATGCCTGTTCAAGAAAGATTCACCAAGCATTCAATGTTCACTACGTTCACTTTGCACACAGCAATCTGGCAGCACCAGATATCTCTTAAACTCACGCACTGCCAATTGGAGAAGATGATGCCTATATTCACATCAGGACATACATGCATCATGATACTTGCATATACTAAGTCAACTTCCACAATCAGTTAGTAATTCACCCTATAGCCTATCATGTGACCTTACCTGAAGATATAAAGCTTTCGAGATAGCCCATCTGGCAGTGATAATGCCCAGCCAACACACTATGAAATATCTCAATAACTGATCATTAATCTGGCTGTTGCACACCTGGGTATCCCTACTTTTAACATATGTGAAGTTTGTGCTTCTAAGGGTGAATTGATGAATCTAGAGCTATTATAACCCTGGAAAACTTCAAAGCATATCGACAAGGAGACCAAAGAGTTCTGTAACTTGAAACTTCATTTAAAGGAACACTTAATCATACGTCAGTTATAATTATATGGACTTCGCGAGGCAAATGAATCAATATCACCCAGCGTAGAGACATTCCAACATCTATAATCGTCTGATATCGAGACACAACATTTGAAAGATAAGAATTATCGCGCTTCCACCTAGAAGGCGGCTTCGAACGGCAATGTTGGAAGAGTTGACTTCGTCCTTCACATCGTTTCGTTCAAGAACCATTCTTCAAACCGCGACTCTTCAAACTGTGACTGCACAGCATATCGGATTTTCTTAGATCCCAAATCCAGATTTCAAAATGCTGATGCTCAAGTATCTTTCCGACTCATTACTTCCTTCGCTATCTCGGACTTTCAATTCACAGAGTTCCCAGCCCATTGAGATACCTCTACCTCCCCGAAACAGTCTCGCTGGGCTTCCCGCTGAGCTTTTGTTGACGATTTCTGATTTCCTTTCTCCGACTGAATGTATCATTTTCTCGCTCTGCAACTGTCGCTTCCTCGCAGTTTTGTATCGCCCTCTCACTGAACAAGCATCTCCGTTCAGAGAGCTTGCCAGGATTCCGATATTGGAGTCGATACAGCCAAGTCTGCCAGACCAATACGTCTGTTATCTGTGCTGTCAGTTGCATAGATACAATGATGCGAGGTCTCCGGATGGCTTTGGACTCCCAGACTATTGCAACATCTGGCCAGAGCGATGTTTGATCTTTGCAGACCGCAATATGCCCTCGAGCGCGACCCATCAAATGGAGTGGTTGCCGCTGGGATCACAGACCAGGAGAGAATTCAGATTATCATTCTCACATGCTCAATTAACCATGAGAAGCTTTCACTATGGCCTGGAATCCGGAATTCACCCAGATGCGCTATTTTACACCCAGGCTTGGGAATATTCCGTGACACAGTTCGCAATGTATAAGTCAATTTCCTCATTTGAGGCACAAATACAGGCAAACCCACCAGGTCTTTGTCTAAGAATACAGGACGTTATTCTTCTATGCAACCACAATTCGCACATTGATCTGACAGATAAATCATTTTAAGATATCCCCTGGCCCCCAAGAGTCAATTCCCAGCCCCATTCACACACCCAATAAATTGATTTATATGCAAGCATGTCTCAAACTGGCCACAACTGAATTTTCATCAGCATGCGGTGGACATTGGACTTGAAGTTGGCCCGAGTATCGGTGAGCAGTCAAAAAATCACTCAAAGTGCAATCTGTGTGGAACAGACTACCAGGTTGAACACCGAATATATCACGGAAACGAAACGGGTATTGTTCTGACAAGGTGGTTTAACTTGGGCCCTGGCTTCAGCCCAGAGGACAACCGATGGAAAGTCCTCTGTACGGCATCGAATGATGCCGTCCTGGACCCAGTTGAACGGCTGGAAAGCCCGAGAAGAAGTTGGGAGAACGGAGCGGCCTCACTCCAGTCACTGGATGAGCTGAAGAAAAAGAACGTGGCCTTGCTCAAAGACCATCAATTTATGAAGGTCATGCGAAAGAGTTCTGTGGCCGAGGGGATCTGGGAAATCCCATCGAAGCTTCACCGCGGCAAGTGGGAACCTGCTTCCATATGGAAAGCAAGACTGAATCAATGGAAAAGATCTCCATTGAGATCTCCAATTGGCGGTCAGTCTAGTCTTGAGGCCACGAGTGGCGAGGGCGACGATGTCACCTCATGAGGTTTTCAACCGGCCAGAGCATGCAAGAGAAGAATTTACAGAATGAGCAAAACAAGTGAGAGGTTTCCAATGAAGAAGTGAAATTTCTAAAAATGCATATTCTCTTGCAAACATAGAATAGTAGAATTTCCAGGTGATGGAAACCTCAGATATTAAGATCAGAGTAATTGAGATATGCCCATAGAAGTCAAAGTTTTAGAAGAGACCTTCAATGTGAAGCTAATTTGAAGAAAAATATAGAGGAGAAGTGAAGCCACAACATGTATTTCAAAGGAAGCTCCGTGAGAGATAAATATCCTACGCTATTTCTCTTCCTTCCTCCTCCCTCCTCTATCTTCCTCCCTCATCCACCTTCCCCTCTCCTCACATCTCCTACCACTTTTCATCCAATCATCTTCACACACTCCCATCGAGACTAAAACTTTGTTTCATCATGAGTTCAATCAAATAGACTGACTGGTCAACCGGAAACCCGAGACCGATGCAATGGAAGCCAATTTCGAGCACTTGGATGCTGCGGTTGCTCACCTCTTGAACATCCTGCGTGGGGACAGAATCCTCTTTTACTTCATTGGGGGATATGCTGCATGTCTCTTGACAAATACAAGAATTCCAGAGGTATTTATCAGGACCAAAATACGACTCTTTGAGAGAATTTCAAGATTAACGAACAGCTAGAACTTTCCATTCTGGATGATGCTCAGCGTGACTTGCATTCGAGCCAGGCCAGCTTCTGTGACTGGATCCTCATAACCAGAGAACACAGCATTAGGAGCGAGGTTCTTTAAATGGTTCTCAATCACAATGGTTGGCACCTGGGTATATCAGCTTCAAGTTCAGGATCCATATGGTGAAGAGGTAAGTTCACTTACAGTAGCTGCTCCAAATATTGGCTTGTTGTAACTTTCACTCCAGTATCGATGATGAAGATCGACCATAGCATAAGCTGCCACGGCAGTTTTGATGTTAAGCTCGGGATTTCGGAGAAGACTCTGTATTACACAGAAGCCACCGGCACTATCTCCAGTGAGAAATATCCGGTCCAGATCTGCACGGAGATTGAGTTGAGGGTAGAGAGCTGTCAAGTTCAATTCCAGACTCTCAGAAAGCCATAACCAAAAGCTGTCTATATCGGAGAGAATATCCATGCCAGTTGATTCAGGCATGAGACGATAGTCTGGGAGAAACGAAAATTGCTCGTTGAGACACACCGAGTTCCAGAAGCCTAAATGTGAACGGTATATTTGTCAGTGTTGCCTGAGACATAATGAATTTCGCAACTTGAAGCTTCAATAGTCCACGCGTGTACATGAGAGTGTGTCATCATCAGTTTTGATACATACCAGTTTGGTATAAACTGAGAGTATAGCCGACTTCCTCCTATGAGGAACCCGCCATGAAAAGTGGTAATCAACGGTCTCCTTTCCGTCAAGTCGGCTCCCTCGGCGATAAGAACTTTGGGAACCAGAATCGAGAGAAATATTGGGATTCGATGAACTTCCTTATACTTAACATCATGAATATAGAAGTCCTTGAGCTTGGTCGGATCGTAGGGCGGGGGATTCTCGTCGGGCATGTTGACGTGGTTTTTTGGTCAAATAAAACGAGTCTCAATTTTAAAATGCACGAGAGTAGTCAAGAGGGTTAATATGAAGTACTTCAAATGTCGAGAAAGCCCAAGCTTTAGATATCAGTACAACTTTAATATAGCTCTAGACAGAAAGGTGCGGGAAACTTGTGAAGGCGATTTAAATATCGTGGTAGCTTGTACTCAAGGTACTTGGTGTCAGCTAGAGCTCGGTTATATTTGTTCCGGTTTATTTCTCCCGTTGGCTGGACCGGAAATATCAGGTTGTGTGAAAGAAAGTTGGCCTGAACTATGTACGCTCAAGATAGGAACTCCGGGGCCCGGGGCTAGATGCGGTAACATCGCTCCGAGCCCCGGAATTTCCGAGTCAGAACGAACTAATAATGCGGGGCTGTTTGGCTAATCCGGACACGATAGGGTTCAAAATTCAGGGCCACCTGGGTGATATATATCCGCTTACAATGTCCAGGTGGTAGATCCATGCCGAGGTCTATTTCTCCAGTGCTCCTGAGGCGTTATGTACTATACGAATAATCTTGAAATTTCAATGCATTGATTTTTGTTTCTTGATACCTTGAATAAAGCCAATCTCATGTCAATTTGAATGAAAAATAACAATATGGTAATCAAAACAATCATTAGTCTCATAGCTTGCATATTGCTCAATGACTGCCAAAGCTCACAGCTGCAGACGGATCATGAATAGATATCGTCTTGGTCGTCAAAAACTCTCGTAGAGCATACTTGCCATTATTCCTGCCCCATCCGCTAGCCTTGGTGCCTCCAATAGGAGCGTTAGCCTCATCGTACTCGGTGATTGTCCCGATATGAACCTGGCCACACTCAATTCGACGAGCTACCTTCAGCGCTGCAAGAATGTCACGGCTATGAACTGCAGCATTCAAGCCGTACTTGTTTGAGTTGGCCAGCTTGACAGCTTCATCTTCATCTTCAACCACATAGACTACCATGGAAGGACCAAACGTCTCTTCACTGAATATTTGGTCCTCTGGTTTAACACCAGTAATAACAGTGGGTGTGATTGCGGCTTTGGTGTCATCGCGAAATTCATTATTACCGACGATAAAAGATGCTCCATTCTGTACAGCGGCATCGATAAGTGACTTGGCCCGATGGGCAACGCCGACAGTGACAGCGGAGCCCGCACCATCAGAGTACTGACTTCTGACATGGTCTACCAGTACTTGGGAAAAGCGCTGGGCAATATCCTTGACAACGATGACGCGATCTGTAGACATACAGATCTGACCGTGATGCAAGAATGCACCCTTAGCGCATAAGGCTGCAGCCTGCTCAAGATCTGCATCTTTAAGAATGATTGAAGGTGCCTTGCCTCCCAGTTCCATCAGTACCGGCTTCCAGTATTTTGATGCTAGTTGCCCGAGTATGCTTCCAACAATATTGCTTCCAGTAAAAGATACCTTAGCGATAGCGCGGTGCGCAATGATTGCTTCAGTCACACTGGGAGAGTCTTCCCTCCGAGCCTGAAGTGTGTTGATACATCCAGCGGGTAGGCCCGCATCAAAGAAAGCCTGGACAAGCGAGTGATGAACAGCTGGACACAGCTCTGAAGCTTTAAAAACAACAGTACACCCAGCTCCGAGAGGCCCAGCGAGCGCACGTGAAGATATAATCATACTAGCATTCCAGGGCGCGATAGCGAGAACAGGACCAACTGGCTCCTTGAATACCATACAGAATGCACCAGGTCCCTGTGGTGTAGGAAGTTCACCAGTGCACTCTTGCGATATGTTGGATCCGATTTCACGAAGGTTTGCCGCAGCAAGGCTCACGTTGAAGCGGGCCCATTCTTCCGAACACGAAGTTTCAAGTATTTGAAGAGCAACGAATGGCTCCTCACGGCTTTCGACTATCTCCGCTGCTTTGAACAAAATGTCGCGGCGCTGAATGTAGGTTGTATTTTTCCACTGCTGGAAGGCTGTATATGACGACTCCACAGCATCGTGGGCAATCTCGGCTGAAGCGCCTTGCGCGAGATGAACTTCGGTGGCTTTTGCTGCTGATTGAACACTGATAAGTCGAGATTCGTCGATTGGCAGTGGCTTACCATTGATCACGACAGGGACGACGTTCCGGTTATCCTGTGTCTTCAAAAATGTGATAGACATGATGAGTTTGATGTTTGATGTTTAAATTAGTCTCAATTTTAGAAAAAAATCTAAGGAGTAACCGTGGAAGAAGGTGGCTTCATATGGCTAAGATCTTAACTCCAAGTCCGAGAAATGAGAATGCATGAAGTGAAACATCGGCTATAAATTGTCTTATTCCCGCCCCGGTTTCCGGTCATTCCCCGCTCTTGAAGTATGAGTGAAAAGTAATAATCCTCATTGGTTCAGAACCCGAAACTTGTGTACGTTGCAGAGATTCGAGGGCTTATTGAATAGATAAGTACTACATTGGTCCGTAATTCCGGTATAGGATTGACACTCATTCTCATTTCCTTCTACCGTGAGTATTACTTTCTGTCAAAGTGTGGATAATAGTCTGAGTCAGGCTGACTAGTTCATTAAAGAGAATATCGCAATGCACTGGCGAAGCATGGACACGATCATCCGGATGGGATGTCCGCTATCCCAGGTGCCCGGTATGTGGACCACATTTCAATATTATCAGGAGAATTCTGACCTTGTTTCCTGGAAAGGCCGAGGTATTATAATATGATAATATAGAATAGAAACTCAAATTCAAATTCCTATACCTAAAGTCTCGCTAGTCCTCCCATATCAGCACAGGTTTTATTGTGTGACCAGACTCCATATCTTCAACAGCCTTATTCACATCCTTGTAAGAGTAGGACTTGGATATCTTGTCGATAGGAAACCGACCTTGCTTCCAGAATTCAACTAGTGCTGGAATAAACTATTATTTCTCGAATTAGTTCTTCGTGATTTTGAAACGAAGTCAGTATATCAAGGTTTAAATGGTGTTCTCACCGTTTTTGGTACAGAGGAACCTTGACATGACCCGACATAGCTGACATTTCGGCCTATCCAAGTTGCAGGCTCAATTTGAACGAACCTGCCATGAGGTGCGCCACCGACTGTAGCTGCAATACCATTGTTCGCAGTGGCAGCGATCATATTCTGAATCACAGTCAAGTTTCCCGTACAGTCGACTGTACGGTCGACGCCATCACCATCTGTCAGAGAATTTAGCAACGCAACGATATCGCCACCCTTTGAGTTGACTGTGTGCGTAGCTCCAAGTTCCTTTGCAATATCAAGTCGCAAGTCTACAATATCAACGGCAATAATCTTGGATGCAGGCGTGAAGTTCTTTGCAGCCATAATGGCCGCGAGACCCACCCCTCCAACTCCAAATATCGCAATTGACGACCCGACTTGTGGCTTCAGGACGTTAAGCACCGTACCTGCGCCAGTCTGAATACCGCAACCAATAATGCATAATATCTCAAGAGGGAGGCTTTTGTCAATCTTCACTGCGCAGAAACCACGAACAATCGAACGCTTTGAAAAGGATGACTGCCCGAAATAGGCTGAGTTGATATCTTTTCCATCCAGTGAGAAAGTCTTCGTGCCGTCCAAGCGTGCTCCACCAAAACACACACGTTCCCCATTCTTGCAATATGATGGACTGCCTCGCTGACATGGCTTGCATTCGAGACACGCGTTATATGTGAGAAGAACATGATCGCTGACTTCGACATGTCGAACGTCCGCTCCGACTTTCTCGACGATTCCAGACCCCTCATGTCCTAGAATTGCTGGCAGACCTGGACCTTTGTGACCCTGTGAATAAAATGAGAAATAGTTAGTAAGTGAAAGGGCTGTGAAGTCTATTACTAGACAGAGAAGACGCTGGGCTCTGTAGACATTGAAGAGAGAGAGAGAGAGAGAGAGAGAGAGAGAGAGAGCTCACATGTGCAGATGCTAGATCGGTATGGCAAATTCCGGTAGCAATCATTTTTACAACAATCTCATCCCGGCGCATCTCCTTTAGCTCGACAGTTTTGAGCTCAAAACAACCTCCCAGCTCAGACTACAAGGGCCTCGGTACTGCCCAGTCCATCCTGTTGGTTTGTTGCTGCCATTTCATCAAGAGAATACTGCGAATATAGCACAAGAATTACTAGAATCTTGATACCCAAACTTGCAACTACCTGAAACAGTCACTATATAAAATTTTATGAAAGAAGTGGCCCAGACAAGAACCGTGACGTCGTGAGTCGGTCTTTCGCGGGGTGTTTTCCCGGCAGCACACTCGGAGAGGATGCCGACCCACCCCAGCGGGGTGATGTTAACTCCCTGGAGTCCGGGCGTGAACACTAACCCCGCATGTACGCGTAAGCACTACGGCCAAATGGCAGATTATGATCAATGTCTTCTGCCACCAACGCCAAGCGAATATGGGAATAGTGAATTGAACTTGAAGTCGACTGGTATACACGAGCAGTCCTTGGTGATATACCTAGATCTAGGATGTTCTCGAATGTTGAAATGGGAAATGGCGTGTGCTATTATTTATCTCCCTAGTCGACTTCGAGCAGGATTACATGGAAACTGGGTTGATGCTCAGGACATGAACACTGCAGACATCTGGAATAGCGACCTCGTGGAGCATGCACACGTGGATTTCAAACGCGTGTTTTTTTTAGTCAGATAAAAATTCTCTAGTTGATTCAAAGTTTTATCTAGGATCTATTCAGTGTCTTTCAGTTCTCATTATTCCTTCATCTGGAATGAAAAGGTTTGACTCGTGTGTATGTTTTTAAAAGCTGTTAGTTGTTGCCAGTAACCCGTTATCAAAAGATCAAGATAAAGTTCTTGGTTTTATTCTGCAAAATCTCATCTAGTCACCTATCCGCTACTGATAAACATTGAATTCCATTTGCTCCCTCATAAACTCCAGAACGATGAAATAATGCGAAAAATAGTGAGACGGCGGACAAGTTATTTCATCGATAGAATGCTGAGAATCTCCACAGGAGAGCCGTGTTTGGGGAAACGTGAGGCGTTAACGGTTCTTGCCTTTGGCCTGTATGGTCACGAATTCTTTTCATCATAAATCAGTTCGATTCTAATTTTTCTGGTGTATTCGATCAGCTTGGCGTCCGTGAAGCTGGCAGCGGTATCCTGCTCTCTCTTCATCGTCTCCAGCCATTTGCTCCGCCGTTCTTCACTGAGATTATGCAGGATTCGATGAATAACCATGTACGGGGACAGTTCAATTTTCCACCGCTTCAAAATCATGATTTCTCTCATGAATGACACAACGTACTCAGAGAGTAGTGAAAAGTCGGAGCCAGTCATGTTAAAGCACTTGTTGAACCTATCCTGTACCGTGAGGATGTCCGGATTCTCCATCTCCTCGACGGTAGCGTCGTACAGGGTATCTGCGTAACCACGCCTGATGGGGCCTGCCGTAAGCTTAATTCTCGCCTTCAGTTCGGCACTGATATTGTGCCATATCCATATTGCTAGTGCTGATGAAAGCTCTTGCCAAATGCGGGCCTTGCTGGATTTATCAATTTTGGGTCGTGGTAAGGTGGAATTGATCAGACCAAGCAGTCTATCTTTCGCTAGTGAGCGCCGTAGATCCTCGTCCCATTCATCAAATTGCTCTTCATCTTTCCGGAGAATCGTCTTCATCTCTGTGAAAGTAACAAATGTAGTGGGTAGGTAATCGGCCTGGGTACGATCTGCGAAGAGCGCAGCGACCCAGCCATCGGCGTCATCTTCGATAAGCGTGAACATTGTGACTCTTTTTGTCAATGCTTTGGAAGCCGACTAACTCGTTTTCGGGGTAATTCCGTTGTTTGTTGAGACTTTTCTCTCGCCTCTGTGGTGGAGTTAGTTCGACGCGAGAGCCAGTGAGGTAAAGTTCTCTTTGTGTATGTGTATGTTGCTCAACAGGAGAAGAGGGCTATAACCTGTTGAGAACTACTGCCAAAGAGCTCTGTATGTGAGGAAGCGCGAGGAGGGAAAGGTCTCAACGCGCGTGTAGAGATGAAACACCAGAAGTGGTTCGAACTATGTGCTATCTATCAAACAAGGACTATGTGTTCTAACATAGAGAGATCCAATAGCAAAACGGAGATAACATTTAAACAATCACAAGCAAGTTATGCTGGAGGTTTGCAAATGCATTTGCCTACTGAGATTTGTACTCTACTAGCTCTGAAAGCACCTTCACCATTGGCTCTGACTGTATAATACCTGTCTGCGCGCCTTCTCTCACTTGACCAGCAGGCAAATCCAAGGTCAGAGGCTCTTGGGCAGTACTCACGTCCTGTCCCCACTCAGGGGCTCTCAAATCATCGTCGTTGATCTTCCTACCCGTCACTGGATGTGTGGAATAGGATAACACGAGTATCTGGCCACACAAGCCACTGCGCGATTATTTAATCTGGCCCCACTGGATCTTCCGGATGATCTCGTGGGTCAAATAGTCCTTGTCTACAGAGGTGATATTCCATGGGACCTCCAGCTTACGACTGAACATGAGGATATTGCCGAGGTAATATGTAGGTTTGAACCATCATCAGAGTTGGATGCTAACTTTTTTACCAAGTTCTTTGTCCTCTTGCTCATGCACCTATCATATACGGTATAGGGCTGAACTACAAGGCTCATATCGCCAAGGGCCCTAAGGCAGACGCTCCGCTACCTCCATACCCATTCATATTCACAAAGCCCACCGACTCCATCAATGGGCCCTTTTCTCCTGTCTACATTAGCTCCAAGTGCGCCGATACTATGGGCTACGAAGGCGAGTTCACACTTGTTCTTGGTCGCGATTGCAAGGATGTCATTGCGGTAGCAGGGGCACTGGAGAGTATTCTTGAATACACCGTTGGGAACGATATCAGTTGTGGGAAATGGCATCGACCGGATATCAGTGATGGCCAGCATGGGTACGCGAAGAGATTCGATGCGTTTGCACTCTTTGGCCCAGTCCTGGTAACCCCGAGCTTGTTACCTATCAATTGAGAACAAATATTGTTTGATTCCTTGATGAAAGTGGAGCGGTGATAACAGCTCACTCGCCCCGTTGTGGATAGAAATATCGCGTCGTCTCCACTTCTCAATAGCTCGTCCGCCCTATATGGGTCCGGGTCACGTGTAGACACGATCGAGGCCACTGATAAGATCACATGATTTAGCGTATACAGCTCGGCCGCCCCTTCGGCTTTAAGATCACAAAGGGGCGGCCGAGCTTTCCCGATTTGCTCCACATCGGGGCGAGTTAGGAGCACCGAAGGGGCGGCCGACCTATGATCTACACTTTGAATTGAAGCCTTAGGTACCAATAGGACCTCGGGAACAAACGTAATGTACATACATAATCACCGGGCAGCCCAGGAGGTGTGTTGTCCGCTCATTTATTACCAGGATCGTGCATGAATAGTGACGTGACATCTTCGGACCATTCCCTCAACTGGACCTGGGCCATGGAATAAATCATGTAACAAATCCATACCAACTCAGATCTCTGAATTCTCAGGTTGGAAAGGAATTCGAGAGTCAGCGCAATTACAGGATCTAGCTCTGAGAATTTAGGGATGGAGAGAGGTCAAACATGTAGGCTGACAGTGCAATGTGCAATATACAACAATTGATCTGATCCAAAAATAGCCAAGCTCCACACCTGGGCATCAATACAGGCTGACAGTGGGAGACACATCATTTCGATGCCTAAAAATTGAAGTATAGATACATAAGTGAGCCTCTTGGACCACAATGTCACCTTGACGGAAGTCTTTGACTTTCAGTAGTACACCAATTCTAGATTTTGTCCATTTCAAACCCAGGCCAACTTGAATGATCAACTTGAAGGAATCAAGGAATAAAAGGGCAAGCTATGGATTTTGTTTCAACAGCTGCATCAGTCATTCAGCTGGCTGGTGCTGGTCTGAGTCTTGCGAAGACTATTTTCGAGATTTACCAAGAGGGTGCCGAGGGAAATAAGCAGCTGAAAGAACTTTCCATGTTCATCAATACAACTTCCACTATATTGGAGGAGATTGGAAATGCCTTTCAAAACGAGTCCAAATTATCAAAGCCCATCATTTCGGAGAATGCAATTTTAACGGCAGTCAATATCATAAAAGAATGTTCAGACAGTTTTGATGCCATACGAGAAGTCGTCAATAAAGCGCAAACGAGTACTGCTGGTCTCTTGCGACTTCAATTGAAAAAGTCTCAGTTAGCCTCTCTGCAGAGTAGGCTGAGCAATCTGAAGGAGGATCTCGCTCTCATGTTGCAAGTTCTCACCCTGGCGCATATCAAATCTCAGAATTCGTAAGATCAACGCTTCAAACGTTCAAAAATAAAATGCTTGGAACATTGTTAACTCACTCCTCTTACCTAGTCAGACCGATGAAGAGACTTGCCAGCGTGTGCTGGTAGTGGAAAACAACATTAAGAAAAGCTATATCTCTCAGCAAAACGCTCATGATAGGGAACCTACTAGAGAAGTCACAGCGTAAGTGATTTTTTTAACTTACACCACGTCACGGTGTGATGATATAAACCTTTTGCAAGCTGGCTTTAATGACAATATTTCTCATAGTTACTACGATGAAGAGGGTCAGTCGATAAAAGGCCCAAACACACCAGATTTCAGCCCTCACTGGCAAGTGAACATGCCACCCAAATGTCAAGTGTCGACAAATGGAAACCAAGCTCCAGAGGCAGCAATAGACCAGAGCAGCAGCCCAAGATTCACCGAGGAAATTGTTGTCTCGAATCCCAAAGCCACCAAAATTTCCTATTGGTCCGCATTATCGATTGTATGTTGCCCATGTCTTTTTGGAAATACTGGGATGAGATCACTTTTTGGAATTAGAAAGAGCCATCCAAATATAGACGACGTATATCAGACAAGAGTTGAGGGAGAGGTACAGCTTGATCGTACAACGCACATCGAGCGAGAGGACAGTCGTATTCATGCGACACTTCCAGCCCCTAGAGTGTATGGCAGAGAGATAACGCCAGCTTGGCGCGACTCATTGGAAGATGATATACCTCGCTACTATGGAGTTCTTCAGACTGGGAACTTTGATCATGACACTTTGAGTGCGAACAATGTTGTCGATAGGCTACTGCGCGAGTGGACCACACTATATAGCGAACTATAATTGATACTTCAACGCATCTTGCGTTCCAAGGCTCTTGAGAACGGAACATCCGAGTACCTTTAATTAAGACTTTTAACCTTCAGGCTGGTAATCTAATGGATACTCATCCATATGTACTATGTGATGATCAGTATAAAAGCAAGAGCGCTTGATCGATTTAAAAACTCAAATCCATGAAGGAACTTGAATTCTACTTGAACTTCGAGTTTCCTCATAAATTTCTCAAGTGTCAATAGATCGCTACTAGATGCTCAAGCTTTCAAACAGCTGTTAATTCTTGATTGATTGAATTTCCACTTTTATTCAAGTTTAAATGTTTAGTATGCAGCAAATATGGTCGATACTAGTAGTATGTAGTTATGAGTAGGTAGGGGATGACATCCGCCAGTTGACAGTTTCAGTTCAAGTTGGAACATTTGAATCAATCAACCGCCAGTGGGCAATCATGCGAAATATACACATATGGGTTGAAAGAGCCCGCAACTGGGCTAGACCCGTAGATTGCAGCTGCAGTGTCTACATGGATTTTCAAGTTAAAAGATCATCGAAATCAAACGACGAACGTTTTCATTCTCCCATAAGCATTCCAGTCTCGGTAGTTGAAGAAGTCATACTCTGGATCGTATATACATTGTGCACTTGTCATAAACTCAGATTGATCAAATCAAATCATCAACACATGCCCAAACAAAATCCAAAATAAAAGTCCTCACTGGCAGGTCGTTTCTCTCTTCCCTCACAGAAGACCAATGACAACATCACCATAGATCTGAGCGTCCAAGTCGAGGCGGACCTTGGCGTGGAGGTTGAGGTGAACCTTGACCTTCAAGGCGGCCTTCTCGTTAGGGTCATTCAGCAGCTTGCCGGGAATCTGGAGGCCGGCGTTGGAGATGGCACCAGGCCCATCAGTTCGACCGGAAACTAGCTCACCACCACGGGTGGTACCATTGGCCTCATCATCGGACTTGTTGCGACGGCCGCCGACGGGACGGGGCTCAGTGGGAATGCTAACAGGTGGAGAGAGGATGTTAGCTGCGGGTTCTTTTGAATCAGAAGCCTCGTAAGTTGGTGGATTGGCAGAAGCAGAAGCAGAAGCGGGAGGCAGAGGAGGAGAAGGAGCAGGAGGAGGAACATAAGCTACTTTGCTGGGAGAATCAGCGATGGGCTTGGGAGTTGGAGTCGTAGCCGCCACTTTCTCTTCCTCTGGGGGAACAGCAAGAGGAGCCTGCTCTGGCTTATCGGAGACTGGAGATTCCATAAGAACCGGAGCTTCTGGCTTTGACTCTGGCACCACGGGGGATGAAGAGGTCAAAGATGGGGCATTTCTCGAGTCCATTGGGGATTGGACTGGCAGGGTAGACACAGATGAATTCTTTGTGCTACTCTGGCTCACAGTGGATGAGACTGAAGGGCGTCTATCCTTCTGCTTCTGCTTCTGCTTGACCTTTTGTGACTTGGTTCGAAACATGGAGGGAGGGTGAACGTGACAAAGATGAATAAGGCGAATAAGCCTATTGAACAATCAAGTTCAAGAGGTAAGGGGGATAACAAAGGATAGAAATAAAAATCAGGTACCTTGTGGCAACAGGGTCAGACATCTTGGAAATACTATAGCGAACTGCCTGGATATTTCAGGGATTGGAAGAGTTGAAAACGTATGAGGGATGCAGAAGAAGATGAGCGCTGATGAAGAAAAAAAGGGAGCTCTTGATCCGACTTGATGGAGCCTTTTCAATCTCCCGCTCGGCCGTGTCTCGACCATGCGATATGCACCATTCGGAGAAATAATCGCTAGCTGCATTTCCTATAGAAAGGCCCCTGGTTTAGTCAAAGCAGGTATCATACGATTGATCGGGATTCAAGTGGATTTTGAAGCTGCTGCATGAAGCTCGACTAAAACAGTCTCCACATATCATCTGTATGTACAACAATCCGCAGCCGGGAATCTTTCACGTTCCTATATTGATACTGCTCATCACACTACCCACTCGCCACTAATTATCCTCCCAAGGCTTCGCGAGCGCGAGACTTTGTACCACAAATCATCATGGTTCTTGGAGTGGTTATGATGGCGGCAATGCTGCCAACCATAATGGGACTCAATGAAGCAACTCAGGGGAGTCGCGAGCAAGAAGAAGGCCGACGCAACGACGCACGAAAGCAACGTGGCCATTTAGTGGCCATATGTCCCATTACACAGGGAACACCAAAAATGCGTCAACAAGTTCACAATGCCCAAGTCCAGGTGGGTCTAGACGGGAAAGTAAGTTCTGTCAAACTTGAACATGGTATCAGAAGGTCCTTCATTGGGGGGAAAATCTCATTGACGCTCCCAGTTTTACATCACCAAGCATCCGACCGCATCAATGGTTCCATTCAACGGTAGCTACTATACGCATCCCGACTTTCCCCCGAACAATACATCTGGCTTGGTCACTATCAGTGGAGAAAAATCTCCGACTCTTCGATGGGTATTTCGGGACGCTAAGACGCAGGAGATGCGTTGGGGCGGCCGTCCTGATTCTGAAGGTCACATATGTGGGCCCTTTGACTGGACTAGCGATGAGCTATATTTGACAATGGAGGATTGGGAAGGCTGGTTGGCGGTGCGGCTCCCGGAGGACGAGGCGCAGGACCGGGCTAATGCGGAGATGGCGATATTCGAGGGGCGCGAGACCTGGCGGTTATACTTCGATGGGAATGACGATGGTGCCAGTTTACCGCCGGGGGCTAAGGGACTGGAGATACAATTGAAACGAACGACTGCGGACGCTTGATTGTACCAGACCTCCTGATCTTCGGTGTACCTATATCGCCCCGTAGGAGAGGTTAAAAATTGTCTGTGTATCTCAATATTCAAAACTCGTTTTGATCAATATTCTCCCTCAAATTGAACTCGGAATGCTTCCATTCATGCATAGTACGACATGGATTAAACAATGCATGATGTAAGACGTTGATTGCGTCTAGATGTCATCCGGGATTCAGGATGCAGGATGCAGGGCGCCTATGCGTACGAATGCAATATAATATATTATCCCTGTCATTATCAGGCAATTTCAAGGCTACTAGCCCGTTAAATTTCCATCGGAAAATAGGACAAATATGTACTAGATCCGGACGTGTGGAGCATATCAACCGTTCCAGATGCCCGAGTCTCCACCAACAACCTCGGGGGTGGGGGCGCTTAGATGTATAGATCGTATGATTTTTGGACTAGAACTTGAAGCCACCGATCGGCATCTGAATGACAAAAGAACAGTTTTTAAGATCGTTACACTTTTTTTTGAGGACCAATTCACACAGTATAAGGAGAAATTCAACTCATTCCGATGAGATTGTGAACTTGAAAGCTACAAATTGAGCCTAATATTACATTATGGCACTCAATTGATATAATCAAATTCTTTACCAACAAACATATGACCCTTGTTCATCCGAACAGCAGTTTTCGGAGTTTAGATAAATACTCGTAAATCAGGCACCATTTGATCGCGAGTTCGGCATCAGGGGAAATGAATTGCGGGGAGGTTCCGGTTCGTGCCACAAACATACTAAATTAGGAAGAGCTAGGTGACGATCAACCTCAATCTAGGCCCTTTTAGAAAGTTCATGCAGTATTGGGCGCCACAGATCATGCGAGCAATTCCGACTGGCTCAAAATGGCGCAGATTGGCGTTGTTAGTTGTGTAGATCTCGAGGCAACCTCCGCATTTTTCTGGATCCCTGACAGATCTGACTCGGTGTCACCGTGAATTCTCCGAGTCGGCTCCGAGGATGGAATTGATCCTGAATGAATTCGTTTCATGTCAGTGAGATAATGGCCATGAAGCGGCTCGGGTATGCACGTCGGGTCCGATGGGAGATTTGCAAATTGTCAACCTCAATGATGCAAGTGTTCTTGGTATTCAGTAAAGGATTCAACTCCGGAGTACGTATTAAAATAGATTGAGAGCCATCTCTAAGTAATGGGAGACTTATGGACTGCAAGGTGGTTGACAAATATTCTCTTCTTCGCATCCCAGCTACTACACTATCTTACTACCTATTCTCCACCCGGGCCGTGACGTATTTGCCTCTCTTCAAGTTGACCGATGAGGTTCCTTCTACATACATGTCTCAATCAATATATTCCTCAGGCTGCCAGTGTCAACTAATGCGGAGAAATAAGTGGTGTATGTATGGCTAGCCTCTTAAACACTATCGCTCTCTAATTCTGTTTGTGATCTGGGAAACACAGTCTTGGGAAAAGCTTTGAACGACTAAAGTCAAACTGGAAGCTTCCTCACGAATTATAAACATGGAATAAAGCAAGCCAAAATCTAAAGCCTTGCAAGCTCAGCTTCGATAGCAGCCTTCGCTTTGGCATCACCTCCGTTGAAGGCGCCCAGAACATCCTTCATCTTCTTCACCACAGCGGCATCAGCTTCCATAACCTCACTCAATAGTTTGCCTCCGTTTGCAAGGTAGTCAGCATGAATATCTGCCAGCTTGCCATTCCAGTTTGGACCAGCCATAGGGTCGCTATTGGAATGGACTTGTAGTCTTGCCGGGGTCGTCAAGTTTGCGTAGTAGGGACCTTGCTTTTTCGCGGGACGGTTAGCAAGGAAGGGCGGCCGCAGTGGCGATTATTACTACAAGTAGGATTAGAATAGTAGAATCGAGATAATATCAAGAACGACTCACGGTTCCAAACTCCTAGACAAGCCAGAATAGTAAGCTGGATTCTGGTAGATCCAATACCTACAGAGCTCAGAATTGGGCTGAGATAGTAGGAGATGATGTTGTTTCTTTCCAACCCAGTTCATACTAACACCCTGAACAAATAGAATCAAAAGCCTATGCCGATTTCCAGGTGTCTTCAGAAAATCGGAGTAAGAGACTTGCTTGATGTTTTGCTCCTCAGTAATGGCACTGCAGATTTCACCAAACTCATGTACTACCAGCGCGTCGTCCTCTTTACCATTGACATGATATTTGACCAAAATGTTGCGAGCCTCGTCAAGACGTCCTCGCTTTACCAGCCACTTTAATCCATGCCAGTAAGATATCATGTGAAATTAAACAACCGACTTACTCTTGGCGATTCGGGCATGCTTGCTGTCAATAGTAAGGTGATCACAGGACCAATACACTGACACCATGCTGGGATTCTCCATGCCATTTCTCCAACAATATCAAGAGATCCAAGACAAACCGAAGCTGAAATAATTGCAGCAAGATAGTATATAGCAGTGACTGCCGTTGTTAGTAAATAAATCCCCATTCATTCTTACATAATGCACTGACTGGCGCCCGATAACGCGGGTGCGCGATCTCCTGTAAATGAGCAAGCGCGACTGCTAGCGCTGCAGAGGTTCCAAATCCCATGATGACACGACCACCACAGAACATGCCAACAGGTGTTGACAAGGCGATAACAATAACTCCAATAAGCTTGTGAGCAAAGGAAAGTTAGCCAGAAGACTCATAAGCTAATCGGCAAAAATCCAGGGAATGGAACATACGGCAATAACTGCGCTGACCCAGACAGTAATGCGTTTCTCAAACAGATGCTGCATTCCATCACCAAAAAAACTTGCAAGGCATCCAGGAAGAAAGCCAGCAGAGTTCATAAAGCCAAGTGTGTTCGTATCAGGGTTCCCAAAATATACTTTCCATTGATTGAGGGACTGAAGACCGTTGAACAAGCTTCCATCATCTAAACCAAGAAGATCAGCACATAGACTGAAGATAAATCAACTAGACTGAGACAGCATACATCCGTTGAAAAACATGGCATCACAAAGACCAACGCAGTGGAGGATATTCCATATCAAAGCTGTTCAAATTTGTCAGTTGATACTATGGTACTTTCAGCGCTTGGCCAGCATTGATACTCGAGACTTTCTAACCTGGATCTAGAAACCACCAGCTCTTGGTATTTTTTGGAAGTTTCGATAATCAATCCGCTCTCCTGAAGAATCCATGTTTGCTATCGAAGAAAAAAGAAATTGAGAAGTCTTGAATTCTGTTCACTTTCTGATGGTCAAGAGATGCTATCATAGTGTCCTCTATGGGACTATTTAAGCAACAAGGAACATTGCATGATCTCCATTACCCCGGATTCTATCCCCGAGCTCATTTGCGTCATAGCGTCGGGGTTGGTCTGGGGAACCCCGTATATCATGAAAATGCCTGAAGATAATCGACACATTCCTCGGTCTAAAAGGCACATTCTTCTAAGGGCATTCAAGCCGAGATGCCGCACTCCCGCCCGCCAAATATTGGTCTTCATTGCATCACTTGTTTGAAAGAAGACAATGGCATGAGGTTCTAGGAAGGCGTGTTGATACACAAGTTCCAACTGCTTTCTTTCCGAAATCTCAGATTAAGAGTATACATGCATGAGGCGCATAGTGACTAAATCTGAATTTATATAGCAGCCCTGGAGGATACCTGTCTCCAAGTTCCTTCAAATCTCTTTTTCTCTTTGGTCCTATTAATTTGCATTGGTGAATTTTATGGGATCAAAAGGCGACGGAGCTCCTTTCCCCACAGGCGCGAATAGCGGAACTGTCTTTGAACCTTGCATGTACCCCATGAAGCGTGTCCCCACGTTTCCCACAGATCCGAATGGGGTCAGAAGTCTTCACTCTCAATAGATGTATGTATGTTATGTGATACTGGAGCAACTTTCGTTGTATTCATCTAGAGGTTACTACTATGACGTCGCGTGTGAATGGGGATGGCGGACACTACGGGACGGAAGCAAGAAACCAAAACCGTTATGTCTGTCACAAGATGGTCTGCATCATCATGGTCTTCCAAGGCTAGGTTGCGGGGCTTACTGATCTTGAATTGCAGTATGCAGCACCTTGGGCTTCCAATAATTCTGGTTCCTTGAAGACTTAAGTTTATTATCAATTCTTTGAATCCTCATGTTGAAGCTGGAATCCTATATGTCCTCATTTTTTTCCTTCACGAAAAAAAGAATTGTTTAAGTCACACCTGAACTGACGCAATGATGGTATTTATCTTCACCTCCCTTCAACAAAAATTTGCACAGACTAACTGATGCGGCATTTCTTATAGGAAAACCCAGGCGTCGTCGTTATCGGGCCTCGCAAGTCCAAGATTATAGACACACCCATGCCCAAAATCACCGGTCCAAATGAAGCGATCGTCAGAATCAAGTTTGGAGGAGTCTGTGGAAGTGATGTGAGGTGCCATTCCCCATGATACTGTCTACTATCTCCTATTGGCTAAGAAGGAACGCATCTAGGTTCACTTTTGGGCTGATTGTGCCATCGATGGTAATCTAGTGTCTGAAGAGAAATACCTTCCACTTGGACACGAAGCCTCTGGTATCGATGTTTTTATCTCCTCAGATGTGACTTCACTCAAGGTCGGCGACAACGTTGCCATCGAACCTGCCAACCCCTGCCGATCCTGTATTCGATGCCGCGAAGGGCTTTACAATCTTTGCCCGTTCATGAAAAACGCCGCCTCTGCAACAGAGTATCCGGGAACGCTGACAAAGTTCTTCAAACTCCCCGCCGACTTCTGCTACGAGCTTCCAGATTATGTTAGCCTGGAGGAGGGGGTTCTAGCAGAGCCATTGGCGGTTGCAGCACACTCGGTCCGCATGATTGGTATCAAGCCGGGTCAAAGCCTGGTCATCTATGGTGCTGGTACTATTGGACTAGTCTGTGGAGCTGTCGCAAAAGTCTTCGGTGCTCGCAAGCTTGTACTCGTTGATATTTTGGACAGCAAGCTCGAGTTCGCTAAGAAATTTCTTAACTGTGAGACTTTCAAAACCTCTCCTGGAGCTGATCCGGAGAGTGCAGCCGGTGAAATTATTGAGACTTTTAATCTTGGGCTAGATGCAGATGCCGTGATTGAAGCAACGGGTGCTGCATCATCCACAATGGGATGTGTCTATGTTGCCCGGAAAGGCGCCCACTTCGTGCAAACTGGAATTGGAAAACATATCATTGAATATCCAATTTTTCAGTTTCAGACACAGCAAAGGAGACTACCGTGTTGCTATGGATATTCTAGAAAATCGTTTAGTTCCTGTCAAGGAGTTGATTACAGCTATGTACAACTTTGAAGAGATTGAGTTGGCTTGGCAAGCTACCCTTTCAGGAAAAGAGATCAAGAATATGGTCCAGGGAGTTTTGGACTAAGTGGCTAGCATAGTCCAGAGTTATGACTCAAATTTTCTCTTCTTAGTTTTCCATTGCTTCAGATATTGTGTTATAACGAATGAGAATGACTTGAACGTGGTATTTATTCAATTAATAGTTCGAATCATTAATTCTTATTAAGTCAAGGTACCACATATAGTCTCTGTCTTTTCTGGATTGTGCTTAACATCCAATCAACAAACTGTATGCTTGAATTGGGTCGTCTCCACTTTCTTGCTATAGCAATGACCTTCGTCAATATATCATCCAGATCGGATATAAGATGTTGGAGAGCCGGGCTTCTAGCAGCAGCCGTCAAGACCAATGAACAAGACAAGCACCTATTTCAGTCAGTTTTAGTGTCAGAATAGGTCGATTATACGTACGCCTGTATCATATTCCATGCATATTGTGTCTGTTTGTCTAAGGCTTCCGCGGCATTGATCACAAAGTTGCGGCAGCTCTCAATGCAGACTTGAGAATTTTGAATCACGAAGGTTGGAACGAGGCTTGAATTGGTCGCCGATATGGCGTAAAGCAAACATGGGCGAGTTATAATGTGGCGGGCTGACCAGTAGCGCGAACGAAGCCATTTCTTCACGAGGGAGCATGGGGCTTGTGGGTCCAACTCGGGCTTTATTGGATCAGGAAGTGAAGAATACCATGCATCCAGTTGGCGCGTAAGTTTGTTGATAACACATTCCAAGGAAGATATTGATGCCAGAGATTCTTGTTCAGGGGAGGATGCGGTCATGCTTCTGTCAGTCAATTTTTCCTTCTTCCAATTTTTGTCGACCCAGATACAGCGTATATGGCGTGATGGATTCGATTGAGATGCGACCGAATAGAGCATAAGGAGAAAAATAATAGCTCAATGTGTCTACCTCTTTGCTGAAAATATGGAAATTGCATCTGATGCACGATATTTTCAATTCCGCTTCGAGGGAGATAGAATTCTGCCAATGTATCACTTGAAAGGTCAGTACGACTCAACACGATCCTTCCAGGACTCTTTTACTATTCAATGATAAAACATGCCCAACAAAGTCTGACAACTGCTTCTTGCTTTCCAGTTGATAAATAACCCTTCTCTGTACTATGATCAATATCAGCTTTCAAGGCATTCGATCTATGGAGCGTGAATCTTATTACTGAGAAATCATCAACTGAAGTTTAATTGAAGCAGTATATGCCAGATGCCAGGAGGTTAGGGGATAGCTCATGTATGAGAGGTAGATAGACGACAGAAGACCAGTAGGTATTGTGGTGTCAAGATCAAAACATGCCCATGAGCTGGCTAACAAGATTTGATGAGCTGGGACGAAATATTCAAGGCCATTTTCTGATTTATTGTCATGAATAGACCCGTCTTGTTGAATGCTCAGTGCCAGCTTTCTAAGCGCGAGAACAGTCAAACAAAGAGCCATTTCCAGAGATTCACAAGGACCTTGTTTCATAACATCGTAGAAAGATATGCGAAATGTTTCGGAGTTCAAAATCGGAAAATGAATGTGGACTTCAGTAAAGAAGGTTGATAAAAGTAAATTAACTGTATTAGCCTTGAGATTCAGGTTTTGTAACGTTTCTTTTGGCGAATTGTTATAGTTCTCAAATGGAGGTGTTCGTATAGACTCAATATGATAGAAGAAGTTTGCAGGGTACTCCCCGATCAGTCGACGAATAGGCTCAAGAAGAAATAGACTACCAGCTATTGTAAGATGACCATCTGAGATGCTTAAAAGCTGATCATTCATTTCAGGGATTTCTGAATTATTCTCCAAAGCATTTTTCTCGATCTCAACTGTATTGGAGGACAGGTTCGCTGAGACCGGGCTAGTTGCATGCCATAAAGTGCTATCGGGCGTAATGGCCGCTGAAAGTGAATTCAGATTCGGTGGGTACAGAAACAGCGATTGATGAGTTTCACTCATCTGATGAAACCCATTATCCAAATCATTTGAGACGTTTTGATGCTCCGCATAATTCAGATCCTCTATCCCGACATCAGACGCTTCATCCTCCGCATCATCGTATCGGACTTCACAATTTGGCTCCTCAGACTGATCATCGTTCTCACTGGCATTTCTGGTGTGTGCTGGCTGCTGTGATTCTTCACGCAAAAGGCTCTCTAGTCGATCTAAACGACGAAGAAGGATCTTTTGATTTTGCGAAACTGCTTCTCGCCTTGGTAAGGCTCTACTCACAATAGTCATTAGCCGCTGAAGAACGCACACGGATAAGAAATAACATGACATACTCTTCCATCACTTGTTTTGGATATTCGCAGGCAATATTGGACTCCCTACACAACGCACACTGTGGCTTCTCCCCATCGCACCGGCGCTTTCGATGTCGACAGTAATGGCATGCGACTGATATTCGCTTACGAGGGTATTTTTGTGGCATCTTTGACAAAGATCAAAACGAAGATTGGGATATCAATATCATCACACTATATCGAAATATCTCTTGACAGGCTTCGTATCAATATGACAGCCTCGCAGATACTCCATACACTCTGTGAAATCCGGGGTTGAACACTTTCTGTGGGGAAACGCTATGAGTGAAGATCATTCGATGATCCCTTCCTAAATGCCTCCATCCCAGGATTAAGGTCCCTAGAATTAATCCACGCACAGACAGTTTTATGGCGGGAAAGCCGATTCCGCCTGCCGCTAGGAACATCACGTCGCTACGCAGTGGCCCTTTTCATGATTCTACCATCATTCTTCCTGAGCTTTCATCGTGCGAAAGATGCTTAGAAAAAGACAGTTAACATACAACCGAGGCCTAAACTCCAATTATTACTATGAATTTTGGCTCATGAATTTCTCTCTTCCCTTTTAGGCGATGCATTTCTGTTAGATCACGTGGTCTGTATAGTTCAGACCAAGGTGGCTAGGTAGATAGCTCTCGACGTGTCGGGGCAGACTTCCCCTCCGCGCACTTCCCCCCATACGTGTTCTTTCCTGTAGCTGTTCCAAAGGCACACCTCCTAACAATTTCCGGACACTCATTGTCTTAATAAGCTGCCCCAGTGTCAATTATTCGGATTCTTTCAATATGAGCAATCTTTTTCCTCCCCTCCTAACATAAAATGTTGCCTCCCCCAGTTGACGAGCTTGCGAAAATGATTGATCATTCCATCATCGATTCCTTCCATACGGAGAAAGACCTTCTTGACGGAGTTAAACTTGCAAAGGAATACAAGACTGGTCAATTTCTGACTCAACCTTTCCGAGTGAAGCAGGCCCGCAGTCTTCTTGCTGGGAGTGACATTAAATTACAAACATTTATTGGATATCGACATGGAAGTGATCATACTGCGGTAAAAGTCTTGGAAGCAAAATTAGCTTTTGAGGATGGAGTTCAGGAGTTAGACATGGTGGTCAACTTATCCGCACTTCTGAGTGGTGACATTGAATACGTTGAGAAGGACATTCGCGCCGTGGTTGAGACAGCAAAGGTATGCAATTCCTATGCCAATCATTTTCCTTAGACACCCACGAAGCTAATTCTATCTAGCCATATGGAGTTATCATCAAAGCTATAGTGGAGGTTTTCTTTCTCAATGATGACCAGCTCAAAGCTGTAGCATTAGCTGCTGAGCGTGTTGGCGTGGGTTTCATCAAGACATCCACTGGTACTCGACCTGATAAAGTACCAGATGTTGAGCACTCTTTGAAACTTTTTCGGTCCATTCTTAAGCCAGAGACTATAATCAAAGCATCTGGTGGCTGTTACACGATCGAAGCTATTCTCACATACTACAAGGCTGGGGCTAGGAGATTCGGCGCATCCAAAACTGGAACAATTCTAGACGGATACGGTGCCATGTTCAAGGCAGGATTGACTGGGCTTGAGATTGAATTAAGGGTTTCATCCAATATTGTACAGATCAGATCAAATTTGACTTTATTTTTCTCGTGTTTATGGAGGCTCAAACTTCCTTGTGTATCTCTATATCCTCCGCGCCATCCTTATGCTACTTATAAGTCCTATTATTTTTTAAAAAAATCTTAGGTAGTAGACCTCCTTTCCTATTTGGGTTGCAGTGGTTTTTCGAGTTTCCTCACCGTCTGGCAGAATACCCAGATTTACCAATAGACTAGATTTTTCTTTTCTATATTCCATCTAAACATAGATATATCCCTCTTCATTCAGCTATCTCTCACTTTAGTAGTCTCTTACTTCAGGATATGTCTCACTTTAGCTATCTCTTCCCCTCTAAGTAATGATGTAGGTAACCCAGTAGGCAACCATGTAGATAACCCCATAGGTACTTACATACAAAGAGGTGTAGCTCATCACTTATCTGTAGATGCTACTGACTCGGAAATCTGGACTAAGCCCTGTACTTAATTATGTGAACATCTCTGTCTGAGAGGATGTAGACACATCTGGTCAAGCACTCGCGTGCTGAGGACATACCTCTCCCAATTCCAAATACCCGCTACTCTACTGGCAGTGCCACGCAAAGCGCGGCGTGAGGACTTGTTGAATAGTGACTTCGAAGTTCTCAGCTTTATGACTCTAAAAACTATGTATAGATCGATCCTTCGTTCTCTTGTTTCAGTTGACAATTTTACTAAAGAAAGCTTCGATTCTACGTACTACATTTGTCTCATATCTCCATCTCCTAGTAACAACCTCACATTTATGAATAGAACTTCAAACAGAAGAGGGATGACGGAGCAGCAATCCCCCATCTACTACCATGATATGACCCCAAATATAGTTATTCACTGCCAAGTCGAGGATAGCCTACAAAATCATCCGAGTCAATATTCGTCGTGTCTTGGATTCACTTATCGTGCTGGAATGTGGGGCTCACTGTAGCAAATTTTTGGGCTGTACCTGGCCGATTGGCTTTGGCACCAACGCGTTTTATTTCTTTCTCAAATTCATCCTGGGGCCAAGGACTCTCATTCTGAGAATCTAATGCGTTTGTTGTAAGCTCGGTTGGAAAGTACCCTGTATCTATTAGCTACAATAAACTCTTACCAGAAAATAAAAATATCACATACCTGGCGATATCCCATTTACTCGGATTTTGATATTCTCATGGCTCAGCTCACAAGCTAGCATGCGCGTCAAATGAATCACGGCCGCCTTGCTACACTGCGAATCGTTAACAACATCCTAAAATCACGGTAGTTAATGACTCTTACATCGTAAGAATATTGACTGTTTTGAGACCTGCAATGTGATTTCATGTCCGTCCCGTCTGAACCTCAGTACAAACCATTTAGTAAAGCCACTGATCGATGCAGTATTAATCACGTTTCCTGGAACTCCAGTAGGACTAGATTTAGCTTTAGCTTTTGCCAGGAGTGGCATAAAGGCAGCGGTGACAAAGTAAACTTGAGTGCAGTTGGAGAGGTATGCTGGCATAAAGGTTAGAGAGGGATATTTTGAATGAAAGGAATAATTATTACCAGATTGAAAGTCATCTTCGATGCTCTCTTCCCACATAGCCTTACCATATACTTCGGCTCCATCAGATGCTGCTGCTGCTGCACGCCCGAGCCAATGCCAGCATTGTTGAGCAGTCTTATCACGTTAGTAATTGAATTCAAATGAGAGGTTTGTCTTACCTACACATTGACATAACCGTTGTCCTTCTGGATAGTCTGCACAGCCTTCTCAATGCTTTCCTTTGAGGTAACATCCATCTGAAGAGGGATTATAGTACCGCCGCTTGGCCCAAGGGCCTCTTGAGATCCATGAATTGCAGCGCTTTTTTCTGGGACATCACTACGACGCCCAGTGATGTAGACCTTGGCACAGTTTGCAGCCAACGCGCGTGCTGCGACTGGTCTAGAGTTAGTAAATTTGTGGAACTAAATCCTTGTCTATCAGCAATGCCTTACCCAGACCGAGACCAGTGCTTCCTCCAGTAACAACTGCGACCCATCCTTTCAAGTTGAAAAGAGCAGCGGCTGACAAGGGATGAGCAGACATTTTGATTCGTCGAGGCTGTTGATACTAGTGAACTATTTGATTTAGAAAAAAAAAAGGTGACTCGATTGATATTTTCCTAGTGCGTCATGCTGGAGTAACTGATATTTATGGTTTCTTCTCAGCTGACTTCCCCGTTGAACTACTTTCAAAACTCCAACTATCCGTCCTGCTTCCGCCTTCCCCCGCCAGCCACTACCCGCCTCTCCGAAGTCGTTCCCCAGATTTCCAAGTTTCCCCGGATTTTACATTTTACTCTGTAAATTTGCGGGGAAAGTGGCTAAGGAAATACTGTACACAAGCTGGACGGCATGAATGCCATCCTAGTACTATGCGGATTAAAAAGAGAACATTTCCTTTCCACTCATTCATGTCGCAATAGGTACCGATCTACTGACCTGCATACACGATTTTGCGCTTTTCTGATTCCTCATGATCACTATGGAGACTGAATCGACAAACACCAAAACACTCGATGAGACAGTGGTACGCATACACTTTAGTGAACTTCCAAACAATACAGATCCATGCTGGTCGCGAGACCCATGTAGGACTTGAGAAACACTCCCATGGATTCAATGTCTAATTCATCTTTCCAGGTCTTCGTCGCAATGTGTGGCATTTCATCGGGCTTTGTGGCGTAACATTTGTCAATGGGTGTTGGTACTCCTACATAAAATTCATATAGAATATGCTAACAAAATAGCAGATGATGGGAGTCTGTTGAATGGCTTGGAGTCTATAGATCATTGGAAATCCTTTCTCAACTATCCGGAAGGCTACAGGCTTGGTGGAATAACCGCTTGTCTCTTTGTTCCGGCAATTCTGTGGGCTGATTATCCTCAGATGATCCGAGGGCTTTGACTAATCATCAACTATAAAATAGTTTTTCATGGGTTGCCGATCTAATCGCCGATCGTTGGGGCCGTCGCGCTGCAGTGTATAGTGGTACAGTTATCATTGTAAGTGGGATGACGATATACGGCGGATGAATTGGAGATTGACCGAGATTCTGGCATGTTTCAGATCATCGGCTCGGTCATAAACGCGGCGGCTATCAATCGTGCCATGTACTGCAGTGGGAGAGCCCTCATAGGTATTGGGATTTCGATGTGCCTCGCTACAGGACCCACTCTGCTACAAGAAATCGCCCATCCGCGAGACCGATCGAAGATATCGGGATTTTGTGGGTTATGGATGCATACTCCAATGAAATTAAGCTGACATCTCTCTTCACATGTGCAGATACATGCACATATTGTAGATCTTATCCCGGCCTCAAGTATCGAATTTCTGCTAAAAAATTCACAGATATCGCAAGCATCACGTCTTCTTGGATTTGCTGTACGTACGAATGCACAACCTTGACCTTATATCGATTGACTAGAGCTAACACATTTTTTATAGTCGGCTGTCTTTACATCAGTAGTGAATATTCCTGGAGAATTCCTTGTTACCTACAGTTGCTTGGGCCGATCTTTGTCTTGATTGCCACCTCATGGTGCCCTGAATCTCCTCGAGTAAGAATATGGAGTAAGTCATTGGGTAGAGAACCAGTCAGCTAACATGGAACTAGTGGCTAGTCAGCAAAGGACGATAAGAAGAAGCATCTCAGATTCTAGCCAAGTATCACGCAAATGGTGACATGAATGACCCGTTGGTACAATACGAGTTCCATAAGATTGAAATCGCACTTGGGATAGAGCAATTAAGCGGTGAAGTTTCATTCATGGACTTTACCAAAACCAAGGCTAACCGCCATCGTCTACTTATCTTGGTTTTTGTTGATGTTGGAACTAACTGGGTTGGCAACGGAATCATCAACTAGTAAGCAAACAGAGGCACCGTGAGAGAAACACAGTACTTATACATACGCGCTCAGTTACCTCACACCGACTCTCAACCAAGTCGGGATCTACTCATCGGCCAAAATTGATTGTATCAATGCCGGCGTGCAAATGTGGAACCGTAAGTCAACCATCAAAGAAATGATGGTACTTTCTTTTCTCTAACCTTCGACTCAGTGATCATATCTACGGGTGCCGCCCTTTTAATAGAAAGATTAGGACGACGATTCCTTTGGCTATTCTCCGATTGGATGTTCTTCTCATATATTTTTGCCATGGCCTTATCTGGCAAACACGCCACCAGTGGAGAGAGCTCATATGGGCTTGCAGTGATTCCATTCTTATTCCTTTTCTTCGGGGTATACGATGTTGCTTGGACACCCCTTCAATTTGTGTGAGCTTTGCAATTCGTCCTCCCCAAAAACATGCGCTAATTGATCTCTAGGTACCCCGTCGAAATACTTCCCTTTTCAATGAGAATGAAAGGCATGGTACTGTTCGTCATGATTCAGAATATCGCAGTCACGGTAAACACATTTGTCAACCCTATCGCCATGGATGCAATTGGATGGAAATAGTGAGTTATCCCTGAACAGCTCCAAAATATTGAAACCAGCACTAAAGTAAAATGGAACAGTTATGGAGTATACATCGCAATCCTTGCCCTTTACATCGTGGTCACGTATTTATATTTTCCAGAGACAAGACGGATGACTATTGAGGATATATCAGACATCTTCGAAGGCACAAATCAATTGAAGCAGACATCCAAGCATAGTGATGTGGAAACGGGTAAAAAGACCCATATCCAGTTCCCATCTTCATCTGATGTTGAACATGCCTGAAGTTCTTATTCAAGAAATTAATGATCGGATATGAGAAATGAAGACCTGAGTTGCCGGAACTATTTTCAATGGAAACCCACCTTACATATTCTATATTTGGATTTATGTCGCTTCAGTAGACATTCATATGTCAAGTTAGTCCCGAGGTCGAAGTAGGTGCCCGCCAGCCATATATAGTAATATCAATCCCAACCACATTTGATATTCAAGTGACCCCTAGACGCAATCATAAATGCATCTGAGTTATTAATTCTAATTCTACTACCAAGTAAATTGAGCATCACGATGCTTGTTGGAGGTATGTCATTATAGCTACTGGTCAACTGGTGGTATGCACCTACTATTTAGTAGCCTCAGGCACCAATATTCCACGCTATGGACCCGCCGGATCCTTGCGGGTAAGGCCACAACGTCTGAGCCTTTTCGCGCATTACGGTATGGAATTGAGCTAGGGATATTGATCCTTTAGCGTCGGGGGATTTGGGGCGTGCATGACAGCTTCCCTTAGAGACAGCCCCTTGCAGAGTGCAGGGTAAGTGTACTCCGTAAATCTTTGGACAGTGAATCAAGCATGTAGCAAATCTGTCAGGCTTTGTTCGTCGTGGGTCCCGTATGGACATGCAGCAAAAAAACTCCGAATGGGGGAATCGAACCCCCCGGCTGTCGTGTGAGAGACGACGATGTTAGCCACTACACCAATTCGGATGAATGGTGAAAAGTTCTCGAATTTACAATATATGATCCAATTTGTATGAAGTTGAAGTCATTCACGGTGGGCTAACATAGATGATAGAACATGTACATGTGTGGACCAGTATGGCAGAGCTACCTATTCATAAGGAACCCAAGACAATATCATACCATATCATCACTATGCTTAGGTGAATCCCACAGTGCTGCGACTATATTTGATTTTCCATTTAGCATTTCTCCCTGCGGACTTAGTGACAGCTAGACTTACGGCTGGTAATGCTCCTCCAGATATTTGATATCCTCCTCCGAGAGTTCGACATCCAAGGCTGCGATTGTCTCTTCGATTCATTCGACCTTCGAGCAGCCAACGATCGGGGCTGCAACGGAATCCTTGTGAAGGACCCAAATTCGCGCTCCTTCATACCAAGTGCAATATTTGCCATGGGCAGGTTCCGCTTTCTAGCAAGTGTCTCCACGCGGCGGTTGATTTCTTTCTCCCACTCAACTCCCAAAATTGCCTCATCGTGGTAGGCATCGGAAGTCTAGATGGACTATCAGTACATCTGATCAATTTACTGGCCATGACTTTCACTTACCGAGCGAACGGTTTCATAGGCACGGTCAAGAGGGCGAGAGATCTTAAATCAATAAGTATCCGAGAGGAGACATGTGTGGAGTTGAAACTGATGACTTACGGCTTTGCCATAGGACTCCACGGGGTTGATCCCACTCCAAGGTGTTTCAGAAGAGGCATCATCTCACGTTCTTCCTCGCGGTAAAGCAAGTTGTAGAAGTTTTGACAATGATGAATGGCGTGAGCTTGTTTGAAATTGCATAGTCTGTTCATTAAATATAATCAGTGACTGACCTCTCAGAAAGAAAACATGGGTCAGTGATCACTCACTCTGCATTGCATGGAACTGCCAAGCCCAGCAGCTGCTCATCCCAATGTATCTCACGTAGCCAGCTTGGACAACATCGTGTAGGGCCTGCATAGTTTCCTCGATCTAGTGAATTATTAGAATTTTGCATAGAGGGATTAATCAATCAAATACTCACCGGAGTGTCGTAGTCGAATCGGTGAAGCTGTTTTTTTTATGTTAGGATTTAGCTCAATATTGCCGGGTGGTAGTAATTTCATACCTGCATGACATCAATATAGTCAGTTTGAAGACGCTTCAGAGCTTCCTTGACATTGTCAAAAATATGCTGAATTGGTTAAATAGAGTTAGTCAGAGACATTAAGGATTCGTCGAAAGTGAAATTAGTCAAGTTACCTTTCGGTTGCTACCCGATGAAAGAGTCAATCCAGCTGGTCCAGTCTTAGAGGAATCCCCAACTGGAAAATGGCACTGATCGCGTTTCAAAATTAATTATTCATACAATGACACCAAGTTGGGAACTAAGAGTTGCCTTGGTCATGATAACGACTGCTTCCCGAGGCACAATTTTGATAAATTCTCCAAGAATCTCTTCACTGACACCATTGCAATAGAAGTTGGAGGTATCAAAAGTGTTAAAGCCCAACTCCCACGCGCGCTATTTTGGTTAGCGCCTATGGCAAGAAAACTTCTGGCAGCAATTCTCACCTGAAGGTGGGTCAAGGCTTCCTCCTTTTCGACGCGCCATGTGACATCGGATTTAATCCCATAAGTCGCAGTACCAAAAATCAAGCGCGACACCTTTTCATATCATCAGTCAAAGGTCTTGGAGAAGATGATTGGCTAGCATGCTTGAGGCTCCTTACTTTCAATCCACTATTACCAAGACGAACGTATTGCATTTTTGGTGCGGGCTTTTCATGGCCATGCTCAATGGGCACAGTCCGGCCTGTAATTGCTTGGTTCTTGATCATCTTTCTTGATTCAAATATTCTCGCGGTTTCAAGTACGCTGAGTGACGTTTTCTTCAAGTTTCTTTATTCCCTCGCGAGTCGTGGTTTACCTATAGGCTCGGAAGATTCCATAGTTGATATTTACTTCCGACAAAATCGAGGTGGAGATTGAAAATTGCGGAGATGCCTCTGCGGGGAATAACTTCAAGCTCGAGATAATCTGTATATCAGGCGGAACTGTAGGTGGGACTGTCACTGGATGATCAGCATGGTGCAAATGGGATGGAGGCGGAGGCGGAAGTTGTATATGAACATCCGCCCGCTCCAGTCTCATCCTAAAGTTGACTAGATCAAAGCGGATGACGCGAGGTGGACAGGTTCCCCGTAAATTTGAGAATTATGTACTCCGTGCGTCTATTGGATCTACAGTCCTATTGTACTTGACTATGTTACGCTACTACTAGTACTAGTACGAGCTATTCAAAATTCTGTCTCATTTGAACCTTGGAAGTTCGACATCTGGAAGTACCTTAATATCGGCTTAATTTATTACCAATCTCGTGAATTAGCTCCCTCCAGAGCTGGAAGAAACATTTGAATGGATAATCATCAATCCATAACGCGGCGTCGGGTATTTACAACAGCTTCAAGTTCTTCAGCTTACATGCAGGACTGGATGGGTCAAGGTTGAAATCGACTCTCACCGTGACATTCCGCAAGGCGGAACTCCAGGGCTCCAAATGTTTCAACAATTGAAAGAATCAATTCAAGATCCATTCTGTGTCCACGGGTAAGCCTTGGAAGGTTGATCTCGACCTTGGAACCTCCACCTCAACATGAGTGCTGGGCAGATGGACATGTAATGTCAAAACTTGAAGTTTATTCATGCCAGGTGCCACATGTGCAGTGCCAGCTTGGGTGGACTCAGAGGTACAATGTACACAAATCCATCATTCATGTTCATCCATTCAAGTTGAACCTTGAATAATTTTGACAGTTGAGTTGAGTGACTCCGAAATTCTGAATATATATTTTGGCTTCTAACTTGAACTCAACCTCGGAAGCATTGGAGTTGATGCCAGTGTCTGCCAGTAGTATCAATGTCGAAAGGACTCGGACTACTAGTAGTAGTAACTTGAAGGCGTGATAATTGTTCAAACTTCCTAGTCAGAGCGAGTCCAAAATCTCTTCATGGATGAATTGGTTCCCCGAGATGACACTCTAAACGTGCTCGCTCAGCTGGAGACTCTGAGAACTACTCTGGGGTTTATCTAGGCTAAAATCCAGCTTTCTGATATCTACTGGGCTTGTGGTTTAGTGGTATAATACTCCCTTAGCATGGGAGTGGTCCGGGGTTCGATTCCCCGCGAGTCCATCTTTTTGTAGTTTTGTCAAATTTTTTGGACCCACCGTGGGAACATTTGTGCATGAATTTCATTATATCATTGAGAAACAAAAAGGGCATCATGCGCGGTCAGTTCGAAAATACTCCTTTGAAGTTAATCATTTACATTTATGAATCTATTCATGGTATCAAACCCAAATGATTGAGCACTACTCCGTACTCCGTATGTGTTCAACCTCGAAACAGAATCCGTCAACTAGCAGAATTAATGTACATGGTTTCCAAGGTTTCGTACTCGTATTCCCAGGTGTTCTTCATTCACCTGCGACTCCAATTAAACTGTGTTTTGTGGCGTGGCCAGTCTGACGAAGATCCCGGGCTAGCTATACCTACGTATCCAATGATTAATGAGATACCCATAGGGCTTCCTTGGCGACGAGAGGTCTTGGCTATGAAGTTACGACTCAGAAAAATCACAGCGCCCGAGTCCTTAATCCTAACAATCGCTTCATTTCATTAGACATATTTGAAGCATTGAAAGAATAATACACGTGGACCAGCGTGCAGGATGTTGAGCGGCGGAAGAAACCGACACTGAGCACCAATTTGGAATAACGTAAATCAATGATCGTCAAGAGCCCAAAGCGCCAAGACATAATTTTGGGGCTAAAAATAATCAATTGTCCATGTTGTGCGCATGGATTCTCCTGAAATTGGAGATAGAAAGTTGGGGATTTGTGTATCGGAGCCATTCTAAAATGTGCCCAGGTGGTGTTATGCAGGTACATACCTAGTTCCATGGATGGAAATTGGTGTTCAGACAAATGAAATAAGCTTATTTTTAAGCCTTGAGTATGTAACTGGTAGATTTATCTCATATCACGAGTTGAAAGCTATTCATCGGAAAGGGCTCACGATTGCATTTATGAATGCTTCAAGTGCTCGTAATACTTCTAAATTCTCCAAGTCAAATAAGATATTTCAGATTTTAAAATTAACGAGATTGACATGCATAGAATACCAAATCCCCAAAGTAACATCAATACTTGCTGTCGTGTGCATTTCCAAGGTATCCTTAATCTAAAGCTGGCATCATGATGCTAGTACATAGAACTCGGTAGTGTCTCGGAGCTTGCTACGGAGATACCGAAAGCACATCCCTGGCAATAATCTTGATAGTAGTATCTATAGTATGTAGAGTTCATTCCATCGGTATATTCATAAGAGTCCATCGACCTCGAGACTTGATATAAGTACATGATGAACAGTTTACCGGAGTAACCCGATTCGCCTCTAGCTCACCCAATTGTGCCTTCTAATGCATCAGGCAATTCATGAACCCAAGCCTTGGAAGTGGAGATACTATCATACTAGTATCAACATTCGCACAGCCAAAGAATGTCGGTAAGCGCCACCCGTGGACCGCTAGTCTCTCCAGGGGATAATTATTCGATATCGCTAGAATCTTGCTGGCTTGATCAGTTCATATAATTTAGTGCAATTTGGCAAAAGCGACCCCGGAGTCTCTGCAGCAGGATTTATCCACCCTGACCTTTATCAAGATTAATGTCAAGGTGTTTTACTGCCTTTCCTGGCCAGTGTATACGCGGCCTCTCCTTTTAACCAATAGATTTGGCTATCCGCACCGCTTAGTCACGAGATAAAGTGGATGAAGTGGATATTAAGTGCCACTTAGTGGCGAATTTGAAAGAAATCTTCGAAGATAACTAAACTTCTTCAAGTTAGTACAATGTATAATTTTGTCCGCTGAATCAGTTTAGGTGAAAACTTGAAAAGCAAAAAAAAATCCACACCATCTCCCCATACAGGGTCATGTCCCTGAATTGACCCTGAACTGACCCTGAACCTTAACCATGGGAATCGGCTATTAAATACTTGGCAGGAACATGATTCAATGATTTATATTAGAGAAATATTACCCAAGGAACTGAAATAATTTAAGATATATTAAGATGTACTTTAAAATTCCCCTTTAATTTACCCCAGAGTGCCCTAATCTTCGTCACCAAAATTAGGACTTGATAGCTCAGGAGGGACAAGAATAAGCTAAGACCATGGCGTATCCATTTAGCCCACTTAGCTGTTAAAGTGCAAGCCCCCAAACCAATCTCTTTAAGGCACTAAGATGAATTCGCTTATCGGTTCATCGGTTTATCCCGGTCACGCTGCTTTTTACTGGTTCGTGAGAATGGAAATTGGTGCCCCTGGAGGGTCCCCCGGCACTTTGTACGCAGTAGCCCCTGGAAATTTGATCAAGCCCAATTTGACCCTTATCTTTTCTCTTCTTTCCTTTCTTTTTATCTCCTGAATTTCATGAGGCGAGGATGAAAATTATGTTAACTCAGCTGGACTAAGTTTTCCTTCGACGTTCTTTTTACAATTCAATCTCGCCATCATGGCGCGCTCTCCTTTCTACACTCTTTTCTTCCTGTTGGCTCTTCTAGGCTTCTCGGCTGCCGAATCCGCGACGGATGAATGCAATCCATTGAACTCAACATGTCCGGCCGATGCTGCGCTCAGCACGGAGCACACATTCTGGTTCAATTCCACTCTTAACAGTAAATTATGGGACATGGAAACAGGTGAAGCCGATTATACCGACGAAGGTGCCGACTTTTCAATTAAATCCGAGAACGCATCCACTCTTTTGGTCTCGAATTTCTATATTTTCTTCGGCGTGATGGAGGTACATGCCAAGATGGCTACGGGACGAGGAATCATCAGCAGTGTGATTCTACAATCAGACGACAAGGACGAAATCGATTGGGAATGGGTTGGATATAACACTAGTGCCGTGCAGTCTGATTTCTTCGGCAAAGGCAACACAACCACTAGCGATCGTGGTGGAATCCATTATGCCGCCGACGCGAACACTACTTTCCACAACTATACTACATACTGGGATAAGGAACGCCTTGAGTGGTGGATTGATGGCGAGCTCAGGAGAACAGTCAACTACTCCGAAGCTCTGACCGTGTACGGAAAGAATTACCCGCAAACACCTTCTCGAGTCAAGGTTGCTGTTTGGCCTGTCGGAATTCCAAGCGAGTCTACCGGAAATATCGAATGGGGTGGTGGTCTGGTCAATTGGGATGATCTTCCTTTTACCATGACAGTGCAAAGAATTCGCGTGAAGGATTTCTCTTCCGGAAAGGAATACGAATATGAGGGTCACACCGGATCTTACGATAGTATAGATATCATCAGGTGAGTTATTATACGAGATGATAGAGTTCGTGATAAAGTCAGATCAAATCTAACTTGAACTTTGAACTACAGTGGAAACTCGACCGCAAGCGAAGTGATTAATAAGGCACCAGCCGAAACCCTAGCTCAAAAATGGGCTAATTTGGGAGAAGGTGCTCACATTGGTGTCTACTGTGGTGCAGCTGCAGCCGGTGGTATTCTAGTCGCTGCATTCTCCTGGTGGTGTATTCGACAGCGCAAACAAGGCCGACTTCAACGAGCCCTTGATGATGCCAGCAATGGCGAGGAGCTCAAGAACCTCGAGCAATACCAGGCTCAATGGGGGCAGGCCAATTGGGGTACTCGACAGAGCTACCACAAGGTACCTTAACGGAATGATTATTTACTGGACTGGCTGCGGTCAAATTTCTTTTTGCTTCATTTGGCGTTGATTTATAAAGACGATGTTACATTCTTCTCACTCTTTTTTTTGATTCACATTTTGTATATCATTTCACGGCCTTGGGTACCGGGTTTCAGCAAAGAGACAGTCAACTCTTAATTAACACACATGTACATACTCATTTCAAATATTCTTTCTCATAAAAATCAATCCCTCTGTACATATCAAGAAGGAAAGGTCTATGTATCCCTAAATAGTCAATCCCGCGCGAAACAACAAATTGGCAGTGACATCATTTCCCGCACCTTATAAATCAGGGGTTTGTCTTCCAATCGCACACTGAGCGAGACGTTTCAGCTCGCTGATGAACTTTGCCGCAAATTTAAGTTTTTCAGCATAGCTAGCCGGAACGTAATTTTGGCAGTGCTTTTCAATAAGTTGGGAAGCCATCCCAATGAGTTGCAAATCCTGATCATTTCCTTCATCGTTGGGACGAGAGAGGATTTTGCAGAAGAGGATGAAACCTGCTTGAATGAAATAGGAAAGGGAAAACCTAAAGACGAGATCGGATTAGACGGAGAAGTGTATTGAGAGAAAGATGGTTATCGAGTCGAACAGGTGTAGGGTTGGGCACTCACAAGAGATTTTGGGAATTAAGTTCAAATCGAGAGTAAAGAAACGCAGCAAGTAAATTGCGACTGGCAATCACTGAGATTGCGAGACTGGAGCTCGTATCGTGAGTGTTTTGATTCTGTTCCCACGACGGACAGCGACTGCTGGCCTGGTGAATCATCACCATACAATGGTGATATTGCAAGTGGAAGATGGAAGATGTCATGCCAGTCTTCTGAGAGGTTCTGCCAGGTAACTGGAGGAAGGAAGGCCTATTCGCAAGAGGTATTGAATTCTTCCATTGTTCGAGAGAATGATCCAAGTCTCGGATTGATCGCAGAAGATCAGCATGAGATTGCTGAATGACACCTGGTGAGTAAAGATTTCGAAGTATTCGAGACTGAATGATAGCCAAATGAACGTATGTGTGGACATATGATCCGGGAACTGGATCTCCAAAGATGTGAGGTCCTATGTCGGTCTGAATGATTCTATCAGGAGGCAGTGCAGCGAAGTCGAGATGACATTGCAAATCATCAAGGACTGGGGCTAGCCCTGTTACTAAATAGAACCCCTTGTCGCAGATGTACGTTATCCAAAACAAATACCGTACATGATAGTTTAGCATGGACGGAATTTCCCACACTGTATCAGGTCTTAGGTGACCCTTTAAGTGGTATATAAAACGGGCAGCAGTTGAAAGAAGATAATCAATGGTTTGTGGGTCCCTTGAAAGGCCCTGCGAAGTTAAACACTATAAATGGAAGGCATCAATACCAAGGTCATATCTTCCAACAAGAACAGGGTTCAAGGAATGATGTATGATAACTCACTAGCAAAAGAAGGGCTTAGAGACCATCCAGGCCAATAGGCTCATTGAAAACATCTGATAGTAGATAATGCGCCTCATAATAACACTCAACACTTGAGTCAAAGCACGAGAGCTCGGTCCCACGAACAACAGATGAGAGAGCAAGGAAGGCAAAAATGCATGCTTTCGCGCTATTAAGACCAGGAGATGCTGCTGATGTTTCTCCACCATATGCCGCCTTCACAGTATCTTGCAGGAGTGACGGATCAATAATGGGGAAAAATAAGCCAAATGGCGAGTATCGATATTTTTCGAATTCTTGAAAGACAACGGCCTTATCTGGTAGCTGAGGTCTAGGCAAAATAGCTTTCTGAACAAGACTTTGTTTTGAGCGAGTGCTGCCATTGATTAGTATCAATGGGGGAAAGATTCTCCTAGTTGGAATTCTTCCCCTGTGCATGATTTGATCCATTCCCGACTGCTTGCAGAGAGAACATGTGCCCCATCAAAGGTGCAAATGTTACCTAGGTGTCGTCCCGCGATTTTCAGATAACGAGCAAATGCCGGCGCCCATTTTTCTGCTACTAAAACCTGACATGCAAGCACGGAGTCAAGAGGCTGACTTGTTGACAGCTCTTTATTGGAGGTAAATTAGTTGTCGCGTTGCGAGCGGCGATGAAATGGTACAATCTTACCGTGTACAGTGCCTATAGTGTGAGATGAAGGTAAAACCAATTCTGGTGAAACCATGGGCTGAAGAGGAACATCAGCGATGGGCCTATGACAATGTTAATTCCTTGTTCCTGCACATGTAACATCGCGACAAGTGCACGTACGCTTGAGTTACATCACTCTGTGAGGTTTTTGTATTTTCTGCTCCAACAAGCTCTGAATGTCTGAAATAAGTCCATTCTAATTTTTGGTGCCAGCACCAGTCGCATTTTGGTTTTGTTGCATCACATCGGATCTATTCTAACGTGTTAAATCAAGCGGAGACAGAATTATGAAGCAGTCAATCCCCCCTTGTGGGTATAGCAAGCATCGCATGAACGACCTGGCCGCCTGCGGCGTTTTGGCAATCGTGTTTGTATGGAATTAGGAGGTCCCATAAACATTGCGTACAGGGTTCATCGATTTAACGACCTCGGGAAGCTTCCCGGGGCCGTCGATCAGGGTAATAGTACATCATCTCCGCGTTTATCACGTGAATTTCGATCGACCCCGCAGAATAGACCAGTTGACTGTATCTAATTATGGATCATGGCCTTTAAGGATACAAATTCGATTTGAGTTGATCGGAACATTTACTATGAAATAAATGGGATGAAATACATGGGATGATAGAATGAAACTTGAGACATGATAAGAGTCTTATACATTAAAAGCACTACCAGGGGCATTCATATACATTCCATCCTCCTCCTCGACCGGCGCCAAGGGCCATAACTGAAAGTTCCATGAATTCCACTGATTGCCGAACAAATCGTCGAATTGAAAATCTCTTTCATGATGATTTGAAGTATCGCCAAAGTCGGAAATGCCACTCTGATGCATCTCACCACCTCTTGTTTCTGACCAACTGGTGGTATCGGCCTGGGAGAGATTGTGTCGACCAACCTCCATCTGCGGCGAGGATAAATTCACAGTAGAGTGTGTTTCCACAGCTCTAGTTAACATATCCAGTAGTGATTCAAACCGACCCATGAGAGCCGGATCCTCTCGGTTTTGGAAACAATGATGCATGCTTCGTAGTAACGCGAGGTCCACTTCTCTAGACCACCTGCGCGGAGATCTCATGAGAGCAATGAAAATTGCGACAATGGAATTGATCGCGTATGGGTTGACCCAACTAGACATAATTAGCCTTATATTAGTATACTATTCATAATCACGCCAAAATTACCTTGGGACTGGGATTGTGCGTGGCTCAGTGATGAGATTATTTGTTTCGTGCGCCAAGGTATGAGCAGCCTCAACACAGATCTTCTCTGACCCGGCAATACGACGATCAGGATGGGATCTCATATAATGAGAGCGGCTTCCACCAATCAACGAAGACCGGTGCACGACCACCAACGCATTCAAGTAAGTACAATTCAAAAGACTAGCAGCGATAGAAAATATCTCGCTCTTATATTCAAATAAATCATGACCGGGAATGAGATCTTCAGGAAGAAAAGCCCGTCAGTCTTGTAAGAGAGTATCAGCATTGGAGATGAGACTGATTCCAGTTTTTCCATCTAGTTTCGAGGTATGTATGCTGAAGAGACGGGATGAGATATTTGAAAGGCGTTGACAAAGATCAATGAAATAGGTAAAGAAGTTAGGAATTTGAGTGCCAATCATTGATTGAGTTGACGGCGTAAAGGCTTGAGACATATCGGGTAAATCAGCATCACAGACGCCGTCATAAATAGTCGACGGGCGACCGAGTTCAAAGGATAGTTTTCTAGGGCGAGACGTTAGGAAAGAAGGAGTTGAATGGGGATATTCATTCCAGACTTACTTATCAAGGCAATAACAGGCCACCAGATGCAAATCCGCAGACTGTGTTCCTTCAAGACAAATTGAAACTCATGTGGATGGTTGTGAGCTGATAAGCTGCGATGAAGACCGATATATTGAGCTATATTTGTTGCGATTCCGATATGCAGAAGAGCTTGGCTTTCTCGCCCGGTGTTCATGAGATAGAGTGCCTGTTAATCCATCCATGTTAGCAGCTGTCTCAGTTATGGCTGAAAATCCAGTGGGTGGCTTCACTATCAGAATAAATGCCTGAACACTGGGTAAGTATGGACGAGCTATGAGGTCGCCATGCATACAACAGGCAGTTCGAAAATGCATATCGGCAATGTCGCGATCATCACTACCAAGGGCTATTGCAAGGAAAATACAAGCCACCGGACCAATCTCTGAGCATCTTCCCTCGCGATAAAATGCTTCATATTTATCATGCAGAGCTCTTACATCAAACAAAGGGAACAGAACATGATAAATGCTGAAGTAGCCTGAGTTTAAATTGCAAGTCGGTTAGCGACCCGGTTAGCGACCCGGTTAGCGACCCGTTTTCAAATGGATATTAAATCTCTAACACTCACGTTGAAGATACCGATCCGCTACACTTTTGTCAACCAACGGTATTTGATCGAAGGATTCCAAAGGAAATTCCTCCGCAAACTTCATAGTTGGACAAAAGAACCCCATCACATCGATATGAGGTGTGCTGGATTTGAATAATTCCTCTGCGGATTTGGCAAATACTTGAGGATATGTGATTCCTGCAAATTTGCTCACTTTGGGGAAACGACCAACTTCTGTGGTCACAGCGCCCTGCACATTATTCTCTACACCATGAGAGAAGTTTAATGCGGTGGAATCTTCATTCTGAGAGATTGATACATCGGAGGCATTTGCATGGTGTCGAACGAGCAAACCCTCTCTCCTCACTGGACTTGTATGATTTCGTGGTGATCCCACTGTATCTGTAAAGTGATGGTTGGTACTGATTGTCAATGGCGGGGACGCTACTGGTGACATATGGCCCGTTTGTTCATCCTGAGCGTTGTCTTGGATGGAATTCGCGGTCAGCCTCTTAGCATTTGGTCGGTTAATACAGAGCTGAGACGCTTGTCTGCTCGATCGGGGACAGATCGCTCATCCCGCGTGATAACGCATCTGTCATTGTATGGTTGACAATTCCGACATGCACCGGGTAAGTTGTCGCATCGGATCTGAAAAGGCCCTGTGAGCTGGCGAGTCTCTTCTCAGCATACGGAGTGGCCATCCTACCTTTCTATGTCGACAAGGATCACACTATATGAATTTAATATCGATATTCCTTGGAAAAAAGCTGACTGTATGAGTACGTACCGCTCGAAGCCGCCTTCGTTTTGGTTCAGGGGGTGTCGGCTGTGTGTCCTCGGTTGCGCTCCCTATATTTTTCTGGGTATGGCCAACCATTCTTATCCCGTGGAGCTTAAGAAATGTTTCCCCAGAATTGAAGTTCAAGTTCTCAAGATGGAGTTCAATGCAACGAAGGGACCAAGTCAAAAGAAACGTCGAATCAGACCTGATCGATTGTGGGGTAAATTTTCCACTACGGAACGAATTCTAAGAAACCCGAATATCATCACGGGGTATGAATTCTACAAAGTCGCCACTTAGTATATCACGATTACTTGGTATACTTTGAATTGAATTTTTAAGGTAAAAAGATGTCAGACTGTTGTTTTTGTGTATGATTAAATTATTTCTGAGACTTCAAACTATCATGAAGATCAGATGAAAAGCTTTGATCTAAAAGCACCTGGCCAGCATTTCAAGAAATAAAGATGTAGGAACAGTCTGAGGTAAAGGAGCTCTGTGTTATTTCTATCCATCTTATGCACATCAGGCACCTGGGCTGTCACTTAAAAAATAAAAAGTATTCCAAATCCTAGTTAGCCCTCGTCCGAGAAGCAATTTAAGCCGAGTCCGGAAAATTCCGTACACACACACGAGGTTCTCTATATGGAATACATCTATTTTGGGACCGAATTTTACTTGTTGAGAAAGAATAGCCTGATTTTGATCAAATGGCTATTCATATTCCGTGGAAGATGTTGAAATGCCGGAGTCAACGATGTCTCCACATCTGAATTCCACGGGATAACGGGATAGCGGAAACAACAATTGAACAGACACTCTGCAATGATGCTCCACATCCTCCGTGTATACCCCAGATATTGATTGCTGACAATGAACTGATCTGTGGGAGACTGATTCATATTTAAAGCGTGATCAGGAAGATTTCAAATACTCTGCATCATCCACGGTATTGGAGAACAGGCAATAAATCTATACCTCTTCCAGTTTATCTCTCCTCTCTCTACCATTCACCGAAACTTACAAAATGGCATCTGGAAAGATATCCTCTGCTGCGACTGAGACAGTTCAATCAAGTACCTACAACGGTGGATACTTGAAGACCAGTCACGGAATCAAATATGACTATGATGATACCACCGTTGGTGGTGTCACCGATATACTCGCCAAGCAGGCCGATAGGAAGGAGAAGTTCGGCGATTGGAGAAACGACTTCTTTAAGAAAGGATACATAGTCGTGAAATGGGAGATCCCCCGCGAACGTGCCGTGCAGTACCGTGAGCGTGCTATGGATTGGTTCCAGAAGTTCGACTTTGGATTCGATATCAACGACAAGAGCAAATGGACAGAGGATCATCTTCCTGTTACAATGAATGCTGGTATGATCATGGGTTATTGCGTCACGCATGAGAAATGGGTTTGGGAGGCTCGTTGGTAAGAGAAGTTCTTCCACCACTATCCTTGAGCAATAAACACTGACGAATTATACATCCAGTGAGCCCGGAGTAATTGAACCCTTCGCCCAGTTGTGGGGAACAGATGAACTTCTGGTCTCCTTCGATGCCTTGAAAATTACCCTCCCCGGTCGGAAAGATACCAAGTGGACTCCCTGGCCTCATGTGGACCGGGCCCCTACTCCCAAGGGACTGGCCTGTGCCCAGGATATCATCAACCTTTCCGAGGCTGGACCCCTAGATGGCGGTTTGCAGTTGCTTCAGGGAAGCTCAGAGCTCTTTGAACAATTTTTCAAAGAGCACCCTCCGAAGCCCAAGGCGGATGATGCGCCGGGGCAGTTTGATTGGTATAGGTTCACCTTGGAGGATGTGAAGTGGTTTGAAGACCATGGATGCAATTTGATCAAGGTCGACGCTGAGCCTGGGGATGTCATTATCTGGGACTCTCGTACAGTTCACTATGCCTCCCTGCCTCAGAGTGAGACAATCCGCACGATTATATATATGCAACATACACACCTGCTAGTTTGGCTAAACCAGAAGATCTCAAGCTGAAGGGTGAGATATTCCAACGCTTCGAAGGGACAACTCACTGGCCTCCCTGCAATATTTTTGCTCAAGGAAAGGCCATGCGTGGGGATAAGATTTGCCCGGGAGAGCGCTCGGAGCCCCTAGAGAAACCTGAGTTGACAGACCAGGTATTGAAGCTCGCTGGGGTGAAGCCTTACTAACGACACACACTGCGCTAGCCTGAGTATGATGAGATGGTATCCGGACAGGATGTGAATATCAGCTATACTACTCAGGTGCTTTGTATAGTTCCATTATTTTCTGTTACTTAGATTGAAATTTCATTCATTTCTTATAAATACTCTGAAAGCTGGACTACTAGTAATGTAGGCTGCCATTCCAACATTGGAAGCGAGGTTGTGTTGATCTCTCACTTCGCGATCCTTCCTGCCTTTCCATTTCTTCTTCTTGATTTTCTCCCACCACCTCCCATTTCAAATTTCTTCTTCATCCATCATTCACCATCCATTCATCCACCATCCATTCATCAACAACTCTCTTGACTCATCCATAAATTCATCCATCAGCACATTCTCTTAACATATTACCTCAGTCAAGGCATCCTCAGGTGAGCCTTCCCGTGCCCATGGTCTCGTCCTGGGATTTTTGTATTTTTATTTCTCTATGGAGCCCCGTCCACGGTGCCACTAGCAACACTCTTGCTAAGAGAAGACTCGCTCGGTCTTCTCAAGACCTTAGATTCCGTTCCACATCATGACCTTGATGCAGAAGCTCGCAGGCGTCAACCCGCAGGAATCAATATCCAGGTGAGCCTTCCGTGCCCATGGTCTCGCCATGGGACTCCTGTATTTTTATTGCTCTACGGAGTCTGCTCTACGGAGTGCCACCCACGGTGCCACTAGCAACACCCTTGCTAAGAGGAGATATGTTTTGGTCCTCTCAAGACCTTAGGTCCTCTTCCTCTACAACAACAGCACAACACAATCATCAAGGTGAGCCTTCCCGTACCCATGGTCTCATCCTGGGTTTTGTACTTTTATTGCTCTACTGAGCCCTGCCCACGGTGCCACTAGCAACACCCTGCTAAGAGGAGATGCTTTCGGTCTTCTCAAGGCCACTTAAGTTCCAAAGCATCGGCTGTCACCTTGACCCAGCTTCTCAGGTGCTCTCGATCATGAAACATCACCCATTAATCATCCAGCTTTTCGCCCAAATTCAAATGTTCAACTTTCAGTCAACTACTCATTCAAAAACCAGAGACAAATACTTCGCTAACCATTTCAAAGTCAAGGCTCTTGGTAAATAGTAGTTATATCTTCAAGTTCCATCAATCAGAAGTAATAAACTATTCTAACTTTTGCCCCTGAAATACTATTAGTTATTGGAATTTACTAAAGCAACCTTGGAACCTTGGAATTATCCCCCGGTGCCGATCACCGCATTTTTCCCATGTAGCCCGTGGATTAGTGGATTCTGATCATGAAGTATGCACATGTGTAAAAAAGGGGAACGAGATTGAATTCACAGTTCAGCTATTCTAGTACTAGTGCTATTCATTCCGATCATGCAAAAGGGAGAACCACATAACTAGGGTGGTCCCCTCCAAAATGGATCTTGTGCACTCCCTTGTTATCATGGTTACCCAATTTATCCTTCAGCTCCTCAAAAGAATGGATCTGAGGTGACTGACCAGACACCTGAACCTGGACGGACTCCCCGGCTTCAAACTCCACACTCATTGCGAAAATCCAATCTCCAACTTAACAACCTCACAAGCTGGTACGGGCTGGGTGCGAGTGTGCGGGTGAAAGGGGTAGTTTGGGTGCATCGAGCGTGAGCTATCAATCTCACGATGAGATTCACGCAACATACCGATCGGACCCATGTACAACAAGAGATCAGTGGCCTTCTCCCGGGGAATCCCTTCAATCGAATTCGGTGGAATGGAAGACCAAGGAACGTTCAATGCCAATGCAGGCTTGCCATTTTTGTCCAGCTTGCGAACAATAATGTACACATCCAGATCGTCGCGAGCGTCGCATGACATGTACAGAACAGCCTTGGGAATACCACAGAGCCGAGTCTTCTTGTCGAAAGTGTATGTGAAAGCGGCATGGGAGGCACCGCTCTCGGAGTTATACGATGCGATGCCGGTGTTCGAGATTTGGCTGTCAAGGTTCAAGCTACCATTCTCAGAGAGAAATAATTGGCGATCCTGGACTTGTGGTGGAGGAAAAGAGGCAATGGGCTCGTCCACAATGGCATCCTGACTGCCGAAACGCAGAGTAGTCATGCGAATCGGTGGGATCTTCTCCCAATCATTCTCAATGCCCTTCAAATACCGATCGAAGAAGCTAAGTAGCTCCTCGGTGTACTTAGGAACAGCCCAGCTGTCATGCCACTCCTGGTAAGGACTGAACCGGATCCATTTATTGGGGTATCCACATCAAAGAATCCACGAATGCACCCCATGGTGTGTAAGGCACTCGAAAATGATGCTTTGATGTATGTCGGGATATTGATGTTAGTGATATACGGTCGCTTGTATTCCCAGTATGGGTTCGCCACTCCACCGCTGCGGCGATACATCTCTTTGAAGCTCTCCATGCCGTTATTTCCTTGAATCATAACCTGGGAGATGTGATCGAAGAAGTTACCAGCATAAATTCCACCACGAAAAAATTGCTCACGGAACAGATCACCACATCCCTCCCAAGGTGCAATGGCCTTAAGAGAGGGAGGGCGCAACTGTCCGATGAACCACTGAGCAATCGCGAGGGGAGAGTTGCCAGCCATGCCGACATTTCCATTGCACCAGGGCTTCTTTGCGATCTCTTCGATACAGTCAACCCCATCCTCTCCTTCCTGAGTACCCATTATAATACACATTCCATCCGAATCTCTAACGCCGCGGGTATTGGCATTGATGACAGCATAACCTCGCAGTACAAAATCGGCTGGGTCAATGGCCTCGAATTTCTCCAGACCACTGAGTGTGTCAGGCTTCAAGCCCATATCGTAAAGGGGCATCATTTCGAGGAACTTCAACCCGTTCAATTTCTTGCCGAATGGAGACCAGGAAAAAATGGCAGGGACCTTCTCGCCGCCATCGGGAGGTCGGTAGACGTCGACATAGATTGTGGCACCATCACGAACTTTGAGACCGACGTCATGTTCGACGAGAATATCACATGTAAGTTTGCGAGAGTTGAAGGGAGCAGATCCCTTGGGTAAAATTTCGGATTTGTTCAAGAATCCTTGGTATCCATTGCGACCGATGGAAGGTGGATCGATTTTCTTTTGAGCGATTTGGCAGGGAGCAGGCATGATGATACAATTGAAACAAGACTCTTCAGTAACGAGCAATCTAAATCAATTGGACATTTATTTTCAATGATCATCGTTTCATTCATCAATATTATCATTCATATCCTCGTTGTTTCAAGTTTGGGGTAACGTTACTCCACCGCTTATCCCGAGGGTTAAGTCTCTATCCCATCATTTCCCATGTGGGGGTCAATACGAAGCCTCATCGATCCACCCTCGTTAACCCGTGGCATTTCGAAGTTTATTGCGTGGTATGGATGTCCGTTAAGCCGGAGCGCGTGGTCCATGTTCTCTCTCTCTCTCTCGACTTCCAACATGCGCGACTCCTCCTACATCTCCCACGGGGCACTCCGCATTTCTGTGATCGCCCTTGACCAATCGGTGTTTTTCAATTTCAACTTGTCAAAATATGAAGCAAGTTGCCGATCATAACCCGAGACGATAGTTGCTACTACTTGCTAGTCGTCTGTATACAACGTCCGTGCTGGCTAGTATGACTTTGTTTAAAATCATGAGGCCAACCTTCTCGTCCAAGCCCTGGATGGATTCAAAAAATCATTTTTCTCTCAATACAACCGGAACACATTACGGAGCCCTGGTGGCTCTAGAAAAATACCATGGCTGCAGGCGATGATTTCTTTGTTGGTGCTGACCTGGCCAGAGTACTGCCAGTCCAGCCCAATCCATGGTATCGTACTCCTCATCTACGACGACTGAATTTTCACCTGCTCTTCGTGATCATGTCGGCGGCGGGTTTGGGCTTTGATGGCTCCATGATGAATGGACTTCAATCGTTATAGACTTGGAATGACTACTTTGGAAATCCAAGCTCCGCTCTACTTGGTCTTGATAACGCTGTCCTGAACATTGGACCGGTAGGTGGTACTATGATCCAGATCACGCTTCATTGATTGACCTAATTTCATTCAAACATATTCTCTTTAGTGGAGTGGTTGCATGGAGCGCCGACCGATTCGGCCGTCGCATAACTCTTCAAAGTGGATGCTTGATAGTAGTCCTTGCCGCAGCGATTCAAATTGGCTCCCAAAATATCGGCATGTTCATTGCAGCTCGGTTCTTTATCGGCATCGAAATTGAGTTTTGCATTGTCCGAGCTCCAGTCCTGACATCCGAACTCGCCTATCCGACTCATCGTGCTAAGTTGACGAGCCTTCTTTATACCTCTTACTTCGCTGGTTCCATCTTGTCAAGCTGGACTACCTTTGGCACATACCACATGTACAATTCCACCTGGAGCTGGCGCATTCCTTCTTTGCTCCAGGCTGCTTTCCCTTTGATATAATTCATTGCTCTCTTCTGGGTTCCCGAATCGCCACGTTGGCTTATCAGCAAGGGGCGTGTGGAAGAGGCCCGCGCTTTGCTGGTGAGATGGCATGCCAATGGAGATGAGACATCCCCATTGGTTGAGTATGAAATCAATGAAATTAGATCGCACTTGCGTTTCGAAGCTGGTACTGGTAAACTGGGCTGGTCTCAGGTTTGTTACTTTGAAACTCTTTTCCCTTGATGCATAACCACTAACCTCCTCTGAAAATGTTGAAAACCCCAGCTGATAAGAAGCGTCTGATTCAGGTTGTTTATATCTCATTCATGTCTCAGTGGTGTGGCAATGGTATTATCAGCTACTATCTGACCCTAATTCTCAAGTCGGTTGGCATCTAATCGTCATCCATGCAGACCTTACTCAATGCCATACTCCAAATTGTCAGCTGGATTGCCGCAATTACCGGAGGCTTATTGGTTGACCGTCTAGGTCGTCGCACACTTTAGCTGGGCTCTATCACGGGAATGCTCATATCATTCACGGTCTGGACTGCGTGTTCAGCTGCTTATGATGAAACTGGAACATCAGGCTTAGCCACTGCTGTTCTATTCCTGATATTCCTATTCCAAGTGTGCTACTCGGTTGCAATAACTCCGCTTAGTATTAGTATGCTTATCTCTGAGAATCTCAAATGCTGTGGCAAACTTGACATGCAGATTCTAACTTTTAACAGGTTATCCGGTCGAGATTCTTCCACTCCACAGTTGTCAGAAGTTGATGGGTATATCGTACATTGACAACAGCTGCGCCAACCTTTTCAACTCATTTGCCTCTCCTGTTGCCATTGAGGCAATCGGATGGAGATACTACTTGATTTATATCGTTCTGTTGGCGGAGTTTGGAGTCGTTGTCTATCTCTTCTTCCCAGAAACTCGCGGTTGTGGCCTTCAGCAAATCGCAGACTTGTTTGAGAGTGACAACTTTTTACTGGGTAAAGCTAAGCTTTCTTCCGCAAGAGGTGAGAGTGCACTTGATGATGAGAAGGATATTTCCGATGTGCATGTTGAGCATATTGGTGTTACTGATTCTGAGACCCCAGAGAGCGTCAAGAAATAGGCTAGCTACTCTTTTCCAGTCCTGTCTGTACTTAATAGTTTATTGAATTTTCATCTATGGAAAATTGGAAATGGAATGGAGAATTTCATATCTTGAAGTCAAGTTCCAACTCTTGAGCGCAATTTTGCTATTCACGGTGAAAAATAAGGGATAAAAAATATCAGGTAAAAGCACAAAGGGGTAAAAAGAGAAATTTCAGTCCAATGCGTAACAATCACGACTGGTTCTCAATGGAGTCTAGGGCGTATTCATCGGGATCACACGCTAGAACCATTATTTTAACATTAAATGTTGAAAGGCTGATTGAAGCTATTTGAAGAGAAGGTAGAGAAAACCAAAAGAAATTCCAGTTCATTTACTATGTATACCTAGTCAAAATTTGGTGCCTAGTATTCACTGCTAGTAATCATGATTTTATCTGAGGAAGCAAAATGTATGATCCTTTCCCTCCACCCGTGTAAAGAATATGCTGTCCACTGTTGCGTGAAATAGGTTACGGTCAGCTGGACGAAGATGAGGATGAAGATTAAGACAAAGAAAGACGAAGGATTTCCCCGGCTTCAAAACGCCACCCGTATGGCCACACTTCTATATCAGCAGCTACTACCTCGCCATGACCAAGAAGCTCCTCCTTAGCATGGGTGTAGACAGGCTGAAACTCAGTGTTTTTCCCTAAATCCAAGGCTTGGTGTGATACACGAAGACAGCCAGAGGGGCCAGGGCTAAAATAGCTCGCACAGAAATCCTTGTTTTGCTTGTTCATAGAGACCAGGAGTTTTCGCTCCTTTTCAGGATCGTCGGCTAACCAACCAACATCAATCATGGGAGATTTCTGAAGCTCGCCTTCGGAATTGTACTTCTTCAGTGTTGCAAAGATATCCATGCCATTGGAACCTTCTGCCTGGACGAAGATCTGGATTTTTGAAGATCTGACGAATTCCATAGTATGGGGCACGGTATAGTTAAACGAGATAGATCCATTGACAGCTTCATAAACGATTTGCTGGCTTCAGTTGGGGGCTGACTCTTGCAAAGACATGGAGTCCGCCTCTTGACGGGCAAGTGGGTAGCCGACTTCAGAGCGATTCACAATATCGTGGCCTCCTGCGTTGAGAACGCTTAGGCGGACTCGTAGTGTGTAGATCCAATCATTGTTAACATCCTTCATGAAGAAATCATAGAAACTCCGTAAATCCTCGACATTTTGCTGCTGATAGAGATCTGGACAATAGAAACAAAATTAATTGACTTATCCAAGATGCGGATTGAATACTGGGTGGTGATTTACCAGGCCATTCATGAGAGTTGTGAACCCGAAGCCATTTATACTCGCTGCTACTCTTCTCAAACGCTTTCAATTTGCCACGAGTATGCAATGGATTGGTCCAGCTAGCCACGACATAGAGTGGAACTTTGATGTTTTCCCACTTTGGCTGTCGACTTGCCCAGTAGGCATTACAGAGCGGGTTCTCCTCGGTTGTTGTCAACACATCTTCAACCTTGTTCTTCCCGCTCAAGTCTCCTAAAAACAAGCCACTTGCAAAGCCGGCATCGGGGATTCCTGGATATCTGAATCAGATCAATTCTCTCGAATTTATATCATTTTTGAATATCTTGCTCACTACCGCGGCAGACTTGGTCGTTATATACGTCGTTGAACCCTTCCCATGGTGCAAGGCATGTCAAATGAGGTGGTTGTTCAGCTCCCACAAACCATTGAGTTGCAGCAAGAAAGCTATTACCGGACATTGTCACGCGTCCATTTGACCAATCCCTTGAAGCAATCCATTCCACGACATCGTATCCATCTTGTCCTTGCTCGGCGCAAGGTAAAACAGCATTGCCATCGGAGTTCCACGTCCCTCTCATATCTACAAAGTGGCAGAGCATCAGTCAAAATACTACTCTGAATCTTTCCTCGACCAGAAGAAAGCCAGATTCATGAATCACTTACCAACAGCAACAATAGCATACCCATGGAAACACCAGTATGCAGGATCAGGTCTCTCGAAGACCTCCAGGCTTGAGACGACCTTTCTTGGTACCCCACAGCGCCATTCTCTCCTATCGAAATTATGGCGATTGGGACCTCCCTGTTTCCCAAAAGGAGTAAACGCGAACACAGTGGGAATGGATCCTGGCTGGGCTTTCGGAGGTCGGTAAACGTCGGCATAAAGACGGGCGCCGTCTCGCATGAGAATCTCAACATCTTGTTCGAGAAGAATATCACACGGAAGCGGCAAATGACCTTCCTTCTGAATCGAACCTCTAGGTAGAGTCTTTGTGCAAGGGCTAAAGCCCGGTAAAAGATGTTGTCTTTCAATGCGCTCGCTGGTAGCCATTGAACTTGATCCATTTTGATGACTTGAATATCTGGAAAGAATTGAATTAGAAGTCAACTTTTTCATATTTATTTAATTCAACGAGCTTTCCCCATACAAAATATGACACTTGACTCCATGAAATATCCTTGCCCCACATGGTCTCCGGGGAAGTGCCCACAGCTGCGACATTAACCCGCGGGATAAGGGAAGTCCAATCACCCGGCATATAGAAACCCCGAAATCTATTCATGTGTTTACCTAGGGTATATCTGTCAATCTTGGGAGTTTTCGTGATGTAACACCACATTATTTCCGGACACCGGATACCCAGGTGGATATTGTTGAAAATGTGGTGGTAAAGTAGGCAGTGAAAGTGGGAGATCCTATATAGTTGGGTGAAGGGGGAGAAAAGTAACAACTCAGCCCAGCTGGCTTAGCGGTCAGTGGCTCTATGAATCTTAAGAGGACAGAAGTATTGATCAGGATAATATCAGATCCTGTTCAGTGGCTGAGTTCGCCGGAGGGCAGGGAAGCAGGGAAGCAGGGAAGCAGCTTTGACCGAAGTAGCGGGCATTCTTTTTTTTGGATTTTTGATATTTTAGCAGAAATAATTTTAGACCCGCTATTTTTACTCCCGTTTTCAGAAATCAAAAATAATCAATATTGAGTGAGATATGAAGGATGATGGTGTGGTGATGCATGTATCAAGTGAGGCTATTCCTAGCATGATGTATTTTGTACAAGGGGTTCGATCCCCGCTATGGGCAACATTTGAGATCTTTTTGAATTGATTGAAACATTATTTATTATGATTGATATCCTATCCACAACGTGCCAACCACATCCATGTCTCTGGCACTGGCAACTTGAATATATGCATATAAGAAGGCGGGTTCTCATAAGGAATTAATCACTTAATAAAGTGATAACAAAAACAAAACGGGACTTTTAGTCGGTACAATGCTCCCATAGTACCTCCCAAAGCATCAAAAACTTCATTAAGTAGAGGTCACAAACTCGGTCAAATACCAAAGATCAATAGTGAGTGATTAAGGTATATGAATTAAACTGGGTTTGAAATACCAGCATTGGCCTCAATATCTCCGTTCTTCACAGACATTCCCTCCGGAGTGGGAACTTCAGTATCGCTGTCACTCTTCTTTCGACCGGGAATGGGTAGTGAGTTAATGTCCAGGAGGTACATATACCAGTAGTATGTTCCTGTAGTGACCGTCAGTAATGCCCAGGTGTCCATGCGCAGGTGAAGTCCCATGTGTAATTGTAAGATATGTTGACTTACCACAGAAAAGACCGCCGCCAAGAATATTTCCGAGCAGGGTAGGGATAATACCCTTCCAGATGTAAAGTCCAACAGTAATTCCAGGCGTGTCAACCCAAATACCAAGAGGAATAAAAGTCATATTGGCAACGACGTGGTCAAATCCAAGAGAAACGAAAGCGAAGATGGGCCACCAGATACCCATTATCTTGGATGCAAGATCGCGGCCCTGCATACCAAAAAAGCATGCTAGGCAGACAAGCCAGTTACATCCAGTTCCACGCAGGAAGATCATACGGAAGTCAGGGGTAACCTGCTTCTTAGTAGCGAAGGTGCTGACAGCCGATTTGAATGGATCCGCATCGAAAACACCACCATCTGCAAAGTTGGAATTAACATTATTTCAATTTCCTGATTTCAGACAAGACATTCTGTGACTTACAACCAAAAATGATTCCTACCATGAATAGAGATCCGGCCAGGTTTCCGAGGAATGTGACAGCCCAGTGTATCAGCATTTTCCACCAGGGAAGCTTACGCTGTAAGGCTGCAACGGTGGTATACTAAATATCCATTAGTCTCATGTTTTTTAAACATCTATGAGGCGCAACATACCATAAAAGATCCAGTGCAAAGGTCCGCGCCTGTCAAGATAATCATAACCAATCCGTAAGGAAAGACCAAGGCGCTAATGGTACGGATCAAACCGGCGGCGTTGTCTGAGTACCAAGGGGAGGCATTTGTGCTGAGAGCAGTACCACAGGCGAAGGCAAGTAAACAGCCAGCGGAAACGGAGCTAAGGAACACCTTATCCAATCGCATATTCCCCTTCTGCACACCAGATCTTGCGACGGCTTCGATGACCTCCTGGGCAGAAAGTGCATCAAACGACATGGCGACGGCGTTAGTCGTAGTATGATAGATCAATCGTAGTATATTTGGACAAATGTGTTCAAGTGTGAAAACGTGAGGCCCGGCGCAAAGAAGGGGCGTAATTGACCCAGAATTGAGAATGCGATAGATACCAGAGAGCCTCCGCGTGAATCAACCGGAGTCGGATCCAGGGTCTTTATAATGATCTCCTCCACGCAGCTCCAGGGCTTGATAACAGTGAGCACTTTCATTAACCATGAGGAACAATTGGTTCGAGATAACCATATCCATGCATATCCATGATCTTCAGAGCTATGGACCTCATAGATTCCTGGGGAAAGATAAGCGGACGAACTGATGTTCTTGAATAGTAAGATGATGCGTCGATCATCTGCATGTATTGTCTCGGCAACCACTTAAAGCGCCGCCCTCTATCAGTGCTTGGCAGACTTGGCAAGAATTTTGAGTTCAATCAAAACATCTCCGCGGGTGCATTATATAGCATTATATACTGCATTCAAGTGTACCTTTTAGATGACTTGATAGATCGACATCAATTGATAGTCTCATTTTTAGTTCAATGTTTGACTGTCACTTGAGTCAGTGATATCGAAGTGGTAGATGTGATGAATATGGAGGATATCAAGCATGTGATCATACAGGTTCAAGATTCAATGCCCGGAACTTCAAGTTTTATTATATTGAAATAAGTACTTAGAGTTTCATAATACACCATATCCACGAGGATCTTGAGAAATGACCAAGATCTTCCACAGTTACAGAAACTTCAGTTGACTTGCTGGTAGACTAGCAGTAGGCAATATTGCAAATGACCAGCTAAAACGTACCAAGGGGCCTCGGGGCCAGTTTCTCCTGTTTTAGAGTAACCTCGGGATTCTTGATTCCCAATTTCATTTCTCGATCTTGTTCAATTTGAAGTCACAAAGTGAGCATGTGTGTTGTAAATTTTCCGTGGTTTGTTTAAGCTTTTGTCCAGATTCGATCTGAATCAAGCCTTTTCAAAAGGCCAACCTCATCCATGACGTCAAAATTATACGGTTGCCACAGCACAGTACTTAGTACCTAGAACTGCTGAGAATCACGAGAAATTAACTTGAAAGATGCAATAGCTTGGTCTACCTGGACTCAATCAATATTCAGCTTCATAATTATCGCTACTAGTATCGGTTGTGACAAATAGTCATGGTCAAAGACAGAGCTACAGTGATCGAGTATGTATTATTGCTTTTTCTAAACTTGCTTATCACTTAGACAGCCACAACTGGAGCTAACGAGAAGCTAGCGAGTTCAATGATCTCGTCAACATGACCCCGAACGAGCTTCGCGATTGGCTCAAGAAAGAGCAATCAATTTCCGCGGGTTGGACGAATGACTCTGGGGACGAGACCATTGGCCATGAAAGGTGATTCTTGACTACTTCATAGTATGATCCGGACTGATAAGTAAAATGATTTTTTTAGTGGCCGAAAAATCGTGAAGATCCTCGAGAATAATCCGGATGGTGACCCCTCTGGATATTCGGCTCCAGAAATCGACCACATGCGAAAAGTCGTTTCTTATTGCAAACGCCATCTTGCGCAGGAATCAGTTGCGAAGCAGGATACAAACAGTAAGAGCTATAGATCTCTCAAAAATTGGGGTCATGATGCTCTGAAGGAATAGATGATGTCGATTTTAATATGCTGCCATAGACAATTTTGTGGCAAAAATACTGCACAAGCTCCGGGTCTATATAACACAGATAAAAATTCAGCTTAGTGACATAATTTGAAGTTGTAAATTAGCTAAATTAGCGACCTTGGAAAATATGAAAAGACAAATATGACCCTCGTTCCATATGAAAAGAATCAAGGGTCACTGCACCAACCGCCATCCACAGTATATATGCTTCCAGTAACTCCACTTGCCTTATCACTTGCCAAAAAGACAATTACCTTAGCTACCTCCTCTGGCAATAGATCCCGTTGTAAGCTCTGTCCGCGCATTACCTCTGCACGAGATTCAGGGGTCAGGACATCCTCCCGTTGCCTCTGAGTCACAATGGCACCAGGCATCACACTGTTAATGCGAATATTGGCAGCGCCGACCTCCTTGCTTTGTACACGGGTAAGTCCCATAACAGCTGCTTTACAGGCAGCATATACAGGTGAATCGGGAGCTGGGATACGCCATGTAATGGAACCAATATTCACGATACTTCCGGCCCGGCGGCTTTCATCGCTGGAAGGACTGCCTGAGTGAGGAAGAAAACGTGTCTCAAGTTGGTATTTACCAAGAAGTCCCAGGAATCAGATGTGACATCTTCCGTTCGAAGTCTTGCGCCTTTTCCTGTTGCCGCGGCGTTGTTGATCAGTACGTCGATCGTAGTCCACTCTGCTAAGATCTTTGCGATGATGGCTTTCGTTTCCTCTAAACTTGAAAGGTCACATGGGTAGAAGATGGGAGTTTTCGTTGATGGGCTCTCTTTAGTCTGGCTTTGGAGATGAGAAATATGAGTGATGGTTCGCTGGGCTGCTTCTTTGTTTATGTCCAGAATGAGCACTTGGCAACCTTGATACGCAAATCTCTCAACGGTTGCTGCGCCTATTCCTTCCGCCCCGCCTGTTACGAGTACGGTTTTATTGGAAAGACTAGGGTAGATGGCTGGCGCTGTCATTGTTGTATAATAGTACTGACAAGAATAAGGATGGCTAAACGAAGCTAGAGCTTTTGAGGGAAAGTTGATTGAATATGGAGAGGGGGTAAGAGGGGAATCAGCGATGACTCCACCGGCTGCAACACTGCGCGCCAATGTAACAATGTCATTGTAGCTTCTCCGCACTTTAGACATGGGGTATTGATAGTCGGGGTCTGAGTCAGGGTATCCATGATCAACAGTGCACATTTATCTGAAAAGGTAATATTATGTCAGAATTTCCTTCACTTAGCACTCAGTGTTGCGAGAATGCAAATTTGTATCGCTCCATGAACTATGTATAGAAACTCCTGTAATCGAGCTAAAAACCAACCAAGCATAAATCATGCGAGTGAAGATCATGCTTGGATCTCTACTCTTCGTTCGAGCACAGATCGAGCTTCGGCTGCTGTCAATTTTTCAATATTCAGCTCAGCAAGCACAGCCCGCGCACTCTCATTGTCCTTGAACAATCTCTGTTCCACATTCCAAAGTCCTGGTAGGGAGCTGTCCTCTTTCCCAGCTATTTCATTTGAATCATCCACGGATGGACTGAGATTCAGAAGACGAAGGCCCTCGTTGAGTTTATTCAATATGAGCAGCGAGCCACCTACATGCCCAGCTACGCCAAGCGTTGTGTCAACCATGCTGTACAATTGCTCAACATCACTCGCTAACTGGGTTGCACCAGCAGCTGAGAAATTATTCCTCGTCAGCACATTGTCCCAAATATATGTCTGTATGGTAAGAAGGAGTTGACGAGAAACTCTCCGCAAAGGAGCTATGCCAAGCACCTTTGAAATGAATGTAAGCTGGGAGGAGAGTGTCCGCATGGCATGTGCCAGGTCGGATGAGAGGGAAAGAGGGGATGACGCCGATCCAGCTGAAGGCACGGAAAGTGATGCCCAGGTGGCGACACGGGAGTATGGTTTCAAGGCTGCAGTGATGTTCGAGTTTAAGGTGGAGATGATGATAGACTCCGACCGGAGTCTTAGACGACGGTAGGCAGAGGCAGTTTCGTCGAACAAAGCGCCTTCAGAGGAGTCTTGAGCGTTGGATGCTCCATTGTTGTTGACTGCTGGCGAGGTGCGAGATGCCACTTCAGCAAGGGACATCGATCCCGCCACGTTACGTCCACCCTGTCGAACCCGTTCTTGAAGTTCGGACCAGAGCTCGACGAAAAAGATATCGTTGCTCCAATCCTCCATCTTCTTCTCAAGATACTCGGCACTTCCGAAAAACTCTGCAAAGTCGGTCGAGACCTGCTATACCTTCTACACTAGCCTGCCCATCCGCACCTTGCACTGTCCGGCCAAGTGTCGATGTCATTGCTAGATAAGCCTCCAATGCAGAATGGAGACGCTCGTGAAACTGATCGAATATTGTGATTTGGATATCGATGAGAAAACGTAGTTTCTGGCTGAAGGATGATAGTGGTTGATAACGTTCTGTGATGGTTTCAAGAAGATCATTGACTCGGATAGCGGCGATAGTTGGCTTAGTCGCGGTCGGCTCGACACCATCATAGTCAATTTGTCCACCGTCTGCAGTGTCGATGATGTCCTTGTATCTAGCCAATGCGAAGTCCTTCTCGACCTGAAGCCAGCGATCGTACCATCCTTGTTTGGAGAGGACCTCCCAGGTCATTCCCTTCCAGTTTCCATCAGAGTAAGGATCTGGTAGGTAGTTCCATGTTTCTCTGAGATCATTGTCGAAACTCATTAGTTGGTGAATAAAATGACTCAGTAATTGGGGATAGTCGGCGATCTGAGGCAAGAACGAGTCGATTTTTTGTCGCAGCATTGGTAAAATGGCGTTTATAAAAGCATGCAAAGCATTGTAATAATTCCATTCCAGGCTCGGGCCAGCCGACTGTGCCTTGTCGTCGAGAATAGGCTGGAAGTATGACTCGAAAAATCCTCCAAATTGATTAACAAGGTCCACGATATGTGAAAGAAAGTACTCCGGCTGTAGAAGAGATATTAGCAAACAATTTATGATTGAAGTATGGACGACTTCTCTACCTTATCAAGTCGATTTGTCGGCTTGTCGCCGCTGAAATGATATTTGAATCGGAGATCCAAGGGATGTACCATGACCTCCAGAGGGAAAAGGACGGGAGGCTCGAAGGCCTGGGTAGTGTTCAATGCATCACGATGGGGAAGTTCCCTGGGTATAATGTTAGAGACGTATCTTGACCACACAACGGGGAAAGGATCCACACGCACGGTGTTTGCAAATCAATTAAAAGCTCAACATCCCCCTTCCACTGATTCAATATTTTTTCCGTAATATTCAGCTCGCGAGTCGGCCACTTCAATGATGAAAGTGTTTTCTGCAATCGATCACCAAAGAATTTTTTCAACTGTTCTCTTAATGCAGATGCCAGTTTCTCCGTATAGTCGATAAGGTGGGGCGCAGCGCCCTCAGCGGCGGGCTGAGCTTCTTTGAGCGATTCAACGATGCTGCGAAGTCGAGTGTAGGGTTCAATAGCGGCGCGAGGATCGGCGGAGATGCTGTTTAAAGCTTGTTTACTGTAATGACAATTTTAGCATTCATTATGAAGCTCTCCGTGTCAACAGATGCATACCTCAAATCCTCTGCCTCCTTCAATAGTTCCACGTATCCCTTAGAAATCTCTAGCCTCTGAAGCCTTTCCATACTCTTTTCCAGTCGTCGTACTGCCTCATCACTTGTCTCCGATTGTGTGATCGCCTTCAACCGCTTGTCGATGTCCGCCTGTTCGGCCGTGAATGCCTCGGCTCGCTTTCGAGTAGCTTCAGCATGATCGTTGGATGATTTTGTGGCATTCGAGAGTGCTTCCTGTGCCTCTGCGAGCTAATTGAGAACGAAATTAGAACTGCGTGCGTGTAGGAGCCTCAGGCCGCGGGTATAGAGGGGAGGGAGTCATAGACGTACCTGTTTCCGCTGGAGCTCCTGTTGCGCGCGGAGACTCGAGAGAAGCGAGCTCAGACTCTCGAGATCAGCAGAAACTTGGATTTTATCATTCAAATAATCCTCGACTCTTGTTCGCTCGTGCGACGACAGAGACGTGGACGGCGCCATTGTTGCGAAGGGAAAATCACGGAAGCGCAACGGTGTTCGCGTTGCTCCGCCTTCTGACGTCTGGGACCCGCAACTACTAAGTATCTCCAGTCCCCAGTGGCAACTCCCACCTTTACTACTTACTTTGAACATGTCCAGTCCAGCTAAAAAGCGTAAGCGAACTGGAGATAATGCATCGCCACAAAAATTGCGCACAATTGCTTCCTTCTTTAAAGGACAAACGCCTCAAGAGTCGCAGGTAGAGCCCGACGCCACAGAGCAGACCCTCTCCGATGAAGCATTAGCAAGAAAGCTTCAAGAAGAATGGAATAAAGAAGAAGAAGCAGCAGATTCTACGTCAAATTCAAATGATATTCAATCAACAGAAGCAGAGCTTGACACAAACACAGATCCACCAGCCTCCATCCCGGCGGATATAACACCCGCAGCAGCTCTGACGATATCTAAGAAGAATACTCTATCCCTACAGTCATCTTTGGGAACAGAGGACACTGTATCACTTGATATCCCGTTTGATCAAAGCCCGCAAACATTTGATCCAAGCAAATATGTAGCGGAATTACGCCCTCATTGGGCTTCAGACGGCGGCGATGCGACCTACGCGTTGCTAACTAGAGCGTTTGTCCTGGCCAACTCCACAACGAGTCGAATCAAAATCGTTGATACATTGGTCAACTTTCTCCGAGTCTTGATTGAAGGTGATCCTAATAGCGTTCTCCCTGCTGTATGGTTAGCAACCAACTCTATCTCCCCTCCCTACGACGAGATGGAGCTGGGGTTAGGTGGCTCGTCCATCTCGAAAGCCCTGAAGAAAATATACGGTCTCAATAACCAAGGCTTGAAAACGCTGTACGACAAGCACGGAGATGCAGGAGATGTTGCCTTCGAGGCCAAAAAACGACAGACCTTCACCTTGGTCAAACCAAAACCGCTTAAGATCAAAGGCGTGTATCAATCTTTACTCAAAATTGCAACGAGTAAAGGCTCTGGAAGCCAGGAGACAAAACAACGTATCGTCGAGAAATTGTTGCAGGATACCCGGGGTGCTGAAGAGAGTCGATACATTGTTCGAACCCTTGTTCAAAACCTCCGCATCGGCGCCGTAAAGACGACCATGCTTATTGCACTCGCGCGCGCATTTCTTTACTCAAAACCTACCGGCGCTGAATTCTTGCTCTGCTCAAAAAATGAGCTCGCACGTCTCAAGAAGGATGAGCTCGCTAAATTATACACGAACGCCGAAGAAATCGTCAAGGCGTCTTACGCTCGACATCCAAGTTACGATGACCTCGTCCCATCTCTTCTAGAGATCGGTGTCACCGAAGAACTACTCATTAGATGCGGTCTTGTGTTACACACTCCGCTCCGACCAATGCTGGGAAGCATCACGCGCGATCTCTCAGATATGTTGACCAAGTTGCAGGGTCGCGACTTCAGTTGCGAATACAAGTATGATGGACAACGAGCTCAAGTACACTGCGACGAGCAGGGCAAGGTCTCCATCTTCTCTCGCCATCTCGAGCTGATGACAGAAAAGTATCCCGATCTTGTTTCCCTCGTACCCCAAATCCGCGGTGAGGGAGTCTCGAGTTTCATTCTAGAAGGGGAGGTAGTCGCCGTTGATCGCGATACGGGTGATCTTCTCCCATTCCAAACCCTGACGAATCGGGCCAAGAAGAACGTCGAGATCGGGGCGATAGCCGTAACTGTGTGTCTCTTCTCGTTTGATCTTATGTATCTAAACGGCGAACCACTTCTAGATCGCCCATTCCGAGAACGCAGAGAACTCCTTCGAAGTCTCTTCGTCGAGATTCCTAACCGATTCACATGGGTGAAGAGTCTAGACGCCACATCTGCGGATTCAGACAGCGTTCTAGAATTCTTCAAAAGTGCCACAGAAGCCAAGTGCGAAGGAATAATGGTTAAAGTTCTCGACAATACCCTCAAACCAACAACAACCTCCAATCAAGAACAAGACTCGTCCAACCAAATTCCAACCACAGATTCTACACCCACTCCCGCAATAAAAGAAAAATCTTCTCGTCGAAAAGCTCTCCTCTCAACCTACGAACCAGACAAACGCCTGGAATCCTGGCTAAAAGTCAAAAAAGACTACAGCACCTCCTCCGAGACCCTAGACTTAATCCCAATAGCCGGGTGGCACGGTCAAGGCCGCAAAGCAAAATGGTGGTCCCCGATCCTACTCGCCGTGCGGAACCCCGAGTCCGGAGCCCTGGAAGCTGTGACGAAGTGCATGTCCGGGTTCACAGACAAGTTCTACGCGAGCAATAAAGAGAAGTACAACGAAGGCAGTTCGAATGTGATCTCGCGACCGGCTTACGTGGAGTATTCCGGGCATCCGGATGTGTGGTTCGAGCCACAGGAGGTGTGGGAGATGGCGTTTGCGGACATTACGCTTAGTCCGACTTATACAGCTGCTATTGGTTTGGTTAGTGAAGAGAGGGGGTTGAGTTTGAGGTTTCCGCGATTTTTGAAGGTGAGAGAGGATAAGGGGCTGGATGAGGCGAGCAGTTCGGATTATTTGGCCCTTTTGTGGAGGAAACAGGCGGAGAAGGCGAAGGTTGATGATGGGAAGGGGAAGGAGGAGTTGGGATGGGCTGAGGATTAAATTTGAAGCTAGTACATATAATTCATGGGTATTTCATGTCCATGCGCATTCAAGTTGTTGGATAGTACTGGTACTACTGGCAGTAATACTAATGGTCTGATGAAAATTTCGGTCAAATTTAAATTTTCGCGATTGATAGTGTATACCATGCAATTCAATGTTTGGTTTGAGCTAAGACACTCCAGTGCTTGAAATTGATCGGACTCCGAGTCGGAGCTGTAGTCCTAATTGCCCTCCTCCGAGTCTAGGGCTAGTACTTTGAGCGTCAGTGTCAATATACTGTTTAACATGACGCTATCTTAGAATATTACTAGTAGAGGACAATGATTCCATAGAAACGAGACAACATTTGAATTACACGGGTTCATTATTTTCAACTATTTTTATGTAGTTTGGGGGATCTTGCCCTCTTGTTAGAAGGCAAGGTAGTATTAAATAGACTGATCATTAACAGCAACGAGGTCCGGGTACAAAATATCATGACAAGGGCATGTTGGATGCAATACATGTGATAGGCAGATGTAAATGCCGCAACAAAAAAAAGAAAACACGGGCTGTGGTGAGCATCATTCATGGAGGGAAAATGCTGGATAAGGGCCATGCGAATGATAAATGAAAAGAGACGCCGTGGATGCAGTGACTGGCTTCATGCTTGATGCGAGCTATTTCCTCATAGGAAAAAAGCATAGACCGTATTTCAAAACGGATGAAAGGAGATAAATGTATATATAGTAGAATCGTCAAGCCGTAACAAAGGGAGGATTCAAATGATAATGGGGAATAAATGGACAAGAATGGAAGAAATAGAAGATAGTGAAGTTTTAGCGACGCAACTCGCCTCCGAGCTGAAGAGCTAATCCCTCCTTACGCATCCGAGGGGAGGCACTGGGAGGAACTAGACCATCAAAGTTCAGCCGCTTACGGGCATCCTTGGTGGCAAGAGGAGTGCGGGCGGGATTGCCAGGGGTTCGACTACCCCACGCTGGCTGTGCAGGACTAGGAGTCACATTGACAAAATCCGCAAAGTTAAATTGTTGTCCCGGGGTGCCAAGGTTTGGAGTCAAGGAAGCCATCATAGCGTGCTGGCTGGGAGGGGTCGAAGGAGGAAAGATGTGAGAATGAGAACCGGCAGCCACACGAGCAGGGGTTGGGGAATTGGCGAGATATAGTAACAAATCAGCACCATCATCTCCTCCCTCTCGGTCCGTTCGTGGCAGGCGTGCATGCTTCGGTGGGGGAGTTCGAGGAGGTGATGAGCCCGGCATAGACTTAGCGACCTGGAAGCTATGCAATGGAAGATCCGGGTCGTTCTCTTCATCGGATGGGCCATGATATGCAGGAGATGACATCTCGGGGATTGGTGCCTCTGACATAAAAGGGACTTGATTTCGTCGGAGTGTCGTGTGACGCCCCAGACCTGGGGAAGATTCAGGCAATTGATAAGAACTCTTCCAAGAGACTCGAGACACCTTCGCAGGACGTTCTGAATTGGAATCTGATCGAACTCGCTTGCGACTGGCTGTCAGCATAGGCTGCATAGCCTGTGAATCAAAGGTCACAGCATGTTTATTGCGGGCCGATCGAGGAAGTTCTTTCGAGTAGGTCGCAGCCCGTAAGGGCGGCGAGGTAAAGGGGGTTTCACAACGGCTGCGAGAGAAGTCGGAGGAGGAATCTGAAGGCTTTTCACTATCGGATGGTCCCAACTTAGAGTCTTGTAGAATCGAGTTCAGACCATGAAGCCGTCCATGTTGGTACTTGAGTTTGGCCAAACCGAGACGGTCCTGCAAACTCAGAGAGACCTATTTATGGAAAAAAGACAAACTAGTCAGCTTTTGTCCTTGTTTAGATCACCATGCATCAACTGTCATGCCCTGGCAGTCCCATGAACTCCTGCTTCAGACCAAAACCCATGTGGGATCCACCAGGATTTGCATTTTTCACGGGGTCTCTTTCCTATCCCCCATTCTGTCCCCTCCAGGCATAATTATCTTACCTGTGCAATATCAATCTTGCGAATAGTCTTCTCTGCTGAACCAGGCTGTGGCAGGGTCATGGTGGGCAATGTGGATAGAGTGAAAAGAAGAGAACCTGACGAAAGGACCCAGATTGCGGGTTGGCAAGGCAAGGGCGGCTGGGAAGGGAGCCAATTGGCGATAGAAAAATGGATCCGCGATCACCCTAAAGTCCAAACTGCCTTAAATCGGACCGATATGAATTTATGATGAAGAAAGATTTTGATATTAATCAACTTGGTGAAGTACAGAGTTCTTTGGGAGGTGTGTGTACCAGGGTATAAGTGAAGACGCGTGCCGCGCTCAATACGCGAGGTTCGTGTTCCGCTCATTCCACGGAACAGGGAAAAATCACTTTAATGATCAGTTCTATTATACTAAGTTATTCAAGAGGATATTGACAGGGATTTGCATTATGAAATCTGCATGTATGTTGATAATATTAAGATCTGTCATATTTTCCCCTTATTTTCATTTATGCCAAAATTTTGAACTGGAAAAACTCCGATCTATCGAGCCCACTAATCCGAAACCAGCCTCCTGGACTCCACTTTGAAGGCTCTGAGATGGAGTACACTTGATATGAATTAACCCTTTATGTATTAGCAAGGCAGAAGCAAAAATTTAGGGGGTCAAGAGTTCGACAGTTGAGTAGGTATGGAGTATAGAGTGCTATATGGTATGATTTGTCTTTCTGTAGAATATGCTTAGCGTTGGAGGAAAGGGATATCACCAGTAGTCTGTTATGTTATTTCTGCTCTGGGATTGAACATCTGGATCTCTGAGCTCTCAGAAACCAGAACCAGATCAAGCATACCATTGTAAATTCCGATCCACTTCTAGGCTAGGGTAAGCCCAGCTGCCTTGGTCCATGTCATAGCGGGGAAAGAGAAAGGGGACCTGACATCTTCGGAATGGAACTTCCAAGGTTGTTGTTGTCATGCCCAGTTGGTATGTCGATGCCTCAGAAATTATTCAATGTTCTGCCCCTGTAGTCGTCACATAGGGGTTGTTATGGGCAGGTGAAAACTCTGGAGAAAAGACCCTGTCTCTCGGACAAAAAGACCCAATTTGTCGTCAAGCTCGGAATATGAGAGGCGAGGCTCTACGGCAGACGTGGGTCAATAGGGTAAGTAGAACTGGGTACGTGTCCGTAAGCGCATCTCGGCAATTTTCCAAGGTTCGGACTCCTTTCGGGTCCAAAATGTCTGTACAGATGCATGTCCTCGTGCATGACAACGAAACATGGGTGCATGGCTCGCGTGGCTTGCATAAACCAGTACGGAAAGGTCCATGGGACACGAGTACTCCCAAAAAAAGACCATTCAAGTGAAAAATCACCTCATTTGGGATTGGTTGATAGACTTGCAGATCATCAGGCCTTCTAAAACATCGCAAATGAGGGGAAGATACCGAGAATGCAGCATAGCATTCAGGTTAATCCAACCTTGAGGGGAAACGGTTTTAAGCCACAGACGCCATGACATCCTGAAACCAGGTTCCTCTCAATGGATTCAATGAATCCTCAGTTCAAGTTGAATGTTGAATATTGGTCTCATCCAAAGTACAGTAAGATTGGAGGGTCTAGCAGGATTCACCCACTAAGAAGAGAACGGACCCTCAACCAGACGTGGTTGAAGTTGTCTAGTTGGCCGCTAGATCTGGGCTAAGAGCGTTAGGGCGATCATTTCAGATCCACCGGTGAAACACTGCGACTCTCAAGAGTTTGATAGTCCTGATATGTGTCGAGGGGTACGTAAGACTTAAAAAAAAGAAAAAAGTCCGAGTAGATAGGTGGCGAAGTATAGCAAGGTTGGAAGTCTTGATCTTATTAGTATTTGTCTCGTTTGTCTCATTTGTCTCTCCCCATTCATGTTTGATCTGTTTATCTGGATCTTCAAACAGGTTACCTTCCCATATTGATTTTTTTTTCTTCTTTTCTCCCTTTCCTAATTCTCAAATAATTTTCCCCCTATTCTGTTGAAATTCTATAATTTCTACCTTCTATTTTTTTTCTTTCTCTTTTTCTAAAGTGATTGGTTTGAATTGTTCATCTCCTTTTCGGGTTTCAGCGGGGCTTTCTCCACGGCGTCGTCACCCGCAAACGGTCGCTCCTGTTCCTGACCCTGATACGGAAACTGCCCCCCTAGTTCCAGGGTGCTTCTTGGGGCAAGAAGTTTTCTTGTCTCTGATCTTCTGATCTCTGATATACACAATTCCCATCATGCCGTTCTTCAAAGAGTTTCGTCGCCGCTCAAAGGCGAGCTTCCAGTCCGATTCGAAGAGCGCCGTAACCAAGGTGGAAATGGTCGGAAAATCTTCCTCCACGATCGACACTTCCTCTCACAGCTCCATAACTCCGCCGTCGTCGATCAAGCCAACTCTGTCATCTCCAAACCTTCCTTCCTTGACCGAATTAGATACCAATGCCCCGTTGCCCCCGCCCCCGCAGCGACCAGGCCCATTCGCAACTCGATCGCAGCGGAATAGTATGATTGTACGTGGGCGTCAACATAATCAAGCAACCATGGATCGCATTTGCTAATGGGATATCCGACGTATTAGGGCAGCTCCGCATCATCTATCAATGGAGTATACCGTCAACCTTCTGCCTCCCCTCATGCGCCAAGAATTGTGTCAGTCGCAGATAATTCATGGGTACGTGTTCCCATGAGGCTGAATGAAGAGTTTCCCAGAGACCGGTGGAAGAGGATGTGATTAAATGGATGGAGGGGAGCTATACAAATTCCCAGAGAGCTAACACAACCATCTTCTAGGTGCATCAAAAAGTTCTACTCGTATATGGACAAATCGGAGATCCTAGGAACCACCCGCTGGACGGAGGGGTGACGGTTTTCCATCACCAGGACAATTTTCCTTCTACCGGCTGGCCCGTAACACAATCCCACTTCAAAGCCCTTGTTCACCTTGTCCCCGGACCTAATCGCCTTCGTTTCGACTTCATCTCCCCCAAACTATCCACAGGCAGTACCCACCCGGCTGTACATTCGACATGGTTTTGCATAAATTACCTTCCATTGGTCAGCGCACCGCCCTTACAACTGGTCATTTTACTTGGGAAGGATTCAGATGGCACCTTTGATGCTGTGCCCGAACGCGTGGAGCGAGAAGGAAATGGTCTGGAAACGGCCATTCAAAAATATCGAACTGCAGCATACCTTTGGCAAGCGTTCACGGGAGAGCAGATGTTCCGCAACAATTTCGGTCGCCGTTGTTTCCGATTCGAGGAGGAGTGGCAGTCAGGCACCCTCAGCCGTCGAGATGTAGCTGCAGGCCAAATGCGCAATGAAGCGAAGATTCATATTGTCCGCAGCGAAAAGACTGTTGCGGAACTCCGTGATCTAAACATCGCCCAGCAAAACAAAAACGCTCAGAAGAAAGACGAGTTATTTACGATCGCCAAGGACGCAGTGCGAAAACATTTCAACCCGCAACCTGGTCAGAAACAATACGTCTCAGTACTGCTGCTCGACTCACATTGGGATACTGAGCAGCAACTCATCACCGGCCATGCCGCCCTGGGATCCGCGGGCGATGATATCAAAATGGCTATCTTTGGATCTCACTCATTACAGAGCTACCCCTCCTGCCTGGAGGAGGTTGTGGACGCATTCTCTGACTGCACACGGACAGATACGAACTACGTAGCAAATGATTGTGGCGAAGCCGGCTCGAATTGGGAATCCGCCAATATCGGTATCGGTGCCCATCTACACGAGATCGGGCACCTTTTCGGATGCCCCCATCAGGAATCCGGGATTATGCTTCGCGACTACGTAACACTGAATCGTTCGTTCCTGACGAAAGAGCCATTCTCAACTCGAACAAAGTCGCAAGGGCTGAAGGTATGTCTACCTAACGATGAGTGCAACTGGCACCGCCTTGACGCCCTCCGATTCCGGTTCCACCCTTGTTTCCGACTCCCTAGTGACTCCTCTGTGAGCCAAGATGAAAGCGTGCAAGTTTGGCCTGTGGAAAACGGCAAGATTCTGTTCACCGCATCCTCGGGAATTGCGTTTATGGAGATCTACAGGGAAGGCGATGAGCTCTGCCAAACCTCTATCGAATACCTGAACGGCGAGTCTAGCAGCAATGGTCTTCCAAAGCAGATCACTATCACAGAGAATGAACTCCGATTGAAAGCCTATGGTACCGAAAAGGAGAAGAAAAAGAAGATCAAGGTCGTGGTATACTCTGGAGCTCTAGGAAGTTATACTGTTGAGGACGTTAGCTTGTTAAAGTCGAAGGATTCTTTGATCAAGCTACCCAAGAGTCAGTCAGGTTACAAAAGTGGAATGTTGGGCTTTTCTTCTATGGAAGGCAGCGAGCCCGAGCAACTACTCCTCGAATGTGCCTTCATCGGAACCAAGCTATTGACCTCCATCAAAGTGTATCATGGGAACGCATTGGATGGAATCGAGTTTTGTTATGAGGACATGACCAGCCAGCTCTTTGGAAAGCGTGGCGGCAAACCCGGTGGTGACGAGTTTGTTCTCGGTAAGTTAATATGATCCGTTCCTCTTCATGCGCAGACCTAACAATTCTCTACTAGATACTCGGCGTGGGGAGATTCTACTTGGGTTCTACGTCCGAGCTGGACTCTGGATTGATGGACTTGAGATTCTCACCAGCCTTGGCCGAAAATCCGGCTTCTATGGGAACCGAAATGGCGGATCAGGGTAAGCACTCAATCTGCAACTATGACCACTCCTGGGATATAGCTAACCACCAATCTAGACATACCTTGATACCGCCTCTTGGATATAAGATTGCCGGCATTTCTGGATCTTGCGCATCCTGGATCGATGGATTTTCACTCATCATTCAGCACTAAGGGAGCGACTCTGCATTTTAATTGCGTTCCATCGACCTCCATCCATTCACTTTCTCTCGTCTCTTTTTTCTTTTCTTTCTTATCATATCCCCCAACTATAGGGATCAACATTCTGGGAAATAACAACTGGCCAAGGGCCAGGCAGCACATACACGAGGTTTCGTCAGGGCAGGCTGCCTTTTGTTCATAACACTTCTTTTAACTGTCTCATTCACTTGGAACGGCGCTGTTTGGGGTATTTTGTGGTTGCATACACTCATTGAACCTTTTTTTTTCTTTGTTTGTTTTTGCCCTTTTTCGGCTTTTTCATGCGCATTCAAGGCGCAAACCTCGCACCTACAGGGTGGTTAGTGCGATGGGCTACACTAGGACATTTTCATTTTGTACAAGGGGGCATTCATATTGGGCAGAGTCTTATAGAAGGGTAATATCAATGCATGATCACTAGCGGTCAGGCCACATTTGCCAAAAGCTAGCTTATTTAATCCTCGGCTCCCCGATAATTCACCGGCTTGGACGGAGTTTCTAGCTCGGGATCCTATATCCGATTTAATGCTCTCAAGGAGGTCTGTTAATATGACTTACTTCATTAAGCACAGCCACACAGCTACATTGGGATGGATCTTCATTGTTTTACAATTTCTTTCGGTTTGTAAAGTAAGGCTGAACCTGAAAAATGTAATACATTGAGATGATTTGTCGAAGCACCGAGTGAGAGTTAGACGAGCCAATTGATCAACAAATCCGAGTCCCATTGAGTATGAGCTCCGTTTGGAGTTGAGGATCATCATGGAGAACATATCCACTCTAGCACCAGTTGACTTCCATTAGTGTGGTACGGAGTGCATCGCCTCATATACTCAATTCGCATGTACCAGTCAAGGGCATCATACACATCAACTGACAATAATGTGAGTCAGAGATCAATTCAAATACCAATCATAATGCTTAAAGTGGTTTCTTTTTATGTTCACCCAAAGAACATTCCGCACTGGTTCAAGCAGTAGCCATTGAGACATCGAATATCAGTCCCACTTTCTTACTTTGTAAAAGAAGAGAGCAAGTGGCGAACAAACTCCACGATATCCACATACATAATCGTGTTTCATAACTAGCGGAAACTTAGCCGCATTAGTCATCTCATTTTTATCCATTCACAATATAACCTCTCATTGCCTAAGTCGCAAGTGGATAATTCCACATCTATTACATAAAGCACATACTGTAGGTGCGAGGTACTCAACGAATCGTACTTCGGAATATGCAGACTCACATCTGACTGGAATTCGCCACACCTTCTTCCTCCCGATCCTTCCATCCCATTCTCATTGGCCCCATAACCCCCCAAATTGATTCCGCCCGTCCCGCTAGCTACATCAAAACACTCTAACTGGCTAATAACGCGTGGGAGGCAAAAAAAGAAACAAAGGTACCTTCCAAAGAACAGACACGGCACGCGTATGCAGGCGCGTTCAGATCATCCCTGTGGCTGCGTCAGCAGCAGTCACGACAGAAGAGGGGGTGTGGATGTGGCGCGGATTTTGAATCGCTTTCGGTACTGTGGCAAGGCCTTTGCATGGCCTGACTGGCTATACCCCAGTCTCATAGGGCGCACATGCTTTGCTCTTGCTTTTGGTTGTTCCACTATAATCCTGGGCTTGGTGCAGAATACCTTACTGGGCTGATATTGATCATCCCGACCTCATTGCTTATGATTGGGTAAATATCTTTGATCTGCACCCGTTGGGTTGTTATGGAGTTGCTTGTACTATGTAGACACGGAACCTTGAAAGGCAGCCGTTTTTCTTTTTTGATTTTGGGTTTATTGTGCGTCTGTGGGTTTACAGCTGTGCTTTGAGTATTTTCTATCTTGTGTGAGATACTCCGAGAATGGCTTTTTTTAGTTGATTCCGTGGCTGATATGTTGAAGATCGGCGCTTCGAGCGAATGTTGTTGAGATATTCGGTTTTTTTGGGCTTGAATGATCAATGATCTACATACATCGTCTCCAGATGTTCAAAGCTCGAGGTCACCGTGCCAATTGATCAACCTTAGAATACTACTACTACAGTACATAAGGATAGGACCTCCAGATGTCAGGCCCCTCGGCCTCCGAGTACAAACATTGAACATCAACTTCAAGTTGATGTTCCGAGGTCTGCCAATTAATAAATGCAGGGTTGTACCTGTCTGTTTCAAGTTCATATGTCGGGCCAACTCCTGTCCAAAAATTTGCCAGTGAACATTTGAACATTGAATATCCTACTGCATACGGACATCTGGAGTACTATTGGGTAGCATATGGAGTACATTAATATGGATATATGCACATAGTATGTATTAACAACACCTAGGTGCCCGGGTACTATGCAAGCCCTACTAGGGCAGGTACTGCGAGAATAACCGTACCTATGATATGTGTCACCGCTGTGGCACCTTTATCCGGACCGCATTGGCTCCTGCAATATTTCTGAAGCTGCCCGACACTTGGACAATCAATTACCTCCCCCCGAGCCCTCGTGGCTGAACATCGAAGAGCAACTGAGTTGTGATCGTGACACGATGTAAGATCAGCCAATCATATGCCATGATTTATAGCAGGATACAACATCCGGGATGCGTGCTTGTGCCCGGGTAGGACACGCATTTCTTCAAGCACCTTGACGCGTCGAGAATTCCCCACCTATATGATAGAATTAACACGCAGAAGCAGTAGGCTGATCTGTCACAAGAAAGCTCTCATCTGTGAGAGGGTTATATTTCAATTCGCGCCGGTGGCGCCTCTTTTCCCCTGTCCAAAACGCCAAATTCAGCCCAGTGGACGCTCCATGACGCCGTGGCTTTCATAGTTACCCCAGGCCCGGTGAAACTGAAACAATGCAATGCTAGAATGAGAGGAATGGTTCCTAGCAAGGTAGGGATCCTCTGGTAGCTCCTGTTAAAAGAGGAGGAAAACGCCTTCAGAAACGCCGCCTATGCTGAGGCTTATCTTTTTCGGGATTTGAAGTGTGAAAGGGCTGCAAGCCCATAACTTTGATTATGCGGGCTCCGCTAATATGGCATAGCCTCCACTATTATGTGTATACTAGTTATGTAAATTATTGTACACATGCATACATAGCAGTCTATTTTGTAGCTGTTTCCGAGAATAAATAAGATGTGCCCAATGTTTCCTGTGGGCTCGAGCTTTACTCATGTCCGTGCTGATACGGTGGGCCACATTAAATGGATCGAATCCCGATTGATTATCAACTACCATAATCGGAATCCCCCGCCCCTGTGTATCGTATCGGGATTTTCTGCCGACAAATGAGAGAGTGTAGTTACATGATTTGATTTATTAGATGATTAAGTTAGGATGAACAAATGGTTTTTATTATTCTTTTCCGGTGACGTTGTGAACTTATAGTCTTATGGGAAAGGGGGCAAATGAAGAAGCTCCTATTGGGGAATAATATAATGCACATATCGGAATTAAAAAAGAGAACGACGCCCAAAACAAGCTAGCTCAGCGACTTTTTTGCTTTTTTCCTTTTTTTTTCATTATTTTTTTTCATTATTTTTTTTCATTATTTTTTATTATTATTATTAATTTTTTTTTTTTTTACTTTGATCCGAGCTCCGAAATTGAAGTACGAATGTAATCTTAGAGAATAGCCGCTCCGTAGCATACTGTGCGGACCCGGGGCTAAGAATGTCCCGTGCGTGTAATTTTGGTATCGTGATTGTATTTATCAAGTGCCAAGATATGATTCAGGGATGATGGTTGGCGGGTTGAAATGCCATCAATGATCAGCACTGACGACCCCGGGAGGCCAGGGTGCTGTATTGTCAGGGATGTGTACAGTTCGTATTCCATACAGAGTATTCGACATCAAAATGCCCCAACTCCTAGCGTTATCCCCACAGTATAGTACATAGGGCGTATGTAAATTATAGACTTTGATCTCATTCTCATTTTGATTAATTTTTTATTCCTGTTCCTAAGAAAGAAACGTCAACCTGCATATAATGACGAAACTCATATAGATCTGTTGTCCCTGCACACCATTAGGAGGACCCTCCTCGTAAAAATAGCATCGGAGCAGCCACAATCGCGGTGATCCATGGATTATCTCCCCGACGATCACACCACCATCACCTGGGCATTTCAAATCAGAATGATGATAATGAAATGCTCAAGGAGTTAAGGAGATAAACATCTGACCGAATTGAATGCTGACCTAGATACGTATGCTTTTAAGATTTTATTTTATTTTATTTTTTTTTCCGCTGCCAGCTCTTGTCTAACCATGGCGCATGTACGTACGGGGTACTACATTCATATGTTCATCCAAATGAATCGGCTCTTCAACCACCTATCAGATTGAGCAGTGCACGGCCACATCCTATGATCCATGGTAACATTTAAATGATGTATTCTCCATATGCTACCACTCTGCATATTCTTTTCCCGGCGATACCTTTGACAAATTTCGCTGCCTGCGGTTCATACCGTTAGATACGAATCAAGTGCTTCATTGGCCATGTGTGCCCACACCGTCTACTGTGTGGAATGCTAAGTGGAACGACTGAATTCATGAGGTAGATTGTTACCGCATCAAGCCCAAGCCACCAACGTGGCTGACCCTCTCCAAGTGGGATGGAAATTTTTTTTGGAAATTTCTTTTTTCTATTTCCATTTTATTGGGTTGTACTCCGTAATTATTTTATGATCATTTCCTCAATGGGATGGAATCAGAATCTTCAAATGGTTTACTTTAGATCAATAGATATTATATAGTCTCGGTTCCTGAATTCGGGAACTGCGTCGATATGAACTATTAATTTATTTAAACCGATCGGAATATGCAATATCTAGTTCCCCCCGCGATGCCCCTGTTTAAATTCCAATACTGTGTCAACGTCTAAATAGTGCCAGTGGCGTGTGGCGTATGGTGTGTGGGGGAAGCCCGAGCCCGAAGACTCGGTAACCTCGTTATCGATAAACGGAAAGACTCCGGCTGGTCCCGCGGGCTGAGATGCCCAGAAGATCATCAGATCCTCTTTATTTTATTTAATGTTCTTTTCTTTTTCTTTTCTTTATTGTTATTATTATTATTATTATTAAAGATAGGGCTGGGGAAAAGGTTTCGAGGATTCGGAGAACATTTGAAGATAGATAGATTCATCAGATGATATCACGCTAACAGGGATATTAAAATGGGTTAGACCAACCCCGGAGATATACTCCATCACGCCAATAACTGAACGAGAATAATTCAATTTAATTCAATTTTAATACACCGAGGTCGTAAATTACGATTAATTTGGTTTACTCCTTCTTTCAACCACACTGCGTACTCCGTATACATACACCGAACCCCTCTAGTAATTTCCATATAGGATAAATGGAACCGTGATACTAATGGAAATAGAAACCGTAAATATTCTATTTAAAATAAGTTGAATTTAATATTAATATATAGATTTTTCCTTTCCATACGGAGTAATTCTGTTTATTCTAATCTCCAATCATTTCTTCCATTCCCCTTCTCAAGTCTCCATTATTCTCTCCCGCGCCCCCCCCCTGGTACCAATCATTTCCATTCCATAACTGAGAACCGAGAACGAGCATAATTCCAAAGAATTCGGAGAACGAAAAAAAAAAAATAAAAATAAAAATAAAATAAAAATAAAATAAAAATAAAATAAAACTAAAATAAAATAAAAATGAAATAAAAATGAAATGAAAATAAAATTTAATCCCCTCCCCCCCCTACAATATAACGACCTTCTCTATGCGGTCCTGGTCCCAAGGTCTTATCAGTGGCAATACACCTATAATCTTCCGAAAGCTTCACCCCTCCATATTCCACATATTCCACCACTCTCAAGTGCTCTGTGAGAACTGTGTGGCTCAGTCGATACTCTTGACTTAAGTAACTCATTGGAGGCTCGATGGACCGTACCGTCTTTACTGCTTTTTCTTCGTCATACACCGCACCCCTCCTCTTTTACACCCCTCGCCTCTAAACGTTTTTCCCTTCAACATCCGAATAAATAAGGGGGCCGCAATCCACACCATTTTCCATCCCCAACCCTTTCTTGAACCTCGACAATTCCTTTAAGATTAAGAAAATCACAGAGAAAGGAAAAAAAAATATTAATTCCACATTCGAATAACTTTGGTCGAGACCCGCCATCCTCCGTTTGTTCCTGGTCTCCGCTTTTTTTTTCTCGAACCTCGCATAGACAATATCTTACGCATCCCCCCCCCAACTACTCCGCACACGCTCCTTTTCAACCTTACAACCTTCAACCTACTTGCCAAAATATTCACTTCGATCCTAACATCATTCTGGCCCCGGGTTGGAAAATTTCCGTCGATTCCTAACCCTGATCGCCCTATTTGAACCATATCGATTGAGCATCCGTGTTGTCGGGAACGGGGAAGTCCCCACCATACGTGCAAAAAAGGAGCGATCACAACTTGGGTGGTTTGATTCAGATGTTGCTTTTTAAGTCGCCAACTGTTTAGTTTCGAAATTCTACTTCAACTTTTTTTTCTCCGGCAAGGCAAGACTGCCAATGAATTCTCTCTCAATGTTTCGCAACCGGTGGGTATTTCACATAAATCAAAGAGTTTTGTTAATGCAAATGCAAAAAATGAAACAAAATCACTCTAAAATGAGAAGATCAAAGGCTAACTATACTTTTTTTTAATACTAGAAACAATAGCCAGAAGCCCGATGATGACTTCATCAGCCGCTTCCAACAGACATTTCAAGACGTTGTTCCCCGCCGTGATAGCGAGGGGTCGGTTAACTCAGGCGACCCTTTGATGACCGGAAGGTACGCGGATTCTACTCCAAGACCCTGGAGAGCGGAGGCTGATATGGCGAACGGCGGATACAGACCGACAATGCAAACCCACGACATAAAATTGGAGGACCCCAATATGAAATTTACGAATGAGCGCACTCCCCGCAATCTTCAAGACCTCAACTTCTCGCCCACTTGGATGGATCCAGGATCAATGCAAATGATGTCTCTGGCTGGTCAACATCCTGGTTTTTATACCCCCAATTCCGGTGGAATGGGTGCCATTTTCCATAATCAAGCAGGTGATTTGCATACACCAACCGTCGGCTTGCACACGATGACCCCGCTCTCTCTTTCAAACCATGTTCCACCTCCTCAGCAACATGGAATGGACCAATTCAACCAACATTACATGGCTCAGCAGATGCCCGATATGAACCCTTACATGCAACAACCGTCATATGCACCTAGTGCATTCATGCAGCGGGGCGGGTACGACGTTATGGATGAGACGGTCGATGATTCGTCATTGAATGAATTCCCAATCGACCAGGCTTCGGATATCTCCAATATGACTACCTCAACGGAATTTTCGGCTCGTAATGGTGCTGCCAATCCAATGGGTGTGTCATATGCTGGTGAGAAGTAAGTATCGGAGTCTTTGTTTTCCTGTATGAAACAGCCCACTAATTAAATATTTAGATTCCGTTATAATGTTTCTTTACGTGCTCCAACTGCGATGGTCAAGCATAAAAGAGAGGTTCCCGTTTCATATCTCAATAAGGGTCAAGCGTATAACTTAACAGTTATTGATTCAACACCGCCAATGACCAATTCCGAGCCACTCAGATACCGAACGTTCGTCCGTGTTTCATTCGAGGAAGAAGAGCAAAGATTGAAACCAGCCGCCTGTTGGCAGTTGTGGAAGGAAGGTCGAGGCACAACAGAATCCCATCAACGTGGTGGTAAACTTCTGGCTGTGGAATACGTTGATCCTCTCCAAGGAGGCGAGGACCATAAAAACCGTCAACTTCAAATTGAGCAAATGTCTTTCGATGGATTCTGCGTGACATGGACCGCCAACCCCGCCACTGGTACCTCCGACTGCAGTATCCCCGTGCGATTTAACTTCTTGTCTACCGATTTCAGTCATTCTAAAGGTGTGAAGGGTATTCCGGTACGACTGTGCGCGAAGACCGAGCTTCTCTCTCCAGGTGAAGAGGCCGGTAGCCTGCGCGCGTCGGAGGTTTGTTACTGCAAGGTCAAGCTCTTCCGAGACCATGGTGCGGAACGGAAGCTATCTAACGATATTGCGCACGTCAAGAAGACGATTGAGAAATTGAAGCAGCAGGTCGCCCAGGCTGAATTGGGAGGTGGATTTGGAAAGCGCAAGCGGGGTAGCAATGCTGCAGCCAGCATGAAAACCGCCGATCGATCCAAGCAGTCTACAAAGCATAAGCGCAGTTGGTCAATTGGGTCCCAAGATGGATCGGATAAGTTGTCATTGGAAGATGACCTGCAAGCCAAACTGGCTATGATGCAGGACATGTTCTCGTCTACTCGCTCTGTCAGCATTTTGGCTCTCCGTGGTGAAGAAGACGATGATCCCGATCTCTACCCTGTCCGATTACCCGCGGAAGGTGATTTGGTTAAACCGGACCCTCTCTTACGGCATAATCACAGCGCTGCGCAGTCTATGGAGTCTTTGATCCTCTCACCAACCAGCAGCAATGCTTCCTTGAACTCACCGCGTTTATCCTCTGCACAGTTTATGAAGGACCGAAATGCGACTGCTATTCCTCGAGTAGCATGTGGAGATCGCGTTTCGCAAGGTTTCATAGAGGCTGTGGATATTGACCCAACCTACCGTCCCCCTGCGGATCGGCCGCCTAAGCCAAGCAAGTTACCACTATAGTTGTCCTTCGTTCTCATTATTCAAATTGCTAATATCTCTCCAGTTGCATGCTTTTATGTCCGCTTCATGGGGAATGAGGTCCATCCACTGGAGTACTACCGTGCCATCTATTTGACCGAGCGTACGGTCCGAGACCTGATGAAGAAGATTTCCGAGAAGCGTCACATCGACCCATCACGGATTGTTCGCATATTACATGTCAATGAGGCCGGACTCCGCATCATGGTCGACGACGATGTGGTCCGTGAGTTACCAGAAGGCCAAGACATGATTGTCGACATCTATGAATCTTCGAATACTGAAGTCTCATCTCCTGATTCGCCTGGCTCCCCGGTGGAGATCAAATTAACATATTAATACCGCCATGCATAGACGGTGACCCCATCACACCAATGACATTAAGAGCACTCTTCAATCCTTCCTAGATTGCACCTCATCTGCTCTCCCTCTCCCTCTCTCTTCGAACGTCTGTCCTTTTTTGGATCCCTCTATTCAATATCCTCTGGCTTTTATTACATGGCCAAAAAGATATTGGTGGTTGCACCTGGAGTGCACATGACATTGGGGTTTGCGCTTGCGCACCATTCTTTTTTTTTCTCTCAATATTCGCCTGGTCTCTTTTAATCATCACATTTATTGTTATTGTCATTGGGCTGGCGGTTTATCAAATCATTTCAGGGGCGCTATTGATTACGGTGACAATACACGAGTCTCCGAGCAATGATACCCTGTCACACTACGTTTTATGAAATTTTGTGCTATTTCTAACGTACCTGCTTTTTTCTTTCCTTTTTTGTGCGCCATGTTTCATTAATTCTCATGGCGTTGGGGGTCCCTGCGACGATATATGAGTCTACGGGCAGAGTTGGGGTTGAAAGTTGTTGAGATATACACATTGCGAGGTTGTTTCTACTTTGTTTCTCATCTTTTTTTCACAGTTCCGTTTTATTTTTTGATTTTATCCATATTACTGTGTGTTCTATGGGTTTCTTTTTTATTTTCGTCTACCCGACCGAGGGACGAAGCACACGACGTTGATACCCCGTTCCACTTTTCTGAAGCCTACGCCTGTTGACTTCGATCTGCTTTGCGTTTTGCTTTGCATTTTTTGTGTCGTTAAGCGTTCGGCTTCTGTGTTGAGCGATACCTTCTCTTTTATGGGTGAGATATACAGACGTTGGGGTCTTTTTGATAGTCACTGAGGGACGGGGTTATAAACCAATCATATTCGATGAATAGGTACAGAATACGATGTCCTAGTTGATCGACAGTTGATCTAATTTTTCTCAAACCGTACTAGTATATCTTTTAAGTTATACTAGTAGAAAGTTAGCATGAAATATCATACTATTCAAGTTCTATCAAATCGGCACTTCTCCATTTCAAGTATACTGTATGCAAAAGAACAAAATCCCGGGGGATAATGTTACTCCCCAAAAATCTCTCCAAAATCCCATGCCATGTGTAAACTATGGAACGCTCGTATATAGCGATCATACCCAAGGACCATGCATTGGGAAGTATCTCCGTTAGCTCAAGCCTCCCACCCACGAAAAGTTCACAACAAACGCGTCTCTTAACCCCAAAGTTAAAACAAACCTCCCGCATCCCCCACCCCCAGAGCCGGTCCCAGCAACCAGGTAACGTCCTCAGGGCTGTTGATTCAGTAACCATGGACACTGTATATGCTCGTTCCGTGGGTGAGAGTGCTTGATTTGGCGCTCACCCAAGGCAGATCATACTGCGGATACAGTAGCCGAAATTAGCCTCACGGTCTGATTGATGGGTTCTCTTCCGCTGCTTGTCGATCAACGAATCCAGGATACGAGAACGCTCGGGTTATTTTTTCCTTTCTCTTTACGGTTGGATAAGTCTTGATAGACATATGGATCATACCACCGAGTTGCAGAGCTGTGATACTCTAAGCGATCTCGGTTAGAAAAATCCTTCCAGAATTGTGTCGCGTCCAAAATACTAGTAGTACTTGGGCTTAGAATGCATCATGATGTAATTCAGCCTCTGCTTTGACGGCGGCTTACTACATCTGACAATTCATGCACATACTATTCCGCTTCGAATAATTCATTGGTACTAGTAGAATATCCCAAGCTGACATATCGGACTCGGTTTCCAAGCTTCATCTGACTGCCTATTCGATATTATACGAATCATTTGATCATCAATATGCCCTTTCCCGATGCGTCAAGTTTGCTATTCTTTGGCTATGTGGCTTAATTGGACAGGCCTAGATTTTTGAGAAATATGATCAATCATGCATAGCGGCTAGTAAGTTATTCTGTGGCGTTCAAGTTGAAGCTGTCATCGACATCTGGATGGATTGAAGGCTGTTCATGAACGCCACTGGGCATGCTGATATACTGTGACATACATAATTTCGAGTCAAAACTGGCTGGAACCACATAAGCTTAACGGTATTCAAAGATCCTTCACATGTATACACTTGTAGGCTTGACTCAAATTACAAAATTTTTCTATACAGAGTCAAATCATTCAATCCACGCAGCACACGTGTCTGTAGCAGATTAAATTGCATCCTGGCAGATGCTGATCGTGGAGCCACGTGAAACGTCTAATGAACTAGTCAGTCAACAATTGACTGCTTATTAGCGATGATAGGCTAGTTGATCAAGCAGGAATAATCCGTTAAATAAAAAATCTCTATTCCCATCCACTCTGTACGCTAATTCTTCAAGTTGATATACATGCTCACACTGGCGGAAGAGATGCCGGGGAAAGCATGACGTCAGTTTCTAGGCTAGTAACATCTCAATTCAGGCCGCAATGAGCTTTGTGCAGTATCGTGTAGGTACTCAGTACGCCCCGCTAAATCGTATTCTACATCTGGAACAGCCACCGGTTCCTGTCGATCTGCCCCCTGTCACCATCCACTGTGACGGGATTCTGGGTGGCTGAGCTAGAGGGAAGGCATCTCTCTGCCTTACCTCTAGCTCCTCCCACTCGTGGATCTCGATCTAATCAGGATCCATGCAACATAGGTGAGACATGCACATAGCTTCCCCTCTATCCAAAGCTTACCCCCTCCATGGTGATGAAAATTTCATCCCAATTTCAACCAGCTGATTGATTCCACTACAGCAATAATTTAGCGACGTGTCAATACATAATACACTCCAAACTCAAGCCTAAACTCAAGCCCCCCTGCACGGATACGCACAATAAAAGCCACTGCGAAACGCCATCAAACGCCGAAAAAAGCCCAAAAAGCCCCATGACATCACAGTGATCCGCAAGTGCCTTGGAAGCGGAGCTCTAACTCTTCTACCCCACTTTATCTTTCCACGCGGCTCCTCCCGGTGAATGGGTCCAATCAAGAAATCCAAAGAGCAGGTTATGTGTTTCCATACCATGCCGTATTTCATACCGTATAGCCTAAGCGGTCTTTTTCGGGATATTTCATTCTTATGCACTGGGGCAGATTTGGGACTCCCGCAGCGGTGAGCTGGCGCGTCCATGCGGGCCTGTTTACCCGTGCATACCGCCTCACCCGGTGGTACCGATACTGGGATCAGCTGTCTTCTTCGCTTTTCTTCGTGTCATTGAAACCTTGGCCTTAGTCGGGATCTTGCTCGGGATTTGCTTTTCTGTCGATCATCTGTTTTTGGGAGGTTCGTGCTGTTTCTACCTTCTAGGGCTTTTTTGGAGTTCTGTTTTGGGTGGGATACCATGGCTGCTGATACAGTGGGACATGAGTGGGTTTTATCCATCAAGGTTCAATGGTCTTCATGCAATGAGCAGCACCTAGCACATCACCAATCTGCAGAGGAGAATTGATACCGTCATGGTCTTTTTTACTTTGTTGTATGCCATTTATCATTCATGCAGGGGTTAAATCATGTTTGCTGGCTTAGACTCCATTTGAAAGGAAACTTGATACCAAGGATTCATGCATATATGCCAGAATATGATAAATCTTCTGAACTTCTATTGGATGAATGAGTTCGAGTCAGTATGAGCACATTCAAGATTGCTCTAGAATACTTGAAGCCTTTGCAGACACGTGGCTTTCCCGTTTGGTTTGTGGAAGTAAATATGATGAACGATTAATCTAATTTGATAACGAATCCTGGAACAGTTCAAAGATATGAATATGAACCTTCGCTTGGAAGTGATACATAGAGCAAAGGATCTTATTCGGGCTATAATGTACCGAAGCTCCATTTCTTGGCATCAGATCTCGTTCGGCCCGGTGCGTTTAGCCCTAACTTGCCAGTGGGACTTGGGTTATCCTACATAACACTGGTATCTCTAAATTGATAGGGCTGAGGATGACATAAGAATGATTTGGCTGAGCCATCCCTACATAGTAGCTTAATTCCTTCCAATATCAATGCTAGTGTATCCTGGACAATAAGATCGCGGCTCTTCGAACATACACTCTTCATCCTTGCAGGGCTTGTCTTGGATGTTGATATTTAAGCATTTTCAGTGTTCTCAATATAAATAATCGTCATTAATGATCAGTTCAAATGTTTTGTTCAATGGGATTTCCTTTATTCAAATGTTGGATTAAACCAAACGCATGAAGTTGGCATTCTTTCTATTTCATACTCTTTTGAATTCCCCTTAATAGCCTATCATAAAATCTGAACTTGCACATATGTATGTAGAATAGATATACTAGCACTTGAGTGCACATTCTATTCATAATATAATATAACCATTCACTACATCCGTAGGTCTTACCAGTTGCTTAAAGTGCTGCTATGAGCCACTTCAGCCACTCCAGTATATCAAAAAATATCAGATCACTGAGTTAACTGAGATCACTAGGTAACCGAGAATCACCGTCTGATAATCTATACAGATTCGTCATCCCCAACTAACAGCTTCAGCCATATCTCATCACAGACTTGATAGTTGAATTAAAATTTTATATCAGCATATAGCTCATAATTTCTTCTCCATATTTACGAAGTTTTAAATTCATAATTCCTGTTATTCGTGCAAGATCAGTCCCGATTTAGTGTTCAAGTGTCGAACGTTCGCTTCAACCTCGCTACCACTCCTCGTGACTTCCTAATTGAAGGGACGCGACTGCCTTGTGTGTGATTTTGCGACTCCTGCCTGGAACATAAATTGACTTCCTCCCTCACTTTTCCTTTCTTCTTCTTTCCCCTCCCCACCCGTCTTCGTTCGTTCTAACAGCTTCACGGCTACTTACATTCGTTCGTCTTCAGACTCGTCTTTCGTTAACTCTTTTTCAATCTCTCATCATGCACTGCCTCACTCCAAAGGCTGTCACCATGATGATCATCGCCTGGTTCCTGGCGATCATCATGGTTGGCGTGCAGGGTGTCCCCACCAGTAAGTACCCCGGTTCTTCCCACCTGAGGTCAATCCCAATCCGCGTTTTCGACGCATTTGTAAACACAACCACTCTTGTTTACAAATATACTCACATGAATCAACAGATCTGGATCCTTTCGAGGAGAACTACGAGCTTCGTTGTGGTGATCTCTACCGCCGTGATGATGGTTTGGGTAAGTTATTGTTGTGATGCCTCATTTTGCATGGACCTCAGCTAACCAGCCCTCACAGACATCACCCTTAGCTGTCAGTGCTCATTGATATAACCCCGACTTCCTTGATCACATACTAATCTCTTTTAGTTGGACCTGGTGTGTCGACCTCTTCCGCTGAGATGACTTGGGATTATCCTGATGACCCTACTGATCTTCCTGTTCCCCTTGGTCGTAAGTACACACCCATACTCAACCTCATCTCTCTTCAAGCTCTTATACTGATCATCCGCAGCTGTCGTCGCTACTAATCTGCCTTCGATCCACACTACTGAGATGGTTGATACCCCCGTCACTCAGTCTGGAATTTGGACTGGAACCACTGAGGCCAGCGATGATTCTACTTCGACTGCCACTGATGAGGAGGGTCCTACCCCCACTCCCACCACGGATTCCACCACTACCACGGATTCCACCACTACCACGGATTCCACTACCACCACGGATTCCACCACGGAGTCCACTACGGAGTCTACTCCTGTTTCTACTCCACCAGAGTCTACTCCTGTGACCACTCCTGGCTCTACAACTGGGCCTACCACTCCTGTGACCACAACTGAGTCCACTTCCACTTCCGAGTCTACTCCTGTGACCACTCCCGAGTCCACAACTGGGTCCACCTCCAACACTACTACTGAGTCTACTCCGGTTTCTACTCCTGTCTCTGGTGCTGTGTTTACCACGACACAGACCACAGTGGTCACTAACAACGGCACTCCTTGCCCTATTGTCCTCACCATAACCTACACTTCCTCGGCTCCTTGCCCTGGCGAGCCTTGCACCGCCACTCAGACTTCTGGCGCTGGATCCAACCCCGGCAATCCGGCTGAAGGCACCACTTCTGAGTCTGGTGAGGCTCCTTCCGGCACCAAGCACACCGTCATTCCAGGCAGCACCACTACTGAGACTGGTGGCACAGCTCCCCAGCCTCCTGCTCAGGGTGTTCCGACCACTCTTTCGACTGTTGGCGGTAAGCCTCCCGTGAACGGTGCTACTGGCACTGGCTCCGGCAATTCCCCCGCTGGCTCCGGCACTGGCTCTGGTTCTGGTTCTGGCTCTAGTTCCGGTAATGGCTCTGATTCTGGTTCTGGCTCTGGTACTGGCTCCGGCAATGGCTCTGGCCATGCTTCCGGAAATGGTTCATCTGAGACCAATGGTGCTAACCCTCCTGCTGGTGGCGCCAAGCCAGCTGGCACCGGCACCGGTACCAATCCTCATGCGACCTCTACTGCCTACTCCAAGGCTGTGAAGGTCCCAGTCGGTACCTTCGACATCATTCTGGCTGGCTTCATGGCTTTGTTTGCCGTTGATGCCTTCTAAGCTCCAACAGCTCTTCTTCCCCTCATGGGTGAAGCACCAAGTGGTCCTCACTGATTGTTGATGGATCCCAGTAATCGACTTACTGCACTTTTGGTTTTCAATTTTTTTTTCTTCTTTTCAATTCTTATTCTCTCCTTAAGTTCTTTTATTCGGGGATCTTTTTTTGATATTCTTTAGCCAGGTTTTATGGCATGGTGATTTGTGTCCCCCTTTTTCTTTTATCTTCGGATGCCATTGCTTGCCTTAATTTTTCATGTTCCTCATGAGTTTTCACGACTATGTGATGGTAGCACTTGAGCATCTCTAATACAAAGTTATTACCCCAAACAATTCTCCAGTAGCTCTTCTTTCTTTAAGGCAACCGATTAGGTCTTGAAAGGTGTGGTGTTGAGACTGCATCCATGAAAGATAGTAATTGCATGGTAAGATGCTCTACCCACAAAAAGCACGATATCATATCCATACCGTGACTTATAGTATATGTGGTGGTAAAGAATTTTGTAAATTTTATTTAGCTAGGATTAAACCAAGTGGACTTGAGGGCTCATCATCTCCTCTTGGATTCTGCTGTAAAGTAAATCCTGATATTGACGATTGCTCCCGATATCCTGTTGGGGTCAGATGACTGCCCCAGCTAGTTATCTACTACCACACTTCCCTTCTTTTCCCCATCTCCCTAGTCTCAACATCCATTTCTTCCTCCATCCTAATTCATATCCATTCATTTCCTAGAAGCTCATCAGAGTGGATGACTACCAATACAGGGTTTCCAACTTCCAATTCAGGGTCAATCAGCTCCCGAAAATCAGGAACTGCCCGCAGACTCAGGTTCAACGAGGTAACACAGGCATGTACAAGCACTGCGGTTTGATTCTTTCCAGACTTATTCTTCAATTATTTAAGTGAGACGTCCCACAACCGAAACCGTTCTCCCGGTGACACTTCTTGGAATGGGCATATTTGGGGGTCCAAGGAAGGGGGCCGTCGAGAGCGCAACAGTTGGAGCTTCGATGGGGTCTGATATGAGGCTATGCCTGGATAAGCAGACATGTCTGTCGATACAGGAAGGCGGTTGAATGGACCAGTTTCGAGCATAACCCCTCCTGTCCTCGATCCAGGAACTCCAGACAACGCTGACTCATGACAGCGAATGTCGCAGCCTCTCTTGTGTCCGTTAAACAATCGATTGCATCTTGTGGACAGTATATGATGGTTGGTCGGTACGCCCACGAAAGGCCAATGAGCCTCCAATTTTCCTTGTTGATTGATGCCGGTATGCCGGAGCCTACGGATGGCATCAACCAAGATTTTTCGAGCTCCGTCTTTGCAGAGGTTCTGCTTTAATAACTGAGTCCAGCAGAGTCTGACACAATCTAGGTCTCCCACTTCGTGACTGCATTTGACGTTGGAAGAGCCTCCGACTTCTGTGTGCGATAGACGAAGCAATCCCAAAGGCTCCTCCGTTGAGCGTTCCCTGTGCACACGCTGATCTCCAGTCCAATTTGAAGCTTGAGAATTGCCTGAAATATTCTTTCATTGCATGAAGTATCTGCATACTCTGAGATGATTGTCTCCTTCATCGACTTCCTCGGGTGTTTCTTGTGTATAACGGTGAAATTGGCAGTGGGGCCATATGGATTTGACACCCCAATTTGGAATTCACGGTCCTCCAAAGTATAGAACTCTCTCTGTGTTTCCGACATACTGTACTTGTTGCCAAATCATGACTGGAATCGCTTTATCGATGTTTCGGAGTTGCATTTCGGATTTACGACAAGCCCGACAGAGTTGTCTATGTCCGTACCAATCAGTATCCTGGATGTGCTATTGAGGAGAATTGGTCATTGCTCTGAGATAGCCCCCCAAGACTCTCTGTCCAATAGCACTCGATTTCGGGGAACTGAGTATGTTGTTGATCTTTTGGAAGGGGAACAATATATTCTCTTTCAGTGCGAATGATTTTCCCTTCTTCGGGTGTTCGACCCACTAACCACGCTGGGCCCCAAAGGTCCTGAAGATCTTGCACAAGGAGTGATATCTTCAAGCGAGGGCTCGGCTTCGGATGCTTCCCAGATTTACCCAGGACCCAAATCGGACCTCCAATGAAATCCCTCAAGCATGCTAGCTCGCGGCGTCGGAAGGAAAGGCCAGCACCAACGTGAATTTCGCTTACTTCCTCGCCCCAGACATCTATATCAAACCGGCAGACATGAGATCCAGTGAAAGACAAGAGGCCAATTGCACTTATGGCACACATCAGCTTTGCGACAGTAGCCGCCCTTGGTTGAATAACCAGACTTGCTAGATATTTCCAGTGGGTTTCTCTCTAGTATTGAAGCTGATTCCAACACATGGGAGGAAGGTGATGAGATCAAAGGAGACAATGCTGGTCGTCAGTCCATATCATCTCGCGAAAGACGAACAGTATGCGCAGTATCTGAAAGACACCCATCTTCTATCATGATGGAGATCTCCTCTCCACAGAAGCCTTCGGATTGCATGTATTCGAATGCATTAATGCACCTACCACAAATTTCCTCGAGCTCAATCATCGTTGCATTGTCCAGATCCAAGGGGCCTTGAGCTAGACCGCAGATTTCTGCAGTTCTTAGCTCAATCATGTCAAGCTTAGCATAATAAGCACCTGCGTTCAGAACAGGGTGCAAATCACGGAGCTTGCCCAAAAAAGTGGCTGGCACACTGTCATCCAAATTTGGCTCAGTTAGAGCTGTTTCTGTCGATCCAATCACAGAGTTGTTTTCGGAATACTTGGAAGGGCTTTCATCCTCTGGCGTCTGGGAAGGTCGCTCGTCGCTCGAATATCATGCTTCGGAGGATTGAGTGTCCCTGATATTGCTCAGATTAATATCGCTAGCTGTATCCATCGAACAAGAATGGGCCGATTCAACGCCAAGGTCCCTTTGATGGAACAGACAAGTCAATTCAGGGGAATGAATGGTATCCTCAAGAATTGATGACATCGCTGTATCTTGGAAAAGAGAGACAGGCAGGGGATTCTCAATCCCATATCGATGGGATCTAGCTGAACTTTGCCTAGTTGTCCTTGGCATCCTCGACGGGACGGAGGATAATATCGAGTCATGGTTATCAGAAGGGGGATTTTCTGAATCTGTCAAAAGGGAGTGCGACATATAGCATTGATAAAACTTGTTCCAGCTTTGGACGGGACCGTTGCAAATTCTACAATGACTTGGAGGTGGTCTAGTGACTTTGGATTGCTCAAGCTGTGCTGGAGTTGGTCGGAAGAGGTGGACAGAAGTGCAATGGAGTCTGATCTTCTCACACCTGAACTCAGTATGGTTACATATTTCATCAGGGCATCCATATAACATTCTCGAGTGATGCCTAGATTCGATATGTCTCTGAAAGCTTGGTGCATAGCTGAATACTTCATCGCACAAGGCGCAGGAATAGTATGTCACGAGTCTTAAATCGCTAGGGCTTACACTAGAAGTCAGTGTTTGACTAGCCTGAGGCAATGATACCGTCCTTATTCTTGTCATTTGCATACGCTCAACATAATTAGCAAGACGCCGCAGACTGTTACTCAAATCGACAAGCTGAGTTTGGGTCCAGGATGTGTCTGCAAGTAATGTCAATCTAATTGCGGAAATATGATCGCCTGATATGCGCAATCCTTTCAAAGTTTCAAGATCAGACTCGTTCAAGCCTGAAACAGAATCGATCTATAGAGATGAACAATTTCGGTTGTTAGAGAACCTTGGAGCTTGCAATCGTAATGTGGATTTCAAATGTGGGATCATGGGTAATTTTGCCTCCAATAATCTTGCGGCATGCCGAGCAAGGACATCCAGATTGTTTCTCAAATCAAGAAGATCACTTTCAGTCCATGATTCGCCTCCAAAAAGTATTGACCTCATAGCCGACAAATGTTCAGCTACTACGCGCGGCCCCGTTTGATTCTGGAGGGGAGACTCGTCAAGGGTAGAATCGAGCTATAGATAACACGGCCAATTTGTCTGAATTGCAGGTATGAAAGTATCTGAAACTTGAACATTCAGGTATTTCCAATTTTCTCGAGCCCCATTTGGAAAAATTGAAGTTGTGACTCTGTCGAGCTTTTGAAGTGAAAGTCAAGTTCCCCGCTGACACTACTTGGCCTCGTCTCGTTGGAATATACAGAGCCAGCCACGTTCCCAGAAAAGACAGACTGGTCTCTTTCCCATATTGCATCAAAATTCGAAGATGTAGCTTGACAAAGGTTCGGTGTGTGTTCGATAAGAGATGAGTAGGGATAATAGTTCAAGTTGGACGCCTCGGGGAGCTCAGACGGAAAACTTAGCTCAAAACTCAAAGGGGTCGTATCTGAACATCGGTTGATGTCTGCGAAAGGATTATATGACTCCGGGGTGCATCTCTCATCAATAAATCATCATCCTCGGGAATCTGGCGCTCCAATGGGTCCATATTGAGACTTTTCAAGGTTCCAACGTTGGGACTGTGGAAAAAAAAGAACAGACTCGGAATTCGAAACTTCACCTGAGAATATTGAGAATTGGGTCTCACTGGCATTAAAGGGGACTCAGTCAAATTAAAATGCGTTCTAAAACTTCCCTAGATGCCTGCTTCGATCGAAAGTCGGACTTCCACTCATTCCTGGCAGTTCAAACAGGCAGTGCACACAGCCCCTTCACTCGGGTGATAATCAAGGATGTCATCTACGTGCGCAGCCCAGATTGGTCAGAACCTGTGATATATGAAGTCAGAATGCATATTCATTCTAACCTGGTTTAGTGCTCAGATTGCCAAGATACACCACCCTGGTAAATTCGAGGCAGCTCGTGAGGCGCAGCAGGTTTGTCGCGGTGTTGTTGCATTAAGCGCTTAAGGCGCTGCATCTCACCACCTGGGAAGTTCTTTTGAAAATATGGCAGTGGGAGACGCCTCAGGAAGTAGCGGTTGCATGGGGGTACAAATATAATCCTACTATGGAGCTAAGAAAGTGTACGAGGGCATCCTTTATCAGTATATGAAATAATGCATTGTTCCAAGAATAAGTAACAGCCTAAAGGCAGACACAGTTATCCGGAAAATGGATGGGTATCTCAAAGGAATCAATGGATATACATGAGGGCCGAGATGGGATGCATAAAAATGTATAAACAGGTGAACAGGGCAAGGAAATGAAAACGAAAAAAAATAACCGAGTCTGCTATCACGATTCCTCGTTACCGAGGGACTCGATCTTCCTGGTTAATGCACAGATTCGGCATCCATCACCAATCTTGTCCCGTAAGAGACGGGCCGTTGTCACCTTAGGGCCCACTGTGCGTGATGCTGTTGAAGAGGTAGGCTCCTCTATCGGGGATGAGGGCCGAGGTGTGCGATCCACCGGGCTGCTTATGCTCGAATGTTGCTGTGATGCATCTGAATGCAGGTGGGATAGATGGAAGACATGACCACACGCAAAGCCAACCAGGATTTCTCGTTCGTTGGCACTGAACGGAGCCTGGCAGCCGCCGCATGTACCCTGCTTAGCACCAACGCGCTTGGTTGAGCTGCTAGACATCGATGCAGCCTCTGGATTAGGGCGGTCTAAAGTCGGCGTTAAGGTTGGTTCCTTCTCATCCGTAATTTCTTCGGCGATGTTGAACTTAATTCCACGGCGCTGTCCTTTGCGCAGGCTATCCATACCCAGTGCGACTTCACCTTGCATCACCCGGGCAGCTCCTTTACTTATACTTCTCTGCAAGTCATATTCGCGGATCAAGCGGGTAAGACCATCTCGTAGACCTTCAATTTCTAGGCCGCTGGGAATCCGACGGACAAGCTTGATTGGATCTATTGAAGTTCCAGCCTCTACAAGAAGCCCATGGATAAACTTAGGTTTGTCCATAGAGTAGTCAAGAAGGTCTTCCCAGAGATCAGGATCATCCTGCGACTTGGCAAAAGAGATGGCTTGGGAAACATCCTTTAGATCTGACAGGATCAGGTTCAAGGCTCGCTTAGTCTGGCCCATCTTGGACAGCAAGAAAATCAACTCTGGAGTGAAGTGGCGCTGTTCACAAATTGAAGTTGCGGTCTCGAAAGTGTAGGAGATGCTTGTCTGGAGGAATTCCATCAACAGCGGTCGATCGTAATCGGCAAATACCTCCACAGCAGTATCAGCAAACCTGTCGATGAGAGCCTTGCCTTCTGCGGCTGCCAATTTGCTCGCTGCATCGCGCGCATGAGCTCCGCGGCCCCTTTGAGGTTTTGAGGCGTCTTGAGGGAGATATTCGCCTCGCCACAGCGCACGAAGATAGAAATAGACAAAGAGAATGCGATTCGCAGCGTTGAGTTGGTGGACCACAGTTTCAGGAGGAACAATACCCGTGTAGGCTTCTCTAGCAAGCAGATGAATGGGTTCTGCAGCTAGTTCTTCCAGCTCTGATTTCGGCGCCGATTTCATTTGTGCCTTGGAGATACGGATAGTGATGAAAGCTGTGATATTATCGGAAACTGCATCAACTAGGCGATGCTCCTTGATCAGCGCCATGGCTGCATCTGCGTCTTGCAATTGAATATAGCGATGCAAGGCTTCACGATAGTGCCCTCCAACAAGGTACATCTTAGCAAGACAGTCTGTCAGAGTTCTCCACGTTTCAGAATCCTCATGGATTGAACTGGACGCCAGCTGTTCTTCAATGGCCTGTGTCATCACATCAGGGTCGAACAAATCAGAAGGCCATTTTTCAATCAGCTCTTTGAATTTCGTAACATCTCGAGAGACATAGTACGTGAGAATGGCCTCATACACCCCTGAAGCCAGGGAAGGGTGCAGATTTGTCGGGATATGAGGAGTAATCTCGTTCAATTTATCATTCTTGATAAATGTCCAAGCCCAGCGTTCCCACCGAGATGCATTGTCGAGAACCTTACTGCAAACTGTGGCGGCTTCGCTCCATTTTTCTTCTTGTACGAGATGCCCGACCCACAGTTCGCCAAGTCGAACCTTTTCTTGGTGAACAGGAGAAGCTTGGTCTCGAGCAGCGGTTTTAATCGACGATCGGTCATCCGCGAAAAAGTCTCCCAGACTTGATTGGGATTTAAGTGACCCCGGGACAACCTCTTTCAAGTCCAGTGCCGGTCCTGCAGCTTCTGGATGCTCATCAAGAAGTTTCCATGCTTGTTCATATTCTCCACGAGAGTCCAACCAAGCCAATCGGTCTGAGAGATCTCTCTTGACGGCAACGACGCTGTCGTATGGGCTGTGGATGAATATTTTCGCACCTGGTGCAGCAGCAACATCCTGTACTTCCTTAGGGGGTGGATCATCAATAGAAAGCTGCCTAGAGCTGAACGACGGAGGAACCCTCGCGGAAATTTTGTCACCACTGCTCGTACTACTGCGAATGCTAGCACCAGAGCTAAATAGACGTGCAGAATACATGGTGGCATCCAGCAGGCCATGCCCGAGAGTCCCCAGTGCACCGCGCTGTACAGTCTGGCCTTCTGGGGTTTTCCACGGAGGCAGGACGCTTAGATGATAATCCGATGAGGTCAGTCCCTCGAATCGGTTGACAGAAAGGGTGTCAGCACTGAGCTCTTCCTTCGTGTCTATATCGATGACTCGCAGCTCGGGTTCCTGGCCTCTTTGACGATGTCGGGTGCCAGAACTCTTGTCGCCCTCAGCCTCCATATATGCCAAGACAACGAGAAGGCGAGGCGTATACAAGGAGATGCCAGATATCACACAGTCCGTTCGCAATCTGTTCGTGGAAGTTAGCTCTCGGGCTCCTGGTGGATCAGTTGTACAACTTACATTGTCGAAACCTCAGCAGAACCATATTTCTCACCCTTCGAGTGCTTGCTCGCTCGATCCGGGTAAACATCAATGACCCACACGGTACCTCCCCAGCCTACCACAAGTTTCTCAACATTGCTGGGAAGTGGTGGAGGTTGCATTGGCTGTCGTGTCGCGTCCTCTCGAGAATCAAGGTTGTCGTGATCGTCCAGAGCCGCCTGGTCTATCCACTCGCACCGCGCTTTCCAGACGCTGGACATTTCTTCCCACCCAGGACCATTAGGCCGATCGATGTGACTGATTCGTTTCCAAGCGAATTCCAGCTCTGAAGACTCCAGGTGTAGATTGGAGCGCATGATCTTAATGCCTTCTTCATTGACCCAGGTCACATATTTCCCTGAGAGGGACCACCTGACCGTGCTGATCGCCCCCTCTCCGCTGTGTATTATTGTGTCTTTTCCACTGTTGACGCCCAGTCCCATGGACCCCAGCCAGCTTGACGCCGCTGCAGTGGCGCCTCCCATTGTGGTAGCATTGGAACTAACTCCAATACGGCCACCAGTGGTCAAAATCAATTCGCCAGCTCGTCCGCCCGAAATAAAAGTCCTGTCATTCTTGTAATCTGGTGAAAGAGCGACTGCCTGAACAGGTCGACCAAAGTTTCGTTTGAGAATATCCTTCGGATCTATCAATGATGATATACACACATTGCCGTCGATTGATGCAGATGCGATGTATATGGAGTTCGATGGTGTAGCTGGGACGGCTCCTTGCTGGCCTCTGGGCTGACCCCGAATGCTGCCCGAGCTAGTGGAAGTCCGAGTCGGAGGACGGTAATCCTCGGTCTGTCTGAGAGGAGAATCGAATTTGAAGGACGGTAAAGGAGGAGGGAATGGCGATATGGAAATCGAAGTCACGCTTGCCGAGTGAGCTTGGTATACACGGAGAGGTTGCAGAAGGGGCAGAGATAGGACATGCTGGTGTGTGTTAGCTACATCTCGAAAGCAAAGGCGAACTAGATTAGCCACTCACAATTATGCCGTTATGGGTTCCCACAATCTAAATTTCGCGAAATTAGTATACTGCATGGATATCTCAAAGCAGAATTACCCTACCATCTTGTCTCCTGCAACGAGGAATGTGCTTGTTGCGTCTCCATTGCGATACACCGATCCCAAGTGCTTGGTGAGATATGCGTATTTGAGCTTCGGTTCTTCGTCTTCGTCATCTGATTCGTCTTCATCATCCTCATCCTCCTCTTCCTGATCTCCGCTATCCTGAGAATCATCGTCGTCGTCCTGATGACGTCGATTGTGTTCGTCTGTGTTCGTAACGGAAGGTGATCGGCTGCGCATAGGGGTGTCGTTCTCAGCGAGGCCCTTATCAGCTCCCCCAGTAGTTTCTGTAGTGCCAGGCGCATCCATGGTGAGTCCCTCGTGGCGCCTGGAGCTCCCAGGCGGGTTTAAATCAAGATGCGACGAACAACGGGAGGGTTGATGCAGCTTAGGAGCTGGGGTTAGGCTTGCTCCACATACTGACTAAGCGGATGGGGGTTTCGGACCAGGTGAGGTCTGCATTGACATCGTTTTTTTCTTTTCTTTTTTTTTACAAGTTACACTCTCGTTCAGCTAACAATGTTTGCGAGAGCCTCTCTTTGCTCTTCGTGCAAGCGGCCGGTGCCATTGCGAGTACTGAGGCAACCATACAATCATTACTTACACGCGTCCCCGGCATTGGAGCTCCCGCGGCGGAAAGACTTCTTCTCGTCCAATGCACATTTAGCGCAGAAGTCAAATAAAGAAGATGGAGCAGAGTCCTTGGACGGTCAGAAGCAACGCAGACGAGGAGTCAGGTCGCCAGCCGCACCGACATCATTAAGACGGGTCGCGGTGGAGGCACAACGGTCAAGAGATGGGTTTCTTTCCAAGGCCCAGCTCAGAGAGCAGGGCATTCACCAAACAAAGGTATGGTCGCACTTATCATGGACCTGTTGACTATATTTTACTAATATGCTTCATGATCAGATAGTCACTGCCTACGCTGTTGCCGAGCAATTCGATATACGCAAAGTTCGAGACATTCTACAAGAAAAAGGGTACGAGCCCGATCCATTAGATACAGGGCTTTTTCCGCAGGTCGTCCACGTCCAAATCCCTATTGATTCAATAAGACGAGTTGCAAACCCATCCACGACCGATCTTGCCTCGAACGAAGTCGGTGATATCTTCGTCTTCCCATCCGGCACAGTAGTAGCATGGGCACTCCCCGAAGGATTTACATCATTTTTGGCAACAAGGACCTTACTTCCTGCAGCCGAGGGAGCTCATGTGGATGAATTGGAGACCGAGGATCTCGAATTTGTCGAAGACCCGAACCGTGAGAATAGCAGCATCAAGGGCGACACCATTATTTTGGGAACCAGATCTACAAATGAAGGCCCGGAAATACCATTAACACAGCAACAATCCATGGACACCGTCTTGACTAAAGTTGCATTCTCATCCGGCTTGGCTCGGAGTACAAAGCTTGCTGTGCTTGAAAGTCTTCTGTCGAATTATTTCGAATCCACCCGCACTATCCCCACACTTCTATCGAAAGGTTCTCGTCTGCCATATACCCGAGACTTTATCCTCCGCAAGACAGGTCAGCTACTCAGCGTACGTGCACAGCTGAATCTCTATTCGGAGTTAACAGACTCTCTCCCGGATATTTTCTGGGACAGTCGACATGAGCTTGGATTGGAGGGTTACTACGAACAAGTGGGTCGCGCCCTAGACGTGGGGATCCGTATCAAGCTCTTGAATGAGAAGATGGACTATGCGCAGGAGATTGCTAGTGTCCTACGCGAGCGTCTCAGTGAAACCCACGGTCTCCGACTCGAATGGATCATTATCCTCCTCATTGCCGTTGAAGTAGGCTTTGAGGTGCTCCGACTGTGGAAAGAGAGGGTGCATGAGCAAGAGGAAAAGGAAAAAGCGCGGAAAGAGAATTCGGTCATCTGAGGGCGGAAGATTTCCATGCATATGCATCATGTAACATAAATTACTTCCTTGAGCTACTACTTTCTAGCAGTTGATAAGATACCCCCCTTCACTCTTCTCCACTCTTCTTCTCTTTCATTCCGAGTCATTGACTCGTGATAAGAGGAGATGATCGGCTCCACTCCCGTCCCGATGGTCATCAGATGATCGACTTAGTCATCCCTAGGGGCGATAAGAAGCTCCAGGAGCTCCAACCCTCCTGTTAACAACGCTTATTCGTTTACTCTCTCTAAGTACCGATCTTGGTGCTCAATCCCTGTCTTCAATCTATTTTAGCTTCGCTGGTCGAGGTTCCTGCATCCCAACTTGCTCTCATTGTGTGGGATTCATCTTAACCAGTCATGTCGATCCCGGGGCCCCAGAAGATCCTCAAAACAATAGGCGCCCTCTGGCTGTCCTCAGCAAATGATGAACAACCCATAGGAATTTCAAATTCTTGTCCTTTGTCTGAAGTCAGCTGTCAGGCCAAGTTTAATGGTCAAGATACTTGCTGTTTCAATTACCCGGGTGGTCAAATGCTGCAGACACAGTTCTGGGATGTCGACCCCGCGATTGGTCCCGATGACGCCTGGACTATCCATGGTCTTTGGTGAGTCACAAAGTCAACAGACCACAAGTCAAATCAACGATATTGCTCCCGATCACATTTACTAATACAATATAGGCCTGATCATTGCGATGGCGGGTTTGACCAATATTGTGACTCATCAAGGAAATACAGCAATATTTCTTTGATTCTCATTGATGCGGGTCGCGGCGATCTCATTGACTACATGGGAAAATACTGGAAAGACTTCCGTGGTGATGATGCTAACCTGTGGGAGCATGAGTGGAATAAGCATGGAACATGCGTTAGCACCCTCGAGCCCCACTGCTACGACGATTACATTCCGCAGCAGGATGTAGTAGATTATTTCGATAAGGCTGTCGAGATTTACAAAGAGCGAAACTCCTATCAGGTATGTGTCTTTCTATGTCGTTCTCTCTAGGAGTAAATTTGAAAAATGCCGCTAACGCTCATATAGTTTTTGGCCGATGCTGGTATTGTACCATCGAGTCGTCAGACTTATGCCCGAGAGGATGTTGAAAACGCACTGGCAAAGGGCCATGGTGCCCCTGTCACAATTCGCTGCCGCCGAGGCGCTTTCAATGAGATTTGGTACCATTTCAACATTGCTGGAAGTCTCCAAAGCGGCAAATTTGTCACCTCAGATCCAGGTATATTCAGTTGTTTCATAGGGCTGTTTTGAATAGCAGAGCATAAGCTAATTAGCAGAACAGATGGTCCGAAATCAAACTGCCCTGCTAAAGTTCGCTACCCACTCAAGCGACCTCAGCACGATCCATCTAAAACCACTACTTCCCACGGCTCAGAGCCCACTGACCCAGGGACTCCGTTCGCTGGTCGGGGTAACCTAATGGTATCAACCTTAAACCAGAGACGTGGCTGCCTCATTAGCTATGGTACCTGGTATACATCTGGAACTTGTGCTACTTTCCATGCGGACGAAAAGTCAGGTTCGTACTTTACCCACGAATTGAAATTATTCAACAATTCCAGACAGTAATTGATGAGTGTTTTCTTCCAGGTGATACATTTACCCTCAGATCCAGCAAAGGACCGTGCTCCTTTGATGCTGGTAGCTTTACTTGTGGAGATGACGTCCACAGCCCCACTGAATTTACTGTATGTGCCACCGCAGCACGATTGATACCTGGACCTTTTTAGAGCTAACAGAATTTCTCTCTCTAGACTAAGGATGACAAGCTATCCTTTGAAGGAAAGACGACTTTCTACGCAGACAACGCGCCCAAAGGCTGGACGCAGAGCAAGATCTATCCCGACGAGGAGGGTCACCCAATTGAGATTGAAATAACCTGGCGAGCATAATTTGCCAGTTAGTGCTTTCTGTACTATTCTGAACATTTCTCCAGATCTCCCGTGATTTACTATGTATCACCCACCTGGGCACGTGCATACTATTTTACAATTAGACGCTTCATACTGAATTATAATATTCCAGGTCCAGGACCTGTACTATGCACCAGTTCCCTGCATGCAACTGTATCACTGGCAGCTAGCCTTCCTCTTTAGCTACCCCTGTAGGTACCTATATACATGGGGGAACCTTGGAATAGGCCACCAGTTACCTGCAGATTGTCCCGACTGAGTATGTACTTAAGTATATGAACATGGATGTCTAGGAGTATGTAAACACACCTGCGCATGTGCAGGTATACCGTATACCGTATACCGTCCGTATGGATGATATGGATAGTGTGTCCTTTCAAGTTCCAAGGTTCTGACCAAGCACTCGAATGCTGAGGAGATACCTTTCCCAATTTCCCTGCTATAGTGCCGCGCGAAGCGCGGCGTGAGGACTTATTTGCATAAGTGCTACACCGTGACTCAGATGAATTCGTTAGCTCGAACGGTAAAGGTTCAAATAAATCTAAACTTGAATAAGTTACTACAAAAGGTTTAAAAGTAAGGCTAGAACAACCATGTGGTGGTCAATACGAAAGGGCTGGCTGATGTCCAACTTTAAGCGAGGTCTGACAGGATAAGCCGCATAAGCGTGTACATAGCCCTGGAGGAGAGCATAACTCTAGGGCTGTACATAGACTGAACTTGGTACTAGAACGGGCCGGTGCACGAAAGCGCCTATCATGCAAACTTCGGCATATCCAATCACCAAAAGTAAGCATTATGACAGGTTTATCTGATAGGTTGATTTCGTCTCAAGAATTGCCGTCTGTGACCCACTGCATCACAACTGGTTGCGAACCCTTGCCCGGATGTGAGGGGAAGGGCGGCCTGAGTCCTAGAGGCCGCATGACATCTCGTAAAGACTTTATAGACTGCAGGCTTCTCATGCTTGTCATTAATTCCCTCGATAAGAAGTTCATTTCCTCCTTCTGTGGGGCACTATGGAGAAATCCAAGAGTATCAACACGATGGAATTCATAGATCTCCCCAGCGAAAATCACCCGAAGTTTCAGGAATTCATTCATCGTAAGTCTTATATAGAATAACCTTATTTTAAATTACCAGTAATCTGATAATCCTTTCTCTTTTTTTACTACAGCGTCTTGGCAGTTTAGTACGAGGGATTATCATCCGAGTATGAACACCCCATCCGAACCGCAACCACAACGCCAAAATATTGATAAACGCTCCGCTCCCTATGTGTCTTTTGGTGATAAAGGAACAACTGCAACCGCCGGTCTTTACGGATCTCTGATACGCATCTGTCGGCCTGTTCCAGTCAACCATCTTCATTCAGGGATCGTTGCACTTGGGCTACTAGATGGCGGACAAGCCTGTTACGCTTCATTGCGCGCAGACAAATTCTTAAGGAATGCACAATCCGTCACTTCGGGATTTGGCCTTCGAGTCTTGAACGCTCCACGTCCTCAATCGTCCCCGGTAACCGAATTTTTGGGAGATCGCTGGCCTGTAATCTCATACATTACTGATGGAGACTGTCAGGTCTCTGTTAGACTTTGGTGCCAACAAAACGTCACAATTCAGCATATGCAGATACAAAACCCAATGCGGGCATCAGAATCACCAAAGGTGGGGCTTGATGTTAATTTTTGTCTACAGGACCTGGACTGTGTGGAGAAAAGGGATGACCTAGAGGTCGAATACCACAGAGCGCCACATGGTTATGGAGTCATCGTCATGGAGAAGAATAAAAACATCAAATCTCACGGAGAGCGGATTTGTGTGCTAATCAGCGTGTTTATGAATGGCAAAGGACAAAAAATACACTTCAAAAACAAGAACGACCTCATCAAAATGCCAGCTTTTTCAGAACCAGAAGTCGAATTCACTGCTGTCTTCAAGATCTTCATGGGAACCAGGAAGCTTGACTGGCAAAGCTTTATGGTCTCAAAAACTGATGTCTACTGTGACCCTCTACCAACAGTACCTGCAGGTCTGGATAGTTCTCTCTCCCAGGATCGACAACTAATATGGCACTTTCGTCGCAACCTGGAGCACATTCTGTCTGTATGCAGTATTCCTGTTGATGTGCTTACAGCACAAGATGATAGCTCCTTGTCTGCAAATCAAAATGAAAAACTTCAGGCTCCAATGATTACAATCCAGCCGCCAACTGGAAGGGAAGAAGTTCTTCATCCCAATAGACCAGTTCAACCAATACAGCCTATTGCTTTGACATGTGGTGACTTTGGTGATCATCACATTAGCATTTCTGGAAGCTAGTATGTGTCCAAATATCCATGAAAATTCTCGGTCCAAGACCTGACTTCCAAAGCTTTGCCTTCATGTTCATGTTAGAAATACATGAGAGACTTCCCAAAAAAGCAGCAGCTCGCCAGCGTATCCACGCCGTGTGCAAGGGTCATCTAGAATGGGTCAAAAAATTGAAGGCCAGTGAAGCTTACTGCTCCAATATCACAGTCAACGGCAAGAGGATACATTATGTGCCAGGAACGAGTCTCTTGCCGGATAGTCCCGCGAACATGCCTACTCATATACTTAAAGCCACTGAATACCTCAAGTCATTTCCCGGACTTGATGACCTCTTCTTTGTTTGCAGCTGGTTAGGCAAATTTGCTGTGGAGTGGTTTCAACAACTGGTCGAAACAAGACAGCATCTCACTCCAACCTGGCAACACTCGCCTGTCTCTGAAATTCCTATTTTTCGTCTCAGTGATCAAATAATAATTTGGAAAGCTCTCAGAAGCATTGAAAAACTCATCAAACATGTCGAGAAAACACACAGAATGAAGCCTCATGAGAGATTGAAGGAGTTTATTGAAACAATGCATGGTCACCTCCCACTACTGAGTGTTCAGAATCCCACCTTTTATCCCACCTTGGACTTTATTGCTGAAGATCTGCGACGTCAGAATCTGCGGCGCTTCACTCTCAAATTTGTGGCCGAGAAGGATCAACACCCGAGACGTTCACTCAGTGTAACCCGCTCCGCTCGAGAAACTCGATTTTTGTTCCATTCTCGGGATACTATCCTTTACTATGGACTGGAATGGGGATTCTTTGTGGGAGAAGAGACAGTATGGGAAGAACTGGTCCATGCGCAAATACAGCATGATGATCCTCGCAATGATCAAGCTCGATGGGACAACCCTCTTCGGTATGGACTGGCACTAGAAATGGCTAAACATGGCCATCAGCTGGAACGAAATTTCCTCCCATCCGAAATGTTCAAGCATGCACGTCAATTCATTCTCGGCTGCTCATCTGTGAATGGTCTTTTCCCTGGACAACTAGACGATTTCAGCAAACAGCCAGTTGTTTATCGGAAAAATGAACGAAACTGTTATTTTCACGTTACTTTCGAGATTCCGTATCTTCTATTGCGCGCTGCAGAAGATCCGATACCATCAAAGTGGCAACCCGACGCAGCTGGGATCTATAAAGGTTCAACATTGAGCTCTCCCCAGAAGAGGAAGATCAGCCACCACCTGATCCAAATCATCTGTCTGTGGACAGACCAAGCTCTTCTTCTTCCGTTCCCATTTCTCGTCCAGAATTTACCAGCGCCTTTCCAGCTTATAGCAATCTTGCGGTCTCTCAGACCATTCCATCGCAGCGAACAATTTTGAAACGCAGAATTCCATATGGAAAGATCACTGATTTTAGCAATATCGTCGAGTTAGAGGAAGAGTGGCTCTTCAAATACCCTGATTTTCTGGACTTTACTCCACCAACCAACATCAAGGAGCTCAATGTCATTCGAGAAGCCATTGCTGATGAGCCTCAGTATCACTATATGAACGAAGCCATGCAGGATACCCGCTTCAGGAGCATCGTTGAGCTCTCCAAGATTCAGCAAAGATCCGAGCCGTGTTTCGCAATTATATACGAGGTACGAAAAGATCAAGAACTCCGAAGGATCCATTCTGAGGAGAAATCAGTATCCAAAACATGTTCCTCATGGCTCCACTTTTGGGAGAATCTCAAAATTCGACGAACTTCCATGAACAGTAAAAGACGTTTGATATACCTGAGGACAAGCGATAACTTCCTTGCTACGATGTGCTATATCGCTTCACCACCTTCTGAGCGAAACGCCATTCGACTATTTTTCGACCGACACGGAAAAGTTCATGTCAGTTACTTTTATGATAATACCTCCGCTGTATTGAATCGGTGGGAGACTGAGGTTCATTTTCGATTTTTCAATGTTCTTAAAACCAAGGAGGCCGGTTTCTCACCAAGTTCTGCGGTTCGACAGCTCAAGGGCCAGGAGTGCAAAACTTTTGGGAAGAACGCCTATCTGGTTGACACAGTATTGAGTTTTCGCATTTTGGGTGATTTCTTCGATCGCTACTGGACATGCCATTTAGCGAACAGCTTTGCACAATCGGAAGAGCCCGAGTGCAGATCAACACCTCATCACGAAAAGAAATTCATGTCGACGCATTGGCAAAAGCGAAAGGTGCTTGAATTGTGCCTAATGAGTGAGATCCTGGAGCGAGTGTGCTACAGCACAGAAACAATCTTGCATTGTATTGAACACGGACCTGAGTCCAATGCATCGATGGCGAAGAAAAAAGGAGAGGCATATTTCTCGAAAGATAGCTTTGAGGACCGCAGGCCAGCTGAGCTACGTGAATGCTTCCAGCTTCTGGTGATTGTCAAGAATAATGTCAACAGCCTCCAGGGCTTAGTGGAGCAGTGGAATTACAGACAGAATTCTCAAGGACGAGAATCTACGCGCTGGACAAGGAGTAACGAACAGAAGTACGGCGACACTGTGAAGCAAAAGATGGCCCAATTCGAGGATCACGTTCGAGAAATCAAAGCAACGGCTTCCCGAATTGATTTTCTCATCGTGTTAGTTACCAACGCACAGGACGCTATCCGCTCCAACAGAGAAGAAGAGAATATCACCCTGTTTACCTATCTTAATGTCTTTTTTCTACCCGTGGGTCTTGCTGTGGCCATTTTCAGTGCGAATGGTACTCCAGAGGGGAGTGTTCTTGGCTATATGGTTGCCACAGCTGCAGTGGCTTTTCTGGTCACGATATGTGTTTTAGTATGTGTGGTCTGTCACTTGATTCCTGTTAGCACTCATGGGATTCTGAAGATGTTCCGAAATATGCGCTTATCCGGAAATTCAAAGAGAGTATCCTTGAACCAGCTTGCCTTCCGAGACTTAAAGCTTGGATCAAGTCGATCAAAGAGAGAAACCTGCTTTGATCTTGAAGATCAAGGGAAAAAAGATGTTGAAGTTAGCTATTTTGGAGAAGAATCTTCCGATTGGCATGCTTCCTAGCGATAGTAGAGAATATGCCAAATGGTATGAATGAAGGAGTCCCACATTTTGAACGTATGGATATGCCAAGGTGCACAGCATTCCTAGACATGTCCTTTGGCAGCCTTCCAGCCCCAGAGCCAAGGGGGGCTCACAGAGCTTAGTTGTTCAAAGATCAGGGCTAGGTTCAGAATCATGGTGTTCTGACTTTAGGGAAAGTATTTTGATTACTAGTGACTCACAATGGGTGTCTCTTTTAAAGGTTAAGCAAAAGTGAATGGGGTCATGGTAGCATACATCGAATATAAGGAAACTAGAGTACATGCCATCATCATCTAAATCGACACAAAATGCCCGAGATGAAAAGATTGGATGGGGGTAGCTAGCTCCAAATATTCCATTCGGAAACTCATCAGATACATGTCAAAATGGGGTGAATTAAGGGAATTCGCCAAAGAAGGTGAAAAAAGGGCACGCTATTGGGATCCTAAGCAGGATCCACCAAGAAAAGACAAACGAAAAACATAAAAACATATCCCATGAATCTCAATCAAGAAATCCACGCGCTGTGGATAACTCGATAAAAAGTATCTGAAAGAAAAAGAAAAAGTCATAAAAAGAACATAAGGGACAAGTGTAATGGCCCAAACGCCATACCTTGATCCCAGAGCCCCCGCAAGAAGGCTAATCATGTGCGCTAAGAAGGAAGAGAAATCAGATGTCCAGTGAAACAGCCAGGTCGATCACCCCGAAAGGAAAGAAGTAGTAGTGAACGCCCGTGTTTCGTGTCATGAGTGTACAATATCGTCTCAGATCGTTGCATATGTGTCACGCCGTTAAGAAGACAGTGCATGCCGTCTATTGTCATGCTTTTCGTGAAGGATAGTAAAAACGCCAGGTTGAAGATGATGAAAAATGAATGCTCGTGTGTTGGTAGTACAGTCAGGTGCGGGTGCTCACTGCTTTAAGGATCGACAAGGAACTCACTGGAGAGTGAGTCAATGTGATCAGCGTATGAATCCATTTCCAGAGTACTCAGACCAGAAATTGTCTTCCCAGGGGCATCAGAGTAGATAGAGGATGTGATGCCAAAGTCAGCAGTGTCCACATAGGCAAAGCTACTTGGGAGATTTGAGCTCTGCGAAGACATGAAGTCGAACTCCTCTCGCAACTGATCTGTAGCATCTTGAGAAATGAACACATCAATTTCAGAGCCCACTGAGGACTCGGCGAGGGTGGGAGCAGTGTGCGGGGAAGACATGTCATAAGGTGAAAGAGCACGCTCGTTGTAAAGGCAGTCTTGAGAAGACTCAGCGGAGCTATGGCCCTCAAATTGTTCCATAGCACGAGCATATCGGTTGTGGGCCATCTGAGGGGGCGATAGTGGCAATGGTAGCATGTCATCTTCAAGTTTCTGACAGCTCATTGAGAGGCCTGATTGATCAGGAGATTGGTGATTGAAAGTACCTCCTGGTGAAGTCGGCGGCGTAAAGGATGACATACAAGTAGAGGGAGCATAATCAGGTGAGTTGAACACAAGTCCATTGTGAAACATTGCTGACTCCATTTTGACGGGGGACATTGAAATGGCTTTTTCGGCGACACGTTGGCGGGTACGAGTAGACTTGTTCTGGCGAGATTCGATATCGGGACGGCTCTTCTTTGGGGGACGGCCACGCTTGGTCGTTTTCGGGACGAATCCAGTGAAACCTCCAACGCACATATCACGTTGGCGGTGGCGAGTTAAGGCATCTTGACGGGCGAAGCTGGCACCACAGGCACAGGCAAAAGGTTTCTTTCCGGAGTGGGTCTTCAAGTGACGCTTGAGGTCATGGCCACGAACAAAGTCCTTTCCACACTGGTCGCAGACATACTGACGATCATTGAGGTGGGTCTGAACATGTGATTTGATGTTTTCCTTGCGACCGAATCGGCAACGGCAATCACGGAAAATGCAGACCCACTTGTTATCTTTTGGATCGGGACCGGAAATGTACTGGGCGATTTCATCACTGGACACGGAGCTCTCCTTGAGTGAGGCCTTCACTCGGGCGTCGAGATCAAACTCATCTACTGTCTCGGCGTGCATATCATGCATGGACTTGCCACTTGATGAAGCGGGAGACAGCTCGCGCTCTTCGCGCCTGCCGGAAGGCGTTGATTGCATACTACCCTTGAGGGGAGACACTCCACACGATCCAGGCGATGGCATAGCGGCGAGTTCAGCGAAATCAGCGACGGATGTAGCAGGTGATGGCATCTGGTGTGTCATGGGCATAGGACTTGACGCAGGAATTCCCTGAAGGGAGTGCGCCCTCTGCATCTCAGCGGTAATGGGGGTGCGGGGAAATGAAAAGCTCTGGGATTTAGTAGGTGTTTGGCCATTCGTGTACATAGACAAATCAAAAGAATTCTTCATAGGGGTAGCATCAGGGGTAAGAGGGGAAGTGTCTACTTGAGATGTTAGTCGAGTATCAAACATTTATGGATATAGATCGGATCATACAAGAAAGATAAGGGTTGATCTTGGGAGTAATAGCTTCTGGTTGAACAGAAAGCTGCTGCATAGGTCGGACGTAGCCATTGGGTTGTTGGCTAAATGATTCCCAGCGCTTCTGCTCTCGGACATGAGGATTTTGGTCTGCGTTGTCACTGGCCGATCGTGCAAGAGCAGGCGCAATGTGAGAAGGGAAAGCAGCCGGGCTACTAGCAGCGGTATACATATCCTGCAGCTCCTCCGGGCCCCACATATATGCGCCTTGATATTGCTCATCTTGCACCATTGGGAGGCCCGTTGGAATAAAGCGCTGCTGGTCATGTTGTGAAGTAGACATAAACTGCTGTACAGCCATAGCCTGTCGTGAGAAACCTGATTTTTCGTTAAAGTAGTCCCGAAGTTGAGAGACCTTGCTTGCCGCACTTCGTCGGTCAATTGTGTGCTGTGGACTAAAGGAACCGTAGTCCACAGTCTGACCACGACGATGTGTTCGGCGCGTAGGCATATTGGCCATTGCGGGTCGAGTGGCTTCGAAACCGGGAGTTGATATTTGGCGACGGTGACCGTGGGATAGTGTCGACGAGGGGGAGATCATGGCTGCCCAGCCGCTCGAGTTTCACGATTCCCTGTCACAGTGTTAGTCTGCGAACACCAAAAATAAACGCGATCAAAAACGCAGAAAACGAAAAGTCTGTTAGATGTTCAAGCTTAGCAGTTGCTAAGAATTGAGTCTCTCTTTTTTGTGTTGATTTAAATGGAAGGTAGAGAGAGTAGGTTTTAAATGATCACTGGTTTCACCGCTGAAGACTCGTGTGAAGGTGACACAGAAAAAAAAAACCTGAAAACCTGGAGATCTTGAAGGTAGAAATGGAAACTCATTAAGGGCTTAGAAGCGGGCCAGCAGAGTTGACGATCTATCAATCCAGCCCATGGTTCCGCATCAACAAGTGGGTTGGCATGGCAACACGCCGTGTCGGGAGTCCAGGAAACCATAATAAAAACCCGCCGTGACGAGCAGGGGGGTTCCACTCCCCGCGCTGCGGATCCTGTATGCACTTAGTATGACCTAGTTTTAATCGAGATCCCATGGATCGTGTTACTCTACACTATCAATTGCTCTTCTATATCATATCCACCCTGACTTCCTCTCTTATTGTTCTCTGCAAGGGTTTAAGATTTTGTCTGTGAGGAGGATGGCCACCGCTTTGTCCCTAGAGAAGGGGTTGGCCCTCCTGTCGCCGTCGCCATGGAAATATCCTTATCAGGTAATAATGACCGATGATCTACTGGATCTTGGTCCTGGGGCTGAAGGTTGGGCGGCTGGTGATGCGGACTCGATGCATATTAGTGGCCTCAGGCAACGATCATATGGGCCCGTGTCACGTTTCATATATATCACGTGATATAACCTTATCGATAAGCCATGGTCCGGGATGAGTATTGTTCCGCCCCATTCACCGCCCTGATTACGCTATCCCTCAAATGGAAGCGGGTATGTCATGTGATCACACAACGATTTTAAGCACCAACCGAGTCCCACCCACATTGAATTTCTTCTCTCTTGTCAAGGTTGAGGAAGACAACTTGTCGAGGTGAGTTAATGAAAACTGCACCATAAAGATACAGGCTTCAAATCAAGATGTAGCTCTTGCGCTCGTTTGCGCAACCCTCACTTGATGCGTTTGCCCACTCTTTATGAACCATCCGCACAAAAAATTGCGAATCTCCCACTAACTCACCTCAGGCCTTCATCAAGATGCAGATCTTCGTCAAGACCCTTACGGGTAAGACTATCACCCTCGAGGTTGAGTCCTCGGACACCATCGACAATGTCAAGTCCAAGATCCAGGGTATGTACAAAATCCGCGAACTCGCAAAGTCGCAAAAAAAAATCATCCCACTTGAAACCGAACACTAACACCCCGCTCTTACAGACAAGGAGGGTATCCCCCCTGACCAGCAGCGTCTGATCTTCGCCGGCAAGCAGCTCGAGGATGGTCGCACTCTTTCGGACTACAACATCCAGAAGGAGTCCACCCTTCACCTCGTCCTCCGCCTGCGTGGTGGTGGTAAGAAGCGCAAGAAGAAGGTTTACACCACCCCCAAGAAGATCAAGCACAAGCACAAGAAGACCAAGCTTGCTATCCTCAAGTACTACAAGGTCGACGGTGATGGCAAGATCGAGCGTCTCCGCCGCGAGTGCCCTGCCCCCGAGGTATGTTTAACTGTTCTCCCAAAAGCACACTTACAGGCATCCATACTAACTTTTCTATCTAGTGCGGTGCCGGTGTCTTCATGGCCGCTATGCACAACCGCCAGTACTGCGGAAAGTGCCACCTCACCTACGTCTTCGACGAGTCCAAGTAAATGGACTAAGTCTGTCCGTGGGATTCCGTTTTCGAGTTCAGGCATAGTCTTACTAGGCTAGGGCGACATCATTGTTATCTCCGGTGGATTTTAGTTGATGGTTACTTCTGTCAATACAAAAAAAATAACAAAAACTTCGGCCACCGCCAATCTACTTCCTTGTAAATGTATACTTCGTAGGCATCCTCGTATGGATGATATCAAATGAGTGTGTTAACATTCTGGGTAAAGATAGACATGAACGAATGACTAGTTACAAACCCGGAGGCTGGTCTTGATCAAAGGAATGACATTTCTCCCATACGCAGGACATCGTATCGGCATCGATATGCTCTAATGCGCTCGACAGCAGAAAATGATAATCTCCTCACATCCCACCACGCAGGTTATCATACTTGCTCTCCGGGAAATTGAGAGCATTATCCAAGTTATCCAATGCACCGACGCCACCCACAGCATCCACAAATGTACCGATCAAGCTCCCTGCTCCAGGGTCCGCATCCCTACCTCCCTTGTCACCGCTACTCTCCCACCACATCCCGCCACCAAGCTGGCGCTGTCTCACGAAATCAGCCTTCTGCCGACAGACCTGCGGATCGTCATACGAGATCATCGTACGGGATCCATAGTCATAGCACCACGAAGCGCCAATATCGGGAGATGTTAGCTCTGCAGCTCCCGGTCGGGGCAACGCTTTATAGTCCCATACACCGTTCTCCCAGCTTCCCTCACCGACGCCATTGTATGGGGTACCGGGGCCATCGGTATTATTGAAGGCGCGACCGTACAGCGGCATACCCATAACAATCTTTGAGGATGGCACGCCGGAGTTAACGTAGTGGTCTACGGCGTTCACGGTAGAGAATGGTGTTGAGACTGGGTTACTGCCGGATGGGAAGATGTTTGCCTGGTGTCCGGCATTGGAGTCCCAGCTTCCGGTGTAGTCGTAGGCCATCAGGTTCCAGAAATCTAGGTACTGGTCCATGTCCGCGAGCTTGAGCTGGTTAAATTTGCTTGGGCCAGCAGGACAGGCGACTGTCAAGTAGAATTTGCGTCCTGCGCTTGCTTGGTCAAGGTGCTGTGTTAGAGTGTGTCAGTGTATGCGTAGGAAAGATTCAAGGTCTGGGTCAATTGACGTTTTCTAACTTGGAGGTGAACATACTTGCCGGCAGGTTCGAAGTAACTCAACCAGGTTCTGTGCTTGACCGTCATCTAAATAGAGTATGCAAGTCAGATATCTCACAATCTATTGCGGTGCGAATCTTGGATCTGAGTTGGGTAACCTTACCAGTAGGGTATTCCCAATCAATATCAATTCCTAGAAGACAATCAGCAGTGCTCTTTATGGTTTTTATTTGGCTAACAACAGACCATCAAAGCCCAAGTCAAGAACCAGCCGGGTCGCTGTCTCGGCAAACTTATTCCGTCCCTCATCAGAGCTAGCGGGCTGAGCGAAGTTGGAGGAGTAGGTCCAACCACCGATGGACAGCAAAACCTTCAGCTTGCGATTCTGTTTCTTGAGGAGATAGAGCTGCTTGATGCATCCGTAGACATTGTTGCCAGTATCGTTCCATGGGTCGCCAGAGTAATGCTTCTGCTCATCTGACCAGCTATCGGTCAAGTATCTGTATGTACGAGCCCGTTAGCACCTCGGTCTGTGAACTTGAAACGGAACGAGAAATCAAAGAAACTTGAAGAGAGCGACTTTAACTTGAACTTACACTTCACCACTATCTGGGCGGATATTGGCGAAAGCATACAACACATGGGTCAATTTTTCGGCGGGGAGGTCTTGGGGATTGTAATTCCGACCATAGATGGCCTGATCATGATGTGAGTGGTCAGCGATATATGTTATGGTCACCCGGTCAAATTGAGAACGCCAATTACTCAATTTGACAGGGCTAAAGAAGTAGAGAAGGAGACAGGGTATACCCAGTTGACGAAATAAGCCACGGATCTCATTGTTGCAGGCGGGGTCGTACAAGCGAAGTAACTTGAGTATTGCACAAGAACAGCCACAAACACCACTAATGCGGTACCTGATATAATATGCGAGAAAGGAGCCACAGTGCAGTTTCAATTAAGTACTCAGTAAGTCGGGCACGTCAAGCTTGATAAGTGAGGCAAGCACGATGGATCAATGCTCAAAATGGGGTACCTAAAGTCGCCGCCTAATTGTTAGTAAATTGGAGTACCAGTTGACAGATATAAATAAAAACGCCACCGAGTCATGCCACAGGGTCCTGTGGCTGTGCACTTGGATATGTAGTATATGTGGCTAGTGCGGGCACTCCCGCGTACCTTGGATATATATAGAACAGCACAGTAGTAGAGACGGAGACACCGTGTACTAGGTATCACTAGTAGTACTAGTAGTACTAGTAACAATATGAGAAATCAAGTCAAGCAAGAAAACACTGCCATCATTAATGATGACATTGGAATGCCATTTTTATAACGTAGACGTTCAAATATAAGAGCCGTCCAGCGTGACTGCTCAAATCGCGCGTGGTCCCTGTACAACCTGAGGCATCAGTCATGCTGTCATCAAATTTTGATATTCCAACGTTCAAATGTTCAAATGTTCACTCGGGTCGGCGATATTTCTGGACAGGTTACTTCACCGCTGTGAATGTATAGACCCGCGGGCGTATAGCCTGTGACGAAGATTAAGAGCGACCGGATGTAATGGTCATTATCCCTTCAAGTTGGTCTAGGCTCCAGTATGCCCAGGTGGACATTTAAGCAGTCATGAGATCCAAACTGCGAGAATACCTTCAGATCCGGAACAAAAAGCGCGTAGATGATCGAGGTTAAGTTTCAGTTGCTATACTGGACTCGGAGACCGAGATCTGTATTGAAGTGTTGACCAATTCACATACTAACCAAGATGCCCTTGGAAGAATGGCATTTGACTTAGTGGCCTTGAATCTTGCCAGGTGCAAGGTTCAAGCTGTTAGTAACAAAAGATCCGAACTTGAAGTGATGATACTGGCCTTGGGTAGCCTAATATGCTAGGTCACCAGACAAGATGGACTCTAGAATTTGGGACTAGAGCATCATCATCATCCTCATTATCAATATGGGTACATACCTAGCTTCAAATGTTTTATGTGTAGGTAATTAGTCACCATCAGCCTCGAGACTTACTCAGGTGCCATATCCCTAGACGCCCAAAATGTCCACGGTAGCAACTTGAATTGCATGTGATGAATATCACGGATGGGTGCCTTGACTTTGATACTAGTATACATAATTGAGAGCAATAACCTTGAATGTTGTCATTTATGCTCATGCACATGTGTGAATTCAATATAAAATGTTCAATACATCAAAGAATTCTTTCAGGATGTCGATGACCTTCTAATACTAGTAATTCCTAGCATTTGAGATATAAATCCATGGATATTTGATGTAGACATGCCTACATGCGTATAGGTATAGTAGTATAATCTGATTGTTCTCTCATGTTATGTTTTCATCTCAGTATTTCTTTACTCTGAAAACTGAAGTCAACTATCTCTATCAGGTGGAAGACCTAGTATAAAATCATCTTGCTTATCACATTCAAATATTTAACCTGGGAAACAGTCTAGAATTTGATTTGTAAGGAATAATCATAAATGCCAAGTGCACATGAACTCGTCAGAGCCTAAAAAATTGGACTATAGCCACGCGAGAGGCCACATGGCTGGATACCTAAAAAGCCCTGGAGAGCAACCCAAGAAAAGAAAAATATCCACATCAATCCCAACACATTTGAACAGATAAACTATTCCGATATTAACGCCGATCAAATACCTAAGGCAGCATCAGCTGAAACACGCAAAGCCAAAAGCCACATGTCGAAAGTCCCAAAACTCAAGAATATGTAGCGGGGATCTATTTAGTATCCACCGTTTGATTTTGCTTATAGGTATAAGGTTAATTAAAGAATAAGAAAAATTAAAAAAAATAAAAAAAAAAATTAAAAAAAATAAAAATAAAAAAAATAAAAAAAAATTAAAAAAGTCTTTGATTAATTTCCCCTGAAAGATTAGGAAAAAAATAATTTCTTCCTTAGGAGACCAACACCAGCTGAAGCTGATCAGCGACAAGCCCGATCGAAGCACTGATTGGCATAGCACAGACCAAACTAACGTCTTAGCCCTGGACCCACTAGATCTAAGCCGCCCTGACCCCCAATCGGCTTGTTCCTACCCATCTCAAACAGAACCTGACTCAGTATACTTTTTTTATGAGGTGGAGTATAGAAGCCGCAAAAAACAACATTCAAAGTTCTCGAATCGGATTACCGAGCAGCATTGAGCATTATGCCTGTTTTCCGCCAAAACGGTTGCGAATTGTTTATCCGCCACCCTGGATCGTCCCTGTGTGGGGCATGCATGGACTCATGCTCTCTAGCAGTATGGACCATGGTATGATTTGATTAGTATTATTCTGCTTCCGCTTATATGATTATGTTCAAGTTGTACATAGTCCATACCTTAAGTGCTAGATTCATACTTGTACTAATTCCCAGGTGGTCAATTCAAATAATCGGTGTACATAGTTCTTGTCTAATAAAACTCGAAGCAATAACGCTATAATTAGTCTATAGGGCTTGTAGGGCTATGCTGCGGAATGAGTGGAGTGGTAAAACCGTGACCGCTGGGGTTATGTATGATGTATTCCAATGATTAATGGACTGATTCTAGAGACTTCCTATTCCTCCAACTTGCATATGCATGTGGCTTGCAAAATCTATCATGTGGATTAAGTTTCCATAGTCTGATTCCTCCAGTATACAGTAGTATTAGCACATTTTTCAGCTGGCATGTCTGCCTCGGGACCCAGGTGTCTGGATCCCCGTCTATGCAGCATACCCAATGGTATTGTCAGGGTTGAAGGTCCGAACGTGAAGGATGAAAAACCATTGTGGGTTCCAGGGTTATGGGTCCCTAGCTTCTACTAGTGGAGTTAAGAGTATATGTATATCCGGATGACTAGTACATTATTCCGTAGTATCATTCATTATTATCCACTAGTAGTGTACATTAAATCAATTGAAATGGCTTTGGACCAGCCAATGATTAGTTCAAATTAGTGCTGACCAGAAGCGCCCACGTACTATACCCGTGGACTTAGTACTCGGTTCAAGTTGATACATTCCCAACATCGGATGTCTCTCCAGGGCTATAGTCCATGTGGAGCCGGACCACAAGGATAACGGGATGATATCTTTGTGAAGCTTTAGACAGTCTCCATAGGGGATTCTCTTCACAATTTTCTTCTACTAGTACTAGTTTACCATTCCTCGTGGGAAGTAAATCGGAGTCACCGTCGGGGTACTCCGTAGCCGGTAAAGAAGGTGGAATCAAGAAATTGGTTTTTTCTTAGGAGAAATAGCTTAGATTTTTGGATGCAAGGTTCTCGTTTATTCCCACATGGTCGCATAATGAGTATATCTAAAATGTAGACGCCATAACAGAACTTGAAGAAACTTGAAGTAACCATAGAAAAAGAATCGATAGACAGTTAACAGTTAAAAAAACCCAAAACAAGAGGGATATATTCGCCAGCTATGCTCATAGAAAACATTGATCTTCTTTTTTTTCGTTCGTTTTCATTTCGTTCCATGTCTCATGTCCCAAGAAGAAGATTTCTTTTCTTTGTTTCAAATCCCCACAGTAAAAAAAATAAATGAGGTACAGCGACCCGCGCTATACCCGCCGGAAGAGAAAAAAAGGAAAAGTCCCCGCACACAATCCCACTTGTACCACTGGATAAGACGACAAGTGGGAAAGAATCGAAAGATTCGAAAGCATCGGAAATTAATAGACGTGTACTCAATCTCCGTTTGCATGTGGTGCCCCATACGTCATTACCGGCCCCCAATCCAGCGTCGAATGGCCTCTAGGGAAGGATCATCATCAAGCCAATGACCTGCTCGTTGATCGGCGGCTCGAAGATCAGCCACAACGTGTTGATCTGTGATGCGCGCCAGTTCCTGTAGCAAGGAGGTATGTGCGGCTTTCAAGGTGGCGGCATGAGCGGGTGTTGGTCGCTGTCCACGGAGAGAGTTTGAGCGGGTCATAGCCCATCGTCGAGCTGCTGCTGCTCGTAGGTAGATCTTGTGTGCTTGGAATCGGCGAGCGCTACTATCAATGATGACTCTATAAAAAATTGTTAGCGAGACAATGCCCATTGTATGAGATTTGATTTCTGGCCAATTACCTTCTTAGTTCTGCTTTTTCTGTCTCGGCATTGCCTTGGCCGGTTACTGGACACGGCTGGTAGGTGGCAGACATTAATCGATGAGCGGAGGTATGGCATTCCCGGAGTACGGCGTAGCCTTCTTCGTAATAGTCGTCTGGGTGTACTTCCACGTTTTGTTGAGAGATATGCAGCAGAAGAGTGCGGTAGTCATTGATGAGTTCGGCTACTCGCACTGCGCGAGCCTGGTTGACTATTTCTCCCAAATGATATCAGTATCTGGATATTTGAAATCAATTGATTGAGTTGGATGGGATGGATACTCACGTCCGTCTGCCATTGAAGGTGTTTGATGTCGTGATTAGAAATAATATACAGTAGATAGGATAGGCGTGAAGGAAATGGTCACAAAATGAACAATCGAGAAGGCCAATGAAGGAGAGAATAGAAGAATTGGAATATAAGAACACAAAGTATAAGAAAGAAACGGCCTTGATAATGGACTGATGATGAGACGAGGATATGAGTCTTTATAAGAAGAATCCCAGGTTGGGAACAGCGTCATCTTCACACTTTGGTCTCTAGAACCAGTACCCCATAGATGACAGCAGAGGATCTCGAATAAAATTAGTATCCTAGAATAGACCCATTCAAGAGGTATGATCCAAGAGGTATGATTGGATTAGAAGAAGTTCAACAGAAAAGAAATAAATTAATAAATTAATAAATTAAAATATTAAAAAATTAATAAAAAAACAAAAATAAATTATCACTCTGTGACAGCGGAGACGAGATCATCAAGAGACACGACAGCACCAATAACCGGTAAGAAAAGCCACAAGAACCTCTTGAGGAGTCTAGTACAGCTGGAATGCGGATGCGAGGGTGGACCGGGCCACAACGATAGTTCCCGAGAAAACCGTCAACGGCATAGGGACGGGAAAGGGGATCATAGCATAGTGGGCTGTGTACTTTTTTTTTTTTCTTTTTTCCTTTTTTCTTTTGGAACGGCAGTTCTGAAAAATGGGGCAAGCTGTACTCCGTAATGTATAAACTGATTCAGGCTTTAAGTGGATCCAAAGAGATTAGGTTCCTGTACGGCCGATGAGAACCACAACAGGGAAAATGTACTCCGTACGCTTAGAGAACATGGTTGGGTAAGAGTGTGAACTACTTTAGAAGGTCATTGCGTTGCTCGTGGGACCCCTGTCAACAACTACAGGGACCTGCATACGTGAATCTAGATCGGTTCTAGTTCATCGGTTTGTGGTGGCGGATTTTTCTATTGAGTCGAACTGAAGACGACATCATTGCTAGATCTTGAATCTTAGAATGGGTCTAATAATTGAATGGAGCCATGGAGACCTTCAGCTATCAGTTTCAGCTTTTACTAATACCTGTTCGAGACCTCAGCCACGTTTTTTTTGTTTTTGGCTTTTTCTTAGCCACATGTGGCGTCGGTACCGAAAGCTGAAGCTGAAAGAGGAAGTTTACTATGTATGCGTAGTATACTACTTGTCCCTTACCTCCTCAATGTATATGGAAGTCTCCAATTATACGAAGATACAGTCCCTTTTATTATTTGAATCAAATTCCAGAAAATAGGAAAATTTAAAAATAAAGATGATAGACGAATGCAATTGGACGAAAAGCCACTAATGAATATGACCAACTACGTGTGATTCATCGCTCTGCGGTACTAGCTCTAAGTCTAGTGGTGGCAAGTTCTGTCACTGATAGACCCACTCCCATTGTCGGCTGAACGGCAGTTCCAGGATATCCTGGGGACTTGTATGGAGTCAAACCTATCTATTCTGCGGCTGCCGCTGCATATGATCCTGGTAGTGCGTGGTGTGAAACATACTCGAAACTCAGACCTTGCAGTGCATAATGTACTCCTAAGATCCCAATAGAAGACCAACCAAAAAAGAAACCAAGTCCAATGAAGTTCAATCATTCCTCGTTCTAGAATAAAATTTAAAAAAAGAATATCACATCACAACATCACAGACCAGAATAGAGTATCATCTCTGGGATCTCGGACCTCCCGAAAGAACACTCTTCCCCTGCACCTGCGATCCTGCAGTTCGACATATCTCTGAATTACCGCTTAGTCCTTCTCTGCGATGGCTTGCAGTCTCTCATCAATCTCCTCCTCAGTCAGAGCCCGGAATGCTGTGGTTGTACCCTCGCCATCTGCCCGGGGACCACCGACAATGCCGATCTCCAGCTCATGTTTCTTGAAGTCGACGCTCAGCACATTGCTGAGGGCAGAAATGCCAAGCTCCACAACTTCCTCCCAGTTACCAGGGGCAGCATCCTTGTTCTTCAGCTTCTTCTCCAGGTGGTTCAGCGCTTCCTGCTGCTTAGGACCCGATGCTGTCGCCTTGTATCCAACATAGTAACCGGCAGGGTCACACTTGTAGAGTTGAGGACCCTTCTCATCGTCGACGGAGATCAGAGTTGTTGCCACACCCAATGGCCGCATGTAGGCCTAAAAGAAAGTAAGGGTTAGAAGGGACATATGCTATTAAACAGAATGATAACAGAGAGCATACTCGTTGTGTGTAGACTTGGTTGATATTAGCCAATCGCTTCGCAAGAACATCACAGGGCATCTCGTATCCGAACTTGTATCGGAATTCGGCAGCCTCTCCACGGGCCCGATCCACAGAGGCACGAGCATCTGCTATGGAACCGGTCATGACACAACCGACAGAAGGGGAGATCTTGAAGACATGTGAGACAGAGGATGGGTCGATGAGTTTATCCTATAAGTGGGTTATGATGAGTTCCTGGTTCCCGGTTCGAGTGATGGGATAGATGCGGCGCTTACAGCAACTTTCTTCTGGGACAGCACGACGGCACAATCTTTCCCCCTCACACCGATGGAGGTGATGTTGGCAGAGGTGATAGCCTTGAATGCATATTCTACAGTGTAGGTTGATGTGTTAGTGGTGAATACGATGACAGGATGGTCGTCGTGCGGTGCTGGAGGAGTCCAAGCAGCGGACCGGGCGAGGTGAGTCGTAGATAGGGTGAAATTACGTACCGACTTGGTACAGTCGACCTTGGTCGGAGAAGATGGTGATATGTCTGTCGTAACCTGCGCTTCCTGATGCGGAGAAGATGGGGGTCAGTCGGGGCTGATGTCCTGGGACTAGACCAGCGTTTCTGGCGGGGAAGCAACATACCGGACATGATGGCGGAGGATAACTTGTTTTATACGGGGAATAATGAAACGAAGAGATGGAGGAATCGATAAAAAGAGAAAAGTGAGGTTGGATGGATGAATCGTGTGACGCGTGCCAGCGGTGCCTAAGCTCGAGAGAGCTTGAGCTTGACGCTCACCGCCTTCGACATACTGCTGAGAGCCTCTCCTACTCAGTGCACCTGGGCTGCTGGGCATACACCTTGGAACACAGTATGCAAATTATTTCAACTTGAAAATACCAAGTTAGTTGCTAGAAAATACTGTATACTACATTCGTGTATGTTGAAAAATTATTGTCTTTCGTTCAGTATCCATATTTTGATCATTCGCTATACAAATGGCTGAATATCTTTTTAACGCCATATTAAAATACATCCCATGTTTAATCGCTATCACTCTCGCTACTCGAGATCTCAAGATCAATAGTTCTGACCTTGCGCTTCTGCTTCTTTTTGTTCTTGCTGGGAGCAGCTGGTGCCACTGGGTTAGCGGCCTTCTTCTCACGAGCAGCAGCCCTCTTCTCCGATGCAGATAGAGGCTGGGGTTTGGGAGCGGCCTTGGGAGCGGGAGCCTTCTCCAGTGGCTTGCTAACAGTGCGCTCCTTAGCCGGTAACTTGGTAGCAACGGGAACGGGAGCAGGAGCAGACTTTTTGGCGGCAGGCTTGTCCTCATCACTGTCGCTGTCACTGTCCGAGTCCTCACTATCGCTACCAGAGCTAGAAGTCTCGTCATCGCTGCTATCATCACTGCTGCCCGAGCTAGAGGTCTCATCCTCACTGCTAGAGATATCAATAACAGCAGTACGGTTCTTCCTCTTCTTGTTGACGGGCTCTGCCTTCACAGGCTGTTTTTTGGGAATAGCCTTCAGATCAAACAGTTTCTCGGTAACAGCAAAGAAGACAAGTTCCGCACGAACCCTCTTCTGAAGACGTTTCTCGGCATCACCTTTAACACCCTCCACAGATGACGCAGAGTTCAGCTCTGTGCTCGCTTCAGAACCACTCAACAAGTCCCGGAAAGCATCAACACCAGCCTGGAACGCTTCAGGTGCCTCCTTTCCGTCCTTCTTCCATGCCTCAATATCCTGCTTCGCGACCTCCACAGCCCCATCTCTCAACCGGCTCTTCGCCGCATCTCCCTTCAATCCTTGCAGGTAGGTCAAAAGCGCAACATTGTACCGAGCTGGGACATGCTCATCCGAATAAAGATGCTTGAACAGGTTCGTCTCACGGTTCTTCTGGAACTTCCATGTCGAGCGATCATGAAAGTAGTGGCTCAGGTAGGACATGACGGGAGTTTCGTGGAAATGTGTCGGAGCCGAGGAGGTAGTAGAGGAAGCTGAGGAGTCCTTGTTCTTACGCTCCTTCTTCTTCTCGCGCTTACGTTTCCGCATCTCTTCTAGCGCAGCCTCGCTCTCCGATTGCGATTGAGATTGTTGTGTCGAGTCATCATTCGTCACTGTGTCGCTACTGTCCGAGGTTTCAGGTTCAGGTTCGACCTCCTCATCTTCCTCGTTGTCTGCATCGCTTTCGGATCCATCTTGTGTCTTGGTACCGGGTCCGAATGAGACACGCTTCTTCTTCTTCTGTTTCTTCTCTTCCTTGTCCTTCTTGCTCTTCTTAGAAGCCTTCTCCTCCTTCACGGGCTCATCAGAGTCCTCGTTGTTTTTCTCGCTGTGTCGGCGCTTCTTGCTTGTCTTTGTTACGTCCTCGGACTCGTCGGACGACTTGCGCTTTTTCTTCTCCTTGTCGGAGTTTTTCTTGGGTGTGGTTTCGGACATTTCGATGTCTTCGCTGGTCTCCTTGGTCTTCTTATGCTTCACCTGCTCGGGTTGTTCGGAGATCTTGGTTCTGGCCATGGTATAGGTTCTGCGGATGCAGATATAGCCTTGAGGTTGCGGTGGTGGCTCGGTAGGTTGCACAATTGGTAATTGGGCAATAGTGATGAAAATATAGCCTGGGAATTATATTCTTTTTCGTCCAAGTGCCCCTGATTTGGGTTGGGGACGTCGACTAAGTGGTGTCGTGATGGTTGTTTGATGGCAGGCGGAGTTGAACTATTTTTTTTCTGCCGTTAAATTAGGCGGTCTCTGATAAGATTTCTTAGGGCATTCTAAGGTTCCCAGCCTTGGAAGGAGTATAACCCCCGACTTTGAACAATTTTTTTTTCAAATTATATTCCACTTGATTGGATATCATGGATTCATCTCGCATTAATAGGTCTTTCAACTACTGTACTTTTAGTGACATACATTTTAACTTTAACATCTGAGAATGTGATGGTTGATATCAGGCCCCAGCCACATTAGCACCTTGTTCAAAACCATCCCTTCGTTCTCTACGCATCTCCCGTGGGAAACTGCCTGTGCCCTCTGTTCCTGATCCGGGAGCCTGAGAAGCAGCAGCAGCCTTCCTCTTTGCACGCTCTCGTTCGCGTTCCTTTTCCTTGTCCCTTGAAGTAGGACCAGCAGGTCTTCGCCGTTTTACAGGCTCGTAGACTTCGTTAAAGTTCATGACAACGCCAAGGAAACGCATGTCAATATCCGGTTGATAAGCGAGATCACCCAGGAGAATGTTCAGCCGAGAGCGGAAATCAGCGGAGAGATCATGTAGGCGGACACGGAGAGACGCAAGCATGTGATCATCTGCAGCGAGGTCATGAGCTGAGATGGTCAATGGGGTATCTAGACCATCCGGACCGGTGCTCATGGTCCGGATATCTGGATTGGATGCCATGGATATGCCACCGCGGTTGTTGGTACGTCGGGGGTTAATGTCGCGATCTGTGACGCCCCAGCGGCCTTGCGCGGTGCGAGTTTCGATTTTGGCGCTGAGTTCCTGACGACGAGTAAATTCCGCCACAGAGAAAGAGTAAAGGCCGTCCACGGCATCTTTGTAGGAAAGCATGATTTTGAGGATCTGATGGAGCTGGGAGAGGAAGCTCTCTTCGGGTCCTTTGGCGGCGTTAGAAGTGGATGAGCCGTAGCGCGGAGAAGCAGAGCCGAGTAGACCCTTATGTGTGATAGAGTTCAGGTATTCTTTGTGTGCCACGATGAGATCATCGAGAGTGCATTCCGGCTTGGAGATTGCCGCCTGCAGCGTATCCCAGCTGGACTCGATGACCTCGAAGAGGATGTAATACTGGAGTTGACAGACGAAATGAATCATTTCAGCGATAACACATCGGGCGCGCTTCCAGTCTGGTCCTACTTTGTCATCAACATGAGTAAGGACACCTCGTGCGCCCGTCATACAACGGCGCCAGGTACTATTCAGGGCGAACTCGACTCGCTTTACACGCCATAGGAAGTTGAAGACCTTGAGATACTGCGTTGAGCCATAGGGAGTAATGACCACGTCCACGGGGGGCGTCAATCTTATATTCCAGAGTGAAGCAGTCCCAACCAATCTCGCCATGGCTGAGTTCAAGCATTCGGGCATCTAGTCTGCGAAGAACATCTGGCGAATCATACTGTGCATTCGAGGCACGAATAGCATGTTCCAGCTGCGCAGTGAGAGTATGTCGGTATTGTGAATTTGCCGGGCGATCCAAATTAGAGGCCAGCGATTCCATCAATAGGGCGATAAAGTCACCTTGACCAAGAAGCAGATACTTCTTCAGTGCTTGGAGATGATCAAAGAGCTTGAACTTGTTGTCCATAAGATGAATGAGACGTGCCATAGTGGTCTTGTAAGCCTCATCAATAGATGTCTCCAGTGTAGCTGTATCGCCGTATCTCAGCTCCTTTGAGGCTTCCTTCGAATAGGCCTCCACCCAAGCGGAATCGCCACAGGCATATCTGATAAAGTTCAAAGATTTCCCGATCAGGAAGACCTTGTTTGCGAATTCTTGCGTAATGATAGAAGGCAACATTTTCTCATCCAAGACATACTTGGTATCCCAAACACTGGTTGCGATACGTCGGGGATCTTCATCGGATGTGTTCTTCCCTTCCGCAACAAAGAATTCTTGATAAGGATCAGAAAGCTCACCGTCGTAGATCCAGGACCGAAGCATGTCATAAAACGGTTGTGTAACATGTGCAAGAAGTTTCTCTGCAAAAGCACATACAAAGGGGTCACCATGTGATGAAGAGAACCCATGGATCAGAGATATCAATTGGCCACCCTTTTTGTCTACAGTTTATTATTAGCATATATGACGACAATGTCTTCGAATAGACTCCTCCTTACCTTTAGATTCTTCCACGATCAGACTCATCAACCGGAGTGCCATGGTAGCATCCCTTGTCCAAACAACACATCGTTTCAGAGTGACACCACCCTTCCGAACGCCGTTGGGCTCATTGGCATCACCAATCGCAGCAAGCGCATGACGGATCTCCGACTCCAATGTAGCGACCAAGCTAAGATAAGACCGCAACTCATTCGCAATAGCAGCCCGCAAGCTCTGATTCACCAGGCCACCCTCGGTGCTCTCCACAAAGGCCGAAAGCCCCTTATACAGAAGACAAGGCTCAGCCAAAGAATTCAGCAGGGAAATAATCGGCGCGGGAAGATGAGCCGGTAACCTCAAAGAAGTAGCGGACTGAAACTGCAGATTCGTTGAAGACAATCCCTGCAGGTTGAAAGGCAAATCGCGCAAAAGCCCATACTCAAAGGAACCCCCCTCGAGGCGGAGCTAGGGACGCAGTATCCGCACGATCATCGCCCTCATGGTCAGTTGTGGCTCCCTCATAGCCTGCACGGCTGGTAGCACGACTCCGCACAGTAGACTGCTCCAGTCCCTCATAACGCAACGAGCTCTGCCTCTCCGGCTTCGAAGATAGCGGCACACGCTGCGACGCAGAGGAGCTAACAGCTGGGCCTTCATCATCAGAATCTATAGCCCGAGGACCCGTCCCACGTCTAGGCAGTGGAGCTCTGGGCCCAAGCATATTCTGTAAATTCCCATCATCCATCAACGGGCTCCGACTCCGTTCGCCGTACTGTTGTTCGCCGAGGCCCTCACTATCTTCTGAGAGCTTGTAAAGCAGGTACAGGATACCCCATTTCTGCGAGAGTACAGGCTGCGTCAGGAGCTTGGAGTACATGTTCGAGAATTTCACGGCAAGCTCAGGACTGGCATTTTCGCGCCGCAACTTGCGCTTGATGAGATCGGCCGCATTATTAACATTCTCGGCGCCTGCGACACTACCCCGGCGGCCGGAGGGTGAGCCTGTATCTGCTGCGCTGGAGGAGACGTGGGTATCAAGGATGCGCCATGCTCGCTCAAGGTATGCATTGTGACGGCGTTCTTCTGCAGCTGCGAGGGCCTCCTCAGGATCGGAGTAATCCTCATCTTGGAGGGCGGTTATGGGGAGCGCGGGGGTAAAGGAGTCGACTAGTTGGGAGAGGGCATCGTCGATGCGGCGCGGGCGGGCTGGGTGGCGGGTGGAGGTCGACATTTCCTTACCCTTTCCCCCGCTTGAGGGCAGAGTACTGCTTAATTGTTGTTTTTTAGGAGTCCGGAAAGTTGGGGTTCGTTGTTGACGTTTAGCGGATGCGGAGGTGGTTCGAGACGTTGGGCGACGGATTTATTGTTTAGGCTTCTGGTTTCTAGAAAGATTCCAGTATCTCAACTTCAGAGCGAGGATCAAAAAGTTGTCTATTGCAATTGGTCTGAAAAAGTGAAGCGCATAGGTCAAATGGAGGTTCGATCGGAGTGGGTTCGTGTTTGCTATGTTTGGGTTGTTTGGCAAGCGCGCGTCTCTCTTATCACTTATCAATATCAACGTCCACTGGGACCTGGCATACTTTGTAGATGCACCAGACATGCTACAGGATACTACTGCCTACATATACTACATATTTCATGCAATTTCAGAGCGACAATGATTTCAATTGCTCATCTCATCGGGGAACTAGTAAGACAATAAAAAAAGAACATTATCAAGCCACCCAAACGCCACCCGGAAATCATGTATCTCAACAAGCAACCCGGATCAGAAAGAAGACATGCACCGGCGGTGCTCCAAGTATTAGACAAGCGAAAAGTAGAAATAACCCGTCTCTCAAGGCCCATGAAGAGAGGGTATTAGGAAGAAGAAAAAAGAAAAAGGTCAGAAAAAGAAAAAAAAACATAAGAGCCATCAGAAACCAGAACAACCTTGACGCAGCCATAGAAATCTCAAGACGCCGAAAATTGACGCGCCCTCCAAAGAGTAAACGGAATTCATTTCGTTTCCAGACCGCCGGAATCAACCCGTTCCATTTTTGAATCGTGTGCATCATTAACACCTGCCCATGCCAGAAGGTTCGGCGGAGCCAATGCCGAAGTGAAGAATAAAAATCAAAACGTTTCTAGGCGAAAAGGACCAAAATCCTCTATGCCCGTAGTAAAATAAAAATAGAAAAATAAGCGAATCGCCGTATTTGAGCAAGTAGGCTTATATCTGCCACTGAGTGCCATCAAGCCCGGCCATGGGAGATTGGCCGGTTTAAGTAACAAAGTTTTTTATACTTGCACTTATCGGCGCATACCCTGGGCAGTGATCGGTGGACCAGGTTGCATACCCATTTGGCTAGCCATGCCGTAACCATGAGGATCGAAGCCAGCGGACATGCCGTTCATCATCAGAGGACCTAATCCTTGAGCCTGAGAGACAGGGCAGTCCTTGTGGGCCAACAGGAGTGTCTTCAGGTTCACAATCTCCTCGCGGAGTTGTGTCACAGTAGCAGTCAACGCGTCGTTCTCAGTGGTAAACAGCTCAACCTTGGCCTGCAAGTTGGCCAGCCACTGCTTCTTGCGCTGACGACACTTCAAGGCGGCGACACTGAAATGATCATTAGTACTTTTGGTCAATTGAAGTTTTGCATCAAGTTGATAAAACATACCGATTACGCTCCAGGAAGTTGCGTCGCTTCTCCTCATCAGTCATTTTCTTGGGGTCCGCAGATGTCAATTTCTTCATCTCTTCATCTTCAGAATCCAGGTCCGATGGCGGTTCAACGCTGTTGAGCTTGGACTTCTTGTTTGAGCCTCTGGGCGTATCATCGGCCTTGCGCCGGTTGTTAGCTGCAGGCGCCTTAGCAGCAGCGCCCTTCTTGCCCTTGCCCTTACCACCCCTGGCAGGCTCCTGCTCAGAACTATCTCCGCTCATTTCTCGACCATTGGTGCCGTTAGGATTTTGTGACACGCGACGTGCTGCAGCTGCAGCCGCGGCGGCGCGCGGGTCGTTTTGAATATTTTGATTCATCTGCATGTTGTTGGCCTGCCCACCCTTGGCAAGCATGAAAAGACCGTTGGCAGCATCGGCGGCATCGTGTTGTGTAAATTGGTCCGCAGGTGCGGGTTGAGGGGGCTTGGTGTCCATCATCGCGTTCTGGCCCTGGTCCTGGTCGTTCGCTTGACCATTCGTGCTGTTCTTCTTAGCGGTCAACGCGGTGCGATGAAAATCGATAGTCGACGGGGTAGCACCGCCGTTTTGAAGCTGTTGTAACAATGCTTGGGAGTTGGGACTGGGGGCCGGGAACATCGACCCACCACCCCCGGGGTCAGCCCGGTGCGGAGGGACGATTCGTTGGGTGTTGGGAAACCTCTGCCGATGCTGTCGAAGTAATCATTAGATCCAGTTGGGCCGGGAAGCATGGCGGGGCTCAGGGGCCCAGAGCGGAGGGAGTTGGACCAGTTGTAGCCACCCCCGGAGCTTGCGCCAGGTATGGCCGGGGAGGTAAGGGAAGCGACAGGCGGCAGCAGCGACTTGCCGGGGGTGTCGCCAGGATTGCCGCCACTAAAGGACTGCTCGAATGGATTGGGCTCCAGCGAGAATGGGTTATGCACGGAGTTGAAGTAATCAGGAGTATCACTCGCGGCGGCTCCAGTCGGGCGTCGCGATGGCGGCAGCGAGGATTGGATATCTGTCTTTTGATCTTTGTCTGTAGACTGCGAGTCTGATAGGCGAGTCAGCATGTATGAGGATAGCAGATGACGCGCGCGAAAAAGGTACCAGAAGGATGTCGAAAACGAGGGCCCTTCATTATGGAGGAAGTGTGGTAGATCGATGACGCCAGTTGTGAGATCATCTAAACGGCAGAGGGGGAGCAGTTGAGTTAAAGTAACTCTAGGTGGCGGATTACCAAAGAACAAAACGAGAAAGCAGTATTATCCTTAGTAAATGGATTGATTTGCTCCTCTTTTGTTTTCTCTGCTCCTAAGTCCTTTTTTTTGCGCGTCTGCTTTTGGATAGAGCATTGTCTTGCTCTTTTTTTTCTTCCTCTTTTTTTTCCCATATACCACAATTTTGAAGGGGTGAAGGATAAATAACGCGACAATGGACTAACCTTTAACATTTCTCTTCGAGTCCATAGTGGACAGTGAGTTCGCCGACACAGTCGCGACGGCAGACATCAGAGGTTCTTTTTTTCGTGGCTTGCAGATTCGACCCGATGAGAAGGTGAGAGGGAGAAAAGTGACGTAGAGGGGGGAATGACGACAATTTTAGGGGAAAACATTAAGTAGGGTAAAAGTGTTTGGTATTATTACTAAAGTTACCAAGCTACGGGGATGATTGGGAGAAGGATTGGGGTTAGTCAGGGTGAGATGGGGCCACCTTACCGGTATTAGTATTACTCTATAAAATACATCCACGCGAGCAACCTCAACCTTCTCTATAACCCTGACACAGTCACCTTGAAACTACACAGTAACAGTAGTAATTTGTGAGCAGTTGATAGTCACTGTTAATTATTGATTTATAATAAAAAAGAAAATTTCCAGGGGGTTGGTATGGTAATCCCGATGTAACCGATGTAACCAATCCATATTTCTAACCGAAGCCGGTACTCCGTAGAGAGACACAGGGAAAAAGAAAAAAAAGAAAATTAAAAACCAGTTGAAGTTGAGTAATGGCCTTAACCCCGAGGTTCTGGACTGGTTGTGCATACAGATTGATTTTTTGGGATTTTAATAGGACACCCAGGTGCCTCCTATTCAATACCGCATGACTCTACGATCTACATTAGAAAAATTCTGTGCCTATTTGGACCAATCCATAGATTGTGAAAAAAGAAGAAGAAATGAATGAGAAAACAGCGAACCCAGAGTGACCCTTCAAAAACATTTCGAGAGAGACCCTCGCATGTCGAGTCCAAGCTGGAGGTGGATCCCGGGATCAGGGCTTGACCAATCACCCTCAGTCCAAATGAGCAGAAGCGGAGACCAGCTTGTCTGCATGGACCAGGTGAACTCAGTACGGAGTACGGACTATCAAGAGAAAAAAAAATTTTACTTATCTCAACCGTGTCCTCATTGGAGGGAAATATTTTGAATGAACCAACAGCCTGAATCCAGAATACCAGGCGCGTGGGAATTTCAAGGGTGAGTCACCTGGTCAATCTGTTCATTGTTGATATTGCATTCATGGGGTATGGTACCTCTGTACTCGAGGAAAATAAAATACCAGGAAATGATTTCACGATGACGACGACAGGAATGTGTCCCGGGTGTTGGGCCAGCCGAGTGGGGTCCAAACTGGGGGATAGCAGCCAGTCAGATCTCTGTATCAACGGAAGGTTGGAGTGGAGAGGGACGTGTCGGAGAGTGGAATGCACGATGATGAGTGGTGGAAGGGAAGAAAACACCAGTAATTGAAGTGAAAATGAACTTTTGAACAGATTAAAACGATTCCTTCCAACCTGCTTTCAGTCAATGACGCCATCCACGTGAGTCCCGGTCCACAAAGTACGGGATGACGTGCGTGGCCTGTGAACCGGTCTAGATCACGTCTGATAGGTCCCGAGGTCGTGTACTACAAGACAAGACTCCAGATGTCGGATATAATTATTGAAAAGATAAGGATTCAGCTTGCGTGTTCAGAGTAAAAGAAGTCGTGTTCGACTAATTCAATATGTGTACGGAGTACGCGTATATGTAATTCCAGGTTTGCCACCGTTTCAAGGCTCCACTTCTGCAGTCTGCCAGTTGGAACTTTGATCCCGGCTAGCGGCTCAGGCTTTAGTAGTAAATATAGCACTTGACTCCAGGGCTGCATTATGTATCACAAACTGACATGGAAGTCACCTGCACGTTGTGAACCAATGCTGAAAAGGGGGTACATATTTCATTACCCCAAGTGCTCAATTAAGCCACTCTCAAAGTTTCAAATAGATATTGTAGCCTATTTTCGACAAATAGCGACTCGGAGTTGGTCATACCGTGCGGTCACGGTGCCAAAGGTGCAAAGTAGATATATGTTGACTCCGAGTCGGAGCCACACGTAAACTTCCAGTTGAATCTGGACCACAACTTCAAGTTCAAGCCTGGAGTCATGCCAGTGGGGTTCCAACCTTGGAAAGCTGCCCACATGGATGCACTGGCAGTCTCCATTGTGCACTTGAGATCTCATGTGCCATTGATCCCAACTTCAAGTTGAAGCTACTCAGAAATGGATACAGCTCCGCAGGCGGTCACCTCAAGCTGTTATGTGCCCAGTGCCCAGGTGATTAACACCACTTTAGGCGAGGAGATGCCTACGGATGTCACTGGCATCTTCAGGCCACCTGTACCAAGTCCTCAGTTTCATGATCGTATCGAGCGTACTGCAGAATTTCCCAAGGCTCTTTCCTAGGCCTTTCTCGGATAACATCCACCATATTGTAACATTTGAATATTTCTTGTTGAAACAGTCAAATCTCCATTCACCAAGATATTAGACGGTTGTGCACCAATGGAATCTTGAAATCAATACAATCGCGAGGTTGATATAAGCCAGTTGACTTTTTGAAACAATCCATGGATTGTGGACGGCTCCACTTGTCACTTGTCAGTTGTCACTTCATCGCCAAGCTCAAAACCAAGATCAGCAACTGGGATCCACATTATATACTTCTTTCAATCAGAGTGACCAATTTTTCCCATTTGAAAGATAAAAGTGTTCTCTAGAAAAAAAAACATAGATGAAGAAAGGCCAGAAAGGGGAAGTGAGAGACATCCGGAGCTCCCAAGAGATCAGGTGATCCATTTACACGCCCGACAGCGCGCTTATTTTTCAACAAATGCACCACTAGCACTGGGCTAACTATTCATTATGTTTATTATGGTCAGGATTTCCGATTACTAGTAACCGAGAAAGCGCGAGGCCCAATCAAAATACTTCAGCTGAAATAATCAAAGTTTCAATCTTATCAGCCTCATTTTTGGGCCCGTGTCCGCGGGTAGTGTATACACATAGTGCGCGGAGAGGGGCACTCCACCTGGTGCTTAGGCCCTGCAAGATTCGAGCCCACTGAGCTAGCCTTTATTCGAATTGGCCCATAATCAATCAACCCACAGAAGTCATTGAACCGAAGAATCCGTGCTTCAAGTTTGCAACTGTGAAACATTCGAACCCCCAGAGAGCAAGATCTGGCTGACATAGACTTATATTCATTGGCCGCGTTGGCGAATATAATAGCGTTATAATTGGCCTCGTCGCAGTATTGAACTAATATCTGCAAGTCAAATTACAACACCATACTACGCATCTCATACACACCTGGACACCTGGGCATAGACCGAATGACCGATTAGGAGACTTGGAGCCTCAGGCTCCCAACATACAGGCACCTGGGGTCTTGTACAGCTCAACAAGCAAAACGTCTGTCGAAAGTCGATCATTTGTGCAGATGAAGTACAAATATAGACATGATTGTCCCAATTACATTGATTCAATTGAAACAATTGGCTACATATAGTAATTTGAACATATTGACTAAAGACGACGTCATCTCCCGTTCAGGGCGATGGCGCATAATGTAGGGAATTCCACCCTTGCCCCGCCAACCCCGCCGATTAAGAGACTCCCAAACTCCTTCAAAGCACACATCAAAATGGCGACCGCTCAGCCTAATCTCTACAGCTTCCCCACCACCGATGCTCTCGCAGAGCAATTGCGCCCGTATGTTCTGCGAAGCCAGAATGCTGCCCTCGCTCGCCACGATACCTTCCGCGTCGCCGTCTCCGGTGGCTCTTTGCCCACTGTCCTAGCTCGTGCTCTGCTCGCCCCTGGCAACGGTACTGCCGAGGATACTCCCCAATTCGCCAAGTGGCACATCTTCTTCGCTGATGAGCGTGCTGTGCCTCTCGATCACGTCGATAGCAACTACCGTCTTCTCCAGGAGGAACTGCTGCACAAGATTCCCGCGGAGCTCGGAGCTCCGACCGTGTACCCCATCGATGCCGAAGCCGTCAAGAAGGATGATACTCAACAGCTGGCCGATCTCTACCAGGATGATCTGATGCGCGTATTCGCTGCTAAGGACAGCGTGAAGCTTCCTGTCTTCGACCTCATCTTGCTGGGTTGTGGTCCTGATGGTCACACCTGCAGTCTTTTCCCTGGTCATGATCTACTGCGCGAGAAGGACGCCTGGGTTGCTGCTGAGACCAACTCGCCCAAGCCCCCGCCTAAGCGTATCACCTTGACTCTGCCTGTTGTTACTTCTGCTATCCAGATTGCGTTTGTGGCAACCGGCGCTGGCAAGAAGGATATCATGAAGGCCATCTTTGACAGCGAGGAGGGTCGCAGTCTTCCCTCCGCGTTGGTCAACCAAGGTGGTGGTGAGAAGGTCAGCTGGTTCACAGACCACCCGGCCATCGAGGGTGTTGCTTTCCCCCGTCGCGGTAACCTGTGAGAGAGGATATGTATGGGCAGTCCTTTTCTTGTCATATTTGGCAACAAAATATAAACATGAACCAGAGAGCAGAACCTGGGCAAGTTGCTCTTCTATATACATGGGAAATTTAGAGGACGTCATGGTCCAGGACTTCTGCTGATGTGATGTCACTGAATGTTGGGTTTCAATTCGAACTGCCTTTGTCTTCTCGGTGGAATTATTTCAAATATTCGCCTGTCCTGATGGTCCTCGAAATGATTCATGTCTCGCTAAATGATAGAACGTGATGATATCAATGAAATAACTTCGAACAATATTTTCTCCTTCTCTTGTATAAACAAGTACGTTCATAGAATGCATGATCAATGGTACATCCGTGATCAACTTGAAGCTCCAACACTTCGCTCATGAGTTTCATAAGGAACCTGTTTTTTACTGCATGCACTGTACCTCCCCTTTTCAACACATCACAGATCCGCCGAAGCTCGTTACGCGGTTGAAATTCCGCATTTGTTATTCCTGCAGGAATTGTGAAAAGTAAATCTGACAGTATATAACCCCAGAAAGCCAAAGATAGCAGCAGTTGGTCACTCATTCGCCGGGTTGCCGATTTTTCGGCTTCCTGTCCGCGATTCTGCTTATGTTGATTTTTCCAGTTGAAGTTAGTACAAACGCGTCAATGGCACGAAACCATCAGCAAAAGATCTATGACCGCTAAAATTGGTACTGATCTAGTTAAAATATGAAAATTGACAATGCTGGTTGTTTATCACGCAAGATGGTGTGATTGTGCTGGAATTGATGGTATCATCCAGATTAGCCGACGAGCCGATGCCTCCGCGTTTCCCCAACTTACTATCAACTCAAAGATGAGTGAACACTATAGTGAAACGTCGATGGATTTACCCGACAGTCCGCAGATTGTCGATTCGATATTCCGATGCGGAGACCCTGAACAATGTCGTCGATCAGTCTAAAATGAAGTATATAACCACGGGATCTCTCTTCTAGACCCTGAACATTGTACTACCCGAGTCTGACGATCAGGAAAAGCGACAGGGAAATATCATTCCTATTTCCTTAAGTTATCACTATCGACGCATCATGGCCACTATCACAGAGACTGCCCCCGTGGCTGTATCGACTCGCGCAGTTGATCTCACAAAGTTTCCCGATGGACTCAAGACATCAGGACAACACCCTCCTGTCTACTCGCAAGTCCGCCCTTATGCAGACTTCCCCAAGCACATTGAGGGACCTACCGTATGGAAGGCCGGCGACTACTCTCAAAACCCAGAGAAATGGACCCACCAGTTCACAGAGGAAGAGATCCAGGAGATCGGCGATGCGTCCGATAAGTTTATTCAAGATAAGATCCCTCTTGAAGGTATCTCCAAGGTGAGTCTAGCTCAAAGAGTTTGATAGTAAAATCCACGTTGAAATGAAGCTTTAACTTTTAAACAGACAAATTTCCCTCTTCCCAAGCTTGCCAAGCGCATGGAGGAGCTCCGCAGAGTCCTGATTGATGGGACCGGATTCTGGCTATTCAAGGGTATCCCTGTTGATGAATGGGATCTCCAAAAATGTGCTACCGCATACATGGGTCTTGGAACCTACCTTGGATACTTCACCAGCCAAAATGGCCGTGGTCATGTCCTTGGACACGTCAAGGATCTCGGCGAAGACCCTACCAAGACTGATCGAGTCCGTATCTACCGTACTAACGCCCGGTAAGTCAATATACCTAGAAAGCCAGGGAGAGTCTAAAAAAGCCAAATTCTAACATTATACCAGTCAATACTTCCACACCGATGGCGCCGACATCGTCGGCTTGCTGTGTATCGCTAAATCAAAAATCGGCGGTGAATCCGACATCGCCTCCACACACAATGTTATCAACACCCTCCAAGAAAGACACCCCGACGTAATCGAAACAATGGCCACACCAACCTGGTACTTTGACCGTAAGGGCGAAGTCTCCGAGGGCGAGGGGAGTGGATCCGTGGTGCAATCTTATACCTAGAGAACGAGCGCGCAGGATCAGACCCACGCGTGTATGCCAAGTTCGATCCAAACAACCTAACCTCTCTCTCACGTTTCAACACCGGTCCTGATGCAAAGATCCCGCCTCTATCAGAGAAACAGAAGTATGCTCTGAAGATCTGGGAAGAGACCTGTGCTGAGCTGGCACTTCATATGGTTCTCTCACCCGGTGATATTCAGTTCGTTAGTAATTCGCATGTTTTCCATGCGCGCACAGCGTATGAAGATCACCCCACTGGTGCGGTTGATGCGAATGGAAAGTTGATTCGGGCTCGTCACTTGATGAGACTTTGGCTGTCTGCTCCTGAGTCCGAGGGTGGTTGGAAGCTTCCGTATCATGATACTTTGGAGAAGAAGAGAGGTGGTATTCAGGTCAATGATCAGCCGCCTTATTGTCCTCTGGATGCGGAGTAAATTAGCAGGATGCAGGCATTTCTCTGCTATTATACACGAATGTTAAATTAATGTCATTTTTTATCTTGTCTTCATTAAGAATGGACTTGATGACTTTTTATAAAAGAAATTCATATATGGAATTTGATTCAGCATTTTTTTGAACTCCCAACTCCTTGAGAGGAATAGAGATTTTAGATCATTACTAGTGCTACTAAAGGAGTACAAATACATATGAACTAGTTAGTATTGCAAACTGCCCGAGAGATAGGGAAAATTGAGCCTAGTATAGAACTACGTGGAGATGGAAATGAGACATCTGGAAGTATGATATGCAAATAATATTGTTAATAAAAAGGGTATCTCAACTAATTTTGCTGGGGAAATGGAAAAATAGGCAGCCAGGGCTCTGCTTGCGTAGCAGAATACCCTCCAGCCCATGGCAGAAGCCCTGCCCCTTCAATACCAGAGCCAACGGCAGTATCCGCTGGCTGCCACGTCCATCCAAGATCTGACATGAAAAGCGACTGAAGTTCTTCAAGGCTAGCTTGTCCGAATTCCAGCTCTCCCGAGCCTCCGCCCACTGGACCCTGGGTGAGAGGTCCACTTGCTGGACAGTCGAGATCTGGATTTGATTCAGGTATGGCACTATTAGGTGCTGAAGATGTTGCTGCTTTTTCAGGAGCGTGTCTTTCTGGGATTGACTTGCGGGCCATTCGGTAGATTGATAGAGGGTTCAGGACATAGTCTGGAGCGCTTTGAATTGGTGTTCCCGGGAGGCTCTCACTAGAAAGATGTTAGTAAATTGTGAATTATAGTATGGTTTAGATGATATGATTACCTCGCATCTTCATCGCCTGTTGAGTATGGGTCATCAGGAATACTGTTCTGAGCCACGACCTCGGAGCCAATCCCAGATCGATCAAACATTGTTTCTGCTGCGGTGCACTGTATTTATTACATTAGCGTGAGGTCAATACGGGCATGTTGAAGGAAATTCAAGCGGGATTGAGAAGAAGGGAGCAACGCACCAAAGAATTGGCAATCACACTAAGCGATCCCATTAATTTCAGAGCATCGATATTACTCTTCAGAAGCGGCAGAGTTTGCGTCGTGAGGATCTTTGTTTCCTCCGCTCGAGGATCGAGTATTTGAGTGAGATGGTATACCATGATGCGGCAGCTATCATACGTGATTGTTGGGAGCCATGAATCTGCTAACATTCGGGCCCCATGATGAGCTATCTCACCAATGATAGTTGCTAGAGCCCTCGCAGCATCGAACAAGACTTCCTGCAAGTGCCTCAGAAAGCCTCGTTGTTCTGGTGGAAAGTCAAACGCCGCGCGTAGTTTATACAGAGCTGGCGCTCCTAGTCGGTACAGATCACATATAGTTTGATAATGTGCACAGTGTAGTACACAAAGGGCACCAAGCTGTGATGAATCCTTCCGAATGTAAATCGCGTTTGGGGTGAATTGTAAGCTTGCTGGTAAGGACTCATACCAGGCGCGACAGTCCCTGTCTAGAATGGCAAACTCGGACTCTTCAGCCCAAGGAACCATTGCTTCGTCAAGATGTTTGATGTATCTAGTGACGAATCAGTATATGCGATTGAAACAGAAATATGAAATTGTGGAGAAAAGAGACGTACCGGAGCACTCTTTTGCGAATAGGGATGTGTCGGATGAAATATGCCATCATTCCCATATTCGGCATGAGTGTCTCACTATCAAGCTCGCCAGGAATAAATTTCAACCAATTTCCAGGTTCCAGTGTCTCAGTTAGACATGGTATCTGCTGTATGAAATTTCGCTCATTGCATGGCAGTTGGATTTTCATGTCTTTCTCGTCAACCAAAGTGAGTTGATCCACTCCACTTCCAACAAGAGCATCCATAATATAGCAGCTCCACATTAAGCGTCGCCGGGACTCTCTTGCTGTAACAGAGGGACCTATATCGTTATTCTGACAGAGGATGTCTGTATTGTATTCTAGGTTGATCTGTAACGCTTGGGTCATCCTCGTAATAAGACCACTGAGCATAAATGCATTGGCGAAGTTTCCCATGCGAACTGCATAGTCGTGAAGTAGGACAGATGCCTAGGATGGGTTTAGAAATTTTAGTTCCATAGGAAGAGAGAAGAGATAGACTATAACAAACCATTAGCTTCTCAATAGTGATCGAGTCAAGGGCCTCCAGAATGAGTCTTTGCGCAATTTTAGCCCATTCGCTTCCAGCCATGAGAATGAGTTTTGGCGGAAGCGGATTGACTGTTTCGCTATATGATAATGCATGAAATCTAAGCGCTGGTTGTTAGCATTGACTGAAGTGAACAGAGGGTACCGGCATACTTACTGGCCACCCAGGGCGCATATAATATGAAGAAGTGCGTTACTTTGAACCCTCTTTGGAGCATCCTTATCCAATCTATGAAGAAAGGAAGGCTTATGAATGAATGCAAAGCATCTTAATGGATGAATATTGCTGAAAAACTCTTCGACCAAAAGTCTGATTTTCCAAGGATTCGGTAAATGCTGAGCATTTAGCCTATGCTATGTTAGTCCCGGGACCCAGTGTGTAAAGATCTGTGACAAATTCATACCAAGATAATGGAAAATTATTAGACTCAGTTGGCTCAGCCGTGAAGACTTGAAGCGGCTGAAATGAATGACTTGAATGGCTTGAAGATTGAGGTGAAAGGCGCTCCGGCTCGACACCGCATTGCTCCAAATGTGTGCTTGGTGAGTTGTCTGGAATAAGCGACGGAGTTGAGGGAGCCTTCTGGCTCTCTTGAGATATACTCTCAACGCGCCGAATCCAATTGGGTTGTGAAGACTCAGAGTAGACACAACTGTGGCCTCGGTCTTGACACCTTCGGCACGTCGGTCGCTCTCCTGAGCATTTCGTCTTGGAACCACGACAAGCCGTACATGAACGGTAAGTTCGCTTCTTCCTTGAGCTATCTACACGGTCCTTTGCAATATGCTGAATTTGAGAATCTGGTGAATTGCCATATCCTGAGCAGATAAGCCGTAGACGGGCACAATTTCCACACTCGCCAGGTCGTTCATCACACTTGACCTGTTGTCAAAGTGAAGGAGTTAGATCATTGTTGGATCAGTGATTCAAGTAACGTGGTCTTACTTTACGTGCCCGACAGGTTCGACAACCTTGTTCTAATGTTAGTCTATTGGTCCGATGTTGTTTACTGGGTTCAACTTACCGAATCGTGATCGTGATGGCTTGGGAGAGTTTGTAGAACCCATGTCAATTATCTTTTAATCGATTTGCAATTCTTCCGGGATTATTCCCCTGATGCCTGAGAAACATTGCATAGAAACTATGTCGGGCTGTCGGTAAAAAGCGGGCTGTCGGTTGACATTGCGCAACTGTGGTGACATCCATGTGCTGGATGACGAGATCGAAAAGCGGAGAATGCGGGGCAATCTATGTTTGGCGTGACGATCAGCGCTATAACACGAGAATATTAATAATAACACCTTTTTATTTGCAGTTATGAAGCCTTCTTCCAAGGTTTAATAATAACCTTGTATAGTTATGATGGTAGGAAAATTCGTGTATTGTTCACTGCAGGATGCGATAGACCAGTTGGCGTGATCATGTGTTTTCTGAACAACTTGTTATACTGCTCAATTTGCATTCAGACGAAAAGGCAACTTATATTAGATAATTAAAAATAACAGCTTAATTATGATATTTAATGAAATATGCTACACCACACCAATTTAATGAGTGTTAGCCTCAAAGTGTCCACTTTTACCAAATAACCTCACTAGAAATATGGGGGCTTCCAGACTCTCTTTTCTCTCAGTCTATAAGCTATTGAATTTTCTATCACTATGAAGCAATAAGCCATAAACGTACTATTTCTAACTCAGCCAGGTTTCAACTGTTCGGCTTACTTGGCAAGAGAACTGTTTTGATACACCGATAGCTGAACCCCCCTGTTATTTCCCACCCCTGACAAGGCCACTTCTAGAATGGACTGATTCTATTCACGAGAATTCGGAATCAAACATGTTTAAATTTAGCTCTGCAACATCCCGTCTTGATGTGGAATTCCATATGAGTACATAGTAGCAAACTGTATCAAGCTGAAGCTCATGCAGGCTATTCTGACATCTGAGCTGGATAATTCAAAGCCATAAATTCGAGGTTATGCCTCAAACCACCAGAAAGAAATAGAAACCACAAGACTTCATAATTTTATCTACCTTTGAGAACTTTCAATTTGAAGAATCCCAGGTGCCGTTCGCCGCATACCATCAACCATGGATACTACTGCCTACCCTATTCCAAGCTCCCAAACCGCAATCATCCAGCATGAAGCAGGTGTTCTAAAAATTACTCCTGAAATGCCAATTCCAAAGCTCAGCCCTCATCAGATGCTTGTCAAAACAATTGCAGTCGCCCTGAATCCCTGTGACCACAAAATGCCCCTTAGGTTCCCAACTCCGGGACTGTGGAATGGCTGTGACTTTTCAGGCACAGTCGTTGCACTGGGAAGTGAGGTAGCCAAACAAGGTCGATTCCATCTCGGGAATCGAGTCTTTGGCGCTGTTCAAGGATCTAATCAAGCTGATCCTGAATCTGGGGCTTACTGTGAATATGTCCGTGCTGAGCCAGACTTCACTTTTCATATTCCGGATGATATGTCCTTTACCTCTGCTGCAGCCATATCAGGCACAGGCATCGCAACCCTGGGAGTCGCGTTGTACTGGTCCCTTCAACTCCAGGGATCGATGTGTTCACCAGCCACCAACCCAGAGTATGTGTTAGTCTATGGTGGAAGTAGTACAACTGGTTTGCTAGCAATCCAAATGGTGAAGCTGTAAGTACAAATGTTTAGACTACCTTTTTTGTCTCAGTTATCTCATGCAGTTATGCTAACGCATCTCAGGTCTGGCTACAGGGTCATCACGACATGCTCTGAGCGAAACTTTGACTTGGTCAAATCGTACGGAGCAGACCTTGTCTTCGACTACAACTCACCCACCTGCGCGCAAGACATCAGGGCAGCGGCCAAGAACACACTTCGGTATATCCTAGATCCCTTTGCAGAAGCAAGAACGGTGCGTTTATGCCAGGAAGCAATGGGTCGGACAGGAGGCCGCTACTGTGCCCTTGAACAATACCAGGAGGGTCTTTGTACACGTAAGGCCATCAAACACGAGCTGGTTATGGGTGGTGCTATCTCTGGTAGGGGTGTTGAACTTCCTGAACCTTATGGAATTCCACCCCGACCGGAAATTGGAGAGTGGGCTCGACTTTGGTACCAAACTCTCCAGGAATTGATCTCCGCTGGTAAGATCAAGCCGGCACCTGTGGAGATTATCGCTGGGCGCTTTGAGGGTATTATGACCGGACTGGAAAGACTTAGAAAAGGAGAGGTCTCTGGAAAGAAGTTGATTGTGCCCATGGGAGAGGTTGATTAGGTTATTTGAAAGTCCTCAGTTATCATTAAATGTTCTCTTCTTTAGCCATAAGCTAAAATGATGAGTGTCAATTTCTTGATATCGATTTCTTGACTGTTGTATCGCGCGTTTTGAGTACGAGTCAGATCTTTTGGTTCATTGGCTTCAATGAAAATCCATTTTGTTGTTTCAAATAATTAATTTAAATTCCAAATACCAGACGAATAGGCACTCCATTAAGAATTCTCAAACTAATTAGGACCACTGGGACCCTGATCTCAAATACAGCATATGGGGACCAAGAGCACCCTATTTCTGATGACAATCATAGACCATGCGAGCAACAATACTCTCATCATTCTTCCAAGTTCGAACATTTCGAGTCAAGTATCTCTTTCCATGAATATTTTCGAATCCCCACAAAACATGAGCAGACCAGCCCATCTTAGGATTCTCAGCGCCTTCATCAATGACCATCTTGGAAGCACAGGCGTCTTCAAAACTCTGGCGCATCAAATCATTTTTGATATCATCCGTGCTCACATACTGAAGCTTCATTTTGATGTCTCCGAAGATAGGAAGACTCATATCCTGGAACTGACCATTCACTACACACGAGGTCTCACTATTGAAGGAGCCGGGAGTGACTGTCTGTCTCACATGCAGGGTCGTGACAGAGCCGCCGTCCTCGGAAGGAGATTCAGTGGCGCTGTCACTACTCACATCGGAGCATGAGATAGACTGCGATATCTGCAGCGACAGACTGGCAAAACGGAGTGCCTTTCGGGTGATCCAGGGCACACCTTGCTGTTCTCACCTCAGCTTCAAGGTCTTCTAATCCATGATGGGAGGGTCAAGTGAGACCTACCAGTGCGAACATTTGATCAGGATCATCGGAAAGCTTACGATTCTGGTAAAGATTAGTCTTTGGAATTTGAAGCCACAAGAATGCTAAGGATGAGAAAAGGCATACCAAGTGCCATGTTCCCTCTAAGTTGGTGATATCTTTGGAGAGCGGAGCGGCCATTGCTGTCACCTGGGCAGTACTGAGACTTGAAGACACCGAATATGAGAAGAAAGCCTCGTATTCTTGATCAATTTTGCGGTTGGAGGGAACTGTACGCATATACTAAATATAGTCTTGGAACATTTTCAAGCTGAAGCTTCTTTGAATCTATCACACGATGATTCTCACACAGATTCATAGTATCAAAGCTTAACGCTCGGATTCGGTATCGGCATCGGAATGGTCTAAAAGAGAGGCTGAATTGATCTTTGAACTCGCCTAGGTGATAGATTGATATTATTTCGGACTCGGCGAGAAAGTTTCGGCTCTGATGAGAATTCTATTTTATTACTTTCTTCACGATTTTCGAATGAATGGGACTGATAAGGCAGGGTTACTATTGAAAAGGGAGTAATTCAAATATTTCTGGCCGGCCAGAGAATCTGTTTGAAAATTTGCCGATTTTGATTGAAACAAAATCCTTTTAAACGCCCTCGAATATGGACAACCAACCTTGGAAGTGAAGGATTTGACGTGGAAGCTGTGATTCAAGAGAGCAATTTTGGAATCCATGATTAAACTTCAGTAAGCCATAAATTTAGTATTATCATACACACGCTGTGTCCTTCACTAGCCTTCTCAGACAGCCTAGTATGTCCTTTAAAGAAACACCACACTCAATCTGCTCTTGTGTTATCACATTATCTCGAATGGAGGCTAGAAGACTATTCTCCAGGATGGATGGAGCTGAACTCATATCCCCGCTGCTATCTTGAGACACTCCTAAAACTCTTTCAATTTTCTCCAACATGTTCAGAACGAGGTCGACTAATGCTTGAACCTGCATGCCAAGATTTCCCTCCATATTGTATTGTCCAAACTGAAGGCTTGGAAAAAGCAGGAGGGAGCTCATGTCTGCAGGTGGAGCAATAAGTAACAATTGATAGAGTTGATTGAAAACACTCCGGTACAGCTTTATCAGTTGACAATATGTCGTAAGAATCGTTAGAGAAGTCGATATGTCGTATTTATTCAAGGCCGTGCTTGTTTCTTGACCCAACGGTGAGGTAAATATTGTATGGTAGCCCGAATCATGAGATGCTGTGGTCGCGACTTCTTCTAGCCCACCATCTCCAGAACGTAGAGATAGGGGCTTCGTATCATCAAAAATATCGAGGCCTGTATGGGAGAACTCAATACTCGGAAGGAGGCGTTGCGAGCTGTCTGATGTGTTGGCTGCCGGTCGAAGCATTTCTAGGAAGTGAGTGGAGTGATTGAGCATGCGAGAAATCGGAAGATCCAGCTTGCTCACAGAGGAGCTGATATTGTCCCTCAAAAATGGCGAGAACCTGAAAAGCTTAGATTCGGTTTCCAAGAGTTCAAGATCATCGGTAAATTCGAGGTTTAACTTGAGGAGTCTCTTGCGCAGGTCGTTGAAATTTGGCAATGTCCATTCTGTCGAAAACTCCATATGTTTGTCATCTTCGGTAATACCAGTTCCGGATGTTTGTAGCCAAGGGAATTCCCAGCTATCATCTGTCATAGACATTGACCCTGGACCTAGTAGACTCTGTGTTTCTGGCAAGGAGGCCGTTGTAACTGTCTGGGAGTCATCTTGAGTATTGTAAGAGGACACTGAGACGATTTGATCAGGTGCTGAGGTTTGATGATCAGGTCGATAATTGGATTCCAGAATAAAGTCTTCCACTGGTGCCTATTAAATGGGTTGTTAGAATATGCTTGAAAAAGTTGTAAAGCTGCTCTAAGCACTCACCGGTGGAAAATTGTTTCTAGTAGGCCAAGTGGGTTGTTGCTCTGTCCATTGCTCGAATGGAAATGTTGTGCCAGGATAGGACATCATCTGGGGATCAGGATCTCCTCCAAATGGAACCATATCTCCAGATACCCAAGAAGAGAAAGGATCAGAATATGGCCAACTTTCGAACGCAAGATTTTCATGTCTTCGGATATTCCCCGGAGAGACAGCCTTTCTCACTTTGGAAATGGAGGGTTTATGGAGAACTGGCATGGCAAGTCGATCAGAGCCCACATGCATGAACCTTTGATCATATTCTCCTGGGAATGAACAAGATCTATTCTTTGAAGAGAGATAATTAGACGCAGGATGATTGATGCTAGTTGTGCACATAACTTGAGCTTTGAGACATCTTTCGCATGACCGGCCATTGACTTGGTCGCGCTCACAGCGCAATTTGAAGCCGCGACATCGATCACAGGCCGATCTTCGAGATTGTCTATAGTTTAGAGCTGGATGCATGTTTTTGCGGTAGGTGGGGTTAGGTTGGAAAATTTTGATGAGGCTTCTCTCAGGCTATGGGGTTGTTGCAGTGGAGAGTCCACCTGGGCAGTGAGCATACATATGCGGAGTATCTTTCGTCCCAGATTCAGCGTGTATCAATCTTAAGAATCTTAAGTGCTTCAAATGTTGGGATGTATAGATTCAATGATTCTCAATTTTAATATGAGCTACTTGTTAAATCGTCCATAAAGCAGGCTCAAGAGATGTACAGCCACGTTTGAAATACATAGCCATGGTATTGGGTCTTCAAACATGTGCCAAATAGTGGAGCAATGATCTGCGTGACCCCCATGGTGTTGACTATCATGCGCTGACCAATTTAGCACTATTTCGAATTGACCACTCACCTGGCTTGGGCCTATATGATGCTCTTTATAACACTCCAGGGCTGGATTCTTGCCAGCAGGGGTATAAACGGAAGTTGTTCTCAGTTACGGTTTATTGCTTAGTTTGCTTATAATCCAAGTCTTTTTGCCACAACTCAGAACTACAGTAGTCATCTTAAAGTCACTTCAAGAAACATCAGATGATATACTGGCTCTACATTAAGAGTCAAAGTGTGTCATTGTTTGAAATAGCAAGCTCGAATGGTTCGAGGCTAGAAATTAGTCAATTTTCTAAATCATGAGCGCCAACAGAAACTTGAGGCCAAGACATAGTTGGGATTGCATCATTGATACTAACCGCAAGACTCTATCCCAAGGATCAAGTTAGCATGGCCCCATGCATTTGGCCAAGGATACCATGTGAGGTTCGGTATGACAGAGAAGCATTGACAACACATTGTTGAGGCCCGGATTCTTGGTTTGGGAATAGCCGCTGTGTTGTACTACAATTAGCACATACCCCAGACAGCCGGAAAATTAAAAGCACAACTGTCAGGGATAACCCATCCTTGGTTCTGAGCAGCATGTTCGAGAAGCCCGTGGAGCGCCCTGAGGAGCCTTCACCGACAATTCAGCCCTGAACTGGCAACAAATGCTTGAGTTGCACTGCACCTGTTGCCCCAGTTCAAACGGCAACATGCATGAATGACAAATCTCTCAAGTTCCAGATAATGCACTTGCTCAAGCGGACATGGTACTGTCTCAGCTATGCTCCCTTTTGAGAGTGGAAGACTCAAGGTTTGGTACATGAAACCAGATATAAGATCTCATACCCTGTCTCTCGTGAAACGATTCCTGCAAATCTATGTTGTGGTACCTTATGCTTGGGCCTCCCTTGGGCTTGGGATTCTCCATCTGTGTGAAACATGAATTGTCATGGTGCAAACGTGGGCATCACCTGGGCAGGAGAGAGAACCTGTGAAATATATGAGATCTCTTTCTGATTATTGCTGGATCAGTCGCCCACTTCCCCAATCTCTGAAATGCCTGGTCAGGTGACGGTACATATCCCTTCTTAGATATGAGCAATAATTTTAATAGCTTGAGGAATGATCATGCATGATAATTTGGATAAAAATAGGAACGCTATAGTGCCAAGAAAAACGAGTTGGCGAAATATGGAGGATCTCCTTATAGACCCAGCCACCTCATTCCAGCCTGAGGGTGAAAGCCCTTGAGGAACCTGTCCATTGAAGAGCACTATGGGGCAGCATCATGATATTAGCTGGCATTCAGCCCAGAGCCGCTTTGGCTTAAAGTCTTGGATTAAAGGCAGATTCCTCGATCAAAATATTCCAAATGGATGATTTGCAGAAGAAGCTGCACTCATGGCCCGAACTAAGATCCATGCTGATACGAACATTTGAACCCAAATTAGATATTGGAGCCTGATAACATGAACTATTGCCAAGATACACGCAGCCTAGAGATTCAATCCCGTAAAGTAATTTCGGTGTCCTCGACTTTGAGATCAAATTCAAGCGTTTCATTGTGGTAGAGTAAGCCGAGGTCCGCTCGGTGACTGGATGCGGGGAAGTTCACTATTGTAGATCATATCAACGTTTAAAGCTTTCCTCATAAACATCTGAAGAGGAGTCATATAAAAGTAGCTTATATCTTGAACGCAAATATGAACTTTGACTTGCCCATCGAATTAAAATCCCACATCGATTCTCTAGACTCATTCATCAATGCTAAAATCCTTCCTCTCCAATACTCGGACGACAACAACCGATTCTTTGATCACAGAAGGGAGCACTCACGAACAGACTGGGAGAATAATGGCAATCCACGCTCCGAGTGGGAAGAATTACTAAAGAAAGCCCGTAATCTTAGCGACGAAGCAGGCTTTTACCGATTTGCACTTCCAAAAGAGTATGGCGGCAACGAACACCCCGATACGAATGTCTGGATGGCCGCAATCCGTTACCACCTGTCTTCCCATCCGGTATACGGAGGTGGTTTAGGCCTTGCAAACGATCTTCAAAATGAGCACAGCATTGTGGGCAATTTCCCCGACATATACATGATCCACCACTTTGGCAGTGAGGAACAGCGTCGCACACTCATCCCCGCTCGTCTTCGTGGAGAGTTCCGATCAACTTTTGGACTGACAGAGCCTGATCATGGGAGTGATGCCACGTTCATGTCCACTGTAGCTCGTCGTGTTCATGAAGGCTTCGAAATTACCGGTATGAAGAAGTGGCAGACTGGGGCACATCATTGCACACATCTTATTTGCTTTGCCCGGACTTCTGGCGTGGACGGATCTGCAAAGGGTATCACTGCCTTTTTGGTTCCGCGTGATTCTCCGGGAGTTCGAGTTGTTAGTTATGAATGGATAATGAATATGCCTACTGATCATGCTACGGTTGAGCTGGATCATGTGTGGGTACCTGAAAGTGCCATATTGGGTTCTCTTGACAATGGACTCGCTATTGCGCAAACATTCGTCCAAGAGAATCGAGTGAGACAGGCTGCTAGTGCGTGTGGTTCCGCTCACTTTTGTCTGGACAAGAGTATACTCCGTGCCCGTGAGCGCAAGATTTGGGGAGAAGGGAAAATGCTAGCAGATAACCAGGCGATTCAGTTTCCAGTTGTGGAACTTATGACACAAGTTGAGATGCTACGTTTGTTGATCTTGAAAACAAGCTGGGAGATGGATCGGATTGTTGCGGCAAATCGGTCATCAGGTAATAAAGTGCCACCTTGGGTTGAGATCGAGAGGAAGCTCAGCGATCAAGTGTCGATGTGTAATTTCTGGGCAAACCGACTGTGTTGCCAGGCTGCAGATCGAGCGATACAGGTCAGTCTGAGAATATACCTGCTAACTTGAAGTTGATCGGCATAGGCTGACTTGAATAGATTCATGGTGGTGACGGGTACTCTCGTCACTATCCCTTTGAGCATATTTATCGCCACTTCCGACGATATCGCATCACCGAAGGAGCAGAGGAAATCCAAATGCGGAAGATTGCAGCGTATCTTTTTGGATTTGCAGGACCAAAGAAGAAAGAGCTGGAAGAACAAGACAAGGTCAAGGCTAAGGCGAAGATTTGATCTTTGAAATTTGATAATATGAACAATAGTGAAATCATTTTTATTTGTATGGTATCTTTGAAAGAAAGAATTCGCTCAGAACCGCCATCTATAGAAAACCGACAATGCAGTTGCAGAATAAAAGACCGAAACGAGACACAACACTGGTTTCACTTGCCTCAGAGAATTGGTGGCGCCACATAATCTTGAGGGATGCCATCAAAAACCCAGTTCAGTGAGTCGAATACCTCAGAGAACCCAACCTCACTAAGGAATGCCCCACTTTCATCAAACTGGCCCGGGAGCATCAATGAGGGATCTTCCATGGAATTATCATGTTGTCGACTCATCGGTCCTACCGTCGTAGTAATGTCTAGGTTTGCTGCAGCCGCGGCAGCTGAAGCGGCAAGTTAGCAGGGATTATTTATAATGATTGAAACGGACTGAGCAACACTTACCTTGCATTTCTTCCATAGTCTTCACTGGACGGAATCGTTGGCGCCAACGCCACACGGTGTCATAGACATGACTCATGCTCATTCGGCAACGGACCTTCAGCTGAAGACCATCCTCTCCGGCTGGTTCGGGACCAGTTGCGTTCCACATTTGTGCGAGGATGTCAGCCAGGCGAATGGGTCGGTCGTGATCCATTACGCTAATTCTGCGAATGGCAGAGATGGCTCCGTTGAATAGAAGCTTCCCATGGTTGAAGTCAATATGACGGTTGAAATTACTCTTCAGGAGTTTCATCAGGGCAAAAGCAGCTGAAACAATCATCTGGAGTATATAATTTGTAGAATGGCCAATCAGCTCGCCTGGAGCGGTTTCCAGGTCCAACACTCGTCCTAGGAATGAAGTCGTTGCAATAAAGAGTTTGGTAAGATCATCACTGCGTGCGTTCGATCCTAGGAAAACGAAGTATCTGAAATGTAGCTCGGCGGCACGTAGATGAATCATATTGATCGCTAGAGCAAGTTGTTAGCAAAAAGAAAAAAAGCAGTAGAAGTCAAGCATGGCGACATACCAGAAATCTCCTGACCAACTTCAACCTCCATCTCCCTAAGTTCACTCTCCAGAATCTGGACAATGACCAGCTTGTCTGCGCTAATAAAATCTCCAGGTTCTGGCTTGCTACTGTAAAGAGCCTTAGTCACCCGATCACAGAACTTTTCAATGCGTAGTCGTATAGCAAGATCTGTGGGCAAGCGGTAATCTGCGTCTTTGAAAGAGATAGGCTCAAGAGCCCAGTCGTATATTGTGCTCGCAGGTTGGCCATATCCAGTCGCAACACTATGTCGATGGTCAATTGAATCCAAGGCACAATCATGGAGATGATACTCACTTCTGGGCTACTATATTGCAAATAATCCACGTATGCAAGCGATCCTTCATAGCTTCCCCTTGGACTTCCATTTGGAAGGTTGTGAACTGTTCCGGTTGAACTGGACGGTGTAATCCCAGCTGCATAGCAATTTGCATCATCAAACCACTAAGCATGAAAGTAGCATCTGTCCGTTGACTTGTGGTGGGAAGAGGCCATGTGCACAAAAGGCATAGTGCCTTGACAACTCGGTAATCCTGTGGAACATTGGTGATAGTTGACCATAAGAGTCGACTGAATGGTCCTGAAAGAGCTGTTAATAGCCCAGGATCCGACGGTGAGCGTCGACTGGCAATGCAGACAACAGTCCACGCCAGTAAAGGACACCGATTGAGGTAAACTTCTGGGGGTTTAGGTAGGTTGAGAAGAGGAAGAAATGGGTGGTAAAAGTTGTAGAATCTAGATACAACAGTTAGTCCAGTACTATAGTCAAAGAAGATAGTAGAGAGAAATACTGGTCAAATAGTCGACCGACACGAGCTCGAGAAAGCGCAATATCCTCTAGCCTCCAAGGTGTATATTCGTCCTGTGAAAGAATGGACCCAGATCGCTTCATAGTGAGCGGTGTCGCCATGGAAGGATGAGGTTCTAGTGGCACCGATACAGGACGTGATCGGTCTACCGCAGAAGATTCCCGACGGCGAAATACATCCTCAGAGCATTGTGACATTTCATCGCCAGTCTGATGGTCAGTTCCATGCTCCTGATCAGGATTTGTTGCAAGGCGGCGACGAAGGTCTGCAATCTCCTTTTCCATTTCCGCATTTCGTCTGAATTTTATTTAGTACAAGTATGTACAAAGATCACTGTTTGGAATATAGACGACGTATGTTTACCTTCGCTTAGAGATACGTTTAAAAGATTGCTCAACTTTGCAGTCGATTCCCAGCCGACGACAGCGTGAGCATGCCTCGGCTGGTGTTTGTACGATATCACATCGCAGCTGTGTATAGTAAGAATGGGATCAGTTTCGTGGTCGCTAGGGCATGTCACTAGCCAGGTGCTGGAGTACGCGTCTATGTGGCTTGGTGGAACGAGGGTCGGGTGAAATGGGCATGTATGTGGCTCACCTTCTGTTGCTTACACTCATTACAGGCCTTTCGGCTGCCACCTCGGCGCTTGCCCGTGACAGGCGGGGTCTTCTCCATCTCGCCTGAATCGGGGCTTCTTTGCATGAAGTCAAGGCCCGGAGGTGGCCGGGGTAGGCTGGGGGACCGAAAGTCGCTCTGGGGGATTAAATGTGGCCCATTCGGTGCCAACAGATTCCGATACTCCAAGTCCATTAAGATCGGCCTGCGTTTGTCCGATATAAAACCCCATCGAACGTGAGCAATCTGCTCGTGGTCAACATCTGCCGGAAATCGGAGAAATCGGGCGCAGATGAGGAGACTTCGAAAGGGGAATGCCCAAGGATTCGCCGTGGTGGGTCACATACGTTGGATGTGATTTGATGATTTCAACGAGCGGGAGTCGGCAGTTGATGATGAGTCAGCTGAAAGAATGTGACTGCCTTAATGCCTTAGGCTAGCCGTCAAAGGCGATAAGGCAGTAAGGCAACTATATTCGAGATGTGGACCTGACTGTGCTTGTTAACTTCAAGCTCAGAGAATTCAGGTGACGGAATAGAGAGGACTAACCGAAATTCTCAAAATTTGAGATTCATTCATTATTTCTAAAGTCATGTACCTAATGTACATAGCAGTTGTCTCTCAAAAGCACAAAAAATGCAGTCAGCCAATAATCGGGCGAACGTCGATCATGCGGGCATGATCGAGTGGATTGAGTGGATCAAAGCTAGAAAATGAGGGGGAAACAAGGATCAACACATATGATGCGCCCAGAAACCTTGGAAATCTTGCAATTCACGATGTGATTTGGGACCTTCATTTAGAGGTTCTTCTCTTCTGGAGAATCTTCTCTCCAGCACAGCTCTCCAAAGCCCCGATGGCTCGATTACTCGCGCTACTGGCGCTCGCCCTTGGCTCCACCGCATATCAGCAGCACTTATCCTTTGAGGAGGCGGAACAGTTCAATAGACTCCGCAGCTCAATTCGAAATGTTGTAGTTCTTGTACAAGAGAACTTATCGTTTGACCACTATGCAGGTGGTCTTACATACAACAACAGCATCGATGGTTTAGTGAATCGCCAATACTGCAACCCGGAGAATATCTCGATCCCCGATACCTCCCGTCAAGTATGTGCAGCCAATACAGCACAGAACGTCGCGGCAGATGATCCAAACCACAGTATATCGGGGATCAATATGCAGGTTTTCGGCACATATCATCCACTGATCGAATCCGAGTCCTCAATGGACGGGTTCATCACAGAACAAAGAGTTTCATACCGGATAGAGCGTTTAGAGAATCAACAAGCACTGGATAGGCCTGAGAGACCTGTTATACATGATGAGACACGAGATATGAGGTCTGAAATGATAGAAACGTTGGAGCGCGAACGTGCGGCTGAGGTTATCGACTACTTCACCCCAGAACATATACCCGTTTTCAACGCCATCGCCAAGAACTACGTTCTATTTGATCGGTGGTTCGCCGCTGTTCCTGGGCCAACAAATCCCAACCGAGCATATTTGACTTCTGGGACATCCTATGGTCACGGTCGGAATGATTTTAGTTTCCTACTCTCGGAACTCCCACAGAGATCAATCTTTCAACAGCTATCAGAGAAAGGAATTAGCTGGACCAATTATGAAAACACAACCAGATCTTTCCCCGGCTTTTTACCGGATGCTATGTTCTACGAGTGGACCGCGAAATCGATCCACAGCAAGACTAGCATTAAGCCCATTGAGAAATTCTATGAAGATGCCGCTAATGGTGACTTACCTCGATTCACTTGGATCAATCCCGAATGCTGCAAATACATGTCCATGCATCCGCCATCACCTATAAATATGGGCGAAAATTTCGTGAAGGGTATTTATGAGGCTGTGCGAAACTCACCTCAGTGGAACGAAACACTGTTCATTTTAACATGGGATGAACATGGAGGGTTCGCGGATCATGTTCCTCCTCCAATGAATGTACCACCCGGAGACAGTCTGCCATATACGGAGAGAGCCGCTGATGGAGAAGATTACATATTCCATTTTAATCGCCTGGGAGTTCGAGTCCCAACAGTTCTTATCTCTCCATGGGTTGGAAAAGGTCTTATTCAGAATAGACCGGATGGAGAAAATGAGTTCACTCATACTTCCATTCTGAAAACTCTTTCTGAGTTGTGGGATCTGGATATCCTTACGCCAAGAGTGGAATGGTCACCTTCGTTCAAACATTTGATCACAGATGAGTTTCGGGATGACACCCCAGCATGGCTACCAGATGCGGCGGACTTTTGAACATCATATGAAAATACATCCAGCGACTTTAATCGTCTTGTGAAATATACTAGTATTTATACATTAATCTCCAGGGCTATTCTATGACAATATGGGTATTCAACAAAACTTCCTCAAAACATGAAACGAAAAAAGAAAGAAAGAAAGATAGTAAGCGGATTGCTAATGTGAGTCCTTTTTGCAAGAGGTCTGAGCAGAAGCCCTCTTACGAACGCACGAAACTGAACATCCGCGAGGTCTTGCCTCGGGTAGACTTCGAATTTTGTGTAATAGCCGAATTGCGTGTATTCACACGATCAATATCGTAGGGACTCGCCTCGTATGTCTCAGTGCGTTCCAAAGACGAACGAGAAGAGGTAGAGGCGCTGTCAACGGAAGTTCGTACTGGCTCTGCAATCTTGTTCTGCTCGGTGACCTCATTTGTCTCCTCAGCCACATTCTCCACAGGCTCCTCGACAGCTTGCTTTTCATTGGCCTTGCTAGCCAATTTGCGCATAAATTCGTCTGCCTCGGCAGCGTATTTGCACTTGCGACGGATAGCCGGGCCATAACGGTAGAAGATAAAAGGGAATGGCACACATGCGAGTGACAGGAAGGCAGGAACACAGGAGGCCCAATGGATGCCAAGGTTATCGTACATGTATGTTGTGAACAGTGGGAATCCTGCACCGAAACACGAACGAATGATCGAGTTGGCTGCGAGAACAGATGCCGCGTAGATGGTGTATGAGTCGATAAGATAATTCATAATACCGAGGAAGACGAAGACCATTCCGAAGCCGAAAGGTGCGGTGGCGATTACACAGACGATCCAGTGGATAGAAGGGTAATTTGTCCAGGCAAACCAGAAGAGACCAATTGGGATGGCAAGTCCACCCAGCATGGTTGGTGGAAGACGTGCTTCGGGTGGTGCGAACCCGTTGTGTGCCTTATGAATGCGAACATAGCGCTTGTTATCGTACATATTCAAGCCAACAGCAATCATCATTCCAGTCATCACAGCAAGGAAAGGTAAGCTACCGACACCTTCGCTCCATCCTCTAATTTCCTGGAAGACGATAGGGAAGGCATCGAATAGCATATAGAGGGTTCCGTAAACAATGGCCATATAGATGGAGAGTAATAGAACGATAGGCTCGGCGAAGAGAAGAATCCATGGGCGCTTAAGCGCAGTACCGAAAGCAGCTCCGGTAGAAACCTTTCCTCGTTCCATCTCCAGCTTGCTGCGATAGACTTTCCCAGTGATTTCCGACAAGCGCTCTGCTCTCTTGCGCAGCAGAACGGGGGCGTAGGTTTCGGGAACTACCAGCACTCCTATGATCCAGATCAACCCAGTAAATACGGCCAGGAAGCCTTGCACCCATCGCCAACCAGCGTTCTCTCCTAAGAAGCCTCCAACGACAGGGCCTAGTGTAGGACCGAGGAAGGGTGCTCCAGCGAAGAGACTAGTAGCCAAGCCACGGTTCTCAGCAGGGAAGATATCAGCAATGACACCACCGGCGTTTGTAAAAGGCGATGAGCCAAAGGATCCGGCGAAGAAACGAAGGATGATTAGAACATAGGCATGTTGAGAACCTGCTGCGCCTGCACAGAAGGCAGCGAGTGAAAAGAATGTAATCAAGAACACGATCTGACGACCGATGAGTTCACTGAGAGGAGCCCAGAGTAGAGGGCCGACTGCAAAGCCTAGGACGAACAAGCTGACACCTAGTGTAGCCACTTCTTCGCCGACGTCCAGGTCCACAAGGACTTGATCCATACCTCCTGCATATGCAGAGGAACATAGGGAAACGGCAAGTGTGGCGAATGCCACTAAGATGGTGTATGACCACTTCAGACTGGCATCGAATTCCATCGGATTGCGAGGATCATTGGGGATCCATTCGACGACATAGGGGTCATCATCGGTACCTGCTCCGGTGTAAGGATATTCGATTATTTCAGGTGTGCAAGCCCCTTGATCGGTGAGGACACGCCAGTAAGGGATGCGAGATGGACGCGGTGCTTCAACGGCAGGGCCTTTCTCTGCTGAAGACATGGCGGAGGATTTCCAGTAGACTGGAAGAGTCGTCCAAGATTGTGTATAGAAATGCTGCACCGAAATTTCAAGGTACAGAATTTTGGGGCGTCATGTTGTTTTGTAAGACCTAAAATCCCATTCTGTATGACAACGTGATGCAGATCAAACCATGTTTTTCACCCTGGAATGCACTAGCAAAATGAAAATATGAATTAGGCATTCTGATTGCTTGGTATGTCATATTTCCCCACTGGGTGGGGTGAAAGTGTCGCTCTTCCCGAGCCCGTAAAGGAGGCTCGGTTGTGGTGTCGGCAAGCCGATCGATCGCATATCCGTCCAAAACCACTGCCGCAAGCCCTGGAGCTGAAGCCTCGGCTTGCTGAGATCGTGTACTTTGTAGTACATGTACGGTACCCGCTGGTCGTATTTATGACGGACCCACCTCGGCTTTGAGTGTTGATCTTTGCCGAATGTTTATTTCCAGGATTATCTCCATGGCTCTCTTGTTTTAAATCTTTTTATATCTGCTCTATCTTAATCCAATCCAAGGTTACTGTACTCTGTTCAATGTACCATTTAGTCTTGAAGTTGAGTTTCCATTTGGCACAGGATAAGAGATTATCCGGCGATGTTCACAACTCATCACCAGTAGTCTATCGGGGAATATCGGGGTTGAACTTTTTAACCCGGTTGGATACGCGTTACCAGTAGTAATCAGTTCTTCATGGAGAACATTTGAACATAAATGGCACTATTAGGAAACAGAACATTTTGAATAATAGCACAAAGATCATGATAGAGTATCGCAATTGTAAATTCTAGAGTTGAAGCATTCAAGTTGACCTCGGCCATCTATGCCCAGCTGGGAAATGACCAGATGCACATATAATGCAAGGAGGATGATCTAGACTGGAAAGAGAACTAGCTTATGAATTTGAATGTCCGATTTTTGCATCTGCAAATCTTTACGATGAGACACATTGACCTCGGCAGCTCCAAATTATGACGCAGGCTAATCTGCCAAAGCCACCTGACACACTACTGCAGGGTTAGCACATCCAAGGCTGAAGTGGATCTTTGTGGCTCTCGGGATCGATTAGGTCATTGCAGACATTTCCTTTCTCCATTTTCGGATATTGACTCGCCAGGTGAAAGAGGACCTCGCAGTTACTTGGAGACAAGATCTGGATTGAATAATGATCATAGCAGGCGTAAGCAGGAGAAAAAGATGGAAATATCAAAGTAAACGACAATAGCTGGAATGAACCGGGGATCTTGAAACTTGAACTGGAGTCAACTGGTCGGATGCGCATCGATGTGAGAGGTGACATCTGGAGATGCTGCAAATAGCCTCACTTCCAAGGCTGATACTAGTACTTCCATCACACAACATCAATCATGATATATCACTCAATCTTGATTCAAGTTATTTTTGATTTTTTGAAAAAAGGAATACAAAGAGCGAGTCTGAAAATAGTGTAAATAAAAATATCAAAAATTTAAAAGAAAGAAAAAAGGAATTGTTTGCGTCAGAGGCTGCCTCCCTGCCCCCCGGTGTCAACTCTAGAGTCAGAGTCCGCTAACCACTAGGCTAGCTGGGTTACTTTCCTCACCCTGAAACCCAGTTACATGAAAGCCCTTACAGTATTTGCCGTGTTTGCATTCAAATTTTCACCACCACATAGACTCGTCCATATAACATTGAACTTGTTGCCCTTTGGATTTTTCAATAGTGAGATTATCATGATCCCTCTATAAGTACTAGTAATGTGATATTGAATTAGATCATCTCTATTCAAGTGTTTTATACGATTGCGGTGTACATGTTGTTTTCTGTTGCGCCTGTTTACTTCTAAGCAACAACTATAAGTGATCATCCATATTATCTTGATAGAAGCACCGTAGAAGGAAAAAGAGTCTCCACTTAGTGTGAGGCGTCCACGTCCATATGACTAGTGAGTAACTTAGTAACTTAGTGAGTTCGATCTCCCAATGGCATGTCTTCGGAGAGCCCGAGCCGAGATCACGTGATATTCACTGTGAACATAGTCGCCACGTAAAATGAATGACATTATATGTGGTATAGAGTGTGTTTGGGGATATAAAAGTGCTTATCACTCTATTTTTCATACATATGACCAATCTAGATTCAATCTAATCGTGATCTCTTTCCTTTCTGGTTCTGTTTACCTAAGAAAAATAAGAAAAGACAGCATCTCCGCGTGTTAAATAAGTGGGGACTTCAAAGGACCCACATTATGCAAGCGAAAGCGGAAATTCTCCATCATGATAGGGAAGAAAAAAAAATCTTGCCGAGCTTCTTCTTTCATTATTGAATATCATAATAGAGCTCTGTCCAGCTGCCCCTGGACATTTGTTTAAGCTTGTCTAGCTTGGTCAGGAGCAAGTCCCAAGTCGCTGTGGTCCAAAATGGCTCCCAGGAATGTCATCTCGGTGACCCCGAGCAGGGAATCCTCCTCCTATGTCTCTGGCATTGATTTTGGAACCGAGCAGAAGCAGGTCCAGGATATCAAGATGTTTGATGCCGAGCAGAATGAGGAGTCAACTGAGCCAGGTCAGCTGAAGCGTCGCCTTAAGAGTCGCCACTTGCAAATGATCGCCATTGGTATGTTCAAAACCTCTCTACTTAGATAAAGGTTTCGCAAGCTAACAGGATGCCTTAGGTGGAACTATCGGAACTGGTGAGACTTCAATGGGGGATGAATAGACTCGCGAGCAATCACTAATGCCTATTAGGTCTCTTCATTACTAGCGGAACTGCTCTCAACGAAGCCGGTCCCGCCGGCGCTCTTATCGCATACATCTTTGTCGGTACGATTGTCTTCTCTGTCATGGTCGCTCTGGGTGAAGTTGCAACCTTCATTCCTATCACCGGTGCCTTTACCTCCTACGCTGCGCGCTTGATCGATCCCAGTCTCGGTTTTGCCATGGGTTGGATCTACTGGTTTAATTGGGCTTCTACATTCGCGGTTGAATTGACGGCTACTGGAACAATTATTCAATACTGGAGGAATGATCTGAATATCGCTATCTTCATTGGTGTATTCTGGGTCTTTATTACAGCTCTGAACTTCATGCCTGTTGGCTTTTACGGCGAAGTGGAGTTTTGGTTCTCCACTATCAAGGTTGCCACAGTCATTGGATTCATTATCTTCGCTATCTGTGTCGACTGTGGTGTTGGAGACCAAGGTTACCTGGGTTTCCACTACTGGAAGGAACCTGGTGCTTTTGCTGAATACCTGGTTGATGGTGCTGTTGGTAAATTCGTTGGTTTCTGGGCTGTATTGATTCAGGCTGGTTTCTCTTACCAAGGAACTGAGCTGGTTGGTATCGCGGCCGGTGAGACTGAGAACCCCCAGAAGACGGTCCCATCTGCCATTCGCAAGACCTTCGTGCGTATCGGCCTGTTCTTCGTTTTGACCATTTTCTTCATTGGTCTGGTTGTTCCTTACGACAACGGCGATCTTCTAAACGGCACAAGCAACGCATCCTCTTCACCAATGGTTATTGCCGCCAATCTTGCTGGCATCAAGGTTCTACCTAGTCTGATCAACGCTGTCCTCTTGACTGTGGTTCTGTCAGCGGCCAACTCGAACGTGTACAGCGGTAGCCGTGTCTTGACTGGATTAGCTCTTGAAGGATTTGCGCCCAAGTTCTTCGCCCGCGTTACCAAGAAGGGTGTCCCATATATTAGTGTTGCTTTCACTGCCGCATTTGGTCTTCTCGGTTTCATGAACGTCTCTAACAACGCAGGCAAGGTTTTCAACTGGCTTGTGAACCTTTCCAGTGTCGCTGGCTTCATCACCTGGTCTTCGATCAATGCCTGCCATATTGCATTCATGCGTGCTTGCGCTGCAAAGGGTATTTCTCGTGATGATCTTCCTTATAAGGCGATCTTCCAGCCTTGGTTGTCCTGGTATGGCCTGTTCTTCAACATCCTTATCGCTCTTACTCAGGGCTTCACATCATTCATCCCTACCTTCAATACCTCCGATTTCTTTGTGGCATACATTTGTCCCATTGTTTTTGTTGTCCTCTACGCCGGACACAAGATTTGGACACGAGCTCCTTTCATTAAGCCCATCGAGGCTGATCTTGATTCCGGTCGAATTGAGTATCAGAAGGAAGTGGAGCTGCCTCAGCCGTGGTACAAGAAGGCATGGGCTTGGATCGCAAACTAGAGTGAGGATTTGAGAGATGTTCAATTTTTATTAGTTATGAGTGTAAATTAGTCTTCATGTGCGATGTAGTCATTTCTCACAGCGAACACAAATGCATAGTATTTCAGCACTCATCTTGCTATATGTAATACTCTCAGCCTTGGAACATTCAAGTTTGAGTCTATACCTGGCTTCAAGTTGAAATGACTAAGAAATTTCGACCATTTTTCAGCACTGGCAGTGGCAATGGATTCCAATATTGTTTAATTCAGTGGAAATCTTAACAAGTTAACAAACACGCACTGAGAATTATAGAAATCAAACATAGGAAATAATTCAAGTTCTATGCACTCCTGAATTGGATTGTGCCACTTCTTTTTTCTAGAATTTTGGAGATCAACATGAGCTATTTGGTTCCACTAGTATCTACAGTCTTCACAATCCACGAGTTCCTCCCAATACCGGTAATTCCATACATAAACATTTTGTACCTCACACCCACTTGAACTGTCTTGCCACCACAGATACGCCACCTACCAGGGCAGTGACACCCGTGCAAACAACTAGTGGACCAAAGCCACTACCATACGCCCCCGATGCTCGGCCCTGCCAAGTATCCGCCTTTAGTAGGACTTCACTTAGAGGACCACTAGCAACGTTGCCAATTCCACGTCCAAGTTCCATAAAAGGGAAGATGACGGTCGCATCTGCCTCTGGATTCGCGCGCTGGATTGCCTGGGCCACTCCTGACCAGGTCGAGGAATAACCACCTGCTAGGAGCCCATACGCAACACAGAAAACATAAAGAGTTGGGATTGATACAGCGAAACCCCAAATGAAAAACACTGAAAGCACAGTGCCGACAGTTAAAATGAGGATCGGAGTAGTAATGTGATACCGATCTGAAAGGAAGCCCACTAGGACGGAACTGAAGACAGATGTGAGGTTGACGAGAGTGACGGTAAGCGATGAGAGAAACTCGTTTGCGCCGAGGCTGCGGGCGTAGGTTGGGAGGTATATGGTTGGCAGGAAGAATCCTAGTGCTTCTATGGTGTTGGCAAGTTGATAGATGTTGTAAACTCTGCTGTACAAGAAACGGAAGTTGAGTCGATCATGGCGGACGGTTTTGCCTGGTGGCAGTCTCGGTCGGTGCCAGTATAGGAAAGGTGCGGCGAGAATGAAGAGACAAACTGCGGAGACTCGGAGAGTGGTCTCGATTCCGTATTTTCCAAGAAGCCATTCGATGGCGAGAGGAAATATCACGCCTGAAATACCTGACCCTGCCTGGTTCGTGAGATGAATTAGTGAGCGTTTGTCTCAGTTCAAGGAAAGCGTGCAGCTGACATACCCAAACAATACCAAACGCCAATCCTTTCCGTCTATGGAACCATTCAGACATGTATAAAATGGACGGCGTGTAGGCAAAACATCCACCGATGCCAAATCCGATACCTTGGGAGAGAATGAGATGTGTAACATTCGTGGCGAAGGAACTTAGTGCCAGTGAGAGACACATTATCACAACACCCATCGTGGACACCCAGCGTGCTAGCCGGGGAACCATTATCATCATCACGATTGCCAAAGGAGCAATTAAGTATGCCAAGCCCTATCAATATCATTAGTATGATTTCATGGAGCGAAGAGTAAATGAAACATACCATGGCACATGTCCCAATGACAGCTATATTCTCTGATCCTTTGAATGGTTCGTGTACACTATAATAATCCTGGAAAATGCCGAAAGCAAAGGCGTATCCTTCCAAGTCATCCATATTAGCGCTGAGCCCCGTCGAGATTACAAACGTTCTCCGTTCATGTATAGATGAATTACTTACCCCAGACCAGCGCCTCTAGCATGGCGGAAGCTAGTAAGAAGAGCCATGCCTGAGCCCCTCCATCGATTGGAGGCAGGTCTTCATTATCAAATTCACCATCAAAATTCTTTTCCCCGCATGAGCTTGTAGGTGAGAATGATTTGGAGCTGCTGCTATTGGTTCTTGTAGGATACTCATCAAACTCCACCAAGCATAGTGATGAATCTTTATTTTCAGTGTTTGTCGAAGTCATCTTGGCCGATAGCTTTTCGGGTTTTCGGGCTCGAGGGACGCATAGGCCCATATATAAAGGAATTTTGCAGTTTCCAACAGAGCATGAGATAAGAGAGCTGCATGAGCTTAGAATATGACGAATTAAATAGTATCCTATAGCTTCTGGTTAGCTGTATCCGCCAATATGGTCATGGCGGAACAGCATACTTGACATCCGATAGGCTGTGGATATTTTAGCAATGTGACACTGAATCCCTAGATCGACCATTTTACACGTAGGCCTTTTATGTCACCTGGGCAAAGCCTTCGGTTTATTTCATACCGCTTGTGGGGAGTAGACCTTGGAGCTAATCATCGGCAGTCTGGTCCTGGAGCAGTGACAAATCAGGTGTGATATGAAACACCCTTCCTTGTCCTGCAGCAAAAAAATCCTGTATAATTCAAGTATATCATATCCGGAACATTTGAACATGATTCAACAACCAAGTCAAGCTCTCGGAAAGATTGAAGATGTGGATACGCCGCGCAATTGTTGAGGGCTGGAAAATGGCAATGGAATGTTGATCATCGCCACTCCACAGCGCGGTCGATCCTGTCGGAGACTTTCAATTCTCCGAAAATAAGCCTTTCAATTGGCCAAAGATACAGCACAAGGGGTATCATGAGCTATCAAGCTCTTCCCTTGCTTGGCAAAATTCATAGTGGGGTAATAACACAGAAGAATTATGCCTGAGCATAGGAAGACGATCTCGAACAATGAAGGTGAACCGATTGGACTGTTATTGAATCCGTTCAAGAGATGCAGAGAAGATCTGGCAGAACAAAGCTATGTATCTGCATAGAAACAACAAACATGTGGGGAAAGCTCCTTGAGAAGAACGATGATCAGAGGCAATTATTTTCATCGTTTCGTAACTCGCTACATCATAATACACATTCTTCAAACTTGAAACTCACTCTTCAAGGCTTTCTCGAAAACTCAGATACCGGTGTATAATGGGTGCCAGTGGTCAGTGGTGTCCTCAACCTTGCGTCATTCCCTGGCCTTTACAAGTCTCTTTAATTTGTCGAGCTGGAAAGTTGGCACCCTTACCCAGGTGCCTTGACCAATGTTTTGGGAGATAACAAGTCAAGATTAGCCGGGAAATTTTAAATTTCGTCATGGAATCTAAGAGAAAGTTTGATACTGTGGCATATTTACTGCCCATATGCCTGCTTATGTACATAACTGGTGTGACAAAGAAAGAAATTGGGTGAAGCCCATAGTAGATATTGGGATCAAAAGGGTTGGGCTAACGACTAGTGAGTTAGATCGGAGTAAACTCCAAGCTACGGACTCAGAGTAGCTGACTACTAGCACTTTGCTCCGAACCTTGGGACCTAAAGCTTGAAACATTCTCAATAATGAAAAGAACCTTGGAATATCGCCTATCTCCAGATGTCGTTTTGTCAAGCAAATATGACGCAGGGGGAGATGTCCGAAATCAGCATATGCGGCAAGGTTGAGGAGAAAGATATTACTGTCTAATTAGTACGTCATGCGGCTCGAAATTTTATGTTTAATCTAATAACTTCAAAAATTTCAATGTGTCCAAACCACATAAACACGTCCCTGTCCAGGTGGTGGTTATACTTACCAAATTCGGCGAGCACCCGAGATGTGGGGAACCTTGTCTCCGCAAGTCAACAAAGCCCCCGCATCTCTCCCATTGACTTACATATGGGAGTATACCTGGAGTGAGATTTAAGAGAGAGATGAAAAGAGGGTATTTTGAGAAATATGAACGGAAATATGACAAAGAAATTTTGGTAAACTTATTTAACCCATCATGGATGATCCAGTGAGTACACGAGCGCTGCGAGTTGGACACCCCAAGAATACTAAAAGGACACCCTTCGCTTGATTAGGCTTAGCTTATACAGCTCCATACACATCTCGCTGCGCCTAATGTAATTAATCACCCACATCAATGTGGCATATCTGACCACTCCTGATCAATCTACCATCTTGCCATCCAGTTCTCCTATAGCCTAAGATTTTATGAATAAGCCTACTTTAAATGTTCTTATGATCCCTGGGCCTGTAGTATAACCAAAGTACTAGCTAGTAGTTTATTTTAGAACTTGAATCCACATAATGATCTTTCAACATACACATCAAGATAAAAAAGAAGATGGATACAACATTTTGAAGTACTTAAGACTAATATCTTCAAGTTCTCCACATACACTAGCACTAGTAGCTGGAGAAATCAAGAAGGCTATAGTAACTTAAATATCCTAAATCAACTTCCCCTTAGCTACCTAATCTCAAGCTACTGCTTCCTTTAGTTAATTACACTTTATCCATTAATAACGGCAAGGTAGAAGGTAGAGATAGACTAAGGAGTGATCAGATATGCTACATTGATGTGGGTGATTAATTACATTAGGCGCAGCGAGATGTGTATGGAGCTGTATAAGCTAAGCCTAATCAAGCGAATGGTGTCCTTTTAGTATTCTTGGGGTGTCCAACTAGCAGCGCTCGAGTACACTGTTGAAGACAACCGATTCACGGCGATGACGAAAGAGGAAGGCTGAACCACTCCACTCTTCACTAACATGGCAGGTTGAACCCCACCAACAGGAGAAGATGCGATGGAAGCTACTTTACCGCTGGAGAGTATTTCACTTTAGAAGTCCTCGTGTCCATAATTCCTGTGAGTTACACCAAACAACAGAATAATGGCTCCATCAGTTCTCATTGACCAAGCAGCCGACTCATCGGTCCCTGTTGCGACTAAGTCGCTTAATAACACGATCATCAAGGCTTCGCATCCTAATCCTTCACTGCAAGTGACAGCAGATCATAAGCTGAAGTCGGTCGATGCACCTGTGTACGCACCTGGGCGGGGTGAGGTGCTTGTTCATATCAAGGCGACCGGAATCTGCGGATCAGATATTCATTTCTGGAAAACAGGTCGGATTGGATCGTTAGTTTTTGAAGGAGATTGCATCATTGGTCATGAAGCTTCAGGAATTGTTCTGCAGTGTGGTGAAGGAGTCAGCCACTTGAAGGCTGGTAAGGAACATTCAATATATGCATTGAGTTCGAGATTCTATACTAACGATTCTATCTTAGGCGACCGAGTGGCCGTCGAACCTGGCGTACCCTGCGAAGAATGTTTTCTCTGCGACGAAGGACGTTATAACCTATGTGAAGACGTTCACTTTGCCGGTGTCTACCCTTATCACGGTACCATTCAGCGATACAAAGTCCACCCCGCCAAGTGGCTACACAAGCTTCCCGACAACGTCAGTTTCGCGGAGGGAGCTCTCCTCGAGCCTCTTTCTGTAGTGATGCATGGAGTTAAGACTGCAGGACTAAGCCTAGGCCGAGGTGTTGTCGTCTGTGGTGCTGGCCCCATTGGATTAATTGCTTTGGCTGCAGCTCGAGCCTCTGGTGCCCATCCTATTGTCATCACTGATTTGGAGCCGTCACGTCTGGCCTTTGCTAAGGACTTTGTTCCTTCTTGTATCACCTACCAGGTAGATCTTGCCAAGGATGCCCAGGGTAACGCTCAAGCTATTCGTGCTTTGTTTGGAGACTCGGAGTATGTTGCACCGGAAACAGTGCTCGAGTGTACGGGCGTGGAGAGTAGTGTTTGCACAGCTACGTATACTGCACGACGTGGCGGTACCGTGATGGTCATTGGCGTGGGAAAGGCTATCATGAACAATCTTCCATTTATGCATATTTCTTTGGCTGAGGTATGTTGGTTGAAATTTGAAGTGATGAAGTTGAACAAGTGCTAATAACTTTTAGATTGATCTACGGTTTATCAATCGCTACCGCGACACCTGGCCACCGGCCATCGCATGTCTGAGTGGCGGTATCCTGGATTTAAAGAAGCTGGTCTCTCATGTCTTCCCCCTTGAGAAGGCAGAGGATGCACTGCACCTTTGTGCTGATACTCGTAATGGGAGTATCAAGGTCTTAGTTGTTGACGAACAAGAAGCCTCTTTATAGCGACCGAATGAATTTACTCTAGACCTTATGAATACAAAACTTGAAATAATCTTTAAACGTGTTGGAAAACAGATTGCTATCAAGTATGTGTTTGGAGATGGGCTTTTGTGCCCATAATGAAAAATCTTTCATGTTTCCAGAGTAGACAAGGTACAAGTAGACGTGGAGAGTACTTGGTATATTAAATTGTAGTGGAGTACTACTAGATCGGTGGCGTTGCGTGACAGTAGATGGACTCGATAGGGACAGGATCGTTGTTAGAGTGATCGCCAGGATTCAACAATGTGTTTCTACCAGTGCAATCAGGGCCCCTATAGACGGAATGAATTAGTATACACTCTTTGCCCTTCCCAGGATCGTGGTCAACTGGTATGGATGTGGGCACTTACGTGAAAACACGGCAGTACTTCTTAACCGAAACTGTGAGGACCTCACTATAGGCAAGTTAGATCTGTGTACCAAGCGGCTATCAATTGACCTTTAATTGGAGCTGGACTTACTCTTCTGCGACCTCGTGGCAATCGTCCAATGGAACATTAATGCCCTTGCTATTGTCGGTTGTTTCAATGCCAACCTATCGGCCACGTTAGCACTTTGTAGCGCTGGATCTTCAACGTATACTCACTGTTGTCCTCTGGGCATCCTTAGTCGCAAGGACCGAGACGAGCATGAAGCTCAGGAGTGTAAGTTGCTTGATTCCATACATGATGCAAGATGCAGTCTGGATGTCAATGGAGTATGGGTATTGACCAGGGTAGTGTATGAACGGCGGTTGGCCGTGGCGCGAGAAAGCCCATTTTAAAATATCCCTTGCATTTCCAGTCAAAAAGAAGGAAAACAATTTTTTGCAGGGTTGAATGGTCTCTAGGGATCGGAATGCATGACCCTTGGTCGATTTTTCTTAGTGGCTGTAGATGACTCCGCCGATCTCACTCGTTCTTCCCCACAATTTGGCACTTCTCCCTGCCAAACCACCATGTATCCCCCTTCCAAACGGCGACGCCTCACCAACGAGGTCCAATTCCCGGAATTTGATGGAGACCCTTCCACCCTGTCATCCCCGCAGAATACCAACAATATGAATAATGAATGGCCTGTCCAAATGCAGGGCCACGCTCCTGCATATACTCCCTCCGATTCCACAGACGGCCCTTCTTTCGCCTCCCCACTCGGCACCTCCAGTTGGGCCCACGATGGGTTCTCGCATGATCCGGGGTTCCTTGCATCGCAGGAAGAGCTAAGATGCATGCTCTTCACTGTCGCCCACTCCGCCGCGCCGACACGGGCACCGAGTCCGGATGAACATGAGCAAGAAGCCGAGGGGTCGCACTACAGGGAACGATTGCAATTGCGACCGGCATTTTCAAACATACGCCGAGTTCGATACTTGAAGAATTATGTCGGACAGGTGGCGCCCTGGGTAGGTGGCTTTGTGTTGCCGTTCTTCCGGAGCTCTTGTGAATGGGATGACTGATGGATTTTCAACAATACAGCTCGACATGTTCGACTCCCAGTGTACCTTTCGCGTTCAGATACCCGCCCTCGCTCGGACTTTTCCCGCGCTACTCAATGCGGTGCTTGCAATTTCAGCCCGACAAATGGAACGGAAAGAGGGTATCCAGGATTCATTCGATAGTCTGGAATTATATCAAGAGGCTATTCGTCTCCTAAGCCCCCCTGCTACAAATGCGGGACCCCAAGGTCGTTGCTGCTTGTGTGCTACTTTGCTGCCTCGAGATGATGTCGGCGCGTGCACAGGACTGGCGGAAACATTTGGAAGGCTGTACTGCATTGTTTGAGGCCTTTGAAATACATGGCTTCAGCGGGGGCATACTACAGGCGGTGTTTTGGTGCTACGTTCGAATGGGTAAGTGATGCGAAAGCTGCGTTGCTCAATTTAGAAAGTTAACATATTTAGATGTGTGTGGTGCATTGATTTCTGATGGCACAGAAAGCACCCTTCTTCGTCCTAGTAAATGGCTTGCGCCGGATTGCCACGAAGATGATGTGGCGCGGCTATTCCAGGCCGCACAATCCCCAGACATGCATGCAAATTATGCCGTGTATCTCTGTGCAAAGACATGCGAACTGGTCTCAGACCGCACCCAGTTTATCGAACTGGGCGTACAGAATGACTGCACTGGCGAAACATTCAATCGTCGTTGGCTTCGATTATGGGATGACCTGCAACAGTGGGTTGAGGATCGGCCTTCGGAGCTATTACCAGTTCACACTAGCTCAACGAAGCCCTTCCCTCATATCCTGTTCCTACACTGGGCGGCAATCTCATCGAATCAGCTCTATCACACAGCATGTATTCTGCTTCTCAATACAATGCCCAAGGCCATTAAGCTCCGATCAGCGCCGATTGTTTCTCCATTGTGGCATGCTCGGCGAATTTGCGGTATATCTCTCGCGAATCCACACCAGGGATGTTTGAACAACGCTATACAACCACTGTGGATTGCAGGCCGACTTTTCAGCCACGTCTCAGAACATACGGTTATAATCGATATTATTCGGAAGATAGAGGCCGAGACTGGTTGGGGTGCCTGTTGGCGTATTCGCGATCTTGAGCTTGCTTGGGGGTACCAATTTTCGCGTCGTCATCGGTCCTCCACCCAGCGGCTGGCATCTACAGCGGGATGAGCATCCTTGTGGAAAAGGGAAAGTTATCATGTCTCAAGAACGCCCCATTCTTCTTGAAGGTCATGTAGTAGATTTCCCACATCCCATCCTGTGATGGTTCTAATACGATTAAATCCAAGGAGGATTTCCTGCTGCTGTACCTCATGGGTCATCCGTCGAGCTGCTGTCAGGAATGATGCCAGAAGACATGGATCCCAGCATTCGCGTCTTTCATTATTCAATGCAATGCTGCATATTCTTTGCGCATGCCATAATGGTGACATTCTGGCTGAACGAAATTCTGAGGTCCGAGCAGTTCGCGGTCGATTATGCAGTAGTATAAGCATGGCAGTATGATATAGCTGACTGCTAAATACACCAGCTCCATTTGCAAAAAGGACCACTGGGAAGCTTTGTCCCAGGCCTCCTCGGTGCTCCGCCTCAAGCTCTAGCATAGGCTGGAATCCTTGCGGCCGCTCTTGATACCAGCTCTCGAGCTCTTCTACCAACTGCATCCAAGTATGCAAAGGCGGAACTTGCGGCGAACTCTCGTCATGTGTGAATTGTATAGCTCTCCCACAGAGCCATAAAGGACGGTGGGCATAACAGAAAACCGAGCCAAAGGGGTCGCTCCCAAAGTCGGCATCGGTCATATATGGGGGTGACGGAGGCAAAGGAATCTGGAGGTTGGTGTCCGTGGCTAAAGCTGCGGCAAGGTCTGAGACCAATCAATTTTCAGTTTTCCTCTCAGACACGCCAACCTGCATGATATTGGAACATACCTAGTCTGACCAACAACCAGTATACTGCGGAGTTGAACTCCCTGTTAAGGGCATGCGGGCTCAACGCCTCAAACAGCTCACCATTTGTAAGCCTGTCTCTGGTCCAAGCACTGGAAACATCAACCACGCAGTTCTTTGCCGCACCCAACGCGCGCAGAAAGGCGATTGCGCCCAAGTCCAGCTGTGCGTCTGACCTATGATCCTGGTTTGAGGATTGTAGTTTATTCATTGATATTTCTGACAGCGTCATGACAGAATCATACACAGCTTGCGATATCATGGCCAGCTGTAGACCTTGAATCCCAAACGTCTGACCTTGGTCGCAAATATCCAACTAATCACGTTAGCTTTTTGGTCCGACACACTAGTAACTATGTGGACTCACCCAAGGAGCTATATTATAACGATAATGACGTAGTAGCTCAAGTGTTTCTGTTGAGGAGAGATCATGTTTTGCATGAGGCGGATTTAATATTTGATCCAGCGAAGAATACGCAGTCACATCTGGCAGTTCCAATGGGGCCATTGGTTCTCTCGTAGGTGGTGAGATGGCGAAGTCTGATAAAGTGAGATTGGGCTCAATTATTTCATCCGTACTCGTCCCAAGTGCCAGCAATCCAGCCACCGCGGATTCATCCTTATCCGTAAATGCGCTAGTAATAGGCCGCGGCGTGTGCTGAGTGACTTCATCAGATGGCCACAGGTGCGCCGTTTTGAATATATTCGACTCTGTAGGGTTTAACTCGGGCTCCGGTTCCTGCTCTGATAATACTTGGCTTATTTCTGCCATCTGATCGGAAATAGGCGAAGAATCTTTCCTGTCCAAGTCGGACTCCAAGTCCCCTTTCTGGGGATCCTCATTAACGAACTATAACGAGATCAGTAAATGAAAATACACCGCTATCAATCAATAACATACCTGGATCGCTGCATATTGACCAGTCGATGTTCCAACCTCGGACGGCTGAACAGTATGCGCATTTTTGGTTAAAAACGACAGTTGCGGGCCATATTGGCATTGGAAGTTCCGGTCAATGCAATTCCGGCAGCGGGGTTTGCCTTCATCGCCTATATTCATACATTAGCTCGAATCACTCGAGACATGTGCCCCTTACATTTCCTTCGGCGAATGCGACAACGCATACACCCTGTACGACACCGCGTGAGCCGTCGGGCGCCTTGTTTATTGTCCGCCATGGCACGATGATGAGAAGAGGTACTCAAACCCGTTGACGAAACAGGAAGGCCTAAGCACCAACACGTGATGTGTCACATGGCGTGGATACGCTAGTGCTTTGATATTATCCTATTGGTTGGAATCGACTAATGTGGGGCCAAATGGGAACAATATTGACTATACGATTACTCCGAATATTAGAGGACTTTCAGAGAAATTATATTATGCAGTAGTTTCTACATCTTTCTGAGGTGGGCTATTGTATTACAGTAATGGTTATAGTGAGAAATACTAGTACTAGTACGTCTTTGCACAAGTCGAGTTCAAACCGCAGCGTTGCTCAAACTACTACTAGTATATTTATCGGATATGTTAGTACTCATGCCCAGGTGTGCTATTAGTATAAATCAATAATTCATCGACTACTAGTGATTCAGGACCTCAGGCTGGGATCAATGCCAGTGGTCTCAACCTTGGACATGCCCCTAGTCGGAACATTGAAGTTACGACTGTACTAGTAGCGATTATTCAAATGTTGTGGAAGTCTAGTATGTACTTTGCTATCTCGAGTTTTCCTTATGTAGAAGACTGCCCAGGGCGTCAGCACAACTGCAGCCAATATAAAGAATCATGATTTAACAATTTCCAATTGAACTCTCTGACTATGGTCACTAAACATAAGACCAGTCTTTCCTCAACTTTCCTCCAATCTCACTTCCCTCCTCTCGACCACTGTTACATCGATCAAGTATACCTTCAGCAGCAAGCTGGGCCTTGCAAACAATCTCCATCTCCATATCTCTTCCACCAAGGACTAACTGTCCCATCTCGACAAGGATTTCACCATTGACCACAGTCATATCCACATCTCGCCCAGTACATCCATGGACAACCGTAGTAGCAGGACTGACAGCAAAACGAGAAAACTTGCCATTCCAAGGAGCAGCGCCAATTCCTCCACGTCCATACGGATCCAGCACAACAAAATCCGCCTTTTTCAGCAGTTCAATACTACCAATCTCAGCATCAAGTCCTAAAGCCTTAGCGCCATTGATTGTCGCCATCTCGATTGCAAGCTCAACTGGAATCAAAGTGGCGTCATGATTCACTCCTTTGTGAAGAATAGCGGCCAGGTGCATCTCTTGAAAAAGATCATAATGGTTTGAGCAAGGTGCACCATCGGTTCCCAAGGATACATTAACAGGTGACTCTCCCGCAAGCATAGCTGGAACTGGGGCGATACCAGAGGCTAATTTGAGATTCGAAGTTGGGTTATGGGCAACTGAGGTCCCCGTGCTCGCTAGCAAAGGAATATCGATGTCCAAATCAAGGTTGACCATATGTGCAAGAACAAGATTGTGGCTTTTCTTGTCCTTGATAGATGGATCCTTATATTGCGGGCAGAGCTTTGCATCTTTGATAAACTCCATAGCGCTACAGCCATATGAGTCATGATAGATCACTCTGTCTTTTGGAGCTTCGGCGCAGTGCATCGTTGCTGAAATGCCATGGGCCGCGCAAGTTTCGCCCAGCTCAAGATATTGAGAGATAGGTGCACCCCGAGGAGTTCCTGCAGCAGCCCAGACGTGTATCCTTCCATCATTGCTTTGCCCATGTCTCTGATGTGCTTTGACTAGTTCCGATACCGACATCTCAAGCAGGTCTCGGTCCCTAGGATCCGAGATCGATAGTTGGCGATTGGTTTCTGTGAACTTTACTAATTTTCCCTATGTAGACGATTAGCAAAAAAGACCAAAATAGTTGCTTGGAGGAGACAAGTACCAAGCAAGCTCGTATCCCCATTTCCTTCACAGCATTGCACACTTTATCAAATCCAGCTCGATACGTCAACATTGGGTCAAGGAAGCAAGTCGTTCCTGTCTTCAACATCTCGGCCATTGTAAGACGCGCAGCGTTATATCCATCATCGCTCTCAAATACCGCTTCAAGAGGCCAGATGGTGTCGCATAACCAGTTATGCAGGGGTAGATCCTCCGCCAAGCCCCGCAAAAGGGACTGAACAAGGTGCGCGTGTGTGTTGATGAGCCCAGGAATAATTATTTTGCCTTGACAATCAATTTCACGAGCGCCAAAAGGAAGGTCGCTGTTATATGGGCACTTTCCAACAGCGGTGATCCGGTCGCCATCAACGCGGATATAACCATCGATGATGATTTCGCGCTTCTGATTAACTGTTATGATTGTCGCACCGCGAAATAATTTGCAGTCTGACACAATATTTCTGTTGCTCTCAGTCATGATGAATATTTGACACAAGATCAAGTGAGTGAAAGAAGCAAGGGTATTTAGATGCGCAATGCTCCAGTTTTGATTGGTTCTATCTAATATCTGGGGTTTGGGGTCCCCAGACCTCGCCGACGCTAAGCAATCGGATTCTTATCAATGATATCGCTCCGATGGGATTCTTCAAGATACAGTCCGTGTTATGACTCGGAGATACCAGGCAAGAGATAGGACTATCAATGACAATCGCTTGGATGTTCAGTCAAGATGGTATATATCGGGGACTATCGCCGTCAGTCTTCAGCGGGAATTTCTAGAGATGACAGCAAGCATCGGCGTAATTAGCAACGTGCTGGATTGTCAAATTGATCTCGACCGTTGATTATGGCGACGAGCATGGACACTTCCCGGAGCTCTCCGGAAAAAGGGGGTGAACATACGCGAACCTCTACATCTTTCGATGCTGTTGACAGGCGTTCACATATAATCGAAGTCACGCCGGTCGCCGAAACCCGATGGCAATACCTTCATCGATACTTCACAACCTGGGAAGGATGGGTTGGGAATTATGTATGGTGGATGACAGGCATCATCAGATTGTCTCAAACTTACTAACAATGCGTCTTGTAGGACTACCTCTACCTTATCACCCCGAACATTTGGCCACTCAATAGGCGGTACAAGGACTATGAAGCACCATTCTACGGTCTCAATGATGAAGTTCCGATTTTTCTCACAATTATTCTGGGCCTGCAGCATGCCTTAACAATGATCGGATCCATCGTATCACCACCTTTAGCGATCGCAAGCGGAAGCTTTTATCTAAACACGACGCAAAGCCAGTACCTGGTCTCCGCAGCATTCATCACCACAGGCATTGCAACAGCGCTCCAAGTCACGCGAGTCCATTTAAAGAAAACACCATTTTATATCGGAACTGGACTGCTATCAGTTGTGGGACCCACATTTGATATCATTGCTATTGCATCTAGCTATGCTGAGATGCGGTATAAAAATGGAACATGTCTAACCTCATCGGATGGGTCTCAATTGCCATGTCCTGATGCCTGGGGTGCGATGCTTGGAACGATGTTATGCACTGTCTGGATCCAGGTTCTACTATCCTTTGTACCGCCAAAGACCCTGAATCGAATTTTCCCCAAAGTCGTCACTGGTACACTTCTCCTGCTAGTTGGTGTTTACCTGATCTCCAGCGGGATGGAGAACTGGGGCGGGAGCTCAAATTGTGATGGTGGAAGTGGTTACTATAGCCTTTGTCCAAATACCGCAGCACCCAAACCTCTCCCTTGGTATGTATTAAACCGAATCATGTGTTAATTAACTTGCTAACTGTTTTCTGTAGGGGTGATGCAAAGCTCATTGGTCTCGGCTTTAGTGTGTTTATCACAATCATCATCGTCGAACTATTTGGATCTCCGCTCATGCGCTCTGCATCTGTCGTTTTCGGTCTTGCAGCTGGATGTGCCATCTCTGGTGCGACGGGATACTGGTCAAGAGATAATATCGATGAGGCACCCGTGGTTACCTTCCTTTGGGTCCATTCGTTTAAGCTGTCTGTTGATGGCTCATTGGTTCCTCCGCTGCTGATCATGTATATCTGCGAAGCCGTGAGCTGCATGCCGGATATTCTGGCGACCGCTGAAATCTCTGGAGTGGATATCGATGGAGTCGAGTTCAACAGTAGAATTCAAGGAGGTATCTTATGTGACGGACTTGGGAGTTTAATTAGTGCCTTGGGTACTGGACTGCCCATGGTCAGCCAGGCAGGTAACAACGGTGTCATTTCCCTCACCGGCTGTGCGGTAAGAATCCCTTGCCCTTGATCAAATTTCGCGTTTCTAATTTTTATCCAGTCTCGTCGAGCCGGATGGTGTGCAGCCGCGTTTCTCGTCCTCATGGGTATATTCGGCAAATTCGGTGCAGTCTTTGGCTCGATGCCCGCGTCGGTACTGGGCGGAATGCAAGTATTCCTTTACAGCACCATTACCGTGGCTGGTGTGAAGGTGTTGAGCCTGGTGGAATTTACCAGACGAAACCGATTCATCCTCACTGCTGCATTGGGCATTGGCTTTATGGATATTGTTTCTCCGAGTTGGTTTGACAAAATCCTCGATTATAGCGGATCAAATGTGAGCTTGGAAGGGTTTGAAGAAGGAATCAACCTTATAGTGGAGACACCCTTCATCATCGCGGCTATTGTTGCTGTGATATTGAACCTGGTTCTACCCTATGATATCAAAGACGTGAAGCGTGTCGCTGAGGATGAGCGCCCACCTCTGCCTACTTGAATGACACTAGTTAATACCTAATTTTGAATGATCCTTGAATCAGGAACAACACATTTGTACTATCTCAACCAAGAATGTCATTGCAGTCTCAGAACACCGGCCTTCAGAAGAACGATCAAGTTTCGAACTATGGGTAAAGTCTCGGTGAAAGTCCGGTTGCTCGTTCTTCACCTGTCCCGATCCCATATTGTCACTGCGCATGGAAAGAACAACCAATGCAACACAAAGAGCCAGGGGTATTTCAGTTTGCTTGTGATTCCCAAACGAGGAAAACCCCCGAGAATGAGAAGGAGTCAAGAAAGGTTTGCTCACCGCAAGATAGCTTTGGTGGCTTATCTGCAGATCCTCCTGCCAACGAGCCCGTACTCCGTATAAAAAATGACAATCGGCGACATGAATCCAATATTTGACCGTCGCGAGGAATGTGAAGGGACTTAATTAGGCGGATCCAAAGGAATGCAGTGCCCGATGTGGAATGTCTTCCCCTCACTTTGGCGCCCTTCTATTCCCCTGACTTCTTTTCAAGCCATCAGCAGCCACTTCCCATATCGGCGACTCGGCGGTGATCGGAATGATGCATAGAAAGCCACATTAAACGGTGATACGTGTACATCTCAAAAAACCGGGGTCAGGATGTATGATAGGTCTTTTGTCTTCGCTGGCAAAGTGGCAACATTTGATCTCATGATTGGTGCCAGGTCAGCAAGGGATTCAGAAGATAAGGTGAAAATTGTATTCTCTATCCCATGATAAGACGCGTCGATCAAGCCAAATGCTTGTTAAAGATAGTTGTGAATTCTGGCGAGTGATAGGATACCGTCTGGTTTTAAGTCCAAGCAACTAAACCTTATCTATAGATGTTTCAGTGTTCTGAATGAGCCAGTGATAAGGTAAGTCTATGCGAATCATCGTTCTCTGCGTGAGGATTATCCGATATTGCGACTCGGAGTCTATGGAGTAGTTTCCGCCATATGTTCAATAATTTAACACTATAGCTCATGTGACCGTGCAGAGACGGTGCGGGGGAAGTCACGAGTGACGCCACATAAGAGACTCATCATTTGGTTAAACCATTCAGAGATCTGGAATCTCAGCCACCAATCATTGCGATAATCGGAGTAGTATGAACAGTGGTGAAACATTGACTCATCATTATTGTTTAACATCCACTTGGAAGTTTCTGATTTGAAAATGAGTGGAGCAAGGATCTAGGTAAGTAAGTGACTTTTTATCTCCCCAGGTGGCAACAGTGCTACCAGAAGCTAACTGGATATGCATTACTAGTAATTTATAGAGTGTCTATTACGTGAAATCGACTCAACTCCAGGACTTGAACAGCAACATTGATACCGGCTCCAGATACTCCTAGCCGATCACATGGCCGGGACAGAGAATTGAGGAGCCGCGCGGGCATAACACCAATAACAAAGATCCAGGCTATATATCCCCTCGAGAGCCATTCCTTCTCTCATATGCACAGCTCGTGGGTATACCATCTTCCGAAGTTTCAAATTTGGATATGCACGAAGGATTCAGAGTCACTTCGAGTGCTGACAGAAGCGACAGCCACCACAATGGGATACTCAAAGCTTTCAACGTTTTGAATGCACGAATTGAAAGGCTGAGGATACGAAGCTAATACTATATGGCGTTTACCAAATCTGCGAGGTGTCATGGGACTTCAATTTGGAAGTTTGACGCAGCTCAAAGGTTCATGAGGCTTCAACATTGCACTGGTAGCTAATAAGCTATATCCAAAGAGCCAATTTTGAGATATCCAAGATACCTCAAGTGCTGGAACTAAAATTGAATCCTTCATGCTGGCTGAGATTTCGGAATTTGAAATTTCCCATCTATTCACAGATAATAGAGATCTGATACTGGTATCTACAGATACTTACCTGTGAATAATTAGTGCTCATTTTGGGGATCCAGGCTTATCTTAGAGAGGGGAACATGAATCGAAACGCTGTTAGATAAGGCCCCAATTGCTCCAAATCGAGGTGGATAACTGTGGATAACTTACATCCGGCGAAACTCCTATTGGTACAAATCCGGCTCTTTATATGGATCTGCAGTGAATGTGCTGTTTATCGTGTTTAGTTCAAGGATACATTTGCTCCTTTGGGGAGTCTCGCCGTTACATTGTAAACTCACTAAGGTTTTTTTAGTGAACACACGGACCTGTATACTTCTTCTGCGGGGGAATATGTCAGAGTCTAACTAGAAACTAATGCAGCTACTGGGTAATGTCTAGAAGGCTGGGCATTTTCCCGCTCAACTTTCCATATCGCTGTGTTCGCTGTGTTCCCGATAGCAGTTTCCCCGCACCGATGATCGCCTTCGTCATTTCTAACTCTTTTCTCCCTCCAATCCAATCTCTATCATTTCAACGTTATCTGGCCTCGTCATCACCCGCTATTCGTCAGCCCTGTTATTATTGAAGTTGTTCCAAGCTCTCAATCTGCGGGAAATAAATATATCGCTTTCTTGCAAACTCACTTTCACAGTTCTCTACGCGTTATACAATGCCACGAGACGGAAATCGGGGTAGATTACGTTCTCATGAAGCTTGTCTCAATTGCAGGTGAGTACTTGGATCAGTGCAGTTTGATCTATATTCTTTTGCGAACTTCCCTCTGACAGATGGTCTTAAAGGAGGAAAAAGACAAGGTGTCCAGCGGAAAAGCCCGCTTGTTCAAGCTGTGTCAGATTGAATCAGCCATGTTTATACACCACCACTTCAAAAGCCTCGCGGAGTGGTCCATCTGTGAGAAATATTTCTCTTCCTCCCTTTCATCTTTGGAGCTGACCCGATTTAGGCCGATCGCCTTGCATATCTCGAGGAAAAGGTCAACCTGATTCTAAGCGGCAAAGGGTATGAGCAAGTACCAATATAGATCCGAAGGCTTTATTCCATTCTGACCTAATACAGATCGAGCCCTCCGGATCAAAATAATAACAAACCTCAAGAGAACATAGAATCAAACTATTCGATACCCTCAAATCCTTCCTCGAATGAGTTTAATGGCAATATCAATGAAACGTTCCTTCTGGGGCTTGGATTTGAAGACTGCAAGAGTCAGGTCCCTTCTCGAGTTACCCATGCGATTGATCTTTATTTTCAATATTGTCACCGACAACCTATATGGTGCTTCGATCGGGAAGAAGTGAAAGATCCAGGTTACATCTCGGAAGAGCTGGTTTGCAGCATTATAACATTGACTTCTCGGTTTTCTCAGGATCATGAGGAGGTGCAGCAATATGGAGACACAGCACGAACCCTGGTCATGCTTCGTATTGCGAATGGCACTGTGGAACTCGAAACAATCGAGAGCCTGTGTCTCCTATCGTACTCATCATTCCTAGGTATGTCAATGAGAACATGAAATATGTGACAGAGAAGGGTAACTGATAATTTTCAGATGGCAATGGACACCTGGGCAGATTCCATCTTGGTCTCGCTCTCCAACTTTGTCGCTCTGCAATGCTGGATCTAAACTCTACGTACGGCATTGAGTGTCCAGCTGCCGAGCGTAAGAAGAGACTATTTTGGAGCTTGCAGTCATTAGAACAGACCTACGGTCAAATAGGTGGCATTCTTAGTGTGCCAGCCGAGGTATTGCGATCTTTCTATCTCTCAACGGGAAACGAGCCGATTCTTGAACAACCCGGGCACAAACCGCCGCCTCTACCACTCGATACAATCGGATGCACCACCTCGAGTGATATTGGAATTTGGAATTTAGCATTGCACTTTGGATGGGTATGGAGCAGAGTAAGAACTTATGTTTATGACTGCGCGCAAAGTAAATTGACCGAACCATGGCGACATGACTCGATGTACGCGATAGTTTTGTCAGACTTGACTGAACTGGAGAACAAGTTGTCTCTCTGTCATCGATATGATTCAGTCAAATTTTATGACCGCCGGTCGGATGAGCTACGTGGTAATCGGGACTACTGGGCCTCTTGGTTGAAGCTCCAGTTTACGTATCATACCATTTTGACCGTGCTCAATCACCCTTTCCTTTATATTGTGGCATCTCAATACAATCACAAATTGACAATCCCCAATACGTTCTGGCGCAGATCCTCAGAGGTGGTCATGCTACACGCCACTTGGATTGTTCGCATGATTGATATGGTTTCGGAGAAGAAAATGCGACTCATTGACCCCTTCTTCGGGCATGCCGCTGCTATCGCCGCAACAGTCCATCTTTATTTCTGCTGCGCGGCCGATCCGAGATTGAAATACAAGTCTAAGACAGACTTTGCCAAGTGCAGGAGATTTTTGAAAAGCTTTGTTACATTCTCCCCTGCTTGTGAATCCTTGGTAAGAAAATATTGCCCGAATATTCTCCGATCGAAAGACTTTCAGCTAACAAAGTGCAAATAGGATCGGATCTTGGATAAAATGACACGGATAGCCTCGGGCTCAGAGAAAGTGGACTTTGACTGGGAACCATCGAAGATCCATCTCAGTATCCCGCTGATGTGGGATGTTCTTCAAATCAACTGCTCTTCTAGTATAGAGGAAACCCCTTTTGCTGGCTTGCTTCATCCGACACTTACACCGCTCACTTTCCCAGAAGATGAGAGCTCATCCTCCACACTTGAAGTCATTGTTGCGATGTCTCCTGAGATCACGGTTAATACTGCTGATGGTGGTTCGGCTGCTCATATGCCACCTACTATTCCTCGCGTTGCTTCCGCACCAACTACCCCTAACCTTGCTCTAGGTGAGAAGCTTGTTGCACCGGCTGATAGTCTTATGGCCAATACACCATGGCTATGGACTGATCCTTCGCAATTTGTTGATATGGAGACTCTGGGCTATCCCGAGTCGGAATCAACTTTGGGAAATATCGATGGATTTTCGACCTGGTGGGATTTTGGCAACTTATAACGAGTATCATATTCATTTCATGTCTATTCCTGCTTGACGAGACGTTTCAGGTCCCGACTTTACCATCACTCGGGGGTTTGCTTAAGCCCCTTATTCGCTATCATACAATTTCCCACAGCGACCAAACCCTTCGCCTGGACTACATAACACACAGATATGACCCTATGCGAAAACCCCCATCTCTTTCAAATTATGCCGATGCGACAGATTTCAACTTCTCCTGCAAAGCAGCAAAGTTCCTCTTCATCGCACTATCGGTAAACTGAGCCCCGGTCACCATTGGATACTTCTTCCGAGGTCCCTGGATCAACGCATCCTTGCACGGCTGGTTGAAGTATGCAATGCTATACCGATCCCCAAAATAATCACCCGCCTCACACGGCGCCTTAACGCGATGAAAAGTGGATTTAAACCGATCATCCGACCAAGACATGAGTAAGTCCCCAATATTGCAAACAATTTCCCCCGTCTTCGCCTCCACCTTGGTCCACTCGTCCCCAATACCAAACTCGGTGACCGATTCGCGCCCCGGACAAATCTCCAGCCCACTCTGCCCTTCCTTCTGGAAGAGCAACGTCAGAAAATCCCAGTCGGCATGTGCCCCAGCGCGATGATACACTTTGCCATCTGATACTTCCGGCAAAGCAAAGTAATGAAGTAGTCGCATAGTGGTCTGGGAATCTGGTCGAGTCACATCGTGACACTTGATGAAGAAGTCATCGGGGAATCCCAGACCTCGCGCGAAGCATCGCATTAGGTTTTCAGAGATTTTCTGCACGCGGTGCATGAACTCCAGGGAAGTAGTTTCGAACCCTGCGAGATGCTCGTCTGCAAGCCATAATCCCTTCATGTTGTCCCCAAATTGCAGCTGATATGACTCCTTGCTGTCGGGTTTTCCGGTGGATGGACGAATCTGTGAGTTCTTTTCCCATCCCACATTGTTGGAATTCCAGGGTACGGTTTTCTTTGTCTCATCGGGGAGGTCGAAGAAGTTCTTAGATGTCGCGAAGATAGATTCGATGTCTTGCTTTGAAAGACCGTGATCGATGAGAGTGAAGAAGCCCACATTTTCTGCCGCGCTCACTAATTCTGAGGTGATTTCATCGATTCGATTTTCGAAGTTCGCGAGGGAAATCTGGGGGATTGGGCGCTCGACATATCTGGTTGATGACATTTTGTTGAATGTTGCGAGTGGCGTGAGATTTGGACGAGATGGATACCAGTGCGGTTTATAGAGTTAGAGTTACTTTAGATGCGATTACAACTTATATATAGACTTGAGATTAATAGAATAGATAATTCTTTTCGTTCATGTTTGTCTGCCCAAGTGGTTACACAGTAACCCCTCGAGTCCTTATCCTTATCACCTCGGCCGACCTTGCTCGGCCGAACTCGACATCTGGAACTCGATCAGACTCTCGGTATTTCCCTGTCATATTGGTAGAACTTGAACATTTGCACAATGACTCGGAGACCACTCGGCTTTCAATACTACACTTGAATTCAAGTTCACATTCATGATCGAGACGTCCCATCCTGTGTCCGAGGCTTTCGGGTTTCCCAGATAAGCCCAAGCCTGCTCCCATTCCCTGCAATACGAGTACTTTTTTCATCTAGATAAGCGTCTATGCTCTTCTGTCACCTCCAGTATGTCTGGAATCAACCGAAAACGCCTCGCATGTCTCGAATGCACTCGTCGCAAAGTCAAATGCGACAAGATTCTACCATGTCGCAACTGCACCAGGAAAAGGGCGATCTGTACTCGGCCGCGCGAGCGGAACTCCACGAGTCCCAGCATTGCTCAGACTCTATCCGAAGAACGCTCGGAACGACCTGTCACAGTGCGGCCGAGCACTGATGCATCAAATTCAAACCCGAAAATCATCGAGAGGCTTCAAGCTAGAATCATAGAACTGGAAAATACACTAAATGATGTCAATGAAGCTCGGGTACGCTCGAACATGGCTAGACCGGAGCCTTCCATCAATCCAACTTCGTTTTCTCCTACCCAGTCAGCGTCGGCACAACAATCTCCTTTCTCTGTTCGTACCTCTATAAATGCGGATGGGGATGTGAATAATATACCTAGAGAAGTGGAAGATGCGGCGACTATCCTGGAGTTTCTTGCATGGGGGCGTCGCAAAGATCCCACCTACCAAGATGAGATTGCGAGACAAAGTAATCTGGATCATTCACCCGGGGACATACCAGTTGAAGATGAGTGGGAGGATACCTGTAAACCAGGACTCTCAGCTACAGCTCTCTGTCAGGCTTTTCTGCCAAGCAGAGCGAAGGTCTACCAGTTAGTGCAGTATCATTGTGACTGTTTACTTTGGTATCACGGGTCATTTCATACGAAGACGTTTCTAGCTGAGCTGGACACATTCTATGAGAAAGATGGAGGTCGTATAGAAGGATCTAGTATCCGATTACAATGGATCTCCCTTCTGTTCGCGATCCTCACCGGCTCCATGGCCTGTGCTCCAAGATCCGTCGCTCAATCTTGGGGATTTCGCGACCGAGAGAAAGATACTTTGTCCAAGCGTTGGTTGAAGACCACTATCGCTTGCTTACATCAAGCTGACTATATGGCCTGTCATTCTATCTACTCTGTTGAAGCCATCACAACATTAACGATTTCCGCTCATATGCTCGGTCATTCGAATGGATTTTCTGTCCTGCTAGCCTCTGCAGTTCGGATCGCGCAAGGTCTCGGACTTCACCAGCTAGAAGAAGAAAGTCGAAACCCGGCGCCTGGCCTTATAGCGCGAGAGATCGGTCGGAGAGTCTGGTGCCAACTCTGTATTCAAGACTGGTTCTCGATTCCCTTCACTGAAAGCTACTTGATCCACCGTCTAGGCTTCAGTTCTATAAAGCCCCAACACTGTGACGAAGAAATGGATTCTCTTTCAGAAGATGAGCCTTCTATAACGAGCTATTCACGCCTATTTTATAATATTGCGGCTCTCATGCCGGGTCTGCAGGATGATTGCATTTCATGTAATACCCTATACACCAGGTACGAAGAGGTTCTCAGATATGATCGCCGTCTACGCACTCTAGCCACGAAACACCTGCCACGCTATCTACAAAACGTGCCTATAGATCCGTCTTGGCCATGCTATATACCATGGGCACGAAGAAGTCTGGCTATCAGCTCAGCTCACAAGGTCATCATGATTCATAGAAAGTTCTTGAGTCTGAGCTTCACTAATCCTCTGTTCGAGTTTACTCGGAAGACTTGCGTCGCTGCATCCAGAACGATTATCAAAGAACAAAAGGAAGCAGCTCGAGATGGGGGTCCTGTACTATGGATTCACCAAGCCTTCAGCGTAACAGCTAGCGTAAGTCACCATCTCTCCCTCCACCTGGGAATAATGATCTGCTAATACCACAAAGATTATTCTTTGCTTGGATATGTTCCATCAATCAGCTACAGACCGCCAATCAACAGAACACAGACAATTAATTGAAGACGGCATCGAGATTTTATCACACTGCGAATCAGACATGATCGCACAGCGCGGTGTCTCACTACTTAGAGCGATGCTCGAAGCCGAGCAGATGAGCAATATAAACTCACCAGTCCCAAGAATACGTGAACCATCCATTCTTCCAGAAACACCATCACAAGAGACCGGGCCGGATATTGCTGGAATCATTCGTGCTTTCTATCAGCATGATCGAGCCAGTTTTCCAACTCGGTCGAAGTCGATGCTTCAAGTCGCGGCTAGTAATAGATCTATTGATCATAGACACTGGTCGGAGATTACGAGTTTTGAGACTGCTGTTTCAGGGGTTGATTCAATGGCATCGCTTGGAATTGATTATGCTGAGGGACTGGATGATATATTGAATCTTGCGACGAATTATCTTAACTGAGAACGAGGCTCATGAAGTTGAAGCTGAAGATGATTCACGTTGTTATGAATATTATGTGCTATTGAATGTACATGTGAAGTGTAAAGAGATGCTAATGAATGCGCGGTGTATATACTGAACTTGGAAAAAATGAGAATGAAGGGCCTGGGACCTCAATCAGTCTTGCGTACTTGTGTCACAGGTGCCTCGTAAATCTTAGCACCATGAAGAAGATATTGCACAACGGCAAAGATGATCACAACACCGAAAACCAGAATAGACCAGTTCATATCAACAGGTGTCGGGTTATTGGCTGTGGGGAAGAAAGTAAAGATAATCGAAAAGCAAAGCCAAGCGACCGCGAAAATATTAGTAGGCATTCCGAGTCGGCCAAGCGAGAATCGAGAAGGTGGGATTCCATCCGGAAGAAGTCGCGCGCGAATGAATGCAGCAATTGAGAGGATATAAGTTGTGAATAGCGCGGCGATCATGACTGATGCGATCGCGTTGAATGCAGCAGTGGAACCGATGTTGATCAAACTTAGTAAAACAGTAATGATTGTAGAAACCAAGACAGAGACGATAGGAACCTGAGTGCGCTTGTTGACGTGTGCGAGCGTTTTGGAAAATGGTAATGCGTTATCGCGAGCAAATGCAAAGGTCTGTCGTGAAGCGGTAGCGAGAATACTGATAGCGCTGCAAACCTCCATGACCAGGATAATGGCAGCGACACCGTTGGTAGCGGCCATTGAACCTGTGGCGTGCTGCACAGCGGGGATAAAAGAGAACCCACTCGCTGGATCCAGGACGTCGGCCAGAGGGCCCATGGTGTACAGCATGGTGATCAGGATGACGAAACCCAGAGCACCATTGATCAAGGCCGTTGAAACCATACACCAGGGAATAACGAAAGAGGCATTTTGCACCTCCTCAGCTGCATATTATCAGTATCTATGCACATAAACCAAGTCGAATTGACTTACCCATGTGAGTCGCGGCATCCGGTCCAGTCCATGAGAAAATCGGAGTCAATTGGCCGACTAAACAAGCCAATCCCATACTTGGCCATCCACCAGAATTGGTAAACTCTTTCCACACCTCGTGGCTTGCGGCGGTTCCAGATCCCATCGCCCACATTGGGACGAGAACTGCGACGAACCCGCCAAGATGAAGACCCAAGATAACAATCTCGAGCGAAGGTAGCATTTTTGCGCCGTATGTGTTGACCAGTGTTCCGATGGCTGCGATGGCGATCGTGAGGAGAGTTCCATGCCACCGATGATAATCGTATACATAAGCCGTGTCCCCCGAGTAGTTGAATACGAGGAGTCCTTGTATCAGAGTACCGCAAAGGAAGCAGATACTAGCAAATGCAGCTTGCCATCCCAAGACCGATAACCACCCTGAGAATGATAAGTATGTCGCCTATACAGGGTGCGAGGTTCACTAACCAGTGAGATAGCTTAAGAATCTTTGCGCTCTTGGGGGTCCAAATTCGCTGACCCAGTGATATTGTCCAGCAGATGTCGGTGCTCTAGTACATGTTAGATATCGCGACCAATTACCAGTGTATGAGCACTACAGCTCCTCTGACCATGATTCACATACACTGAAGCGATTTCAGCCATGGAGATGACAGCAGCGAAGAACCCCACGAATGATGCAATATAGACATAGACCATACCGGCCCGGCCACCATCGGTCAACCCATAGGTACTCGTGCTATTGAAATCAGCGTACTGCTCATACGACATGAAGTTTGTTGAATTTCTCACAGTAGAATTGACTCCCATGTCGCCATGAGAGTCGTGGTGAACCCCAGAATCGAGTAGAATCGGAAATTCCTCTATAAACCAATTAACCGGGCGCTCCACGCGCGAACTCCACAAATATTCAAACATACCTTTAATTGCTGGGTTTTACCCAGACGTTGCATATCCCAATCATCCTGGTTTGATGACTGAAATGCATCATCCGCGTGGGCCATGATCTCCTTGTCTGTGCCCATTATGCAATATAGACAAAGAAATAAAAAAGAAGCATCGAAGAAAGAAAGGAAAAATGGAGATCCAAAGGGGGGTGCAGAAATGTGACTAGAGCCAATCAAACACGCGTTGATATACTGGTCGGGGGTCTTTTTCCGGTACAAAATGGTGGAAAATATGGATGAAAGTGGAACTATTGATCGACATCTCCCCAAACCTAGCTTGGTCGTTAGTCTGCGCCATGACGCTTCTAGTCTTTCTCTATTGGTCCCCTATTCGCACTCTGCCAGGGTCTCGATGTCCGTGAATTTTCTCTTTCCTGATTTACGCGTGCGCATGGAGAATTGCACCACGTTGATAAATTGACTTGACGTACGAAGTATTTCCGCTTGGTCATAGCACGGTCGCACGCACTCCCGAGGTCTCCAACTTGAAGGTGACGAATTGCAACGCGTTACATCTATCTGCCCCGTGGCGTGCTTGGCGAACTCTCGGCTAGAGACATTGAAGTTTCCATACGGGTTATGGAATCCAGCGACCGTGAGCCAGGTACGGATACACGGATTTAACATCCACTGTGTTTCGAAGGAGAATGAGATATCGGGTGGCGCCGGCGGGCCGACTCCTGGATGTTGTGTTTCATGGTACTCGTCCTGCATATTAAATGCATGAGGGGAAATAACACATCATTTAATTATCACGCCATCACAGTTATGCGTCTCCAGATGTCGGTTTCCAGTTGGCGATATCGGGTCCTGGTCACTGTCTGCAGGGTTTTGATTACTTCGACGCAAAATTAGCTGAGACAGTGACTCCACCTTCCAAGGTTCTTCAGCGGATACCTCGGATGAAATCGATAGCTTGTAAAAAAAGTCTCGCTGCCTATATCAGTACCTCGTTTTTTTGAGATTTCATCAAACAAGTAAGAAAAGGGTGAAACTCACTATTAAAACAACCACCAAATATCAAGATTGCATGCCATATCTCACTAGTTGGTAGTGCGAGCGTTGAACTCGAGATTAATACTAAGATCGATACAAGGACTCGGTGGGAGAACTGACCCAAATTAGTTCATCTCGCTTCTTGTACTTGAGTACTTTTGATGCCCATGGCGGGTGACATCCAGCTGGTTTCATAGATGTCTAATCGACTTGCAAAGCTCCGAGTCATGCATACCGAGCCATATCAGAGAAATGATGTGCATCATCCAAATACCAATCAATTCAAGAAAATTTTCGGATTGTAAACTTGAGTATGACTTTGAATCGAATTTTCAACCGATTAAACTCCCGAGGTCAGATTACAAGTGTGGTTTCTGGTCAGTATTCTGAATATACTGATCCGAGTCGGGGGCCCTGTCTGAAGATGCCTAGTGCGCATAGCTTCAATGTTGACTCGTGGGTTCACTGGAGGCGTTTGATACTAAATTCATCTCATGTTTAGTGGCTTATTAGTATATGAAATGCTCCGCGCATTACTCTTCAATGTTCGAATCAACTGTACCACTATCAACTGGTCAATCAGGCCCTATTAACATGATTCAAGTGCTCCTGGCATCTTCAGCTGCCTTATTCAATTTGCTAATCACAGGCCCGAACTCAGCCTCCAAAGATTCAAAAAACACAAGTTGACCTTGGGAACATCCTGTCGCATTGATTGCTGGAAGCGATCCCTCCATGCCCCATATTAGGCGATATCTGGCTCGAGGCAATGAGTCAATTACTCAGTGCTCACTCCGTCAAAATTCTCGTTGTTGACCAACTTGAAGTCAAAATTTATTGGAGAAATTTCATCTTCAGACACGTGCGCCCGATAAAAACAATCACTGAATCGAGAGAAGACAGAGTTGGGTGATGGGAAGTCTCAAGGATGTAAATGCCAGTGGTGTGTAGGTCGAGTTGTTTCCTACCTGGGCAACCTTGGAAGTATGGCGCTATGACACAGGATCTTTCACGCCTGAAATCACTGCCACTTTAAAGGGTCATGGGACTCATGGCCATCTCTTCCAAGGTTACCTTGCTTATAATACCTAGACATAAGCTAGGCCTCCAATGTTGTTAGGTACCGAACTGTGGCTTAGTCAAAATGCCTTATCGCTCTTCAGCCTGACGCAGTCGACTTTCAACAACCAAGTTTGTTTCATTTACTTCAAGTGTGGTTTTCTTTGAGAGCACCATTTTTAGTGCCCTCGTGCTAGCACTAGCTCTCAAGTAACAGTGGAGGCTGAGCATAAAGCTATCAAGCCTTATGAGGCGGTGCACTTTCAGCCCCCAAGTGGATCACGACAGACGAACTACCTATAAGAGCCACCTCAGAACGTGAAAATATTGCCACCACGCTCTTGGCAGGAACTCGATCTACAAGATGCCCCAACATGTTCCTATCGGAGATGATGCATTTAAATTTGATCTGGCCGCCCTGCAGACTGGAGTTATGCACCCGGAGATGTCATCATCGGCCATTTAGTGCGCAAGCTGCCGATTGTTACGACTGAGGCAGTGATTACGCTCTCATTTATCGGTCGAGTGAAAGTGAAGATCACCCACTATAGCAGTAGTGATAAAACATACCACCACTATCGCGACGACTGGCGGCTTTTTGAGCTGGGCGAGTTCGTCATCCACAAGGGACCGTTGCATCTCGCTGAAGGAACCGATGAAGTTCTAAGTTGGCCGATCTCTGTGACTATTCCCCTGGAGCCTTCACAAACATGCAGACAAGGTCATATCCAGGACGCCAGTTTCGTTCCGTTGGAGGCGGATCATCCGGCTCATCATACCTTGCCCGGCTCGTTTTATTCCCATGGCGAGGATTTCGGCTCAGACGAGTCAGAGGACCTTGTTGAATACTTTCTCCAAGCGAAGCTCCGATATGAAAAGGGACATAAACAGTTTGACTTTGGCAACCATCATCGCGACCACGAAGCTGTCCGACCCATCTATCTGCGACATCCGATCCCACACGATGATTTTATTGGTATCCCGAAGATGTTCACGGGAATGAATACTGTCGTGAGTCAACGACTTCTCCCGGGCATGGAAGAAGCAGATCTATCTTTCAAGCAAAATTTCCAGAAATTCTTCCATTCGTCCAAAGTCCCACGTTTCCAGTACACTCTGCGCTTCACCGTTCCCACCGCTCTTCACTTGGATGACCCAACCCCACTGCCCATTCAATTGGAGATTCAACTGGATCCCACTGGGACCAGCGACTCCATTAAAGATGTCGACCAAAATATACAAATTCGCGAGATTAAGGTGTCTATCAGAAGTCAAACAGATGATCGTGCGCCGGGAGATTGGAATCTGTCGGGACATAACAACGAATACCACGACAAGACGAATCTGAACCTAGAGCGTCTCTTTGCAGAACTGGAATCTCCACTGGTCATCCACACCGGAAAGCGCAACGAGCCGATTCATATTGGGAATGTGTTTCAGTTGACTCTTCATCGCTATGGTTTGAAGTCCAGGAATCGATCCCTTCAAGGCTCAGATTTTTGCAAATATGGCATTCAGCCTAGTTTCTTGACCTACAATATTCGACACCACCATATGATGGAATGGAAGATTTCATTGTCTATTGCTGGGGAAGATACGAGTCACAAGTATTCTCTGCCGGTGCAAGTTATCGGGCCAGCGTGATGAAGTGGACATTTCGCCGTGGACGCGTCTTTTATTATGTACATATCTCCTTGGGTGCACACCTGGGCATGTGATACTATCATTACCCACTGTATACCCACAATGACAACCCAGGAGGTCATTTAACAATATCATGGTCGCTTCTCAGTTCTCGTCAGGTTCAAAACTTATACTTATCTTATATCAAGAACTTTGGAAGACATGCTCGCTGCTAAGTAATCTAAAGTTCTGGATTTTACCTTTTGAAACATTTTGAAACTGTTATCATATTTAAATGTTTTCTCAAACATTCGAACGCAACCTAGCTGCGCCACTCGCTAAACCTTGCAGCATGAAAATAATTGGGACTTTGCAATCAATCTCCCCCACTTTAACCCTCCGAGTTCCTCAATGAGAACGATCAAGTCCAGAGGAAGTACTGCTTCCGCCAGAATCCACCGCATTCTCACGCTCGGGCGTACGCTAGATCAAGATTGAGAAATTCAAGTTACTGGTATGATGGCCCTCAGTCTTGGAGCGAAAATTCGTGTATTTTGTGGCTGATTCGCCATTTGCGATCATGCTCACTGGCATGTTCATAGTGGGCTTGAGCTCAAGCTTATCCGAATGGGTTTTCCTCGCCCGAGCTTGGGCTTTAGCTCTTCGATTTTTGAGCAGTTGGGTAGTGTCGGCGAGGAAAAATGGGGGAATACCGTCAAAGCTTGGAAGTGATTGATTTGGGGCCATCATGAATTAATTAATTGTAGCAATCGTAGAGGTCCAGGTGTTGACATTCAAGTTAGCACTATATCTTGACCCGATATCAACCTGCCCTTACCGCCCACTATTTAGGATATGAATACGTTATACGAATTAATTCTGCTAATCTATTCTTCCGAGTCGATACCTCGATTCTTTAAATGTTACATAGGCTACAGCGTTCACCTGTCGAGTCTTGAGAAGTATGAATTACATTTTGGATCAACTTTAATGTCAGACTTGTACTACTCTTTCTTTGCTTTTTGTTTCTTATAGGTTCGTGTTCTGCACGAGTCCTTAAAGCGAACAGAAAGCACCCATGGATGAAAATGACCGGATAATTGGCCGGATATTTTCACATCGACTCCACTGACGACACTCTCAATACGCCACATCGCCACAGCCTGCCGACGCGTCGTTGGCGCTTGGGTCCCATGGGGTTATCGAAATCAGCTCCACAAGTCTTCCCTGAGACCCTTCTCTGACTGGCCAAGTGGATACATGTGTATGGAGAGCCAAGCCTATTCACAATCAATCTTGGACGCATCCGGATAACATGCAAATTGGGTACGCAATATTGAAGGATCGACAGATCCACACGTCGTTTTCTTCCCGGCTGATAAGGAGAAATTCGTACGAATGCGATGTCGAAAATGTACCTACGGTTCAAAATTTAACAACCATGGCGGATTAAAGATTCTCTGCGGAGACCACATGTAAGACGAGTGGAGAATCGGTGGCTTGGATGACGAGCTACGCATTCAAATGGAAAGCCGGCGCGGATATAACATCTTCAAGCGCCCCGTTCATAAATAATGGCCTGACCTCCACTTTTTTTTATTCTCGAATTTCTTCCCCAATGCACTTGTGCGGTGACACCCGGAGACCCTGATCCTTCATCGCCCCTTAACAAGGCCATTCACCTTGGACTCGCGATGATCCAATGTTTATGCGGGCCTCTTCCGCTATGCGCTTGAGCTCCTGGCTGGGCAGCAGCTATCGACAGAATTGCAAATTCAATCCCATCCGAAGGATCGCCTTCATCGTACTCGCTATCGGCGCGATATTCATAGGTCTCTATGCCGCGCTGCCGAGTATTTACAGATTTCGATTCCATCTGGGATACAGCTGGTATGATCTAGGATATTATGGCCTCGGTCCGTCACGAACATACCAATCCCTCGACGAACAATCTCCCCTCGTGGAGATTTCACCAGTTGATGCAAAATGCGACCAACGATATACCTTTCTGGCCCCACGAGGCGACTCCGTTGAACACCCCGGACCAATGATCCTCGACGCGAACGGAGAGCTGGTTTGGATGAAATATAATTGGGGCACAACTCAAGATTTCAAGGTCCAGCGTTATAAAGGGAAAAACTATTTGACATACTGGCAAGGAGATGAAGAAGATGGATATGGACATGGATCGTGGTACATGGTATGATGATATGCGGGTCCCATTCTTGGCGCGTGCCCAGTTGACTAATACTTTGGCTTTGAAGCTGGATTCCACCTATACTCCTAGATATATCGTATCTCCTGCTGGCGACCTGGACGGCGACCTCCACGATATTCAAATCACCGTAAACGACACTGCTTTACTTTTAATCTATGAACCAATTCCGGCCGATTTGACTGCGCTTGGGGGGCCGGAGCACGGATGGCTGTACGAAGGTGTTATACAAGAAATCGATATTGAGACGGGCGAGCTATTATTTGAGTGGCGCTCTTCGAAGACATACCCTCCCGAAGATAGCTTTCACCCATTGAATGGTCGAGGTTATGAACGAGATCTGGGTTACGACTATTTCCATTTGAACAGCGTGGACAAGAATGACGAAGGACACTACCTGATTTCTGCACGCCACACGCATACGGTCACTTGTATCGATTCTAATGGCGAAGTGCTTTGGACTTTGGGTGGAAAGCAAAATTACTTCACCGATCCGTCCAATGGTCCTGCGACTGAAATCGCGTGGCAGCATGATGCTCGTTGGCGTGGACCAAACCGAATAACTTTGTTCAATAACGAAATCAACGATGTCCCCTTCGCGTCAGCGGTGAGCCACGGACTTTCACTTGAACTGGATGTTCCTAATCGCTCAGCCAAAGTGGTGACAAGATACGATCACCCACAGCGCGTGATGTCTATATCGCAGGGTAACTTGCAAGTCCTGGATACCGGCAATGTCCTTGTGGGCTGGGGACACACTGCTTCCTTTACAGAATTCACTAAGGACGGCGAAGTCGTTTGCAACACAAATTTCGGCGCAGCAGCTTGGTTCAACTTTGGTCGGATTGTTTCATATCGCGCCTTCAAAGACAGCTGGGTCGGTACACCCAATACACTTCCTGATATAGCTGTCTCGAAGGATAGTGTGTTCGTCAGTTGGAATGGTGCGACTGAGGTCGCTGCATGGGTCCTTGAAGGGTGGGACGGTGACAGTCTTACGGACATGATGTTCGTTCCTATTGGGAAAGTGAATCGTCTTGGCTTCGAGACCGAGATTCCTTTGACACCAGATGTCAACTCTTACTTCCGGGTTGCTGCCGTCAATTCGAATGGCGAAGTTCTTGCCTGGACTGAGGTTCATTCCAGAACCTCGGCTTCTCTAACAGCTTTCTCCAGTAACTTCCACGCTTGGGTTGTTACTATAATTATTGTCTTTTCGGTCGGCTGTCTTCTTTATGCTATCTATCGTGCTGTCCACCGCCGACTGGGCTCACGAAAACCCGATATAGGTGCGCTGTACCAGCTTATTGGGCACGACGAAGATGAAAACGATAGAGAACATGAAAACCTTCCGATCTAGAAGGTGTGCGCGTCTTGATACCCATTCACTTTTACTTTTGTACATACACATAGACTACCACGTGCATTGCGTTTACTATTTCTACATACCTCTATTTTCTTCACCCAAATCACTACACGGAATGTGCAGAGCGCGCCCAATTACCGCCAAGCGATTACAACCTCAACAACGAACCTGGAAATGAGCAAGATGTGAAGTGCTGAAAGATCTGAGTCTGTAATCAAAATCTATATCATCATATGGGGTGCATTTTCTTTTGAGATATGTAGGGAACTGATGGGTATTCTGCCAGACAGTGAGTAAAGAAGCAGGCAAGTGAAAGAGGCCAAAGGTCTATCTACTAACTTGGACGAAAATAATCCTTTTGAAGTTCTAGTGCTAAATATTTACTACTGACATTGGAAATGGAGTCATTACCAGTATATTAATCCCGAGGTAATGAAGAAAATTCCACGATTTGTCAATTTGAAAGTTGGGGTTTGTCTCGAGTGTGGCCGCTGATTTCCGCGTAGTGGTCTGCGAGATTGATCACATCTCGGCGATGCGGAAACTAGCATCATGCAACAGATACTTGACCAGATTACCACTAGGCTTCGCCATTTTTGCAGCGTCACTGTTGCGGGACATATGCACTTACCTGCACAGTATGCACCAATGAAGATGTCGCAAGTGTAGAAGGTTGGGCATTTATGGATCCACAACAGCTGGGGAATTTGTCTCCAGGCATCTGCTGAAATTTCTTGCGAACAAGAAATTCTAAGCCACGCCAAGTTCAAGCCAAACCAAGAATGAAGTTTTATGGCCAGTTGAAGGAGTTCGTGTGAGGGTCTCATCATCGCCATAGGAGACCCAAGCAGTTGAAGAATCAACGTACTTCGCAGTCCGACGCTGTGACTGGCTTGGAGACTACTTCGGATTTTGATGTGGCGCGCCTATCTTTCGAAGGCTATTGGAAAGATGCTTACGAAAAGCTTCAGGATGAAGATCCAAAACTGGTGGAGAGCTACAGGAAGATTCTCCTGCAACAGATAGCCGAGAGGGATGAAACGCCTTCGGGCACAAATAACGATCCTGTACTCGAAGAATTTATCAAAACACGACTTCAAGAGATAGAGAAGACTCAGCTCAAATTGGAGATATCCGGAAGAGAGATTGTAGCTCGAGAGCAAGTTCGCCGCATCATGAACGCCATTCTTTCAGTCAAAGATTTCATTTCGACAGCGGTCAGCTCAGAGCCACATGCTGCTTTGGCCTGGGCAGGAATCTTAGTTCTCATGAACCCTATCGTCAGATCAAGCACCCAGGGCGATGATGCTATGGACTGCTTCGAAAAGATCTCAAAATTAATGGTCGTGTACAGAGTCGTGGAATCTACTCCTATCGCCTCATCGCCAAGAGCAGGCTCAGACCAAGCTGAGCCTTTGAGTGACCTTGCATCATCGATCAAAACACAAATGATCACACTCTACTCTCAGATTCTCAAATACCATATACGGCTTTCAAAACATTTGAACGAGTCAGGATTCCTCCGATTTGTCGAAGATTTTGGCTGGGACCGATGACTGGAAGGAATGTTTCAAGAAATTGATAGTCTCGATCAAAGCATTCGCAAGAGCCTTGATACTTTGAATACGCATATCCTGCAAAGAATCGACACCCAATTTTTGGAATTGCACCAGCAAATAGCTATCTCAACAAAAGTGATGGTGGATGCAAGGGACAATGCCAAGGTAGGCAGCTTAGTGATGTGTATCAAGTCATTGAATTTACATCTATGAGTACTTACCATCTGTTGTGGGAAACAAAGGAGGCACAATTGCTAAGCAAGCTACATATCGCGGAAGGAGCCACAGTGGATTGCGACGACGACCAGGACACAACCTCTGATTGCCTAGAAGGCACTCAAGTCAATACTCTTGAACTGATTCAACATTGGCTCGAATGCCCAAACTACGAGAACATGTTTTGGCTCTCTGGCATGGCTGGAACAGGGAAATCCACAATCTCAAGAACTGTTGCCAAGGCTTGCCATCTTAATCGAAGTATGGTGAATCAAAATCCGCTGCAGAGGAGAAATGTGGTTCTGGGAGCATCATTCCTCTTCGATAAGAATGACGATGATCGAAAAACAACCAAGCATCTCTTTACCACTCTTTGCAGGGGCCTTACGGAGCACATGCCCAATATCAAGAGTGATGTTTGCGATGTTATATCTGCGCACCCGAACATTGGGAGTGAATCAATCAGTAAACAATGAAGGCGCCTGATTCTTGATCCACTTGTGCTACTGAACAAAAGGAATATGGTACCACTCACCCTGGTTATGGTCATTGACGCTCTTGATGAATGTGAGTCTGAAGAAGATATCGACAGCATTATTCAGCTCTTCAATCAGGCAGGCAAGCTCGATACTATTTCGCTACGGCTATTCATTACAAGCAGGCCGGAGATTCATATCCAGTCAAGCTTTGATGGCATTTCAAGAGACCAAAACTCTGCGTTTCAGAGACATGATCTACATAAAGTCAAGATTTCCAACTCTGATGATGATGATATCACGAAGTTTCTTCGACATAATATTCCTCCAATTGCACAGAAACACCGTCTTGGAAGGGACTGGCCTGGAGAAGCCTGTACGAAACGACTTGCGGAAAAGTCAGATGGTCTCTTCATTTATGCAGCGACGGCGTGCCGATTCCTCAGTGACCTACGGTTATCCAAAACAGAAGTGGAACGACGCTTGCAAATTATCTTCGAGGACCAATACGGCAAACTCACCCCACTGAATATCCTCGACCTAATTAACACGCAAATCCTTCAGATTTCAGTCATTGGTCATACCTTGGATGAAGAAAAGGAAGAAAGGTGTCGCCTATTTCAGAAGGTTGTTGGGGCACTCATCACCTTGTTCAAGCCTCTTTGCATTGAAGACATTGCCAAATTACTCTCAGAGGACATTTCAGATGTCGAATCGACCTTCCAGCGACTCCATTCAGCAATATCAGGTGGTCAAGACAGAGCCTCGCCTGTTCATTTGCTTCATCTATCCTTCCTTGATTTTTTGCTCGACGAAAAAAGATGCATAGTTGGGGAGTTCTTGATTTCTCAGAAAGACGTACATGATTCGCTCCTTAAAGTTTGCCTTGCCACTTTGTCATCTACCTTGAAATAGAATATTTGTTCCTTATCGGAAGGGTCTACTCTTGCTGCAGATGTTGAATCTTCTCGACTGGAGCAACAACTTCCGCCCCATGCCCAGTATACATGCCTGCACTGGATTGGGCATCTTCAAGGAGCCGCGAGGAATCCTCTTGATGGAGATGAAGTGTTCGTTTTTCTGACAGCGCACCTCCTTCACTGGCTTGAAGCTCTCTGTCTCATGGGTAAAATGTCAGAGGGTGCGTGCCATGCTCTAGCTTTGGCCAAATATTTGAATGGTCTCCCTGTAAGTAACGTACATCACTAAATGTAACCGCCTACATCCTGCTCACTCTTATGAATTTTTCAGCCAGCTGGCAGACAAGAGCTACGAATTTTAACCTAAGATCTGGGGCGCTTTATAAGGAAATTCAGGTCCATGTTTGAGGAGAAACCCCTCCAAATATACCAGTCAGCGCTTGTACAATGCCCAGAAAACAGTCATATTCGGAGGTACTTCAGCCATGTTATCCCCAGGTTCATCATCCGGCCACCAGTGGTGGGAGAGCATTGGGATGCGTGCCAACAGACTTTTAAACTCAATGGCTTCCAAAGTCTTTGTTTTTCACCAGATGGCAAACTGTTAGCATCTGCCAATGTGCATGTTTGGGAGACGGCAACAGGATCCCTCCTCAAATCATTTCCTACCTTCGGCGGCGGCAATTAGTTGATTTCTCTCTTGATGGGAAGCAGATCATCTGTTTTTTAGGAGACGCCTCAATCAACATATGGAATGTGGCTACCGGGATTATGGTGAAGAGAATAGAAAGTCCTCTCTCAAATTCTCTTTCTGGGCCCCTCTTAGGTCTAGTTTCCTATGACAAATCTTTGGCCGTGATCGGATGCCGCGGCGGAAGAGTCCACATCCTGGATCTGAAGCATGGAGAAACCCAAATGTCTATTGAGACAGATGCCGAGGAAATGGCGAGCGTCAACCTCCTGATGCTGTCTCATGATGCGACCACTTTGGCCGCTTGCTTTGGAAAGGGCAAAGTGCAGCCTTGGAATACACGAACTGGAGTCATGGAACACAGCTTTGATTACACTGCTCGATCGCATTGCGGGCCTGATTACTATAGAGAAGATGAAACCGGTCACTTTTCACCAGACAGTACTAAATTTGCCTTCACGTGCTGTAATGGCATGTCTGGGATATTGGAAGGAGGCTTAACTCCTAATGAAATTTATCCTTCTCTCCACGATCACCTCGGGATGTGACGTAGCGATATATGCAAACCATGTGAACTTGAAGTGACTCGGAGCCCCTGGTCTGTGTTACTACAGAGCACCGCTCTGTACAGAACGGGTAGTATCTGGGCGCACCTGTAAGTCAGCTTGAGACTTCTTGGAACATCAGCCACTTTTTCGAGGTTCCTCTTTGCATCCGTCACGCCCGGGTGGACTACAGGGCACTATACCGGGAGCTACTGGGGCCGCAGGGATGAGAGGGGTCATCGGACTTCTTCCATGCACCTAAGGTGTGATGGGAATTGCATGCAGATTGAGGTTGCGTGGACTCGGGCAGACGGAGTAGATAATTCGATTCCATTTCCCCTAGTTTCTCGGCTCTCTTTATCGCTGCGACTTACGCTCACTGCCAAGAGTTGATAACTCGTGCGACATGCACTTGTCCCTCGGTGAGCCTGGCGCGGCATAATGGTTTCAAAAAAGTCTCCTTGGCAATTTATGATGACGCATTCGCAAACAAGTCTTCTTGAGCTTCAATAATTGTTGAGATCCATCTTTAATGCCTTGTTGAGATCGAACCGGTACGAGTCGACTTGTCACCAGTTGACGGATCGGAGCTATGCCTGTTCCATCGTTATCGCTCAGGAACAGAGTAGGACAAAACCCGTCACCGAAAGTGGGCCTAGATCGGCCTGGGAAATGTCATCATGTTTATTCGGAGGAGTATTGGCGTGAGCAACATCCGCAGACTTGGACTCTTGGAAAACACTTGGCGAGAGGAGATAACCATCAGAAACAAGCCAAGGAGGGCGCAGTCTGTAAATTCTGCAGAACCTGAAAGTCGACTTTCTTCCATGGTAGGGATAAAAAGGGACTCTTCAGCCCTACGGAACGAGTGGAGTCAAATGCCGTGATTTCGTGATTTGGAGTGGAAAAGAGAAAAAACTCTCGCTGCCTCGGGAATCGGGCCAGTTCGCCGCGGAGTGCGCATCTCAACTCAATTTTCTTCTTGATCATCGGCCTTCTCCGATTCTCTTATAATTCTCCTCCTCTTCTCCTCTTGACCTTTGTGTGTTTATAAATCTCACAACTGGAACAAAAAAAAACACAGAATGGAGAAATCCACCTCGTCCCCGATACCGGATCTGGAGGCAACCTCCCCAGATCTGCGAAAGGAGTCATCGATCAAACGAGGATGGAAACAAGAACTCAACCCCAGCCATGCTGATCTGGTCTGTTTGCTACTATGTTTCCTGACTGGTCTCTGCGACAGCAGCGCCTACAATGCGTGGTCATGTTTCTTAGGAATGCAAACTGGTATGATTCACCCACCACCCACCTTCCAAGAATGTTCTCAGGAACTGACCGAACGTCTCAAACATTACAGGTAACACCATCTTCCTTGGCCTCGGTGCATCCAACCAACCAGTCAGTAAACCATGGGGATGGCTAAAGTCCCTGGTGTCAATCACCTCCTTCTTCACCGGCGCAATGGTCTTCTCCATTAGTATGCGCACGGTCGGCTCTTTGCGCCGCGGAACCCTCTTCGTCTCCTTCCTCGTCCAAACAGCCCTTATCATTATCGCCGTCGCACTCATTCAAGCTGATCTTATTCCCCACTCCTCCAACGATTCCAGCCTCGATGGCGGGCCCCTGTTCCTGGAATTGATCCCTATCGCTCTCCTGGCTTGCCAATCTGCTGGTGGTATGACCTGCAGTCGAGCACTGGGTTACAATGAGATCCCGACTGTCGTTCTTACCAGTGTCTACTTTGACATTGCTTCCGATCCTAAGCTTATCGAAAAGCCCACTGCGAATGTTAAGCGGAATCGCCGTATTGGAGGTGTGGTGTTTTTGCTTGTGGGTGCTATTGTTGGAGGTTGGTTGAGTCGCAGCAGTGGTGGTATGGAATCTGCGCTTTGGATGGCAGCAGGAATGAAGTTTGTTACTGCTATTGGGTGGTTGTTCTGGAAGGCGAAGTAATTTGTCTTCTAATCGGGTATTTGGGGTGCTCGTGTGCACTGTTTTACTTGCGCGCATGCGCGCAAAAGCCTTGTTGCTGGCTTCAAGGGTGAATAGCTAATTGTTACTTATACTTGCATTATAGAGAGCGTATTGCTAGATGCTAGAGCTTTTTTAAAGAGATTTCACAGTTTTAATGATTTCGTTGATGATCTTCTCCAAGTAGTCCAGGTAACTCAACGGTAACTCGAAGCATGCAGTACAATTCCTGTTTCCTATTGCTTCCTACTGGCAAATCTACGCTCCTTGCGTTCCACTTACACTGGCACGGATTATTCAAGTTCACGGTGCTGCATTTTACTTAGGCTATTAGGGTATAATATTATTCGAATTAATACATAGCGGAATAGGACATCAAGCCCGCTCTCCCAGCACAGGTATTGCCAGTGGAGATGGAGCCCGAGATCCCTGATCATCAGGAGTCTTCAGTAGGTCCTTTCGAGTATCAAACTCTATCTCAGAAACGTTGACATGACTTCCCAGATCTCGCAAATTATCCAAAGATGGAAAATTGAAATTCGATATGGAGCCCGCACTAGCAAAGAGTGGACGGGGAGCAATGAGTGGTGATACTGTCTGCATGGGAGTTGACGAGTCCTCAAAACTGGTTCGACCCTAGAGAGGGATCATAAGTAGAGTTGAAGACTAGTGTAGAGGTGGATAGACTTACTGGCAATTCCTGTGGACTATCTGGCCTTGTGAGGATTTCTTTGCGCTTGACCTCAGGCCACGGCTTCTGCACAACCAGCGTCTTCTCGCTCCCTCTTTCAGTCGAACGTTTCTCGGAGAGGGATGAAATGTCAAATCGTGACATATTGCCTCTCATTGATTGTATGGAATGACGCCAGCCCACGCCGGGGCTTTTCAGTTTATCGTTTTCGGAAGCTGGTAGTTCAATGAATGATCCACTGTCCTGTCGATGCTTTTCTTGATTTCGGAACACATTTGACCATCGGTTTCCCTTCTTATGACCTAGCAAGTCGGGAGACAGGAGAAGATCGTTTCTTTCCTTTGAGTAATTCGAATCGCTGATTGATTGCTTTGAGCTGTGTCGTTCGGGTTTTGTAAATGCCTTGGTGCTCAAGTCGCTGAATTTCCCCCCCAATGTTCGAGAGATTGCTGGCCTTCCTAGTGCTTTCCGAAGCAGTGATAGATATCACATCACTGCCTGTGGTATCGTCATGATCGTGACCATTCGTGGCTACACTGTATAACATCGGCTGTATCGGGGTGTTCAAGTCTTGAAGAGCTGCGGAGCTCATTTGAAGTCGGATATTCAATCTATCACATTCCAATCGAGACTCTTTCGATACAGCCGTTTTTTGAACGGTCTTGATGTGGAAACTGAGGTTATATAGCGCTCGTTTCAGATCCGCTTGGCTGGCTGCAATTGCCTCCCAATGATTTCTCATCAACGGAACATCATTCGACTGCCTCTGACCTCCACTCATTGCCTCTTGCGCTAATTGCACCAAAAGCTCAACCCCAGTCTTCACACCCCGTAACGCACGGTCTGTGGTCGTTAGCTTGGTCTTTAGCTCTGCGAGTCGAGCTGAAATGTTCGTAGCTTGATTCACTTCGTAGACAAGGTGTTCGGTAAATTGTTGAAGGTTTTTCGTGTCAATCGAGATATTCATCCGCCATACTTCTTCGGCAGCAATTTTTTGCAACAATTTCTTTGCGTAGACAGAAGCGGCAGCGGCGGCGAATCCATTCCAAGCTTCTCTTTTGTGTGAATCGGAATAATCGCAAATCCCTCGAATATGCAAACAAGCGAACTTGTTCGCTGAACTGGGCAGTTCTTGTTTGGAGCATAGGATGCCCAGTTCCTTGCCAACCCTGTCTCGTTTTCCAGCATCATTCAAACTGATATTCGTTGATCCAATTCTACCAGTGTGCACCGTGATTCGGTCGTATTCAGGGCGATCGGTTCGAGCGATTATCGTATTTTCGTCAATCGCGCTAGAGGAGAGGCATTCACAAGACGAGGCATGTTCATAATCCGCCTTTAGTAACCGATCAAGATGATTTCGGGGCCGCTGATAGTCATCTCTTATTTTCTGTGTTTTAACGAAGGCCTTCTCTAGAAGCTCGTGAAGATCTAACCCTTCATCAAGTTGAACCGCTAACCCTTGTGTACCCGTGAAAAGCGCTCGCCCTGGTGGCTCGATATGGCTGGTATGTTTGAGCTCCTCGGTCGCATCTCCAATCTCGTATTGAACGATCTCAGTGCCTACCACAACATCGCCAAGGCGGATATCGTGGCGGGGTGACGGTATCCCTCCAGCAATCCCCACTATCAATAGTACGCGGATCATGGGGAAACTACTCCTCATATCATGCGCCGCATCAGATGCCGACTCGATTCCGTACTGCGCATTCTGAAGACAGGTAATGAGAACATAATGTTTGGCGACGCGGCCGTAGGTATAGGTATTTCGATCCCCTCTCGGTAGCACGAAGTTAGTTGATTCGAATTCCTCGTCCAAGACCTGACGAGCGGCGGTGTACTCCTTCCGAATTCCAGTGACCCAGCCGACTGTAAAGTCGCCGTGAGATGGGAGCATCTCGGGCAATGCGTAGAGGAGTTAACAGGAGCACAATGCGATAGGGGGCTAACCACACTGAAGGTGATTTTAAAGCTCAAGATGAAGATCAAGCAAGCCCTCCCACAAAACCCTGTTTATTGGGGAAACTTTCTTTTTGGCGCACTGTTTACGACTTTGGGGGGGATTCCACTCAGCCGCATTTACCAACCATAAGTGGGATGGATTGTGATCCAAGCGTAGAAAATAGCCAGTCGGCCCCATTGGATACCTCCTGTGATTTGCTGGAATACCACGACACGTCATGGTTTGAACAGGGGTATCGGTAGTTTGGGAGGGGTGTGCGAGAAAGCAATCAAAAGTGGTTTAGTGGTGCAGCAAAGCTGAACCCATATTTGGGGGCGGATCAGGTCCCTGCGCAATGCTCATGCAAGAGAGATTGAGGTACCCAGTAATCTGAAATTGAGAATTGGATGAATATGTATCAAATTCTGACACCTGTTTTTTGGTATGCCTTCCAAGGTTCAAGTTGGATATCAGGATGAGCCTCTTTAAAATGGCCCCTAAATGCCTGAGAGACCGAGTGGTCCAAAACGAAACTTTGGGAGACCCCTGTCGCAGACGAATCATATTGCTTTTTTCCAGGACCATTGCATAATTCATATTACCAGTGGTGCTCAAACTGTACATATCCTGTGGAAAAGAGTAGCCTTGGAGAATGACTTGCATTGAATATTCGAATTTGGCTTGATCAGTAATGATAATTTTATTTAACATCACTGGCACCTGGGCAGACGATCAGAGTGTCTGAAGAAAGTTCAAGTTGACGTGTAAAACAGAAAAGACGATGACCATATCATCCTCTGATTCCTCTCACAACAACCCAATCACCACATCTCCATATAGATCCGCCTCCAAGCCCAATTTAATCTTGGCATGAAGATCCAAGTGAATTCTGATATTCAAACTTCCCTTATCCTCCTTCTCATCATCCTCGTGCCTCTTTGTATCGAGGATTAGGGCAGCAGCAGGTCCAATCAATTTACCCTCGCCACTAGCCAGTGTCTCAGGGTCCATGAGACTCTCCATGGGATCGTTACTGGAAAGAGAATCTTGGGATCCATGGCGATTTTTGCAATTGCCTTTTCCAGGGGCAAGTGCGGTGATACTAGACATCAAAGGGTGGGAGTTAGCCTTGATGAGTTGGTGAACTCGTTGAATGTATGGTCAAGGTGAGGTGGTTATGGAGATACCTCAATGCTGGAATAGGATCACCCATGTTGATCCGATAACGCGTAGACGAGATTTAAAAAAAATTGTATATGTTATATAATGTGGGAGTCAGCGTATCACTCACGAAAAGATTGCGCTGAGTAGCCCAGCCTTTTTAATATGCAAATATGCATGTCTTCAAGTTGGTAGATGGGGCGACCTTATCTCAGCTTGGAGGCACTGAAGGTGCTCGCTGCCTCAAAAACCGTTCCATGGCTCATAGTGTTTTGTTTCCTGATTCAATGATACATTGTTGTTTCAATGAGCTTTGGATGTCCTATCAATGCAATTGTCGGCAAATCCCATTATTCTTAGATCCATAGGCGGAAATGTTCTCACGTCGCTTCATCTCCCGTGGGAATCAAAGATTGGTTACCCCGATGGTCTACAACACCCGTGGCCCCGGGACTCTCCTGCCAGTGGCAGAATGAAGCATCTTAAAGGCACTCAGGATCACGAAGAGCGCCGAAGAGAGGAGTCTCGAAAGCAACGATGTCATCTTACCGCAACATGCGCAGTCACAGAAGGGGTTCTACAGAGACAGGCGGTCCATAATGCTCATGTCTATCTAGGCTCGGATGGTAGAGTATGTCGCTTTCCTCGTCCCCTGTTCTGAATACTCCCCGCTCTATGATTGAATAATTCAATAACTAGAACAGATCTACATCACAAAATCACCTCATCCAAATTCTCGTCCTGTTCAATGGAGGCTTCTCTCAGCACCCTGATCTGTCTCCTCGAAATACAGCTGGGCTAGTCACTATCTCCGGTGAAACACCACCAACCTTACGATGGGTCTTTCTCGACGCAGAAACACACGAGATGAGATGGGGCGGCAAGCAGGAAAGTGAAGGTCAGATATGTGGGCCCTTCGACTGGACGAAAGACGAAGCTTGTATCACTCTTGAAGATTGGGAGGGGTGGATGACGGTTCGCGACCCGAGCGATGAAACAAGGATGAAGAAAGAACTTGATCTAGAGGATTCTGGTGATATTTGAAAGTTGTGTTTTGATCAGGATGATGACGGTGCAGATTTACCTGAAAATGCGTAGGTCCTAGAGGTCCGTCTAAGGTGAACCACGGCTGGTTCATAGGCAATGTTCGATGTTGCGCAACCTTGGGCTTCGTAGAGTTCGCAACTCGCCACTTTCCCGATACGGAACACTCGGGAGACTCTCATAGAACATTCATGTTCCATAACTTATGTTCCGTATATCAATTTATGCTGGCATTTCAATTCAAAATTTCATGATGTGAGCAGGAGAGGACGCGTGAGCTAGTTAAAGAATGCACATGTGGGTCCATGGCCTCTTCATGGCAAAAGTAGTATTAACAAAGGTGATATGCCGAGTCGAGCATCTGAAAATTGACTATACATAACAAGTATACAAAACACCCATCCGATTACTAGTACTCATTTCCCTCGAGGAATTGAAGCACTCAGAGCACGGTACCCTTGACCTGTTTCTTATCCACGTTGAAGTTCTTCCAAAGCAGAATAGCAGGAATTCCCAAAACCAAAACACACGTAGAGGCAATGCAGTTCATCTTCTGGGAGTAGCCCCACGCATATGCTGCAGCGTCACGAACAGGAGATCCAACAGGAAATTGCAATTGGTATGCGAAAGACTTGTTGTAGATGGTGAGAGCATTCGCCTGCTGATCGGCAGGAAGACGGCTGCGAAGGGCGTTGAGGAAAGTATTGTTATAGATAGCGGCACAAACAGCATATCCAATAGAGCTGCCCACATTATTGAACAAGCTGATCAGTGAAAGCGCGATGGGAATACCCTCGCGATCACCACCCGCCATGGCAGCCATATCATTTCCGATCACGAGAGTACCACCAGCGAATGCAATAAAGATCTGACACATGATAATGTATCCGATACTTTGATCAGCACCACGAAAGTGGATCATCAGGCCAGATCCGAGCATCATAAGCGGTAGTCCAAACCACAGACAGACCCATTTGAAGTGTTTGGTTTTGTACACGTATAGACCCATGACCACGGACCAAAAGCAGGAACCGACGTTGTAGGTTTGCAGCACATATCCGGCTTTTGTGTATCCAAGGTCATACACCACAAGTAGGAAGCCTTGGAAGTATGTATCCCAGAGATCGAAATTGAAGAATAGAACGAGACTAAGTAAACAAGCACCGGCAATCGTACGATTCTTGAACATTTGCCAGCGAATGAAGTGCTTAGTAGCGAAATACTTCTCCCAGATCGCAAAGGTAGGGAATAGGAGGAATCCTATAACAATCATAGCAATGAACTTGGCGCTGGAGTATCCAGTCAGGCCGTAGGATGTTAAGCTGAAAGGTAACAAGAATAGAATAAAGGCAGCCATAATGATACAGGCACCGATCACTAATTCAAAGTGAAAGTTGATTAGCTCTGTTTGGAACATCAAGGGGCAAGGTATATCTCTTACCATCGAATTCATGAAAGTAGTAGACGATAGATTGCATAGTGGTCCGGCCACTAGGCTCTCTATGAATGATACCCATTTTCTTAGCCTTCCTTTCGTAAAATTTGAAAATTCCACAAAGAGGAAAGAAGACAAAAGGTTGAACAATAGCGAAGACACCAAATCCCCAACGCCATCCAGATGTTTGGATAAATGAAGTCGCAGCCAATGGAGCCGTGAAGGCGGTACAGATAAACGGTGTAGTAGAGAACGCAAAAGCCCACGCTCGGTTTCGCAAACCAGTGGTATCAGCGATGAAAATCTCCAAAATCAAATAAATAAAATAATATCCCACCCAGTAAAGGGTATAACCTGCAGCAAAGGCATTGGGGCCATTACATGCAGCGAGAATAATCATTCCCAGTAGATAAATGATGACGGAGAAGGCAAGACCCTCCGCACGGCCCCACAAATTCAGGGTCTTACCTAGGGGTAACTTAAGAACGCCCCCAATAATTGCCGAAGTGATATACGCTGTGGTCACTTGTGGAGCAGCCGAAAATTCAGCATACACATATTGAGTGAGATTAGACAATAAAGTCTGATGGAATGCTAACATGAAATAGCACAGCCAAATCCTATGTAATCGGTCGCATGTTAGTTTTAGCCTGATTCTTTTCATCCGGAACTTGAACCCACCATCCATAAATCCCAAGTACAACTTTTCTGGTGTAGACCAGCGCAGCAGCTTCAGCCTTCTGCAGACCTAGCTCGGCATTGGCATTGATATGATCCGGGTTTCTTTGGACTTCCTTTTCATCGTGCCACTCGAAAGACTCTTCTTCCGGTGAGGACGGTGAGGAAGTAGTAATACTCTCATTTGTGGAGGGTTCTTGCTTCTCAATACCCTCATCAGGCGGGACAAATGGCTTAGATGTCCGGCCACCTTCATTGCGACCCCGAATGACATCGATAGCACCCATTGTGTCAACAGTGAAGAGAACCCCAGCTTTGCCTGGCAATGAAGCTCAGGAAGTACCGGATCTAGCAGAAGCGACAAAACCAAGAACGAGTTGCAAGATGCAAGGAGGGGGAACCTGAGGCCTTTTTCAATTCAAAAAAAAGGGTCTCAAAAACTTAGAAGGGCTCCCGAACGCGCGCTTAACTCGGTTTTCTTGGAACGGACTCCACATCTTTCTTCTTTATTCGTTCAGGGTCCTTTCCGAGAGCCTCGTCGGGGTGTGGCGGGATCAGATAATCAAAGATATCCGCATTCGATCATCCCCGGCGTCTCCGAACTTCCTACCTAAGAATTAATAGAGAATTTTTCCTAGTTTTTAATTCCTTTTATTTGAGAAAGCTACTGAGTGAATGAGTGACAATATTGACTCCATTGATTATGATAGTTCTTTTTTCTTTTTTTTTTCATCCAGATATCTCAAGTGGTCCAAGATCTCGTATTAGCCATATGGTATTCCCCGAGATCATATTTCTTTTGCCATTACTCTCTCACGAAATTTAAATTCCCTACCAGGTTATCAGATTGATTATCACTGAGAAGATTATCTATCATTGGATGGGATCCTGAGACAGAGTTCCAAGGTTTAGGGGGGCCAACTGATCAAATTACTAATCCTGTCGTAAAGCGGCCCCGAAGCAGCACTTGAAGCTCACACTTCAAATCCGATACACGGGAAGTAGACTTCCAACTTGAAGAAATTGATCAAAGCCTTGAGCAGTCGTATTTTGTTCAAACCTGCTCATCGTATTCCTAACTACGGAGTACTGGCGATCTTGATCTTCTCACTCAATTTATTTTTCTAGCCTTTCCGAGGTCAAAGCCCAACATTGGAAGAAATCCCCCAAGTAAACCCAGTGAGTTGGATGTTTTATTATCCTGAGATCACCATATTTCCTTTTCAAAGTGGACATTTGGAAGCCTGCTTCGTTTTCATGTTGAGGAGCATCGAGATTCGTGCCGAGAGATGCTGCAGCACTGATAGAGACACCGCTGGATTTGCGTGAGAGTCAAGGTATTATGGTCTATGTACTAGTAGTATTCGTAAAAACTTGAAGAGAATGGAATACTACCTAGTAGTACCGCGGCACATGCATGTATGACTTCAAGTTGAAGTTCTTAATGTGATTTCGACAAGCCCTATGCCTGGGTCCATATTTAATAAGACAAAAGCTCTTTAATTTAAAGCCCGTTGAAACTTGAATTTAGGGTGAGAGAAGAAGTACCAGTTATCCGATGTCCAGTTATATAGGTATGTGAACTCGGACGTCGGGACCAAGGGAAAAAATAAATAAACGACCTTGAGATATTATAGTGTCATGCAATAGTGGAGATTTTGGAAGATGCGTTTTCTTGATAGCTCCCTCTCTGAAAGGATGTCCGCATATTCACAAAGGTAAGAAACACCCTGTTCTCCACGACTTATGCTTGTATATACAGAAAAAGTTTAAGAGGTAGTGAGATAGAACTAGATGCTACGGTCCGATCGAGCGGGCGCGTTGCGGATTCCCCTTAACACCTAGCGGCAGGGGCCGGGCCGGGTCTGTAAAGACGATGAGGTCGTGGCGGAGGATAGCTGGGATGTGACACAGGGCATTGGCTTGGTCAAGCAGCGGTAGAATCGTATCCCAGAACTTAGCCGGATCGATACTTACATCGGGGTGCCGGTCCAGAAGAAGGGCGAGACCACCGCGGCGCTCCTCGGCGATCAGGGCCCAGCGGATGGCTGGATGGGCCTCCAGCACCCATTCCATGTCTCGAGGAAGAAATTGATGCGGTCGAGCGGGATATGGTGCGAAGAGATCGCCCATGGGATACTCATCGAGCGTGCGAAACATGGCGAAGACGGGCTGGGCAGGTGCGTTTGAGCGGCGTAGCAGCACCACCTCGTGATAGGGCCCGCAGACAGCGCGGAATTCATATAACACTTCTGGGCTGAGCTTCAAGTAGGCCCAGTCAGCTAGATCGGACAGTACCCCGACAGGTAGCAAACCGGACTCAGAGACGCCATAAACATGAGTGATCTGGGTGTGGCAGGTGATTTGGGATGCCAGGTAGGGCTAGCAGGTGGCGCCAATAATAGCAAGGTGGCGCACACGGCTTATAGCCACGAAGGCCAAGTTGGCGCATGTCTCCAGATGTCGGGCAAGGTCTTAGATGCGAGAACGCAGGCGAAGATATTGCCGTGTTGCAACAGCTGGTCCATCAGCGTCGCGTTCATAGGACCCCCCTGTCACAGCAGGCAGGACTTAGGTCAGGTCAAAGATAATTGGAGTGACAGCGTTGTCCTGAAAATCTTACAGAATACGGTGGCCGCCATGGGGCCGACTTCGCGGCTAATCATTGTCGACCTGGTACTACGACGGGGCTTGTTGGCCTATGCTGCATTACTAGATGTGAGCATAATGGCGTTTAGCGGGATGGAGTGCACCGAGGCCCAGTGGAAGAGGATTTTGAATTATGCGGGGCTGCATTGGAAAGGCTGACGCCGGGATCGGATCAGGTAATTGAGGCGAAATTAAGTTTGATCGCTGTCCATGAATACCAGAAATTGATTTTGAAAATAAGAATGTGAAAAAATACTAGTTCGCATGCTGATATGGGTTTTATTCGTCTACAACACCTTTGGCAGGAAGATGGCTCTCTGTCCCTTATTGATTGGCTTCTGGCGGCTTCTACCTGAGCCTATTCAATGTTGATGCCCCATTTGAAACCTGTAGAAAACATTTACGTATATAACAACTCTAAATTCCTACCGAAGATCTATCCTGACAGGCGATAATCCTGAATAAATTCATTCACTACCATACGGGATCCGAGCATATAAGGTTCAGATGTAATTACTCATAACGTGATTCCCAAGCGAGTGGGCCACCCAAGCGAGTGGGCCACCCAACCAAAAAATCGCGTCGCGACCGCGTTCTTTTATCTTCAACCACCCATCATGCCACCAAAACGTACTGTTTCGGCCGAAAAAAATGGTAATCAAGAGGGTCGAATCCTACTTGCTATACAGGCTATTAAAGCTGAACAAATAAGCTCTATCCGTGAAGCTGCACGCTGTTTTGATATACCTCGTACTACACTACAGCGTCGGCTCACTGGCTATACCAATCGCTCTGAGACTCGCGCCAACAGCCATAAATTAACTGAGAATGAAGAGAAATCACTTCTTCAGTGGGTGATCTCTATGGATATACGTGGAGCTGCCCCCCGGCCTGCTACTGTTCAAGAAATGGCCAATATTCTCCTCTTAGCACGTGGCCAGACCCCTTCTCAAACTGTTGGCAAAAATTGGGTCACAAACTTTGTTAAACGACATTCAGAGCTTACTACACGTTTCTCTCGACGATATAATTATGAACGTGCGAAGATGGAGGATCCAAAAGTTGTTCAAGAATGGTTTAATCTTGTTTTTCAAACAATTCAAGAGAATGGTATTCTATCAGAGGATATCTATAACTTTGATGAGACTGGATTTGCAATGGGACTTACAGCAACTGCTAAGGTTGTTACTCGTTCTCGATATTATGGTCGACGATCACTTTTACAGCCTGGAAATCGTGAATGGGTAACTGCTATTGAAACAATTAATGTATCTGGATGGGCCCTTCCACCAGTGATTATTTTCAAAGGCAAAGTTTTAATTGAAGGATGGTTTACAAACCTTCCACTTGACTGGCGATTTGAAACTAGTCCAAATGGATGGACAACTGATGAAATTGGACTTCGATGGCTTCAAAAACACTTTATTCCAGCAACAACTGAACGTACGCTTGGAAAATATCGACTTTTGATTCTTGATGGTCATGGGAGTCATTTAACTCCCCAATTTGATCAGATTTGCAAAGAGAATAATATTATTCCAATTTGCATGCCAGCTCATTCTTCACATCTTCATCAGCCACTTGATGTTGGATGTTTTGGGCCTTTAAAACGGGCCTATGGTCGGCTTGTTGAGAATCAAATGCGGCTTGGTTTTAACCATGTTGATAAATTTGATTTTCTTGAAGCCTACCCAATCGCTCGTAAAGAGGCTTTTCAAACCCAAACTATTCAAAACAGCTTTACGGCAGCTGGTTTAGTACCATTTGACCCAGATCGAGTACTTTCTAAGTTAAATATTCTTCTTCGAACACCTACACCCCCCAGCTAGCCGCCCTACTAGTCGATCAAGCCAATTTTCACCTAAAACACCTCAGAATCTTATTCAGCTTCAACGGCAAGCTAGTTCAATCAAAGCTCTTCTAAAACAACGTTCAAAGAGCCCTCCAAGTCCACTCAAACAGCAAATCGATCAAGTTCTCAAGGCCTGCGAAATTCAGATGCATTCAACAGCTTTATTAGAGGTTGAAACACGCAAATTACGCGCTGCACATGAAAAGCAAAAGCAAAAGCGCAAGCGGTCTACTAGGCAGATACCTAACGAGGGTGGTATGACTGTTCAGGAGGGCCAGGAGGCTATACAGCGTGCTATACAGGTGGTTGAGGCGCCAGTGATCCCTCCCGTACCACGGCCTAGGGCGCCTTATTTACCCCCTCAGCCAGCTAGGAGAAAGCTACCGACATGTAAGAAGTGTGGAGAAGAAGGCCATCGATCAGATCACTGTGATATTTAGTTAATTATTTTAATAAATTGGCGTTCTGGTGGTAATATTTATGATTAAAACTGTAGGGTAGGCGGTGGGTGGCCCACTCGCTTGGGTGGCCCACTCGCTTGGGAATCACGTTAATTACTCATAGGCGTGGGTGCCTAAATTTTAGTTGAATGGGAGCCTGAGAGCAACCTAAGGATGCTTATCAATGGATAACAGAGTGCCCCTCTTAAAGCCCCAACCTTCAAATGTAGTACCCCTGGATAAAAACATACAACACTTCAAGTTCTCTTTGAAAACATTCATGATTTTTAATTAAATACACTTCTTTTGCAAGAGACCCCAAAAAATCTCGGTCTTGTACCCAACTCAACCCTTTTTCTACTACTCTGCTCTAGACTACGCTAGTCATGGAGGACCAATCCCTCAAATCCACCTGTCATTGCGGCGCCATCACCGCGATTCTACCCTATCGACCCAAAGAAATCAACGAATGCCAATGTACAATCTGTCGACGCTACGCAGCAGCCTGGGCATACTACAAAGTGAATGAAGTCAAAATCGATATGAAAGGCGGCGCCAAACTCTCTCGATATATTTGGGGAGATAAAGAGATCTCCTTTAATTTCTGCGAGAATTGCGGTTGCGTGTAAGTCTTGATCAGCTCGTTGGTTTTGGATTTCAATGGCTTGACTAAAATGATTTGATCATAGGTGCTATTGGTGGCCAATGGAAGAGAAGACATCAGATGGTGATGCCGCTGAATTCGGTGTGAATACGAGGAATATGGATCCCATGGAAATCTTCCACGTCAACCGCAAGATTGGCAATGACTGGCTGTTACAGCCACTCAAGGATAAGACCAAGTCGCATGAGCAGGATCGGGCCAATTACTGAAATACAGTACCGATTTTTTCAAAGACTTGTGCTGAGTTCATTGACAATTTAAGTGAAAAGATTTGTTTTTTTGTCGCAAGTAGTGACTTGCTCTCCAGCGGAGCTTCAAAAATGTTCATATCCTTTCGCAAGCTACATAGGTCAATGCACCCTAATACGACTGATTATCCATGGTTCCTTGGCTCTTGAAATAATTGATACTCCGCAGAGGCAGATCAAATTATCTTATTTCGTCTTATTCAACATTGAGTGATTGTATCTAACCAATTTTATCTGATGATCACAACGTCGCAAACGACAGATCTACATGTCGGATTTTACCACTAATGCATATGTGGACTCAAATCTACCTTCCTATTTGCCGTTCAGATCCTTGAAATTATATCTTTGATAGTCCCTGCGCATCCAAGGCCAATGTCACTAGTACAAATGACCATCTCTCCCGCTTTTCCATAATCATTGCTTCTTTCTCAACCTTCTTCTTCGTGTCAAACACGAGTCAACTTGAAGTATGGATGAAAGACATACCACAAGGAAGGTAAACCAAATACCACCTCTTTATAGATATTTCAGCTGCGTAATTGCAATCAAGTCCGGAATATCCTTGCTGCTAGTGGATGAAGAGGGACTTTCTCTCCGAATACGATGTGCTAGAAGATTATTCCAAAGGTTGGCCATCTTGTGTCCCTTGATCCTGGAGTTCCACAACCTCTTTACTGGCAGGCTGAGATGCCTTGCGCTGATTCAGGAGACCATTTATATGCTGGCTTTTACAAGCAGAGGCCTTGCTTACCAACGCACCCTATGGTAGCTTCTGTGGGTCCATAAGAGTTGACAAGTCGCAGTTGCAGACTTCAGAGTTTCAGTCGACTATCACCCGACTGCTTACCACCGAATATAAGCATTTAGAGACCCGGCAAATCATAAATCATCTGGATGTTCTGTCTGGGCAATTCCAGGTGTCAGAGAAGCGTGGTTTACGCGGTGCTCAGCACAGAAGCTGACAGGTTTTTTTAAGCGTTGCTTTTCAGACGGCACACATACACAACCACCTGTCAGCAAGGTTGTGAAAGCATCCTTAACACAGGGATTGAACGAACAGTTGGAAAACTGTGCCATGCGCGAACAACGAGTGGGACCAAAAAGAAATAGACTCGCGTCAATGAACCGGATAGGTAAGCCTGATGTGGCATGTAAACACCCTTTGGGACTCCAGTGGAGCCAGAAGTGTATATGAGATGGACAACATCCGGAGGACTGTTTCTATCTCTCTTAGGGCATTAAGAGGAGGTACTACCTGAATTAAAAGATGTTCGAGTGCGATCTGTCTGTGAGCTGCGAAGGATTGCCGGTCCTTCTGGGGCGAGACGAACACTAATGGTGCTTTGACTTCGTGATTGATGTGCTCCAGGCGTGGTTCCAGATTTCTTTGGATCAAGAGGAATAAACGTCGGAACGGCTTTCATAATAGACAGTTAGTCTACAAGAACCCAGCATGACATGTCGATGTAGAACGGAACTATGTCGCTGGGGAGCTGTTAGACGACTAAATATTTCATCCAGCCCTCTGTATATCTAGCATCCATCCCAGGGACTATTTGAGGCTGATCTGAACTCCGATCACACATGTGCAGATGAGAACGTGGATGTAACCTTCTATTGGTTAAAGGAGAGTCTCGGTCCAGGTCAAAAGTTCGTGGCGATCGGCCTCGCTTAAAAGACCAACATTGCCTAACCATTGACAGGTCCCGTTCAGGTTTTCAATAAATAATCAATTATTACTGAATATCATGATGCAGCATTTATAACCTAATGTTGGAGCACCCCAGAGCTCATTATAACATGATCAATCTTTTCTTCTCAGGTCTACTTGATGAAGTTTGGTCAATCTCCCCAGGCTTTTAAATGTTTTCCATATTCACATATACATATGTATTAATCAATAGATACTTGACACTATGTAAGAATGAGATTTGTCAAAGGCCCAGCGCCTTAAAAGGTCTTCCAGCCTATGTATTATCCATGACTCATATCGTATTTGTATCAACCTCAAGTCCATTTGAAAAGTTGCTGCCGGATTGAGTGTTCAAACGTTCGCATTCTATCATCCCGATAATGCTTTTCCCCTATTTATTATCCTTCATCAGCTCTGTCAAACTAATCATCAGTTAAGCGAGGTAGATCCTTGAACTCACAAGTCTGACACCAGAGCATTAGCTCCATTCGCTACATCGCTGATAAGACCCGGGTCTTCTGCTGATCCATCGCTACCGCTGGCTTGAGTGTCCGTATCTCCTCTTCGCAATAACGTTTCCCCCCTGTTATGATCAGTCCTGTTGAGCTAGTCATTGGTTGAGCAAGGTAGATCAGCAACTCACACGCCTGCCACCACATCATGAGTGTCAGTTGCTAGATCGCCAAGAAGACCAGTGCTTTTTGCTGATCCAGGAGCGCGGGCCTGATTTCCCTGGCCGTGGATTGGAATCGCCAGTGCAGTGCCAAAAAGGCAAATGAGAGTATAATAAAGAACACGCATTTTGAAGGTACTGGAATAGTCAAACTGATTGGAGATGTAAACAAAATCTAACTTTGAATGCTCAGAAGACCAACCCTATTTATACTTTATTGCGCTCTATGTTATACAGTGTCTGGTATGCAGAATTCGGGTAACCCACTTCTAGTGCTAACTGGCTAGAGCCTAGCTGCAAGGTATCCTGCTTTCAGGAGAAAATCTGCAAGGTGACAGATGCATGTGTGGTTTATCACATACGAATTGTGGTGTTCTATCAATCTTTGTAGAAATTACCACAAAACGATAGCGCCTCTTGTGGCTTGCCCAAATAATGCATACACCAGACATTGTAGATTGTGCTCAAGCTACTTAATTATTACGTTATTGACTTCGTATAAAGCCCAATTTCTGGTCACTTCCTTGACAAAAAGCATCTGGACTCCTACTATGATTGGCTATTTAGGTGACAGGTGGAGTCGGAAATCTTAACTATTCTGAGGAACTTCTACCTAGCCCTCCTTGCTTGCACATGTGAACGAGTTTACATATTATGTCGATCAAGTTCCCCCATGTGCATCATCACACTAAACTATTGATGAATGATACATAATTATGGATATTACCTATGTACCAGGAACAATTTAACTAATGTGGCGCCTTGGACGCCAAGGCAATAATACTGCATTTGGAGGATATTTTTAGACATCTGGACCCGGTCAACATTTGAACTTCCAAGCTTGAACATTGGAAATGCTTCAAATTTCAAATCTATCGTGATATATTGATGCACATGCATACTGCACATGCATGCGAGGACTCGGATGCCAACCTCGGGATTGATCAGTAAAATTCATTTATTCAATTTGAAAATGCTGTACGGAGTACTACAGCAGCACTTGAGCGCTTGAGTACATACATACATAATGTCCCACATGTCCAGGTGACTAGACTAGTAGTATTTCTCATCCATTTCGTTCTAGTAGTAACTTGAACTAGTACTAATAGCATGCACATGTGTTGGGGTCCATTCCGAGTCCCACCAGTTGACAAATTGATCGGGTACCCCGTGTAGATGATCGATATCTTAAGCTGGGCTCTCTTGCCGCGGTCCACGGGTGGAGCAGATATTTCAGAAATTTCGATATACGAATATTCAAGTTTGGGCTCCCGGGGAATTTTCAAGTGCCACTGCCCACTGGAAGGTGGCAACTACGTCCCTTCGGCTTTCTATGTAGACATCTGGAGTTATATCCATGAGGTTGAGACTCTTGCGTTTCTCCAGGGCTACTATACCTTGAAGCGAGTCTATATATGAATGATTTCCTAGTATGTAGTAGTATGCATCGAGTCCTAGTCAAAGATTGTGCTTCTGCGACTGGCAGTGGGGCCCCGGGGTTCAAGTTGCCAGTGATAACGGATATATATGTGTAGTAGGTACGTGGATACTAGGATGCTGCGAACATTTGAACTTGAAACTTGAAGCCCTGAACGTCCAGATGTCTGCCCCAACTCCGCGTCCGAGTCTGCTAGGGAACTTAGTATTAGCATTCCACCTGGGCAAGGTTGCTCCGTCGAATTTTTATGTTGTTATGAAAACTTCCGAGGTGAGCACTTGGAGTGACTTAATGCCTTCGTAGGAACTTCACGGGTAGATTCAAATGTTGATAAAAGATATTGCCTACACCTACCAGCTTTAGGAGAGAGGAAGAAAGCAGTTAGTAGAATAGAGTTTTTAGGTCATAATGACAAAGTTTAGGCCTTCTATCACAAGCCTTCCGAATTGGTGTAGTGGCTAACATCGTCGTCTCTCACACGACAGCCGGGGGTTCGATTCCCCCATTCGGAGTTTCCTTTTTGAACTTTTTTTTTTTTGGGTCTCCCTTTCCCTGTTTTTATAGTGATTATAGGATTAAACAAAGTACATAATGGGTAGGTACCCTTTCAATCCAAGGTGTTAACAATTGAATAAAGCATTGAAAATTGAAATTGAAATTATACATTGATCTATCGGAAGAATTTATTCATATCATAGATGAAGGAGCCATTATAACACTATACACTAACAATCTATTTCACAATCTCCAACATGCTGAAGCCACAGTCACCAGGGTCCTCCATTCCACAGTACAGTCTAGTCTCGCACTTTTCGTTGCTGTTTTGATGTACATGTCAGTAAGTATAAAGAGTGAACGGCTGCCAAACTCCACTCACATAAAAAGCAAACAACATCCTCAGGAAGCCTAGCGCGGTTGATTTTATTCTGCCTACTGACTTTGAGTTAGTTCAAGTTGCTCAGGCTGTCCTTTTATTTCAATATTTTGAGCACCTACACTCCTTCAGATAGGAGGACAAAGCTGTTGTCTGCCGGGATGTCAACAGTTGGGCCCGTACATGGCTCTTTGGAGTAGAGACCCCGACGGCTATAGTATAATACGTATGAGTTCTCTGTTTGTATGCGAGAGAACCTTGGAGTTATGAGAAGATATGTTTATTTACCTTCAAGTCAGCACCTGCAACCAACTGGGCTGCACAGGAGAGAAGAGCGAGAGCGATAACTTTGTACGACATCATCGTGGCGTGCAACGGAGAGTCAAATGAACGCTGTAGAGGTAGAGAACGTGTCCAAAAACTTCTACGAGGTACAGGTCCATACTATTATATCACTCAGACTCTTCTTGGAAGCTGAAATGATCGTCGGTGATCCAAATCCAATATTCCGAATATTGCACTGCAAGGAGGCGATCTATTGACACATGGAAAATCTCACCGACAAAAGAGGGGCTTATTTTTAGACCGTCCCTCTGAGTTACGAACTAGTATCCAATATCAGGGGCAGTTCGGAGACATGTGGGTTAAATGATCATCAAAGGCTGAAATATTTGAATGTAGACTATGGCGAGGGACGAGCCCAAACTTGGATTTGAAATAACCTTGGAAGAAGCGCAAAGCGTCCATCTATAGGATATACGTGATGAACAACTGTTTAAGTCTACTGATATTCCTCTCGGAAGACCATGATCCTCTCATGTTCCTTCCCAGTACTATCCTCCTCAACCCATGCACGCCACATTCCACCGGAATTAAAGTCAGAGACAACCTTTCCCCGACGCAGTCCAGCAACAGCAGGTGCAGAATCGGCTTCAATTCCAATAATGCCACCTTCGCCTTCTCCAGTAATTTTCCAGCGTTGCCCTGCAGAGCGTTGGAGCTCACCACCAGGACCAGCCACGGCAGTGACGGCATCGGCTAAAGTAAGGCCAGGAGCTGAGAATCGTAGCATAGCGGAAGCAGTGCGTGCAGCGGCAACTCGGAGGAACGAATCACCGTTTCCTGTTCCTGAGATAGCAATGGCACGTTTTTTGAATGCTGTCTGAGTTCGTGGGGGTTGATGATCGAAAGGTTGCCTCTCCGAACGACGATCGACATGCTCTTCAGGCGAGCTGGACGGAAGGGAGGTATATAGTGGACTATGAGAGTCTCTCATAAACGGAGGCAAGCAGTCGGCCAACCAACCGTTGGCTTCTTGAATGAAACCCCCAATCGATGCCGGTGTATCTGAGTTCGAATGGGTACTCGGCACAAGCTCATCCCACGATTCTGCCCAGAAACCCGCACCAAGTGTAGGTGTATCTCCAATCCGACCAGGAAGCTTATTCGTCATACCTCCAGTACTCGTAGCGACGGCCAGATTACCCCATTGATCTAGACACACACATCCAACAGTTCCCTGGCTCATGGATAGGAATTCCTCCAGTCCCTTTAAACCGCGCTGATGCTCGTCCCATCGTTTTTTCGTCCAGAACCATTCATCAGACATGAATTCTAGACCCCATTCACGGGCTAGCGCCTCTACCTTGGGACCGTGCAATTGAGAATGTAGACAGCCGCCATCATTGCTCCGTGTCCCGTCTACAGTGTATCCAGTGCGTAACAGAGACTCGCGTGCGAGGCGGATGGGGTGACGAACATTCTTCACGCCCATTACACCGGCGCCGCGCTTTATAGTGCCTTCTAGATTGGCGGTGTCGTCTCTGACGGAGGTCACCATCACTGACGCCTCCATCTCAATAGTCCCCGCTGTAGTGAACACACTGCCTCGGCCGCAGTTAAAAAGCTCGTCATCCTCCATCAGAGAGACTGCATGCACAACGGCATCCAGTGCCGAGGCGCCATTTTTGAGGAGGTCATGAGTCGAGCGAAGGTAGGATTGCAGGGAGGCGTGATAGGCGGCGTACAATTCCGGTGGGAGGGTGGCGCGTTTAAGATTGCCCGCACCTCCGTGGAGGATCAACGCAGGTTTGTAGGAGGGCTTGGATTCAGCCATTTGCAGCGGATTGAGAGGGAACGACTCGTGAGGTTCGATAGTTGCGTGCGGGGGAAGGAGTTGAGGGAGATAAAGCGTTGGCAAATATGCGGTCAAAACTCCGCTGTGCTGGGCCGGGACCTGTAAGAGGAAGATAAGAAATCACACCTTGTAATTGTTGATAAAAGTGATGGAAATTGAATCCGTTGTGAAAAAAAGTTGCGTATTATGGCTGTTAGCAATGCGTTAATGTACAAGAATCCACCACGACCTCTTCAAACGCTTTTTTGTAGGATGAGCAGAGAAATTCTTTTGGGTAGGCCACCTGGCCATGGAAAGATCATAAACACCACCCTCAGGAACCAGCCATGAGAATCAGCCCGCCGTCCACAAAATACAAAGGCTCCGAAATGTAGGCCGGAAAAGGCAGTAAAAAAAAAGGAGTAAAGCTCATAGCAGAACAGAAATAAGGACCTCTATGCCATGTCGTTTAAGAATGATGACCCAAACCAGAACACCTGAGAAGAGAGACTCAATGGGGAGAAGTGTTTATAAAGACAAAGATCGAAGAGGTTGACGGTTTATCATCGGCCGCCGAGGAATATGGATCGAATCGATTGGATTGAGAGTGGGGAGGAGGAATTTAAGCAAGAGCCTTCTGCTCGGAGGGAGGAGGAGGAGGAAGCTGGATTAAGGATTCGAATTTAGCAAGCAAATAACATGCAAGTCGGAAGTCTCCTCCAATATTGCAGAAGTGTGTAACATACCTCGAGCTTTGTGTTATCGGCCATCATTCGCTGGAAACCAATACCGACACCCTCAATGACTGCAAGGAAAACAGCACACATGATGGCGGAGTTACGGGCGGCCTTGAAACCACCACGAATAGCAAGGGAACCACCGGTCAAGAAACCAGCGGAAATGGCGTTCCAAGCATCTTCCTGTTATTAATCGTGAGTAGATGTTCTGATTCGTACGCGCGAAGACGGGATGCGAACCTTCTTGCGGATACCCTTGATCGCGCAGTCGAAAGTACTGAAGAGACCACCCCAAACACCGAAGTTACCACCGAGAACAGGAGCACGAGCCTTGATGGCAGTGAGAGCACCTATCCGGCGCTCGCCGTAGGGGCTGTTACGGAAACCCTTAACACCGTGCCAGACTGCACCACCAATCGCCTAAATGAAAAGTCCGTCGGTCAGTTGTTCGATCTTTGGATGGAAGAAACGGATATCGAGAAAAAACATACACCCATGCAGAAAGCACCACCAAAATCGCTCAAGGCGACATAGGGGCAAGGGTCGCGAGTGTGATCCATTATGTTTTAAGGAAAGCGAAAATCGGCTCAGAGAAGGGGAATGGGTAAATTCGAGAAGTTGACAGATCGATAAACCGTGCGATCAGTCGAGAATTGAAAAGTTGAAAAGTTGTGAGTTGCGCGAAGTTGATGGTTAAAGAGGTTAGAGAGGATATGTTAAGGTAACGGGGAAATGACTTTTTTTCATGGGGAAAACGTGACCTGCGGAAGACAACCCGATCCGCCACTTCAACTCTGATGGGCTTGGACCTCATCGGGTGCTTCAGGAACAATCGAATATTCTTACAGGGAGATAATTCCGCGGCAGAAATTTGCCGTACAGCCCGTGTTGATGCAGATAAAAAATTTTTCTTTCTTTTCTGAGTCGAATTTCGGGATTCTACAGAGACTGCAACCTCGCGGACTGTTATATACATTCGTCCTAACCTTGGAAGTATACTAGGGCCGCCCTGGTACCTTTTGACTGAAGTTCAGAGAATAAATTAACTAGAAGGTTGGTAACAGGTGAGTGGCTTGAACCTGAAAAGATCTAATCCTAGTTTATAGACCAAATCGATTAGACTGGTCAAGCTATTGGAAGCTCTATAAAGCTTAGAAATCATTGAATTCAATCTGATACTCAAAATCAAGCAAAACATGGGAACCAAAAAGTTCCTTGCACACAGTACCTAGACATGACGACTATCAACTTTCGCGGACACCGCGGGTGACTGATTTGCTGGCAACCAGAATCTTTCGAATTATGGGCCCAGGGGGTGGCATATGCTGCTTTAGGAGCTTCACAACATCATCTTTCTGCTCTGCCCACTTCTCTAGAAGCTTTTCGGCCTCACTCTCGTTGAAATTGAAAAAGCGGACGATACACGCTCTGTCCGCTTCTGAGAGAGGTCCCCCTGCAGCCTGGATTGCCGTAGTGTAGGGCCCATTATCAGTTTCATCCCAAACCCTTGCCCCCGCCTTGATCAGACATTCCACAGCTTGATATCGACTGAAGCAAGAGGGAGCAATCAGTGCGGTACCATATCTTGCAGTTTTGGCTTCCCGATTAACGTCTGGTTCACCCGCGATGAGAGTCTCCAGAATTCCGTCCTCAAATTCGAGGAGTGTAGAATATGCGAGTATAGTGCCGAAGGCCTCATCTTTCAGGTTTACATCCACAGCAGCACCTGCCTCCACCATTGCTTTCACTTTATCTGGCTGATTTTGGAGGACAGCATTGGCAATGGCAGCTCTGTAGGCTTCGGGTTTCAGAGGAGTGGTCACTTCGGCTCCTGCTTCCAGCAGGCAAGCGACCATGTCGTAGTCTTCATAATACGTGGCGGATGCAGCGGCCATGAGAGCACTACCGAACTCTCCATTCTCCAGCTGCATGTTCACATCGGCCCCAGATTCGATTAAAAATCTAACGATTGATGGGTCGTTGGATTGCCTGGCTGCTGTTGCCAGAGCGCTAAGATATTCTCTAACTGTAAGTTGTTTGTTCACATCTGCTCCGGCATCAACAAGCCACTTAACAGCCTCTAGACTTCCAACTGTTTCGGAGCCAGTTTCAAGGTTGAGATAGGATGATGCGCATGCTGCAGCAAGAGCACCGCCATATTCTCGACCCTCCGAGAGTGCATTAACATCCGCTCCTGCCTCTTGAATCAAGAACTTAAGGATCTCAATCCGTTGGACTGTGCTCAAATCACTTGCTGCAAGCTCGATAGGATATACCTCCTCTGCCATGTGTAGCTTGTTGACATCGATCTTAGCCTCATTGACCAGAAACTTGACATCTTCTAGCTTGCCGTCGCGGATTTTTTGGTGGAGAATTCCACTTCCGTAATATTGGAATGTCGTGTTCACATCAGCTCCCGCTTGCAAAATGAGCTTGAGAATCTCAAGATTTTGTTGTGCAAAGGTTGCTACCAAGAGAACAGAATAATTTTCGTAGGCGGGCAAGGGAAGGTTGACATCGGCCTTTCCATCCTGGAGGAGGTATTTGACAACCGCGATCTGCGCTGCCTTGACCGCTGCTGATAATGCAGTGGTATCGTCACGAAGTCCCAATTCCTCTCTTACCCCTGCCTGCATGTTCACATCTGCTCCAGCATCTACCAAATATTTGACGACTTCAATCTGTCCAAAAGACGCTGCTACCACAAGAGCACTACCGTATTGGTAAGACAACTCCAGTCGCTCATTGACATTTGCTCCTCTTTCAACCAAAGTCTTGCAAATCGGCACGGACCCTGCCATAGCAGCCAAACAGAGCAGGCTGTGTCCTCTGATGTTAGTTCTTGAGACCTCATAGTCTGCAGTCTCCCACCAGCCAGACAAGATACTCTCGAATCCAAAGCCGCACATCCCAAATATGGCAAACCTTGCTTCAGAGACATCGGCAGAGCTTAATTCTGTACCTCCTAAATACTTTGTACCATAGAAGCGAACTTGATCATCATACATGAAGAAACTCATATCCTCTGCGCTGATATGATTCCAAGTTCTATACATTGAGCTGCTTTCTTCGGGAGAGCCAAGGAATCTCTTCAACAGGCTGGCCAATTTCTTCTCCTTTGTGTCTTCTACTTGGCGGACATGATACATCCAATACTGCCTCATGTAGACATGGAATGGATGATATCGACCAAATCCATCATCCGATTCTTCACGCTCCTCAAGGCTCACTTCTTTGCCTTCATCAGGGTTGATCATTTTGCTCATTTCGGGAAAGTCCCGATCATAAGCGCTGTTGAAGTATGAAAGACAAGCGACAGAGACATGGCAATGAGCGCTCGGCAGGGACCAGTGTTCTTTGCTTTCTAGGTACTCCATAACGGACAGATGTGTGAACCGCCAGACCTTCGATTTCGTATCAAGGGTAAGGAAATTGTTGCAAACTGAAAGCAACCCTTCTTCATCTAGTTTGTCTTCTACGAGGAAGATGTCCATATCTTCGCTAGAATCCATGTCGAGACGAATAGCAGAAAATATTTCAGTGCTGGTGAAGGGTGTTTTTGCGGCCATGACCCATAGGATGGCCCTCTTGGCAAGTATTTTATCAGTCTCCTCCAATTTTTCAATCTCATTCCAGATCTCATCATAGGCTTCCCGGATACCATCAGGGAGTGCGTCTAGTCTCTTCATGACACTTGATTTTGTACCACATTTCAGAATCTGATGCATTTGCAGAGATGCCCACTGGAACATTCCTTGGCAACGTGCAAGTAGTTTATCGATGACACTGGCTTTCACTGTTTTCAGAAACGACTTTCCCATTCTGTCAATCTCGGCATCAATGTATTTTCTGATATCGTCCTGATTAGCGTTTGCTGACACATTGATATTTGAACTGTTCTGAAGTTGACTTCTGATTTCAGAATCTGGTCGGCTAGAGATGAAGATCTTGACGGGCCTCTCAGTATTGTCCATGAGTGATTTCAGTGCTTCAATTATTTCAATTTGTGTATCTGAATCACACTCGTCCATCGCATCGATAATCAACTTTGTGCTTTCATATTGACCCAAACAAGCCTGGATCAATTTCCTGCACTGCTCAAAACGGAAAACAGTGCCCTTTTCCCGAGCTTCCTTCCAGACATCCTTGATATGGGGCTGGACATATCCAGGATCCTTCATGGTAGCTGAAAGTTGCCGGACAAAGCTTTGAAGGATGGATGATCCCTGCGCACGTCGTGGCTCATTTCGATCACAATAGAAAAATGCAAAGCCCTTATTCGAGACTTGAGAAGTTCCACGAACATGATCAACGACTTTCGACGTAAGGTATGTTTTGCCAGCTCCAGCAGAGCCTTCTAACCAGAGAAGTGTTGGTGTCTTTTTCTCCACCCAGGCACGGAAGTCTTCGTGCTGTAGCAGCCACTCGCCTGTGCCGGGAGTTCTCTTCTCACTGATATTGTCATGGTTCTCGCCAAAAGGAACAGAAGAGATCCACTCCAGCATTTTGATCCGCTCGCTTTCCTCCATATTGTCAAGAACCTGGGTCACACCTTGGTCAATCCGGAAAATGGGATCGTTGAAAGTCTCCAACATTTTGATCATGCGTTTATCAGAATCTGAGCTGCGCTTGCTCTCACAAGCTTGAACATCACGGAGGAGCCTATCCTCCTGCTCCACGAAGCTGGCGAGCGCTCCGCTCGCTTTACCCGGATTCACGATGGCCTCAAGAGTACGTCTAGCCGTGTTCCTCGAGAGAAGCTTTCCGGCATCCGCCAACAGCTCAAGTGCAGTAGCATAGATACGCAACAATCCAGACTCAAGATTCTTTTGCAGGGTCTCCATAGGAGAATCGGGATCTTGTGGGAGGTAGACCTGCTCATACACCTGTCCACGACTGATAACGCGTACCACTTTCTCGGCAGTTCCAAGAAGCGCACCCATCTGCTCTCCTTCATTCACAGGAATCTATGAAGTTATTAGTAAACATGATTCCCTCAATTTCAAAGAGGAACTTGCTTACCTCCATAAGAGACTTGACAATCTCCCAAGGTAGGCTAGCATTCGCTGGTGCAAATTGAATAGCAATGTCTCCCGCCTTTTCCAACCAACCGAGAATCTTTGTAGTATAGTCGCGCAGAACGATATCCTCACCACCAAATGAGACCTTCCAGAATTTCTTCTCACATTCCTCTTGTTTCTGATTGACTACTCCAACAAGATCGCCGATCGTGATTCCGCGGATACAGCCCTGATGTTGTCCAGACCCATCCCCTTCAGGATCTCCTGCTTGGAAGGAGGTAGTTGGGCCAGAGCATCTCGCCAAAGATCTCGAATTACAGTCTCAGGCTCAGGCATGGGCTCAGGTTCAGGTGTCGGCTTTTCATCGGGAATCACAGAGATATTCACCTCTTTTTCGACGGGAGTTATAGTAGACTGCTCAGATGGAGGCGGTCTCTGAAGCTCATGCTTGGGCTCTGGTGCTGGTGCAGGTGCCGGAGGGGCTGCAATCTGGTATAAGGCACTATGTATCAGTACAAAGACTACACTTTGAATGATGTTTTGCTTAACTCACGGGCACATTTTCGGTCACGGTCTTCTTATCGTCGCGATTGTGCCTATGAAGCTTGTTCTTGAGTTTTCCAAACATGATGCAGCAATTATTTGGACTTCTGTCTCCCCAAGTTTCCAAAGGAGGGGAAGTTCAAATTTCCAGAGTGAACCAACACAGCACAACCTGAGATTATTGTGGATAAATTTCCCGTCGATCAGCAAGTCTGTCCAGGTGTAGCAAAAGATGTGCACCATCTCCACCGAGGAGCCATCTTGACCCACTTTACGTTCAGCTAATATCCAGATGGAATTTCGATTCGCCGTTCGAATGGGGGGGTTCGATCTTGGGTTCAAATTACCCATGGGCGGTTTACGTAGCTAATGCACAGCTTGGACCTTGGAATTTGTTGTAAAGCCAATGAAAGTACTGAAAAATCCACTATATCCTGATTTCAGATCCGCTCAGCCAGCCATGTTGGCACATACATATTGATGTGAAAAGGAATGGAGTTATCACGATAATCAATGGACTGGATTACCCGTGGAGAAGACGTTAGCTGGTTGAGATCAATTATCCACATTGATCTACTTGACTCGAGTCTAGTATGCAGTGTGATGTTTCAATACGGTGGATTCATGATAAATGTATGCATGTTTGTTCGTCAACGAACAGATCGCTTAATGCAAAGACCCACTGCCCCTCCGTCACAGCGAGGACTCCACCTGAATACGTAGGTGGATGTGAATATTAGACACATATGCAGCGGAGTATGTAATGTCAGTGACTGTAGGTAACAACTGACAGACACTGGCAGAGGAAGATCAAAATTTGACGACAGAAAAATGGAAATATGACCAAATAATCATCATCATCCATCCATCCGGAGACGCAGGATTGCTCCTCTTCTAACAGACGGATCAAAAGACACCTTCCATAAGCGTATCTCATTCAACGCAAGTATCTTGTCTGGATGCACCCTGATTCGTGTATACATTTTGGCCCACACATGCCAGTGTGCAGTGAATCTGAATGTGCTCTCCATATTTCAGTGATCCACAACTAGACTAGCACTGGCACTGGTATGAGATAAAAGTTACAATCATGCTTCCACTTATCTTCTACTCATACATTTGAAGAGAGTTTGAACTGCAGTATTGATGAGTGAGTCGTGCTCTGAAGCCACATGGAGGAGTTCCGCTGCCAGTGTCCCACCTGGGCAGTCAGTTCATCGTGATGAACTTCAAGTATTGATTTAACCAACGAGAGGACTAGTAGTGATGAAATTCCCTCCAAAAATTAAGGCGTCGTTTTTGTTTACTGGCCCAGTATATAATGTGGAACATGGACAACGATTCCTACGATCACCATGAACCGTCTCAATGAGGTAGGAATCCGTCACTGTAGGATAAAATCGATTGGTCAAGTTCTTGGCCTATGCTGTGTCAAAAACAGCAAAAACAGATCTGCTCATAAGGCGACCAATATTCGGCAGCAGCCTTGATGTTGAACTTCCCCGCTCACATATCGGGCCGGCGTGATTGGGGTACTTGGGCATTAATGAATTAATCAGCTAGTCGCTTTTAGAATGGGCAGCGCTTAGCTTCAGCTGTCCCTTCAGCCCCAGCATATCTTGAAATCTGAGTGACACCGGGACTTCCCAACTCTGACTTCGTATGCACACGATGCCTTTGGGCTTGCGGTTTTCTTTAGGGGCCTTGCCCAAGAGAAAGGCTCGACCGAATCCATCCAAGACAGTGTCCTAGACAGAGAAGAAAGAGGGTGAACGGAAAACCTCCGAGTCAGCACTATCGAAACCGAACTCGGTACCTACCCCGCCTGCGACACGCAATAATCTGTGGGAACGAGCAGAGAAGAAGTTAAAGGAAGACAAAAAGAGAGAAGAAATCCTCCAAGAAGCCACCAAGATCTTCGAGGATTGGGGGTTAGATATTCAACTAAGCGGGAAGGATGACTACAAGAAAATTAGCAGCTTTCTTGAGGATAGAACGATTGAGCTAAAAGAGAAGCAGTGGATGATTGGTGATCAAAATATCAGGAGATGGAACCAGTTGAACGATTCAAGTTCACAATAAGAGACCTCTGTGGGCTTCTTCTGGTAATCATTGAGGGGAAGGTGTACCTCCTCCACCAGACTGTCAAGGAATTTTTAGTTCTAGAAACTTCATCTTCAGGCAGCATCTTGACATCCCATATCTGGCAACATTCCCTTAAGCCAATGGAATCAAGCAAAGTACTTACTGAAGTGTGCATTTGGGTCCTCTGTGCGGACCCAGAGAAAAGTCACGAACTCTTTTGGGATTACTCCGTGTCTTACTGGATGGATCATTTGCGTGAAGCTTGCTCCTCTAAAGGAGAGAAAGTCACAGAGTTGGCAGCCCTTCTTTGTTCTCCGTGGACAACGGAAGGTAGAAGGTTTTATGATGAATAGAATCCGTCGTGGCTTTCTATTCCAGAAAGCTCTTCACCTTTGATCGTCGCATCTTACCTCGGACTCGGAGGAGTCGTTGACTTGTTTCTTGACTATGAGGAAACTGATGTGAATTCAAGGGACGCGCAACAGCAAACCGCACTCTCCAGGGCAGCGGAAAATGGTCATGAGGCTGTGGTCAAGCTACTTCTTGAGACTGAGCAGGTGGATATTAATTCAAAGGACTCTTTACATCAACGAACTCCACTCTCCAGGGCAGCAGACAATGGTCATGAGGCTGTGGCCAAGTTGCTATCTGAAGCTAGCACCGTGTACCAAGGCGAGGATGGGTGAATCAGCAGTTGCCCTCATTTAGAATGCATAAAACAAATACCCTACCTATACAATGCCACAAGCCACTCATGAGAGGCACATGCTCAGCCATCGAAGGTGCCAAACTCGTCACAGTCTATCTTATCTCCTATCTCCTATCTCCTATTTCGAATTTCTGCCCTTGATGCCCACTGGCAGGCTGGGTGCGCAGTTGTACAACTGGAGATACAACTGGAGGTTTCTTTAGATTGAGCTGATCCTGCGTCGGATTTATTGCGATTTAGTTCAAATGTTACTTATCGTACTCCACAGACAATTACATACGAGAGCTATGTACTCAAATAAATTGCAACATTTGAATGCACTCCTATCTTAATACCCTACCCACTCACTGGAAAGAGAATTTTATCACCCTATCTCTGTAACGGGTTGGACCTGATCAGGTACTCAGTGAGCAGAAGCGGCAACCTTGGAAGAGGGTGGGCATTAATCTGGAAAGGGAAACCAAACTTTGAGAAATCCGTTACCTAGGTTTCTGGATTGACTTCCAAGACAGGCAGGTAGGATAAGTGATTGTAGCAAATGACAGACAGAAGAAGATCAAAATACTTCAAATGATTAAAAAATTTGACGGAGAAATGTAACTATGACCAAATCATCATCATCATCATCTAGAGACGCAAGAGTGCCCCTCTAACAGATGGATCAAAAGATACCCTCCATAAGCGTGTCTCATTTAATGCAAGTATCTTGCCCGGATGCTCAAAACAAAAATTGGCGACCCCTCCTGGAATAATCATCTTCCCAAGCAAGACACTACCGGGAGACCAGACATGAATGCCATCCCCACATCCACTGTAAACGTTCCCCTGCAAGTCACACTTGATTCCATCAGGGATACCGTTATCTGCCATAGCAAACACTCGACGGTTTGTCAAAAAGGGCTGCTCATGATAATGGACAACATCGAAAGCGTAACTGCTCATATTCCACGTCAGTATCAAGGAAACCAGGAGAGAATTCAAGGTTTACTTACACCGTAGAAGGGCGGTACAAATCAACAGTCCCATCACCTTGGACACTATCCGTATCAGTAATGTAAACAGTCTTCTCATCTGGTGAGAAACAAATGCCATTCGGTCTTCCAAATGAATCTGCAACGACCCGAATAGACTTGGTTGAGGGATCATATCGATAAACTTGTGCTGGCAACTGAGGCGTAGGACGGAAGCCCTGCTTGAATCCATAGATTGGATCCGTGAACCAAATGGATCCATCGCTGTGGATAACAACATCATTAAGAGAGTTGAATTGTCGGCCATGGAAGCTGTCGATGATGGTGGTGCATTTGTAGGGAGCATCGGTTTCCATGTGTATCAGGCTAGAGGGTCGGTCATGTGTTCCCTGGCTGCAGAATAGGACACCATCTTGGTGGTTCACACCACCGTTCGCCATAGGGATATCAGGGTGGATTTCCTCTTGGGTACAGATGGTCCTGTCATTTTTGTCGAGTTGGATCTTCGAGATCTGAATCCTCTGTTCACCATCGTTTGTGTGGATTCGGTTGCTGGTGATGAATAACTGGCTCTTTGATGCAATGTACACGCCTGCTTCGTGGGCGAAGGGGTAGATGGTGTTTTCGAGGTGAGGCTTGATCTCTGGATTTGGTCCCAAGATGTCCTGAAAGGCTGGGTGGAAGTGTTGAAAACTCATATTGAAGAGAGAGCCCGTGCTTCACAAGACGAATTCTTCGTAAATTCAATGTGGGGAACTTGCAAGCACAAGTCCGAGTCTTTGCAAATAGAACTATTTATTGTGCACAGAGATGAAGTTTTGCTCACACGCCGTATCTGTTGACTGAATCGGTGATTCAAGTTCTCGGATCGGCTATAGCGGGGCAGCAGTGCATCATCGGCTACTATATCGGGCATTCTCCGATGCTGCACCAAAGGTCTTGACTACAGATTAGAATATCTGGAGTTTGATACGGGGAGAACCCCGATTCAAGTTCATATTTTCTATGGATGCTGTTGACTTATTGACAATTCGCTATATGCACACCACCTCTATTTCTTCTTCGACGATCCACCAGGCGGATTCGCTCCGCGACGCTTGTATTTCCGAGGGTCTATCACATCGTTAGTTTCCGGACAGAATGAATTGGGAGAATAGCAGCACATACCTTTTCTGCTCATCAAAGCAGGATTTCTCGTTCCTTTACCTCCTTCCCAGAACCCACGTCCAGCTTTGCCAATAAGCACTGCCTTGCAAATACCGCAATTCTCGGGTCGGTAGACTTGTTCGCGAGAACAGAAGCCACTGCATGACGTTAGTACAGGATGGACTGATAAGTGAGAACCTTGTTATACATACCAAATCATACGATTTGCGTGTTCATTCGGATGGTCTGTTTCAGCATCATGACATCTAGGTCTATTAGCATATTGAAAACAAAAAAACCCATATAGATACATACCTGTCGCAAGGAAAGACCTTAGCGCAACAGCTGAATCTGGTAATAGTTAGAAGATACCATCTAGGGAAAAGTTTAATTCCAGAGTTCTCACCTAAACCAACGGTAACTTTTTGTGTAATGTTGGCAACGACCACGTCGTGGAAGCTCTTGACCTGCAACAATCCCGAGGACCTCTCTAGGCTAGGAAATTATTAGCAACATTCTCAAACCGCACCAGGGGAAAAATTTACCTTTCTCTTCAAAGAAAGACCCGATCGAGATGAAACTAGAACAGCATAAGTACTGTGAATGGCACACCGGATTATTTCGATTAAACTCACTTGCAGCGCTTCCAACGAGCAGAAACTTTACTTCAGGAACCTTGAAGACTGTGCCAATGTCAGTAAGAAACTTGAAAAGCGAAAAAAAAATCAAAACCAACCCATTTTCCGGTGACAATGTCTGCATATCGCCATAGCACTCTCTCCGCGAACTGCAGATACTCCAGGAGCATGGTATGGCGTGGAACACTCAGAACAGGTTGGGATAAAGTTGCTGGTCCAAAAATTAGCCACTAATTCAGTTCGCAGAAAGACATCTTGTCAGGCCTAGTTGATGATAGTACGCACCTTGGAAGAAGGTCCACGATGGTGCAGCCATCCAAGTCCAGATATCCAGCACGATTAGCATGCGAGTGCATCAATTGCTTGCGGAAACCTGTAAGAACATGTCAGTTCAGATATCCTTTCAGATTATCAGTTCTCTCAAGACTGACCAATGCTCATAGAATTGGCACATTTTCTGCAAGATTCGGTTTTAGGTGCGTTCTTCGGGTCCGTAATATTAGGAACATTCTTGATATCCATAGACTCCTTGCATCTTTCACATTTGACCGTGATGGCAAGATGCAAAATCTCCAGAAGCTCGATTCCATAAAGCTCTAGGAAGGGAAAGGACAGGGCGACACCTCGCCCAGGTGTATCAGCTGTGATAGGAACGGGTGCACCTCCTTCACTTGCGCCTTCGTCGTCTTCATCGTCCTCGTCCTCGTCTTCGGATTCTTCAAAACTGGATTCTGACAGGTCGCTACCGCTTTCGTTTTCTTGGAAAGACCACTCAGGCGGGCGTGGAATGACGTGCAGATGTGGCCGATCTGGGTCTTCGACTTCCAGCACAGAGTTGGGCTTTTCTTGCTCGGGTAACTCTGTATCAATGGTCGTCTGAGGATACTCATGTTGCGATTGCTCAGCAACTTCAGGCAAAGGTGTCTTGGCAAAGTTGTGTATATTACTAGCCAAGTAATTGATTTGCGAGACCAGGTTCAACTGGGAGTTTTTCTCCACCCATTGTGCAAAGCCAGACTCCACAGATCTCGCCTCTGGGCTATCAATACCTTGTATCTCAATTGCGGAATGTTCAAGTGGATACAGCGAAGGCACCAGAAGTTTCACTGTTTTCATAGTCTGGAGTGAACCAGGCAGGCGATCTTTCTTGGTGGATTGAATCGGAACAACGAAAACACCATCTGATCGCTTCTGAAATAATGGAAGTCTACCAAGGCGAGCCTCGAGTTGCTTCGTCTCTAATGCTCTTCGCTTTTCAGCTTGCGCCTTTTGCTCAGCTGTGTAGGTTTTCACTAAAACAGGAGGCTTTGGTGTTGCTTTCGGAGCACTAGTTGATGCTGGTTTTGGCAGTATCGTCAATTCGGATTCCATACGAGACACCGGCTTTGTTGACTCCGGTCCTTTGCTGCTAGTTCCATTGCCAATATTAGACACGAATTTGAGCTTGGGGCCTTGCTCGAGAGTGGTGAGAAGCCTCTCTAGCTGCCTATCAAGATTGTTTAGCCAATTAAGTAGCGTTCCACGGCCACCTGTCCTTAACGTATGATCCACAATATCATTGAAGCCTCTCGCGACGTTCGCTTGATATGCAGGTTCCATTTCAGGGTTAGTTACTGTAAGTGAGGGTCTTCCTGTGGCAGGGTATGCCATTGGGACATGCAGCACACATTGCAGCTTATCCAACTCAAACGGAAAGTCTGGATCGGACGGAGGCAGCCCAAATTCTAGAATAGATTCATTGTCGTCTTTTGTTTCCTTTGGCTGGAAACGTCGTCGCAATTGGTTTAGCTGAAACTCTCTCGGGTCCTTTTGCTCGACCTTTGAAACGGGCCTTTGAGGCTGATTGGCATGTGAAAGGGTTGTTGTCTGTTTAGATTGGAGGTCACCGGAAATCTTATTCTGAGCTCCACTCGATACATTGCGGTCTGGATTCTGGCCGGTACTGATCGGAGCATGAGATCCAGACTGCTGATCGGCTGGAGTCACATTTTGCTCGCCAGCTGCGGCATCATGAGTGTACGGGCACTGAGCACCAGCGCGGCAACCTGAACCGAGGTCAGTCTACAGTCCAAATCCAATAAACATAATGAAGACAAAAACAGTGCAATGATGCCACATGCTGATCGTCATATCATTCCACAATTGAGCCATCTTGACCGGCTATCCTAGTCGGCAAGTATGATCCAACTTAGGGCCAGTAAGCATACCCTCAAAAGAGATATACACGTATGCACATAACCGATAAGGCGTAATATATGAAAGACTTAAACACGATTTTGACAACAAAACAGTCGATACCGAAATGGGGAAAATATAATTCAACGAAAAAGAAAAAAAGGCCCGAGATTACGTACCCTTCTTACTCGCAAAGTATCGACATTTCCCACGTCTTTTCGACGATGATTGGCGAGAGTTCTTAGATTCTGGCGCGGATGTAACGCCATGGGACGAAGTTGTAGTTGACAACTCATCGCCTGTCAAGGGGGGCTGCTCAGTCCCTGTTCAAAAAATACAATGAGCGTGTGATCAAAAAGGTTACGGCCCGTTGTTCAGGCCCTATCTGTGGAATTGAAGGTTCCAGGGCGAGCCAAAGCCACCAGCAAGTATTCATCTGCAGGATAGTGGGCGGCCTGGCCTCGATGGCTGAAATGTGCATGGAGGGGGTACTGCATAGGTCTGCCATGCTATGTACTGCCCTGCCCTGCGCCATTCAAGGGGTTTTCCAAAAAGTACCAAAGCATGAAGATCAGGTCGAGACCATGAAGCAGGCCCAAGCAGGTCTTGCGGCGGGGTTGAGGAGAGACAAGCCACCAACGACACCATGTGGGAATAGAGCCAATAGAAGGGGGACAGAACTTACGATAGACCTGGGGCTCCGGACCCGCTATATTGTCAGTTGACCCGTTCTCCATGATAGAGCTGGGGTTGGATGGACGGGAGAGAATGGGGGCGAGGGCGGTTCTGAACTGAGGGGTGACGTTTGAACTGCCAACGCAGAGATCGGGTGACCTGGGTCGGGATCGACAGGACCAGATCTGCAATGCACAACAGCGGTACACGACCAAGAAATGCCAGGGCGCGGTGGTATATGTTGCAATTAAGGACCGGGATTGGTGTCTAAAAAAAGCCGATTCGGATGTCTCGAAGATATAGAAGTTGCTAGTGCCAAGAGTTGAGTTTTGATGTGGGGAACTCACATCATGTCCGCCATGATTCAATCTGACTCACATTCTAGAAGAAGTGAGTCACTTGGGCACTTTGGAAAAACTTGAATGAAGAATCCAATTGTTAGGAATAATTCAGGATCAATATGATTCAAATGAATGATTGTATTGTCATGCTAAATCGATAGTCTACGAAGGTTTGAGTGTGTATGCACGGTTGCTCCTTGTTGGAGCCTGAGGCATCAATAGACCAAACTTCATACTTCATTCCGAGTCTTTATCATTTCCAAGCTCGATATTATTATACTACTTTGTGCCTATCAATTGAGTCTACTAAACCATCTGTCCAATCATTTTCAAAAATCTGTTTCTTAAACTTGTAATCAAGGCATAGTAAGACAACTTGAAGACAGGAGAAGATCGTGAACCCAAGGTACATCACAAACCATTATCAAAACCTTGGAAGCATAAGCTGAAAGAACCCTCTAGCTCTACAACTCAGGCCACTGATGAAAACTCGGGGTGTTCAATCCCCTATGAAGGTGACATTATCTTCAACGACAGCTGGAACTTTATGTGCAAAGAATACCAGGTAATAATGTCACCAGTTGACAGAATTTGATGTTACTGCGACAGTACATACAAAGAATACTCCGTACTAATTGATAAATTTTCAAGTTCACACCTCGATAATTGAATTTTCCATCTCACCGGTGCTACAAATAGTCTTCAGTCGGATTACCCAAAGAGGTAAAAAGAAATCATTGCATAATATGTGTACCCTCCCCGCTCGGATGCTCAACTCGCGCGATACGCGGAGAAAAGATGAGGGGTTCGGCTTCGAGAACTCCGGGAAGCCACCGTGACGCCGCCACTTCAGGGTTATGCGTTTAGCCCCGTAGCCAAAGTACCTAGAAACCGACACGCTGGTCCCCCGTCGGTAACAGCAAGGGGCAAAACGGTCAGATGAGGTGAAGACTTTTTCTGTTCTCCCCACTGTACAACAATATTCCAGTGTATCTTTCGATATGAAAATACATCCTGTCAGCATTGTATAAACCCTCTTTCACTGAACTAATCTCATTTTAATAAACCCCCGGGGCCGACCATATCACGAATAAGCCTTCTCCACTCCCGATGTCGGTAGAAAATACCCCGGAAATTCAGGTGACAATTCGCCAGATCAGATGACAAGATAATTTAAAATTCAGCCCAATGATCTTGTTATCAGCATTAAATCGGATTGCGATCTGGTTCTCCCAATACCAAAAAAAAACTACAGTAATAAACCTTGGAAGTTCACAATGCCGCGCTTAAAGTTCAAAACAAAGCCGGCAACACGGATGAACGGACATGGGTATAGGCAAAACCCTTTTGCACGCTTCAATCAGGACTCTCCTGGAAAATTCGAAATGGTCACACCCCCCTCCACAACTGTGCCGTTAGTATTAAACATCCCTGTCTGGTGGCTTTGATAGACTCTACTAGTTGCATGGGGGCTCGCAGCCCTAGACGGAACCCCAACGGTCGGGACTAATACCGTGACCTGAATATTACGCCGTTTAGAGATAGAATAGATTAGCCCCGGCCCGTCCGGCGCTCACATTTGACTTCAAGGAATCGCTTAATTTTGTTGATAATGTGGCTGTATCAGATTGAAAAAGAGGCGTGGTCACCTGGGACAGTGGCTTAATTCTCCATCTCATGAGTGCGTGGTGGCATTGTTGATTGGAAGAAAAAACTCCGTCTACCCGAAAGCATACTCTCAGTGCTGACATTTGTCTTGGACATATCATAAGATTTCTATCTATTCGACTGAAACTAAATAGTTGGAGCATGACCGCGTATTTGCCGAACGTTAATCTCAGATTGAGATGTCTCGTGTCCAGGCCTCACAGCTCTAGAAGCGAGCATAGGAGCCCTTCTCCGAGGCATGAAGGTTATTCCCGCAATCTTGAAACATTGAAGTATTCACGTGCACATGTGCATAATCTGAGTCACAGTCTTTGAATACATATGCATTCAACTGTAAAATGTTCCAACTAATCCCTATTTCACAAGTTCATTCACAGATCAACCCAAATATTCATAATTGTATGTACCCCAGATTGATGACCAGGGCATTTAAGCGACTGTACTCCATACATGTCCCGTACATACTGCACCCCACTAGGTAATACAAAAACATACTAACCCAATTTAGCGCGGTACTGTAATACCGTAAAATGGCTGAAAGGGGAAACTCACATTCCCAAATAGGTTAGCACAATCTTGCCATGAAACGCACCAACCGGAACACCCTTCCAGAACCCTTCTGGAAAAAAGCCTCGTTGCAACTTAACAAAACCATGGGATTGTTCACGCCGCACGCGCACAACAACAACCAAATTCGGACTCGGCAAATATGACCGGGTAAAGTCAATAAATGCGACGAAACCAGCTTCTTTAATATCAATCCATTACTTATATGTGCCATTTATAGAAAGGATTTATAGCTTGCGTGTGGCTTGCATCTCTTCATACAGGAATCCTGTACTGATTCGTCGGAGGACAGAGCTCCTCAATCGGTTCACGTGAGGCTCGACCCACGTTGAATGAACACCAATCATGCGGCACTTAAATGTCGGATTTTTCCCGCGTGGTGGAGATGGTCGGCTTATTTTGTACCACCACTTATGACCTGTCCATTTTGTTTTTGATCTGTGCAATCTTAGTGCTTCACAATCGTATGTACATAATTTCGGCATTGGGCCGCTGCATTCCCGAGTGATGCCCAATTCGGGATCCCGAAGGCCATCAAGATACATTATGCATTTTTTTATAGTTTTATTAGCTCCCCCTTTTTGATGTTCTAGCCATCGCTGTAGGTTCGGAGAAACCTAGGAAGAATTGACTCGGAGTCTCGCCGGGTGAAACAGACCATGAAGATCGCTACTACATAGTATACTCGACACGTATCACTATAAACAGCGTGGAGAATGAATCATGATTGACTAGAGGATGTGTAAACAGGTTTGCTATTGCAATTCTAAATAGGTGCCCCGGTGATGATTGATCTAGATTCACAGGAATCCTGTTCTCCATAGTAGCGGCTCCATCAATAATGTTGAATAGCGATGAAAGCCCTGGATTCTTAGGATAAATGCTCAGGTGGAGATGCTAGCATCAGACTAAAGATCATCTGAGATATCAGAGTTAGATACTGTCTTTCGATTATAGTCGGGCATATCTGCAGTATAAGCAAGTCTGATGGTCGTCTATGTATACTCCAAGTCAGCCTCAATTCTATAATGGACTAAGTCCCTGAGACAGCGTCAACATGCAGCTGCATCATCGGCATGCCGAGTCCACTGACGCAAGTCATCAAAGATTTGAAACAAGATCCATAATAGAATTCAATCCACTTTTTCACGGAGAACACTTCTTGTTGTTAGCCTACGAGGCTCGTCGTTATACTCATGTCGTGGAGAACAACGTCAACACCCAAAAGGGTAATCCCGGCCCCAGATGTCAATTCAATACTAGACAATACACCTGGAAAAACAGACCATTGTAATCCGTACTCCGTACCGGTGAGGTGACCCAGAAAACAAAAGTGGACACAATTCTGCGAATCAAGCCTGATTCCAGAGTTCTGGTTGACCCACCGTACGGTAAATCCGTTAGCTTCTTAACAAGGCGAGCTGAGATCGAGTCTGGAGGCGCATAAACGTTCCTTGTGGACATAAGATGTGGATATTTTGGGGGAATTTGTAGCTTGAACGGGCTCGGACAGGTGTATCAATGTCTGGAGGTGGCTGGAATCTTCCCGACGCCATTACTTAAGAGGGCTAAGAATTGGCCGATGGTGACTCTTCAGGCAGCTATGGCGATCTCGGGAGTGAAGAATCACTCAAGTGGGATACTGCAGTATCAATATCAAGACATCCCAGATCAGGTCCCGATTTTTGTATTTTCTCCTCTCCGGTGAGTGCTGACCATGTTTCCTGTCATTAAAGGTGCCCTGGATCCCCATTTCAATATTGAAGTCGGAGGTGGTTTTCTTCAAATTTCCTCTTCTTTTTTCAATTGAGATCCACAAGTATCGGGCAGCGCCGGGAAGTTAGCCAGTCATGGCTCGCTCGGGTTGTAAAAAGAGGATCCCGGAGGAGAAGAATCGGGCGATTTAGGAGAGAAAAGTGTGGGGAGGGTTTTCATGTTTTTCATGGATCCACAGCGGCCTCAAATGTTGAATGCAACACACGGGTATACCAAAGGAGGTAAGCGTGGAATAACCTTTGGCGACGTCATTTTGAGGTTCCAATATAATGTATCGGGGAGTTTAGACTGATCGTGTTCAGTATGTGAATTGAAATGGGGAACGACAAACTATTTCAGCGATATCGACCAAGGATTCTGTCAAGAGAAACGAGGAATAAAGTTGTAACCAATCAAGGATGAAATTTAACAAAAAAAATCTCCCCGGAGTCACGAGGATCCCGTGATCTCCACTCACGGCCACATGACCAACCGAGGCAGGCAAGCATGACATCAAGTCTATATCCATATCAAGCCACATTATATCCATTTATACAGTGACAGGTTACATACTCTGTCTTAATGGTATTTTGGTTTGGAGAAAGACCCCATCTTGATGGATAAAAGCCCGACACAATTTATTTGAAATAACTATGACAGATACCCAAAGTGAAGATAATGAGCCCGAAGCAGCAAGTCTGGGATACCGCAATTCACGGCTTTTGAACCATACTTGAGAATCAAGGGCTGTGAATATGTGCTGAGATGCAAATTTAGGGATAGAGTGAGTCTGAGCTTCAATCATTGAACGAGATGTGTGTACATGAAGATATTTTGGACTTCGCCCAGCTGATATCGGTTTCAAGTTTATTTGCTTGATGAGCTAGAGGCAGAGACATGTTTTACCAAGAGATGATTAGTTTCATCATAAGATTTCAAGATTTCTTCAACTCGTAGAACTACAGCTTTGTTAGGCCTTTCACCTGTCATCGAGTCTTGGAGTCTAAGCGCCCTTTTGAAAAGCATTGCCATCCTAATTAGGCCCCACTTATCAAGTACCCAACAGTAGTACACTGCACTGACTGCAGTCATCGGCTGATTTGAGAATAGCCTCGCCAGGCCTTCCTCTCTCAGAATCTGCAGCCCTGAAGTAGGCATCCAACCCTGCAGTCTGAATCCCCATTACGAACCCCCAACCTTACCTAAGATCTTCCTACCTGAACACCACCGGGACATCATAATGAAAACATCCATACACCCCGGTAGCGTCATAATGAGGCTATATCGGTACATCCTCACACAAACCTCCAAGTACCTCAGGAAGTACATTCTAGATATTCGCCGAGTCTAGACCCTTCGCGGTCTCACTTCATCGGCATCTCCGATCTTACGGAGTACAGATTGATCATATATCCCCAGAGCCCCAGACTGTTACCCCTCTCAATCCCTCATCCTCGAAGTTTGCAGGACAGATACTACTACCTGGTCGGGGGATTTCCGCATCTAGTTTCCTAGAATGTTTCTCTCAAGGACTAAGCGCTTATCTGGTCAAGTAGTATCGCAATGACCACCATCCAGGGAGCTCTGGTCGCAGGAACTAATGCAGAACACATGTCATGGTCTCCGCATGTGGAGGCGAACAGTGCGAGGATAGCCTCAACAAAGAACATGAAGTGAAAATCAGGCAGCATTAAACAGATACAGAGATTTTCCCCCTTCTCCACGGAGGACTTCCAAGTTCCGACCACGGCGTACTTTTGTCTTAGCTTGATTAACTTGAGATATCAGAATAAAGGTACTAATCTGGCCCCTTTGTTGAATTAGATTGATGATCTTTTCCGACCACCTGACACCCCCCTTTTCATTAAATTTTTTTTTTCGGGTCTATCCACATAGTTATACGCGGCTTGAAGATCTTCGATTCCTTCCTATTTATTCCCTTTGTGTCGGGACTTATTATCGTAACTCAATACCCAGCTAGGCAGGTCCTTTGGAAGCTTGAACGGAGTACTCCGATTCCATCCCGAAGGCTTATCGATTCCCAAAGGTTACTATCTAATGTACTTTACTTATCTACCAAGTCCGGAGTACGACATATGTAAGTTTCTTATAGTTCGAACTCTGCATAGTACTCCGTACATAGTAACCTAATGCAACATGGTCCACTGATAAATCTATGCCACATGGAACATTTGAACACTTTAAGAAAATGAAGCACTTGTCTATTATGTACAAGTATGCTCATGTTGTACTCCATGTACTCCGTACATACAACCACACTGGTACAAAGCTCTTAAGATGACCATTATTGAATCATGATCCTTCAAGAATCAAGGAACTATTCAATTTTAATATTGATCAAACCTTCCATGTAACATGGAAATAATTTAGTTCATAGTAATATGCTGACTAGGTGGTAATCATCCACCCCTCCATGATGTACCTTGCCCTGACGTGTCAACGCCACCAAGCCTTAATGAACACTGAGAACGCACATGATAATATTTGTCGGTATGACAGGGATAACTGCCCCGAGGAAACCTTCTGTAAACCTCTAATACTAGTAGGGGCCCGGGACTCGAGACTCGACTTGTTCTACAACGGGAGATCCTCCAAGCGCACTCAAGTGCTGATAAAGTACATACATAGTAAGTGCTGGAGATTCTAGACCGCCAATTGAGAAGTATGCATGGCGCCAGCCATGTTCCAAGATTTTTGAGCTCGAATGCAGGTATTTCACTTTACATTTACATGCTTTAACTACTACTAGATACGAGATGCATAGAAGAGAGCTTTTTAGTTTTTATTAAATGTTTCATTTCATGGACTTGTTCCAGGTTTTTTTGGAGGCGCTCAGGAATTCATGAGTAGCGTGTACAGGGAACATATGGTCTAGGCCTGCAATGCAGCCTGGACTTGGGTAAAGAGGAAGAAGCATGGTATCTGGTATCGAAAGGAAATAATGAAGTAGAAAAAAAAGCAGACCCGTTCCCATAGTAAGGAAGACACGGAAAGAAATGCTAGCATGTTTTCTGCAGCCAGTGTTAAAAAGGCTTGGGTGAAAGTATCGCTGATGATGAACCCTTTTTTTTGTTGTTTTTGATCTTTTGGTCATGAAACCTGGAGAATTCCAATGGTGAAAATCTCCAGAGAAGCACGAGGGAGGTTGAGCTGTACATGAATATTAAAGTCATTAAAGGCGACCTCTCCCGAGCAGGAGGTAAAAGGTGGTCGGAAAGATCCAGTCGGGGGCAACGCCCAGTTGAATGCTTGTAGGAAAACACCTCATAACCCCGGAGTCGATGAGACTCAAAATCAAGTAAAAACAAATCCATAGATGCGCCTAGATGCAATGCATGGTCGTGATCATACGTGTCGGTAATAAAGATGGATGAGGACTCGTTCCGTGCGGAGACAGGTATCAAGTAGGGTCGAAACGAATCGGTGACAAGTTGAAGGAGGTCGTCGGAGTTGGAAATAATTTTTTTTACCATCCCTTGGCATGGTATTCCCATGGGCCATAATCGGTCGCATAGTTGGTCCAGGAGCCATTCTTAGCGAGGTCCTTATCCCGAGCGTGATTGCCCTCGCCTGAAGCAGATGTACCGGCACCGGGGAGTCGATGGGGTCCCTTTGGTCCTGGATATTCTTGAAGGTTCTTCACATCATGGGCGGTGTGTCGTCGCTTCAGGAAAGCATTGGCGGTTGCGCTCTTCTGTTGGCGCTCCCAGAGAAGGTGTCGACGGAGAGACTCGGTCAACTCGGTCGCAAGCATGTTGCGGCGAGTGGTGCGCGGCGAATGAGCGACCGATTGTGGAGGCGGAGGCTTCATGATGATGGGTTTTGATCGGGGAACATCGGGTTTACGCATAGTCAGGCTTTCATCATCGTTCTCTGGGGGCGAGGCGGGAATGGACGGGCCGTTGGGTGATGTCAAGCGGGAGCGCTGCAGCGCAGGACTGGACCGGAATGCGTTCCCTTGCCTCATGTTGCTTGGCTGGTGCATCATCATAGTAAGAAGAGATCGTCGCGAAACCAGGTTCGGTCTAGAATCCACTCGTTGGAATAGCTCTGGTCGATCGTCCACGCTAGATTTGCCGCTCTCGGTGACGGAGTCCTCCCAATCCGAATCCTCGTCATCCTCGATCGCGCTCTCGGAGACCTCGTCGTCTGTTTCAATGGCGTCTTCGTCGAGGTGGCTGGGGCTCTTGGGGCGGAATGCAACTTCGTCACTGAATGAGGCGACCTTCTTAGATGGAGTAGGATTACTAGTCGCAGGTCGTAGTAATCCACTGGTCGGGTTCTCCTGTGTCGGCTTTACGACCATGCGCTCCTCAAATGAGCTCTCGTCGTCGTCACCAGAGGATCCTCCCAAAGTAAACATGCCTCCCTTCTTCTTTAGTGCCGAGGGTTTCAATTGCGTAGTCGAACGGGACGGGCTGGCCTCGATCGAGAGCTTGGGCTGCGAACGGTAGGATGATGAGATTAAGGATGGGGAGAAACCACGGATAATGCTAGGCGACTTGATCAATTCTGCACAGGCAGGAAGAACACCAGAGGAAGAGACGCTAGTGTCAGATCCATCCATTTGTGCCCCATCACTTTCATTGCCTTCGGGCGCAGTAGTCGAGCAAGATTCAGTTGACTCGCGGAGCTTGCAAGTAGGACGAGGGAAGACCGGGACCTGTCTAGCTGTCGAAACTGTCGAAACTGAGGGAGGAGTTGGGGTTGGAGTAGATGGGCGAGGAGTGATATCGACGACAGGAGCAGCGTGCTCGGGAGTGGGAATTGGTTCGAGATTCTTTCGTTCCTTAATGTTGAGAACCATGCGCTCGAGATCCAGAGATGTGATGTGCTTCTCCTTTCCTCGACCAAGGCTAGCCAATGAGTCCTCACGAACCACAGCAGGGCGGTAATCGGAAAACTTGGGACGTTTGATGTGAGCCTCAATGCGCTCAGCTTGATCGGATGCGGCCGACTCAACACTGGCGGAGAGCTCCGGCAAATCCCCGGCATCGGAACGTAACTTGGCGAGCATGGCGGCACTCTTAGAGTTTTCGGGCTCAACGCAGAAGGTCTCACGGGTCCACAGGCGCCAGCTCAGATTCTCGAGCCGACGGCCCTGGTCCATGTAGTCGGCACATTTTGAGAAGACTAAGTAAGAATTGGAGGTTAGCCGAACTATCAATCACAACGAGATTTGCATATTTGGTATTTCAACTCACCCATCCACATGCCATGAAGACTTTGAGCATTTGCAGTGTCCACCTTATGGATATTATCGGCGTCCACCGTCAAAACGGGGGTTGTTAAAGGCATAGTAGCGACGCCACAGTTAGAATTCGAGAGCGCCAGGGCTGCGGTCAGAAGATGAACAAAGAATGGTGTTCCGGGGTCGCCGTCTTCCCCGAGAGTGGTCGTACGGCGGTTGGAAACCGGGTGAAAGATGTCTCGAAAAAGTTGTGGGTTCGGTAGAACGGGGGTTTTTCAAAAACTCGAGTCTGGGCTGCGCGGGATATTGGAGCGAGTCAATCAATCAGGAATTCAGTCAGGAAGCTGCAATCGAATGGCTCCGGACTAGGATTCCAATATCGTGAGACTAGTCGAGAAAATTCAATTTCGGGGTAGCGATCTTCGAGAGTTGGAAGTCGCGTTGGAAGCAGGAGCAGAAGGTTGCGGAGAGTTCCTGGCGGTAGGCGTGGGGTGGAACGCGTCGAAAGAGGGATTGATGCGTTTCCTGGGGATCTGGGGTGTTGAAAAGGATGGTTGAAGACGGGTAGGAAGAGAGAAAGGGAGGAGAGGAAGGGCTGTCGGAACGATAATAAGAATGACGGGGGCGGCACCTGTGGAGTGGAGTTGGAAGAGGGGGAAAATTGGAAAATATAAAAAAACTGAAAATGGGAAATTCGGAAAATCGAAAATACAAAAAAAAAGGAAAAAAAGGAAAATCGAAAATTAGAAATTAAAAAAAAATCGAAAAATCGAAAAATCGAATAAAAATCGAAAAATGACCCAAACCCCCTCTTAGAAAGCCATAATCATCATAATATTCCTAATATTGAATAATTAAAATATAAGAGAATTTTTGGTATTTTGTCATTTAGGTAAAATTTACTGGTAAAATTACAAGTACTAATACACCACTGGGCCTAAACGACCAAAGAGACACCAAAGACCCAAAAAGACCGAGACCCAGTAGCCCAAGTGGAGTCGGTGAAGAGAAAAAATTCAGTCGCATCACGGGGTCCTACAGTGGCCAGTGACATGGTCGGTACTTGATCTGTTCACGGTAATCCCGGTCTTACCCCGGTACCTGAAGAGTACCCAATCATCTCTCATTCCCGATATCCCCGTCTTCTTGTAACTTACAGTATTCTCACTTAATTTACAATACCGGTCTGTTTCCGGAACTTCCACCTGGACCCATTGATTTGTAAGGTTGTAAGGAATAATAGAGAGGAAATTCAATGTATACAAGTTCCAAAGTGATAGAGATCATAGAGAAAGAATGATACATTGTCAGCTTCCAAGGGTGTCCATCAGACAGAGAAAAAAATTCCTTTGAGCCTGTGACCTGTCGGGCGAAACAATCAGGGATGATGATGTTGCTTATTGTGATGCTAGGACTAAAAAGCCATCAATAATAGGTAAAAAAAAATGAAAGAGAAAGTAAAAAAGCCATCAAAAAAAAGAGACTGGTCAAATCCGGTATACATTTTGTTTTTCCCGGGAAAATATTCTAGACGAGATAACTTCTCTAAAGCACTTGATTGCTTTGCACGCCACCAGTCGTCGAATCGAATCCAGTCCTCGCCACTGCAATTTACTTGATAGAAGGCCTACTGACTGATGAACTGTCGCACCACCAGCTATTGGCCGCCTAACTAGATCAAGAGCCGGCTGACTTGCCAACTGATAGGTATCGGTGTCGCGGTTAAACTAATCTCGTCACGGATCCTTTACTTCCAATGTACCATAGGTAACGGCCAAGATCTGCCTTTTTTTGGTGTTTTCCCTTTATCCCGTTCTTAATTCTGACTGACTCAAGATCTTCAAGCCACGTTGATGGTCAACAGACCAAATCCTGGGGTCGTGGACTTCTCAACCAACATCCCTTGTCGGAATTGGAGGGGGCGAAACCCTTTCAGCCCCAGGTGATGGTGTGGTACTCGTTTGAATGAAATATTTTGATTCCTGGATTTTGAAGTTATGTTCTGGGGAAACATACCGGCCAGGAAATACCAATCTACGCACCTGGGCTCCCAGTATTCGAGAGGAAGGGATGGCCGATCGATTAACTCCCAGGCTAGACTACATACCGGGGAACCAGTTCAATACTTCCGTCAATCACGCAGTAACTCCCCTGTTTGTTTTCATCTCAATACACCTGAACGGCGCTTATTTCATTCTTACTTTACTACGTGAGATCAGGATTATAGGTTTCATTGTAGAGATGTCTCTTTCTTTTCTTGGGGGTCTATTTCGAGATACCTAATTCTTCAGATTAGTCTTTAGTCTTTTTTTCTTCGTTCGACAGGCATCAGGTGGGATAGACTTTTGGTCAGCCAGAAGGTCAAAAAAAAGGGGAAATGAGCCAAAAAAAAAGAAAATCAGTCAGAAAGGCTCTTACCGCCCCTTTGTGTCCTTATCTTCCGAGATGCCACATCCTGGACGACGATGAACTTCTAGCAGAACACGGCAGTCCTAGTGTCACAGCCCGTCCTAGTCACGAGTCTGCCCGCTGGCATCGAGGGCGAAGTCATCTCAAATGGGGGAAAGGATCAGCATGCTACATTCAAAGATCGGGCCTCGGAGTGGACCTGTCTCGATAGAGATAATGAGAGTAAGAGAGAGCCTTTCGCTTGCTCTGTCTGCCTCACTCTCCCCTCATTTCCCGAGAGGAGCAAGCGGGTTGTCCACGGGGCCCAGATTAGCGCCCTTACCTAGGGAGGTTCGGACTGGCGGAGATTGACTCCGTACATAGAAGATTATTATTAATATCATTATTGGTCTCCACTTATGGAAAATCCCATTCAACCTGAGAGATTGGAAGATGCAGACCGATCGACTTCACTGTGACGCGCCGTCGGGGCTTAGTTGCACAAGATGCACGTTTCATCCATCATGTGATATTTCACGTCAAACGAGAAACAGCGGAATCGTTGTCGCCTCGGAAGTGTGAAGCCATCATCTGCGAACTGGCTTTTCTTTGTCCTCTGATTGTCATTAACCTTTTGTCCATGGATTTGTTGATCATCTGGGGGTGGACCAGGGTGTGGGGGCAACAGTAAACATCAAATTGCGGGGATTGCATACTTCCTAACAGTCGGTCAGTCTAAGAGGCAAAAAAATGAAATCCACCGGGCTCCACTTAGGCACCCAACAAGCTGGAGCTCCAGATGTCGTTGGTCGTTTGCTATCAGTAGCTGTCCAGGCCAGCATACTCAATAGCTACAAGGTCTACACTGTGACAGTCTGAAGGAAGATTACTGTACCCGGGGAGGAGAAATACAGTCATCAAAAATATGGGGTATACCCCCAATTCCCAAAGCCTCACCTCATCTTCTGATTCGACAAGATCATTGAAACATCTCTGCTGGTGACAGGACTATTCCCTGTGGATGTATGACATGCCAATATCACCTACAGCATTTTATGCAAAGCATTTTCTTTTTTCGAGGCCCGCTCGTGCAGCCTTTGGGTTTGCTGGGATCACTCCTGACCCGCTCTTGACAACTTTGCACAACGGCTATCTATCATTTCTGATGGTCATCTAGAAGGGTGGTCCTCCCTTGAAGATATTATTGATGATCTTACAACTTATTCGATTCTGAAGCAGTTAATTTATTTTTGTCTCAGTCTTACTTGAAGTATTTTCGGGTGGTACCAGCAGTGGCGATCTGAAAACTGGAAATTCCGTGGAGACCGATTTCCTGGACCTGATGTGGTTCCACCAATGATCTGAAGCTCTCCCCAATTTAATGCCCCACGGACTTGCATTTCCGGGGTTTATCTCACCTAACACGGTACATAGTTTCAATATTATCAGGAACTCATCCCGTGGAATAATATCATCAAAAAAGTGGCTGTTTTCACATTAAAAAGAATTATTACCGAGGCTCTAGAAAAAGGAAAATACATTGAAGAATAGGAAAAAAATACCGAGGTCCGAATTGTGGGTCCTTTTTTTGGCCGAATTTACCCCCTAAACAATGAAAGGTCATCGACGAAAGTATACAGGTGAACTATAATGGGAAATGACAGGAGCCGCCATGAAATGCCGGCGTTCAGCCGGCGATGCATGGCGGCCGAGGCGTGGATCAGGAGGGAGATGGGGCCAGGAGAACAGCTGACCGGGACAAGGTCGCCTCGGAGCGCGCTTCAAGTTCGGGCTCGCCGTCGATCAAGCTAGGGTATCTGTACTGCAACATGGGGTATACAGTACGGATAATACTGACTATTGTAACCAGGTAAATTGCAGGCTTTGAAATGGATCGAAACCAGTGGCAAGGTCACGAGAGCATATCACATGACGGGGAACCGCCCTCGGCAGGGGCTTGTGACGGTGACGTACTCATTACCTTTCATACCAGGGAAATTTATTGCATTTTGCGTCTCGGTTTGGTACTTTCGTACTGACAGGGGCGACGGAACTCCATTCGGCATTATGAGTCTTGTTTTTCTGGGGCTGGAGTGTGAGGCAAAGCGGCTGTGATGACAGTTACCGGTCAGATCCAATGAATGGACCAGGGTTCCCCATGTCAGCTGCCGACCATATTGATATCCCCGGAATTTGGGGCTTCCAGGGAAATTACCGGTCGATATTTACATACCGACGAACTATGTTCAAGTTGCCATGTCCTACTGTATCCTCGGCCTCTTCAATATGATGATCTCACTGTGCAAAGCCATGCATGGGGGATGTTGATTGCCCTCTCCCATTTTTGGGCGTGCGTAAATAGACTGATGTCGATCATCGACTTCCATGAGGTTTCATTATTTGAGTATGTGGCTGGCGTAAGGTGCAAAATACCATAAACCATGATCCAATTACTGAAAGAAAGGGGAGAAATGAAATTCAATTAGCTAGTACGGAGTACTATGTTGAGAAACTAGAATCGGAGAACACGACATCTGAATCACTTTAAGCCTGTCTTTGACAAACCATCGGATAGAACATATAATCCAAATGTGATAAAGTGAAAGTTTCCTAATCAGTGATATTCTTGATCTAAATTAGTTGCTGATCCTAACTAAATAGTAGCAAATCAGGCGAAAAAGCAAAATTCTTCAGGTTTCCGTGAGAGATAACCGCTTAATGCGGGTTGTTCACGTTTGGCTAGATGACCGGCTATCGAACTCCGACGTATAAACACCGAGAATCAAATTAAGCCGTGGTGATATGCACAGGGGTAGGAGGAAACGGTTCCAAAGCTCTCTTCCTTGTATCACACATCAAGTCAGAAAGGCAAATCACATTCCAGATCGTAACCGCCCTACCTTCGGCCCGCCTGCCCCGGCACATCCTGTGAGCCACGAAGCTGCTGCGAGACCGAAAAAGTAGTTAAGTAAGAGGGTTGCAGAACAAAAGTCCAACGGTGGTATTTTTGCGGCTCCCGCAAGATATTCAAAAAGTACAAAAAAGTGGGAAGAAAGGAGTATGGAATTGTCCGAGTCGGTGATTCGTTAAAGCAAGGGATGTTTGTATCGGGGAGTGCGGGAGTGGAATCCGGACATAGTTTCTAGATTTATAGGGTCAGGTGAGTGATAAAGTCAATCTGCATTCAAATCTTCATTCCAGTGACTAGTTTTAGATGCTTTAAGATTACTTTTATCTTAATTTGTTTGAGATGAAAAGGTAATATTGTTCAAGTTTGTTCAAGTTTAATGATAGTATTCCAAGGTTGATTGCAACGCTACTATGTATGTATATGTACTATGCATTATGTCCGAGCCAGGGATTATTGATATGCATGGGGTACTTTCAAGCATTATTTGAAGTGTCAAATATGGAGAGTCTGGAGCTTGTAAGCGACTACCTAGGTAAAACCTGTCTATCATCTTAAACAAGTTTGAAACTTGAAACCCAGAGATGGGGCACCTGGGTTTCCCGCCCTGCAGTCCAGTCGAATGTGGGACACCGTCAATCTTTAACACTTTAGGAGTCTGCAAATCTTCCTCAATAGAAACCTAGCTAGTCGTACTTCTTACAGCTCAATTTTGCTTCCTCACTTCGAGTGTATTCATGCCCCCTTCTCAGTTAATAGATCACACGTCACACAGCTCCATCAATGAATAAACCACCCATGCATTGCGGTGATTGAATCTGGTCAAGTGAAAGCTAGTTCAAGAAACCTTCCATTCTGATACCTGTTCAAATGTTTAATAACGGTCTCAAATGCCACCAACTCAGATCCCTGTTAGTACCTAGGTGTACGCTATACAGAATACAGTCCCGCCTGAATTCCAATAGAGGGTCTGGACTGGTCTTGAATGCAGAACCATCAACATTTGAAGATGCAAGTTCCCCTTGTTTTAGGCATGTGTACAAAAATATGTGAGTTTATCGAGCTCCCTTCGCCTCTGCAGATCTCCAGGGCTGTACCAGGCATTTGGGAACCCTGGCATGCCTTTCCATTTTGTGGAGTACAAGCCATGGACCCACAATCAAGGCTAAAGTAAGCACTGAGTCTGTTCAAATGTTCTACATCATTTTTGCACGGAGTACTTTCTCAGGCGAATCTTTTGTTCCTCTTTCAGCATACTCGCCGCCACCTCGTCATCACTATTTGAGATCGATGCGAGGGTACGATGAATCCAATTTGGATGAAATTGACCTAATTCGACTTAATCACTCGGTGTATTTAGTCATGTACGAGTTACAGATGCATATACCCCATACTTCGTACATTCAGTCATTGTACTCCGTACATAGCAAAGAAAAAGTCACCTGATCCATATTGTATGCTTCTAAAACGGGCCCCTTCTACCGTATCAAGAAAGTTAAGGAGTTCGGATGACCACCTGGACACCAAAATAAAACAGCCGCCAGTTTGAAATAAACTCCTTTCTTTCTTGACCACGTTGCCCCAAGAGATCCTAATCAGAGTGGTCAGATGACTCCAGACTTACTCCGTACAAGCTCGAGTTAAGGTCAGGGGTCTATGAATTGCTTTTGTTTGGAGCGATAACAGATCACCCCTGTTCATCAGCGCCCAAACATAATCCACCAATAACATTCTACCAGAAACGAACATGCGATCGATTTAGCCATGTGCATCAACATCAAATTGGGAGTCATCGCTTTCTGACTTGTCTCTTTGCTTTTTTAGTATGTGTTCATTCTCGTATTGGCCGGGTGCAGCGGCTCCAGATCAAAGGGGGTCCGGATCGTGCACGATCCGGCGATTCTCGGTGTGATCGTGGCTGATCTGGCGCTGCGTGGCGCTTTGTTTGACTTATGACTGAGAGACTTCTCATGGTCAGGAGGACTGATAGCATCGAGAATCTAGACCATCACCCCTGGTCGATCGGTTTAGAGTGCTCCACTGTCACTCGCCAGGGGCCTGAAAGTTGTCTGTGCCCCGCGTATGAAGATGGTCTGCGTGACCTGCTCGGTCGGTCGTCATGCTTTTAGGCGCTGAGGATTTGAGATATGAACCATTCATGAATGATATCTAGGCTCTTTACACTTTATGCTTCATTTCTTTGACGGGTGGACGGCATTCGGGCGCTTTGTAGTTTGAGGCTTTCGGGATCAGGTTATTTTCCCGCCAATCATGGACTTGAAGTTTGTGATATGTGATATGGCTTTGGAGGATTTCAGTTGACCTGTGTAATATGACTGGGATACTTTCATTCAAAGATATAACTTGAATCTTTCATCATGAGATTGATCCTATCATCTGAAGGTTGTATATACCTAACTGGGCATTGCGGACCGCTTGCCTACATGGAGGTTCAGGTTTCCAGTGATCCCCGCAAAATCGGTTGCATCCGAGTCATAGATGAAACAGTGGAGGTTCATGCCAGTGGTGGCCTATCACTGCCTATAAATTTCTGGGTACGATGCACATATCCTAATTTAAAAAAAATCGTTGGAAATGCTAGCTTGTACTAGAGTACGGAATAGTAGATGAGACTAATCTAGTAGTATATGTCCACGGGTATACTAGTATGTACCCTGACATCTTCTACTAAAGCCATAGATTATTAGCCAGTACTATCATTTTAATAAAATAGTTATTATCTAAACATTTCTTTGGAGTCTACGGAGTCCCCGGGTACGGGCTCAGGCATCATCGTCCCTTAAAGAGTGATCTGCATTGGAAGTCTTTCACCCCAAGTTTGCAGCCCAAAATAAACCACCTGGGCAATCAACCATCAAGAGTACCAAGTTGATACGATAGGTTCAAAAAATCTAGAATAGTCTGATCGAAATTTACCACATAGAATAGGTATTGTCATAGCAGAATACGATTACATACATGCTCAGGTACCAGATGGATAAACACAGCCTACTTTGCCGCGAGTCTCCGGAGTCTATATCAAAGGCGACCGGGCAAATCAATGTGCCAAAAACAGACGATGATCATTGATGTCATAGTACGAGCATTTTAGCGAACTGGCTAGGTTTATGATGTGTTGACAGTTGACAGGTTCGCTGGCCGTCGTGTGACGAACACAACAATCCCCCGAAAAAGCGGTATAGATGGAAGCCCGATGAGTGACAACAATCTCAAACGTTCAAAAGTAGACGAAGCTGATGGTCTCGTTACCAGCTTACATTTCACCATCACGAGAATCACGAAGGGATTTCCCTAAGACCCGAGACCTTTATTCTCGCGAACGAATCGAAGCCACGTCAATAGCTCTGTCCATGTGAGCAAAAGGGAGTGGGCACTGATGAGGCTGATGACCGAATCCCCCATTTTGTACCTTTAGGCCAGAAGAAATGGTGCGGGCCAGACCATGGCTTTGATTTTTCTTTTCTTTTCTTTTCTTTGCTGCACTGTTGATCCTCCTGTCTCACCAAACACAGGATTTACACGACATCTATCGGGTCATCTGAACCCCATGGTTTGTGTTGCCAGCACACCCAAAAAGGGAAGCTCCCAGAGCAGCGCGGCTATGTCGACTACCAGGAAAGCCGAGTCAAGAATAGAAACAAAATGATTCCAGTCCTGGTGGTTCTATTGGAAATTTCAAACATGCAGAGACCATACATGCGCCCACCTCTTTTACGGCCCGACATCGTTCTAGCATCTAGATCGCAGCAGGCTAGCAAGCCACAAATGCAGTTCACTCCACCCTATACTCAGAACTACGACTATCGGAGAACCAGGTTTTACATTATTTTAATCTCACCTTGGGTACGGGTACGAGAAAAAAAGCTCACCAGATCAGATTTGCCCCGTACCTGCCAATGCCGTCACACCGGAGTGATGGGTTTGCATCTGGACCGATGCCGGAGCTTCAATCCAAGTCTATTCTTAATGCGTTATGCAAATGCTCAAGCTGACATTGCTCATGGCGCCAGCCATCGGCTGCATTCCGTGCATATTGTTTTTCCTAATCCGCCCTATTACGGATTATGGGTTGCTTTTATTCGATCCGCTCTTGCCGACGTATATCTATCCTTGGCATTGCGTGCTGGATAGAGCTGCAGCTACAGATGATTATTGCGCGGTAGATATGATAATTTCCACGTGAGAAGAGGCAGCCTTACCCTTCAATTATGCAAATAGATCGATGCATTCGAATGTTATTTCATGATTTCGCAATACTGTTACTAACCTGAACCTTGGACGGATCGAAACTGCAGGATGGATATACCATGGAGTATTGATATTTCGGGATATGAACTGAATTGACATATACTAGTGTCGGATTCATGGCTTGCTTACTTCAAGTTTGATGGGTTCTCATTCAAACTTTGAAACTCCCCGATCGCTCTAGGCAGATCTAGATCGGTTTCAAGTTATTCAGCCATTTCACTGGGAGGTATGAATCAGGAGATAAGGCAACAGAAGGCCCAAAACAGTCTATATTTCCACAGCGAAATATGGATGCATACAACTCCGATCTAGACCAATGGAACAGTTTCACAGAAGCTGCCACATTTTCGACGCCAAGCAAAAAATACCAGGAAGAAGGACAAGGGAATCGAAAACCAGTGAGCCGCAGTGATTGCAAGATTCAAAACTCTGTGGACCACGAGTCGCGGGGAACTGGGGTCCGACTTCCACAGGCTGTGTAACTTTCTCTAGGCCATATTCAGTCCTGCAGCTCTTAATAGAGTCTGAAGATTTCGGACAGTGAGTGGTTCGATAAGAGCACTTGAGAGATATGACCTTTGCACTTGGCACAACTTGAAACACATATTTATCGTTGCAATAGAGAGTCTTCGGATTCCGAGCAAGAGAGTACCATTAAATATTTCTTGCGTTGCCTATCCAGATATTACGATTTGGGCGTTCGGGTCAACAGACTCTTTATTCATTAACAACATTCCACCTACTCCCATAGGCTCTCTATTGGATACAACTCAATAATTTATGGATACCCGTGAAGCGCAGGCAGTACAAAGTATCAAGCTTCTGAGACCGGTACATCTTGTCAGACACTGAGTGTTTGAATCTTCTTCTGCATCTGTTACTGGAGACGTTGAGATGGATCTTCATCACCTATCTGAAGTTACTCTGGATTATAGTGATACAGATTACCTCATATCTGTTCTTTACAAGCAATAACATTTTGTCATCCTCATTTAGAAGCAGGTACCCCCTTTAGTTAGCTATTTCTCACGGAAGACCCCCACGGGGTCCGGGCAAGGATATTAGATCTAAAGCATGTGAAGCTAGTATGAAAGAATAGACTGGTATGAGCTATTAGATGAAAATCATTTTTGGAATCCATATGAGCTCTTGCACCTCGTTTTCGAAGTAACACAAGCATCACTCAAATCCTCACAAGACTATTTGGTTGCTTTTTAGAGATTTCTATACGTCATAAACAAAGTCACTGGCAATCTTTGCAGCTGCGGCCACGTCGATATAGTATGTGATGGAGGGTGGGAAGGATGTAGTACATTGACATATGTCGTTCCTCGACATATTAGGCGTTGAGCATCCTCGTGAACGTTCTCGGATACCTAGGTCTACCTGGTATGTAGTTGCACATGGGAACACGACCCCCACGTAGGCTTGTTCTTGTGTAAGTATGTAGATAATAGGAATGCGGGATATCTGACACGAAAATATTGATTTTTAATTCGGGGAGGCGTACAAAGGCAGCCCACTGTGAGTAGTAGGTGGAAGTCACACGAGACCATCCAGATGTCAGCGCTTCGAAACTTCCAAGATTCGTATCCAACTAAATCTAGATGCTACATGGTGTTAGTATGTAAGATAAGGGAAAGGCGCGGAGATCTAATCTGCTGGATTGTGCTAGGTAGTCTCGATTTGTTTCTTTTCTTCTCCTTAGTTTTTACTATGTAGGTTACCTAGTACTAGGTTCTAGTATGATCTGGTCCATTGCCCAGGTGCTGCTTATTATACCGCGTAGAGAAAACCTTGGAAGTTGTACACCGGTTGATCGTCATAAGTCTTTTTTTTCTCATTGCAACTTAGAATGCTCTATGTAAGGGACCATTTTCTACATAGGAGTCCAACAATAATCATCTTTTTTTGTTTTGAGCCGACGCACCAGATGTTAAACCCCGGTGCTATCTATCAAGCATTAGGACTATTTGCGGGTAACCTAAAATTCAGCGTCTTCGTCACCAGAGATAATGACATTGTTGATCTGGATACACGTTAGTATATGAAGTAGAGGGACGTAGAGTTGTAAGGATTACCTTGAGAACCATGCGGCAAAGCTGGGTAGCCAGCAGAAGTTGCTGGCGCTTGCCAATCAAGGGATCAATGGCAAAGTGCTCTCTCATGTCTATGAATGTAATATATTAGTGGCTGAGATAGAGAATTTCAATAATATGGGTTGCTTACCGTTGGTACCGGTCATCATGCAGTCAACACCGAGACGAGTGTTCTTCTCCTTGACCTGGCGGGACTTGACAGAGGCGAGAGTCTCAATAGGGCTCAAACCAGAGTTCTCAGACAGGGCCAAGGGAACGGCATCCAAGGCATCAGCGAAGGCACGCATGGCGTACTGCTCAATACCGGGGCTCTGTAGGTTGAGAGGAATTAGTTTGGCGGGACTAAGCAGTATACAATGAGAAAGCTTCACGAACCTTGACAGCAGCATCTTCAACAGCAATAGAGCAAGCAATCTCAGCAGCACCACCACCGTAAACAACACGGTTGTCACGAACCAAGTTGCGCACCACACACAGGGCATCGTGTAGTGAACGCTTGGCCTCATCAATGATCTGCAGGTTTGGTTAGTTAATGCAAATTATATTGTAATATCATCAATGTCATACCATCTTGTTGCTACCACGAATGAAAACAGTGACCGCACGGCTGTTGGCACAGTCTTCGATAACAAGCATCTTCTCTCTTGTGGTACCGAAAGTCATCTCACGGACACGGCCAGCAGTACCCAGCTTCTCCGCGGTCAGATCCTCGAAGCGAGGCACGATGCGGCCATTTGTAGCAATAGCAATCAGTTCAATCTCGGGACCACCGACCCACCGGACGGCAGGAAGCTTGTTTTGGAGGAGCAAGTGGTTGGCCTCGTCGTCGAAACCCCACTGACAGATAACCAGGTTGGCCCCTGAGTCCTTAAGCTTCTGAATCATCTCTGTGAACTTCTCGTGCTCGTAATCCTGGAGCTTCTTGAACTCCTCGACTGAAGTGATGTCAAGCTTGTGCTTGGTCTTGGGCTTGGGGGGCTCGAATGGGCAGGTCAAAATGGCCAGCTTGGCGTCCAGGACCTCATCGGGCATCTGAGGGTGGGAGAAATCCTTGTCCACGATAACACCCTTAACCAGTAGGGAGTCCTCAAGGGAACCACCGACCTTTCCATCCACCTTGATCAATTCAAAGTCAACATCTTTACGCTGGAGGTCAGCAACAGAAAGCACAGCATCGACGGCAATCTTGGCGAACTGGTCGTGGGACTTGGAAACACTATAAATAAATTAGCGGAATGCACAAAGCATTCGAGAGAGATGAAGCGGGCGTGCGTACATCTTGCTGCCCAAACTGGTCTTGGCAACCTTGAGCAGGTTGGAGGTGTCTTCCTTGGTGAAGGGGATCTCGTCACTGATTCTGTCAAGCTCGGCGAGAGCAATCTCACAGGCTTGGTCGTAACCGTCGGCTATCCGAATGGGGTGGATTCCCTTATCAATCAAGTCCGAAGCCTGCTCCAGCATGGCCGCTGCCAACACCACGACACCAGTTGTGCCGTCACCGATTTCCTCATCCTGCGATTTCGAGAGCTCGACGAGCAACTTGGCAACGTTGTTTGTGATCTCCATCTATCATTTCAATTTGTATGAGCACTTGACAAGACAGGGGTTGGTTGGTATGAAAAGGGGTCGGGGGAGGGAAGCAGACCTGGCCGAGAATGGTTGCACCATCGTTGGTGACAGTAATATCGCCATCGGGGGAAATAAGAATCTTGTCCAATCCACGGGGACCCTATGACGAAATATAAGAACTTGGACAGATTGACGAAGTATCGGTATGCATACCAGAGAAGTCTTGACAATGTTGGCAACGGTCTTAGCGGCCACAATGTGTGACTTCACGGCCTCGGTACCATGTTGTCTCTTCTTCTTGCCTTGGCTGGAAAGATTCCTCTGTCAGCTTCAAATCCATCATTTCTCAAAATATCTGGTCGCAATTGCTCGATGTAGGATGATGCATATATCATAGGACGACGTACTCGCGAACGACAATAAATGGACGGCCCTGCTCATCCTTCAACACCGAAGCTATAGTTGGGTATCAGCGCGCTGTGTTCCTGATACAAAGATATTCCCCAATCGAATAATTTATACCTTGAGAAAGATCAAGCTCTATGGGTATCAAAAGAAACGGTCAGTCATCATCACAAATAATGAGGGGCATCTCGGGAGGTAAGGAGGAGCCAAATGGATAAGTGTGAACATACGCATCGCCATTTTGACGGAAGACTGCCCTCTGGTAGGGGATCAACCAGGGGTTAATAAAAGGAAAATGTGGAAAAAGAAAGCACAAATATCAATAGAACTATTGACGTTGATCGTAAGAATGCGGAGGGGGAAATCGAAGCTCGGTGAAATGCCTCCTGCAAATTAAATTCGGGTCGCCTAATTGGGTTTAGTGTTGGACTGTCCGCCTTCAGCTCTCCACGCGCTCCCCGAAAGTTCTCACTCTCATAGCTTCCTGTTGCGCGCGCCAATCGTTACTCTCTTTTTCAATATCTGTTGAGGCTTGTGCCTCTTGCCGCCAAACTGTTTTCCCATCTGCTAAAACTCACTCCTTTCAAAGCCGATATGCCGCGTAAGTCTTATAATCCGTGTTTGATCGCACCGCGCGGCGCACTTGCTAATTCAACCCCCTCAACTAGCTGCCGTTGAGGATATTTCCGATGAGGAAGCTGGTGACGTTCCTTACATTACTGCTCAGGAAGAGCCCCTCAAGGATGAACCAGTTGAGGAGAACAGTGACGAATCCAATGACGGCGATGACGATGATGAGGAGGGTGTGTGAGTTGCCCGCGGCTGTTTGTTCAACATGACCAATTAATCTGATTAGCCTTTCTCAATTAGCTACGTCGTTGAGAAGATCACCGGCCATGACTTCCTGGATGATGTATGTTCTTAGGTGGAAATCCAGCGTCGATTGCGCTAACTCGCCATTAGGGTTCGCTCTTGCTTCTTGTGAAGTGGAAAGGATATGAAAAGAAGGAAGATATGACTTATGAGCCCGAGGAAGGCTTGAAGTAAGTACACAGATGAGTGATTGATCATATTGTCGGAAATTGTGCAATGCTTACAATGTTATTTAGGGAGGGTGCCAGCGATGCGGTGAAAGCTTACTACAAGAAGATCGGTGGCCGACCTAAGAAGCCTTCCCTCAAGCCCATCCCGAAGGCGGGTCCAGGCCGCAAGCGCAAGTCAATGAATGAGCCAAAGGAGGAAGAACAACCGACCTTAACTCCAGCGGCTGAACCCAAGAAGCGCCGAAAGTCTGCTCCCCGAACCACTACTTCCGAAACCCCGGCATTGACCGAAGATACCAGTGATGCTGAGGCCGAGAGCAACTGGGTCCCCCCGAGGCGACAACTGGGACAAGGAATTGGATACAGTTGACACTATCATTCGCGACCCCGAGACCGGTGGTCTTTATGCTTTGTTGTTGTGGACCAATGGCAAAAAATCAAAGATCTCCATCGAGACCTGTTATGAAAAATGTCCCATGAAGGTTCGTCACCATTGGCTCTGTTTCTGGTTTGCAGACACTAATGCGCTATTTAGATGCTCAAGTTCTATGAACAACACTTGTAAGTCTGTGGAATATTGACAATAAAACCCAGTCACTGATCGTTATTTAGGGTCTTCAAGGACGGCTAGACAGGTCGCTTCGCCCATTCACTCCAGGTTGAAGTCCAACAGCAGAAATCTTTGAAAGATAGCATCGTTGGATCAGTTTTCTTTTCTCTCAAGGGAGCTTGTTTGGAGTTGGAGTCTTGGTTTCTTTTTTTTCTCCTGTTTCTTTTGACATTTTCAACGCCGATGTCCATGGTAGGACCAGAGACTCGGTGGCACATATGTTTTTCTTGGGATACTCACACGGTCAGCACTTGAGAGTATCTTGATTTTTATGGGGCCCTTGATTTTACGTGCTCATGTCTTCGTTCAGCCTCTCTTTTTGCCTCGTCTCACTTGAGCTGTATCCATGAACCAATGTTATTAGGATGCGACTAGGCTAATTTCATGTAATCTACACATCTTTTTTTGATCCTTTCATTCACCCTTAAGACTGCTTCACTAAATCACAGGATACCTTGCTTGCGAGCAAAATGAAGGTATTCCCACCTAGCGTTGACCGAGTCGTTGCCATGTTTGTCAATCAAGGCTTGGATATCACGCCCATCGGCTCCATCGAGCTTTTTGTCGTCTTCTGCTGACCATACACCGGGCATATCATTTGGAATCCCTTCCCCCGCAACACAGCGGTCCAGCACAGGCTTGGCGTATTCTGGATTCATACTAGTACGTCGTAATACCTCGCCCACGGTTGCCAATTCTATTCCTCGTGAAAGCTGAGAATCAATCCAGGTGTCCAAATCTGTGTCTTCCTGATCAGTCTCTTCAACCTCTGATTCTGAGCTCACTTCAGGAAGTGGCAGCTCAGAAAATAGAGGGTCAATAACAATATCTCCTTGTTCCTTCAATGCTATAAAGAAACTTTGAATTAGTGTGGGTGAGTTTGGCGTTGGTGTGGGATGAGTAGCAGTGTCAGGTTTCGGCTGGCTGGGTTGTTTCTTGTGAGATTGTGAGGTTGTAGAGGGTGACCGTGTCTCGGAATCAACTGGGGGTAGACAAGCTTTTGATGGAGATTTTGATGGAGATTTGTGCTGATTTGGTCGGGGGTTCGAAATAGTTCGAACAATGGAGTTGATTGCTTCGGGTGTCATTAGGATCGCCTTTTTTGCGGATGGTGGCCCTGAGTCGCGGCGCCGACGTGAGGGCGAGTCAACAGGCCTCTCGCGCTTGCTTTTGGAGTTACTTGGTGTATCTGGCCGTCCCTTGGGTGCTCTGGAGGTTATTATTTCAACGGATACCTCAGGATTGCGTGTCAGATCTGAAGTTGATCGACGCTTTGGCTCTGGTTCTGCCACCTTGGGTTCCTTCGCACTAGGTGCCCTTTCATTTGCCGTTGTGGAACTTGGTCGTGACTGGTCGATTTCATCCAACACGTCTGACCTTGGCTCTCCACCTCCGGGTCGAGGTCTCCCACGTAGACTTTTGAGATACCGATTGCGCCATGACTGATATGTATGCTGAGGAAACTGTAGACCTAGTATTAGTGGGACAACGTGGGGCATCGAGCTAAATATCATTAATGCATACCTTTTCAGCTAGCGCTTGGTAGATCCTGTGGCCACTAATTGGTGCATTCTCTACCAATTCATAGGGATTTAAGTAATCAAAGAGAATTTGATCATCTTTCAAGGTAAATTCTGTTCTGGTCCTTTTTTGGGGTATGTGTGATGCGCCCATCGGTCGCTGGGCAGAGGGACCAGCCCGATGATCTTCCAGATTTTCGAGCTTTCCGTTACGGACAGAGCGTTCTACATATTGATAAGAATATCTGAAGGAATCGTTAGGAGCCTCGTACATCTATTTTGGACAGGATGGGTAACCTACACGTCTGAGGGCAGATTCTTCTTTGTGTGATCGACCAGTTTGACATTTGCATGTGTCTCCAAGAGCACAACGATACCACCATGTTCCTATAACCATATTAGCGTCACTTGCGTGAATTATATCAAATACCGAGGCATACATACCTCAATCATTTCTTTGAATCTGGTGCGCTGAGGCACATTGTATGAGACCCAGAATCTTGTGCCACCGAAGAGGGTGTTCAAGACCATACGCTGAGTTGGACTTGCCATGCTGAACTTTGAGTGAAGTTGGAGGGGTTAAATCTGGAAACGTGAAGCGAATTTGCCTTTTCACAATGAGCTACGCTATTGTCACTTGTCAAGCTATTTGAAGCACATTTCAAGTAATGAAAATGACCTTTGACGCAATCAGAAATTCGTCTTGTTGGGTTGGATCCTGTAAGATTCGTGATGCAAAAGTGAGGTTGAAGGTGGAGTATCTCAGGTGGATGTTAGCTGTAGATACGCCAGGCGGGTATATTGTGATGATACCACGTGACCGCCCAGGCAATAAACCGCGCCGGGAAACAACAACCTTAGTCAAGTCAACACCACTGATCAAAACACATCCGATTTTCGTGATCGATGAGAATGAGACGTGAAATCAATAATTTAGTGGAGACCTGCGTTACTGGGATGTTCTTGCAGTCTTGAAAACATCTAACCCATCCAAATCTGTGATCAGCGCCCGGGCAGTACTCCGTACTCTGGAGCCCGTACTTGGTACCGAAATGGGCGTCATTCGTATCGTTGCGCTGACGATTGTGGGTATCTCAGTATTTGTTTTTATTGCACTTTTTGGAAGACTGCCAGCATTTAGGTAAGATCAGAAAGCACTTATGAATTGACAGTCGCTCATAGCGCTTTAGGAAAACTCCAATTGCATTCTTGTATCGAGTCCTATGGGTACATATTCCCAATGGGGTTGCCTTCATTGATTCCCGCCTTCTTGATGGGCGCTTTATGCGTGTATGGACCAAGACAGGGAGCTATATTTTGAACGAAAATCATCCAATCATCCTTGTAAGTCTTCTCACCAGAGACTCTCTCAAAACGCATTTTTTTGACATGATATCTTAGATCTTTTTCTTGGGCCTGCTTTTAATAGGAGAGAGTGTTTTTCTTCCACCAGCTTGGCCACGCTTGTCGAGTGTACACAAACCATGGGTTCCTGCGGTAGTCATTCTACCTTATATACTGCTTTACAAGTGTGTGACTACCAAATCATTCATCACACCGGAGAACCACGACCAAGAGATGAAGCGTTATCCATATGACCGGATACTTTTCCATCCTGGACACAACTGCCGCACCTGTGATCTTCCAAAGCCACCCCGAAGCAAGCATTGTAACATTTGCAAAGGCTGTGTTTCCCGACTCGATCATCATTGCGTCTGGTTGATGAATTGCGTTGGAGCCAATAATTATGTCTATTTTCTATCGCTGCTGCTCTCATTGACTGTATTGTTGAGTTACGGTACGCTAGTCGGCTATGGGCTTCTCTGCCAAACACTCGAAACGCGGGTGACGGCAGAAGGACTGGTAGCTATGGAGGCTTGGACTGGATATTTCCATGTTTGGGCCCTTGTCATCACTGCCGACACAAAAATTGGCACTGTGACATTGCTCATGCTGATGACGGCGCCGCTGGCGGCAGCCTTCTTGGTTTACCATACCTACCTCATCTGGGCTGGTACGACGACAAATGAGAGCGCTAAATGGTCAGACCTGAAAGACGATGTTGAAGATGGGTTTGTCTTCAAAGCCAAAAGAGATCAAATCGAAAATGCGCCTCCGTATACTGACCTCGGCGACCAACCTTGGCCGGTGCAGAGCGATCAGATTTTGGTTACTGATTGCGATCCGCCCATGGAGGGGTACGTTTTAGCACCGGATTCTAATCGCGTGCTTTACAATTTCAGTGGAGAAGTTCCAATTGACTCACGATGGAGACCGGTCCACAGCATGAAGGAAGTCGACAATATTTATGACCTTGGTTTTTGGAATAATCTGCGAGATGCGATCGGGATGTCAGTACGACGAAAAAATTGCATTTAAATGGCAGGTTGAGCATAAAGTTCCCTGACTTTACAATGCTAAATTGTGGATATCTCTTTTGAACCCAGTGAATAACGGGAGACACTTATTATATACTTAAATAGGCACATATGCTACTCCAAGTCGTCCGTTTCAACCTTCAACTCCGTAGTATACAGCTGGAACCCTAGGTCTACGCTAGTCTTGAGCGGGACTAGTGTTTTGCCAAGGTGGATTTCCCCGCAGGCGGTGAGTTTGGCGGTCGCGAAGAACATGGTCAATTTTGTTTCATTATTCAAGTTCCATCCCACCAGAGTCTTTGTTGGCAATTATTGCAGTCTTCGCACATTTCTTTCGACGGCAAAATGGCCGACCCGAAGCCATCATGTACCCCAGCGGAGCTCATGCTCAAAGTCATATTGGCCGGGACCTTAAGCCATTATGAGACCCGGGGCATGATTGATGACAAACGTCTCGAGCATATGCTTGCTGCTGGAAAGCAAATACTCTACAAGACACACCAGGAAAGTGAGGTTCGGTATGTAGTGTGCTTTGACCTTGGGATGAAAAATTCATTATCTAATGACTCTGAATATTAGACACAACCTTGGCATGTCACCGGACATCTGGCAGGGCCTTACGGACGTCCTCACTAAGGCGATTCCTGTCCTCGAGTCGCAGTCCTTTGCATGGAAGAGTCCTGCCGCCACATATGAACATTCGTCGTCGAACCTGATTGCGTACAACTATTTCTCGTTAGTCAAGGATATCGAACGTTTGAATGATCTATGCACAATTGCGCGAAATCTGCTTGCTACAACTAAGAAGGCACAGAATCTTGCGGCTGCCAAAGGGTTCGACCAGCGAATTCTCGCCTTGATTGATACCTGCGTGCGAGTGACAGCGAGGGGATTTGATGGCGAGACTAATGCCCGAAACGAGGAACGGTGGCAAAAAGTGGTCAATCTCTACAAAAGGTTGCTGATCACATGTCTACAATACCTGCATAACTTCATTATGCACAACGAACAGCGGAAAATGGTTCTTTGGCTGGATCTTTTTGGATACCATTCGACTGCCGACACAAATATCATCAAACCCAAGGATGCGCTGGACCCAGCTGCTCGGGCCGAGGGTGTTGCGCCAGTTGTGAAAATTGGCGAACGTGTAATCAACCCGCCCATTCGAGCGCTTTATGATCAAACTGCCGAAGATCTACTACTTGAAACCATTGCGAAGTTCCCACGCGAGCCTTCTACGATCAAGGAGGAAGCTGCAATGCTGCTTTTGGCGAACATCAAGGACCACATGGAGAAAATCCTGGGACGAGACCTTACTGATATCCAAGAAATGGGCAGAGATCCCGAGCAAGTCAAGTACATACGTGCGGCCTTGACCTCAATCCTGGGGGCAAAGGTAGATGGATGGTCAGACCTCCAAGATAGGGCCCGTGAGCTGCCACCTGCCTTGCCTGAGGAAGAGGAGCATGAACCCGCCAAAAAGAAAACTATTCTCACTATTGATCGTAGCCTGACTGCAGGGTTCCCTCGTTTATGCTGGGCTGACTTACCGGAGGTCAATGATTACGCTGTGGATGCAGCAGTGACGGATGAGGATATAAGCATGCCTCGTTCATCACAATCTGCAGCTGAGACTTTGCAGGAAGCCAAAGACGAATTAATGGCTCGTCTTCAAGAACCATCTCATTTGGGCGATGGCGACGCGGATTACGACACTGCAGATGCTGGAACAGTCGGCGACGAAGATTCCCATAGTTTAGAGGGACACGCAGACGGCAGCATTGAAGGAGATGAGGATGATGACGGCGATGATGTCGATGGACATGATGATGGTGCGGAAGTAGATGACGAGGAAGACGATGATGATTACCGCGGTCGTCCCGGTGATCAACAGCGGGGTCTGCTAACTGACATCCCTCTTGTCCTTGGTCCCGCTGAAATTGAAGCATTGCCTATGATTGTGCAAGCAGGAATTGTTGACAGTTTCGGTCTCAAAGGTGGTGAGCGCAATGGGTCACGCAATATGCAGGCCCTCCGATGCCACATCCTGCTTGCCCAGGAGACTGGGCGCAACCTACTTCGCGAGCTGTTGATCTTCATTGCCGCTTGGGATCTCCCTGATGATGAACTTTATTTCAAGATGATGGTCCAAATCATGGAAGCCGTTCTCAAAAATGGACTGATGTCGCATGCTTACTCTGATTTTGGTCAGCCCAAGGACATTATCTCTCCAGCTCAGGCAGTCGTGATCAAGATCCTCACGCACATCTTCCGAGCTAAATACTCCCCAGCGTCAGTCTCAGGATCTTCACAGAATAATAATAAAAACAGTGTGCCACGAACGCCGGCGCCGCTGAGCCGTGTGGATATTCTCACAGTTCGGTATATCTTCACCATTTTCCGTGGCAATATTATCCCCGAGACCTGTGCCTTGATCTATCTACAAGGCCAGATCCGCGCAGAGCGTGCCCTGCCTGAGGATTTCCCTCTTAACCTTTGGGACATGGAGCGTGTTTACGAGGGTGTTTATCAGTTCCTCGAATTCTTCGCTGTGCTCACCGAGAACAATGACTGGAAGAATCTCCTCGTTAAATGGGAAATCGTCTATGATTTGGTAACATTGGTCAAGGAACTTGAGGCTAGTATTCCTAAGGGCCAACTCAACTCGATGCCCTTTGGATCTGCTCCTCCTCCTCCGCCTCCACCCAGAAGCACATCTCCAGACGATCAGTCCAAGCCATCGTCTCCAGCCCCTGTTGCAGTTGAGCGGCCTTACGACCCCAGCGACCCAGACCCTATTGACACTGTCGCTGGCAGCGTCGACTCACGCCCAGAGTCTCCACCCATCACCGAAGACCCTTCAGAGTTCGAGTGGCGCAATCTTAAGAAACTTGTTGTGCTGGTTCTTTCATCTCTTGTATGGAAATGCCCAGAAGTTCAGGAACAGATCCGTCGCTATGGCGGTGTTGAGGCTATTCTTTGCTGCACCAACTTTGATGCACACAACCCTTACATCAAGGAACATGCTGTCATGTGCTTGAAGTTCCTGTTGGAGGGCAACCGCGAGAACCAGCGTCTTGTTGAGGAATTGGAAGCTCGAGAGGTTGTGAGTAATGATGGCGGCATTCTGGAGAAGAATGGCTATGAAGCTATGATTAATCAAGCTGGCAAACTTGCTATCAAATCAAAAGAGGGAAACTAGATGGAGCGAATGTTAAGCTTTGATCTCACCTATCTATGACTTGTCTTGAATAACGCAAAACAAACAAAAGCTTTCCTTGTATTCAATCAGCCTAGATACCTGTCAATTGGTTCAGGGATACCTACCTTAACAAACTGTATCACTAGATCTGGCTAGTTTCTCGCAACTTCTTCGACCAATCTTCCAGTTTCGATAAATGACGAAATATTTATTTCTAGAAGTTGAAATATGCATACAATACTTCTTAGAGTAATCAACCACATAATGCATTCATTCGTCACGCTTATCTCAACGCTCAACCTCAATGCAGGTGTTAAACCAACCACACTCCATAGCTCCCCAACACAACAGAACGATGTAAATCCGCTTAACCGTACATTCCATCCCATTCGTCCTCTTCATCCTCCTCCACAAGCTTCTTCCTAGCCTCTTCCTTCTCACGTAGCTGCTTAGCAAAGTCCGCTCGGTCAAGTGGACAAGTTCCACGCAGCCGCAACCAAGGTCTCACACACTCCATATCAAACATATGAGTCGGGTGACAAGGCAATCTCACAACAAGAGGAAACTCATCCTCCAAGAAAGGATTATTGCAAATGGGACAAGCTTGATCAGGCTTAAGGGAGGACTTAGGAACGCGATCGAGCACTAGAACAATTCAATTAGCATATGTTCCAAGACAAAGTCCACGTAGCACACCGCACTCAATGAACTTACTATCACAGAACTCATCGCTCACACCCTCAACCTCCCTGGGTGGCATATCTGCTCCACTTAACAAATTTTGAATCATTTGTGAGAGAAGATCATCGTTTCCAAGCTCAGCATTGCCTTCTGTCTCTCTTTCCGCGTCGCCAGATGCAGAATCCTGGCGCATCACTCTTAATGCCTCAGCGAGCGAGTAGAAAGCTGCACTCACATCCCCAGGTACGGGGACAGCATGTGGACGGTGCTGAGGGTGTTCAGGGTCAGGTGTGATTTCAGACAGGGTCGCGAAAAAGGTAGAGAGATCAGGACGACGACGAGGGGCTTTAGTCGAGGCTGTGGCAGGGTCGGCAGTGCCATGCTCAACTACAAGAATATTAGTGGTTGATCTTGATATAAGGGAATGAATTTGTGACTTCTTACCTTCGTATGTCGACATTGTTTCTTTGCTGGGTAGGTGCGGGAGGATGAAAGATGTGGACGGGGATATCCCGTGTTGAAGTGGTGGGTTGTGACACCGACTTGTTTGCTTCTGTCGTACTCGGTATGATGAGAATCGGATCAGATGAGGTTGATATGTGCAGGGAGTTTTGTAGACGTCAATTGCGTGAGACGAGAAGATTCGATGATTAGTGTTGCGGATCGGAGGCAGCAAAGTGATAACGCGGCGCGGGGAACGGCTGATTGGGCCGTGCGTGGTATAGCTTCAATATGATCTCAGTACTGGTTTCTCTTCTTTGTGCATTATTTATCAAATTAAACTCAATTTTTCTGAATATGACAAGAATTACATATATCAATGAATCCTTTTTCCATTTTTTTTTCTAAAGGCATTGATGTTACTAGTAATACTCTAGCTTGAACTTGAACATATTCAAGTTTGCGGTACCCAGTTACTACCAGCTTAGTAGCACTACATAGTACGAGTACTACCAATACTGCTACTAGTTGTACTAGTAGTAGACAGCGAGGTAAAATTGATCAAATGATGTTTGAAAAGTAATGAAAATCATAATTCATTCAAGAATCTGACAGGTAAAACCGACTTAAACAACCTGGAGAGAGATGTATGGCTCTTCAGTAAAACCCTCTGGCATAGTATAGGTGATATTGTAGAAGATAAAATCATTGACACTTTGGTCAGTGTCATAAACAATAGTATAGTCATCAGCAGCATTTGTCTCGACCTTCAGAGCTAGGCTAGGCAGGCCCTCAAGTCCGGTAACATTGAAGCTGGGATGACGGATATCGAATCCACTGAACAAGAAGTTGAAGGATACTGGGCTATCCGATGCAGTCACGTTGGGATAGGAGAGTTTCAAGGACCCTGGAGATGCCACCGCATGGATTGAGGACTCTGTCACCCAGTGTGAAATGCATCCAACTTGGTAATCATTGATAGCCCACTGGATGACGGCAGGACTGAAAGCACTAGTGCTCTCAGCTGGTCCTCCAACCACACTTTCAGAAACCGTCTCGGCGCCAATGGTAATATTCTCTGACATCCAAGTTGTGATGTTTCGAGGGTATGTATCAAAAGGTGGTGAGTAAGCCTGCCCAGTGAAGAAGTGCTCGCCAGGGAATGTGATGAACTTCGATTTCGATTCCTCGGACAAATACTTCAACATTTCAGGCATACTGAGTGCGAAGAGAGGGTAAAACGCAAAATCATCTTGATGGTACATCCCAGATGTCTGCTTAGGGAATGGCGCATGTGCACGTCCAACAGCACCCCAGATGACGGCAGCGACCAGCGAGGTGTACTTTTTCATATTGTAACCATATGTGCGGTCCCAGGGACCAGCCAAATTGCGAAGATTTGCATTATATAGATCAGAGACATCGTTCCAAGTCGTAGTCAGGATCTCCGGCACGTACTTCTTCAGCAAACTATCCTCGCTCGAATACTTACTCCAGAGAGACAGTGCCCACATGGAAACACCTGCATATGTTGGAGAGTTGAATTCGGAAAGAGTGTTGTGCTGGCTCCAGAGATCATAGAACTCTTGAGCAAACTTGTTACTGGCATCGGTCAAGTTCTTGTCACCAAGACGTGTACCAACCCAGTTCTGCAGGATGGTTCGCATCAACCACGGGTTCGAATAACATGGGTAAAGATTGTCTCCATCAACGCCACCAACTCGGTAAAGGTCACCCTTAGCAGCAACGTGTAATGAGCTCTCAACTTTGGTGACTGTTTCCGCAGGAGGAGGTGATCGTAATCATTCAGAGCCATGAGCCAGGCACAACCGACGAAATCGCGGATATTGGGATCCCACTGTGATTTTCTGGTTAGTTCACGACAGTCCGAGTCCGAGATATTGTCAACAACCAGAGTGACATACCGAATTGTATATGCTATCGACATATTCAGGTGTCCCAGGTAAGGGCTGTGACGGTGACCCCTGCCAATCACCGTACCATTGCCATTCAGGATTGAGGTATTGAGCAGAGATGAGATTGTCAAAGATACGGATGGCTCTTGCAACATCTCCAGGTCCGTTCCGGGCCAACAGCTGAGTAGCATACCAGCCTGAATGACGACTGTCATAGCGACCATCATTGCTCGCTGCTGCAATCAAGTATCCCGCGTCTTCATCCCAGAAGCCATCATTCCATTCGATTGCTGTGTTGAACATCTCTTCCGCGTGTGTCATTCCACTTGAATTGGCTCTTCGTGCATGAGGCACAGCTGATACCAGGGCCGTGAATTGAACGACATTGAGTCCAACTAGAAATGTCTTTACCTTCATTTTGGCAATTGAACAAGCATTCTATAGGTTAAAGCAATTCTAGTACAGCCATTTCAAAAGGCCGGGGTGCACCTTTTATTTACCGGAAGAGCTACTATCTCTTCTCCCCTCACTTCGGATTTAATACCTCCATTCAATAGATCAAACTTGTTTATTAAAGTGGGACGATCGCTAAGAGAGCCGAAGATTGCCCGTATAGCTACTAAGGTGTCCTCCGGCCTTCTGCCGTATTTGCCGGCGATCTGAGTTGGCAGTCAACTAGTCAACTCAGTTTAGTATCTATCACGCTAACTCATAGATATAACCAAGGAAATATTGTAGGTGAGTGAGAGCTTTGCTTATCTGTGATGTTTTTTCAGTATCTTATCTAGATGAGTACGGGGTACTGAAGCGAATTCCCCTATCTTGAAAACGCCGTCTTCTCCGGATTCACCGGAGGTCTCCTCACGATAAAATCAATAAACGACCATGTCACCCCACTTTGCAATTTTGCCGATTTAATATTTTGAATGAAGATGTAACTGTATGTGCAGATCGTGAGGTATTTCCACCTATCTGGTTTTGGCGTGGGGTGTACCCCGCGTCTAAGCCTTTTAGTGTGGAGGAATGAAAATAATATCGGTCATTGCCCGAAGTGATCAGATGTTTGGAGATAATATGAGATGAAAACACTGGAAGTCTCCAATATTCATGCTAAACATCGAGATCTCACAAGTATTCATTGCAAAATGTTGACTGTACTTGCGATGATGAGCTTACGTAGGTCCACGGGTAGCTCGTTGATGATGCCATACGGCATTAATAATAACCTTCTGGAAGCTGCGCTGATGACAAAAACATCATCACCTCAGGACTCTAGGGACTTTTCCTTCAGAAAATACCTTTCGACCATCCTCAATTGACGAAAAGAAATCGTTCCTCAAAATGACTTCCATTCTTATGGACACTATGCCATGGCATGATGGGGAACAACGAATGCAACGCTTACTCCATGTACCTCCTCGTGATAACCCATCAGTTCCATACCTGAGTGCCAGAGCAGCCGATTTCCTGCAGAGGGCCCCCCCTTGTTGCACTTGGAGCCGTGGATAAGGAGGGAAGACCGTGGTCAACATTATGGGGTGGACAGGCAGGTTTCGCTGGTCCCATCGCTGAGTCAATTATAGGACTTCGAGCTCAGGTTGACACCAGATATGACCCCGTTTTCAGCGAACTCTTTGGCAACAGACCTAGTGGCATCACTACTGATAATCCAATGGTTTCCGGACTGGCAATCGATCTAGAGAACCGACGACGAGTGAAGCTCTTTGGTCATATGGTGGCGGGATCTCGGAATGATGGAGACGTAGGACAAGCACAACTGGTGGTTAAGATTGAAGAAAGTTTGGGGAATTGTCCTAAATACCTGAACAAAAAACACATCTTACCCTCTCGGTCAAATCCTCAACTTATCTTTGACTCCCCTCAACTGAGCCAATCAGCCATGGACCTTTTATCTCGCGCAGACGCGATATTTGTGTCTTCCTCAAGAGGCAAAACTGATATGGACACCAACATCCGCGGTGGACCCCCAGGGTTCGTTAGAGTCGAGTCGAATGGACCAAGTGGAGCAGTTCTGGTTTATCCAGAATATTCTGGAAATCGATTTTACCAGACCCTGGGCAACATGCAGGTCAACCCTCTGGCGGGATACGTGATCCCTGATTTTGAAACTGGTGATGTTCTTTACATCACAGGTCATACTCAAATCCTCGCTGGAAAAGAAGCCGCAGAAGTGTTGCCACGGTCAAATCTTGCTGTGAGAATTTTTATTGATGCAGCGAAATATGTGCAGAATGGACTCGCCTTTCGCGGCCAGCCAGGAGACGCGTCTCCTTACAACCCATCTGTTCGTTTTCTTTTGGCCGAGAAGACTATCCCTTCCACGGATATTTCTGGAGACATGAAAGCAACTCTTATAAAAAAGGAAATCATCACACCAACTATTCAAAGATTTCGATTTCGAGTCGCAAGTCATAGCCCTGTGTTATGGGTGCCAGGTCAATATGGTACATTTTCATTCGACGAAGAGCTCAATATGGGATACAGCCACATGCGAGATGATGATCCAACTAGTTTGAACGATGACTATATTCGAACCTTCACAGTCTCATCCTACCCAGGTCGTGACTTACCATCCAATGAATTCGAAATCACAGTTCGTCTCCACGGCAAAGTTAGTGAATATCTTTTCCGAGCTTACGAGGGTGCCGGAATAGAAGTGCCTTTGAAAGGATTTGGAGGTAGCTTCCGACTACCCCAGGCTACTGAAAGTAATGAAATTATACCATTTGTGGCCGGTGGGATTGGAATTACTCCTCTCCTAGGACAACTTCCGGGCCTTGATCTCTCACGCCTGCGCCTATTCTGGTCTATCTCAATTAATGACCTAGGGATTATTCAAGACTTATTCCAGAAATGGCCTGATCTAGCTGTACCCACCACTCTTTTCATTACTGGGTCCCCTTCGAGTATTGATGAGCGCCAAAAGTCCATCTATGATACAATTCAGGCCTCCAAAGCTCATATTGAACTACGCAGAATGCAAGCTGATGATTTGGAACAGTCCTTGGCTGACACTTGGTATCTATGTGCGGGACATGAATTACAGCGCAGCGTTCTGTCCTGGTTAACTGGGAAAAAGGTGGTGTGGGAAGATTTTAATTATTAGTGATATTCATCCACGTTATAAGTAAAAGTATGCATATAATCAATTCTTATTATTGAAGTGTTATTTCAGGCAATTATTATTGCTGCATTACTACTGATATACGAGTCTTGTAGATCTATAAGAAAAAACAATTAATTGCATGAACGATGATGTGTAAATTCTGATACAGCCTAGAGGCAAATCTTGATGCACCGTATAACCACAGATAACTTCAAACTCCCTATTCAGTACCGGTTAACCTGTTATAGAGCAAAAAATTACTTATTTCTACCAGTTATGAAGTTAAATATGAATATCTAAATTCCTATTAGGTACCTTTCTATATGAAAATTTCTGAGACACCGCCCAGAAATATTGTACTGCGTACACAGCCGCGTTATTAATAGCCCGTGACGCACGCCCCAACGTGTCGAGTGGAGCGCCGATCATGTTTACTCTGATACAAATAATCAAGGGGGCAACGCAACTTCTCTTTCTTTCTCATATCCCCAGATTTAATCCATCATGCGGTCAAAACCATCAGATTACCCGGCCTTGCCATTTCATATCATTCGCATCTCGGCCTTTATCTCTTCGTTAATCGTCGCTATCATCCTTGCCGTCTTTATCTATCATCTCCATGCCGACGGGTACAAATTACCCTATGCCTTTCTCATCGTAAGGCCTTCCCGCAACCCAATAAATAAACATACCCACATATAACACTGGCAACCACAACACACCAAAAATCCAGAAAAAAATCCAATCAAAAATTTCAATAAATATTCAAAAGAAGAAAAGGAAAATGTCACTAACAAATTCCAAATAGCTTCTCATCGCTGCCCTCCTCTCCCTCGTCAATGTCATCCTCACAGCCTTCATGAACTGCAGTTGCGGCCTCAGCACCATGTTATCAATGGTGATGAACGCCCTCTGCCTAGTAATCTGGGCTATCGGCCTAGGTCTAATGAGCTACAATGTAGCACACACAATCCTCACATCATGCTCCACACAATACTGGGGAAACTCCACTGGCGAAAGCGTGTGTCAGATGTACAAGGCCGTATTTGCATTTACCGTCCTCGCCACAGCATCCTACATTGCCTCGGTTGCATTAGACGGTGTAGTCTGTCGACGCCAGAACCGATTCGGTGCGTACGGACTTGCAGGACCAGCTGAGGATAACATGGAGTTGAAGTTAGCGGGCTCTCGTAATGAGTCTACCTCGGGTTTTGCGTATGACTCTGTGCCTCATCCTGTCGGGCATGGGTATGGACAGCATGGTAGTTTCCCGAATACTTCTTATTCGCATTCCCAAGAGCCTGTTCGTGTTGGTGAGGCTCAGCAATATTATGATCAAGGTCATAACCACTCTGCGGCGACGGGTTATGATCCTATTATGCATCGTTGATGAGATAAGAATCACGGTATCTTTCGGATGTTTGGTGACAGATAAGTGCTTGGTTTGGCTGGTCCTACGCTCGGCGGACTTGATATTTGGCGATTTCTTTTGGTTTTTGATTTTGTATAGGCATGATCTATGGCGTTATCTGTTAGCCATTTGCCTTTGATGATGAACTCGGTATACATTGGTACTTGAGAATTGGAGTCCCAATAGATATAAAAACATGCTTATGAATTAGTACACCTCGTCCAGCGGTTCTAGTATAGCAAGCACGCAACATGAAATTTTCCAATTTGAACCTTGAGTGACTGTCCAGGTCCACGAGTAGTGGGTATGCTTCACATTGGTTCCCTGAGTAGCATTAGCACCTATTATGTTACCTTCCATAACCGGGCCGAAGTGACTAAAGACGCGAATATTGCCGTACTATGCACAGTCACATTTTCATGAGCGAATGCCGTATATCCCGAAATTCATTCAGCCGATCTCGGCTAAGTCTTCGTAACGAGGCCCCAGATCGGCATAGAACGGACACAGACAAGACTCGGGACAATGCTAGGGCGAAAGATGGAGATGAGCATCGAAATTCAGCCTGTTTCGGGCATATTAATCTAGCCATCTATGGTACTAGCGAGAAGGATCATCATCACGAAACCCGTATACGGCGTATACGGGGGTTAAAGAGAGTGATATCCCGGGTCTTTACCATTTTGACGTCAATTTCATCTCCAGATGGACCGAGATGGTTAGTGTAGCGGGGACATTGACTAACATTCCCCACGAAGAATATGGAATTGACGAATAAAATCAATGGGATTATCGGAAAGTTCCCGACTTTCTCCCCGCCTTTTTTCGGCTTCCTAAACCCTTTGAACCCTTCTACTCAATTGCCGTCTTACATTCTACATAATCTGAACATTTCCCTCTAATTTTCTAGTTAAGCGGCTATTGCCTGACCCGGTAAGACTGGAGATTATGATGTAATTCTAATTTATTTCCAAGGTTCTTCTTCATCAGTGTGGGGGTTGTCAGCGCAAAAAATGGCTCAAATGTAGATCTTCTGCGCCTGTCACGTAGTATAAAGGGAGTCTTGCTCACTAGAAAATACAAGAAATTCATCTTACCTTAACGATCTCAAGCTGCAGCCTTGAGACCTGCAGGTTTTGTCAAAAGCCAACATGAATTTATGGTTCCTTGCATTTTGTCTCCCTCTGGTAAACGCCTGGGTCGTTAACCATGGAACAACATGCATTCTATACCCCGAGGCTCTCGTTCACAACGGACAACCTGTGGATGACTCTCCATCAATCCAACAAGCCTTTGACATGTGTGGAACAAATGGCACAGTCATTTTCTCCGATAACCTATTCCACGTCAACACCGTCCTCAACACAACCAACCTATTGAACTGCGATGTCCATCTCCGCGGCGAACTACGCTTCTCAACCAACATCCCTTACTGGAGAACCCATGCTATCAGCGTCGTTCTACAAGACCAAGTGACTGCTTGGCTCTTTGGTGGTGAGAATGTGAACTTCTACGGAGAAGGTGGTTTCTACAATGGCCAGGGTCAAGCCTGGTATGATGCCAACAGGAACGAGTCCAACCAGCCTGGTCGTCCTATGAGTATCACATTCTACAACTCAACCAACCTCCTCGTTGATCGTTTGCGTATCATCCAGCCACAGTTCTGGGCTACGTTTGTCTGGGATAGCAAGAATGTCTCTGTTACGAATCTATTCGTTAATGCTACCAGTAACAGCAAATGGGGTACTATGAATACCGATGGTTATGATTCCTGGAAGAGCGATCAGCTTCTTGTTGAGAATGCTACTATCATCAACGGCGACGACTGTATCGCCGCTAAGGGAAATACTACAAATCTACATGTGAAGAACGTCTACTGTGAAGGTGGAACTGGAATTACGATTGGATCCATTGGTCAATACCCCGAGAGCCCGGATTACAATCTCAATACTACATTTGAGAATGTGAAGGTTGTGAACTCGATGGATGGAGCCTATGTGAAGACATGGCAGGGAACACGGATCTATACTCCTAGTAACGGTGACTGGGGTGGTGGTGGGAAGGGTCTGGTGAAGAACGTTACCTTCCGGAACTTCGAGATGGTGAACGTCGGACTTCCAATTCAGATGTCACAGTGTGTGTACTCGGATGATTCAAACAAGGGCTGCAATACCTCAAAGTTGCAGATTGAGGATGTTCATTGGGAGAATATTCATGGAACCTCACGATTCAATATCGCTTCGTCCATCTACTGTTCTGATGAGCGTCCTTGTCCCAATATCACATTCTCCAATGTGAACATCACTGGCGTGAACACGACACGTCACTTGCCCTACTACGACACCGATATTCAGCATGAGATCTTCCAGTGCACGAATATTATCGGTGTGAACAGCTCTGGCATTCCTTGCAACCAAGCTGCGCCAAGCAATTTCAGCCAGTGGATCTATGGAAATGTCGATAGTTCAGGTCTGGCGACTTTGACTTGAGCTTCATACCTCAGATTGATGTTAGTTACGATTTTCCATGTTTGGCCTAGAGAGGCTTCTTTTGAGCAATTTTGAAAAAATAGAATAGATCAATAGATGAATTAGATTGTCTCTAACGAGATCTTCAATGTGCTGCAATCTAGCGTAAAAAGTAGATAGATAATATGAACGGTGCGAAGCAAGTAACCATCCAATGGCACGCGAAAATTGAAGACAAAATTATGAAGGCCGCTCGATATGGACAAGATGGGCAGGGTGGTATTTTTGAAGGAAGAACCAAAGACCAAATTCGCTTGCGTTTACATAATAACTTCGTTGGCAACGTCCTAAAATGATGTTAGTACCTCGAAGTTAGATGAAAAGAATTGAACATACTCGTTTGAGCTCCTTGTAAGGAAGGCAAACACAGTTTTGCACACGGACTTCATCGCCGACACCACACTCCTTACCAAGGATAGTGATGCTCTGGACCTTGACGCCCTGCTTGACAATGCTGGTGGAGTGGGAGCCCACGGGAATGGGGGTTCCCTCCACACGAGCCCAGGCACCAACACGGCTGCTCCAGCCAATGATGGAGTGCATCACACAAGCATCGTGGCGGATTTCACTGTCCTCGAGGACAATTGAGTCCTTAATACGGGCACCGGCGCCAACAACCACGCGGGGTCCAATGGAGACGTTGGGACCAAGCTTGGCGGTGGGGTCAACCTCGGCAGTGGGGTGAATGTAAACTGGAGGCACGATAGTAGCAGAGGGAGGCATGAGCTCTTCAGATTGGGCCTGGAATGCCTTCTGGAGGTAAAGGGCGTTGGCGGGGACGGCAGAACCAGCGGTCTTGATCTGGCGCCAGAAGTCCTTAGTCTCGTGGACGAAGAATCGGTTGCTGTCTGCAAGGTCGGAGAGAATATCCTGCTCGAGACGTAGCATCTCGCTCTTCTCAGTATCGTCATCCTCGCCAGGCGAAGCAATGAAGGATGATTCCAGGTTTTCGGAGGAGGGGTAGGAGAGGAGACGGGGGCGGGTGTGACGGCGCTTGATTGCGCTGCGGATGGCGGGGAAGATGCATTCGGTAGCGAAGAGGTAGACACCGCAGTTGATCAGATTGGAAATTTGTGACTCAGGCTTCTCGACGTAGTGCAGCACACGCTTGGTGTGCGAGTCCGAGACAATGCAACCAAAGTTGGTGGCAGCATCGTTGCTCACCCGGGTACCCAGAATCACGGCCTCTGCATCCTTATCTTCGAAAAGACGCAGCATCTCTCCCAAGGGGAATGAGCAGCAGACATCTGCATTCAGAACAAGCAATCGCTCTGGCTTACCCTTGAGAATAGCATCACGGAAGTGGTAGAGACCACCAGCGGTGCCCAAGGCAGTGTACTCCCGCAGGTATTGAATGCGGAACTGAGGGAATTCCTTTGTAGAATCCTTGATAAAGTCACGGAAGACACTCTCATCGTAGTATCCGACTAAGATAACCTCGCGCACATCGGGGACCTTGGCAACGGCCTTCAGGCAGTGGTGAATGATCGGGTGGCCAGCGACCTCGAACAGGGGCTAAGAGTGGGCGTAAATTGTTAGATACGCGCTTTATTGAACTCTCAAAAGAAATTCAGTCCGTATTCAGCACATACCTTAGGCACATCGAGCGACAATGGGCGGAAACGAGTGCCTCGCGAGGGGCCTCCAACCTGTTGATCTGTCAGTCGGTGAACAGTGAGGGGTAGGCATCGTTGCGTCACCGTACCAGGATCACAGCCTTTGTTGAGGCCTGACTGGAGTGTTCCCGAATAGGTACTTGAAGCATGATTATTGTGAAAAGATAACAGAGGAGAAAAGAAAGGTGCAATTATCGCAAGAAAGCACCAGGTGGCCGGAATTAGTCTTGGAGAAGCTTCGGGCGCCAAGACATACGCTTGCGGGCTCACCTGACAATCTATAGATTTTACAATAACAATAGTAGGTAATATGGATCAATTTGGTTTTATTTATATTCTGTTTCAAAAATAGATAATAAATACTCCCAAAGTTATTCATAATTTGTAAGTGAACTGAAATTACCTAGTATGCAAGTGACTAGGTACTTACTACTACTCAGGCTGGAGGAGTCAGGAGCCAGGTCTCTCTATATAGTACTGGGAGTCTGGGACAACACAGCATCATCTTGCCAATCTTTTTGACTATTTTCTATCATTTTCTGTTTTCTCAATTTTGCTCATTCTATCAAAATAATACAACTGAAAATCTCACTGGTACAATTTAGAACTTCCAATGTCAATCAATCTCAAAAACTTTTTTGACCAGCCAACTTCAAGTTATGAGTCTTATGACCCACTTGTCATTCTTCGGGCCAACCAAGGCCTCTTCATAGCTCGTACCGGGATATCATGTTGAATGATTCCCTTTACCTCCGCTCAGATGGGAAAGTAGACATCGTTTAGATAAACGTGTCCGTGTCCCAATCGGCGAGATCTTCCCCATTATCCATTGTATCATCGGATGGGGTCCTCTCATCCTCGTCCGTTTTATGCATAGCGGATAGCCACATCAAGGCCTGTGTTAGTCTGGCTTTTTGTTTCGTCAGATCGATGCGCCGATGTTCTCGCTCGGGATCTTCTGCCATCAGCTCCCGGCAGCGCTCTTCGCTGGTCGATCCAAATCGACCTTCCAACGTTTCTTTTAGCTCAACTCTGCATCGAGCTCTGATCTTGGACTCGGCCAGCAGACAAACCATATCCGTGAATCGCATGGCCGCGATCTCATAATACCCCCGAGAACTCTATACGATTGTTAGTGTTGGGAATTATCAACGAGAAGAATCATAGAGAGCGACCTACAGAAATCATTTCGATCTCTTGTGAGAAAGGATCGGGTCCGAGATCCGCGTGGACGTTAGCTTTGTCGTCGTCAGACAAGCCCCGGACCTTTTGCCAGACTTTTGATCGAGCGAGTCCACGGGCTTTGGAAAGATCAGCCAGAACCTTGCTGGTCTTTTGTTTGTGCTCTGCCTGTGCCATCGTAAATGGAGTTTCATACTCCATCTGGAAATAGGCCAAAACTTGCTGGTCATAGTCGGTTGTCACTTTGGCCAGGAAATCATGGATGATCTTCTGGAACTCACGATACAATCCAGTTTGCCGGTACATTGACATTACATCATTCAAGGCACTCAACACTGCCTTTTCCAATACCCCATGAAGGGCTTGAGCAAAACTTTTCACCACCACTTCCCAGTGGCTAATCATCGACTGGTTCAATTTTTGTATGGCACGGGGATCGATTTGATTTGGGACTCCGGCATGCTGGCATTCCTGTTTCAAATTTTGAATGTGGTCAAGTGTAAACCGCTTTGGGCTCTCTAACCCATCGAAAGAATCAGTGAGATACACCCGCTTCTCTGGGGCGGACTGGGAAGTCCCCGGCTGGGTCTTGATCGAGTTCTCCGAGGCGGGGGCCTTTCGTTTCACACCGCGAGGGCTTGGTCCTGGTCCTGGTCCTGGCCCTGGCGCAGGAATAATCTCACAGTCTGAATCTATTTTTTTCTTTTAATAACTTCTGGTCCAACGGAGCGCTTAGGACAATGAGTGGCTTGGTTGTATCCAAAGCCTTCTTGAAATCTAACACAAGGTCGTTCCAAGGTTTCTGAAGCAAAGCACTCTCGTAGCCGTCACTGAATAAGCAGTTGAACTGCTGGCCCAGCTTCACCACCTTGTCAATTAAAACAAATGAATGATTAACGAGAGGTGGATCTGGTAGACTCTTCAGCTCATTCTCAATGCGTATAGCCTTTTCATCGATCTGCTTGATTATGGAAGGCAAACATTTTTGAATCTGCAATCGCAAAAAGTGAGAAAGAGTCGTGACCAATTTGCGAACCCCAAAACGTTCTTGATGTGATGCCATGACCCCGGACCAGAAAGGATCTGCGAAGAAGATTTCCTCTTCCTGTCGTGCTGTTACATGGTCGACATTTGGATCTGGGTTGTTTTTAACAATGTACCACCCCAAGCCAAACTCAAACTTTTTGCCCTCTAGCATTTCAAGCCACTGGTGGTAATTGCTTTGGGTTGTCTCTAAGCGATCTGGCTTCGTCATCACACCGAGTGTGCGCTCCTTCGCGCCATGAACATCTCGTACCAGACGGCCTGCACTTGAATTTGAGGCATCATCCGTCATTGACTGAGTGGTCAAAACAATGCAGTTCTGCTGGGAAACGTATTGCCTGACCAATTTTTGAATGAGGCCGACCACATATTTCTCACGATCGTTATCCGCTTGGTTGATGACACCTGGCAAGTCATAGAAGGACAGGTTTGGAAGGTCTGGACCAGAAATATCCAGCCTGATGACGTTCGGTGAAAACTTGACCTCTTTCTCCGCAAACTGAATGTCTCGTGGCGGCAGAAAATCCTGGGAGTCGGTAGTCGGATTCAGGATTGCAAATTGAGCACGCCAGATAACATCCTGCACTTCTCCTTTATCAGTGAGGGTGATGAACTTATAGTCGTCTTGACTAGACTTGCGAAGCCAAGGGCCAAGATATTCAGACTTCTCTGGACCCTTAGATTTGAGTTGCTTTTGAGGGTCATAGTAGTAGCCTTGAACGAGGGAAACCACACACTTCCACTGCTGATCCGGCTCGCTCTCACGCAAGACAATTTCCATAGGACAACGGGTACATGTATCTGCACTGCGGGGAACTTTGATTTCCGAGATGGCTTCGATAAGAGAACTTTTACCAGTGCTTTGATCTCCCACGACACAAATCTTTGGCAAGGCGATACGGTTGTCCTCAATACCGAGATGGGCCAGCTGCTGAACTCTGCGAACGAGGTCTCTCATGTCCAGTGTGAGCAGGTCCAGAGATGATGACACATTACTCTCTAACGGGTTGCTGCCGGTGGTCTGCATATTTTGAGGATTCGGATGAGGCATGGCGTTTAGATTCAAGTTCGATGTATGTCGTGAAACTTCTTGGTCAGACCTTGCCGGTGAACAGAAGAGGGATGATGATTTCGTATTTGTAAAATTAGCGAAAGAGTCCTGTTTGTCTGGACGCGGGGTTTCTGGTGGTGTCTCTGACTTGGGTGGTGGCGATCTTCGATACCTTGAATGAGAGAACATTATGATATTGAAATTTACCCCGAGATGGCAAACTCGCCGTTTTGGGAGAGCTTCAAGTTCTCTTGAAGGTCAACGATGACCAGATAGCAATGGGGAAAGACAATGAGGTTGTAAGCATAGCTTCAAGTTGGATGATGGAGAAAGTTCAAAGCGACAAAGGGGATGGTAGTAGGTAGATGGATGGATGTTACCAAACCTTGGTTGAATGTAGTAGAAGGAAGGAGGGAAAGAAGAGGGCACCTGGGAAGAGGATGGAGGTAGGGCAGGAAGAGAAGAAGAGGGGCGAAATACTCAAGTGCTACTAGTACATACATAGATAATATCATGGTTAAATAGCAGACTGCCCAGGTGCAAAAGAAAGAAACATTGAAGAATCGGAAAATTCCTTTAGATTGACAAACATAGCTGGGCTGCCCAGGTGAATCCGCTGGTTTAGTACCGACCTCGGAGTCTTCTATATAGGTAAGATCTTTTTATACGGTCACGGTGGAGACACTTGCATCTGTAGCCATATATGTATAGTATGTGATGTTGTGATTTTATGCTATAAACTTGAAGAAATCTACCACGGACGTATATAGTATTCTCAGGCCATACCTAGGGCTACTTACTGTCAGTGCTACTGTCAGTTGACTGCCGTGCACGATATGTATCTAGTGTACGGACGACTACTAGTACATACTAGAGGGTTTGAAACTACCAAGCCATACTAGTGGTGGATTCTATGGTCGAATGTTGAAGGCAAACATAAACATTTTGAATGTCTTTGGTGGTAGTATCGAGTCCGTTGAGTACTATGTCTGTACCTAGGTATAGTTCAATGATATTGTAGGGTTTCTAAGGTTGGCGGGGTAAGAGCCCCACTGAGCTGCCCTAAACCCTAAAACCTATATAGAGAATATACTATATTTCTACACATAATGAAGGGACTTCGAGTCCTAGGAGTATACTGAGATCAATAAAAAGTACTCAAACTATATAATGATAGTTCATATTCCATTTACTACTGTAGTTCACTAATCTCTCATATAAACAAAGGCCAAAACCGCGGGGAATCATGACTCATTGAGCCGGCTTCCTCCCTAACCAATCAGGGTCGACCGGGGTGACTCCCGCCCAAAATTTCATTTTGCCCCTCCCTTTACTATTCCACCATCCCACCTTTGATCCATATTCAAACAATATGGCGGATTCCAACCCTGTTCAAGAGGCCGAGGCCTCCATGGCCAACCTTTTGCTCGACGATGTCACCGGCGAGCGAGTTTCCAAGACCGAATTGAAGAAGCGTCAGAAGCAGCGTGAGCGGGATGCCAAGAAGAAGGAGAAGGCCGCTGCTGCTCCTCCCAAGGCCGAGAAGAAGAAGGTCTCTGCCGAGGAAGAGGAAGCCAACTTGACTCCTAACGTAAGCTGCATATAGTCTTTCCACCTGATTTTCGTGCAATCCTCTAAACTTTGACCCATGATTATAGCAATACTTCGAGATCCGCAGCAAGCGCATCAACAAGTTGCGCGAGACCAAGAACCCGGACCCTTACCCCCACAAGTTCAAGGTCACCCACGACCTGCGCGAATTCGTCAAGGACTACGCTACTCTGGCTACTGGCGAGCAGAAGCCCGATGTTCCCATCCGCATTGCTGGCCGTATCTACACCAAGCGCTCCTCCGGTACCAAGCTGTACTTCTACGATATCCGTGCCGAAGGTATCAAGATCCAGGTGATGTGCCAGGCTCAGCATGCCACTGGCAATGTCCCCTTCGAGGAGCAGCACGAGCAGCTGCGCCGAGGTGATATCATCGGTATTGTCGGTTTCCCTGGCCGCACTGCCCCTAAGAACCGCCCCGACGGTGAACTGTCCATCTTCGCCAACGAGGTCACCCTCCTGTCCCCTTGCTTGCACGCCATTCCCTCCGAGCGTTTCGGTCTCCAGGACAAGGAGCAACGTTTCCGTCAACGTTACCTTGATCTTATCATGAACGACCGTGCTCGCAACACCTTCCGCACCCGTGCCAAGATCGTCTCCTACATCCGTAGCTACCTCGACAACATGGACTTTACTGAGGTCGAAACACCTATGATGAACGCCATTGCTGGTGGTGCGACTGCCAAGCCCTTCGTCACCCACCACAACGAATACAACCAGGACCTCTTCTTGCGTATTGCCCCCGAGCTGTACCTGAAGATGCTGATTGTCGGTGGTCTGGAGCGTGTCTGTAAGTCGAATTGTCACTCCCGTACTTTTGATTGTTTCAAGATCACTAATTTGAGTTTGCAGATGAACTTGGCCGTCTTTTCCGTAACGAAGGTGCCGATCTTACCCACAACCCCGAATTCACCACCTGTGAATTCTACATGGCCTATGCCGATATGTACGACTTGATGAACATGACTGAGGAGCTTCTTTCCGGCATGGTGAAGCACCTTACCGGCGGTTACGAGACTACATTCCATGCCCACGATGGCACAGAGTACACTGTTAACTGGAAGGGCCCCTGGAGGCGAGTGGAGATGATCCCCGCCTTGGAGGAGGCCTGTGGCGAGACTTTCCCTCCCGGTGACCAGCTTCACACAGACGAGACCAACCAGTTCCTCCGTGGAGTTCTCAAGAAGATGAACGTGACATGCACACCGCCATTGACCAACGCCCGTATGTTGGATACTTTGGTCGGAGAGTTTATTGAGAGCACTTGCGTCAACCCCACCTTCATCTATGGCCACCCCCAGATGATGTCCCCATTGGCCAAGTATGACCGTGTCAAGCCTGGTATTTGCGAGCGTTTCGAGGCCTTCGCTTTGAAGAAGGAGCTGGCCAACGCCTACACCGAGTTGAATGATCCATTTGACCAGCGCATGCGCTTCGAAGAGCAGGCCCGTCAAAAGGACCAGGGTGACGATGAGGCTCAGATGATTGACGAGACTTTCTGCACTTCCCTTGAGTACGGATTGCCTCCAACCGGTGGCTGGGGCTTGGGTATCGACCGTTTGGTCATGTTCCTCACAGACAACTACAGTATTCGTGAGGTTCTTACTTTCCCCTTCATGAAGGAGGACAAGACTGCCGTTGAGGGCAAGTCTGCCGCGGAGGTTGCTGGAATTGAGCCCAAGCCTGAGGAGGGAATCCGTATGTTACTACTTTCCTGTAATTTCCACGAACCGATATCACTAACATGCACTTTACAGCCCACAAATAATTGATCTGAGTCCATCGCCTGCAGGATTGGCAATGCTGGATATATGGATCCGGTTTGGATCCGGCTTTCCATGGTGAACTAAGCGGGATTTACGAAGAATGTAACGGAGTCAAAAAAAGAAATGAACTGTTCAATATTCCGATAATCTGTTGTGTTATACCTCCCTCCTGATCATAGTATGCTTTAACTGGTCTAAATTTCGCCATTTGAAGCTGTTCCTACCAAGGCCATATAGGCACCGATAGCTTTGGGTTGTCACAAAATCTAACGTTCGACACTTAATAGATATTCAGAAAGATGTCTACCTAACTTTCATAAACTGACATTTCGCTCGTCCGATCTTCGACAAGAATCGGAATCCCCCGCCTAGTGTTGTGTCGCATAAAAGGTCAAACTTCAACACTTCGTCCATCTTTTTCTTCCTTCTACCATCCTTTTCATCAACCACCAAAATATCTTCTTTCTACCCTCAGCCTCCTCTTCCCTACCATTTTTCATATCGCTACCCCTCTTCCCCTGTCATGGAGAAAGAATCTCCGGGGCTTCAGAAAGGCCCACCTCACGAAATGGCACCTGTTACTGATGAACAGGCTTGTGATAAAGACAGTCTGAATGATCTCCACGTCAACCCTGCAAATGGAACCTCACTGTGTACCAAGGAATCCGACTTCATTAACTCGCCTGTCCAAGAATCTGATGATCATCCTTCCGGATCTTCAACTGACTCTATGCAAGGACAAATGCTTCTCCCTTCTCCTTCTGATCCTGTGAGCTCCTCATCATTTCTTCCCTCTCATCACCGTTTTTCCCTGACATGATTTTTTTAGTCATTCTACGTGAGCCGTCACCTGCCTATGCCTCAGCCATCCTGGGTTCGTATCTCAATACCTTCAAGTTGATCCTATCACATGTTTATCATACAGTGAGCTAATATGGGGAAACAGATGTCCAGCCCCGATCACCCGAGCCTTTTTCAGAATGGAGCGTACCCAGTCCCTGGCATGCATAATCCATTTTTGACCGTCAACCAGCTTCTTAACCCAACCCCGCAACCTCAGTATTACGAAGCTCCTACGGATTATGGATGGCTTGCTGCCTCTTCCCCTCCAGCAACAGAAGGAAGTATGAGCCCTGGATATCACAAAACCCCAATGAAACCACCAGGTTTCAAGGGCTTCGCCTCATCCTCAAAGCAACCCACCGAGTACGAGGTTCCTCGCAAGCGTGTCAAGCACAACACAGCTCTGCCGGTCCGCGGCAAGGGCACAAGCGCCTCAAAGCAGGGTACTCCTCACGAGTCGAAGTACAGGCACTCATCTGGACCAGCTTCTACCCCACGTTCTCAGCGCCCGAAGCCTAACGTTGCCGTCGAGTTCACCGATGTTGCCGCCCATACAGCCAAGTGTGATCAGTGCAACGGTCGTAACAGGGATGGGATGAGTCGCTGCTGTGCCTGTGGATGGCAGTGCTGCCGCAAGTGCCTCACCAACCGCGCTGGTGACCGCTCTCACCCCTCTTTCACCTGCATTCACATCCCAGTGGATGAGCCAGGCCTGTCCACCCGTAGAAACGCAGCCAATGCATCTGCATCTGGATCTCGCTCTGCCTCTGTTTCTGCCTCTGCCTCTGTATCCGCTGCAGCTGCAACTTTGAATACTCCATGCCCAGTTCGAAACGGCACGACTACTGCGAGTTCGGCTTCCCCTTCTGTTTCATCCATTGCGAAGTCCTCTGTTTCACCTACACCTGCTCGGCGTTCGGGCTTTACTGCTGTTTCATCCATTAACACGCCTTCACGTCCTGCTCCTTCTACGCAAATTCGTGCTCCTGTATCTGCGCGAGAGTCCGCTGCTCCTCGCCCTTCTTCTGCTGGTGCAACTCCTGAAGCCAAAGCTGCAATTCTCTTGATGGATATGAGCTCGGAATCCTCACTGTCTAGCAATGGTGCAGCTGAGGCCTCTAGTTCCGCCCCTACTCAGGAGCGCGATGCTGAAGCTATGGATACCAAGGTCTCAATGCTGTGGTCGACTGATGATATGGATTTTCCCTTTGGTGAGGAGTTTGACAACGTGCGCCGCAATCCTTCTCGCCGCGCCAGACCGATCGACATGAAGGAGTAAGTTCAAATCTGCATTGAATTGTTATCGTGGTACGAAGGTTTTAGCATTTTATGTGCGGGATGAATCTTTCATTTGAAGTGGTTCTCCTTACTATCGTCCAAGATCGACTTTTCTGCTGGATTTGAACATGATCCAAGGTTGTCTGTCACGTTTGACTTGAACATCTGTTCAAGATTGGTTTTCTGGTTTCTTCTTTGATATGTACTATCTATGTACTATCTTCCTGACTTATGCTTTTGCCCGCTGCGGTGGGTGTGCTTTGAGATGAATGGTGCGGTGTTTTGATATCAATTGGGTCGGTTGATCACGGAAATGGCGTTTTAGATAGTTCAAATGTTACCTATGGTAGCTATGGTTAGTCAAATCTACGTAAAAATTGGCAGATTAATATCTTCAAGTTTGAGTAGCTTGAGGTCAAAATGCAATAGTGAAAAGCCCTTAGGGTAGATAATTTCACAGTTAAATTCACGTCGAATGGAGATCATATTATGGTGAATGGAGATGGTATCATATTGCACTATTCATATAGAGAAACACAGCCTAGTATCGTACACATGCTATTCGTACATGGAAAGGAAACTTTTCTTTTTTTTTCGGAGTTTTTTTGTATTTTTTTGTTTTTCTGTTTTCCTGATAATAATGACAATGATAATAATAACAATGATAATGATAAATTTTTAGGGGGTATGTACAAGTCTATTCACTGCCCCTACAGTGAAAGACGAAGCCTAGTGGCGGCAGGCCTTGGCGGCCATCTGCAACAGCTTGGCTGTGCGAGATGGGTGCCAGACCCGGCTACCCAGGACAAGGACCCAGGTCAGAAGCAACAGGCTTCCAGCCTGGTGGGCAGAAGCCAGGGGAGTAGGTACGAGGTACCACAAAGTTCCGATCCCAAGGCCGACTTGCATACAGGCAAAGCCGACTACTCCGTGCATACCCTTGCGGGCAGCAGCAGGCAGAAGGCGCTTGACAGTAGGTGAACGGCGACTGTAAGCCCAGAGAACCATGATGGAGGTGAAGGTGGTCATGGCCAAGATGCGGTGATCAAGTTGGACGAGGGAAGGGTTCTCCAGCATGTTGCGCCACCAGAGGTCAGAGTTGTCTTCATGACGAGAGTAACGGGGATCGAAAAGCTCCTTCTTGGGAGGAGTAAGACCAACACCCATCCAGGGGAAATCATTGTAGATCAGACCAGCATCCAAACCGGCAACCAATGCACCGGACATAGCGGTAGTAAAGACGAGAAGAGCGAGACCTGCGACGGAACGACGGAAGATTGCGAGGCGGGGGTCCTTCAATGCATCAAGGCTCTTGATACCAGCAGCAGCATCCTTCATAAGCTTGTGGGATCGCAGAATAGCAAGACCGTTCCAAAGCATAGCAACATAGCAGCCAAAGGCAGCTCCGAGGTGAGCAGTCAATCGATACTGGCTAACACGAGGGTGGCTTCCGGGTGCAAACAGGTCGTCCTTCAGTCCGGACTTGACCATCCACCAACCCAAGAAGCCCTGGAAACCAATCAAAGACGAGATACCCAAAAGGCGCCAGGCCATAGGAGTTGAGACCTTCTTCCGAGTAACGAAGTAAACAGCAGGTACGACAAACGAGAGACCAACAAATCGGCCCCAGAGGCGGTGGATCCATTCCATGTAGTAGATAGACTTGAATTCGGACAATCCCATCTTCGAGTTCAACATCTTAAATTCGGGGGAGGCGCGGTACTTTGCGAATTCGGATTCCCAGTCTTCGTCATTCATCGGGGGGAGGGAACCAGTAACAGGACGCCATTCGGTGATACTCAATCTGCTCATAATGATTGCCTTGTTAGCTTCCGAATGATCTCATTCCTTCAATTGATGGGCAGGAAGTCAGCTTGATACGAACCCAGATTCAGTGAGACGAGTCAAGCCGCCAAAAACAACAATGCCAAAAACACTGGCAGCGCTAGCCAGGAGCCAGTATGCGACAGACTTGTGGCTGATCTCAGGCATGCTCGGCTTCACCTTGGTTGCGGCATCCTCAATTGCACTGGCAACTCCAGGTGCAGCAGTTGAGCGTCTGAAGCTCGAGGTAAAGAATTGACGATTCTTGTCGGTAAACAGCGAGGAACGAATCTTGGTCGGCTGCGGAGAGGGCATGGCGCCATACTGGCGGATGGACTTGGTAACGCATCCCTGGCTGCGAAGGCGACAGACAAGGCCTATGCCATTGGAAACACGAGGCATAAGACCCCGAAGAGTCGTGCCTAGGAGAGCCATGGCGAATGGTTCGTAAAGGAAGGCGGAGAGAAGTGGAAGAAAGCTGATCGACGACAGAAGGAGATGATGAACTTACTTATATTGTGGGTCAAGGCAGCGATTGACGACCAATTAGGAATGTGGGATTTGCGGCCTGGAGTGTAGTTGTAACAAGTGAATGAAATCGTAGCCTAGTCATATGATGTCGCTGACTCGACAATGCCGAGAATTCCATTTTTGGGCGTAGGGTTAGGGATAGAGAAAAAGATATTAATTTCAAATGATGCCCAGTGTTTCCCAGATGTCAAGAACTTCTTTCTCCCATAAGTTTCCCCCCCACGTGGTAATTGTTTGCCTAAGGCACCACTTTCTTTGATCTGCAGCTGGAGCTCCAACATTAAAGTTCCACTTTCACCTTGTCAACACTTACACGTCACTTCTCACATCAACCATGTTTACTCACGAGGAGATGCAAGAACGCATAGAGGCACACAAGAAGGATGTTGCTCGAATCTTGACAGATATCTATGAAAAGGGCAAGATCAATCCTCTTTTACCGGAAAACCAGAACAAGATTGCAAGACCCCCTTCGCCCCGCCACGCTGAACGACCCTTAACGAAACTCCTTGATAAACTTGCGAAAGAACGGAAAATCAATCTAGAGTCCCCACCTGCAAAGCTGCCGGCATGGAGTCCTCTGAGTCGGGAGACTTTCCTCCATCGACTGGAAACATACCATGGCAAGAATCAGTGGCCTTCAAAACCTACACCCATCAACGAAGTCGCGTGGGCAAAACTTGGTTGGATATGCACCGGCGACCACCGAGTGACATGTGTCTCTGAGTGCGGTGGCTCGGTGTTTGTGGACGTGCCGGATGATGGCGAAATTCTAGGTGATGACTTTGATGCAGACCAAATTGCAGTGCGCACGGAAGTCCGTAAGTAACTAATTACTGCAACTTGTCGTGCAGATATTGGCTTTGATGCTAATTATATCCACAGGAGATAAGCTTGTGGAGATGTATAAGGAGCAAATGCTAGAAGCCCATGGCAAATGGTGTCAATGGCGGAGGTTGAGCTCTGATGGTGAGTATCTAGTACCTATCATTTCTTTCTCTTACATTCAACCTCTAATTGTTATTCTTAGATGCCATCCAACACATACAGATCTACAATAATGAAGCCGCCACTTGGGGAGTTCTTACTAGGTACCAAAATATCATGAAGATGGCTGATCAACTACCAGCCATAGATGTTATCCAGATTCCCGATGGGTTTGATTTGGAGACAGTTATGAAAACTTTACCTGAGATGTGGACTGAAGAGTTGCAAAAGGCCTCTGAGGCATCCGATGCACAGGAAGAATCCAGTGGTACTGGCCCAGAACCCATGGAGGGTGTCGAGGAGTCAACCCCACAGCAACCAGCTGAAACTCCAAATTCCATTAACAAGGCTGCCCTTGTACTGGCTTTCTTAGGATGGGAGCCTTCGGTCGATGGACACGCAGGTATTCTCAATTGCAGAGCATGTTTCCAACGTTTAGGTTTATGGTTGTATAAGCCCAAGCCAAATGGAGACGAGCCAGTTTACAGTTCTCTCGATGTGGCCGCAGAGCACATGGATTATTGCCCGTGGATCAACCGAGCGGCTCAAAGTGGGGGAACTTTACCAAGTGCTCCAAAGCTTCCGTCCAAGTGTGGTTGGGAGATGGTGACTACAGCATGTGAAGCGAGGCATGGGATGGAGCTCGCATATGCGAGAGTGATGAGACCAGAAACACCCGAATACGAATTAGATTATGATGAAGAGTTCGACTCAGATGATGATGAAGAGCTGTTGAATTATCAATATCACGATGAGGAATGGTATGCCAAGATGGACCGGATAATCGCCATGAATGCGCCCGAGAATTTCGCGGATTAACGAATTATTTCAACATAATGGTACCCAAATATCATGTTATGGAGGGTTTTCAACAACATTTGAAGCTTCAACGTCTAGTATTTCTCTATGGCGCTCTCAGCATATGATATTCACTTGTAGCTGTATCGCATAGCTATATCAAGATGTTGAACCTAATCCTTAAGCGGTTCTTGATGACTTTTATATGGTAAATTCTGCTCTCATAGGGCATGTAGCCTATTTCTCACTCTACTACTCACATTCAAAGCTACTCTTACATTCTTATAGAACCTTAATTCACTTTCACCTGCTTTCCAGTTGCACATCTTCCACACCTACCAGCTTCTTCTTCTCCGATTGCCGACCTCGACCATACAACTTCGATTCTTCGAACGCCCGCAAGTTTCATTTTCTGAAAATTCTACAGAAGTGCAGGTTCGTCGTACTCATACTGACCTTTGCTCTCCTCGTGGACCTGTGGAGTAGCTCCTATTCCAAGGCTCTCGTAAACCTATATCTTTCTCCATCATACACCTACTCTGTGAACTTCTTTCATCAGAAGACCTACGTTCCATATCTCTTCTAATTACGTACTTTTCCTTTAGGTCAACACCCTCTTCTTGAACGGTTGTAAGTATTTTCCATGCCTACTAGCTTATTTCTGTTTCCAACCTCGAACTGCAGCTTTTCACCTCCCCACCGCCTCTATACCTTTCTCTATCCTACGTCTTGTCAGTGAAACTTTTTCATCGAAAGTGTTCTACCTTTTATACATCATTTTCCAATTGGCTACTCTTTCTTTAGGTTAACACCCTTTTTTTCAAATCTTCGTAGGTCTTAGCAACGCCTGCCAGCTCCTTCTTTTTCCAACCTCCAAGTACAACTCATTTCGTTGAAGACCTCTTCGCTTTTTCTATTTTACACGTTTTTGAAGAATATCTTTCATCAACTGGTCCAGCCTCCCGCACCGTTTGGTAATCTGATACTCTTTTCCCAGGCCAACACCCTTTTCTCAGATCTTGACAAGCTTTATCAACACCACTCAGCTTCTTCTAACCCAACCCCGCACCTCTCCATCCCAGGTTACTTCTCTTGAAATCACTGCGAGCTGTGGCCTCGTTTAAGCTGGATTTATTCAATATTGGTCGATTCGGAGCTTTGACCACCCAAATAACAAATCACTTTCCTCCTCAATCAATGGAACCAGTCATGGCTTCCAAATTGACCGGCGAAGGTGAAGTCAAGGGGAGCATCCTTCCGGGTCCGTTTCTCCCTTAAATCTGCCAAATTTGCTCGGTATTTCGAATGCCAATGTCGAAAAAGAGGCAGTCAACGATCCTTCTTTGAATTCACGCTTGCAGACTGAGAATGAGCCAGCGGAACAAGCGAGCGAAGTGGTTTCCAGACCTTCGACAGCCTCCCCCCGCTCCTGTTGAGACCTCTTCGGCTTCTCTGGTACCTGATGCATCCTCTGTTCCAACTCGGGCACCACGTCAGCGTATGACCTTTCTTACGCCTAAGTCACTTCCCAAGGAAGACGAACCTTTGCAGCCAGATCAGTTGCGCGTGTTGTTTCAATGCGCACCTGCCATTCGCAAGTCATATCCGCAATACTTCCGTGGTCAAGGACACCTTCGAACCGAGTATTATCCTCTTATATTCGAGAGAAACGACAAAGGAGAGCTATGCTTCCCGGATGAAGTCATGGCATCGAACGTATCAGGCTGGAAAAAACGACTGAGGAGCTTTGAAAGGCGTCAAATTAGCGTGCAATCATCGAGTGTGCATTCAAATGCTCAAGATGAAGATTCTCAAGATGAAGGCTCTCAAGATGAAGGTGCTCATGAGCCGGAGCCTCAGCGACAAATTGCCACGCCAAATCAAGCAGTGAAGCGACCAGCAAAGCAGACAGAACAACGGCCATCAGCTGAGATCAAGAAGAAAAAGCAAAACGACACTAATACGGTGTCACAAAATACGGGCAGACGGAATATGAGCACACCTATTCAAAGACGGAACCGTGATCCTACCCTGCTTAACTCTGGGCTATCACGGGCCGGATATCAACTTGGAGCTCATGCTCATGCCCAAGCCCAAGTCAAAGCCAAAGCCAAAGCCAAAGCCAAAGCTAAAGCCGAAGCCGAAGCCCAATCCCAAGCCCAATCCCAAGCCCAATCCCAAGCCCAAGCTCAAGGTCACCTTCAGGTCCATGTTCAAAGTCAGAACCAACCTCCGCCTGATGATTCTCTTTTTGTCGCTCAGCCTGGCCCAACACCACAAGTATCCCGAACTATTCCCGAGGGCCATATGGAAGAATTTTCTGCCTTATTCACCGTCAATGAATTAATTGCCAACGAGAATGATTTTCTTGGACAAGGCAGAGAAATTATCCCCCAGTCTGGCCCGAACGTACCATTCCAAGTTGATCAAAACAATGGCATGCAACTGGTCAATTCAGCTCCCACTAACTACCAAGATCTCGCCCGTATGGAGTCTTTTCTAGATCTCAATCAAGCGAGAGTTCTGCCGAAGCCACCTGAGCCGAGACCTCTGCACTACCCTGACATTTTTCATCCTAAGGGACTGATGGAATTCATCCGCTCTATCACTGTGCAGATTAATCGGCTCAATAAAGCTCTTCTCGAAAGACATGCTTGGGGTCGAAACCTTGATCTTCAGGCATCCATGACTCGATCCCTGCTCAGGCTTTATCAACTTCGAATGGCATGCCTTGAGATGAATGATGCTTTTTCGTCGCAATTCCATGCTGCACGAATATGAGCATGCAATAAATTGAGGTGCAATCAAAAGGCTGTGCTATTCCGTGCGCAGTGAATTCCTGCTTTCAGTTTCTGCTTTCAGTTTTTGCCTTCAATTTGATTTTTATGCTATTTATCGCTATGTTGCAAGTCGTTTTCTCTCAAATCAATCACTCATGCACACTTGCTCTTATGGAATCAGGGAATTTTGGTAGTCAGAGTTGCAAAAATCAAATTGCTTTTCCTTATGTCCCAAGCCTTGGGAATCCTCTGAGGCCCTCTGCTTCACTATAGAACTTCTGACAGTAGACAGTACCAGCATTTGAGATTGTCCCATCAATATCACAGATATCTCCAATGTCATTAATAGAGCACAAGTAACACTTGAGGCAATCAGCTCACCAGCTACTGGCAGAGACTACATAATTAAGTAGGTTCAATTGAACTGAAGCAAAGACACGCCTTCGCCGGCTACCAACTTGAAGTTAAACCTATTTTCTAAATAATACAGCAATGGATCCATTCCACAGGGCTTGCAGAGCATTTTTATTCTGATCTCGAACGCCGGCAATACACTTCCTGGCAGGATATCACAATTCATGACCTCGGGAGGCTTGAGATCCATATTATAGAGACAGTGGGAACTTCAAGTTGAGAAGGCCATACCCCACAGTCCAGCTTGTCTTATCTTCCTCTATTACTAGTGATGATGCCCAAATCTTTCTCCAATGATTCAATCAATAATATAGCACTTGAGTTTACATATGCTATGCACTTGACTGATTGTGTCTACCATTTTCCTCTTTGATGCACCATATCCAGTCTGCATCGTCTTTTTGTTAGACCAGATATACTGTCTGCTAACTCACCAAAAAAATGGACCATTTGGAGTTTAAGACATCTTTAATTCAACCCTCATTAATACCAGACATACTATATATAACATTGGAGTGATCAATTCAACCTTGGAAGTTGATATAAATTTAGTTCATGAAGTGAGTTGATTGGCTCCTCCATCAAGACCCACATCCGAGCTCCTTGGTGCAAAAGAGCAAAGAGCAGCTTTCACTTCCTCACACTTCTACTTCCTTTGTGACCTCAGCTCGACTGCCTTGATTCTTAGTTCTAACTTGTGTCATTGAAAAGACTCCCTCGAAGTGTCCAGTCTTTGCCACTGTCCCACGACTAAACTCAATCCTAACTCTTCCGAATCTCAACTCAAAATCTTACAGCTCAACTCAACGCCAAACCCTCATCTCCTCGTTCATAATGGAGCATTCATCTGGTTCAGGAGGCCAAAGGTCATCCAATTCATATGGAACCTATGAATCTGCCAAAAATGGTTCATCAGCTTCACCAGGCGCTTCCGAGCGCAGGCCAACCGACGACCAAAGCACACCCGGCGAATCCCAAGGCTATTCCAAGCGCAGACGTGTGCAAGAACGTCACCAGAACCGTAAACGCGGCCGTACACCTCCCTCCGTCTTTTCTCGTCGTGATCGTTCCCGCAGCCCTCAAAATGCTACCCCACACCATGACTCCCGACGCTCTCGGTCTCCGCTCCCACCTCGCAGCCCTCCGCCTGCCGACGATGCGCCCAAACGTAAGCGACCCGGTGGCGGCTCTAGAATAGGAGTGAATCCCGAGGCGATGCGTCGTCGACAAGAGGAACGCGACCGACAGCAGGAGGAAGATGCGGTGCGTATGTCGCGAGACCGGGGCGTATCGGACGTGGTGCGACAGCATTACAATGCGGTCCCTGAGCGAGGACGGGAGTGGCGCAAGACTGAGAGTAAGATCAAGGGACTACGCAGCTTTAACAATTGGGTTAAGAGTACCTTGATTCAGAAGTTTTCGCCCGATGAAGACTTCAGTGCGCGGTTCAATGATACGAAGGATTGGGCTGAGGATAGCGGGGGCCCACCTCCTATGGATGATAAGAAGCTACTTGTCCTTGATTTGGGCTGTGGAAAAGGTGGTGATTTGGGCAAGTGGCAGCTTGCGCCGCAGAAGGTTGATCTCTATGTTGGACTGGACCCTGCCGATATCTCTATTGATCAGGCGAGGGACCGGTACCATACTATGCGATCTGGTCGTGGTCAGCGCGGTCGTCGTCCACCTCCGACGCTGTTCCATGGTGAGTTCCACCCGAAGGATTGCTTCGGCGAGTCACTGGGTGATGTTCGGATCATCCAGGAAGTTGGATTTGATGCGAATGCTGGCCCGGGTGGATCTCTGATGGCTGCGCGATTCGGTGGAGGTGGCTTCGATGTTGTCACATCTATGTTTGCGATTCACTACGCCTTTGAGAGCGAGGAGAAGACACGCCAGATGTTGAGCAATGTTGCTGGTTGTCTGAAGAAAGGCGGTCGCTTCATTGGTGTCTGCCCGAACTCGGATATGATCACCACCCGTGTGAGTGCATTCCATGAACAACGAAAGAACCGAGAGGCTGCCAAGGCTCCCGAATTTGAAGGTCCTGAGGATGGAGAGGTCGAGGAGGAGGAACGGTGCGAATGGGGCAATGATATCTATCGTGTCCGTTTCCCTGGAGCTACGCCCGAGAATGGTGTCTTCCGTCCACCATTTGGATGGAAGTATACCTACTTCATGCGTGAGGCTGTTGAAGAGGTTCCTGAATACGTTGTTCCCTGGGAAGCTTTCCGAGCGTATGTCTACATTGGAGTCCATACTTTATTGCTATCACTAACGCTGGGTACTAGTTTGACCGAGGATTATAACCTTGAGCTGCAATACCGCAAACCCTTCTTGGATATCTGGGAAGAGGAGAAGAATGACCGTGACTTGGGGCCATTGAGCGAGCGTATGGGTGTTCGAGACAGGGCTACTGGTGCTCTTCTGATGAGTGAGGAGGAGAAGGATGCAGTTAGTAAGTGTTCCAATTGAAGTTGGATTTATTTTACAATTTACTGACCATCCATAGGCTTTTACCATGCTTTTTGCTTCTACAAGGTCTAAGTGGGTACGGTCGTGAGAATCGTACATCTGAATGCCACTACACTTCCTGGACTCAATGTAATACACATTATCAACATATGAATGTTATTCTTATTTTGCACTCGTAATTTTTCCTGGATGTGCTTAATGTACTGCTCTCATCGTTGACCTTGGAATGCCCAGGTGTGCTTCACATTGTCTCTGGAGATTTTGAACTGCGATAAGCTTATCATTGTAACTTTATCAGTGCCAGTGGATCGCGACGCGTTCAAGATTTCGAATTCTTTGACCTACACCTTTTAATTCTCGAACATACATTTCCTTGAATACTCGACTCTTAATATCTCACTTAAAATTAAAATCTACGTCCTGAATTCTCCCATTTGATTCAATCTCCTTGAAACTCTCGAGACTGCCGATGCACCGAGTCTAAGATGATGCACTCATTGGCAACCCCCGCGCGCCAGCGCACCTCACAATCCCGCGCACCTCCTAGTGCACAATCACGAGCTCCTTCAAGCGTGCAATCAAGAAGAGCTCCCCGGAATATCGATTTCCCTGAACTACCTCCCTACGAAGCCCCAGAAGGCCCCCTCAACGCCGAGGGTCAACGCCAGCTCCTCCAGCTCATCAATTCCCGCGAATACCGCCAGTTAGAGGTCAACTTAAAGCATGCGACGGAGAAGTTGACCGAGTCCGCTGGTCAAGTTAATGACCGAATCCTCGATGCAAGAATTCGTTTCGAGAAAACGAAGGAGAAGAAGCGGACGAAGAAAACCGAGGACAACGACGAGGAACATGACGAAGAATATGATGAGACGGATGAAACCGAGGAACTTGAGCGATTGGGTGATATGGAGCGCCGGGCGGCTGCATTGACAGGTCAAATGGAAGAGAGAATGCGACAAGTCATTGATTCCGAGACGGGGCTACAAACCCTTAAGCAATGCATTAGACAGATTGAGAGGGAAGAAGGAGAGGCCCAGCCTGCTTCCATGGAACCTCGGCGAACCCGGGGACAAGAAAGGCGACAGCGAGAGGAGGGTGAGAATGAAGACGGTGAGGATCACGAGGATAAGAATCAGGAGGTGCCGGAAGGGGAAAGGAGGATCCCATTGAATCAGAGACTCAATGAGGCCCTTCAAGAAGAGACACAAGCATGGAATCAGCGATCCTTGAGTAGCAGGTATGATATTCTTTTTTTGTTTCATTTCTTGGAACTAAGTTCTTACTGTGCACGGCTCACTATACATGATAACTGACCCCACATCGCAGATATGCCGGTGATAATTCTTACATTGGGTTCTATCGTGTTGTGCATGATGCAAAATTCCCCAATGACGAGGCTCCGCCCGTGCCACACTCTTCTACATGGTTTGCGCATCTGGAGAATCCCAATGCGGCCTCCGCTGGTCAGATGACCCAGGCACGCGAACCTTCTGCCGAATCCGACGATGACATTGCTATTGAGCGCGAGCGTATCTCCCTGAAGTGTCCACTTACTCTGCTTCCCTTCCGCGATCCTGTGACGAGTATGAAGTGCCCGCACAGCTTCGAGCGAACTGCGATCTCAGATATGATAGCCCGCAGTAATATGAACGTCCCAACCGAACCGGGTCGTGGTGGTCGACGGGTTCGTGCGGTGAAATGTCCTGAGTGTAATACACCTCTGTCGATGGATGATCTACGTTCCGATCCTGTTCTGTTGCGTCGGGTGCGGCGTGCAGAGGAGTTGGCTGCGCGAGAAGCAGAGGATCAACTCGAAAGGCAATCTCAAACACCCAGTCGGCCTAACCATGTCTCTCTTGCTAGTGATGCGGCTGGGCCCGATGATTCGGACGTTGATGTAGACATGGCAGATTCGACTCCGGCGCCGAGTGCGCGAGTCAAGCCCGAGCCTGTGGAGCGAACGATTCGCACAGATAGCGACGAAGAGATGTCTGATGATGATGAGGAGGAGGAAGAGTAGTATTAGTACGATAAGCAGAATGATATGAAGCTGCCCTATGAATGGCGCAAGATAAGAGAGTCAAGCATCTACTCCACCATTTACCACCATATCCACTATCATGGGTCCTCTCGCTACTAGTAGCGAACCTTGGAACTAGATACCCTCGGTTGGATGCATCTGTTTCATTCCCACATGTCCATTTTCTCGTATAGCTGTCATGCTTCCCCGGATTCTGTTATGTAATTTGACATATATCCAATCTTGGAGTCGTCAAGGTAGTATAGACACGAGGTCGTCCCAGAGCCCCAGAGAGTTACAGGGGTTACTTAGCGTTGTGAGAAATATCCGATGTTTCACTTAGTAGCCGATAGCACTAAGCTAGAAGAAGTCATAGCTGCAGCCCCCTTTTTTCGTTTCCCTTAAAATTCGTACTTTTGTTCTGATTCCGAGGATTTTATTGGTCATGGTTGACTAGGATTGGGATGTATCTCCACTTCCTCGGGTGTTTTAGCGTGATCCATAGTGCATAGATAGGGTACATGCACAGAGTACCATGACTCTAGTATATAGACTCGGAATAGAAAAAAAGCCATAAACCATGAGGTGTGCATGTATAAAGAAGTCAAGTGATAAAGCCACTATTATATATGTAACGATCACTTACTACTTCAAGTTCTCCGCTATATCTCTGGGGTAGAGTGTAACTCTACTATCAAAGCGGAGTAGACGTAGCTTACTTTACCAGTCATATTAAGTGTCCCCGCAATTCAGATGCTGGGATGTTACCTTGACTCGTGGTCGTATTTATTGTATTTTTTTTTATCAGAAAACTAAAAAAAAGTTATAGAAATTCTACAAGTGAGAGTAAGAGCTGAAAACTGTCTGATCTTCTCTCTATTAAAAACTTGATCATCCACCTTTCTTTCCTTCCTTCTCTTACTTTCCCCCCCACAACACCCTGATCACCCATTTCCTCTCCACATCCCCAACTTTTTTCTTTCTTCCCTTTTTTAAACCTCGCCAACAATGGCAGACCTTGAAACTGAACCAAAGTCTGCTGCTGTCGGCATGGATCAAGCTATCACTTACTCCACTTCTGATGAGGAGGTCCCTCGACCTGCAGGATGGATGTACAAGACCCTGAGGATTGGCAAGCTTACCAGCTGGTATGCATCGCCTAGCTTCCAGTTGGGTATGGTCGCCTTCGTTTGCTTCATGTGTCCCGGTATGTTCAATGCGCTTGGTGGACTCGGAGGAGGTGGTAAGACCACCAACACACTCGCCGATAACATGGTATGTACTTTTATTTTTCCTGCTTATCTGCCGTGATCGCCGCATGCAACCCCCTCACGTGGCGTTTTTCGCGTGGACTCATCAATTGGCTAATGCATCCTTCTCCGCATCTAGAACACTGCTCTCTACAGTACCTTCGCTGTCGTGGGTTTCTTTGCCGGAACTATCGTCAACCGTATTGGTATTCGTTTCGCGCTTTCCTTCGGTGGTATTGGTTACTGTATCTACGCTATCAGTCTGCTGGTCTCCGAGCATGCCAGTGTTGGTGGCTTCAACATTTTCGCCGGTGCCCTGCTGGGTGTCTGCGCCGGTCTGTTGTGGTCGGCTCAAGGTGCCATCATGATGTCTTACCCTCCGGAGGGCCGTAAGGGTCGCTATTTTGCTTGGTTCTGGAGTATCTTCAACGTTGGTGCTTGTATTGGTGCTTTGGTGGGTCCCACTTTGGATATTTTCTTTTCTACTACTATAGAGAATCCTGCTGACGATCTTGCTTACGCTAGATCCCTCTCGGTCAAAACATTCATGTCACCGAGAAGAAGAACGTTACTGACGGAACCTACATCGGCTTTATCGTGCTCATGGCTTTCGGCGCCGTCCTGGCCTTGTTCATTTGTGACGCTGACAAGATCGTGCGCCCTGATGGTTCTCGCGTCATTCTCATGAAGAGTCCTACCTGGAAGACCGAGTTCATTGGTCTGTGGGAGACTATCTACAACCAGCCCTACATCATTCTTCTTTTCCCCATGTTCTGGTCCTCCAACTGGTTCTACACCTACCAGCAGAACAGCATCAACAGCGCCTACTTTGATACCCGTACTAAGTCCCTGAACAACTTCCTTTACTGGTTTGCGCAGATCGTCGCCGCCTCCATCATCGGCCCCCTCCTCGATATCGATTCCGTCCGCCGCAGTATTCGTGCCCGTATCGCCCTCGGCGTTCTCTTCGTTCTGACCATGGCCATCTGGGGTGGTGGTTACGCTTGGCAGAAGGGATACACCCGTGCTACTATCAATGATTCTAACTTCGTAGCCTGGGACTGGAATACCTCTGGATTCGTCGGCCCGATGTTCCTGTACTTCTTCTACGGATTCTACGATGCCGTCTGGCAAGGAACCGTGTACTGGCTCATGGGCGCCCTGGGCAACTCCGGCCGCAAGCTCGCTAACCTGGCTGGTTTCTACAAGGGTCTTCAGTCTGCCGGTGCCGCTGTTATGTGGTCCCTGGATGGAGAGCACAACCTTGCCTACATGTCCGAGTTTGCCTCCAACTGGGGTCTCCTCTGTGGCTCTCTTCTCTGTGCCGCACCTGTCATCTTCTTCAAGATTAAGGATTCCATTCCTATCGAGGAGGACCTGAGGGGTACTGATGAGACCATTGAGGATGTTCTCCCGCCCGGTGCGGCTGATAAGGCCATTCACGGTTAAGGCCTTCAATTGAACTGATACGACATTCAACTTAATAGCGCATTTTTTCGATTGGCGATTTAGGGTGACGGGGTGATATTTCTTTAATTTTTGGCTTTTTTCATTCAGTTGAATGTTGTTTTCAGAATGTTGGGTTCCTGCTTGTTATCGCATACCTGCAATTCACGATATCCCCATACGTTTGTTTTTATGCATTATTGAACAATGCATTATCATGATCAACCTTGGAATTGTTATGATCATCATGAGACATGTCTTACAGATCCTAGGAGTTCAAAATGATCTTTCGAGTTTCGCCAGCTCAATTCTAAACTCTCCTTTCAAGTTCTAAGTACCACTAGTAGTACCTGATCCCTTTTGTGATTAATAGGTAATTTCCATAAGCATCGGGTGATATCATTGTGGATCACTTTTTGAATTATAATTTCAAGTATACAATAGACATGTGCAACGTGATTCTAAGGTTGCGCGATAAGTAGATCCCGAGAACCCATGCCGCGTGAGATGTCTCATTCGAGTCCCACGATTTACCCGATAGTACCTTGACCCTGGATTATCTAGTAGAATTACACAGAAAGTAATAATGAGGTGAGATAGAAAACTAGAAGGACATAATATCTCAGGTCAACTAAGAAATAGTCATTCCTAGCTAGGAAGTAGCTAAAGATAAAGCGACCGAGAAATAAGAATAAGTAAGAAATAAAAAGTCACCATACTCCATCCGAAAAAGGCAGAAAGACAAAAAAGGAAAGCAAAGACAAGTCTGGGGGTATTCGCTTGTCGTAACAAAAGCAGCAAAAAAGCATTAACGGATGTGAACTGGCATGAGCATATCGATCTTCTTTGTGCAAGTAACTCACCTCTTGACTCCAACTCCAATTCAACCAAAAGGGAATTAAAGAGTCAGGGTCAACAGGGTCGCGCGCGCTAAGATGATCAATTCGAGTCTGATTTCTCCAATGTAGCCCCAGTGAACCGAGATAAGATATCAGAGTAATCAGACATTCATGCAGTGTGTATGGGAAATTTTTCGATGGTGTATGTTAACCGTGGCTCCTTGCGCAAGCATCATGCTAATCCGGAGTGAAGTTGAAACCCGGGGTTCAAATCCGGGGTAAAGGTCAGAGTAGCAGAGTTCACGGAAAATTGTATGATGGGATCGAAACATATTATCTTCAGAGCGAAAGCCTCATCTTTTTGTGCTCGAAAAGGGAATACGTTCATCGCATGTCGTCAATGGGATTGTATGCATAACTTTACGGGTAAATTCACGTAGGCTCACGGCGGTTCTTTCAGGCGGTTGTTCGATAGCGAAATGGTCATGTAATCGTAATCACGGGGTAAATGGGGAATTAGATCACCGTTTACTTGGTAATGAGGTTCAGGTAATCAGCGACAATGAGGGTCACCATCCTGCCGATCAATTAGTGTGGGTCATTCAAAAAGAAAAGAAAGTGGGGGCAACTAACGCATGAGGAGCAATGCGGACATAGTAAGTTCCGAATCCACGGTAGAAGCGCAACCAGCCCTCCTCCTTAACAACCTTACGGGCGCAATCCAAGACACCACGGTAAGGAACCTGGCCAGTTTTAATGTCCTTCTGCTGCTTCTGCAAGCGGGTCTTAATAAAGTCGAATGGAAGCGAAAGGAAACTAGCAAAGAAACCTGCGATCGCGGAGGCTGCAAAAGTCTGGTTCTGAGTAGAGAGACTAGTGTGCTGCTTAAGCTGAGCCTTAGATTCCGCAAAGAAAGCAAGTTGACCCATGTTCAGAGCCATAGCTCGGATGACGGTCGGAAGAGCACCTGCCCACAAGGCAGTCACACCCTCAGCGCGGGGAATGCGAACCAATGCATCAAAGACCGAACGGTAGTTAGCGCGGATCGCCTTAGGCTTGAGACCATCAGATTGCATGCGAATAAGAGCCAAATCAGCTGGGTTACCGATCATAGCGGCGACACCACCAGCAGCAAGACCAGCGGCGGCGCGCTCAGCGAAAGTGACCTTGCGGTTTGCGGCCTCAGCCTTGCCGTTGAAAGACTTGATGAAAGTTTCAAAGAGACCAAGACGGGCGGTGGTGTAGACAGCCTGTCGGAGAAGACCAGCAGAAAGACCTGTGTAGAGGTCAAGAGCCTTTCCAGATGCGATGATGTCGCGAGTAATTCCTAGAGCCGTGGGACGGGGACCAGTCTTTGCACCTTCGCCGGCCAGCTGCAGACGAACCTTGACCATGTCCACAGGCTGGATGACAGTGGTAGCGCACATGCCGGAAAGACCGCCATTGATGAAAGGAAGAGCAGCGCGCATGTATGGGTGCTGCAGGATACCAGGCGACACCGCAGCGCCATTGGAAGAATCCTTCACAGAGTTGGAAGCCATAATGGTCATGCAGGTTTCACACCAGATCTGTGAGTGAAAGGATGGTTAGTCAAGCTGGTCTTTTAGATGTTTCTATCAGACGCGACGCGTTTTGCGACACAAAAATCAATGTTCAGGGTTAGGTTACCATCCACTGACCGAAATTGAGAAAATTCAAGGGAATTTCCTAGAGGTTTGGATCTTTTTTCTTATTAGAATTTTGCTCTCGGATTCAGAAGCCACGGCGGAAGTCTCATGCGGCCCATGGAAACATGGAAACGTGGAAACTCACTGATGACGTCGAAGCTAATATCCTAAGACTCTCTTAACAAGAGCTTAAGATGGATAGACTCGAAGGGAACGAAGCGTAGATGTAGGAGGAGAAAGAGAATGAGGGGAGTTGAAACAGAAGAGTGCGGGGAATAGAAATAATAAGGCAGAAGGTGTAGTACTTGGTTACCTGGTGTACAACTAGGAATAAACCGGGAATAATTGAAAAAATCGATACTATACAGGTACCTGGGGGGTCTAAGCTGACCTATATAACTTCTTCAGATTGATCAGCTTCTATTCATTTACTCTTTTATGTACAATATTAGATCATTAGCTCCACCCCGCGAACAACCGATATCCACTACCGTATCAAGCTTGAACCGAGACCGACTGTTCGCCGTGAGTTCTCCGGTAAATCAGGAGAAGCACAAAGTCCTTTCAAGTTGTTCTTGTTACTCCACTTCTTTGATCCAATTACGTCGATCTCTATTGTCAAGCCGCGAATCTCCTGAATGCGGGGGATTAAAGCTTGGCCGGATTGAGGAAAAAAGAAGCGGGGGAGATGCAGAATCACGAGATACTCGGTTAATACTTCTACAGACTCTACATGTTGTGTGATTCCCCTTACGTCCACTTCTACCAGTTTTCAGTTCAACTATGGAGTATGATAAAGAAGATCTTCTTGGGACGTCATGGACCCCAGACCATCAAGCGCATTAGTGCCACGAGCTAAACTCGGAATCCCCACTTACATTCCGTCTCCACGAGAACCGGGAACCCGTCTGACATGAATCCGAGGGAAACTGAGATCAGCTCAACGAGTATGCTATATGTTGATTAAATCGCTTGATTCTACATTAAAATATATTATGAAACCACTAATAGATATTATTCTATAGAAATCAGATCCATTCGGCTATCCTTTCGGGTACATGGATATCATGGATATCCTCCAGTTCCAGACCGGCTATTCCTCCTCAGTAATATTCTCCCGCTCCCGCTCCCCGGAATACCGAGGGAGGATATATCATATCACCAATCTTAGTGTGGGTCTTACTGATGTGGGCACCTGCTATCTACCACCAACTATCCCCGCTCTACTAACCCGCGGGGGCCAATAACACCACTACCAATGCCAATAGAATCATCCCCCTGGCGGGAACGGCCCTTTGTTGAGGCAAAGAATTGAGCCCCACTGCTGTGAATCCTCCGATCTCTATCGTGAAGACCATACTTTTCTGCCGATGACCGGCGCTTGATGGGCTGGAATGGTCCATTTGGAAGCTTTCATTGGTCCTCTCAGGATTCACTCGCACTTCTCAACCCCAGATGTCGATTATCGGAGTTCTAACTAAGCTTTCATCGCATCCTGACGACAGTTCCTTGTGGATACATAGCCCAGATGCTGCGGAGGAGATCAGTCCGGCCGTCTAGCCAGACTATATGAAACTATGAATCAATAATTTCTCCTGGCAGATAGCCCGGGTAACAGCTTGACTTGACACCGCCACGCGGAAGAAACTCGGTTGGAGCTCGATCAGGCTGGAGGCCTGGACATCCTCCGTATACGAGTTTACGGTCCACTGAAAATCACTAAATCGATTCAGGTTATTGCTCAGGACCCCCGGTCCTACACTCTAAGCCAGGGGTGTTTGTTGGGCAAATGGCCATCCGGCAACAACGAACTACGGGCTATGCCTAGTCCGGACCTTGAAGTACCTTGTAGATGCGATACTGTTTCCCGTGGATGTCCAACATCCATCTCACCATAGCAGTATTGTTTCAAATTTCAAAATACCTATTGCGGCCATTTCCGATCTCCCGGTATCATCAACACTGTATACAACTCATCCCAAGTTCCCAACAGATATCCCACCATAATACAACGACTCATCTAAATTGAAACTCAATCACTCACACCGTGCACATTAACTTATCGCCAAGCGCCCATTGAGTCCCCTGGACCCTCCCACGTACTTCATCTGCAGTACTATGCACACTCCTCAATCACATCGCCCCACAACAATCCAACCCCCATCCAATTCACCACCAACATTGGAATCCACTTGTCCCAACGACCCTTACAGATCATGATTAACAGACCAGTCTAGATAGATCCCGAGCTTTGTTCCACTCCGCGGAAAGGGACTCGGCATGTTCACGGGCCACGGCTGCGGTCCGAATAGACCGGCAAGAGGGTTCGGGAACACCGGGAATTCCGGCGGCAAAGAGAGTGGCAGAAACCAACACTAACAGATTCTCATTAGAGTGTCCAGTTTGGTTTACTTATGTCTATATCTGGTATGGATATTATGCATGCATTGTTATTGCTTAGTCTGCCAGAACTTAAGGGATGATCTATGGGACTAACTCATGAAATTACAAAGACAAAGTGACCAGAATTGAAATTTATATCTAGCTGTGAGACTCAACAAAGGAATAAAATGAGTTTTTGTTTCACTCTCATATTCTCCTTTTGGTGAATTATGATGATCTGGACCATCGCTTGTTACATGCTTCAGCCTCTTCAAATCATCACTTGAAGTAAGAGATCAAGGGTAGATTTGAAAGTCCCAGCCTTATGCGAATCTCAAATTATAATCTGGCACTGTATGATCATGACTGAGGGAGTTGCTATAAAGTGACCAAGCCTCTTATCAATTGATTGCACAAAGTCCTGCCTATCAAAATTCGAAACCGACAGGTCAATATGATTGTCTACTCAGACAAAGTTGAAATACCAAACACTTCAAAACAAACGAAGTAAAACTCGGAAGACTAGATCTTTCCGGCAACTGGTCAACTCCTTTATCACTCTATCCTAAAGCTTGAAACTTATCAAGAGCGTCGCACAGTCTCATACCTCACTTTGATTCTTCAAGCTTATTCATTTTAACATTCTTCAACCTTCAATCTTTATCTCATACATTCATCCTTCAGATATGATTCAACCTCTACTACAGAGGTCACACAAACCGATTAAACCCTCATGCTAGGGCGGAGGGGTTTCAGCTGCTGCTTAGTTAGCAGAGGCAGAGCTACTTAAAGTAGGTCACATGTTCTTGCTTTCTTAGTACATCATATCATCCTCTACTTCCACTTCAAATTTCTCCCCTCGACATCTTCCAACAAGCACATCGAAAATTGATGTTTTTACTCAATCAAGGACCCTTGCCCGAGACGAACATTGAAATCCCTCCGCCACGTCATCCAGATTCTAAAATTTCCTCAACTACAGACTCTGGTAAATGGAGCCTCAGAAACAACGACGGCAACTCTGATTACTGGAGGAAATGAGACCTGTGATACTTACTTTCACAGCAAAAAAAAAGAAACAAGAGCGACTGGGGAGGACAAAGCATCAATCATCCTGGATTTGGCTTTCGTTGAGATTCCTAAATCTCGTATGGAAGAGATGGCTGGCCGAACAAATTGACTAATGCTACCACCTGATCAGCAGGACAAGCTATGGGTAGCAACCAGAATTCAAGCAACTTCATCTGACTGATGAGAATCCCTGGAAAAGGTGCTTCATGTGAGCCCAGGGGAGAATACAATCCTCCCCCCCACCCTCTCTAAACCTTTGCTAAAAGTGGAGACCATTCAGTTCCTGGAGGCGAAAAGGCCAGATGACTGTCTTGTGGTGCCAGCATTCAAGTTCGAAGCTAACTTCTTACTGGCCACAACCGAGCCCTGCTCATCTATGGGTTTGGCCTAATTCAAGACCAGGATGAGTGGGGAAGACGATAGGTGCTCCAGCCCGTCACTTATTCTGCTTGAGTCAGTGATATTACAGGCTGAAATTGTCTCTGCATCCTAATGGCCTTCGCCTTCATGAATGATCAAGTGCGAGCAATCCTAATTGAACCCAGAAAGAGACCCTTACACCACACACCAACTCCAAGTGAGTTGATATGTTTTCAAAGTCACCCGTTGAATGCTGGAAATTGCTTGACAAGTTGGTCCCGCCTGAATCCTGATTAAGCTTTTTGCATGATTCATTCTGCAGACAATGCAAAACTATAGCAGAAATATTGTCCTGGATCAAAGCTCAATCGAAAGACCAAGATTTTTGGGCCAACGCCGAAGCCACTAGAGCCTTTTACACTCCTGAGATACGGGAAAAGCAATGGCGGGAGTTTTTCAGTGTGACGGTGGTAATATTGTTCCTATGGCAATTGCACCAGCACGAGAAGGCAAGTATCAAAATATACTCCCAACTTCGGGAATGAGGAAAGACTGACTGTAGACTCTTAACAGAGCTTGAAGCAGGCCATAACAATTCTCATTCTTATTTTCCTGCATTTTGTTCATTCCCCGATTCCTACACATTTAACTTTACTGGTGCCGGCAGTGGTAAGTCCCACTATTGATCAATATATTTCTTCTCTTCACAACAACTTATCTAAATTGATGGAACAGCCTCAAACTTTGGACAAGCCAGGCAGGAAGAGTCCAATTTCGCTTACCCTTCTCCCAACTCTGCCAACCTACGAGTCTTGAGCGTTTTCAAAAAGCTAGATTGGATGAATCCAATGAGCCAGCAGACAGCGCCGGGAAATAAATGCATCGGGTCCCTGATGAGTTATGGCCTTGAGATAATTCAAGAAACTACCAACTTTCCTTTAGGATCTCATCGGCATATGGGATATTCCGGAAGAATGTCACATATCGATACCTATTCCAATGCTATTCCAATGCTGTTGAAGCTTATATAGGACTTCGTCCGAAGCCTGAGTGCGCAGTCA